ATCAATTTGGACAAGAGAAAAATGTTTTTGTTTAAAGTCTGCATTTTGTGTCTACATGAAATTTGCATTTTGTACTGACCATACACTTAATTTTAACTTTCAACCCTGCTCGGTATTAATTGACTGACTTGAGCCTAATCAATTATCCTGCTGGGATTTGTGCACATATATCATTATAATGCTTATACTTTCCACAAAGTGTATACATATATTCTGATTTCCATCAAAAATGGTCTCATTTTTGGCTCAAATTTACTTAAGAATTCACAAGAAATTAGTTGTTATACCTACAGTAGCTAAATATTTTGGTGTGCTTGTACTTTGCGTACAAATCTAAGTTAGACTATCGGTTTCCGATTAAAAATACTGCTTAAGATCATTCCACGTTCATGTAATGAAAACTGTTCAAGCAATAGCAGTTCTCTGAAGTCATAATGTACTGTATCAGCTCCGCTTCATGTCTCTCAGAGTACATATATCCTCAAAACTCCTTCAATTTTCATGCAATGTCAGGGCCAAACAAGTCAAGAACATCGAGCAAAACCCTACAAACTTCTCCGATCGCCCGGTGAATTAACTCATCCATTAATTGCTCAATCGGCGAGTCACCGTTTAGCCAAAGGTTGAGTTTATAATCCACTGAAGTAAAACAATCAATATGGCTCCAAGCTATAAAATCAACTCCGCGTGTTACTCAAACAAAAGAAATGCAGTGAATATATTCAGCGCATTGCGTTCCGATTCACTGGTTTGCAAATAAAAGCGAACATCAACAACAGTCGATATATGTACCTTTGATTGTTAAGAGCTTCTTAAAAACGGAATAAACAACCAATGTTGGCATTGATATCTTTGTTTAGCAACTCCTTACGTTCAAAGACATTAGCCTTAAGGCTCGTAGAAAAAAAAAGAAAATAATTGAACTGCAGTTATCAGCAAACATTTCGCGATTGTGCACAATAATTTCTCTTTTAAGTATGGAAAAAAGAGTTAAAACAACATTTTGAAACTTGAAATCAGATTTTCTGCAAAGAAGTTCTCATATGCGAACGATAAAGGCAGGAAAAATTCTCTTATTCCCAGAAAATTTAAAATCCACGTGTTTTGCGGGTCTAAGACATAGAACTCACGTACTTTGTGCCTTGCTCCAGTGAACTGCATGCTCCGAAATCGTAGTCTTTTCCGGATAAACTTGCCCACCAGCATATCGCCTACAACTTTCCTCTTCGTCCACCTTGTTGGCAAAAATCAGAGGAGAAACAAAAACCAGAAGAAATAAGAAAACAAGGTTGACTCCACGAGCCATTTTGATCACAGAGTGATAATAACAGATTGATCTTTAACGCGTGCGCAATAGAGTGGGGCATTCCCTGACGTGGACCAATGAAATTTGCGGTCAAAATTTCCACAGTAAAGGCTTTGAGGGATGTAGCTCTGAAGGACCCTTGTAATGGTGTAAACTTATATTTTTTTTAAATTAAGAGGCAAACTAACCTCAAATCAGCAGGCAATCGTCAGAGGGCAGATGTCGATCTGGACATGTTTTGACACAATACGGTGATGAAAGCAAAAAAAGTAGAGTAGGAAAAAATACACTAACAAACCGTTAAGACGAGTTTTTAAGTCAGCTGCCTACGTCGGCCTAACCTGTGTGATCCTGTGTAGGCGAAAGGACCTGGGGGCAGCAAAAAAAACGCTGGAAAGAAAACCTGATCATAAAAAGTTGTTCAAACCTGCAAAATTCCTCGCCAATCGTGGTTAATAGGCAGGCTAAAAGGCGATAGGTAGCACAGGGGGAAATGTAGCAAACTGCTGAGTTACGCAGATTACGAAAATTGGTGAATATCCTGCGAAAACGGCGGTTTTTGAGCGCTCAATGCCCAAAAGTAAAAATTTTTAAAAATGCAATGGAGCTGCGAAAATGAGGAGAAGAGCTCAGAGCCTCTTTAATTTCTCTCCAAGGCTTCGTTGCTAAAAAACACTCACAAACAGCAACGAAGGCCAATAGGTCCATGGATTTCGCTCAACCAGGAGCACTAATGGCCTCCTGGCCTAGCATGCTATGTTCTCTAGATTTTGATGCCATCCACTGGAGCAGGACGGATCATGAATTAGGAATTAAAACCTTATACCAGCCGAATAAAAAAGTAAAGAGATTTATATAGAAAGCGATAATGTTAGTGATAATATAGACCAAAGTTAAAACTACATACAACGTACTTTCTTCACAGGGCTGAATTCATTGTTGACGATCGGATCCTGAAAGCGGCCGGGAGTAGCGCTACTTACACCCGGCCTCTGTTGAAGAGTCAGAATATTTCGTAGAGCGGGACTCTCTCGCACGCGAAGACGACAAACTATATCGAATACATTCGGAAAATGTCCTATGTTACTCCTGTGTAAGTTCGAGGCAACTCGTCTCCAACACTCTCCCTCTGTTATACGAACAACGGCTAATATTTTTCCTCCAGGGGTGGCAAGTTGGTCGACAAGCGTGAGTTTGAAGTTTTCGTACTTAACCAATAAACCCTTACTAGGTCCCCCCACGTCACGTCCTATTTCAGCTTTCACTTATCTCACGCCTAATTATTTGCGCGAACGATTTTGTCTATTGTGATTCAAATGAACTCCGCAATGAACTTAACGCGCTATTGAACAGTGATTTGACCTTTATTTGCAAGTTTGTTGATATTTGAAGTACCGTGTTTGCCTTACATGTAGTTATAGAGTGACACTCTCTTGCTAAAGATTAAGAGGAAATGACGAACATAATTAGTTATTGGTCATGCAATCTGCTACAAGGAATTCGATCACAGCGGAAAGATACACACTGCATTGTTTGACTTATCAGCGATGTAGTTGCCATGAACTTGTGCCTTTCTTCGATTCAAGATGGCTCTTTCACCATGGAACTTCAAACATTTGGAAGTTGTCGGCACAAAATGTTCAAGTCCGTCCGACTGGGCCGAGATTCGAGGACGAATTCCTCGACTTAAGGTTGAAACGCGAAAGTGGAACATTGAAAGAAAGCAGTCGCAGGTTGTACAGCCGAAAATTGGATCTTCTGCTGATAAGCGGCAAACTCTCTCATCTGTTAAGCCGCCAAAGGAAAATATCGTCACTATTAAAGTTGTGTTGCCTAAGAGAGAAGTCGAAGTCCCTGAAAGGAATTACCTGTGTAAATGCGAGGAAGAACAGAATGGCCATGAAAAGGCTTCGAGAGACCAAGAAGGCGACGTAGGGGAAATCGGATTTCATGAACTGATGATTATATTTTTTAAATACTGCAAAGGTCCTAAGAAGGAATCTTCAAAGGCTTTCAGGAACATCGTAAAAGGATTTCAAGGGAGTGAAATTTTAACAGATGACGAAATGGTGCAGGTATGTTCCAACTTTACTCATATCGAAGCAGTGTTAATCCGTTTGCTCTCTCTGAGACGTTTGTCTGATAATGTGTCAATTGGACTAAATAATTGTGCCACTTCATAATCTGTTGGCTATGACGCATTAACGGTAGTCAAATACTTTCACAGACCATCAGATGTTTCACACACAGAGCGCCATTCGTTCAAAAATTTATAGAATCAGTAAGAGTTCTATTTTTCGTTCATGTAAGTGCGTTTTATTTTCGTTGTACAATGTCACTTACCAATCACAGAAAAAGGTCGTGGGGAAACAAGCGGCTATCTTCATATCATTGTTATGAAGAAGAGATAGGGGACGGCTCCATGGACTTTGAAATATAGGCGTGTGTTTTGTGATATCTGCCCACAGGAAATACTGTGACGGGAAGAATGCCTTACAAGGGCTTCTAGCTGAACTTTTACACTGCATGAATTTCCTTCTCAAATGACATAACAACAGTATTCAATATGTTTTGAAACAAGGCATGATTGACGCTGTAACATGTGGGATTGCCTGGACTGTACACAAACCCAAAAGATATTGGCAGGCCTTGTTTGAGTAGGACTGTAGTTCTCAGTTCCCGTAATTTTGATCAAAGAAGGAAAGATGGTTTCTGAGTGCACCTTAATTAAAGCAGTTTGCCTGACTCAGCTTATTCTCGAAGGATATTAAAGCCAAAAAATGTGTATAATAGATAATTTCTATTTTACATTTACGATTACGTTTAAGACCCTCGCGGGAGGGCATTGTTTTCCGAATGCATAATTGTTTTTGGTTAATAATAAGCTAATAAAACGAATTATTTGACCCACTTAGGTCCTGAAATTGCTTAATACGGATGACTCTGGACTTAAGGCGAGTATACCAGTTCTTACGATTGAATCAAATTTATCGACAAATACCACGTTAACCAGGTCCTACTGTTAACACGGAACAGATTTAGGATTACATTTTATGGTGAGATAGTTGCTCATCACGTAATGAGTAGCTACATGTTAACGTTTGCGAGAAAAAAAATTAACTAGCCATCATTTAAGGTTAAAAGTTTTTTGCTTTGTTTTAAAGCTAATAACATACTTTACTCACCCTGAGGCCTTTGTGGGTCCTATATTGCTCATGCCGAACCTCATTGTGTCGGCTTAACAAAAATTAAAAGGATCAAGGAATTATACCAAGGAGTATTATGGCTGATAACATTTTTACGTCACGTTCTTTGTTCACAAACTAGGTGTCTACTAATTGCTTATGATAATTAACATCCCCCAATTAATTAAGTTTTGAAATACTTCAACCGAGGCACATGTTACGGTTTTCCTCTATGTTGGCAATTTCATTATTTGTCTTTGGTTTATGAAATAAATGGAAGGAATTTAATTTTGCCCGTATCTGCTATGGCATCCAAGTAATCTCCGTTCTCTCTCAGTGCTCTCTCGTTTAAAATTCTTCAGTTACACCAGTTACTTCTCTTCTTGTAGTCATTTTAATACACGGTCCGACAGATAAGCGATGAGAATGAAGGTAATGAACTGAAGAAAATACTCCCTGGAAGTTAACATGGGTATCAGTTATCTGCCGAGGAAATCTGTAAAGGGAAAAGTCTGTGGGTAAAATTGCTCAATGTTGGTCTATTACAGGCTGTAATGGATCAGCACTGTCATGATTAAAGAGCAATAACATTACTCAAAATCGCGGGATTGTTATGAACACCAGGAAATAAAATGAAAAAATGTGACCTGATGGGCCACCTCGGACGCGGGCTAGATTGTTTACAGTACAAGTTTAGCTCAAGTTTTATTTATAGGCTACTTAATTATTGTTTCAGGAAAGCGTCCTCTCAATGATAAATCAACTGTGCACTAGTACCTTGAATGTCAAAAAGTTCTTGGAGAAAGGCCTGCTTGAGGACTTAGTAGACCTACTGCTATTGAGTGCAGACGACGGCATAAAGAAGGAAGCGGTGTCTTGCCTGAATAAGGTTTGTCACACGTCTCTTGTTAATGTTATTACATATGGCTATCATTTGTCACCATGAAACAAATTAATGCTATTGTGAGACACCCGTGTACGTTCACTCCATTTTCGACCAGTGAATGCTTTAAAACGATCACATGAGAACCAGGCACGAATGTCAAAGCGAAGCGCGAATGGTTAGCCGGGAAGCTGTACTCACGGTTTGTGGACCCCTCAGTTGTTAGTTCCGCGCCGCACGAAGCAATCTCCTGATGATACTAGGCGAGTGTATTGTAAGATTTTTAAAACTAACAAGCTTTGAACATGATGCCTCATTGCGAAAAAGACAACTTTCGAAACTTGAAAAAGCCACACACTTGATGACGAGTGGATGTCGAGTGGATGTCCTCGAGTAACCAACCTCAGATGACAAACTTGAAACTTCCGAGCTTTCGGGGAAACACCACACAAGTTTAGACACAGACAAACAAGCATAAAAATATAAAAAGTACGATCTTGCTTTGCTACAGGTAGTGGAGAAGACGGAACACGCTGAACTCTGGCTGGATGTGATGACCAAATCAGGAACAGAAGCACTGTTTGGACTGCTTTCCTCGCACGATCCTTTACAATACACGGTCCTAACAGCAATCAAGAATCTCGCTGCTCATCCCAAAATGGCACAGCTCCTCATTGCGTATGGACTTGCAGGTGTTACGCAGCTATCACCGAGCAAGGTGGACAACTGTTCGATTTTTATTTTCAAAGGGCAATAGAATATCGCAGATAATTTTTGACACTTTTTATATTATAAAAATGGCTCCATTTTTTATGGATAAAACTGTCCACCGTTTGACTTGCCATCTGCTGTGCATTGTGTAATGTTTTTTGCAGACACAGGTAAACTACATGGCGGGTTATCCGGGAAAGCGCGTTATCCAGCCTCGGAAGAACACTAAATGACCTAAGTGATGTGCAGCCTACACATTAAAAATAAAGTTAGGTTTTGTAGCGCTTTCAGTAAGTCTTTGTTTTTTTGTTTTTTCTTGCCTAGAATCCACGACGAATGTGCTTTGAGAATCCTGAACTGCAGGTAAATTTAACGTTTTGTAAATACCAAAATGTCTATCAACAATTTTTTTTCTCAGTGCGATGCATTTGCTGTCTTCTACAGGGCCTGGTTACTGAAGTGCTGACAAATTTGATTTCCCATGATTCCTCTACGGTCGAGACGTTTCTCTCTAAGTATGATGACGTCATCATAGGTGTCACGAACCTGTTGCAGTTCAGTCCTTGGTGAGACTTACTTCTCTGATTCTTTCATTAGAGAACAAGTTTTGTTCATATCATAGATGTATAGATTTGCAGGTGAAATGAGAACTTATTTCATCTCTCTCCAACCTTTTTTCCTCTTTTAGTCGTCAACAGCAGAAGGCTGCACGCTTTTTGGGGATTTTGGCATTTTACAAACAAGGACTAACAGTAATCGCCTCTCACAATGTTGTAGAACATCTACTGTGGGCCGTTACCTGTTCTCAGTGCAGGTAAGCGAGACAAGTATTGAAAAGAACTGAAAAGTTGGAAAAGTTCTCAATATGAAGATTTTAGATATATGAAAATTTCACATATCTGCACTGCGGTGGAGAGATGAAATTAGGAGATCCTCGCAGCTAAGAACACGACTGAAACGAGTAGTTGTAAATAGGCCCGTACGGGCCTGAATTTTTTTCAGGTCCTATTTACAACTACTCGTTTCAGTAGTGTTCTTAGCTGCGAGGATCTCCTAATTTCAGTTCTCAATATGTCACGGTGGCCGTAGAATCATGATCGAGATGTTTCGTTTCATCACGGCAGCTGACTGAAATTGTGCATGCCTTTCTTTGCTGTGTTACGCTTAATCAGTGTTAAAAAAAGAAAAAACTTCCCAACTGCTCAATAACTTTTTAGATACGAGCAAAGACAAACATATACAGCGGTGCATACTCGTTCCAGTTTAGTAAGTCTACGATTTGTTTAACTTGTCCTTGATTGTTAGCTCGCTGTGTTGCTAGTATTCGTGTTTCCTGATTAACTTGAGAAAGAACTTTGGTTCTGTATTACGATGCCCTAACGAAGTATACAGAAGCATATTTCCTGCACTTCCGAAGCTAATTTTAGGTTATGAAAGTTCTATACACGAGTCAAGAGGTCCTCACATTAATCAAAACTTCTCTGGGTATGGAACCAGCGAGAGTTCAACCCCGTGTCCAGCATACCTGCCATAGGCGCAAGCCGAACGTACACACACGAACAGCAGCTTAAAAACAGCAGCTAAAAATCATATTTTATCTTCTCAACAGACGCGTCAGGGAACAGGCTAGTATAGCACTCGGAAACATTTCTAAAAATCCGGACAGGGCATCAGCATTCTCTGCTTTGAGCCAAGTCACTGTTGGAAAAGTTGCTTCGCAAGATGAACTAAGTCAGCATTCAGACAGCTCTGGGATATTTTCATCAAGTGAAGACAACTTACAGAGGCAGTCGTGGTCTCATTTGCCAGGGACTTCAAATCATCGTATCTCCGCCGACAGAGATTCTGGCTCCAAAACCAAAAGAACTATCTCAGAGTTAACGTCTCTTCTAATGCTTGTATTTGAAAACGATGCGCTTTGGAGGAACGGCTCCGAGAGACAATTTATATCAAAGACAAGTAATTCTAATAATCTTGGATCAGTAAGGCTGAGAAAGATAAATACCTTTACTGGTAGAGAGAAATATCTGAGAAGTTTACAAGTGCTCACTAACTGCTTGATGATTATGTCAAATGTAATTTTGATCAGCGAGGAAGTGGATGACCGAAGCGGGCGTGAATCAGTTGAAGAAAGGTACGTATCACTCGTACAAGTAGTACCGTTTGGTCATCATTATCATCACTATCATTGTCATTGTCTCTGTCGTCATAATCATTATCAATTTCAATGATAATCGCCCTCTTTTTAACATTTCGTGATTCACATCTGTAGTTCGGGCTTTTGGGTGTTTGCTCTGACAAAGAGAAACGCTCGAGTAATTAGCGTTTTCAAAACTCGCCCCCTGCAGTTTAAATTATCACCGGACTTTAACTTTTATATAGTTGTTAAGCAACAAGGTGGCGAAGGATTTTGTAACTCCTTGAGTTCGTTGATTGGTCGGTAATACTGATCGTCCGTCGAACAGTCAGTCAGTCAAATGAATAAAGCGACGAAGTTTCTTAAGTAACTGCATGTGGTGCTGCGCCGGTGGGAGAGTATGACCGGGTAATTTGGTACTATATATCAACCGAGTTGATAACGTAATTTGGCCACCGAAAAGAGTTTCAAAGCTGACGTTTGGAGCGTTAGCCCTTCGTCACAGCGAAGAGCTAACGCTTGAAATATCAGCTTTGAAACTCTTTACGGTGGCTAAACTACGTTATCAACTCAGTTGATCAGTAATACCAAATTACCCAGTCATTCAGCCATTTAGACAGTTAGCTATCCAAATCAGTCTGGGAGTCAGTCGGTTAGTCCGTAGTTCGACATTTAATCCTTGTCAACCTAGAAAATGATCAGTAAATTTTTCATATCGCATTTAGTCCCCTATGATAATTTTTTAAATAGTTTGATACCATTTTAAGAAATCCTTTATTTTTTTTCACAGACGGTTAAACCTTGTGGCGCACATGATCCAAAATGGCGGTCTAAAATTTATCCGCGACCTTGAATTCCTCAGCGACAGATTATTCAAAGTGAACCCTCCATCTTTCCATGACATCGACCCTTCAACACTTCCCCCGAAAGAAATCACAGGAACGTTGAAGCACGCACGGACAGAGCTAATATTTGAGAGTACAAGTAAAAGAAGAGAACCCTGCAAAAGTTATCCAGATTTTAGATTTGAACAGAATGAGATTGATTTTGTTAAAGAAGCAGTGAATTTGCTATGTTTGTTTGCTAAAACCACAGCACCCGAATTTGACCCGTCTGTAGAAGACGTGAAAATGTTGGATGATTCACGAGCCAAAACGACGAAGAGACACATTTCTTTCCAAAAGTCTGCAACTCTGGTGAAAAACGTTATGAAGATCACCAAAGGAGCAGAAGGTCGTAGAATGATCCGAAGAGGAAGCTCAAGGTTTGCATATATGTCCTTCACCTGAGGTCGTAGAAATAAAACAATTTTCGATTTAGAATCGTAAAAAAAATCAAGATAGTCTCAGTTCACCTTGACTTCAGGACATCCTCGTTCAAAGAGACCCCGGCGAACTTTGAGATAGAAGTACTGTTATTATTAGTCACGAACTTTGAAACTCCCAGGCTTCAGAATGTTCCTTAATCCAATGAATTACGTTTTGCTCATTTAAGATGTTTTTGGTTGTATTATCAGATCTTTATCGCGCACGCTCTCTCAAACAAGTGTTACGTCCGTCACGTCATCAAAAAGCTTACAATCCTCTTCACTTCATGAACGACCCAGTACTTCTACTCAGGTGACTAGTACCCAAGACTCGCGCGAGACAACTCACTACGTCAAGCAAAGTCTTCTTGATGCCAAGGTTATTTCTTGTTTGGCACCGTGGATAATGTGTGGAATTTACGAGATTCAGGTACAACTGGTAGTTCGATGAATTTTGATGAATAAAAGGTTATCTTGTCATAAATTCACATTTATTACTTTGTATCGGACATTCGAGTTATTAGTTCTGTTGCGTTTATTACAAGCTCTACAATAAAAGCATCGCTTTCTTTGATTGATGGACTGCAAAGAGCGTTTTCCGGTCCCTCAAGTACACAAAGCATTTAAATTTCGGAGGTAACCATTAGAAACCGCGTTTTTTTTTGATAGAGGATCTCTATATTTTCTTTTGCCTTGTGACTTGCTTTTTTTTCCCCGTTGACCAGGTTAATGTGTTGAAAACTATAAGATTTCTCCAACACAGCAAGTACGCATCCTCAAGATCTCCTGGTCATCCTACACCGAAAGAAGCGTGGACCACGAGAGCGCCTTCATCTTTAACATCGCGAAGCAGCACCCTTAGTCAGCGGTCTTCGAGTTCAGCAGATCCTGTTTGTAAAAGCATGAACAAATCCAAGTATTTGGGAATGACATGTGTTCGACATGTGATTCAGCACTGTGGGGGGTATTTACTAGATTCCTTAGCGCCTCCAGTACCGTCTACTCTAGGAAGGACGACGCTCATGGTTTTGAGAGAAGCTGTTGTCAATGGAGAGGTAAGATGGCATCAATCGAAATGTAAAGTTCTGTTTAAAGTCCTCGATGGTTTTCCATCATGGCTGGTTTCGGTTCTCCTAAACTGACTTCTCTTAGATTTGGGGGGCTAACACCTAAAGATAGAAGATAATTAAGTGAAATTTATTATTTTATTACTATTCTATTTTCGATTCTTTTCGTTTACTTCAGACTGACACGCGTCTAAAATTAGCCAAGCTTGGGTGCTTTGCTGAAGTAATTGAGTACATCCGGGGTAACGAAGATGACGAAGCTATTCAGGCGCTAGGAATTGTGGTTATCAGAATCCTAGTAGGCAACGATGCTTCCTTAAAACAGTTGTTTTTAGCTCACGGAGGAATGAACTTGATAATGGCTTTACATCAATACAAGGAGGGAATAGTGAAAGATGAAGCAGCCCTCGCCATGTTCACTCTCAGAAGAGGTCAGCTTGAAATATCAATTCCGTGTATTTGATTAATTTAAGGTTACTTTCGACTAATGCTATGTTTAAGGGCTTGACAGGGGAAGGATTCTTTACCAGCGAGGGGTTTAGAAGGAAAGATGCCCTGATTTACACTTTGACGTCACTTTGAATACAAAGTAGTCTTCTTCACAAATGCGTTATTATCGCGCTTTTGCATCAAAAAGAGCCGGCACAGAGAGCGAGCAGGCATAAGCGATGATGTGAAAACGCTTACCTCTTATCGCTGTTGCTTGCCTCCGATTCCCAGACCTGGTCTCGTCCTTACCCTAAGGGTTTCATCCGGGTTCTACATATACGGTCTCCCACCCTCGATAAAAGAATAACTCTCTCCTCTTATTTCCATCTACAAACAGCCGGCATACCAGCAAGAGATACCTAATAGATCTGCCCGGGTAGAATTTGTTTCAATCACTGATTACTCATTCACATCATCATTTCCTCGTCCATCCTCACTGACCGGAGTTTTTTCTGTTTTTTGAAACACGCATTAGGAGTACGTGTTACTGCCAGAAAGAAATCAAGGACGGCCGATGGCAGAATCAAAAGGCGTCAGAAATCAGCTGGTTGTACTGACATTTGGGAAGAAGTTGGACAGAAATGGAAGTCTCAAGACCAAGTGTTAAAAGTTCTCCGGAAATTTAACGTGCGATATTAACTGGACCTAAAGAATACGTTAACCCTTTCACTCCCATGAGTGACCAAGAAAGAATTTTTCCCTACAATATCAATACAATATCAACCAGATAATTGATGAGAATAAAGACAAATATCAATTTGTGGATAATTAGTTGATCCAATACTAAATTCTCTGAACTAACATTGTAAGAATTGTAGGGTTGACCATAAGGAGAATTACAAATTTGATCTGGGAGTTAAAGGGTTAACTATTTTAAGAAACACTTCGCCGTGTGAAATTCGTTCCGCTTCATCCCGTGAATTTCTTTTAATCTACTTTTCGTCCAAATCATTAACACGTCGCCGTCATCCAATTATCGAGGCATCATCGTCAGTTGTAAAGTCTATAGATGGTTTTCATCTCAAGCTTTAGACGCCCTTGTTGGCTCTCTACGCTATGTTTTCAGTTTAAGTAGATAATCCAAAAAAATTATAGACATACGTAAAATAAAGGAAAATAAGAGATTGTGAGAATCTCTTGAGAAAAACTGATTTCATCGATGTAAAGTTTACATTTTTCCACCTTTTATGGTGCTTCTATTGTAATAATCCTAGGGAAGGGAAGATTTTCTCGAGCTCTGAATCCGACGAATTTTGTGCCACACAAGAAAAGCCTTCAGCACCCACGGCACTAATGTATATTACGCTTACAGTAATATCGACTTTTCCTATCCAGATTTGAGGGTGTATATTAGTGTTCGAAGAAAACTGCCATAGAACCCTCATTAACGTTTTAATTAATTTGTATTCTTCTAGGCGGACTAGTGCGCTGTAGACTATCATGAGACAGCTAACTCCGCACCCGTCCTAATCCCGAATAGCTCAACCTGCAACCCGTGATCGCATCGCTTATCTCGCAAGTATAAGTGGGACGGAAGTTACAGGCTATATTGAAGATTTATCAGGGAGATGAGAGGGAGTGGGGTAATCTTCAAGGTTTCGATACATGGCCGGGAATTTTTGCTATCGAGGCTCCTCCAATGATTCAAAACGACTTCCCCTACTAATAGTAGCTTTTAATTTTTCGAAATGGTTCCTCGTGCTGGCATCATTTAGTCAAGTTGACTGTCTCAGAAAATGGTCTCCCATTGAGGTCCCTACAGAAGACAGAAACATCTTAGATCGAGCAAGCGAAATGGACGGACTAAAGAAGTATTTTCTCGTCGAATCCGTGGGAAATTTTATCGTAATCGTAACTTAACGTAGTTTGTCAAAGTTACCCCCTACCAATAAATCCCTGAAGTGGACGGGAGGTTGGGCTAATAGCTCGACAGGCTTGTGCTGAGATAAATAAAGTTCTTCCACAGCTCAGTAGTCAATCAAAACAATCCGCTTTTTAATAATTCTATTGTGGTTTCCTAATACCTTGTCAAAAATCATCCGCTAACAGCGTGACACGAGCACTTTCAACACCTTCCGAAACGGAACAAAACAACAACGAAAACAATACTAAACACTGTGGAAGAGCCTTTCAGACTACGTAGCAAATTGTAAGCGGGTTGAATGACAATGTGCAAACCATGTCTTGACATACGTCATTTCATATTCAATCGTAATTCTTGATCAATAATAGTTTTACAAAGCTTTGTTTGGGATATGAATTAGACGTATGTTTCTGTTGAATTAGGCGAAATGTCACACGCATTTAAAGCAATTTCTTTAGAGTCGTCCAGCTTGCTTGTCTTATCAAAGGGAATCATTTCCATATTTACAGCAGGCGAACAAAGTTTCATGTGAGGCTTGAAAAAGTCTTTAGCAAAAGTCCTTGAACAATGTTTGCACTTTCTCGGTCTCTGCTCTCCAAAGAACTCCATTATTTCAATAACTCCCATCACAATCGCCAGAGCATTTTTGGCCAACAGCACCGATATATCTAAGTTGTACGCATGCCATAATATCAGCCTTAAAACCAAAAAAGGAACATTAACGAAAAACATAAAAGTGAAAATATAGATAAATTTAAACGAGATCGGAGAAGTTTCTCCACTGTCATGAAACTTGTTGAATTTCAGCTCAAATAAGGCAAAGGTTGGAAGAAAAACATTCATGCAAGAAAAAGCTAGGATAGAATTTTCCAGTGAGATCGAGATTGTTTCTTCCTCGAAAAGGTACTCCAACATTTCCACGCTGTCGAACAGATCAAGCGTTACAGCTGCCGTCATTTTCTCCAGGTAATATTTTCGTCGCGTGTGTGATTTGGCATCGTGATGCGCGTAGATGAGAAACAGAAATAACATTGGTGTCAGGCACAAGTTCATTTTTAATGTGTTTGGTCCAAAGAAAAGTTTCTCATCCGTGAATAAAGACGATTTGAGCTTGAAGAGAGTGGCTAATTGGGGCACTAGGTGTACTGCATAGATAATCCAGGCTTGATAGGCAAATTTAATCGCATCTTTCGTGCCTGTTGTGGTACTCTGAGATTTTCGATGCGATAGCCACAGTGTTAAAATCCAAGAGATTATGACGATAACGTCTGTAACAATCCACGCAAACCACCATGAACTCGCTTCGACGACTGAATAGTAGTCGAGGATTATACCTTGAAGAACCAGCAAGGTGACGGCAAGGATCCTAGCAAGCGCTCGGCGATAAATCCCTGTTTTCCGTGCCATGACTCAAGCGCTCATATGAACACGTTGTTGCGTTTCATGAATAATTAACCAATGAGCAGTGGGGCAGAAAAATGAAAGCAGTCTTTCAACCAGTCTATCACGGATTCCCAATTGGTTCACAGTTGTTCGTCCACATTAGTTCTTTGTTTCATTGTATCGTTTCAAAAAGTATAATCTATTAATCACTAACCGAATTTTTGATTATTTATGCAAAATACCTGTCAGGATTTGTTGACATTTTGTAAGGATTTCTGTATCGTTGTGGAGGAAGACACCAATTTGGTTCAATTAGTTCTGTCACTTAAAATCTCGAGGAATAAAACGCCGTGGACAAATTAAGCTGTGCAGACCCTCTCTATTTGTAAGAAAGTCTAAATTTACGGCAGAGGCTACATGTTCTTATCTTTTTTTTGCGATTTGAACCTGAAAACGTTTTAAAATTTTTTTTTAGAAGTTTTATTAGTACTGACTAAGTTTCGATTACGAACTCGATTGTTCTCCAGTGTATCACGCAATAAGAAAACCGCATTGTTAAATTTACAAAATGTCCCTTGTAGTATTGGAATTAATTGTCCTGTGAGACCACAGTTTTAAATTTCTTTCACCATTGTTTACATTTCTCACATAAAAAATGAGCAAAATAAAGACGTTCTTAACTGACTCTCGGCCTGGGTATCACGGTTCTTCGTATGTTCGTAAAATTTTGGTTAATCAGCCTTAAGTTCTTAAAGAAAACAGTTCTCGTAAAAAAAATGATGGAAAGAAAAAGAAACTTATTCCGTTTAAGACCCATTTTGGTCACTTTTGGGAAAATGTTATTTTCGCGATCCCAACTCAGTCACTTTCTATTTAATATCCCTTTTAAGAAGATCATCCTGTAATACGAACCAATTGATAAATATCCAAACAACAGCACGATACGGTAACATCTTTTAACTGCGAATCTCCTCATTTTTTGTCCTCTTCTTACCAGAATTTTATCTTCCCAGAAATACCGAAAAAGAGCCCTCCTATCTTATGCTAGTGACTCTATTGGAAATTCAACCCTATTATAGTCCATATGATCGTGAAAATGCGAACCCATCCAGCAAGTAACATTTATTTTGTAAGCTAAGTAAGGACACAGCTTTGTATATTATTATGAGATAAAATTTTAAAAAATTTAAAACTTGGATCCAAACCATTCAGTGTATTAAGGTTAACATTACGATATTAAAGAAAATAAATGAACAAATGGCCGAACTAAGTCTCACATCCGTGCAACTTACTTAATGATGCATCACTCGTTAAATTTCTTAAAGAGTGTCGCCTAAACTGGACTCTTCCGGTTCAGCACTCGACTAAGTAACAGCGACGAAAACAACAACACGCACTTTTCCAATCATCTTATTAGGAAAAAATTGAAAAATCTGATATAGACCACCAGGAATATTTTGATATCTTTTAACAGCACATCTTATCAAGACACTAGGACTGTTGGCATATTGCAAAGAAGATCTATGAATCCGTCGAGGATCATTTGATCAGAATTGAAGGTATTGCTGAAACAACAATAAAACTGAAAGGATTGTGCTAGGTATCTCAAAAATTTCAACCCCTTTGTATAGGGTCTTGAATTACCCTACTCATAGAGGATCACTTAAATTATTTCAGTGCTGTATAAGGAAGCTAACCCCAGGTGAACAATATAAAGCAGGCGTGAAATCACGACGGAGAAGCCAGCGTGTGTCACTAAAAGGTCTCAAATGGATTATATGGTCGTAAAATGGCATAAAAATTTAGGCATTGGGCATAAAAATTGACAAATTTTAACCGTTCTTCGTGCAAAAGTTAACTTTTAAAATATTTGGTTAATCACAGCGGAGAGAAATTAGCCGTAATCCGTAAAATTAACAAGATGTTAACCGTTAGCCGTAAAAGCCATCACCCAGTTGAGACCCTCTCACTAGGGCGTAGTTTACTGATGCATTAGTGAGTATTTCCGGCGAGGGCCAGAACGCTTTTAATCATTTAATATTTATGTCTCGGCTTCCTGAGGAATTAAGCTAAAAGTCAAACGGAAGTTTAAGTCGGAGCCTTAATGAACATAGTGAAGGATATGATTACAACGCCAAGTGACTGAGTGAAAATTGAAATGAATATCAAGAGCATGACGGGGGTTGTTCTTTCTTATCATTTTCGTTTTCAGATTTTGAATTAAAGATACTATTTTAAATTATTGATGTACCCCTTAAAATGCAATAATTGATGATCTTGCAATTGTGTGTGGGCGTATTGTTCATGAGAGCAGGCCAACGGAACTGTAAGCAACATAATCTAACAGCTACTTTCCGGAACTGTACACAGCATCCATTTGTGCTATCGAGGTTAAGTGCCAGAATTGTGAAAAAATGCTCCAAAGAGGCTAGCCTTATTTCTGTCGGAGCAAACGCTTTTGCATCTGCTCACGAGACTTGCCGAGAGACTTTCTTGGAGCGGGAACAATTTTTTTTTTCCCTCGGGTTAAACGGCTTGGGAGATCTGCTTCGCTATTCACAAATGCATGAGTTGCTGAAAACTGTAACATTTTCATAACAAAGGGAATTATTCAAAAACATTTGATTGAGTCGTCGTCCAAACAGCAGGATACAGAAAAGATCACTGGAAGGTTAGAGAAATTCACAGTCAAATGCGGGGAGGTTTGTTCGAATTCACTCGCACATAATTAATAAGTAATGATTTTTATGTCTTTGATCAATGCAGATTTTTTTTCCAGCGTTTTTTAGATGTAAGAAGAGAGGTGTACATGCATTTCACTCAGTAATGATTTGACTGGTCTTTAGGTGAGTTTTCCGACTTATACCGCGATTAAAATGAAATGCAAATCAAAATTAATTAACAACCTTTTGTCCTGTTAATTCTAGAGACATTTAGTCTGCTTGAAGGAAAAATTACACTGACACACTGCTAATAAAGGTTTGCATTTCGTAAAATTCACTACATATATTCCTTGGCATTGAAGACAATGCCGTTGTCGAGAATCCAAAGTCCATTTTGAGTCAGTTTTTATTCAGTCAAACTTCTATTTGCTAAAGTATGAAAGTGGTTATAAAATGTAAAAAAATGTAGAAATGATCGAAAGCAGTAATTACCTTTCAAGGTTAAAATTTCAAATTCCGTATAGTTACTGATAAATGAATAAGCACTCTCAAGACTGGGGAAATTAGAGAAGATTTAATAAAGTTTAACAATCATTCTCTGGAAGCGGTACACAGATGATCAAACTTTAACTGGTTTAAAATTTACTTTCGCTAGCGAATCATCCGTAAACCTTCCATTGAAAACATGTTAGGGCTACATCAGCTATGAGAAGAATATAATTAAAAGGCAAGTCAGTGACGTTTACTAATTTCAAATTACTCTTGTTTCTTTTTCGCTGAAATGAAGTTAGTGACTTTGGACCAACATGTTTACAATTCGTTAATTCCATCTTACAGGCATGAGAACGCTGTTGGCGCTTAACGACTCAGATACATTTGTCGGCCGGCAGGATTTAAGTCATATACTGAAGACTATTTCCTTTGACTCATGGCGTGTAGAACAAAGACTTATCGCCAAGCATTTTCTCGAATTTTTGCTGTCATCTTGCTTGTTCTTCAAGGAGCACTCCTCGACTATTATTTGATCGTCAAAGAAGAATCTTCATGGTGGTTTGCTTGGATTGTAGCAGATGCTATAGTTTTATTCACCTGGATGTTAACAATGAAAACATCACAAAGGAACAGCCGAAAACTGCCTCAGTTGCCCTGCGAAGAAAATAAAGATGAAATAAAGTTGGCTTATCTCTCTTGGATAGTCTATTCGCTCCATTTAGTGCCAAAGGTAGCTATTCTGTTTGAGCTCAAAGCCTCGTTACTAGACGAGAAAATGGTCTTTGGACCCAACATGCTGAAAATGAACTTGTGCCTAACACCGATGTTATTTCTGTTTCTGATTTACGCGCATCACGATGCGAAATCACATTCGCGACGAAGATACTACCTGGAGAAGATGACGGCAGCTGTAACTCTTGATCTCTTTGACAGCGTGGAGATGTTGGAGTATCTTTTCGATAAGGAAAAGATCCCAATCGAATTAAGAAATTCCATCCTAGCTTTTTCTTGCATGAATATTTTCCTTCCAACCTTTGCCTTATTTGAGTTGAAGTTCAATAAGTTTCACGAAAGTGGAGAAACGTCTCCGATATCCTTCAAATTCATCTATGTATGCAGTTTTATGTTTTTTGTCAATGTTCCTTTTTTGGTTTTAAGGCTGATATTATGGCATGGGTATCACTTTGATGTATCGGTGTTGTTGGCCAAAAATGCTCTGGCGATTGTAATGGGAGTTATTGAAATTATGGAGTTCTTTGGCGAACAAAGACCGAGAAAGTGCGAGCAATGCTCAAGGACTTTCGCCAAAGCCTTTTTCAAGTCACATCTAAAGATGTGTTACACAGTTAATGGGAATTATTCAAAAAAGACCAAGGTGGATGAAATAGGAAATGACATGGTAAATTTGGAGCTGGACGGTAATTATTCTAAAACTAGTCGCTGTGATCTTGATAAAACAGTACACAATGTTCAAGTCGCTGAGAACTTTTCGCCGATCAAAACATATGTTTGAGGCGTCTGTTAAAATATTATAAAATAGAAACTGTTTGAGAATCCAAGGAGGGACAAGCGAAAAACGAATCCATATAAACATTAAAACGTTGCTGCTCAAATACTGAGTTACGTTAGCTTGTTTTTAAAATGTAAGAGTCTATACCACTTTGTTTAAAGTAAAAGAGAGGTCAAAACTATCCTGCAGAATAAGAATATTCATAATTTACTTAGGGCAATATTGACTTAAGGAAATCTCTTGACATTTTAATATTTTACTTTCAATTTAAGCAACGCATTGTAAATTCGATAAAAATGATGAAGCAGAAATGACGAGAGGAAAGAAAACTTTTTTAAGAAAGAAAAATTTTCAGTATCCTCGAGACATCCGCAGTTTCATTTGCAACTGAATATTAAACAAGGTCAAAAACTTAGCGCCTGAGATTTCATGCTTCGGTCTCGTCTTCTTTCCTTACAATTAAGAGACAATTGAAGGCAATTTTTCCTTGGAGTCTAAGAAATCAAAATTGAAAGTATACACTCTCCAGTTTCCATGATTTAAATATGAAAGAAGGTTGAGCTGGATTTATTATCAAGGTTGCGAAAATTAACAATGTTTTTTATCAAACCAAACTATGAAGACTGGCTACGAAGAGTCAATTCACGTCAATTCAAACGCTGTGGAGTCGCTTTAGAGTGACCAAATGCTGAGGAAATAGTTTATAGAGGATGAACACGTTGTCTTTCTATAGGCAAATTTTCGATTGCAGGCTGAACAAAATTTAAATTCGGGTGATAACATCACTGCGTTGAAACATCTGCTGACTAGTTTTGCTTGTCAATTAATTGGCTTGCTCAAGATAGCTGGACGTCATTTCTGAAATGTGTTCATTTCATTAACTTAAATTTTTAGGTAATTTAAGGTGGCTCTGAACGGTACTACAAATATTTTTTTTGAAAAGAACTTGGTAGAAACGGATTATTGATCTGCTGATTGCAATTCAATAGCAAAAAAATTGAGCTCACAGTGCTCGTTTTCGAGTTACAGGAATATACAAGAATGTACAGGTCAAGGGTGTTTCAAAAGAGTGGCGTTGATATAGTTACTTTAAATGCAATGGAAACAATTACAACATATTAAAGAATACCTGGACATCCTTATGATACCATTTTCAAAAGAACACGTGAAAGAGTAAAGTACAAATCATCGAATGATTGGTGTTTTAACCCTTTAATCCCTGAGAGAGACCAGCATCTAATTTCTCCTTACAATATCACCCCTAAATCATTCATAAATGTCATGAGAAAAAAGGAAATGATCACCAACTAGAGAAAATCTTGATTGTTAGACAAATTCTCCTGGTCAGCACCTTAGTAAATGTACAGAGAACAGTATGGAGAATATGAATGCTGATGATAGAGTGTAAAGGGTTAAAAAGAAAACAAACTATTTTGAGCCTCTTTAATTTGTCTTGTTGGAGATGCTGCTACCTGATGGTTAGTGCGCTGGACTCCGGGGTGGAGACCTAGACGGGACATGTGTGGTGTTCTTGGGAAAAACACTTTACTCTCCCCATGCCTCTCTCCACCCAAGAGCATCAAGGGGTACCGCCAAGTTGTCAGAGAAACCTGATGAAATGCGGGGGGTTTACCTTGCGATATACTGGAATCTCATCCAGGTGGGGGAGCAGTGATACTCCTTTGTCGTACCATACTATGGAAACTGGTATAAGCTCCGGCTTAGTGGGCTACTGGGCTCGAGTACAGACTTATGAGATTTTTATTGTAACGGCTAAAGTGTCAGAGATGAGGTAAGTTCATCAGGGGGAAGAACCTGACCGCATTTACAACGTCTTGTCAATGAAAATACTGCAGCTGGAGCATAAACCCGTCTTAACCGGGTCACATGTACAACTAACATGGTACACTGCAGTGCAACTACCTTTACCAGTGTTTTGCATTTTGGCCCAACGAGTTGTAATGCGATGAAGAAGCCTATTTTAGAAGGGCAGCTTGTAAGAGAGAAAAGCTAAAAGTCGATATCTAAGCATGCAGTTTTTAATTTGTTTCTTTTGCAACATCGTTACTTTAAAAAAATCCTTAGCCATCTTAATCATGCACTGAAAAATACGTTATACAATAACGTAGTCACCAAAACCTCTGCTTCCAACTAAACGCTCCCCTACAGAAATCACGATTTTTTACAAAGTACTAGCAGCTCAATAATAACGCGATCGTGTTTTCTTTTCTCTCCTTGGGTGAAGGAGAGCAAGAGAATGACTGTGCAAGAATTAGCAATCTAGAAAACTGAGAGACGACTTGTGCAAGAATTGTATTTGACGATTTGTTAGGAAAATAGTCAAGAAATAAAATACAACTCACAAATCTCTCTGAGCAAACAGCAAAGTTGAGTAGTTTTTTCACCGAAGGGTGACCTGGGTCAAGGAGTGACATAAGACCGAGTCTCTAAAAAGCGTTGACAACGATTACATTACACATGTGCTGGTACCTTTGACATCACTCACTCACTGGCCAATAACCTTTGCAGAAGATCTTCGATTGACACCCTGAATAAACCATCCCTTTTTGACGCATGATTTCGCATGATAGAAGTCTTAAATGGAAAACGGATGAAACCTGTCGAATATTCGCAAATTATCACGGCATCCACCTTCAAAACTATACAGTGGTATAACTTAAAAGAGTTTGCGGGGTAACTGATTGCAATGACGACATCGTTTGTGTTTGTCATAGTTAAGACATCCAAATAGTTTATCAAAGGAGTGGTTTCGAATTAGTATAAAGCAAGTTCCCATGAACGAGAGACTACTCAAAAGCGTTTTCTTTTGAGTTTTATGCTGGCTTGAAATAGTAAGAAAAGACGCGCGGAACTGAGGCTGAGACTTTTTTTGCCCCAATTACCTTGGCTGCTGCTATGTGAAGGCAAAGTCGTATGTTATTTCATTTTACGTAGGTAAAATGAACGATATTTCATATGTAACACTTGGAATAGTGTGGTGTTTGAATTGGACTGTTTCTTCGTCGTTGTGAGTGCGACATAATGGATGTTTCTCTTTTGTTATGAAAGATACATGAAAATATAGTTTTTAAGTCGATTTTTTTTTATTTTTAGCATGCAATCATAAATCGAACTAGTACAACTATCCACCTTTTACAAATATTCCTCCAAAGCCCCCACGCATTTTCATCATTAGTAGTGATCACAAATAGTTCTCAAACTATTATCGTTCACTAATCAAATTCTGGTAGCTTGCATCATGAAATCATCTGACTTGATTGCAGTACGTGGAAGGAAATCGTTCAACTCGAGAGATCAAAAAGTTCTAGAGGCTGACAACTTCCAACTGTGCGGTTTTCATACTCTACATGCGGTTTTATTCGTAAGTTATATTCTCTTTCATTTTAATACTATCAAAATGAACTTGGTTTTTATTGGAGATGAAAAGTGACTATGATATAATTTCATTTCCATGGTCCTTATACATTTCAATCAAGACCTTAGGATATATCACCGCATTTCGTTTTTGAGTGAATTGCAAAGTTTCTGTCAGCATTTTCGTTTAGAATAATTCAGCGTGCTTTGTGATTCATCTAAGCTTTAGTATTTGGATTTCACATTCTGTTTCCCTCGTTATAGTTTCACATATTTTTCGTGTAAGCCATGGTAGACCTCAAGGGAACAACAACCTGAATCCAGACATTAGACCGATTAAGCATCGTATGCCATATTTGGCTTTCGTCTTCGTTTGAATCATCCCATTCGTTAGAGCTGGTGCCCAGGCCTAACCGCACGCCGCCGAGGAATTCGTCGCTGGAAGCGAGATCGAAGTCGTAGATAGTGATTTCCAACACTCTCCCCTTCAAATCGTCGGGAGACAGCTCGTCGTAAGAAAACTTGTGATCAAAGGTGGGGTTCAGGGTCCGTTTTATCACTGGCGTCTTGTGCTTAGTTTTACCTTTCTTGTCTGGTAATAAAAGACTGTGGCGAAAAGAAAATTGCAAGCGAATATCATGACAATTCAAGAGTTAAAAAAAGTTGAATTTTTATGAGTACAATTCCCCGTTATTACCAGAATTTATGCTATAGCATGAACTCCTGGACGGACATGACATTAGTCCATTCCAGAACTCCTCTGGCTCAGAAAAAGGTTATCAACAAGTTTCCCTGCCAATTTGTTGCATCCATTTGTAACCCTGGATGGACAGCGGTACTTCGAGAGAAAAATGTGTTTCCCAAGAACGCAATAAAATGACTAAGTCGGGGCTCGAACCCAGACCACTCATCTGAAGTTCATTATTTTTTCTCTCAGTTAGTAAGTGCGCTGTGATTGACCAATAAGCGAGCCGTATGTTACTGTACGGCCCGCTATATTCGAAAATTTGCTTCAATCGAAATCTTTCTTCGCATTACGTGGAAGTAAGGTGCTGAAGAGGGGAAGCAAGAAGCAGTGCAGTGCCCTGGGTACAACGTACTTAAATATCAAGAGAAAGTGGAGTCACTATAGTCGTTATATTTGATGCAGATTTTAAGTCTTATAACCGACAGGAGAAGGCATGCGCATACTTCCTGTGAGAGACAATACATTCGAATTCAGAACAAATTCTTTCTTTTGTCCTGTTACCATTTACAGTAGGGGTCAGACATCCCATTAGCATCCATTCCTGGTAGATTCCTGGCCTCCAACAGATGTACATGTAATTCACCCTTAGTTCTTCCTTTCTTTTTTACTTTATCAGCCGTAACGTACTTCAAAGACAAAACTAATTCGCATGGAATTGAAGGCAGACCATCCATCTCATCGGTCTATTAAAGAAAAAAGAAACGCCCATCTTTTCAAGCGGTTGTACGGCTTATCATCGTTTAATCTTTCCTCAGTCTTCATCTCTGCGAGATATCTCCCCACACCACATACATGCAAGTCTCGTAATCGATCGTGACTATTCGCATAGTTAAGCTTCCCTTACTCCTGGACGTAATGTAGTCACTTACAGTCTTTGCGCGTTCGTTTTCTGATAGTTGCTTGCCGTTGTTAGGGCATTTTTCGAAGCGCTTCGCTCGAAGGATGGAAAATTTATCAAATAATTTTCATTAGTATTTACCACACAAGTGAATAAAGCTATTCACGCGCGCTGATTGGCTAGTTCAGAAGTGAACAGAGCACTATTCACCTCAGAGCAGCTGAGACAAAATCGCGCATCAAGAGTTTAATTCCGAACATTTTTCGGTATTGAAAGAAATAAACTATTTTTTTTTGCATCAGTGTGGTATATATTAAATGTATTAAATGAATTATTCACCTCAGTGACGATGAAAGTGGTGGATATTTACCTCCATTCAGGTGAATAATTGTCAAAGCATCGAGACAACGAGAATTATTAGCAACGGTCAGTAACTATATCATTACTCATATTGGCACGTGCAGTTCACGACTGAGAGAGACAGCAGGCTCAAATTGATGTTGCAAGGAATGGAGAGGTTCTCTTTTGACTGTACTTGAGAAATAAACTCTTACCTTCTCGGTCAGATTAAACCATTTAGCTACTGGTTGTTCGAGGGAATTTCCCGCTTCAACAAAATTGTTCATTGGAATCTTAATTTCACCCAGGAAACAGTTTCGTCCAATCATTTTATGCCACACACTCAGATGTAATGTTCGTGTCAGTAGCTCGTCATATCCCATGAAATACTGCAGAGAAAAATAAAAAGCTTGAGCATAGAAATTAGATAAAATTAGATTTAATTTAGTTGGATGTTTTGGAAACGAGCCAGTGAAAAGGAATGGAATTAATAAATTTGAGGGTCACCCCGGTAAACTCCACTGGAAAAGAAGACAAAACGTAAGTTTTCTTTTGCGACTTCGCTTTTTTTTCTTTTTTTTTCAAGTTTGTTTCTTCACAGAGAGTTCGAATTCGTGTGTCACACCCAGTTTTTTTCTGGCATGCACGCTGCCCATTGCGATGCCGATGAATGTATCTTTGGTGACATGGGTTCTGACCCAAATAATGACTATGTATTAATAATTGTGACGATAATGACTAATGTTGATAATGATTAATAAGAGGATAAAATTTTAGAATCCTAAAATTGTTGCCAATAACATAATAAGGAAAAGCCTGGGAATACTCAAGTGTTGTGCTCAATCAATTTACCTCTAAAATTTCATCAAAGTGTGGATTTAAGGTATCTTTTTTCGTTTTTGTCTTGCGTTTGCTCCGTCTGTCCGGAAGGAGGTATGTCTTCACATAACTGAAAATAGAGACTTCTTTAGAAATGTCGGGTCAGAAGTAAGAACACATGCAATTTTGATTTTAAGGGTGAGAGATCTGTGACTAATAGCACTAATGATAACTTCATAATAGTTACTTGTCAAAAAGGAATCTCGTTCAAGTGGTAGGCCTTATTCATCCCCGCATCTCTTTAAAAGTGAAATTTTAACTTGCTGTGCATGATCAGAACCTTCAGTGGAAACTCAAGAGAGTTCGTTGTCCCAAGTCTGGTTTCTTTTTATCGAAAATACATTTTTATAACCTATAGCATACTGCTGATGTTTAAGACTTCTTTCAAAACGAGGAGCCATACTCACGGATCAGAGGAAGATCTTTTTGCATCAGCAGAAGACAGATTGTTAGCGCTGAGGACATGTACTTCAAACCTTTTGGACGGCATCTCATATCGCAGGCTCACAAACACTTCCCCAGTCACGGGCACACTGCTATAATTTTCTTCACCAGGCTCACTCAATAAGCTTTCTGAACTTCCCTGAGCGAACGTTAGACAAGGTGAAAATATTATTATTCTGCGGCAGAGATGTTTGATTTAGAAAATGCACATCATAAAAACAAGCGGTATTTGTTCGGTCCCATGTGCTTCCTCCATCAAGGGGTCAGGCCTGGCATATAGCCTGGATGTGTACGTGCTTGATATTTGAGGTGTTTCGAGTTTTATGTTCTAAATGGCATGATGAATGAAAAAAAACTTTAAGCGAAAGACCAAACGAGAGTGAAGTTTCAGTGAAAGATTAAAAGTTTGTCAAAAAGTTTCTATTTCGATTTGATAAATCTGTCAAAAAATTCAAAGTTACCTTAGATGGATCTGCTTTGATGACCTGCAACGATCCAGGCTGATATACAGGCGTTTCTGTCTCAATGTTGGGCTGTGAAAATTTTTTTATGATAGTCAATACGGGAAACAAGATCAGGTTGTCGAGGAATGAGATGGGAAGAACATCCCATTCGGGCTCATTAGCCATTGATAATTTAATAAGGCATCAAAATCATCGTAACAATGCTTAATTCACATCGTTCTTACTGTGTAACCAGCCTCTAAAGCTAATTCTGCTAAAGTCTTCCTTCTTTCGTCCTTCTTTTTCCCCTTCTTTGCCTCATCAAGACGTTTCCTTTCGAGACTTGGTGACCATTGGGGTCCCCGACCAGCTCTGATAACGTCTGGATGAGAACCTTTCCTTGCGGTAGTTTGTCCTTAAAAAGAAAAACAACAACTAAGCCGATGGTTTTTGACTTTTCCTGTAATTAAGGAACTGCATCATGGAATGATTGGCACATCTCAGAAATTTACCTATGGCCTTCCAATTTGGTCATTTTTTATTCTTATCAATCTTGCTCGTTTCAAAGTATTACTGCTTCCTATGGGTTAAAAACTTCAATTGTTATGTTTATCCTCTCGATTCTTAAGGAAACACTTGATTTAGCTTTTTGAGCTTCCTCTGGTGACTGAAAGATAAGCATCACCTTCATCGCAATATTTCCCGAAAGATCCCTTGTAATAAGTCTTAAAGTTAAGCGCGAGAGAGTACAGAAATATAGCCCAATCAATCAATCAATTAACGACTTTATTTAAGAGTCTAATACCCCATTCACACCAGCAAAACATGTTTTGTTAAACTGGTTTTTATTGAATGAAAATTATAAACAGAGAACTGAAAAACTTGATTTTCCATAGGATTCAAGTACTTGCTAACTTGCATTTCCAATGTGCTACATTCAAGTCAAAAAATATTTGGTTAAATAGTTTCTATGAAGAAAAAAAAAATTAAACTGTGTTTAACAAAACAACTTTTAAACATGTTTAAGCTTTGGTGTGAATGGGGCATAAGTCTTCTAGCTAGCCACAAGAAGCTTACTAATCGGGCACACTATAACAAAATGGTTCAAACAAACTGAAACAAAGGGTGGATCTATTTAGTACAAAATAGTAATAATAATTGAAGAACTGAGCCGATAACAAAGGGACGTATGGATATGGGTTGCTATATTTTTCCTAAGTGTCGGGCTCCATTTGCATTCTCTGCAGGCAGGAGCTCCGCTATATATATAATTAAGTAATACCTGCTCCAACTGAACCGCGCTTCTTCAAGTCTTGTGTAGCCAGCTCATCATTAACGGGCCGAGGAGCCGAAACGGCAAAATCACTATGTCGCCTCTTGGTCAGAGCTGCCTCTGGTAATAACGAATTATTATCGAGTAGCCTATTTTTAATGTTATGTTCCGTGTGTCTCCTAGGCGACTGGGGAGGTTTCCCTGGTGGAGCATCCTCAGCATCTTCTGTTGCAACCGAGAACAGTGTCTGGGGCTTATCCACTTTAATTTCGGGTGCGCTGGCTTCCATGAATTGCATGGCGAATGCACTTATGGATTCAAGAACAGGCTTCACTTTATGACCCTGATCATGTTCATCTTCCTTTGTCTCTTCCTTTGTTGAAATGACGTCATTTCCATTCACGTGATCAACAGAAATCCCGGAGTCGTCTGCTACTTTCTCCAGCTCTTTCGTGTCAGGTGCTTTTTCGCTCTCCATTGGTTCCACCGTGGTTTCTAATGTAGAAGAAGCTGAGTCAGCTGAGGTATCTTTCGGTTCCAAGTGTTTTTCGTCTTCTTCAAAAGCAAGATTTTCTTGTGACTGCACCAAAGGCTCTTGTTCCGCGGGAGTCTGGGTCTTATTGTCGGTCTGGTCAGTCTCTGGATTCGCCTCTGACTTTGTTTTACTTTTATCGTTGTCAAATAATTTCGGGAAGCTCCTTTGAATTAAAACACGTAGAAAAAAAAAAGCTGCAGTTGAAACCACCGTAATGCACTCTTTCCGTAGCCGAGTTTTGATCTCTATTTAATTCTAATCTTCATTTATAAAAAGTAAAGGGAGCAGAATTAAGAGCCAAGGACATTTTTACCAAAGCATAGATAACTTGGAGTCGATCTGTGCGCATCCCTCTTAAATTTTACAAGTTTTAATCGAATTATCCTGCGGTTCTTTCCGTTTTCCTCTTCCAGTTATGGTGGTCGGGTTTCAACTTGCATTGCCATGCTAATCTTCCATGAAAACAAATTTTGCGTGCCACTTGAAAATGGCGGCTTAACTCGAGAAACTCCTCAAACTTTTGCTAGAGAATGAATACGACTAGAGAAAAAGGTTTCATCGTGGAGATTTGATATTTAATTTAGTATCCAAGCTACATTTTTCAAAAATTTGCTCTTAAAAACTCTTTAAAGGATCCTATCAATGATTGAAAACATGTTGGAATATTCCTGAACGACTGAAAGACACTCAAGCATTTGCAATCACTTAAGTCAAATAAGTTCATCTCATTTATAAGCCAAGTTCATCAGATCATCAATAAATTGGGCAAGTTAAGATATTTGTTTGTTACACTGAAAAAAAAAAAGCCGAACAAACGAAGAAACAAACAAACAAAACAACAAAAAACAGTGTAGCAAACATGAATATATTAGAACATTCCTTATCTGCGCTTTTTTGGGACATCAATTGGAAGATGACAATATTTCAAAAGTACGTCCTTTGCCTTATCTAGCGCGATCGTCGGTTTCGTCATAAATTGATATTTTCGTGATCACCCATCGATTTCGCATACCTATGGACAGCGAACTGTTCCACAAAACGAGAGGATCGTTAGAAAACGAGAAAATCAAACCAAAAAGTTTTGCGCATGTCCTATTTGATAAGTTATTGACTATTTAACGTTTACAGAAAACAACTTAAAAACTATTAAATTCTACTTTAAAAAATTAGTTCCACAAACGTATTATATTCCTCTTTAGGCCATAGCCTGTTATTCTTTAATTTCTACATTTGATACTTAATTTTTTTTTAAAGAATATTTAAGTACCGATCTCGTGATCGATGCAGGTTTAGGCTTTTTTCTCGGTTTACTTATAATTTGGCGACACTCTTGTTTTGTGATCACATTTAATGTTTTGGACGGAGAACTGTAGTTAGATTGCCCAATGAATGGCTCCCAATTGAATAGAACCGAAAAAAGCTAACCATTTCAAGGCAATTTTTTCTGAATCAGATGTTTCAAACGCACACAATTTAATTCTCAGAATGGAAAATGTACACCAAGTATCGTTAAAGCAAGTTCAATTGCTGAAAAAATTTATTTCGCAATCAAGGCTTTACACATTTTCTCGGAAGAGTTTGAGAACGCCTAGCAAATATTTAATCAGGTTTTTACAAGGAATAAATTGGAATTACCTACGAGTTGTTGCTGTCGTTTCACAATGAATTGGTAAAATATCTTAACTGTAACTCTGTTGAAATGTTTATCATACGGCGCCCAGTTGTTCAATGGGAGTATCACGCTATCCAATGGATAAATCACAATCCAGCGGGCGAGTGCAATCTAAACAATGTGCTATTGACTGGATAGAGACTTATCCAGTGGATAACGTTATCCAACTTTCGGTCAACCTGGGCCAGAATGTTAGGATCCAAACATTTTGTCTAGGCTTTGGTGAGCCATGAATTTCAATCGTTTTTCGCTTGTTTCCAGAAACTGTTTCAAAACGAATTATGAAAACTAATTACCTTTTACTTCAGTAAAAAAAAATGTATTATCACCGCAATTTAATAGGTCTACTAATTTCCTCCAAGTAGAGTGTTGAAACGCTTTTACTGTATTTTATTGAGCTAGCCGTTAAAACCATCTTATTATGGCAATTGGCGGTTTGCAATTACACTTAAACATCTCGTTAAAGCTAAAGTTTTTCAAAATAGATTTTCACCGTTGAAGAAGGCTTGAGACTTCCTATGGGCATTTAACTTGTTGACGGCCTCAAATCGCACGCAAGATAATATATTCTAAATCTACATATAGACACTGGAGCTTTCGTAATTGGTTTTGATTCGAATCAGATAGTCGGAAAAAGAAGGCATTTTTATTTAGTGTGTAATACAAGGGTAGGAATTCTAAAATAACGTAAGAAAAATGTTTCTGGTCCTTTCTCATTGTGAATATTTGATTACCAGTATCAGATGCGACATCAAAATTACAGTAACAAGTAGTATTTCGTGAATCTCCACTCCTGTGGTTTGTTGGCGTTTGTTATGAAACTCTTTTTGGCGAATTATGATGACGAATGCTGCACCGACGATATGAAAGCATTCATCTTTTACGGTTCAAAAGTTTAATTACGGTGATAGTTTCTTCTAAGCAGATGTATGAAGTCAGAACGGAAACTTTAACTCTCTCACGCCTGAAGAAATTGAAATGAAGTGTTCACGCCGGGAATTAAACTCGCGCTAAAATGTCGATTGGACGAAAAAACGACTGGGAAACTAGCTCCAGAAAACTGCGAATTCAGAAAACACAAGTTTTTGTCGTCGGAGGCTCATTCGGAAAATTTTAGAAAAGAAACGCTCCGCACAGGAAGGGATATTGATGTCGAACGAATGCGCGTCTACAATTACAAAATGCAACTCACGGTAGCAGGCGAGTGAAGTGGTCCATATTGAAGTATATTTCCGGCCACCAGCTTCAAACAGGCTTCCACATTCAACTGGTGAAACAGATTTGATCAAAACTGCCAAACAAACTGTGCAAAACGGGAGTAAGAGAAGGAAAATGAGCTGCTCAATGAATAGCAAACGAGTCAGCGTAATTCTCGCATATAGCGACCGGCCGTCTCATGAATAAACAAGTATGCACGGAACAAAAAAAAACAAACGTCAAAATTTGAATGTCTCACCGTACCAATCAAATTTGAATATGCCTGCAATTTCTGACGAGGACTTGCGTTGTCTAGAAACCAATTATTTTGCACGCTTCCTCGAAACTTGGCAGGGATCAGTAGGTCTCAAGAGGATATCAGCTTGAAAAAAGTGAAAATCGATCGTTTGTGAGTGTCAATGTGAAAAATAAAAATAAAATGAGATCCTCTTTAAAATGGTTGATTTAAATCAATTTTAGAAGCTCCAACGCGAAAACAGTGATAGATATTGGTGTTCTATAACATTTAAATAACCGTCAACAGTTCGAAGCTTTTCAACGCTAGAAGAATTTTCGTATGGGTCTCTGTTAATCGTGTGTATAGTCAAATTATAATTGACTTCATGACTGAGCTCTTGGCAATGGCTGTTCATCATAAACTTTGTATTTTGCCGGATCTTTCACCTCATTAATAAACCACTTTTAATTGTTATGTTAATTATTTAAGGACGGATGAATACATTATGCCGGTAAGTTGTTAAAAAAATTAAACTTGAAAACCGAGCCAACGTTTAGTAGGAGATAAATCGCAATTCGAGATCACGACCATACGAGCAAGTAACTTCGAAGGTATCACAGGGATTAAGGGCCTATAGAACTCATGAAACTCCACAAGGATAGGAGTTTTAGTCATTTAGAAAAAAGGCGTAAGTCGTATTAATAATTGGAAATACGAGGGAATATTCAACACGAAGTTGTTCACGACAGACATGAAATTATTGACACCAAAATTAATTAATTTCTTTCTTGGCCGTAAAGAAACTGATGTTGGACTAACTGGTGTTGAGCCGTGACTTTTGAAAAAACATCACCAACTTTAAACCATACGTATATTGTTTAGAGCGCAATGCCGCTATCAGACCAACATTTTTGATAACAGAACTTTACCTTCTGTTCAGAAAAGTGAGCGACCACATAATTAATATCTATTTTGACTATTCATGAGGTTTAAATGACCTTAGTATTATCTCATATGATTGCTAATTGAACCAGCAGCATATCAGGGTCTAGTGCGAAATGGAACTTGACAAGGAAATTTCGAGAAGACAAAAGCTCGACCATTTCTTGAGTAATTAACAAGGAAAAAAATCCTGTCATGTTATAATAAAGTTTGATTAGAAAATTCTTTCTTTTTAGCAGTAAATTGAAGGAACTTCTGTTTACCCTTCTAGAGGTAACGTCTTGCCAGTGGAAAAGTACGTGTCAACAAAACACCTATGTTAAATCGTGTCTCCGCAAAGGTGTGTTTATAGAAAGGTGTCCATCATCATAAATGAAGGTTGACAATTTTTTTTGTCTTTAAAAGATGTACTTTCTTCTCTATGTTTTTTATCTTGACGAGGAGTCATGATCAAAACACAAAATTTGACCCTTAAGCCGGTAAAGAAGGGGAAACGAAATGCAGAAAGAGAATAACTGTCTCAACGAAGCCAAACAAACAGTTAAATAGCCCGCTGGCGTCGTTCGTCTATGACGCTTTTAAACTATTGACTCAATAACGAAAATGTCTACTACTGAACTCTTTAAAAGCTTCTTCTGAGATCATTATGTATGCAGGTTTTTTTTTATCGCTGTCAGCCCTGATGGATCTTTCTTACCGGTTTAATGAGAAGTGAAGACCCTGGATACGAGATGCTCTGCGGTGGCCTAAGCTCTGATATATAAAGCATTCAAAGTATTCTGAACACGCATAGGACACCGCTACCGATGGATTTTGCACAAAAACCCTTTGACAAAGCTTCAATACCCCCTTGACAGAGCTGGTTTATCGTAAAAAGCAATACATCTCTTTCGACAATTTGCCCCTGATGTTGCCAATCATATCAAGTACCTGAGTAAGAAGGGAGGAATTGGGTCGATTGGGTTAAAACAAGAGGAAATAATTTTCTCTTGATGAAAAGTAATGCTCTTTTCGGAAACTTTACCCTTTAACCCTCAAAAGCTGATTTTCAGATATCTCGAGATTATTCCATTCCATTTTTTGGTAAACTCCTCGAAAGAACCCGATATTGATTTCGAACCATTTCGTGTCTAATGGAATTATCCTTAAAAAAAAATTTGTTGCAGATGATATCTGAGATCCACCAACACATCGTTGGACTGAGTACTATCGCTCATTCAGCGGGGGTTTTATTTCTTCAGATACATTTACCATGAAACAAGCAATAGTCGAGGACCGCTTACATTTACTGTAAATATTTTTTGTCGGATAAGAAGTGAAAAATTTTGGAAAACGAGGCGTAAACCATTTGAAGTGGTCAAATCGAAACTCAACAGTCACGCATATAGTGCTCACCGAATTTTAAAAGTTTAGGGACAACTGTATTTACGTATCATAGAGTTATCATCATCAGCATTAAGACTGTTATTATGATTATCGTTATTACTAGTATCATCATATCATCATTATTACATTTCTATTATCACCTTCAGCATTTCCGTATTTTTGCCATGAAGGTCTCTGATTTGCACCATTGAAAAGACATTTTTTCTTTACTTTAAGGTTTTTGTTTGAAAATATTATATAGTATTACTTTGCTAAATTGATTACCCTGCTAATTATAATTACCAATTCCTCAAATATTATTGGTGCATCCCTTATCATTCGGTACAGTTGTTATGGGACAATGTAATCGGACAGTTGGCTGTAATCGGACACCTGTAATCGGACAGTTGAAGCCACCAATCATACTAAGTCCACTTAGTTAACCCACCAATAACAGAAATGATCACAATAACCATTGCAACAACCACCTATCTAAAGAAAAACTGGGGAATTTTAAACAAAAGACATTGTCTCCACTGGAGATATTTTAAACAAGACATTGTCTCCACTGGAGATATTTTAAACAAAAGACATTGTTTCCACTGGAGATATTTGTTTTAGGTTGTTTTTTCGGAAATTGAAATGGTTATGATTAATTAATAACAGGACTTCTTGTCGTCCAATTCTGTCTGTAATCACACTCGTGATCCCGCTTCGCGCTCGTACGATTTTGTCAATCACTTGTATAAATACAGACCGAATTGGACTCCACTCGGTCCTATTACCACTATAAATAACATACCAGTGAGACGACATACTCTCTCTACAGTTTGGTACAAGAAAGTAGTTATATGTTATGGGAATATTGCAGGGTTCAAGATGTCGAATTATTGAATTTTATTCAAGTCTTTATAGCGTAAATGAACACTGTATTTCATATTTTAGTTTTAGTTTTTTCGTTTGTTAATGTTATGAAGGTACATGAAATAATGTAGAAGTACTCTCCTTAAATTTGGTAAAGAGAAATATTGTCATTGGGTTATATGGATGAATTACTGTATTCCATACATGTCATTTATAACGTAAATAAACGCTATTTTTCGTGTTTTAAGGGGATTTATAAAGGGGCATGTTTATAGCTTTAAATTTGCTGCAATTTAAGCAGAAGTTCTTCTTTCCCCCCCTAGAATTAACGCTGCATTGGTAAGCTGTTGACATTCATGGTCAACTTAAATGGTCAATATCATTTTTATAAGTTACATGAACGACATTGGTTGGGAATTTGTGGGAAACTAACACACGTGGGATAAGTCACAGCCAGTTAATATTATCATTTAAGTACTGGCGATTGTTCAGTAAAAACCAATATCTTGTCCAATTCATATCTGGAAATATGTTTATTAAGTTAACAATGCATTCAAGATTAACTACGAACCTGGATTTATTTTGAAACCTACTTCATTTCAGGATAGATAGCTGTTAAATTGACGATGGCTCTGAGGATCAAATATCATTATTACTAACAGGTGCGACCTAACCAATACCTGATTTTAAATCTAACACAAAGTTTTAAGCTTATATTGCTATAGCATTGAATTAGTAATCGAGGGTTTTTCTCTTTGAAAATGTTGATTTTAGATGGGATCTTGGACTGTTACATTGACCATTAACGCTAGCTGTTTAAAGGTTTACAGAAACTATTGATCAGACTTCACTCACTGTGTTAATTAGGAAGGAGCAAACGTGAGCGCTGAAAAGAAATAATTAAATAAGTAGGTTGCTCACAGCCTTACAAGATGGAGATAAAATACTTCTAGGTTTTAAGGAACATCATCGAATTAGTAACAAGTTCTGCAATTGACACTTGATGAAATAAATCCGGATCAATATCAGTATCTGGGCAACTACCTACCTACCCCTCCCCCAACCCAACATTAACCTTAAGTTGTTGTCAATTGACTGTTGTTGAGTTAGGGGAGGGGTAGGTGGGCAGTTGCCCAGATACTGATGTTGATCCATAAAGGATCACCTTAAGAAAAGCAAAGGACCTTTCTTATGGTGGAATACCCTTATGGGCAATCTTGTTTCAGAGTAGAAGAGAAGCCTTTACTATTTTGATTTCGGCTTTCAAGAAGAACATAACATTTCCTCTGCACAGCCATACGAGCTGAGAAATTGTTCTGGCTACCATGATGAAAAGAACTGAGAAAACAGGAAAGAAGACACAACTATCAAATAAGATTACATGGATTTTAATACCAAAAATATAGAATGAAGTTAGTTCGAAATAGCACCGAGTCAAAACAGCAAGCTCTAGAAGATAAGTTATGCGAGCAACAACTTGGTCATGAACTTGTCACAACGCGAGTTGAACAATCTCAGGTTGATACGCGAAACATTTTTCGCGCATCAACGCCCGTTTTCGTGGAGTAACTCCCAAAAAAAAACGAGAAGGCTTGACTTGTGTACGAGTTCGTAACAGGAGGGATTGTGATACGCTGACAGAACTGAAGTTGTTCGCATAACGTACCTCTAACGTGTTCTCGATAGAAAACATTCATAACTGACCTCGAACGAAAAATGTTAAGTTGACGTTGAAAAAGGCTGCTTTACATGAAAAAAATGTGCCACGAGATACGTCAAAAAAATTCAGAGCACACTTACATTGAAACCCGTTCGTTCGACGAAAACTCGCTAAAAATATATACAACAGCAACAACGTCTTTAAATGTAAGTCCAACAATGTTTTACAAAAATATATTCCATTTGCGGCAAAACTTTTATGAAAATACCAACCTGCCAAAATTTAAGGCCTTTTCAAAATGTTAAATAATATTCCGTTACATTACGTGCCAGAAATATTACGAATTCAATAATATTGGCCACGCCATTCGTTTCCATGGCCGAAGTTTTGTGTTTAAATTTCCATCGATGCGCTAGAAGAAACCCTGTTTCACATCATGAAATACTTTACGTTCGCGAGAACAGTGTGTGCAGGAATTTTTTGGTTTCTTTTGTATTCTTTGGTCCATATATATGTTTTGGAAGTATTACTTCATTTTAACTTTAATTCCGAGTATCGAGCGCATGCGTGCTTAATCTACTTGACTATCCATGCTTGATCGCAGGTTCAGGGTGTATTCGTGCCAATTATTGGGTCGTTCGAGCATCATCTGCCACGCCTCTCGTTCCATTCCTTGCGAGTCGTCCCACGACTCTATTTTACTCCCAAGGCCCAATCTCAAACCTCCGAGAAAATCATTACTGGAACCTCGGTCGTAGTCCCACACGGTCAGCTCTAGGACACGGTTCCTCAGCTCGTCAATCGTCAAGTTTTCATAACAGAAGGCGTGGTTCCACACAGGGTTGAGGTTCTTTTTGACCACCTGAGTTTTGTGTTTGGTCTTTTTGCTTTGGTCTGGTAAGAGGTAACTGATGGCAATGTGCAAGTTAAGCTTACGTGAAGCAACTTAAACATTGATGACAATCCGTCACCCACAAAAAAGTATAACATTCCAAACCACGTATTGTCAGTAAGTCTTCGTTACGGAAACCTATTCTTTACGATGTCACAGATTAATAAGTTATTGCGTTGCGTCGGGCGGCGAGAAATAAACTTAACTGAAACTGGTGAAAGTAGATAAGGGGTGTAGCAAGAGATTAAGGATGGAGAGGTGTGGCGGTAGAGTTGCACACTAGACTAATTGCTGTCCTTCTTGGCAAACTTAGTCAATCGCGCAGAAAAATTTAATTTACTTGTCATTTACTTACGCCTCACGCGACGGACTAAGCCAACAAAGAAGGACTGCCCTCATTCTAGTAGCACACGAGTTCCTTTTGGCATAGCATCAGTGAAGAGGGTATGTTAAGTACATGATTATCATGACCTCATGAATATAGTTGACACTCAAGTAAATGCTAAAAGTACCATCATAAACAATGCTACGGAGTTAAGAATGTTACAAAAAGTCAATACAACAAAAGAAGCTCCTGTAGGTTTGATACGGGGTTTGATACTGATTTTTCGTTAAAGTAGGAATTTGGCTTTTTGCAACCACAAGCAGCTAAATCCTTAAAAATATGAATAGTGATAATAAAAGCAGTGGTAATCGGTAAAATAAGAGTAATACTGGCGGTAAAAGTGATAAAAATGATGAAAAATTATTCACAAAAGTGGAGGTGAATATTGGTGGTTCAATTTTTTAAATAGCACTTGCTATTCACTTCTGAGCCAGCCAATCAGCGCGCGCGAAAAGCACTATTCACCGGTGTGATATATACTAATATTAGTAATAATTCACCAAGGTACATCTTTTATCGCATTCGTGCTGTTATTCCACACTTTTTGAAGTCTTTCACGACAACTTGCGGCATCTATACTAAATATTCACAGGTTTTTTCTTCACTCCTGGTCGATGGCAAAATTTTGATATCAAAATCATATTCAACGGTTGTTGAACCAACCATGTCAGGATATTTATCGTACACCACAAAACACTTCACATTTTTATGATATGAAGTTCAAATCACCAACTTTTCTACGGTGAAAGCACTGATTCGTGGACACAAGAAAGCTACAGCAAAGAGTTACTGATCGCTTAAATCAATTTGAATTTGGAAAAGAAACACACAGCAACGAATGAAATATTGCCACATGCAGTTAGGGTTCAATGTGACAAAGTGATCTGTAATACTATTATAAACTATTGTACCAATAGAAAAACCAAGAAACGGAAACCAGGTGTTGAAACATGGTTTATCTCACGAGTTATGAATAATTGATGCTGCGATTCGATGAATAAATTTTTTCAAGCATTGACCTCGTTCATATCGAGCAAGCACTTTTCAAAAAATCTTTGCGAAAGGCTTTTTTTTTTTGCTTCAAAAAGGACACAAAAAAAGGAAGGAAAATACTCTTGAGAAAACTTCAGGTAAAATGCGAAATAACACAAGGAGGTGTATTAAAAAGCACATCTGTAGGCAAATGATTCTAACAATAGCATTGAGGTATTTCGAACAACAATAAAGTAACAGTAAAAACACAAACGTGCAAGACAGCCTTGGCCAGCAGTTACAGTTAACGTTCAAGCAATACTTTAAAACTAACGTTTTCTGTTCGTTACATCAAATTAAAAAAGGAGGAAAAAAGTAAAATATGCAAGTTTATCAGGCAGCATGTTACCGAAGTTGTCCTGTTACGCTTTTTTGTCGGAATCCTGCATCATACAGTAGCGTGAGGTCGATCGAGCATATATGACGCAGATCTGAAAAGCCGCTTTATCTCTACTTTTAACAACCAATTTACGACGGAAGTACGACGAGACCATTCTTCCGGACTAAAACAGAAACTAAGAAAACAAAATTGCATTGTTTGACGCTTTGCTGGCCAACCTGTCAGAAAGATCCAAAAAATAAACCAAAAATTCGGTGAAAATATTGAAATATTTTCGATACACTTTGGACAGTCAACATAAGCTACAGCAGAATTCAGGACAATTTAACAAATAAAGTTCGACGACAAAAAGACAAAACGAAGTTAAACGTAAATTTGGTAGAGCAAGAGCGATAGATTGTCGTAAATACAAATGAAGGGGATAAGAAAGAGCCACAGTCTAAGACAATTAAAAAAAAATGAATGAAGAAGCGACTTACAGCTCGTCCACTCAATCTCTTTTGCGAAATGTGTGACAATAATGGCAGTTTCCCCCTTGAAAAGTGCTTATAGAATTGAACGTAAACCAAAATAAGATCACACTATAGTGATTGTTGTTTGTCTGAGTAATTCGCTTTTATAAACGACAACTTGTATACACAGATGTTTTAGCAATGCAAATGAACCACAGTAGCGGAAATTAGCGGAAGCGATTTGTGATGTTCACAAATTTTTTAATATTTACAGTTAGCAGACAGAATAAGCTGGGTATGTTTTGTTTCCAAAACATAGTCTCCACAATATAGACGCATTCAGTCCACAGAGTAAAACATTTTGGTATCCAAGGGCAACCGAAATATTAGTAGAGACTGGTTTGATGATGCCGGCAATGCTTAAAAGAGGAAAGTGAAAATTTAAGGTATATGCTATGAGAAAACAAGACAAAACAATGGTGAATAAAACCAGGAATATTCAACGAAATGTTATTATTTTGACACTCCACCCGATAAGAAAAGAGCGGAAAAAAAATCAACAATCTTAATTCAAGTTATGAAAGTATTCATGCATTTCTGGCCCTTTAATGTCAATGACGCCACTCTGATAGTTATCGAAACTTTTGGATCGAATTCTTATCTTCAAGAATTATTCATTCAGATTTTTTTTATCTTGAACTAAACGAAAACCGAGCAAAAGTTTTGGCGAAGGAATACGTAAAGGTGTAATTTCATCAAAACAAAACAAAAATGTAACTCAACGCACATCGGGAAAGGCAGGTAAAATCAAAGCAATCGAAAACCAACTGCAGTGAACTAAACGAAAATTCCCGTCCGTTAAAAGCCAAGTATATTTGCTAGTTTTTACAGAGTCCAGATGCAAACGCTCAACTGGGAGACAAAGAATTCCCAGAAATCCAATCAATGCTATTGCCACAAAAGACTTTCAAAAATCCTCAATCTAGCTACATGTAAATGTAAACGAGACGAACTCTTTTGCCAAGTTGAATTAATTACACTGCGCAGATGGCAATTCTAAATTAGTCTGACAATAATCAGTAGCCTAATCTGTTTTGCTGGGCAATATACACTACTCTCTTAGCACTGACCATCATCTGGCTAATAGAGTGGCACAATACGATTTTTATCATGCAATACGATGGAAGCAAAACACACCCAAAAAAAAAAATACCTCAAAGGAAAATTTTTCAAAAGAGCTTAAGTAAAAATTGATCTTCACTTAGTTTCTTCACGTTTTAGGTAATACCACGCAAAGTATAAAAGGTCACAGTATATAACGACTTGACTCCTTCAATTCAATGTCGCAGCCACAAAGGTACTTAGATGGACAATACTCTTACAAAACGCAGAGAGAAGGCATATCAGGTCCCGCGAGACAGATCACATACATAAAGATGTGCGGATGTGTTCTTTCATCGTGATCGCGATGGATAAAAAAAAAAATTAACCGTTCGTGTCACGACATAATCACTGTCAATCGTGGAGTCAAGCTATCAACTTTAGATCAACGGTAAGTCTGTTAATCTGCGACTCACATCGGGCATCAACCCCTGCATAATAAGTCTATGACAAGGCTCTCCTCTTTTTCAAGCGACATGCGAATTATAAGCGACCTTAGGCCTTACCGTTCGAGTTAAAAATCGGGACCCAGTTCTTCAAAGGGCAGATAACGCCCCACAACAGATAAATCGCGACCCAGTGGATAAGTGTTGACGAAACGTGTTGCGCTATCCACAGGAGAGATTTTCTTAACAACATCGACACAAAGTATGCAAGTCGTAAGAAGAAAGAACATGATCGTAAGTCTTGATTGCTTAAAACGTTTAAGTGCTTAACGCAAGAGGAGGAGTCTGCTTTTCAACACTCTTGAAACTACCTTACTTTTTCCAGTTTACTGAAAGCAGGGACCAAGTTAGTAGGTCAAGGTGTAACTTAGGGGCAAAAATTTCAGGTTTGAGGAAGCATTATTCAGCACTAACCTAAGCAGGTGGGGGGGAGGAATCAGTAGTTGTTCTGTATGGAGGGCGGGCGATGTAACATGAGGTTATAAAGATCTTTACAAGGACCCCTTCACGTAGGGCGTTTTGTCTTAGTATTAAAATCTCGTCGCCACTAACGACAAATTGACAGTTAACATAAAAGTACCTTTTACAAAAGGGGTCCGAGAAGCCATTGGCATCCTTGGCAGGTAAGTTCCGTGCTTCCTTCAACTTGATATGTAATTTGCCGCCGGATTTCTTCTTTTTCTTCTTGTCTTTAGACGACTCCTCCGGTCGTTCAAACATCAGTGACACCGTCAGATCTCCACAGTACGACATTAGGGACGGTTCTGGTCGCTATGGTTCAGGAAAAAAAAACAAAAGCAGCAAAGTCACATACCTGTACGATATGTCTACCGCAAGGTTATCCTCCAACACTTTTTGGCTGATTTAACAGCTGTAGACACTGTGAAACAGTGCCACTCCCTCTAACATAAGAGCTGTGTGGCCTACTGTCAAGGGACTGCACTTGCAATCTGAAGTCTTGTATTCTACTCCACGCCATGTCGCGGGATGAATTTTTACTCACCCACTCTGGATAAGACTCCTCGTCAAATTCCCACTCGTTGAATTTTCAACAAGTTTCTATTACAATTACGGAATAAGTCATTCATTTGACATCTTTGTTTATTAACGCTTATGGTCACCACTTCTCCCCCGTGAATAGTATGACAGGAAAATAACGTTACTGGGACAGTACGTGCACTCAGACTAATCAGAAACAAATAGTTTTTCTTATCGTTAAGGCCACAGACAGAAAAAAAAAGACATTTCTCAACTGAACAAAAAACTTTAAGATCGATGGGCTGCCATTGATTCATAACATTTTATCTCGTTCTCCCAACTAGCCGAGTGGGTTATTATGCCAGGAAACCGAGAGAGATAAAGCGAGTCCATTGTTTAGATGAACTTACTCTCTCTCGTAATGGATACCAGTTGGGTGACGGATCATCCCAGCTGAAACCTGAGTCCTGATAAGTATCAAGAGGCAACATCACTTCCCCCAGAAAATCATTATGTCCAAACGTGTCGTGATTCCACAATGCAAGCCACAGGGTACGTGTCAACATCTCCTCAAATCCAATCTTAAACTATCATGAAGGGAATAAAAATCAAAAATAGATTAAGCTAAACATTGCATAGAGTTCTAAACAATACAGATTTAAAAAAAGGGCCTTGTTAGCTTGCTTTGTTAACATTAACCCTTTAACTCCAAGGAGTGACCACGACAGAATTTCTCCTTACAATATCAAACAGACGAGAGGTGAGAATAAAGAAAACTATTAATTAGGGGATAAGGTTTGATCCAATACCAAATTCTCCCAACTAACATCATAAAAATTGTACGTCAGACAGTAAAGAGAACCACTATCGGCGGTGAAAGGGTTATGAAAGGGTTAATAAATCGGAAAATGTACCATTACGTTATTTTTCCGTCTAATCCAAGTGGTCGTCGCCAATGACGTTACATAAGTGCTACAAAAAGTCTCTCACGCCCATATATATGGTATTTTCAAGTTATTCGATTGTGCACATAACCTGCTTGTGTGAATCTCCTTATCTTTGTTACTTCTGGGTTTATATTAATCTATCGCTTCTTAAGTTGGATACCTGAATAGGACCAGCAAAAACTTCTCACATATTTACCGTTAAAATTTCGTCGAAATCTGGATTCAATGTATTTTTTCTTGTCTTGGTCTTCTTTTTGCCTCCCTTAGTTTTATCAGGTAAAAGGTACACTTTAGCATACCTATGGACAGATGAAACTTATTTTGAAACTTCAAAGGAGAAAAATAAATCAAAAAAGTAAGCGGCCAAATCCTTGGTTACGAGACAGCAGTGAGTGATATAGGCCCAAGACACAAGGTGGATCTCTGCTTTTTGCCTTAGTCCTTGTCTAGATGAAAGATCCTTGGATTTAAATTTATATTTGTCCGCGTAAAGAACCAGTTGGAAGTTAGGAAAAATTCGGTAACATTTCGAGGCTAAACCTTGATGAATATACAAGGTTTCCTGTCTACCGCCGCCTGTAAGACCTCTTACCGCTGACTGACTAGCCTGCGCACAGGCTTTCCTGTTTGGGTTTTGCCTTACAGACCCTTTTCGGGCAAAGCCGTCTATCACATCATCGACAGCCGCTTATGGAAAAAAGTATTGTCCTTTAACATAAACAGTAGAACCTATCTAACTCGAACTCCCAAGGAAAACAAAAAAATGGATCGAGTTAGTGGGGATTCACGTTAACTGATAGTAAATGACTGAGAAAATGGAGTTGAGGAAAATCGGATCTTGTTCTAATTAGCGGGGTCCTACTGTACTTAAAAAAACGAAATGTGAAACATTTTTGTATCAGTTTAAGACACAGTTCAAACTTTAACGACTATGGAATTCTGAATGTGCTCCGAAAAAAAGTCCGCTGGAACTCAACAGTGCAATATTAGGAGAAGCTTGTTTATTGCAGAACAATGCATCAGAGCTTCATTTCATATTTACTTACGGATCTGACCGTCCCCTCTTTGGGTCTGCTGCTGCGATATCTTTAGCTCTGTGAATCTGAATTTCCAGCTGCTGTTTGTGTTTGTTGTACTTCAATCCGAACAGCACCTCACCTGTGACTGTTACGTTGCCAAACCGACCCTCGCCTGCATCGCTGTAGTAACTTACTATACTCTCTCGACTGCCCTGTAAGGTAGAGAGAATTAGTATTCTCATGTGAACATGAGATCATCTGCTACGGTAAAAGCTAGGTAACACTCTGGAAACTTTTTTTTGACAGTGAAAAACACGTGATTACAAAATCAATATAATATCAAGCAGACAAGTGATGAGAATGAAAAAAAAATATCACTAAGGGGTTATCAGTTGACAATATACCAAATTCTCCACACTAGCATCATAAAAATTATACAGCAGACAGTAAGGAGAATTACTGCTGAGATCTTCGGAGTGAAAGGATTAAGATACAAGTATCCATGTAGTTTCACTAACCATAGCAAGAATGTTAAGCTGCTCTTGCAGTGTTTTCGTTTGTCCACTAGGGTGTTCTCGTTCATAACTTGCAAAAGCTTGATCAATGTCATCCTCCTGTGTGGGTGTCCTGTAACCCTCTTCTGGCTCTACAACGTCATCAGGATCTGTGCATGTGATCTCAGGGTTGATAATAGTCACATCCCCAGGGTTGTCTGCATTAAAAAACAAAAAACGTCCTTATATCGACCAGAGAATAGATGAAACATAAGAAATTGGGAATAAGTTAGTGATTAAGTCAGTCAGCCAGCCAGTTAGTAAGTTGGCCAGTCAGTCAGCCAGTCAGTTGGCCTGTCAGTCAGTAAGTTGGCCAGTCTGTTGGCCTGCCAGTCAGCCAGTCTGTCAGTAAGTTGGCCAGTCAGTCAGTAAATTGGCCTGTCAGTCAGCCAGTCAATTATTAAGTCGGCCTGTCAGTCAGCCAGTCTGTCAGCAAGTTGGCCTGTCAGTCAGCCAGTCAGTCAGTCAGTAAGTCAGCCTGTCAGTCAGCGAGTCAGTCAGCCAGTAAATCGGCCAGCAGTCAGCAAGTTGGTCAGTAAGTCAGCCACCCGGTCAGTCAGCAAGTCAGCTGGTCAGTCAGTCAAGCAGGTAATAAGTCAGCCTGTCAGAAAGTCAATCTGTCAGGCAGCTGGCCATCACATAGTCAGCCAGTCAGTTCTATCAGTCAGTAAGTCAGCCAGATATGAAGGACAGGGGTGAAAAGGTAGCCAGGTATCTAATAGGGACTCACAAATTACTACATAGAAAATTAATCACTTCCTTAAAAATCTAAAATTGAAATAGTAGGATTTAATAATTCACCTATCAGCAAACCATTTAACCTGTCTTACATAGAAACAATCACTCATTCAGTTTATAATTCAATCAGTGAGTCCATCAATCAAACAATCAGCTAAACAGGTAGCATACAAGGCGCTATAACCATATTAACACAGATCTTGAAAAATAACAGGAAATGTTTTCTGCAATGCAACAGTAGCATTGGCCTCATAATTGATTCATGGTAACAACCATTTTACACAAGTTGACCAGATAAGTAGGTCTACCAAAGGCAGGAAAAATCACAAAAAACTTAAAAATGCATGACTTTACAAAGTAGTATTTCAGTCTTTTCCTAAGGGATGAAATGCTAGTAGAGATCATCATTGGTGCAGCCCAGCATGTTACTGTGGGTCTCATATTTAACACTTCTGCTGCTTAGTGTCTTAAAATAGCTATCAGTACTTTCAGCTTGGCACCAAAAGGTATTGTAAGTCACAGCATGTGAATACAATCAGCCCTCGGTATAAATTGTTCATGTTCCATTGAATGCACTGACAGTAAAATTATTTACTCATCAGAAGTTGCTTACCATCCTCATCGAGTTCTAACACAGGAGTTCTGGCTCCTTGCATCGGTGTGACATCTCCAGCATCCTCAAACACATCAGATGTGGAACCTGAACCCATCCCTTCACTTGCTCCATAATCTGAGAGAGCAGGTGTCCCAGGTCCTGATTGTAGAGGAGTGGTAAGGGGAGTAAAAAATTCACCAGTGGTCTCTGAATCAGGTGAAGCTGATCTCACACTGAGGAACTTGTTCTGCAGATAGGTGTCTGATACTGGCTGGTCTATTCCACCCCACTCATGTGCTACCTCATGCCATGATGTTTTAATTTCAACAACAGCATCATCTTTGGACTGTTCACTATCAAGGGCAGGACTCTCTTCACCCCCATTGATGTTCCAATCATTCACTTTTTCTTCATAGTCCTGAGGTTTTTGCACATGGTATCCATTATAACTGAGGTCATCTTCCTTTACATCACTTCCAGTCATTTCTGGCTCATAGTGTTCTTGCAACTCATCTTCTTCTTCTTCATTCTCTCTGGTAGTACTGTCATCTTGCATTTTCATACTGTCAAAGACTGTCTCTTCTTGATTAGCAACTTCAACAACACCATTCTCTAGAATATTGACTGGTGAGCCTGTAATTAAAATCTTTCATTAAGATGGATGACTGCTTTCCATCATTACTTAAAGAGTCAGTGACTGATGACATGCGGTGCATATTGAATGATATACTATCCAGTGACAGAGATTTTAAAATGTAGTATATGCAAGAAGATAATGGATCAAAGGTGCTTGTGACAGATTTTCATTCAGTCTCATAAAGCACCTTGCCACATCAACAGAGAATTATTTTAATAGATTTCCTTAGGGGAATGAAAGGCATGTGAATGCAGACTAGGACATGATAAAAACAATTGCTATGGACTGAAAATTGGCCCAGATACATGCAGTCTGCTTTCCAAATTCTGATTCTGAAACTCCACAGAGCACTGGCACCACACTGCGTACACCTTCCACACACAGTACTGACATTGGTGAACTGTCACCTGGTGAGATCAACATCTGCTACTCAACCATGTAGTTTACAGTACCCACAGTTTTTGAAGATGCAGCAGCATAAAAGGTGGGAATTGAATAAAGGAAAAACACACCACCAAGTAGAAGTGCAGCAATGAGATTCACAAGTTCCACAGCTTTATGTAATTACTAACAACAATGAAGAATGAATTAAGGTCTGATTGTATTATTTACTAATTATTCTTTTAAGTTCAAAAAAGTACTCACTGACAATTGAGTGGAATTAATCTTTGCTATATAGAGAATTTATAATTATTTAATATAAACAAAATTAAATTTAAATGATACCATTTGCAGGCTCAGTAACCTTGACAAGAGTATAATACTTTTTCTTACCTCTTGGTGTAGAACTCTGAGATGATGATGACAAATTTTCTTGTTCATCTGTATCATTTTGATCCTCCTCTGGTTTCCGTTGAACTCTGTTAGCCTTCACATATTGCCTGTAGTTTTGATTTACCTCTGCCAATTTCTTCCTTTCTTCCTCTTCTTCCAAATCTTTTTCTGGCAAACGTGACATGTGTACTGGGACAGGTCTATGAAGCTTGCCATGATTATTAAGGTTCAATGAGATCACAGGAGGAGAGCCTGGGTCCTCTGACATAAACAACATACAAGAAAAATTGAATATCTTCAATATTACACAATCATGTTAAAAAATTAACAGGAAAACAATTGTTCACTAGTTGATACACCTAATGAAAGATGTTTTCTGTACTGTTCAATAATCATAAGATAATCACGCTGACTTTAAAAAATTGCATCTTTAACAGTTACCCGGCAATTGAGGAATAGGCATGGGAGACACCGGTAAAAGACAAAACCAAAACCAGATTTTTCTGGTTTCTATTTTACAATGCAAAAAGTAAAACTTTTGTTCAAAGTATGAATATCATTTGTTGTAAGCATTTTCCCCCAAGCACATTGAATTCTTATTTCCAGAAAACTGATACCATTTGTCATCAACCCTTAAGATACAGCAGTAACTTGTATTGTGTCAGAGTCTCCCTCTGTGAGAGTGCTGTGCAAGGAATGACAACTCTGGGAACTAGATTTTATAATTGTCTTTAAATCTTATGAATCAAACAATGGAAATGTATAGTAATTACCACTGAGTGACTGGGGTTGAGGTTTTGCCCTCCTAAAGGATGCACGCACCAATGCTGAGCCAAAAAGCCGTGGCCTATCCCCTTTTCTCTTCTCTTGCTCAAAAAACCATGCACCAGATTCAGCCCTTACTTCCCTAAAATATCAAACAGAAATTTGCCAAAATAGAGTAAATAAGAGAAAGTAATTTACTGAGCTGTTTTATTCATTCCACCACAAGGTACAAGTGAGTTAATTATTAAAATAAATACCTCACACAAACCAAGGTTGAGATCCACACTGTATGTTACAGACTATACGTTCTTTTTTTATTTCTTGCGCTTGGATTTATTGCCCAAGTAGGAAGAGCATGGGCCAGAAGAAAAACTGAAGTTCAGTAACTCACAGTACATACTGGGAAATGTGTTTAGTAAAATTTTATTATATCACTTGGTTTAAATAGAAGGGGAGGATTTCAATTCAAATAAACCTTTCAATTTAGCAGACCTTATAGTGAAATACAGCCTGCTAAATTGACCAATCATAGCAAACCTACTTACTGAGAGATTTAATTAATCAACAATATCCTCCTGAGATAGAAGATATCAGACAGTGCAAACCCCTTAAAAGAACTCCTAATTACAACAAATTCAGAGTTAATAGTTTTTTTTCTTTTTCAACAAGAAGTTATTATTATCACATTTCAGGATAAACAAACATTCAAATCAGCGTAAGAGTCACCATAGATACCATACATAAATGCTGGATTGATTTTGCCTTGGACTTAAATCATGCAATAGCAATTTAATTGAAATGTAATTAACACACGACAAAGGTGAAAAACAATCTTTAAATAGAAGTTATGTCTCAAAGCAACTGCCTGGAATGCGGAATTCAACAAATAATTTTCCGTTGGACGTCATAATACAGAAAAGTAATAAGTAAAACACCATCACGAATTTATCCGCGGTGATCTCTTTTTTCTCATTGATGTGATGAACTTTATCTTGTTCTTAATTTTGTGGTGATAGCCATGTTTACAAACTAATTTAGCTTTTAGTGGCAAATTAAATATTCCCTTGAGATAACAAGGAAAGTTGATTTATTGACGGCGACCCGCTGGGTATAGATACTCGCTGACTATACCGATTGTGCTTGACTTATTAACATTAGTTACACGGGACCAATATCACCGACACATTTTCTGGTGGAGCGTCTTTCGGTATTATTTAAAAATGATTTGAACTTACGTCTGTTGATATACCTTAATCGCGAATAAGCACCATTTCTGAGAAATTTTAAGTGTTTAACAATGTATAGTGGAAGACTCCTAATTCCTTGTTGCCTATTATTGTCACTATTCAATACATCACCTGATCTTTGCACACAAAATACAAAGCCACGTAGCAGTAGTCATTTTTCGACATTCTTTACAAACTCGGCTTTCGCATTTTGGACATAGGGCTCCACTGTTCAAAATAAAACCAAGCGGTGCTCGACATCTTGCACAAACACGAGATGATTCGAGTTCCTCTTTACTCGCTCCCTTCTTCTTTATTTCATCGAGTTCATTCTTTAACACACTACAAGAAGTAACGGTTGGTGCCATATCAACAACAAAAAATAATCTTACGGCATTACAATGAATAACTCACGAGTGATATTGCGTGTATAAATGAAAATATTAGACAAGGTTGAAAGTGTGCAGCCTGTGAGATGTAAACCAAACATTGATTTTACCAAAGTTTACCTTATACGACGTTTTTCTTGTTTTCGAAGTTCCTCGTCCTTGGCAAGTACTTGAAGAATGGCATCCCTTTCTGATTCAGTAAGGTAGTTTACGTCGATATAAATATCGTCCGACATAATTATTAATTAGGCAGCATAAACTGCACAAATGGAGCACCAAAATTTTGAACGCTCGCAAATATTAATGTGTTTGATCTTTGATTCATCAGTCTGGCAAAAGAGCAACACCTAAATTTTTGCGTATGCAGATGGAAAGCCTTCTTTCTTGCTTAATTTACATATTGCAAGCAACGATGCGTACAAATTGAAGGGAGGAAGTGTAAAAAATTTTAAAATAGCCACCAACCGCCAGCGTAGTGGTTTACGAATCTATTGTTTGAACCTTCATCAGATATGAAGTGTGCTATTTGCATAATTTATGCAACCATCCAAATAACTGGAGGGGATAGGTGGGAAGGGAAAATTTCGTTGTCCTTAATTTATTCGGAATCTCGTAACATGATCGTTTCTATGATTGATTAACGTAAAAAAACATATTTTGTCAGTAACACAGGAGAAAAATTATTCATCGAAAGAGAGTTCTTTTTCTCCCAATTTATTTTTAGCCAGTTTTTATTAAGCCTTACACCATGTGTTCAAATTAAAATGGCGGATTTTGTGTAATAAATTTCCAGAAGAAAATTCTGATCAGAGTTATACGTGAGAAATTTGTCCATGAAGCTTTATTATAGAGTACCCTCCCCTCCCTGGTCACTCATAAGCCACGGACAGTCTGGGACTGAAAATAGCGACTGGTGTTGGTTTCCTATAAGGGCTGGAGATTTGGCTTTACGTTTTACTCGAAAAAAGCTTGCCTTATCATGCTTGGGAGAGGATTTTCATCATTAAGAGCCGTAAATTCCTTAAAGAAACCGGTATGCGATGCTTTGAATGCTTTCCAAGAACTCTTTCTTGCATATGATCTGAAAAAAGTGTGACCTGCAAGCTGCTCTCCTACACTGACAGTAGAGTAGACATTACTCTTGCTAGGATTGGTTTTGATTCCAACAGTTGATGCCTTGTTCTAAAATTGTGCCTATTCAAAGGCGTTCTACCTTTTCGTCCATTTATGAAAATTTACAGAAGTGTTTTAAGAGTTTGAATAATCAAGGGTTGATTGTGAGCGTAGAAACTGGCTCGTTCGTTCCCTTATGGTTCTACGACAGATCACATGAGGGAAGTCAGGCGAACCTAATAAAAAATGAAGTTATATTCACTTTGTTGATTTATGGTTTTCAGTTTGTAGGGTGGCTTACTGGCTCAAGGGGATTAGCAAATCAAGTGAATGAAGCCGAATTTGAGCTATCAGTAAGTATCTTCCGCCAATTCGGTTCACTGTTGTACTGGTAAGGAAATATTACAGTATACTTAAAGTTTCTCTAGACAGGTAATCAATTGACAGATCGATCAAATAATCGCACATATTTCAAGCATGTTTTACAAACACAAACATACATTTACCTATAAAAGGTTGTGAAGTTAAACTAACATACATGTACCTACGTACATACAGAATATTTATTAATACTAGTAGTCGAGCTAACATACACAACTTCCCTATTAAGCTGAATTCTACAAGTATTTTGATTGGTCATTACTCATGATCTATTGATCTATCAGAGGAAAGATGTATAGACTGCATCACCTTAACAACCTTTTTGCTCTTTCATTATGTAAGAGCATTAGACTCCATGTTACTCTGTTTTGAACAAACATGGAATCTATTTGGTAAATGCATCTGATTGTGTTTGATTTCTACAATTACCTAACCCTTTCACTCCCGAGGTCTGATCGTCAATTCTCCTCTCTAGCTGTTATACATTTCCTTGTAAGTTAGTACCATAGTGTTAGATCAAGACAGTAACTCCTTCCTGATAAGTTGGAGTATTCGCAGTACCTGTTTGTCAGATAATATTTGCATGGATATCATAGGGAGGGGTTACATATGAATCACCTCTGGGAGTTAGAGGGTTAAAAGGTTCAATTAGGGCATCATTGGTGCTTCTGTGAATAAGTTGTTAACCTGTGTGAAAATACTTCATTTAATACATATACATTAACTTATATTGGGTCAGTAAAATTGTTAAGATAACCAACCAACCATAAAAATAAAAACAAAAAATAAATAAATAAAATAAATAAATGAATAACATACAGATATACAGATATATAAAATAATGATTTAAAAGTTAAATAAAGAAAACTATATAAACTATAAACATCTCTTGTTCAATAAAAGCTGATGACCTATCTTTACCTAATATCTCCCAAATGCGTTCTTTTCAGGACTCTCCACTCCATCTTTTAGATAGTGGTCCTCCCAAAAAAGCTGTACTGACCAGAGAAGATGGTCTACACTATTACAAAGAGATGCAGATCATTCGGAGAATGGAGACAGCTGCTAGTACTTTATATAAGTCAAAAATCATCAGGGGTTTCTGTCATTTGTACTCAGGGCAGGTGAGTTCATCAAAGATCTCTTATCAAAGGGTATCATTACCTCAGACTGCAACAACCATTGATGTGATAGCTAGTAGGATAGGATTTTTAAAAACTAACCAGTATCATTTGGGTTCAGACAAAAAAATTTCTCATTGTAATATCATTTATGAACTCTTTAAACCCTAAAATTAGACTTCAAGCAGTCCCTCCTGTTCAGAAAACAAAATGCAGTGCAAAAAAACTCGATGTTAGCTGGTAGCAGGGAGCCCCCGAAGTGATGTCAATTGCTGCAGGAGCTCCATGGACTCATGCAATGGACTTTGCCAAAAAGGAGAGACTGCTTGAAGTTTATCTCAATATCAGTAAGCATATTCTCCATACTTTTGTTACATTTCCCAAGGTGCTACCAAGGAGAATTTGCTTATTAATCAAGAGTTTCTGTAGTTGTTGATCATTTTTATTATTCTTAAGCCCTTAATGTTTGATTTCATGGGTGATATTGAAAGAGAAATTATATGCTGGTCACTCTTAGTGGTTAAAGCGTTAAGATCTGATTGTTTAATTGGCCCCTATTAGTCCTTAAATTCACATATTTTTGTAAATAAGTTACAAGAATTTTGGTTTTAGATCAAGATAACAACAATAAGCAAATATGAAAAAAGTTGATAAATTTGAGTATTCTCATGACCTGTTTCAACCAGATTTAATGTTTGGAAATTGGGAGAATTTATAACATGTTAATCAAACTTGAAACAAGCAAAACATTAAAATTAACTTTATTTCACAACATAAGGTACAAAATGAAACTTACCAGTAAAACTAGTCAATAATTTAATTGCTTGTCAAGACATGTTCTGTATGTGTTGTTGTTTTTAAATGTTAATAATTTTTTATCCAGTTTTAATTTCTATATGGGTATTAAATTGTGTGTCTAAATTCAGCAAGAATTTCTATTTGGAGGTCTTTAATTTGGCAATTTTTTCACAATCAGGAAAAATACGAAATTAAGTACCAAAAAAGTACCTTAGAATGACCAACCTCCATGCATTCAGGAGCTTACAAATAATTTTATTCAGTTGCCATTAGCCCTTTCAACTGATATAAAATGCTGTGGATAAGTTTTTTCAATATTTTTTTTGTGATGCCTTATTGCTCATTCCTCTTAGGAAGCATGCTGCATTGGAATGGATGCTGCTATGGACAAGAATGACAGTCTGATCACTGCTTATCGTTGTCACGGTTGGACTTACTTGAAAGGAATATCAGTGAAAGAAATACTCTGTGAATTAGCTGGTAATATATACAATTGGTCATCACTTTTTTGTGTAATGCCTGAAAAAATTTTGTGCTAATGTTAAGATGAAAAGATGGCCGTATGCCAAGCTGTTGAGTTAGCACTTAGAGGATCAACAATTGCGATTGGTTGCTATCTAGTTCAGAGTTGTTCCTCTTGATTTACAACAACTCTTTGGGTAATGAATATCTTAAAGCATACATATTTGTATTATATCTAATGCAGTTCTTCATAAGATACCTGCATTGCAGGTCCATCCTAGAAGAAGTGAAGGATGAGTTTACAATAACTATGAAATTATTTTTGATTATGAATCCTTGAATTCAGGTATGGTTTCTATTTATTTAACACAATTTTATCTCTTAAGGTCGTAAGACAGGTTGTTCTAAGGGGAAAGGAGGCTCTATGCACATGTATGGTTATGAGTATTATGGTGGAAATGGAATTGTTGGTGCACAGGTCTGTACAAGCATTATGTTAACCCTTTACACCCTAACATCAGTATGCATATTCTTCATACTGTTCTCCATACATTTCCTAAGGTGCTGACAAGGAGAATTTGTCCAACATTTAAGAGGTTCTTTAGTTGCGTATCACATCCTATTACTTTTGTGACCTTAATGTGTAATTTAGCGATGACATTGTGAGGAGAAACTAGATGCTAGTCACCCAGAGGTGTCCTTGGGTTAAACAAATTTTAGTCACATCACTGTATAGTATCATCAGTATGTATTTGGATTTTTTAATAACCTTCACACCCATCCAAAGGTTGAGCAAAGTGATGTAGCATTATTTATAGATAAGCTTCATGTCTAATTTTTAACCAAAAAATTGTTAAGCTTGTGCAGGAATAGCATTGCTTAATAGGTTTACCATTTAGCACAATTTCAACTTATTAATAAAAAGTAATCTGGGATTGCTTTGGTTTTGCTTTTCTTCCCTCAGTTAATAGTTCAGAAAATTCAACCCGCTTTCTCAACCATTTAGTGTGACAGGTCTTGACAATGTGGTCACTCAAGTTTCCCACACTCATGGGCTCCTTGTGGTATTTTCCTGTGCTCTGATTGTTTATTGGGTTTGGTTTTGTGTCACTCAATAAAACTGCATGCAATATGGTTGTGTTACTTTAGGTTCCACTGGGTGCAGGAATTGCCTTAGCTCACCAGTACAGAGGAAATGGACAAATATGTGTTACATTATATGGCGATGGTGCTGCAAATCAGGGCCAGGTTAGAACATAACACTAGTTCATACTAGACTCTTGAAGGATCGGTGCACACGTCCAATTGGTGCAAATGTCCATCTTAAGAACTATGATGAATTTACAAGATTAGATAGTATAGAGAATACAGTGTACTTTGTTGACCCCTAGCAGGAAATGATGGCAGTTGAAGGGTCTTTTTTTTTTAACTGTCAGCTAGCCAGAGTGTAGCCTTAAATAAATTCCAAGACGTAATTGGGGAGTTTGGTTGTCCTTGGAATTGTTAACTTTTTTCAAGGCTTGAATCTGCTTGCCAAAAGCTCTTTATTTTCATATTATAATGGTACATGTTGTTTTCCTCATTGATTTTTATTGTCCTTTTCTATTGTATGATAAACTGATTTTAAAATTTCATAGTTAGGGTATATTTTCTTTTGGCAAATAAAAACTTTTGCATAAGTGCAGTATGAGCAGCTCAAGCCAGTGGATTTCTATAACAAAAGGAAAGAAATGTGTTCCTTTTTGATTCCAAGAGAGGTTTAAGAACTACTAGGCACTATTATGGATAAGTACCTGATTCATTTGCTTACCTCAAAGGTGTTTGAAACCTATAACATGGCTAAACTCTGGAATCTGCCATGCATCTTTGTGTGTGAGAATAATGGATATGGCATGGGTACATCAGTTGAAAGAGCAGCTGCTACCACTGAATACCACACAAGGGGAGACTTCATTCCTGGAATTAAAGTATGTTACACTAAACTGAAATTTAACAGCAGTAAAATTTTGTGTGGTGGATTTGTAGACAATGATAATGTTTTCTTTGTTGAAGGACCTACCTTTTGCAGCAATAGCAATGATTTATTTTTTTCACCTTACAGGTTGATGGTATGGATGTTCTAACAGTGAGAGAGGTCACAAAATTTGCTGCAGATTATGCACGATCAGGAAAGGTAGTGCATTATGAAAGTAGTGCTTTGATCACCAGAGAGCTAACAGTGTAACTTGGTACAGCCAGGAAATCTGCCTGCTCTGAACAATGGGTTGTTTTTTCCTTTGCTTGGGTAGTCCTGTCTGCTTTGTGACAGGCACTTAGTTGACATGACAGCTACATATGTTTTAATTGTGAAACATGCATGGAAGTGAGGAGCAAAAGATATGAAGGGAATTGTGAAGTAGCAATTACAGTAGCCCTTTGGCATAATGGTGATTTCCTGAATGAGAAATTTATTATGTTAGCGACACATGTGCAAAGAGATGCTCACAGTTAGTGAGTATAACGTTGTCAAAATTTAAGTAAACGTTCTTTTTCCTCTAGGGTCCAATTGTTTTGGAGCTGGCTACATATCGTTATTATGGGCACAGCATGAGTGATCCTGGCACAAGGTAAATGTGATGATTGTGAACTGTAGTAATGATAAAAGTAGACAGCCATGGTCCTGAATTGTGTAACGCTGATTATTGGAGCATAAACCTCTCTTCTGAGCAAAGTATTTGCAGTGGCTTTTTGGTTACCATAACTGGCCTCCTTATCGAGATGGTCTTGTTTAAGATCTGGGTGGGTTTTTGGTGTTTTGGTGTTATGTAGTCAGGCAAGACTCTTAGATCTCACAGGGTGTTATGTGTATAGCGCCAGACATTCCCAACTACACAACTCTGAACCTGAGCGTTGAATCAATCCTCTCGCTAGATTTAATCTTGATGAGCAGTTATTAACCCTTTCACTTCCAAGATCATATTCATAATCTATTTTTTCGTCTGCCGTACAATTCGTGTGATATCAGTGCAGAAAATTGTGTATTGGATCATTTAGTAATTCCGGCCCTTATTAATTTAATTGTTTTCTCTATTCTCGTCACTTTTCTGCTTGATGTTGTATTGATCTTGTAAGGAGAAATTCTGTTTTGGTCACTCATGAGAGTTAAAGGGTTAAAGTAGAAGCTCTAAGGGTGATGGAGTGTGTGATTCTCACCAGTGAGGTACTCAGAGTAACGAATAACCTACTTGCTTATTTATTTCTACTTTCTGGCAGCTACCGGTCACGTGATGAAGTACAGGCCGTACGTAAGACGCGTGATCCAATCCTAAGTTTGAGAGAAAAACTTCTGGACTCAGGGCTGGCAGACACCGATGAAATTAAGGTACTTGTTGAACAATAACGCGTATTTTGTCCAGGTTAAAACAGTGAGTATGGCAAACTCAATTGGAAACATAGTCTCATCAGGAACGCTCCTTACGGATTGTTTGTAGGTACATTGACAACCAAACGGATCAATGTCAGTATCTGGGCAATAACGCACCTACCCCCCTCCCTTCCCCCAACTCAGCAATAGTCAACTGATCGTAAGTTAGGGTTAATGTTGGGTTAGGGGAGAGGTAAGTGCGCAGTTGCCTAGATACTGACATTGATCCGCGCGAAACAAACACAAACCTAACGAGGATCTAAAGTTAAAGTTGACAGCACCTTTTTAAAGAGGCTGCCACAAAGATATGTAAAGTCGCCTTAAGTTAAAGATGACTAAGCTTCAAGTTGTTTGCTGATTCCGTGGCAGGGTATCGAGCAGGAGGCCAAACAATTGATCGAAGAAGCTGTTAAAGCAGCCGAGAGCGATCCTGACCCTACTCTGGATGATCTCTATTTGGACGTGTACGCGGATGATAACATGGAAGGTCATGTGATTCGTGGATGCGACAACTGGTCAAGGCACGCCACGAATTAAAGACGAGCAATGTAACGTTGTTGAAAAATCTTTAAAGACTACGTATATCCGAAATTTTGATATCTAACATCATTTGTAAAGTACTTGATTTTATTCTTCAACTGTGTGGGTGTGCCTGAGGTTTGAAAGCCTCGAAAGTGTCATATCTAAAAAATGTTAGAAATCTTAACGGGTTCGGCATCTGTTGAACCAAGGTACAAAATAAGCGGTGTTATCGCATTCTTATAAACTTGTAATATCGACCTGGAAGTTATATTTTGTCTTTGCCATTCTTTGGCACTCTTTAAAACAAAACACTGAACAAAAATTTTCACTGGAAAGCTTGTTGCAGGCTTGTTAATCTTTATTAAAGGGTAGGACTTGAAAGACATTATTTGAAACGAAAACTTACATGATTTTGTGGTTTAAATATCTGAAAATGCATGTAGGTAACCAAATTTTGTGCCAAACGGTGTAAAGAGTGATTCTGATGTGCAAGAGAAAGCTGCGATCTATGTCCTTTAAAGGAGTCAACTAAAAGGAGAAGGTTTATTTTAGCTTACTTTCAACGACCAGTTGGCTGTCAAAATCATGAATAAGAAGGTTTTTTTGACGGGATTTGAATCAGGATGAAATTAAATAAAGGAATCGTGTGTTTTATTTATTTCTAGTGATCTGTGACTCGAAGCTAGGTTTTGTCTTGATTAACCCGTTGTGACAAACACACCAAACTTCTGTTTTCATTTAGCTTATTTCTATATCTCACCCCGAGAACTCCGAGCCTGTTGCAAGCGTTCATTTAGTTAAACGAGGCGAGATGTAGAAACGGCGTGATAATAACGGTAGAGCAAGAAAAATGACAGAGGCTTCACTCGGTTCGACTGAAACCTCCCTCTATTTTTCAATCCTCCGCCACTATCATGCTTTAAACTCTCGCACTTTGTTTTTTCTTAACTTATCGCCTAGAAGAATCTATATAACTCCCTTTCCTTTCGCATAACTCTCCTCCTGAAAATGATACCCTTCTAGGTAGAGAATCCCAGTGGTAAGGAGGGGGGAACCTCTCCCCCTAAAATTGATACCCTTTTAGGAAGAGAATCCCAGCAGTATGGAGGAGAGGAGGGTGAGTGGTGGGAGTGGTCACATGGGTAAGACTGAAAGGAAGCTTAGCACCATTGACAAGAACTAGCAGTAGCCATGCAAAGAGTCCTCTATGCATTGATCTTTCAAATTACACTTTGATTAAGGGTAGCTCATGAATAAATATTATTTCAAACTGTATGTTTTGGCACAGAAATAAAGTGCAACAAACTATGGTATGACATCGATCTCAAAATACGTTCATTTTTACTTTTGTAAAAGAAGACCCCAAAGAAACTAAGTACGCGGAGTTGATTTCTCAAGTTGGAAAACGTGCTCTGAAAATGATATTTACAATTAAACAGCATTAGTGAAAGTGAGCCAATCCAAACTGACTGGCAACAGTTTCCATCATATTTTGTAAACAAAACAAGAAAGATGATAAGTTTTAAGCTCGGCAAAAATTATAGAAGAAGAGATTTTTCTTTGTTCCACACTCGTGACAAGACGAAAAACATCTTTCTCTATTTCTTTGCCGAGCTTAAAACTTACCATCTTTCTTGTTCTTTGTACAAAACATGACGCTATCGACATTGCTGATCCTAGTAGTAATGAGACTTGCTCACCAGAGTCTCTGTGGCTCAATGGTAAAGCATCGGAGCTTGGAATCCGAGGGTCTGACGTTCGATTCCTCATGGAAACTCCGCAGAATTTTTTTCTTTGTCCCACGCTCGTGACAAGGCGAAAAAACATCTTTCTCAGTTCCCATCATAGTTTCCTTTTCGGTCACTGGGAAATATGCAACGATTCCCTCCTAAACAACAGAACCTCACCATCAACGATATTGGGCCATCCATTTTAAACTGAATGTCAAGAGCAAGCCGAGGTTACTTTGGCATTGCTTTGCTGTGACTGGTGTAGAAAACTTGCGCCACTTTGTTAACCAATCAGTGGCAAAAGAAAAAACCGCTCCTGAATAGATCACTCGCGCTTTCCCGCGAATTAACCTATCGTTCTCACTGGCTCCCTACTAAGATCTTTCTCCATCGGCCGTTGCAACTACTTTTGTTCAGTCAAGACAGCAATTTGTTTCATTTTGAGCGCTAACAGCTCAAAAATAAATTAGTTGATGATCAAATTTGTTCTTAAGAGATAGTCCCAAGTTACCGTGTACCTAATCTTTTAAATCCCAGAAGTGATTAACATGTAACTTCTCCCTATAATATCTATACATTATCCAGCAAGAGGGGAAAGAGAATACTCGAACCGATCAGTTACGAGTTGTCATCTTGATTTAACACCAAATTCTTGTGACTTATTTACAAGGAAATGTGTGACAGCTAGAGGGGAGAATTTACAATCAGATCTGGGAGTTATAAGGTTGAAAGGAGCTGATTATTAAAGAGAAGAATCGATTAAAGGTTTGGCAGAATAATGTTAAGGTGGCTCTCCACCACCTGGGAAAATGTGCTTGTCCATTCGTTTTTTAAACTGTCGCTTTGAAACCAGCGGGTTCGGTAACTAGCCGCTGTTCGGAAAATGAGCCCGCACTTAGGGGGAAGGAAGCCTGGACTTCAACGGAAATCGAGCCTTCTTGCCTTCTTGCAAACTTCCTTTCTGTCCTTTACTTTAAGGAAATCGTCTACTTGTCGAAATCAAACTGAGGTCAAAACCGATAAACGCAGATCACTACCATCTGATAAAAATGTTTACTTTTCAACGATTTATTTCAAACACAGTCATAAGTTGGCCAATTTTGGCCGTTTTATCAATGCAAATGGACTTACTACCAGATAATCATACTGCATGTCGTTTTTACGTAAACCGGAGGAGATCAACAACACAATTGTTTTTCTCCTGCGGATTGAAGAAAAGCAGTATATGCCGCAAAATTTAGTCTAACGATGGAGCTTACCACCACTAATAAGGGTCCTCGTTCGTTGTAGTAATTTGAACAGCTGCACGATCGGTAAAATTGTTAAAGGAAAAGTGTTTCAGTCCTGAATGTTCGCTAAAAGTCAAGGCAAAACTCACGCGATTAGGCTAGCTAAAAATAGAGCTGTCAGCTGAGTGTACCTCACAATGCATGATACCCACTCCACGAAAATAGGACAGATGGTTCGTGGTCGATAAATATCTGCGATTTAATCTTGGCTAATTTATATATCAGTATTTTGAGCCCCGAAGAGTATTAAGGACGCCTGTGGCGATTTCGTTCTATCGTATCTCCTCCCCCACAATTTTCAGATTGCCATCAATGATCGGATGAAAAACTATCAATGCTTATCATGCATTTCCGAGCATGTGTGAGTGGCTCATTCGTGTGCAATAACGCTAGATATTTTCTGGTTGAGGAGCACTCTAAGGCCCAAAAACAATCATTGTAACAATTAGATTTTTCTTCACAAATATTCCTCAGTTTCGTTCCTTTTGGTTTGTAAAATAAGCGATCAGAATAGCTTGTCAAGTTATCTTTGTTCCTTAAACTATTGATGCATGTGTGGACAAAATGATTTCCTTTCGTGTCAGGCCTGCAAACACACATGTAATTTAGAGAATACTATTAGTCATGCGTGTAAACATTCCGATCGGACTGAGAAATTATAGTGTTTATTCGAGATAATAAACTGTATCGAAACTTCATGAAAAAAAGGTCGGAAAGATCGATCGAGATACCTACCGTATCCACAGGGATTAGCAGAAGATAATCTGCAAACGATAAAATTGAGTTTCCATCCTAAAATCACATTAAAGTAAACTAAAAAAGATAAGAAACTGATCGAAAGATTTTCCAATTAATTTTTCTCTTTTTTTTGCAAGTTTATCTTTCTTATTTACTTCTTTGTGCATTTGTAAGATTTTCCTTCAATCAAAGGACAACGCGGGCCTTACAATATGGAAAAAAAAGGAGAATGAAAGCAATACAAGAAAAAAATACTGGAAGCCCTTTTACACGTGTTTTGTTTCGAAGGGATGTATTTGCTTTCGAATTATTTCATATTACGTACCGTAAATGTTCCCTAAATTTTGCTTTGAAATGGTTGTAAATATTGATATGTTTCGGAACGTTGGCACAATGACAAAGTGAGTCGGCCAGCGATTAGTTTTAAAAGGTTTAAAGGTTAAAAATTCTTATTGGCATTAAATAAAATAAAATAAAAAAATTCTCTTCTTAATAAAAAAAATTAAATTTGCAAATGCAAATTCTACTCTGCCCGAAAGAGAGACCGAAGCCAAACCCAACAGAATACAAAACCGTACCTTAAAAAGAGCATACGTAAAAAAAAAAAATTGTGAAAACAAAAAAATGTTTATCTTGAATGTTTGCTCCATTTTTCATTTCATTTATTTTGCTTGGAAACTGTATGACTAAAAAGTAAACTAGGTTTTTCAATCTAGCCAAAGCATAATCAATTGTCGGTAAATAATTTAAAGTAGAGTAACACTTATTGCATGTAATAGCAGTCTGAAACTGCAGTTTATATTACGGCTGCGTGGGCTGGAAGCCTTCTTTAGCATGACAGTTCTGAAAGCATATGGCCACCATTGAATTAGGCAAACTGACGAGTTCAAGCGCTTAAAACTAGTTATTGCCAAGAAAAACGTTTCTAATTTTTTCTTAGCATCCAATGGTAAATATACCACATGTGATTTGTTCTGTGGTGTTAAAGCTCGCGGAAGGACGTGCAATTAACATATAAAGAGCGGCCTTGAAATATTTGCCTTTGATCAGTCGTCATCACAATCAACAATTTTTTTAAGTTTCTCCATTATCATTGTAGAATTCCAAGGCTTGCTATGCACGGGTCTGAATGGTATTGCCTTATAACTGCCTGCTTGTCTGTTTGTAGTAGTGTGGTCGGCACAGTTAAATGTGTTAAGGACCTTTTAGTCCCAAAAACTCCCAAGACCGCTTCCTTATATCTCTCTTCGTATGTTTTGGCCTGCTGTCCCTCGCGTTCGTAGGTGATCAAGATCTCTGGAGTCAAAAACGACATGTTTTTCCTCTTCATATTTCCCGCATTTGCTGTGCTGTTCAATTCCCCCGTCATCTCGCTCTCCCTCAATGCATTCGGGATCTGCCCTTCACTCTTAGATGAGCAAAGCATCAGTTCTTCATTCTCAATTTTACACGCGAACGTAAATTGCCGTTGAGGTGTATATTCGGCCGATATTTGCTGGCGAGCAACTCAACTCGCTCCGTTCAACAGAATATAACATGTATCTAAAGACCGCTTGTCGAGGAGACTTTTCCCTAAAGAGACTCGCTACTACTGATGACTGGAATTGTGGAAGTTCTATTTATAATGATAAACATGAATAATACAAATTAGAATTCATAACAGAAGTTGTCTGCGGACTTACGAAAATTCACGAGCATTTGACGACCTCACCCGAAGTCGTGACGTAAGTGGTCCGAGTGACGTCGACGTAGACGCACAAACACCGACAGAAACCTTGAGTAGATTGGTGAACGTTCCGATGGCGTGTTGTTTGATCAATACCGTCACATCCTTACATTTTAATAGTTATATCTAAAAATTTTAATAAGATGTCATAACGAGCTTATGGTCGTTGTTTTGTCGGAGTTCGTCATAACATTCGGCGTAATCCGAAAGCTTTCGAGGAGCCATTTCACTGATAACGTGAATGGTAAACACGAAAGCAAATACAGCTTGAGTGAAGGGTTTCCATCATCAGCAAATCCATGTCGGGAGGCATGTTTGTGAATTTTCGTCATGTTTTAGTCCGTCGATCGACACGACATTCAAGCAATCACGTCAAAATTTTGGTTCGAAAGCAAATATAATCGTCTTTGTCGCGTCAAGCAATTTGCTCGGCAATTAAATGGCTCTAATCAAATGGATAGGAAAGAAAACACAGATACGATGCGAAACTGAATTCATCAAGAACCAAAGCACTACCTTTTAATGGTCAGTTTTCATGCCCACAACCCTCTCTTTTCCGTGAAATAGTCTTTCCAATATTTTATCTGCGACTTGTTTTTTTTTTCACACGTAAATTTCACTCCCAATTTTTTTCTCTTCTTTTTGGGTGAAGGAAGACAGATTCCGATTCCAAATTTTGTGTCTTGGCGAAAGCGTAGTTAAATATATCTCAAGGGAGGAAAAATAAAATACAAAATATGCAAAGACCAAGACATCACAGAATACCTACGCGCGGTGCAATGCGACATTTGACATAACAGTTAAAAACAAAAACATTTCACAGTAGGTGTTATCATGTGAAATGGGTTGTATTTGTCGCGGTCCTCAAATGAACTTAGAAACCGCAAATTTTATTATTGACGGTATACAGGTTAATCGAAATATTTGCTCTATTTTTGGCTTCGAAAACATCCTAATTCCACGCAAAATAATTAACACGTCCCTATATGTTCGGGAACTATCGTGCTCTTTTTCTCAAACGAACATCTGCGCGCCTTACTCCCTGTTATCAATTTCTAATTTTCACAGGATAAATTAAATTCTGAACCTTCATTTATATCAGCTGAAAGAAAAAAAAACTTAAACGAAAAATCAAAACGCAAACTGTGATCATTTAAAATTGGAACCCAATGGAAATGATGAAGCACATGTACACACTGATACTAGTAGTAGTTCAATATGACATTTTCATTTGCAGGATATGCAAATGTTAGAAACATGTCATTGTTTCACCGAATCCTTTACATTTCGTGTTCGCTTTTTTACATAATTAAATTAATTCTTTCTAGATCGTTCAAAGAACTGTACACCCAGTATAACAATAAGATAACATGTTAGTGACGACATCATCATCTTAGGAACTTGTCACGTCATTACCTACCTTGGCTTTCGCATTCGCGTCAGATATGAAGTGAAACCACACGCTGCTTCGGAAATGACATGAACTGTTGTTTTGTCGCCAAAAAAAACAGAAATCAAATATCTAACAAAGATTCATTTTGCAAGGCATAAGTCCATCAGAAGTTAAGGTGAATTTAAGAATGGTTTTCATCCCATTTCATCGGTTTAGAAAAGATTTCATCAAATTTTCTGCTAATATCTGAGGTTAATTCAAGAGAATTTATTAGAGGTAAAATGATGTTTGGCTCACAAAATTATATCAGGTTTTGTCATATTTGGCAATCTTAAGATCTATTTTAAGCATTCACTTCGAATACTATCAGGAAAGTTAACTATCTATTTTTGGGGGAGCCTAATTCCAGCAAAACACGTATCTCTGAGATCACATACTTTTTCTAGTAGGAGCGAAACGACAACAAAACACACATGTAATGTCCCAACGGTTTGACCGGACTCGATTCAGATTCACAGTTTCTTAGTACGAATAGTGCACTCCGGTATCGGTCAAGGATAAAACTTAATATTGGTCTTGTGAAATTTTTAACAATGAAACAGCAATATATGGAAGTTCACTGGCCAACCTAATCAGAAAAAGAACCTCAGTTCAATTAAATGCGATGACCTCTGCGCTTTGCAAGCCTTTGACATCACAAATTGGCAGAATTGATCTGTCTTGTGAGAATCAGTTGAAAAAAAAAGATAAACAGCGCACAAATGTCCTACCGCACGCAGTCTTTTTCGAAAGCTAATCGACAGAAATAAAATTTTGCATTGTTTTACATTTCTCGGATTTCTGGAATTATCGTAGCCTGTGTAAACGCAGAAATCTTGCGTTTATGAAAAAACAAAAATAAAACGCCAACACAATTAAGAATATTAATTAGCTTAAGTGATAAAGTGTGTCCACAAAACAAAGGATAGTACCGATAGAAAAGTAATTAAATGATTACAATACAATATCCACAATAATAACAGAGAAAAATATGGAATAAACTAATGAGATCAGAGACATGATAAGCAAAAGGGTTTATTTGAATATTGAGTAAGTGCCTTCCCAACCAGTGAATATTTCTTCAACATTCTCAGCTTAAAATTAATACCACTCAGTACAGAGATTTTGCGAGTATTATTTGATGGATTTTCGAGTTCCACAGAGCAAGTTTTTTTTCGATTCGACAGAAATGTTCAAAATTTCCGCGAGGAACTATTTTTTTGCGACGCTATGTTGAAGCTTAACTGCAGCAATAACGAAACAAACGCTATGTATTCAAGATGACCTAGAATTCTGCTAGCAACTAACTTTTTTGTGATTTTCTGTTCAAGGCGTAGGAGAGTAACAAGGAAAGAAACACTGGTCAATTTTCGTAGTTTGTCAAGAAAATGAAGAAATTTACTCGATCGATGATTCTCATTTGGGATTACGAGTAATTCGTCCGAAGATGATAACAAATCGACAATTGATCCGCACGCAAAGCTTAGTTTTAGTTACAGCATCTTTTTAAGTTTGCGGTATTTTTGTCTGGGAGGACCTTTTCTCAGCGGCTCGAGGACACTCCGAGAAATCCGTAGAAATTAAGATCCGCTTACTTCAGATACTACACAGTAAAAGTGCGGAAGAACGTTAAATGAGTATAGGAAGAAAGAGGCTAAAAACTTCATGATTGTGTTAGGGAGCCGAGAGTTCTAAAACGAATAGAAAAGGTTTTCTTATGCGCATCAAGAGCACGCTGTCAAGGGATTAACGCTGTTTTCATTAAAAAAAAAAAATCCTCAACATGCTACAAGCGAGCGTTAATTTTCAGGTTGGAGAGTCTTCAAGGAATTACACCAATTTCAAGAGTTCCGAGTAGAGTTCCAGGTGATATCAACCACACAACTTCCGCTGCAATGGATAGAAATATTCTATCGTGAAAATACGAGCATGTTTTTCAGCCAAAACAGCTACATTTGAAAATTATTACCATCATTAGCATCAAATTTCTCCTCTTCTAAATATCATTCGTTCCTGAGAAGATATCTGTCGGCTAAAATTTACAGGTCATGATGGTAAAACCAGGAGTGAACTGAATTTATCGGGAGAAATGGAACGCAGGCTGCTCGAGATAATTTTCAATTGAAAGTCCGAATAACTAAGTAAACCGAGATTGCTTCTGTGATTGACCAAGAAAAGTCAGCTGCTACTGCCTTCTACATCTCGGCTCAAGGGATCTGGACTTACTTATCGTGGACGGTGAGGTCACCCCAGCCTGAGCTGACCACAGCGTAGAAACAAAGGAAAGCGCGCGACGCATGCGCAGGTTTTTGTCCCGAAACAGGACAGGCCTCCTCTGTCTAACGCTTGATCATGGATCTTTCAAAGTACACTCCATTCATAAGACACATTTTCAATCTTTCCAGGAAAAACTCAGTTTGGATCCAAGCGAAAACAAATCGCTTCGGTCTCTAACTTTCTGAAAAAGGTTGTCAGAGTGGGTTGCTGAACGTTCTTACTTTCTGGGACAGGAGCCCTGTAATCGCGCTTCGGTTGAGGGAAATGTTTGACATTTGAACTCTGTCGATAGTTAGGTAATATTAGAAAGCCCATGTAAAGATAATAAATACTATTTTTTATTTTCCTAATTCTGCGCTAGTTATGTCATTCAACAAGAACACCACTACAAGATATTTCCGATAGAAGGGAAGCTTTTCCCTGGGTTGATAAAAGATTGAGTGAAACCTTACATGGAGAAGTAACGAACGCTCTCTTTTCCCAAGTCTCATACCCAGACCTTCCATGACCCAGCGATTGTCGTTATAGTTACATGGCAAGATCTGAATACGAGATAATTTTCCCCCTTCTTACATCACAAGATAAATAGATATTAACATGACTTTAAAGTAAGAAAACAATTGTGCCCTCTTCAAAAATTTCAAAACTCAGGGCTGAAAATTCATAGTTTAATTCTGCCAATTAAAAATGGTTAAATAAGAATTCATGATAAAATGGCGCTAAAAGTGAATTGGAAACCTGTATAAATTTGTATATCAAAGTTTCCCTATTTCTCTCCCCCCCCCAATTAAACGGGTCTTTCACTGAACAGATCCACAGCAGCTCATGCCGAATCCATCTCCAATCTCGGAAACGTTATCGCGGTTATTTGAACTTTCTGCGATCTGTTTTTCTTTTTTCATTTCCAAATAACCCATTAAATTGTTCCTTAACAATGAATACAACAACGTTTTTGGCGAATCATATATTGATCGCTAAATTAAGTAAAAAAAACCTTCTGTGAATATCACTCAATTTCACGGCCGAAGACTTGAATATACTGATTAAAAATGTTGCATGAGAACATGGGTGACGATAAAAGCCCCATGCCTCACTTGATGAGTTTCACCAACTGGTTAAGCAATTTTTTCATCGATACCACGAATAAAAATCCTCCTTTTCCATTTTCATAGGGAAACTGATTTTAGAGGCAAAATGATGTGCAAGAACTCTGAAATATTTTGATATAAAAATAGCTAGCCTGCGCGTTACAGCAAAACGCAGCTATTGATAACTTATAAATTATAATTATAAATACGAGTTCTAATTCTTAAAAACCTGAAACCTATTGCACGGAACATTTTTTGTTTACAAACACTCCCATTACCATCATTACCCGTGTCTTGATTAATAATTTATCTGTATTTACAAATGCAAAAAGGCATTTTCCCGCGACGTCAACGCCGCGGCCATGTTGAAGGGTAACCTGGAACTTGCCACATTTAACGGATTGTAAAAAAAATATTTCAATATAAGAATAACACCTCTTATTGAGTAATAAATGAGATAGGTCTATATGTTCCCTTAGAGCGCACGAGGTAAGTAATTCATACTGATAAGTCCGAATGTTAAAGCATTATTCTCAGTCTCCTTGAAAATCATTGTTCGGTCATGTCACACAGCAAGCTAGAGAAAACAAGAGCGTTGCGTGACTCGAGGGAATAGAGGCAGGGACTGGAACATCAAAGGGGGTAGGTCACGATATTCTGATTCGTTAGGGTAGGGAAACAATTTAAGGTAATATTCAACCATTAATAAACAAAGATGATCAACGATGGGAAAGATTAAAACGGAAAGAAAAACCGTGACGTGGCTACATTAAGCTAAGCTAAGAAAATCCGTGATGTCAACTACTAAACACGTCCCACGATTTACGAAAACCTTGCCAGTTCCAGTACTGCTCGGTCTGCATCTCAGTGAGTCTGGAAATGGTGCGTTCAAACGCAAAGATTTCTTCCTCGGCCGTAAAGATGGCGCTTGAGTTTGCGTCGGACTGCAAAATACAACGGCAGGAAACACTTACATACACGAACAGTTAGTGTGATCTTCATCCATGTCTTGCAGACGTACAATTTCGACGAAAGCAAGTTCAGTGTGATGCAGAGAAGTGTTTCAAAACGTAAAAATAATCCTTAAGCGTGGTTGACCACGTCTCTTCCTAATTTTGCCAAAAAAAACACCAGTCTAATCGCAACTGTAATCTGCCCAATGCAGCCTAAACAAAGTCCTCCGCAAAGTGTTGTAAAAAGCTTTATAAATTCATCATAATTAGTTCAACTAAATACAAATATAAATATAAATAAATGAAATAATGTGGAACCTTAACGAGCGACTCCTTTGCATAGAGTAACGCACAGCCCATTACTTAAAAATGAAATCTCCACGGTAGTTTACACGGCATACAGAAAAACAAACAAAAACCTTACAGCTGATAAGTCGAGGTCGTCCATCAGCTTTCGTTTAAACTCGTCGTCATTTGTGGTCAGTGGAGTTGCGTTAAAGAGCTGACCGATTGGGGTAGCCGCTGAGCATATAAGACGAACCTGGGGGGGGGGGGAAAGAAACAAACTTAACGTCAAAAGGACAAGCTCGTTTTTTGGTTTCCGGAAGATTTGTTTTTCTTTTCTTACCCTGTTATCATAAAGAGCATCAATGAGCGTGATAAACCTCCTTGCCTCAGTTTTTTGAGAAACTGTCATTTTGGGAATGTTGCGCAAAATAATAATATCAAAGTGTTCACACAGGGCTAAATAATCCGCAGCTCCCAAAGGCTACAACAAAAACAAAAGAAAAAACAGTTAAATGTCATCTTAAAATCCACCCATGCATTACTGATCGAAACTGGACACAATTCATCGAATGAAATAGCATAAACCCTTTACACTCTAACATCAGTATACAATTTCTCCACACTGTTCTCTCTATTTCCTAAAGTGCTGACAAGGAGAATTTGTTTAACAATCAAGAGCTTCTTTAGTTGATGATCATTTCCTTTATTCTCGTGACCTTCATGTTTTATTCAGGGGTGATATTGTAAGGAGAAATAAGCTGCTTGTCACTTCTTAGGTGTCAAATAGTTCGATGCACTTTAAAATCGATTCAAAGCGTCTCCTTTCCTTTTGGCCTAGTTTCCTTTGGTAGGCTTGAAATTAAGAAACATAGGAAGTTGTCCACCTAATTTTAAATATTAGTCGTATTTTTTTCGGATTCGGATGACGAAAATTTTTAACGGTCTAAAAAAAGCAACCAAATACACTTACGTCGCTCTTTAAACGTAAAATTTTTCCGACGTCTTGAACAAAAGGCAAGCTATCTTTAGCGGTAAAACCTCATATCACAGCAAGAACCATTATGAGCAAAGGATTTCCCCTTCAAAATACGTTTTATTTTCAATACCTGCGCACAAAGTTCCTCAAATGTAAAGTCTGCGACTCTTCCACAAGTGCGTGGGGCGTTCAACTTCCTTGTACCAAGCACTTGAATTGTTGTAGGACCAGGGCTGCATTCAGCATTTTCTGTATCGGAATAACGCATACTTTGCGTTAGAGAGTGGAAGTAAAACGTAATTACAAAGCAATTTTCAATTGAATGCCGAAAGTTATACGGGATCACATTGGTTTTGCTTTACTTCGCTCTGTGATTGGTCTAGAGAACTTGCGCTCCTCTCTCAACCAATCAAAAGCAAAACTAAAGCCAATCATGACTCAGTCGCCCACGTGTTCCCGCGCTTTAGGCAGCTTGGTTGTTTTTATTTGGAGCTTTCATTGGTCCTTAAGATATTTTCCTCTCCTCTGATTGGCCGTTGTTATTACTTTGGTCTTGGTTTCACGAAACTCAATCGAAAAGCACGCTTATCAAGGGAAGCAAATGCAAAAGTTTATCCCGTAAATCTTACGTTCAGGCTTACTATTAGCATCCTTCAACGTACTAGTGCCTGCTTACTGACATAAAGAGCAGCTAATCAAGTAAATGAAGACTTTACAGAAAGGCACGAGAGTGAAATACCGCGGAGATATTGGCAATACTAAGCAATCCTCCGCTATGCTTCCTTCCTAGACCATCACCGTTAAACGAGAACCTAGCACACGCCATTGAGTAATCACAATTAGCGAACAAAACTTAGCCGTCTTAACATGTCTACAATAATTTTCTTGCGCATAACTCTATGAATCAGAGGGGTTCCATGTGTTAAGGTAACGTACCGTTTCTCTGTTGCTGAGCTAAATTAGCGAATATCCAGTCCAGTTCATTGGTTGTCTCTTTTCCAAGAGAACTAGCGAAAGTGAATTAATAAAAAAATAAAAAAGTTAATCACTAAAAATAAATCATTACGTCGATATCAAACAACCCACCGACCTTACTTCCTAAAGAAAAAAAAAAACATTCCAGTCCTTGATGACCAAAGGACTGGAGGGACAAATTTGGAGAAACCTGATGCAGTTAATAAGTAGCAAAAGTTATCTACCAACCTGAAAAATACCTTTCCAATAATGGACATGTCTGAACATAAAAAAGGATGAAAAGTCTGTTAAAACCAAGTAGTCCATAGACCTCAGCCCACCACCGTGACTGAGCAAAAATGTTATAGCACGCACTTTCTACATCACCACCAGTAATCAAAGTAATCTGTATTTGATACAAATTATTTTGCTATATACCTAGACTTTCACTCAACAAAACGAGCACTGAGATTGGTTGATTCTTGGTCACATGCCCCTGATCAAATTCAATTGTATCCCTACTGGGATACAATTGTGTAGTTGTTGCCTGCACACCGATTACAATTATAGCATGTTTTTACCTTATGATCGTTTAAGGGAAAGTCTAAATATACAATAAAGAACTAAATGTGTGGTCCAAGGGAAACTATTTAGTTTTGTTTTCCCTCAAGTCCTGATGTTTCCCTAGACTTTGTCTAGGGAAACATCAGGACTCTCTGGAAAACAAATTTAACTGTTTCCCTTGGGAACATACATTTAGTGTATAACATCTATTGCTCCAGTAAGAGTCCTGTTAACCTCTTCAACATTAAAGTATTATAGAATATTAGCTTACCTTAGAGGCATGTAAACAGGAATTTTTATTAAAAAAAAAAACACTCTCCAAGAGAGTATTAAAGCACACACACCTGTTCTGCGATAATCTATACCAGAGTCAAGACAAAGAACTTTGCAATTTTTCTATAGCAAAGAAAAAAAAAGGGAAAAAGTCAATTAGGGGTCAACTATCCTTTTATTGAACAAAAAGAAATGCATACATACTCACAGAATTATCTATGTAAATCTCTTTAAAATCTGATTGATGCAAAGATTGTTTAACTTAAAAGTGCATGAATCCTGATGTCAAACAAAGGAGGCCTGGAGACTACTCTGTATTCAAAATTGCCATGGGCTATATGGGGGAGGGGGGCAGAAGGTCTTTAGGGATAGGAAGGAAAGATGAAATTCCAAAAGATTTGTTCAAGATTTCCTTCAAAAATAACATTATCATCATAGGAAAATTTTCCAAATCTACTATTATATATAGGAAATCATCTACAGCCTCAGTAAACCAGTTATTTCAAATCTAAAGGTAAAGCTTGAAGATTCCAGTCCTTTTGATTAATATAGCTGCAATAGATTCAAATGTTCAGATGACCAGTTCCTCACCTTGAGAATAGGTATAAAAGGAATGAAGTTGCTTCTTTGAAGGCCATTTTTATACAAGTCTAACCAATGAGAGTGAAAAGGAGAGAAGTGAATATTCATCACTGACATCATTTCCCTTGACTATGTGCTAGTTTGCAATAGGCTATGGGTTCATATCTACTGGCAATTTTTTTTTTTTTAATTTTAGAGAAAATAAGTTTAAAAGAAACACATTTTTCTTTCTGAAACACTGACTGAATACATAAGTACATTCTGGTGCATACCATCTGGATGTCTATTGGATGTTGCAATCACAACAACTCCTTGTTCAAACAGAGCTGTGAATAGTCTTTTTAAAATCATTGCATCTGCAATGTCTGTCACCTGTGAACAAGAAGAAAGTTTGTTTAAATTTGTCAAAAATACATGATCTCTAACTCATGGGAGTTAAAGGGTTAAAATAGCCTGTGCAAGAAAGAAAGGTATCAATAAACATAGCTATAAAATAAGAAGTGTCACCTGAAATTCATCAAAACACAAAAGCCACCACTTCAAACTGATCTGCTCTGCAACAGGTGGGATAGGATCATAGGGCTGTGCTCGTATGGACTTGGGGTCTCTTGGAGGAAGACTAGCTTTTAATTTGTGAATACCTACATAAAGCAGACAAAGTATGTATGGTCAGTCTGCAAAATACAGCTCTTACTTGGTGTAGAGGACACAGAGTACATCACCATGGAATTTCATCATAACCAGAAATAAGAAAACAATGAAAACAATAGTGTGACATATACTGTGTCTTCTACACCAAGTAAGAGCCGAAAAAGGAAATTTTACATATCTGTAAGAAACAATCTGTACCGTCATCAATATAATGAACGTAAGCAAGGGCTTCAATAACATTTTAAGAAGATGGCAAAAGCTGTAAAAAGAGGGTGGGTAATAGAGGCTTGATTGAAACATGCTGTCTATAATAATACTAACACAGGGCAAAGATAAATACATACTTGAGTGGACATCCAACATGAATGAGTGAAAATGAACTCTTTGTTTCTTTTCAACAGGAACTTCATCATAAAATAAATCCATTAACATTGTCTTGCCACAGCCTTAAAAAAATACATTGTTTTAAAAGAGTCATGATCAATGCAAGATATACTCAGAAACATCTCCCAAAACAACAACTTCCGATTATTGGACACAGAACACCTAATAAACTAAAAAGTACATTAACCCTTTAACGCCCAGAAGTGATTGACATGAAAATTCTCCCTATTATATCTATACATTATTCAGCAAACAGGTAATGAGAATATTAAACTTATCAGGTAGAAGCTGCTATCTTGATCTAGCATCAAGTTCTCATAACTAATTTACAAGGAAATGTGTAGCAGCTGGAGGGGAGAATTAACAATCAGATCTTGGGAGTTAAAGGGTCAAACCAATCAAAAGTAATGAATAAAAACCATTAAAGATAAATGTCATCAGGAGCTTTTGAGAGCTTTATGTCATGTCAACCATAATGCATGTCTTCATGACCTCAAGCTTGGAAATGCACGAGTGAAACATCGAAACTGGTTTTAGTATTGCATGTTATCAGTAGAGAAAAGGGTTAGACTTTTCAAAACCAATCTCAATGTGTACAAAACTAAAAAAATAACCCTAACCCAAAGCAATCCTCAATTGCTTTTGATAGTCAAATAAAAGTTGCACTATGGTTGAAAAGATACAAAAATATACAAACAGTAACTTTAATCTAATTATAGTAATTATAACAGATTTGTTTTAAACTATATCATAAAACCAAGCGCTGTCCAGCCCCAGCTGAATCAGGTACTTAGTGACCACTTCTTACCTACACTGCCATGAAGATAAAGACCCACAGGAGTTTCTTTATTACTCTGCAGCCCAAAAACCTGTCAAATAAAGTAAGAGTCTCAATTGCCTAACTAAGCTCAAAACAGAAAACATTTAAATTAAGGATAATAGGAAATTTAAAATATCAATGCTCTATAATTTGAAAAAAACAAGCTGTCCTTCCCAGTAAATACCTTGGACTTTATTTTACAAAAAAGGTATGCACTAAAACTTTGATATGAAATTTCATAAAAAGTTTGTGAGAATGGAGAAGATTTCATTCAATTTGAAATAACATACCTTACTAAAAAATCCACCGCTAGTCAGCTTATAACTAACTACATCATTGTACAATCTTTGTAGATGCTCAACAATTTGCCTCTGATGTCTATCAAGCGTTAACTTTCCACTTCTGACTGTTTCATCATATTTTTTCAAAGGGCCTGCCTCTTGGTTATTAACATTTGGGTTTGGTACACCAAGAAAGTCATCTGAAAATAAAAAATAGCATGAAAGCAAGATTTTTACATCTCAACATTTTTTGGAATCTACTACAATTTTTTTAATTCTATACAGGTATGTGCTACAGGTATTGAAAAAAACCTTGTTGATAATTTGGCCACTTTTACATGATCCTGAAGTGTAAAATTACTAAGTTGAGCTTTTCCTTATAAGTAAGTGAGTGCCCAAAAAGGTGTCTGCTCCACAAGAAGATATCCTGAGAGGCCACAAAACAAACAATTGCACACGACTCTTGATCACAAGGAACATATCAGTCAGTGTTACAAAGATGACATATACCTGAGTTTGTCCAAGAACTCTAGGATTTCTTTTTAATCCTTGACATCCTTATATCAGTATGTATATTCTCCATACTGTTCTCCATACATTCTCCTTAGTACTGACAAGAGAATTTGTTTAACAATCATGAGATTTTTTATTCTGTGATTGTTTCCTTTATTCTTAATATGAATAAAGAGTGCTTCACTCAGTGGTATAATGTGAGGAGAAATTAGATGCTAGTCACTCTCTGCGTGTGAATTTCAATTTTATTTTAATAAACCCGACTGACCCTTGAACTTTTCGTATTTGTTGTGAGAGGCCTGCTAAGGCAAAGAAATTGAATTTGTAAAAATATTCTAACAGCATTTGATATGAAAATCAAATTACCAAGCGCAAGATTTAATCCAGATCTTGTTCGTTCCATCAGACGCTCACACATAAATACAAATAAAAATACACTTACTTGCTGTTCCACTCAAAGCGGAGGAATGGCGGCGAATCCTAATTGAAATTCGAAGGAAATCTCTTGAAGAACCACATCTCGAGGCAGCCATTTCTCGTATGACGTAAATAAAGTAGTTCCCAGTACCATACGATAGCTGACAACTGAACTAAGCTGCGTGGTTACTAAGAACTTGTTTCTAAAACAAATGTTGGGTATAGCGAAAGGCGCCGTTGTAATTAATTATGGCATTATTCGACAGGCTTGCGATCTGGATGGGCATCAGAAAGAAGGAAATTAATGTCCTTTGCATCGGTCTTGATAACAGTGGAAAAACAACGATAATCAACAAACTGAAACCCGCCGCGGTAAAGAGATCTTGGATCATTAAATGAATCACAAGTTACGTCAATTGATCGATCGAAGGACTTCCCTAATTGTTTCTCTTATTTCAGTCTCAGGCGCAAGACATTGTTCCAACTGTAGGATTTACAGTGGAAAAGTTTATGTCACAAAGGTTAGTCTATAAAATTCGCTTTTCTTAACTACAATTAGAAGCCTTAATTTAGTAAGTGCGAGGTTTGCACGCCTTAGGATACTGCCACCGGTACCGGACGACAGGCAAAATCAATTTCTTAACACAACTTTAATTTATACGTGTCTGCTTCCTTAATTATAGCTGGAATTTTCGCACCCCGTTCAATCATATCGTGTTATCGGTCGAGGCTTAAAATACTGAACTCAAGTAAATTCTATTTGTGGAGCAAGTTCATCTGATACTGCACGCTAGAATTACAGTAACATTAAATAACAGTATGAAATATACAAGGTTTTCCTGTGTGGAACATAGTCAAATCTTTTTTTTTGACAACTTTTTTCCAGGAACTTGCTGATTTCACACATTTGAATACCTCTGTATACCTTTTTAATGCCTGTGGTAGTCAACGAAAAAAATCTGACGAGCTACTTTCATTTTTCTGAGAAACCAGTGTTTTCTTATTTTACTTTGTTGGTTAGTGACACAGATTAATTCTCTCCGTGTATCAAAATCTAAAATCATTCATACATTGTAAATTGCTTTTGTTTTGTTCGGTTGTGCCTGTTTTGCAGCCTCACCTTTACAGTTTTTGATATGTCTGGTCAAGGAAGATACAGGACTCTATGGGAACACTATTACAAGTATGTGTATGATAGCCAATTTTTTTTTCTTGATAGTAAGTTTTGTCTGCTTATAACCATGTAAAAAATGGCCTGATTTAAATATTTTTAAATTCAGAAATATATAAGAGACCCTAGTATAGGTTAGAATACATATAATATTACCATGATTTACATCAATTGGTAAAGAAAATAAAAGACCCAAAGGCTTGTAAGCTTCACACAGAAGTGATTAACATGTAACTTCTCCATAAAGTATCCATATAATATCCAGCAGAGAGGTAGTGAGAATACTCAAACTTATCAGGTACAAGGTATTATATTGATTGAACACCCAGTTTTCATAACCAATTTACGAGGAAATGTGTAGCTGCTAGAGGGGAGAATTAACGATCAGATATTATGAGTTAAAGGGTTAAGTTTGTTTGTTTCATTCCTCAAAGTGTGCAAGTGTTGTCCTAACTTGTTTACATATCATGAATTTGAAATTTGGAAGTGAGCCATTTTACATCTCATATAGTGAGAGCTGAAAAGAAAGGGAGATGAGATCTTACTTATATCCCTTATTTTTCTTCCTAACTTCAGCATTATATTTTGTTAAATTTCAGAACTGCACAAGCAGTAATATTTGTGCTGGACAGCAGTGATCAGCTAAGAATTGTGGTAGCCAAAGAGGAGTTAAATATTTTATTACAACACCCAGGTGAGACTGATACTGAACATTTATTAAACATCTGCTAAAATATGCATGTAATGGAATATAATTATATTTCTCAAATTAAAGTTTAGTATAAGATTAGGTGGTCGAATGAGCATCCTTAATGAATCTTTAATGTTTATACATTCGCAAAAATTTGCCCAGATAGAATCTTCAATTTTCAAATAAAACTAATTGTAGCAATCTATTCTAAAATATAACTTATGGTTGAATTATTATGATTGTGTAACAAAATATTCAAGTAATATAGTTGTTTATTTCCAGAAATTGCTTCAAGAAGAGTACCTATTTTATTTTTTGCCAATAAAATGGATTGTAATGGTCTCTCACCAGTGCAGGTATGATGCTAAATAATTTTAGTAGAGATGTTTTATGAATGTACATGACAGGTAACACTGAAATAATTTGCAGTCTTTTTAACTTAATCCTTTGACCCCTTGGAGTGACTAATATCTAATTTCTCCTTTTGATATCATCCCTGAATCACACACTAAGGTCATGAGAATAAAGGAGATGATCACCAACTAAATAAGCTCTTGACTGTTAAACAAATTCTCCTTGTCAGCATCTTAAGAAATGTAGAGAGAACAGTATGGAGATTATGCATACTGATGTTGGGGTGTTAAGGGTTGAGTGACTGCAGTTTGCATAAAGAACACAATCTGTGCCCTTAACAACCCTCCATCTGGATATGTGCTAAATTTATAACCAGGAACATACAGAAGGAATCATACCACTGGATGCAAATTATCAGGGACTGTAATGTAGTTATACTTAGATTCCAATTGCTGCTTAACTCCATCTTGTTGGGCAGTTATTGATACAATACCATGAGAAGATAACTGAATGTATTAACAAGTCACTGATCATCAAGAATAAGTTGTTCTGCGACAGTTGTAATTAAGTAAAGCTATCAGAGATATCATTATTTCTAGTAGAATTCACCCAGTAACCTACACTGTCATGTAATGACAGGTAAGCATATAAGTAAGATTGTTTATATCTTTCTTTCTGCGAAATTAAGAGTGAATTGAATGTTAAATTTACTTTTCAGTGTTCACAAGCAATGGGCCTAGATTCTATAAGGAATAAGCCCTGGCATATATGGTGAGCTGCTAATTTAACTGATTTCTTAAGGAGCTGTTTTTCTTTTTCCCACGGGCTAATTTTAATTGGCAAGGTGCTTTTTGAGAGGGAGGGGAGGTGGGGCTTAAAATTTATCAATTACATGTTGTCAGTAGTTTTTAATGAATTTCGGACCAGAATGCTCTCAAGTTTTAAATTTTGCTTGATCTGTAATTCTCTGTGAGAAGATTCATTGTAAATTTATCATTTGAAACAAAGGAAAAAACAATAATCAAGCTATTGATTTAATCATACAAACTTAAGATGGCTGCAGTACAATTTATGTGTCATTGGTTTCTTCATTGATTTGTCAATGGTATTTTTTGGTTGAATTCATAGTGCAAGTAATGCTCTCACTGGAGAAGGACTCTCTGATGGAGTTGAGTGGCTTGAAGGTAACTACAACACTACTGCTATTTTTAAACCCTTGGTGTGTGTGCTATTGGGGGCATTATAACACCCCTTTCCCCCCTTCCCCTCCAGTAGAACTCTAAACTCTTAGTAGTTTTTTCAAAGTGGAGGGAGGGGGACTGTCAAGGGAAAGAAAGAGTCTCCACCATAACACAGTGACCTGGCTGAGACTCTTACACAAGTGTCTCAATTCAAAGTTGAGCACTCAAACTGCCAGGCCAATGAGCCTCCCAAAACCCAGGAATATCTGTGTATTTTAAAAGTAAACTTTGCTTTTGCAAATTAAACTGGATCAAATGATTAATCATGCCTCCATGAAACAACTCAACCCTAACTGAAAAAAATCATAAAATTGAAGTTGAGTTACTGTCAGGAGTAAATGTATGCGATCCCAGAGACTGCTTGTGATTTGAAGGGTGATACTTGGCTTATTTGAAGAACTAACTAATATTAAGAACAAGCCATGGGTGAACATGTGGATTTCTGCTTCATTTTGTTTTACAGATCAGATTCGCTCAGGAAACTTTTCAGATCAAAGTGGGAAACGCAAAGGTCGTTAACCTTGCACTATCTTAGCACTAGGATTTCAAGACCTTCTACAAATTAGGAAAAAGAAAGTTAAGTTACTTGTACTAACTGTATATGTTAGTGCACAAATACATGTGGTTGATCCTATCATTTTCGGTTCGGATATGTAGTCCTTTGAAGAGCTCCTGTTATATTGTTATGTAGCCATTATGCTCAGTGTATTTTCAATTGGTTCTCAGTGGCTGAAACAGAAGAGCTGCTCTCATCGCTTTATGTATGTACATACTGTTACTGGTAGTGGTTATCAATAGCAATTGTCAGTGAATGCAAAAAACATGTTAACTTAAGTCGTGAATAGTCATAACAAGTGATTGCATTGAAGCATTACAATCTGAGGACCTGTAAAAAATGGCTTCCACATATGGTTGCTGGCAATCACTGTTGGACATACCCATAGTATGATAGATATCATTTTTAAAGCAGTCATGGAACAATATTTTAGGGTTTTCCTAGCTTTTAAATGTTAGCTGTGTAACTGATCGTTTCTCAGAATGAACAAGCACCAAGGCATTAAATCCAGAAGGAAAAAAGGTTCACTAAAGATGGGGAATGTTATGGGTCACTAAAATCAGTTGCTAAAAAGGTACTGAACTGCACTTGGGGAATGAAAAGTTTTACCTGAATTTTTCAACTTAAGATGCATAAACTGTGTAGAATTTTCCAGTGACTGTAAATGTACATTCCATTAAAATAAATTCCTTTTTGTAAAACTGGTCCTTGATCAAACTACCAGCAACAGTCCAAAGTACCCACTCTAGATTGTATATTTAATTATAATAATGTTATAATCCTGCATAGAATGTCAGTAAGTCATTAGTAACTCTATCTCCCAGCCAATCAATATCTTTGCAACTTAACCTTGATGCAGTCCTATGTTGAAAATATGACAGCTTTTGATTGATAAGCAGAGTCAAAACTAGACACTTTTTAACAAAAAAAATTAGACCTTTTTGTTTTTCTTATTCACTTTACATGTGAGAAAATTTTAAAAAAACTTTCAGTGAAACCAAGAAAACCAACTTTGTTCTCTCCAATGAGAGGAGCTTAAACACATCATGTCAAAAACTCCCTAATTATTCTTTGCTGAGGAGAAATAATGACACCTCAGTTATAATTTTCTGGAAATTGCATAATGATTTCACCCTTTTGGGCAAAGCCTCTTTTCTAGCTTAATCTGGTGCACAAGCAAAAGAAATCAAAAAGTGGCCCACTCTCACAGCTAGTATGGCACTAGTACACTTTTTCATTTAGCCTTTTTTATCTTGTGACACTTGTTAACTTGTGACACATCAACCTCGAAGTAGGGTGTGCTTGTACACTTGTAGTCTCGGATAAGTGTTATTAAAGAAGTGTTTTGAATGAAATATGAAAATCAGCTGCAGTTTTTCCTCTTAAGCACTTAAATTTCTACCAAAGAGATAGTAGATATAACATGTTCATTTAACTTGCATTAAATGGACATGTTTGATCAGTTGTTGTCTGTTGTTCCTCTTTCAGTAATTTTCCTCTTTCTCAACATTGTATGAAGTGACACAGACAGTAACTTTTAACTTGGTGCCAAAAGTAATCTGGGGGTTTCTTTGGTTTTGCTTTACTTCCCTTTGTAATATTTTGGGAAAACTTACACCACCACCTCAACCAATCATATGAAAACTGAAAACCAATCAAGACTTGGTCATTAACACTTTCCTGTGACTAAGTCTACTTATATAATCATATAGTTACATATTTGGATTTTAGTAGTGATCTGTTCCTTTAGTAAATTACCATTAATGGAGTCAGCTGTTAAGACTACTCTCATGAGTTATTGTTTTAAAACACTCAGTTGAAAAGAGGCTCAATCTTGTGGAAAGTGTTTATCAAAAGAAAGTTCCACACTTGCTCTCGGCCCTCTTTTGAAGCAATACACCTTTTTGAAAACTTAAGTCATATTCTTTGCATAAGCAACTTCCCTCATCACAGGTATACCCTCACACTTCTGGTACTGGTTACAAAAATTTAAAGGTTTACTCTCCATAGTTGGTTCATGATAAGGTTTCAAAACGATATAACAAATCTCATTAACAGCTTTTCTACAAAATTGGTGTGCTCTTAGTGCTTTCAAGGATTCCACATCATCAGATGAGATTTTATACTGCTTTTAACTTTCTACTCAAACTCAGAATGCAAGTTTACTTACCAAAAGATGCATTATAAGGAATGTCTATTTTAATCAATGATGGAACTTGAAATGATGTGTAAAAATACATCATAAAAAAATTATCACAACTTTCATTGAAGTGAGGTAGAAGCTACTTGAGAAAAACTTTACAACAACTCTTAATACATTTTCAGTAATAAAGTGTGTACTTCATACTTTTATTAGAATTCTCACAACACAAATAGTATACCCAGGATCTATCTCCCCTGAGATGTCAGAGAAATAACTTGTAAGACAAGCTCGATTTCTCTTTGTTCCTCCCCTCGTGGATGGAAGAATTCCAATGCTTATTTTCTGAACAGGAACTTGTTGCACAGAATTTTTTTTAAAGTGAAACACCATTGACTAAATACCATTTTTTCATTGTTTAATTTGTCAACTGAAAGTATAAATAAATAGGAACCACAGCTTGTGTTGTGTTAAATACAATAAAAAAAGTAGTAAATTTATTATCTAGATCCCAAAAAACTAAAAAAAGTCATGGAACTTAAAAGGACCCACCTTGTTCATGTTGGTAGCTAACCAAAACTTTCAGAAAAACAGTACTCCAGTTGTAAATTCCCCTTAGGACAGGGGACAAAATTTGTGCCTCTGACATGGAAAGCCAATTACCCATTATCCATTATAGGACTTGTACATTTAAATAGCATACTATTGTGTTTACATAAATCCCTGTTACAAGATGCACCTTGATCATTACAAAAATCTACAACTTGAATATTTTAGAATTAAATACCAATAACAATTACATAGGTAAACCTATTTCTAACCTCAACAGACCTGCTTGCAACTACAGAACTTTAAAATTGTAATTCACTGTTGGAGGGGATGCTTTGGATTAACTTATCATTAAAGGTCAACATACAAGCTACCATTGTCAGAAACGTAGATATTCTAATTAACTTGCCATAAATTGCTGATTTGCAGTCAAGAGAAAATAAGCTAAGAGACTGATATCCACATAACAACCCCATTCCTGGTTAAGTTATTTTTAGACTCAAGGTGTGTGGTCATCCAATATGATTTTCCATGTACTGTATGTGTTACTTGATTATTTTGGAAAAAAAATTAATAGATAACGCGATGTATTCATGTGTGTAAGATTCACTACACACCACTGGCTATTTCTAAATCCTCCTGGGATCTCCAAAGACAGAAGAGACGTGGAATGGAATGGGTTGAGAGAAGATATTGTAAGATAATTGAAGCCTTTCAGGGGGTGCACTCTGAACTGATTGTTTCGTACTACAGTTTAATTCCTATAATTAACACATTAGCGGGTTGATACTTTAGGTTTTAGTGTTTGGAATTCAAATCCCAGTTGTATCTCATGAAAGAGACTTTAAAGTTGCCACTAATCAGTAATTCCTGCAGCTGATCCTTCTTCTGACCCTGTCCCATGTGTGCCAGAACAAACTGAACCAGCTAAAAAAAAGTCAGACGGAAACAAAACAGTATAAGATACACCTAAGGACAAGGGGAACCAGACATCTGAAACTGTTGTTAGGACAATCACTTTTTATCAAGGCTAGGGATATTGGCGTGAAATATAACGTTTCAAGTAGGCACTCTTTGGTTTGCTCATTCACTTGTTCCTTCTTTCGCTTGTTCCTTCATTCGTTCGTTCGTTCTTTCGCTGTTCGTCGTTCGCTCGGTTGGTCGTTAATTCGTTCGTGCCTTAGTTAGTCCGTTTGTTCTTGCATCCTGTCGTTCGTTCGTATTTTTTCGATCATTCGTACGCTCTATCGTTCCTCCGTTCATAAGTTCGGTCGTTCGTTCGTTTTCTCGTTCTTTCGTACGCTCTATCGTTCCTCCGTTCATAAGTTCGGTCGTTCGTTTATTTTCTCATTCTTTCGTGCGTTCTATCGTTCCTCCGTTCATTAGTTCTGTCGTTCGTTTTTTCGTTCGTACTTCCAGTCGTTCATTCGTTCGTTCAATCGTCCGTTCGTTGTTCATATACGTTCGTCCGTCATTTCGCTCGTTCGTTCATTCATTGCTTGTTCGTTCGTTTTTTCATTCCAAAGTTTGTTCCTTTCACTGCTTGTTCGTTCGTTCGTCCATTCGTTGTTGTATTCGTTCGTTCGTACGAGCTTTCTTCGTTCGTACGAGCTTTCGTTCATTCGTACGAGCTTTCGTTTGTTCGTGTGTTAATTCCACTGCTTTTTTTTCCGTTTGTTCAGTGTTATTCGTTCAGTTGAAAGGTTCAAAGAGTTCATCAGTCTTACCCTTCTCCATTTCCGAATGTGATTGGAATAATTCTAATAATATTTACCTCTTCGTTGTTGGAGCCAAAATCTACCCTGTACCACTGAAAAATCTTGCTTAGGCAAATCTAAAGATAAAATAATGTATCATATTGAAGCCAATTTCAACTCAAGATCGCGACACATCTTTCTGTTTCAGATGCTTCTTTCGAGATTACATTTACTCACATTGAAATCCTTCTCAAACAAAGTTTAGAGCATTGAGCAAAGCAATTTATAAAAGTAAAAACACATTATAAGAACCATAAAACTTGGGATTTGTTTCGTTCAAAAAAAAAAATGTCTTTATAAGTAGATTCCAAGAGCACATTTCCTTAAGTGTCGAAAAACCAAACCAAAGTAATCAAAACGGCCAGTCAGAACAAAGATGGATAGCAAAAGCACCCGATGAGAACTTAAGGGAAAAGAAAGGAAACTGGGGCGAGGAAAAATTCAAGTGATAAATGTGCGACTGTTTTAAGCCAACACTTACTTGACGAATTGTAGAATCAAAACACGGCGAACGATCGATACCTTTCGATATTATCTATTTTGACACGAGAGCCGGTTTTCTCCTTTTAGTTGTTAGAATAAAACATTTGGACACAACTCACGAATTTTCATACCAATTTCTCCTATTCCGTGGTTTGAACCCGCCGTTTTCGGATAAATAAACTTTGTCACCGAGTGGTCTCCAGTGGATGAGAATCCAGCTCAAGATAAACACAAGTGAGCTCATATTGAGTCTTACCTCTCTTTTCGGCATGTTAAGAACGCAGCCATCCTCTCCTTCTAGGAAAGACTCAGCTGCGAGGGATAACTCCTCGTCTATTCCCTGCAAAATTAAAATACACTTAATTCAACAACATTTTCGAAGAAGAACTAGGTGCTTTTGATAATAAAATTTTCCAGTGATGCCTGAATAAACGTTCTTTCGATTGAGTGTCGTTAAGGGTGGAGCAAAATAACCATAGCAACAACCACTCATGCTGAAAAAAAATGAAGAATTTCCGATATGGAGGAATTTTGTTCTTTAACCGTTTTCTCTACAGGAGATTTTTGTCCTAGATGTATTTGTTTTTTACGAAAATTTTTACGGTTATGATTAATTGGTAACAGGACTTCGTGTCGTCCAATTCTGTCTGTAATCATACTCGTGATTGACAAATCGGACTCCTGCTTTGCAGTCGTCTGATTTTGTTTATCGCTCGCATGATTACAGACAGAATTGGACTCCACTCAGTCCTATTACCATTATTAATCACAGAAAGTAGTAAAGCGAAACCAATGCAATCTCGGATTACTTTCGATAATCAATTGAAAATTCCTATATTTGACAATAATTCCAATATTGCACGTTGGTTATGAGTGGGCCAACAGTAACTACGTCCACTGTTCAAGTAGAAAGGTCACTATCATGTCTGTAATACCAAGCCAGGGAAAAATATAAAAATCTACTACAAACCCTTTAAGGAAAAACTGCTTTTTTAATACAATATTTCAATTAGAGTCCATGGTCTAAGAACTCAGATTACGTGACCACTGCATCGCAACACTCAAGACTTGCTATGTTTCCTAAGGTGCTGACAAGGAGAACTTCTTTAACAATCAAGAAACTGTTTTGTTGGTGATCATTTCCTTCATTATCGGGATCTTAATGTGTGATTCGTGAGTGATATTGTGAGGAGAAATAGATGTTAGTCACTCTTATAGGTCAAAGGCTTACATGAGAGATAAGACCATGTCAAAATGAAGTTGAAACTTACCGCCGCGGTATAAGTCTTTATCGGTGGACAACTTTTGGCTCCACACACCAGAGCAAAATGAACCTTCGGCTCTGGAGCAGGTAACGCAACTCTCAGTCGAGGGTCACTCTTCGAGAAAGGCTTGGTCACGGCACCAATAGCTTTGCGATTTGAACGAAGGATGCCATTCTCAATCTGGTTCAGGCCAAACGAGTGACCACCAATGATGTAGTTTACGGTGTTGAAAAACTGCAATAAAATTTATCATTTGATTTTAAAGGGAGCTTGCTTAGCTAATGTAAAGGTTCTACTACCGAAATTCTTTTGGCTTAAAGGCAAAAAAAAATTATTCCATTTAATACCTTATATCTCTGCCACAGGTTGACGGGTGGTCCTCTGACTACGTTAGCGTGAATCACCAAAGCGTTGTATACATTAATGAAGAAAGCAAGAGTTTCCTCTCTAGACATTCCATCCAATTTAACACGTTGAAGTTCAGCTGTATGCTTAACATAACCCTTGAATTCTGTGCTCTTTTCCATGGACTCATAGTCCACTCCCTGTTTAACATTAGAAAAATTTCTTGTAATTGTATAGTAAGTGTTCGGTCTGTACTGAATGATTATCAGAGTAATGCCAACGCAGAGCGAAATCAACCTCAAAGAGGTTGGGCGGGTTCTAAGAACCTCCATCTTCACGTATTATAATTAGACGCTTTAACTCTACATTCGCGGTTTGTATCAGTCTGTCTGTCTGTCCGCCCGTCTGTCTTTCTGTATGTCTGCCTGTCTGTCAGTCTTTCCGTTGTCTTTCTGTCTGTCTATCCTTTCTATTCGCTCTGACTAAAGACTAACGCTCGAAATATCAGCTTTAGAAACTCTTTACCGAGGCCAATTTACGTTGACAACTCAGTTGATCAAAACAAAGCCGACACAGCACCACAGTTTCTTTGGAAACCTACCCCCTTTATTCAATTGTCTGTCTGCTTGTCTGCTTGTCTGTTTGTCTCTTTGCTTTGAATATGAGAGCTTTGCACAGTTTTAGAGTAAACACAGAAATTTGTGCACTTGTCTTCGTGGCGGATTCAAGAGTCGGTACAGAGGATAAACTCTCACAGTTATTCTCTACTCAATGAAGTACGCGTTTACACTTAGTGGGCGCAAATGAGTTAAATGAGCCCTTCAATGGTGACATTTATTTCTAAGTTACCTTTCCATCCTTGGACAAATACTTGCTATACAAGGTAAGAATCAAGCGCCGTAGTTCTTCAGCGACCTCAGGAGCTGGGCGTGGCTCACAAACAGAACTCATCCCAGAGTTCAGTGCGGTCGATTCATCATCTTCAAGGAGGCGATAAATGCTGTTATCGTCCTTAAACTCCGTGTGCTTTCCTTTTTCGACACCATGTCCAAAGTTGCGCTCAACAAGCTCACGACACATCTCTACAGCTTTCTCTCTTCCTGAAAAAGGAAATGTTCAAAGATAACGCAAGATCTAATCAACAGTATTTATCTGGAAATTAGAAGTGCATGGACTTTCACCTAAAAGTGAACAAGAAACTTCTTTGATGAAGTACCAGAATGTTTATTTTTGAGTGTGTTTGATATCATTTTTACCCTTGAGAGGTACTATCACTAACATTCTGTTGCGCGTGTATTTCAAAAAATGAATTGTACAACAATGAACACTTCCGTCACTTTGGACAATCAAGGATTTTGCTCCACCCTTAACATCAGGATGTTAAAATGTTGAGTGCATTCAAACTTATTGCAATTATGCAAGCTTCGTAAAAGTGTTAATCATAAAATGCAAAATAATATCATTTCCTGCAAAAATTAAACATTTCATTGATAAAAATAGAAGCCTGTATAATCTAAACCAAAAATTTGGGAAAAGTTATTTAAGGACAGCTAGCTTTCATGTGCTTAGATCAGTATATATATATAAGTATATTTTCTTACTATTTCTGTGTATTACAAGCTCTAAACACCCAATTAGCACATCAAAAGTCTTGTTAGAAAAATTTGCAGAAATCACATGCACTCAACAACCATTAGGATCTTTTCAAAAATCACAAACAAGTTCAGTGGCCATTATCATGTCTGCAGCTTGCTCAAGTCTCCATAACATAGTGCAATTAGGAGTACTGCTTTTCCTCTCACTAGGGATGCTAATCCTTTGATTGCAGCTACTCCCCAGCAATTTGTCAAGTTTCTCTAACAGATCACAGGTACCCATTTCTACTCCTAGGCAGAGACCCTTTGACAGGTAACCCTCCACACCCCAACAACAGCATGCATAAAGTATTATCTATACTGTTATCTATACTGTTCTCTATACATTTCCTATGGACATGTAGAACTTGTCTGACAATCAAGAGGTTCTTAATTTGGTGATCATTTCCTCTACTCTCTTGGCCTTAATTTGTGATTCAGGGGTGATATGGCGGGTAAAAAAATTAGATGTTAGTCACTCTTAGAGGTAAAAGGGTTAAGTATCCTGTCCAAGAACACAACAGAATGACCTTTGCCAGAGCTTTAGCCCAATAACCCCTTACTCCAGCATTATCCCCACTGTGACTGTGTCTCCTACTGCATTGAGTTTTCTGTCAAGTAACATGCAATGATTATAATACTACTTGCCTATTTTCTTTGTCTTCACAAGCCAGTCCACAGCTTCCTTGCCAACAAAGGAGTTTTTGTAATTGTGAATGAGACCCTTGCGGCGATCCTTTATAAGACCACTTTCTTTAAATTCTTGGACAAGCTGAGCATATTCATCCAGCTCACAAGTGAAATCAATTGCCTCCCTTGTGGTTGCTGCAAATAGCAAACACACAGATTAAAGTTAATATATTGATTTCATATCACATAATGTTATCCAATAAGAGATGTTATCCAATAAGAGTATATTGAAGACAAAATGGTTGAGGGTGTACTCCTTTGGTAAAATGTTGAAAAGAGAAGCTCTACTGGACAGTTCAACCTTAGACTAAGAGAAATCCTTCCTTTTCAGCACAGTTTGTCACGTGAGTCCTAAAAATCAGCACTTGGAAAAAAAAGGGATTGCTAGTTATCTAGTCCAACATTAACACTTTTATTTAAAGTGAATAGTTGCCTTAAGACCATCTCCTTCCCTACAAGCTTCCTTTCACTGAAACATCATTATTCCCACCATACCATGACTGCAACCAAGGACACCTTTTTCGGTTTCTAATGAGGATGATTATTTGAATTTCACCTTGCAAATACAACCAGTGAAAAAAATATTAAGAGAAGATTTGCTCTCTTTTGTTGAGTATTGGAATAATTTCATTTAATTTTCTCTCTATTTGGCTCTCAACAGGGGTTCAACTTGAACAACAATGATCAAATGAAACTGTTTTGTATCTCCCATGGTACACTTTTGCAAAGGCTTGATATTCAGTGCATAACTTAGCATTCCAAACTGTCATTATCAATTGTTGACATCAGTTCTACTGCATACCAATTGATCAAAAAGCTGATATCCCTTTGACCCTTTAACTCCCATGAGTGACCAAGACACAATTTCTCCTCCCAATATCGATGCAATACCAAGCAGACGAGTAATGAGAATAAAGACTAATATTAATCAGGGGATTATTAGTTGATCCTATACCAAATTCTTCAAACTAACATCACAAGAACTGTGTGGCAGACAGTAAGGAGAATTGCTAATGAGATCTTGGGAGTTAAAAGGTTAACTCCTATCTAGAAAAAATGGTCCATATTTTTTAGCATCTTGATGAACCCTTTCAATTCCCAAGATCTCAGTTGTAATTCTCCATACTGTCTATCATATGATTGATAATCATGATGTTGGTTTGGAAAATTTGGAATTGGATCAACTCCCTTAACTGATATGTTTCTTCATTCTCATCACTTTTCTGCTTGATATTGTATTGGCATTGTAAGAAGAAATCTACCTTGGTCACTCTTGTCTTATTAAAGGGTTAAAGGAAGTACTCATTAACCCCCCTTTCCCTTCAAGAATCTTTTTCATTTAACAAACATAACGGTGAGATTTACCACTACTGGCTGCATCTGACTTGGGGGCTGGTGGTTGGGGAGCATCTGCTGGAGCGGGATTCTCTTCTACTTCATTAATCAACTCTTGAAGCTCAGCCTCAGTCTGAGAAAGTTATTATCAATAATGAATCAAAATCAAGAAAAAAAATTAAAAGTTACAAATAGAATCTTCATCTAACAAAACATCACTTGCCCATAAAAGATGAATAAAGTATGCAGATTGAAATTCATAACCCAATGTTCATGTATGGATACCCTGGCCAAGACTTATGATAAAACTAGGAACTGTGATGATGTGCAGTCAGGTGATGAAGTTGATTAGACGGTATCATTTTTATTGTCATTACTAAAATTTACTACACCATTAGTTCCATTCTTTTGATCCTAGTTCAGCTCTAAAATGTTGATTGTATTAACTGTAAACAATGGAAGTTTTCATAACTGCATAGAACTTTATGATTGCAGCAGTGGGAATACAATTGTTTAGCCTTTAACTTCCTACTTTCTCCTTACAGTATCTGACCCCTGAATCACACATTAAGGTCATGTATTAAGGTATGTAGAACAGTATGGAGAATATGCATACTGATGTAAGGATGTATAGGGTTAATCAAATCATCTGAATTTTTGGAGTGTTAGAAAGAGCAGTTTAACTCAGATCCTGATGTTAAAACTAAACAAACAGTGAAAACAATGAAATTCACAGCTGTCCATGTTCAGTTATGTTTTTAGAGTCACTCTTTGTTTTGATTGTGATGTTTCCATGCGTTAATTATTGTCCATATATACATTTTGTTATTTACAGAGATGATAATATCTATGCAGTGTCACCATGACATGACAAATAACACGTAGAGCTGTAGTCAACATATTTGCGTTGATGTAACGGAAGACATCATAAAAGGGAAGATATTGGGCTATTTTCTTAAGATATGCCTAAAAGTAAAATGAACATTTTACCAATAACAATGTGCCGCACTACAGACAAGCAATATGCAATAATAGAGACTGTTGTACTGTGTTCTATCTCATGTTTATTTTGACTAGTTACTCGCACGTAAATTTTGTTTCACAATGGTCGACAGTCAGTAACATTGCTCTGAAAAGACTTGAATTTTTTAATGTGATTGTTACCCAAAGGTAACATGAGGGAACAGTTGCTAAAATAATAATTAACTGAGAAGTAAAGCTTTAACTTTTCTTTTTTCCGGGTTGACATGCTTGGAAGCCTACACATGTTGGATAAGGCGATCTTGAAACTTTACAAAAACAAAGAAGGAAAATATGTTTATTCTTACCAATTTATCAAAGTCGTCGAATCCACCGACATGTATATTGTTGAAAAATATTTGCGGCACAGTGTTCTTTCCGGTTCTTTCCTTCGCCTCTGCTCGTCGCTCTGGGTAAGTATCCAAATTGATGTCCATGTATTCGATGCCAAGTTTCTGCATTTTGTCCTTTGCTCTCATACAGAACGGACAGCCGGTGATGGAGAAAATAATGACTCGTCCTTTCATGGTTGGTTTTGGAGAAATAGGCTCAATGAGTACCTTGTCAAGAATGCAAATCTAACGATCCAGCTGGATTGACACACAAACGTGACAGGAAAGCAGGGGTGGGTTGGGGGCTTGATATATGGTATATATCCTAGGAGCCTGGGTACAAGAACACGATCATGAATTAATTCTGCAGGGCACTTGGCAACGAAAGACGTGAACTGGTGAAAACAGCTCGAGAGGATATCTGAAGGCGTCAATGAGTAGAGTTGAAACAATTAGCCAAGTCGTGATTTGTTTACAGGTTTTAGTTTGTTGACCCCAATACCCTCCTTAACGAAGGGCATTGGGGTCTATTTGAATTAAACCACAAAACCGTAGAAAAAATCATCCAAAACAGCAAAAAAACTTCGAGCAAAACCAAAAACCGTTTGCAAAACCGTCAAAACCGATAATTTTTCACATCCCAGTTATCAAAACCCTAACCGATCCGATACAGTTCGAGATCAGTGGAGACGCATAATTGCCCATGGAGGAGAAACCGGAACCCACATAAGAAAAAACGAAAATTATATCGGATACCAAATCCCAAAACCCACTGATGTTTTTTACGAGAACCGAAAACCAAATCTTGAAAAACGGAAAATCCGCAATTAACACCAAAACAAAAAAAGGAAACCGACCTAAAAAATAGCCAAAACTGCGAAACCGAAAATCCCAATGCCCCCCTACTTAAGGAATCACCGAGTAAGGTTACAGCAGTGCAGCAAATCCTTTGCAATCCTAGATTACTTCTGTACCGATCATAAGTGCGATGGAAGATAACTTATAGACTTCCCCTGGGCTGTCACTGGCCTGCTACGAGAGTTAGCCGCTAATTACAATTGAGCTGAGCTGCCCACGGGATTAGGCGATGACGACAAAATTGTACGGGTGAATGCAAGAGAAAATGTGGGTAGACAAAGGAGGGATCCTGATCCAGGCTTTGGATAGATTGTCTTTCAAACGGAAGTCTTTTTCCCGAGGCGTCCTCATGACAGCGAAACTAGAATGGGTATTTGATTAGAATTCGCATAATGACGGGCAGCACAGAAGTGTAAAAGAAAACGCCGTTGACAAAGAAGGGAACTGGCATTTTTGGGCAAGAATTTATGATGCAAAAATATAGCTGAAGAGAATTTTGTTCCCTCCTCAAGATAACTTTAGAGGAATCGAAACAACCCCGCTAATGCCCTGATTGCCCTAAGTCTGTCTCCTCATTTTCACTTGGTAGGAGAGATCGTAACCGGCTAGAGGGAAGGAAGATATGAAAAAAAGTATAACATGTTGGCAATATTTCTCCTGTTGACTTTCTTCAAGTGCCTGGACAAACAAGGGCTTCCAAAAAAAATCTGATTAATTTAGAAAATTATTCTGTTTCTCCTATGATACATTCAAAAACGTCTTGTTGAAATAATGAAAACTCTATTCAGGCATGTGTACCCATAGCCTATAAAAAAAATTAAATTTTTGGACATGAAATTCTAAGCAGATTTCGTCGACAACAAAGTGCTCTTTACCCAGACTCCCAGTGACTGCCGGCTACACTAATGTGCTCAGAATCAGGGCATAAGATTAGGGGTCAACTAAAAAAAAAAAAAATTACGATTCAAGGAGATGTAGGCCGAGTATGCTTTGAGGTTAGAATCTCAAGCTAAACTCTTTTTATTTTTTCAATGAGACTAATAAATTCTTCTACTTTGTCATTGTCACTGGCGATGAGATAAAGAATAGTAACAGAAAAATTAAGATCCTATCGTGGAGTAGTATAACTTAGTTTTCTATACAGGTCACTCGAACTCTTCTGTTTGGTATTTATCTTCGTTTACAATCATCAAATGGTCTCCATTTTCTCTCTGCACTGAAAAAATGGCCAAAGCTAGCCATAGTTCGATGGCCATGGATGGTTCCCTACAATCTACGGCTACACTTTCCTAATAAAATATATCATCCTTTGCAATCCTCAACCAGACAACCAGTTCCAATGTTTAAAAATTTGCCATTCCCAACGCGGCCACTCTGCTCAAAACATGCACATGACTGTCGTGAATGTTAGTGTGACTGCTGACCTCTTGCCAGCATATACTGGATTCAACCTAAAAGATGAGTGCAAATATTACAAAAACAAAATTAGAGTTGTTATCGTGAATCTTTGACTCTCTCTTTTAAGTAATAAATTGTAAGAATCGATAAGTCGTCTCTTCCTTACTTTAAGGCCAAGCGGTAGAATGAAACCTATTCGAAAAAGACTGAAGGGCCTGTTCGATCAGTCTTGTATCATTTGCATATACCTCAAATTCGATGTCACCCAGCATTTCCCTCTTGTTGTCATGGAAATGCATTGCCGTTGTTTCCAACCAAGCGTTATCTGTATTTTTGACGTCATCGACGTATCCTCTGTAGACCTACAATTTCACGGGTTGACCAAAGTGATAATAAGTGATATGACAAAAGATATTCCATGTGCTGTTAGAAAACTGAAGTTAAGGGTGGTAATATTAGTCACATCAAAGCCGACCCATTTATTTTTGTGCGCCAGATGAGGCGAGTCAAGGCACCCAAAGAAAAACGTATTTCGCAAGATCTTCGATAATCAAGCTCTTCAATTGATAGTTCAATCGTTAAATTGTCTTTCCATACCCTGGCAAGGAATGAAATGGGGACAGAAGCACAAGGCAATCACTCCAATGGATTATGGGTTTTATATCAATACTGGTATCTTTTTTCATTGCAAAAGCCAATAACACTTAAATTGAAGTCAAGACAGCACATGATGCCCTCTTGCTGAGGTGTGCTGCATTCATGTTTCACGTTCTTTTTAGATTAACGTTTCACACCCTTACATTGATATTGTTATTCTCCACACTGTTCTTGTTACATTTCTTATGGTACTGATGGGGAGAATTTGATAGACAATCAGACGTTTCTTGAATTTGTGATCATTTCCTTTATTCTCATGACCTATATATATTTGATTTAAGGGTGATACTGTAAGGAGAAATTAGAAGCCAGTCACTCTTAGGAGTTAAAGGATTAAACACAGTTGGTTTTCGTCATCCTCATTAAAATGTTTGACACATTTATTTGCCCCGTCTTGATGTCAACACATTTCCAGAACTTGAAAAGTGTCAGGGTACTTTGTCAACTGTGAGAAAACGACTTGAGATCAATTATTGAAAACTAGCAGCAACCTTTGTTTTTCTATTGCAAATTTGATGATACATTATATTAAGGAAGCTAAAGTTAATACCCCTTAAAGACCGTCGCATAATGAAGCATACCTCGGCAGCATTTTGAACTATCGTATCTATACATTTGTCCAAGTTTTCCTTTCCCTCTTTGATATCAGACTTGACACTCGCAAGAATTTTGTTGGTAAAAATCTTTTTCAAAGTGCGCAACGCTGAGTCGCCAGCTTCCAACAGTTCCTGAAAATGTTAGGCAATCCAATACGATTAAAATGATGTAGGAATTGAAAAAAAGCTGGAGAGAGGCGAAGAAAGAGAAAGAAAAGCTGCCCACTATTCGAGAAATACCATAACAGGGGGCCAATGAGTAGACGAAGTAAACAAATGTAGACAGCATGTAAAGCGCGGGAAAACCCTGTTGACCAGATCGCTATTGGTTTTAATTTTTCATTTGATTGGTTGAGAAAGAGGCTTGGTTTTGGTGACCAATAGGAATATGTAGAAATTAAGTATGAATGCAATGGCGGAATACTTTTGACTCCAAAATATACATTGCGCGTACGTGTTATCGTAAGTTTAAGAAAATCATACCCCGGGTAATTCCCATTCCAAGCTGTCTAGGTTTTTATTTGCCACGAATTCCAGAACATTTTTCTCTTGTTTTCGTAGGACTTGACCATCTTCACCGATCTTCCATCTGAAAATGGGAGTAGGTAGAGGAATAACGAAACTTAGAATTTAATCTGATCTTAGTGCAGCACTTGGAAATTTACCTGTACTTTGGAAATGGCAATGATTGTTTCAAACAGAAATCGTTCCGTCAGTAATTTACTCCGTCAATAGCGCGGGCAGAACGACGGGCAACAAGGCGAAATAAGCGGAAAAAGTTGGTGCAGAATGGCAGAGATTTAATACGGCCCACCTTGTAACAACAACATGAACTGCATGGTTAGGTCCCCAGCGACCAAACAAGCCACGTCCTGCGATGCCTGTCCTCCCCATCGGATTTCTATTCAACAAAATATAGCTTAAAAGTAAAGAAAACTAACACTGAATATTCATCATTTATGAAACCAGTCTGTAAGGTGTATGCGAAAAGAAAGAAGAGCTATTGTCCTTATCTGTAGTTTGCGGGCAGGACCTCATTACTAGAGCTGCAAGGCGCGCGTTTCTCCGAGGCGAGTCGGGAAAAGGTTTTCCGTGGATCTGGCTCGGTGCCAGACCCCTTGAAGATCTCTCAGCCCTTGCAGGCCTCATTCTTTCCCGTAGCGAAGAAACGCTCGTGCTGAATCGCTGATCACGAGAGTCTGCACGCAAACTACACCATTTGATGGTCTGCAATCATCGGATTCGTTTTAATTCTAAACATAAAAACAAACAAAAAAACAAACAAAAGTGCCTAAGAAAGACACCTTGGCAATCGATTGACCACGTCAATCAGTCCTGTGTGACTTCTTCTGTTGATTCCTTGGTCCTCAAAGTTAAACAAGATAGCTGTAGTCGCGTCATTTGGGCTAAAAATACAAACAAATAATTAAGCATTATCCACAATAGGTAAAGAAAAATGAAAACGAGCGCAAAAGCAACTAGATTGATTAGACAGATCGCAGCGTAAATCGCACGTGGTTATTTCTTTGTTGCTCTGAGGGCATTTAAGAGTGAAGCAGCTTGAGATGGAAAATTCAAAAATGCTAGACCTCATTGGTTGGTTTTTTGTCCGCGCAAGCTTGCTAGAAAGAGTTACGAGAGAGGAGTCGTGAATTCTGGGTAAATTTCTTGTATTTTCTTGTGACCCCTGCTAGATTTTTTTACTCACTCTAGTATGTCGGGATCGGCCCAGGCTGGCATGGCTTCCACTTCCTGTGCGGTATATAACGGCGGATTGTAGCCTGGGAACGACTCCTACAAGCAAAAAAAAAAAAAAAAAAGAAGTTGCATTTTAATTTTACTTTCATTATTGTTATCTTCTTCTTTCCTACGCCCTCTTTCTTCTTCAAGAAACCCAAAGTTGTATTTGGACACTCAGCAAACAGAACCACAAACTGTGATTTACAAACCCAAGGAAAATGAATTTCTGGCAATCTGATAGTTTTTATGCAGCGCTGTATTACACTACCAAAGTCCTCTTGTTATATCCCACATCATTTAGCCTAATCTCTCTCTTCTTCAGTAGCTTTTAATTTTGCACAGTGAAGACACGGTCTCTCCAAAAGCGGTCCAGTTCAATTCGGTTCATAAAATCGATTTCTTTCAAGCTTAATCATGAATCTGTCTACGTGTAAACGTAATTGAAACGACCTCATTTTATTCGAAATATTTCAAAAAGATTTCTTCCGTGGGAAAATCGCTTCAGTGCTTAAAGGTCCATTTTTAACAGCGTTAATTATCAAAAATGGCACCAATTTCCGCGCTCGTCTTCTCACAAAACTCTTGTTTGAACTATAGCTTTTTTTGCTTCGCATTATTAGATCGATCCTTGGTGAGAACAAATCACATAGGTTTTTCTTTTTTAACGGTTTTTCCCACTGAAAATTATTTTTCAGTCTGACACCTACTCTGAAATAAACTTTACTACCATACAGTAACAATATTTCCGATTGCTCAGGTACCAAACATTTATCGCACAACTCTGAGAAAAACCCTTACAATGTCTTGCAAGTACAGGCACGGTTTATCCTTGTTAAGGAACTGATTACCTTAATTATCACATAGCCAATTACATACCTGCCAGTCGACGAGAAAGTCCGGCACAGGATATCGCTGTTGGTTACTCTTTGGATATGGCGAATGTCTCGAATGCACGTGCGTCACTTTCTCGTGTGCTTCATGTTTAAGAGCTTTCTTTGCACGTGCGGCAGCAGTTGAGAGACGTCGTCGAGTAAATTTAAATCCCTCTGTTTGAATCGAATTTCAGATGAGCAGTCTAAGTTTGAGTAGAAGTGACAGTTCTCATTGTGTTGACAGGTAATAATAAGGCGAAAAAGCAGGGGATTGTAGAGTTCAAAACAATTTCATGTATGAATACCACAAGTCCTTAAACAAGTCACTGAGTTCGTAAATACCAATTATAATGGATCACGAGGAGCAAATACATCGCAACTTCTAGACTTTTATTCCTTTGGACATGCCTTTTATGGGGAGCATGCGAACTCATAACGGATTTTCGCTGCATGTATCCAACGCGTATAGCTGTTAAAGGCTAAGCGTTAAGAGTAGGTACATATGTAGGGCTGTCTGATTGAGAACCCACCAACATTCTAACAAAATTTCCAACACAATCGGGAAGTTACAATAACCGAGAGAAACCTACCTTTCATCAGAGGGGAGGACGGCTCAATCTTGCCATTCGTGCGTGGTCCGTCATAAGAGAACCTTTGTGAAAGAGGCTTGTGTCCACCTACACCTGTAATGAATCCCATGGGGTCAATGTACGGTATAAAGTAAAGTCACCCTACGAGCCTCTTCATCTATCTAACTTCAATATATTCTCTTCAAATAGGGAAGGAGAGGGGCCTCGGGAACTAGGTTGTTTATGTACGACAAATTGTCCATGTGACCAGAATACATTTTACCTGCAATTTCGACTGCTGACAACGATACAGTTCGCTCGGACCGCGCATTACGATTATTCTCGTCGTTTGTCAATGCCCCTGGTTCTGGTGCCAGTATCTCTAAAATTCTGTTCATCCCTTTTTCCAGTTTGTTAAGGCGTTTACTTAGGGAGTCGGCAGACTTTTTCCCGCTGTGAAACTGACAAATGGAATCTTTGTACATATCTTGAAGTTGACTCGAAATAGCCTCCATTCTGAAATTTGATGACAGATCCTTGTATGGGAAATGTGTTTCATGGCACATTGTATTGTCTGTAGCTTACACTACGGCTAAATCGGACAGCTAGTATGGTTGCAGTCTCGGATTGGACAGTCAATCAATAAATTAACCCACCAGTCAAGTTAGTCAGTCAGTCCGTCATTCGTTCAGTCAAGCAATCAGTCCGTCAGTCATGTCGACCAGTCAGTCAACCAATCAACTAGTCAGTCATTCAGTCAGTCTGTCGGCCAGTTAGTCAGTCAATCGGTCAGTTAGCCAGTCTGTCAGTCAGTCAGCCAACTAGAAGGACAACGAGTCAGGTTGTAAATCAGTCAGGCAGTAACTTAGTCAAACAAGCGGGCAGTGAGACAGTCACTCAGCCATTCAGCGAGTCAAACAGTCAGTCAGTTAACCAGTCATTCAGTCGGTCGACCAGTCAACCAGTCAGTCATTCTGTCGGTTCGTCAGTCCGTCAGTCCGTCAGTCCGTCAGTCCGTCAGTCCGTCAGTCCGTCAGTCCGTCAGTCCGTCAGTCGTCAGTCCGTCAGTCCGTCCGTCCGTCCGTCAGTCAGCCGGTCAGTTAGTCATCCAACCATGATGACAGCGAGTCAATTCGTCAATCAGTCAGTCAGTAACTCAGTCAGACAGTGTGTTTGTCAACCAGCGATCAGTCTGTCAGTCAGTCAGCCAGTCAGTAAGCCATCCAGCCGGCAGGAATGCGAATCAATTCGTCAGTCAGTAACTTAGTCAGTCTGGTAATCAGTGAGTCAGTCATTCAGCGAGTTAACCAGCCATTCAATCATTCAGTTAGTCAGTCATCAAACTAGTCTGTCACTCAGTCAGCCGGTCATCAGAGAGTCTATCAGTCAATCAACCAGTCCGCCAGTACGACAGTCGGCCAAGTAGCAGCCAGTCAGCCGATGACAGCTAGTCAGTCTGGCCGTCAGTCAGTCAGTCAGTCAATCGGTCCGTCCCTTCATCCGTCTGTCCTACTATTTGCAGTAAAGAAGCTTACAATCAGAAACTTACTTTTATTTATCAGTCCTAGTAATAAAATGTACCTGTCGCCCATAACCCTCATTTGCTCTTCCTGAGTGGCGTGGAGCAAAGTATCTTTCTCTCTAAGGTAGCTATCCACACATCGTTCTTCAAACATCATCAACTTCTGAAGATCGTTGGTTTCTAGGAAAAGCTCTGCCACAGAGAACAAAAACTCTGTTAGGCTGGACAAAAAACATTTTAGCAAAAATGTTATAGCATAGGAAAATATTTATTGAAACAAAACCAGAATAAAAATGAAGGTCTGTTGGTAGATCAAAACAGGAGGATGAGAAACATCTTTCTCATTCTTCGCACAGGATACTTTTCGACTTTTTCTAACCCTTCAGTATAAAGGACATTATGGAATACACGGCCTAGCATATCCCTGTAGCTCAGCTGTGAGAAATCAGAACAGGCTGAGCTTCGAATCGTCACAGGGGTACTTAAACTTTTCTCTGTTTTGTTTATTAAAATATTATTTCATTCACAAAGAGAAGCCATACTTAGTCCGTAACTAGACTCTTCCTGGTTTCTCTTGCCTCGTCCCAGACAGTTTTTCAGCCAGTGGTATAAGCCCCTTAGAGCATGGATCACGTGATTAAAGATGATGAAAGGTGGAACTAACACTGGTCTCTGCGAATACTCCATGACCAAGTAATACCGCTGAAACTTCCAAATCTGATTTGCGTTTGCCTGTACGCTAGAGAACGTGTTGCTGTCGAGAACAGGAAAGAAACTTATATATGAAACAATTTTTTAAGACAATTTCCTTCCCATAAAGATGTAATACCAATATGGTACGTGTCTTAGCCCTAGGCGGCAAAATAAACATATTTAGTTTACAATTAATGTCTACGAAAACGATTCCACAACACGTACTTGAAAATGGCGATGAGAAGATTCAGAAGGAGAATATTGGCAACCAGAAGATAAAACGCCATGATAAATACCACGATCGTGTCGCCATGTTCATCTTTTCTTGGAGTGCCAAATACAGTCTCTGTCGGGCTTACTAGAACGAAATTTTAAATAGAGTAATAATTAGCTTAATGATGACTGTGACTCTCATCTTTAACATCCTTTCTCAAAAATCTTGTTTCCGCGATCTATCTTCCTCATTAAATGAACTTGACACTTGTCTAACTCTTGCAATATTTGATACATCAATTGCTTGCCACACTAGGATGCTGTTACTTTTTGTTATAAATATTTTAGCTTTTTGAGCGGCGAGTGTTAACCAAAAAGACAAAAATTTTTATTACAGATGCGAATAAGTAGGGAAATCTCCTCAGGGAGATCAATTTGAGATTTTTTTCTTGAGAAAAACTCGATCGTTTGAAGAAATACATTTCATTATGAATTAACCATTGACAATAGAAGGAGGTTTTAAATGTTGCAATTAAGATCAAGCGTCCTGACCAATTAGTATGGTGCGGATAACTGACGGCTCTACACTACTCGGTTATTATCGTTCTTTTTAAAGACAGATCTTCTTACTCGTATCTGGTGCATCCACAAAAAACAACTCCCCATAAACCTGGAAGTAAGGTCTGAAGAACACTCTAGACACCATGGACCAGGAAGCTGTCTCGTTTGGGTACAAGATGGCTTGTTGGGCGACTCCATAAGCCAGGAGGAATATCACCATGATCAAGAGGAAGTACAGCATATCCACGGTCTATAAATAGGAAGGATAAATATGATGAATGATTAATGCAAGGCTTTTATTGCGCTCAGGGTAAAGCGAATTCTTCTCTCTTGGAGAATTTATATTGCTATCCCCTTCTCGTCCAAAATGAATGGGAAAGTTGAACAAAGACCTATGAATAATATTTTGGTATTACCATTCTCCCAATCATGACCACATATGGTCCGAGGTGTTTGCTGACAGAAAATATGTCCAATAGGCGAATAATCCATAGCATCACATCGAGGCTGTATACCACGTGACCAGCACTGCGTGTGGTTGGGTGAAGCCTGAGCCCAAGTCCAATGAAAAACGAAACGACTGCAAAACCATCAAGGAGGTTCCATTTACTGGACGCCCAGTCTTTTAATTTGCTTCCAAATGTTGGTGGCTCAGAATGAAGTATCTGACAAAAATGAAGAAAGTATAGGCTTAAAAAGTTTCTCAGATGTTTCCATTTTCTTCATTAAGCACCATGAAATACTCAACATATATACCCTTTATCTCCAAAGATCAGATTAGTTATTTCCCCATGTAGTTGCTATAAAATTAAGAGAATTAAGTGTTATATCAAGATAACACCATCCAAGTTTGCCTTTTCCTCTCAGCCGTTTGTTTAAAAATGGTGCAGTGTTAATGGAAGAAGAGGCACATTTATCGCAGTCTGGAATTCACCGTTTGTTGTCACCATGAGCATATAAACTGTTTATATTCTATTGTTGTTATCGATTGCATCTTGTACCTTAGTTTCACTTATTATTCACATCAATAAAGATATATGGGCATTTTATACAAGAAAATCAAACCTTTCACGATAATTACATTCAAGGTAGTTAATTTGCTGTCTAACCACGTAAAGGATCAGAACTGAGAAAACGTACAATTCTATAGAATCAACTTCAGGTCATCAGTATATTTAGATCTTTGTTTATCAACTTGTTTTTGAATTACCTGTCTGATTTCTTCCGTACACAGTGTACAAACAAAAATGATAAGCACCATTTCACTGATGGAAGGAATTTTGTCAGCTTTTACGAGGATAACAAAACTAAACAGCATCAAGAACGCCATATAAGCGAACTGCAAAAAAAGAAAAGAAAGTACAGAGAACGAAACTCACTGTCAGAAAAATCGGACTACTGGCAAGTATACGTCAAAGGGCCCTTAGCCATGACTAAAATGGAGCATAAGTTTGCAAACTGCTAACGTAGCGTTGTCGTTCAATAAATCAATCATCTGTGTCACTCTTCGGTCAGTGAGTGAATTACGTTTTCGCAATAATCAAGATCACTGCCGAGTAGAACTGCCTCAATTTTAAATATAAACATAGTTCTAACTGTGTCATTGTTTCCATTAAAGAAAGGCAAGGGATCAGAGGGGGAAGCTCCCAATCCAGGCCTTAGTGTTAGTTTCATGATGGCGAACAACTTAGCATGCAACGATTGCGAAAAAGACCTATACCCTCCATCAACTAACAATTTTGCCTCCTTCTTTAACAGTTCCCTGACTTTGTGCCCCCTTCAACCGCCCAAAAAATATACATACATACATACATATACATACATACATACATATACATACATACATACATACATACATACATACATATACATACATACATACATACATACATACATACATACATACATACATACATACATACATACATACTAAAAAATACATACATACATACATACATACATATATATATATATATAATTTTGTTTCTTAGCGACAAAGTCATTTTTCTGAAAAGAATCGTTAAAATCGATCTACGTGCCAACTGACTGATTCTATTTGAGTAGGCAAACTCGTCGAGGTGGAGGCGAACTGGTAGCGGGCGAACTTGCGAAGGAGCGAAACCTCTCGAAATGCATGCTTGTCCCTTCTGTTTCCTAATTTTTACTTATACCCATCACCACTCCACGATGCAGCTTACCGCGTTAGACCAAAACTTAGTAACAGGTGCTTTGTAGAACTCTAAGATCTTCCTCGCCCATTGCAGTTTCACCAAACGAGTCTCTTGTCTACACTCATGGTACGTGGATACCCAGAGCAACTCACGTGACTTCGAAGAGAGCACACTAGGAGTTTAAGGAAAAAAACGGTTTATCCATTATTCATCGCAACAGTGAAACAAAAACACCTATTTTTTGATATAGGCGTTCATTACTTTTTACGAAATCAAGTCATTATAAGATTGTGCTTCAATCTGCATTTTGGTCTTCAGTAGGCGTCTGCGGCGACTATCACAACGATCCAATCTTACTCTTCGAACAAAAAACCGTTTTTCAGGCTTTAAGACACAAAGGTGAAATTTACGAAAGACTGATCGCGGAAAAAATATCACGCAGAGCAACAATGAAGCCATTAGGAAACAGTAAAAGAAAAATATGTGATAAATAGCAACTGTCATAAGAACCTGGGCCCAGCGCATGCTCCCTGGCCATGAGTGGGTTAAGATATGTCTGCAGCGCGTCCTTTAACTTTAAATGCTACGATCAGGAATAAAAGTCGAAAACGGCCGGTGTGGAGTTTCAAACTCAGAAGAAAAGAGGTACTTAGCTGGCATTACCTCATTTCTAGTGCCCTCCCATCGTCCGTTATTGCTCGGCTTCTTCTGTAGCTTAGGTTTTCTTCATCGTCTTGAACCTCATCGCATTCGCCCTCCTCAGCTAACTCCTGTTCATGTTCTTCCAGTGTAACCGGCATGGACGATAGCTCCTTTTTTGTTTTGAATTCCAGCAAAAATATCGTCGGAGGTATGAGGATTCCAAGCATTGTCTGACGGCACAACAGAACAGAGATGAGGACATCGTACCAACCTGCAATGCGCTGTTTTTATAGATAACTTTCACGGGCATAGCCAAAGTTCCTTACCTTGATAGAAGACCTGTGCGTATTCTTCATGGCTCCTGTCCATATATCAGTGAGAAGAGCCTGGCAACTACTATGTGCTAGAAATTCTTCGTGTTCGATGGCGACAGCGAGTGAAAGACATGTTTGTCCACCCCAGTTCTCTAGGTGATATGTCAGGAGCTGTTGGGTAAGCTCTTCATTTTCTTGAAAACATTTATCTAACAAACCCAGTGCCAGTCGTTTGAATTCTCTGAAAGCATAAATTGATAGGAATAAACTCTTTGACATTAATTTACATGGGAGAGCAACATTTTTCTTAACAGTCCTTATGGATAGAGACTGTACCCCTCCCAAAAAGGAGTAGTACAGCCACGCCTGTCCGTTCCTCTGAAAATAAAATTTCCAGTATGAGGCACGATACTCTACATTATTTAATAAAAAAGGATCATTGGATAATTTAATTCAATATTTTGTTGGCTTAGGAATCATGGGGTATGAGCCATTATAACATGCGCACGCATGAAGACGAGTTAAAAAGGAAATGTTTTTTGTGCATTGTAACATTACGTTTGTTCTTAAAAAATAAAGTTGGGAAGATTGATCCATATTTTGGGGCGTTTTTAATTGGCGCTTGTTGGATATTGTGGCCAAGTCGGCACTACGGGCTTCGTTGGCCATTCATCGTCTCATATCCAACGCGCGCTCGTGGAAACATTGTAAATTACACTATAGTATCATTACAAACCAATCAGCGGACAGACTTACTCCACATGCGCATTAAGTGCATCAGTGATGTCAGCGTATGCGTCATCACGTTCAGTAACCTTGGCCATGCCGTTGAACATTTTTCCCGCCACCAGCGCCCGCGCCAGATGCTCATCACCACACTCCCACATGAAGAGCGCCATTTTTCGCATATTGCATAGCACAGACCACAACAGCAGCTCTTTATAAGGATAATTCACGTGAGCTATGTTGTCTGTGTGTCCCCTGACAAACATCATCTGGTTAGAAATGTCAAGACCCTTTGAAGGCAATAAAGCGTTTGAAGTTGAAACACACGAAGTAAGAACAAACAAGCGAGACTTCGAAGGAAAATACCCGAGGAAGGGTAGGTGCTTAATAAGTAGTTTTCGAACACGCTCTGTCCCATGATGAAAATCCTTTCCCCTTTAACACTAATATATAACCGCTTTTGTTTCCTTTCCAAAGAGAATGATACATTTTTCACATTCCCACAATAAAACACCAGACTACGAACATTCTCTCCCTAAGTTTCAAAATACCTCTATTGCATGATTCAGAGCAATAATCACTGGTAAATATTTTCGTAGAACGAATACTTGCAGGGTTGGGCTTTCACTGAGTATTGCAAAGTCAATCCAAGTTATCACGGTGGCCAATCAGAGCGAAAGAAAATATCACCAGGACGACTCAACGTGAAAAAACGCATACAGCCCGAAACACGGGTATACGCGGGTGACCAAGTGACGATCGGCTTTACCTTTGATTCCGAATGGTGCAGAGGCTAACGTTAGTTTCCTGGTAAGATCCATCAAAAACCGTAATAAACCAAAAGCAGAGCGATCCCAGATTACTTTCGATCGAGAAACCACCCCTAATCTCTCGTTACTTCCTTTTAAATATGTGAGTAAAAGTTTTAGTATTCCATAACTACATTTTACCCAATTACTTTTAGCATGAAAGTGTATCGCTTTCAGAAAGAACATGGCTCATAGAATCGAAGTGGACAAATACCTTTGTTATAGCGTTCTTCTCTCTGTGTCCTTTGTAAGCTATTCCTAATAGTCGCCGAATAACATTGTCAACATCGGACAAGTCAAAATGATCAGTGTCGATCTAAGGAGTATAGGTTAAAACGAAAAGTTTAACTTTACAAAAAAACTGTTTATTCTGTCAAATTTTTAGTCTTTGATCCCAGTCATGTTTTGCCTATTTCAAAGAACTGCTGAATAGAACTTGTATACCAAATAAAACACAGTGGTCAGACGTAAGGCATGCGCAATTACACGCGCAAAATTTCTAAGGATACATAAGAATCAACTGCTGTCAAACCAAATATGCAGAAAAGCACTGTAAATCTGAAAAGGTTAATTTGTAGGGATATGGAACTCTCGACACTTCCAGAGCACAAAGCTTATCCAATTACGGGTTTTTTGCTGATTTTCCATTTTTTTTAACTTCACTAAAATTTTGCACGCGACTTACACCGCGACTTACTCGCTTGTGTGGATGTTTATAATACAACCTGGTTTTGACACCCTGAAAGCCCGTCACAACGTTTACATATGCGCAGACGTTTGACCACTGTGTTACCAAGTCATGCCAAAAGCAAACCTCTGATCTATAGCCCATGGATGACATCTTGGTCTTAAAAGAGCGTCGCAGAGAGTCGTCAAAGTAACATTATTTTGGTTTATAACACATAAATCTGTTGTTAAAATGGAAATTCCAATTAAAGGTTTCCTTTAAAAAATTTGTCGAGGCCGAAAAGACAACACATTTGCTGCAGTTTACAGAACCTTTCCTAACCTTTCCTCACCTTTCCATTCCCGATCAGTTGTCTCAACACAGCACTGGATGACGACCTCCATCTCTGGAAAACAATTAAGCAAAGAATGTACAGAAATAACAGGCCTTTTTACGTAAATATGCTTTGTCGACAATCCTTTTTTGCAGCACCTGTTAAAGTGCGGTATAGAGTACGCACTCAGTACTTGGATGGTTTTAAGCCAGCACGAGTGTGGCAGGCGTCGCCAACAAAAAACGTTCAAAACAAAATCCTAGGCTCAGTTCAGGTCTTAGTAATCAGTGACGATGAGAGAGAGAAATTTCTGAAAAGGCTTTTCATCAGAGGACTTGAGCACAGAAGTCAGTTGACAGAAAGATCTGAAACTAGCATGATGAAAAAAAAGTTGGAAAGGTCGTGGGTGAGGAGAGGAGGAGATTCTACATAATATGCCATGTTGTTTTTTATTATAGGTTATCGGTTTTCTTGGCAAAGGGAATTGCTAAATGGCACCCAGTCCCCCCGCCCCTTCCCCAGCAATTCGCATCTCAAAGCCCTCTGTGTTGAATTTGTTTGCTAGTTACCGCCTTGTATAACTCCTCCAGCCGAGTTGTTGTCAAGAATCTGCTCATACTGACGCCATTCTCCAAGAGAAGTTTGACAAACTCGACACGGTTGTTGACTAAGGCATCCATCATTGCATCCTCCAAAGATTTCATCTAGAAATAATGGAAAGTTCGCTCTAGCAATGTGTAAGAAAAGTTAAGAAAAAATGTTGAGGATAAAGATGCAGGACCTCGTCAAGGATGCCCTCCATTCGGGGGATGAGAGCGCATCTTTTTTGCACGGGAACGCGGTGTGATAATATGGAGGGGTGTCCCACCTCTTATCTAAGTATGACATTACAAAATGTAAAATGTTTAGTGCTATTTAAGTGCCGAAAAAAAGTCTTCTTCATAGACTGAAGTCCATTTGTTTGCAGGATACAAATGGTCTGTTTTGTCATTTATAGTCCGGCATAAGTGAATCATTGAACTAGATCGAGACTCTATTGGTCAACAATTCAATTTTTCAATCTCGTTTCGCACATAATACTTTATTGAATGGTATCTCGCATCTTATACTTTTCTTTTTTTTTCTCGCTTATTTGTAATGGAATTAGAAAAGAATGAAAATCAAACTCTCTGGATGAGCGAATCAGACGAAATTCGAAAACTGCCCTTTATCACCCTCTGCCAAATACTGCGATGTACACCGCAATTTTTTTACATTTATCGGTATCCTAACCCACGGAATTGCAGAGAGAGCACGAAAGAAGTTTGTTAATCACTCGCTGTCGGCTCGATATCCCTTCTTTTGAAGTCACACTAAGCGTTTGAGTTTTCTGAAGGTTTAAGGGTATCATAAATAATAGGTTTTACACCGATAAGAACGAGTGCTTAAGACATCTTTGTTATCTATATATATTAACAGACATACCTTCCATTTTTGGTCTTCTTTGAAGATCTCAGTACTGGCGATATCGGCCCGGTTCCATATTAAGGCCAAACTCAACTGGTCAGCGGCAGACGCATGTTGAGCTGCAAATGCATTACGTTAACATAGCCTTCAAGTACACAAGTAAAAGGGCCATACCAGGCAGAATTTACAAAAAACTCGAAACGTTCAAAGCAATTTCTAAAAGGAATTAGGGTGGAGTTTTCGAAGCTTAGATGATTATCTATACTTCATTATATTTCAAGTTTTACCAAGAGTGTTGCTTGTGTTTCAAACAGCTTGAAAGCACCAACCGAAAGCCGAACCAGCCTTTGCAAATGCGCAGTGACGTTAGTTTACCATGTTCACAAATTTTAATATGACAAGTAAAGGGAATGGATTCTTCAAGAAGGTCTCACTCCAATTTCCATCCTTCCTATGTCATTTTTATACCAAAGATACCTGGTCTCCCTCTGAACAAACCTTTGAGTAAAGCCTTAAGTATGGCTATGTCAATGTCAATCCCATCCTCGTCCATGCGAAATATTGTAATCTGCAACAAATGAAAGGAATAGAGATACCGAGTTTCGGTCACGTGCACTTTTTAAAGATTCTCATATTCTAAATATTGTATTCCCTTGTGATATCCCTAAGGTTAAGGAACACTTATAGATCTGCAGAACCAACAAAATGTGGATTTGAGGTGTCTTTGATTGCCGTTAAATTTCAATCGTTCCAGCCCTTACGTTAAGTTAATATTATCAGCTCGGTTGATAATACCAAATTATCTTATTAGACTCTCCCAACGACGCAGCACCACATTTTCTTTAGAAACTTACCCCCTTTACGCTACTCTTCCTATACGACGCGGTAGTCTTGCGGCTAGTGCATATGACTCCTGGTTCTAGTTGTTTGAAAGGCGCCACGCTAGTTAGGATCCAGGATTCATTTCTCAACATTGTCATGCATTTTCTTAAAGCAATAGCCGCGAAAGTTACAGCGAAAATTTTTGTGGGTCTTTTACCTCATACACCGTACGACATGAAGAAAGACAGCAAAATGGATGTTTGAAAACTGTTTGCAAAGCTACAAAACTACGATTGAAAACTAGCTTTAACCTCAGGGCAGCTAAACTGAATGAATGACCAAGCCCAGATCGAAAGGCTTTGTCTCTGTCACTCTTTATGACTTACGTATCTCTTATTTCCCACGCATTTGAGCACGTCATGATAAAGAGCAGTGCACTTCTCCTCGTTGCACTCTGGGAAGGCTTTCTGGATCTTCATACGAAGTTGTTGATGTTCAACCACTTCAGACATGTCCTCCATATCAGTTCTGTCGAGAATAAGGGATGATAATGTTTTTTTCCTCAGAAATGGTGGTATTTCACCATTTGAGTCCACCTTAAGATATAAAGGGTGTTTTCTCATATTTTGGGTTTGTTAATTTTAGCTTTGTTCGAAAGGTAATATCAGATCGAGCTACCAGCCCCTCCTCAGCCACAAGCAGGACTCGTTATAAAATTCTTCAAATATGTCGTCGTGCTCTCTGACAAACAACACTCCATTTAGAACTATTACATGTGTTGAGATCGTGATTCAGCGAGATAATTATGGAGTTTTCTGTAGTTTCATATAACAAATCAACAAAATGTTTCAGTAGTCTGAAAAAATACTAAAAAATGTTGCTAAATTTCTGGCTGGTATCACCACTTCAAGGATGGATCTAGGAAATTTTGATGGGGTGTCCAAAATTTTGGTCTGATTGATAGGGTCCAAACCCCCTGTACCTACACTCCTCATCCGCAACTTCTCTCAAACCACTTTAACTTTATACATTTCCTATACGAAAGTAAACCAATCGAACTCTAATACGCACCCGTCATTCGAAGTGACAATCCCATGAGCATGCACTAAGATGTCAGCAGCTCGTCCGCTGCCCTCGGCAATGACGACGGGCACGGCTGGGTTGCTCGTGACAGATTCCAACACTGTTTGGATTGTGTTTGGTCCTCCCTCGAGAACGAGAAGAACCACCGGGATTCCATGAGATTTACCTGAAAACATTAAAAAAAGCAGTGGTATTAGCCATGTCCCAGACAAAACTAATGCCAGAATATGACACATTTCTAGCTCCCTCGATAAAGCAAAAGAGCGCGAGAGAAGGAAAAAACATGAGTTAGAGTTCCTCGCAGAGTTTAACCAGTGGCCTACGGTGCAAAGGTTGGAAGTTCTACCACAGATCATTTGCACCTGAATTTAATCCGTCCTTCGTGATATTTAGAGTTAATTTTTGAGCCTTACAAAACTACAAAGAATTTGATGGAAACTAAACAATCTCAATTTGGTACGATAGAAAAAACGAAACAAACAAAATTAAACTAGGGATAAACGATGGTGTTAAGGCTGGAGAAGATTTTAAACATGGATTGAGAACTACCGATACGTAAACTGCGACTAGTTCTTTTTATCCCTTGGAGTATTTGGGCATACGATTATAACACATCAGTGACTCTCGCCTGTATATACTATGTCACGTGAGAAACTAATACAGGACAATGGCAGCTAGGTAACATTTCAAGAACACACTCACTTTTTGCAATTTTTTTTGTTGTTATACAATTCTGAAGACTTGCCCGGAAAGGGATTTCTCCTCCATACTTTCCCACCGTCCCATCGTCCACCAGGATGAAGTGCGAATGGTTGTTATCCAGACACGCTCCCTCTGACAGTAGGCTAGGAGTCATGTGATACGTGACAACTCCCTGTGAGCAAAAAGAAAACCGCTCTATTGTGGTCAGTGCGCATGCATTAGCTTCTCGTGGATTTTAAGTTTTTACCTTTTGAGGAGAGAAAACTGAGCAGTGGTTAACCTGCGATATCCCAGGATGGGCTCCAAACCTGGTCGGGTCATTTAATATTGTTCCTTGACGAGAATCTTTAGACACTTAATTTCATTATGCTACTGCCAACCGTTGAGTAGCGATGACTACAAGCAGAAGATGGGCTCCTGGTCACAAAGATCAGCAAAACTCAGGAGGGGGAGATGGGGGGGGGAGGGAGTGCAGAAACAAACGATGTATTGTACAGAAACTGGAAAAAACTCCAAAGCTGCTCTTCCTTTCTCTGATAGGAGTTTCAGTAAAAAGTGAGAACTATTTGGTTTAGGCCAAGAAGAAGAGTCCTACCTGGCTGTTGATCAAATCCTCTCTGTGATCCACAATCCCCCAGGTAGCAATTCCTATAAGATGAAGCTGAGATGCTTTGTCTTTCGACAGCGGTGCCCCACGTGACATGACTGTGTGACCTTTTACTGCTTCCCCAACGTGACGCATCACGCCAGTGTTTGTTCCACCTGTGATGATCCATGCACCTGTGGTCTGGGCTGCCTGTGGAACATTGTTAGCAACTGTCAAATGATTTGTCCGTAATATAAGCAACCACTAAAGTTACTGAAAAAAACAAATAAGACAGAAAACTCAGTAGTAGAGTATGTAAAGAAAAGTAGCAAAATGATTTGAAACAGGTATTAAAATTCAGTTTGTCGACTATGAGAGGACTAAACCGTCAGTATACAAAGGCGATTTTGATCAAAATAAGATATTATACTAGAAAGAAAACCTTCAAATCGAGCTCTCTCCCACCTTCCCCCCCTTTATAAACATTTTTTTTTTCTGTGAAACCTCTTGTAACATCAAATCAAATATTCTTACTACATATTTCCTCCTTGATGTTGGTATTAGAGATAAATTTTTGACTTAAATTGATACAATATTAAAATAGAAAGAAAACGTTCAAATCGAGCTCTCTCCCACCTCCCCTCCTCCAAAAGGCCATTTTGATCAAAATAAGATATTACAATAAAAAGAAAACGTTCAAATTGAGCTCTCTCCCACCTCCCCTCCCCCAAAAGGCCATTTTGATCAAAATAAGATATTACAATAGAAAGAAAAGAAAGAAAACCATTTTTCAAATTGAGCTCTCTCCCATCTCCCCCCCCAAAAGGCCATTTTGATCAAAATAAGATATTACAATAGAAAGAAAACCTTCAAATCGAGCTCTCTCCCACCTTCCCCCCCCAAAAGGCCATTTTGATCAAAATAAGATATTACAATAGAAAGAAAACCTTCAAATCGAGCTCTCTCCCACCCCCCCCCAAAAGGCCATTTTGATCAAAATAAGATATTACAATAGAAAGAAAACCTTCAAATCGAGCTCTCCCACCTTCCCCCAAAAGGCCATTTTGATCAAAATAAGATATTACAATAGAAAGAAAACGTTCAAATCGAGCTCTCTCCCCCTCCCCCAAAAAGGCCATTTTGATCAAAATAAGATATTACAATAGAAAGAAAACGTTCAAATCGAGCTCTCTCCCACCTTTTCCCCCCCCTCCCCCCAAAAAAAACAACAACAACAACAACAACATGGCGTTGCTCCTCTCCCGAGCTTTCTAATGCTCAAGGGCCCGGTCATCCTACTTTTCTCGCTTTATTATTACAAGTAAAATAAATTAAATTAAGATGATGAGGTTCGAGCTCCTCGTCAAAATAATTTTATGAAGAATGAAGGCTTTAATCATCTCTCACGAACGTAGGAGAAAGCAAAGTTCTGAGGCCCTAGCCCCACCATCCCCCTCTCCTCGCGAATTGGAAGCTCACGAAGGTAGAAAAAAGCAAAAGTTCTGAGTCCCTAGCCCCACCCCTCCCTTCTCCTCGCTGATTGGTAGCTCACGAAGGTAGGAAAAAGCAAAAGTTCTGAGTCCTTAGCCCCACCCTTCCCCTCTCCTCGCTGGTTGGTAGCTCACGAAAGTAGGAAAAAGCAAAAGTTCTGAGTCCCTAGCCCCACCCTCCCCCTCTCCTCGCTGGTTGGTAGCTCACGAAGGTGGGAAAGAGCAAGCTGTTTGGTAGCTCACGAAGGTAGGAAAGAGCAAAAGTTCTGAGCCCCTAGCCCCACCTTTCCCCTCTCCTCGCGAGTTGAAAGCTCACGAACGTAGGAAAAAGCAGAAGTTCCGAGCCCCCATGCTTGGTTCATATGTGACACACAAAGGTTGCTTTTAACATTGCTTATCCAAGGGGTTGGCAGAATGCTCGTCACATTTGAAAACAACGAATAACACTTTACTTCAAAAAAAAAAATACCTTCAGCAATCCTTGCCGTAACACGTGCTTTAACTTGGGATGTAGAACAAAGTTCTTAGCTCCGCCGGTGACAGAGATGAGCAGTTTGGGCAAATCTAGTCTCCATTCTTCTCTCAAGAGGCAAAGAACCTTCTCTGGATCAGTGTCATGAGCGATACGAATAAACTATCAAAAGAAATTGAGAAAATTTGAAGATAATATATTTTACGGATGGTTGCATTTTATCCTGTTGAAAAGCGCACTTTGTGAGCTTAAGGGTTTACGGAATACCTTCTTTGATAACATAGTTGTACAGAGCTCGCTTCATCTGATTGGTCAATCTGTTTTCCAAACCTGTGCTGTATCTGGCTATTAAGTACACAACGGTTCGTGATTGCCAATTTTTTCTCGTGTTCTCCAAATATCCCGCGTGGCCTTATCACATCATAAAACCTGTGTTCTATTGCTTGATTAAACACTGACCTTAGCTCTGCTTGCTAACCCAGCTCCTGTGAATTCCACTTCACCATAAGCGTTCGTTGGTTGTTCTTCTGTATGGCTTGTCACGCTCCACTTCACATCACCGCCTGGAATCCCGCAGGTAGCCTCACCTTGATGATCTTTGTCCAGACGACCGCAGCAGCAACTATAGAGACGAAAATTTATGTAACGATACTCGCGGCTGATGGCGCACAACTCCTTTGAAGGATCGGTTTAGAAACTGTTATGAAACTATGTTGCAACCATTCAAAGGCTTTCTTACGGTATATACTGCACTGACGTAATATATAGATTTAGCCAAGCCTAAAAGCGGAGCTCGCATTTTTTTTTCTCCGCACGTCTCAAGTGCACAACGCCTTGCCCCGGCCAGGACTAGAACCCAGGTCGTCCGACTCGGAGCCCAGTGCACCGACCACTGGACTACTGAACAAAGCCTTGGCGTTGGCGTGCCCGCGGTACAGTTGACCACGCATGTTAAAAGTAGCACCTTGTACGGTCGTACGGTCGTACGGTCGTACATCCAATTTTTTTCGGCTTGGTGGGTTATTACCATTTTTTATAATTATGGGGCTACGCTCTGCGAGCTCCGCTATCATGCTGATGTGTTACTTACCGTCTTGTCTCCTTCCCCGAGGGAATAAATTGAACGCAAGATCTTTTCTTAAATGTTCTGTAAATCCAGGAGTCTTTTCTATGTGGAGGCTGTTACAAGTTGGAAAAAAAGAGAGTTAAAGTTAAATCATTATGAATTGTTTTAAGAAACTATTTACCACTGGAAATAAGATGCAGAAGATGCGTGTCTAAAATGTGAGATGCATCAGATCATCTTCTGAGATGAAACTTAAACGCCCGAAAACAAAACAAATTTATAAACTGCAGGTCATTTGACAAGGAAAAACAAGATGGCGTGGTTTACAGGATTCCCATGTAAAGTATTAAAGTTTACACCGGCGAGACTGGTAGACCTGTGCAGGTTAAGGAGCATGACAGAGATATTCGACTTCGCCATAACAACATCAACAGGGACTGTAGACAAGAAATCACACAAGCATGGATGCCGAAGATCACCAAGACTCACTAGCTGGAGGGCCGCTCGAAAGAGTACCGCGGAGGGAACATCTCGTGGAAATGCACCAATTACAGCTGTGGAATTCCTACCATTAACATCAGAGCAGAAAGGTTGATTAAAACAACGCGTACCTTTACATCGCATGAAAAAGACTCGCACGAGGATGAGATGAATTATGCCGGCATAACTTTGTGCATAATGCTGTAGCCAGAGCATCGAGCATAATGCAGGCATAATGACTAAAACTTCTTAAAAATTCTCTTGATGATAGAAACGAAGGAGGAAGGTTGAAGGGCTTTTAAAAGCTATTAGTCTGAATTATCAAATTGAGCGTCAAGAGAAGTTTTGAGTATAATTTCGGCATAATACCTTGTTTTCAGGGTGACGATCATCTGCACAATGCTTAAATTTCATAGCATAATTTTCGTGACCCTAACATGCATCACGCAATGTTATGATTTACATCCAAAGTGATTACATCGTGAGACAGACGATTGCACTTCATGTGAAAATGAACTCACGAAAACGATTGATCACAACACAGCACAGTGTATACGATATTAAAAATGATGATAGATTGATTGGATCAGTTTTAATGATAAAAATCAGATGAAGAAAGCAATTTTTAGGTCAAAATAACCTAGTTAACTTAAAAAAATTACCAAATCTATGAAAATTGGGAAAACGCTCCTACTAACCTTTTGAAACCTTTCAGTCAAAAAGTCTCTCCAATACTGAAAGCTCTCCATAAGATAATTGTGCCTTGATACGTATCTAATACGAGTTTTCCAATTAAATTGCCATCGATCGGGAGAGTAGATTGTTAAGGTTGTTATGTGTTTTTTTCCATCAATCGCATGAAAACTCACGTGAAAGTTAATGAATAATTTTGTTGACATAATTTTTCCTTTGGAAAAAAATTCGGAATGTTTAACAAGTTGTTCGTCTTCGCGTCTTCTTCCTTTGTGTAATATTGTAATCGTTTTAAGTGATTCACAATTATAACTTCCTAAACATGTAAGACAACAAATTGATCAGAGGCCATTCGATTTATTTTTTCCTGGTTTTGGGGAGGAATTTTAATTCTGACAAATCTTCAGGTTCTTCCGTCATTTCTTCCGTTTCATATGCGAAAATTCCTGTAAAGCAGATTCATCGCATCGAAAAACTAGGCACAAGCTTTGCCAAAGTTTCGCACGAAATCCGTGAACTGTGCCTCGTAGAGATGACAATTGGAAAGTAATCACACTTAAAACGTCTTTGAAATGGCAGATTTAAAAAAAACAAAACGACAGATCGAGTCGAAGGTAACATGATAATGTCATTTCTAAGCAAAACAATCGACACTATCGCAGCAGAACATTGCATCATTAGCTGAAATCTAATTCAGCGGCTAAATGCTCTGTATCGGCTGAAAACTACAGCCATGAAAGACTGCACTCTACAAAAAAACAAGCCTCGGAGAGGGACGAAAAGAGTTTCGTCTTTGCTCTATGCTTTGCCCGGGCAAATCATTAGAGGGTAAATATTTTCCGGCCCGTAACAACTGAGTACTAACAATGAGACCTCAGCGACCACAACTGATAAACAGATACAACAGCAATTACCTTAAAATGATCAATATTCAGACGATAAAACTCAAACTCTTAACCACGCAATATGTAAGATAATTTTGCGATTCGTTGCTGACTGAAAATAAGTTTGCCGTTTCGCTAATTAAACTTGCAAATAAGTAAGTAATTCATCGGCCGATCGAAAAGCTGAACAAACACACATAATTCATTTTACTTGTAGCTTCAAGAGAAATGTAAACACTAGCCTTAGAGAAAATACACATTATATTTTATAAATCAGCGCTGATGAATCAAGGTAAGATTATGAAATGCTTGTTTAACTGAGTCATACTTGCCTTCATTGATGGTTTTGATTTATCTTTCGGTCCATATTGTACAGAGACACCTTCTGAGCACGTGAGTCTCCCAACGTCCCTGTCCATGCCAAGTGATGCCATTTGACTTGGTAATAATCAACTGAAAGTATTCATGAATAATCGAATATCTTAATTCTAAACAACTCTTAACCAACCATGAATTGACGACATCGCACCTACGACGTTAAATTCGGAATGTTTAACAAGTTGTTCGTCTTCGCGGAACGAACGGAAGTCTTTCGCTTCAGTCCGTTATTCTGTATTCTGACCAGAATCCAGTCATGTCAAGATGTCACGCTAAGTAAATCATGTTTTATTCAGCGGGGGAGATTTAAGAACAAAAACTAATAGCCTTCAGCCGCTCTAATTAACTTAAATGGCATTGGCTCCATTAAATCTCAGGAAGGATGAATCTCACTGCATTTCTCTTGTATATTTCCTATTTTGATTTCATCTTTCCTTCGTTTCTCTCCGTAGCCAAAATTTATATGGGCTATGAAACAAAAATGATGTTGATGATCACAATAGAAGCTTAGGTACCAGGCTTTTGGTCCGTTTGCTAGGTATTGCCTTTAGAACAGGAGTAATTTATTTTTGCGTTCCTCAATCGAACGGAGGCATACGCGAGGCGACGTGAGTCTCCGTTCGCCTACAAAACGCAAAAAATTACGCCAGTTCTGCTGGATATTTGCTAGATTAAATCAATTGCTGAAAACGGAGGCCATGGCGGAAATGAAAAGGCTCATGATTAATGGAGAAGTATGCTTCGACTGACGCTTTGATTATTATTTCTTCCACCGATTTATTTTGAGTATGTTCTTGCGTAATTTTCACCCGCTTACGCTCATCCCGTGGATCAAAGGAGACGCAAAAGACTGCTACTCAGGCTGGTATGACCGGGTAGAGCTCTTTTTGTTGACAAAGATTCTCAACAGAGAGAGAGAGAGAGAGAGAAGGAGAGAGAGTCTTTTGACGTCGCAGGCTAAACAAGATTTAACGATGAAGTTGTCCTTTCTGGATTTTCAAGGGCAATAAAGAAATTTTCCGAAATAGCATTTACCCCTGGTATTCTGTCAAACTTTGATGATTTATGAATTTCGTTTTCAATCCAAGTTCTCTGCATTGTTCTAAATTTATTGGCAATGTCCATCTTAGCAGGCAAGGGATTTTAAATAATAATCAGTTTATAATCTCTTGTAACAGGCTTATGTCTCTCGGTGTTCTTATTTTCTAAAGTAAAGTTCAATTTCTAATACGCTTGAAATTAATTAAAAACACTGAGACGTTATTGTTGTAAATTGGTTGATGTGCGGTGTAAAACGCACCAATGACGTCACAAGTTGTATCGTTTGTCAAATGGCTCTGTGGGTCCATAGGGCTTCAAGCTCTCTGGGGTCTTGAGGTCTTTATATCTCTGGGTCTCTGGGTCTTGGGGTCTCGGTTTCTCTGTGTCTGTGTGTCTGTGTCTGTGTATCTCCGATTCTCTGGATCTCTGGATCTCTGGTTCTCTGGGTCTCTTTGTCTCTGTGTCTCTGTGTCTCTGTGTCTCTGTGTCTCTGTGTCTCTGTGTCTCTGTGTCTCTGTGTCTCTGTGTCTCTGTGTCTCTGTGTCTCTGTGTCTCTGTGTCTCTGTGTCTCTGTGTCTCCGCTGCAGAGCGCATAGCAGTAAAAGTTCGCGATCTCAAGGTGTTTTGGTCATCTGCCGTTGGGTGATCAAATTGAACTCACGGTTCTGATACTTTACATAGGTTCAAAGCAAAACAGATGTTCACTTTGACTTTCTAGGTCGCCATAACTAAAAGTGCAAACTATTCAAACCACCTCTAAGTTTTGCTTTAGGTTGGAAGTTTGGGCAATCAGTGACCCGGCATTTACCTACGCCTTAAGGTGATCTTGACCCATCTTAACGAGTGTTTCAAACTAAGCAGGAATTCTTACCCAGATATTTTGATTGATTTTTTTCGGTATAGTGGCATCAATAAATTTTTCAGTTACTGAGAGAGCCTCCAGCAAGAATCAAGCCTTTTCGACGGGAAGTACCAGTATCATGATAACCTGTTATGTCAAAAAGTAATCATAAAAATTTAAGAAATACTCAAGTATTCGTTTGTATTTAAATCATAAATCGATTAAGGATGGTGTTTGAAATGGTTCTTAACATTCGTTACTCTTAGTAAAGCACGGTAATAAACACCTTATGAACTTATATAGGTAGTTTTAGTTCAGGGAGAACATTGAAACTTCATTTCTTCTCCATATTTTACGGGAGTAAAGCCGAATCACGAATCAAAGGGTTCAGTATGTTAATAACAAGGAATCATGAAGTAGGATGCACGAGATACAATCCAAAAAATTATAATGAAGAGCGAAAAAAATTGTTAATGAATCATATATCATTGGGCTCAAAAAGGGAAGGAATCACGAATCTCGAAGGTCGAATGATTCCTCTTCAGCCCCCGAATAGTTTTCCTTTTCCCTTGAACGGCACCACGAACCTCAATTACACGCTACTTTTCAAGGTTTTCCACAACAGAACCCGTTTCTTTCTTTCTCATGGATATCTAGACGAGTCGGTTTATACATTAACTTAAAATTAATCAAAGCAAATAACATGAATTGGAAGAAGTCGCTTATTTGCTGAGGCCTCTCCGCCGTGCATAGGTTTAAATTAAACGCAGCGATTAACACGTCACTGTTCGTAAGAGATTGCAAAAACCTCCTTTAAAAAAACAAACATGTTTTATAACACAACCAGAATAGTGAAGTACTAAATGCTAATCTTTCAAGAAACTATTACTGTCTCTCAGAGCTCCAAAAAACGGATCCCTGGATATAAATCAGTTAGCCTCTTTGTCTCACGATAGCGCATCGTCATACCTTAGATACATCTAAAAATGTTACCTAAGTACAGATAGCCAACGTTGCTTTCTAGTCCTTAGCCGTCTTCAAGCGCACTGTTTGTGTTTCCAAGCAATTCCCCAACTACGCCCTCTGACACGAATAAAACACAACTCGCTTTTTGGCACAGAGAGAAGTTTATTAAGAATACGAACCAACAGTAAACAGAAGCCAGTGATATGCCTAATTAACCTCTCTGCCACCAAACGGAACGCCCAAAAAAACGGGTTGGGCTTTGTGAAACTACGAAGCACTAGAAAGAACCGCAAAACGAAGCTGATGGGCGAAGGCGGGCTTTGATTCAACACAAAATTCTAAATAAGCCTTATACGCATCACTCGCCCAGTCTCCGTATATCTGTATGAGTTCGCCCGGTACACCTTGATTAAAGGCCCAAGAGGCCGCACCGCGACGGAAAGAATGACCTCGAAAGGACGAAGCGTCTGGGAGACCAGCAGCAGAAATCGCCTGACGGAACTCGGCGATGAAACGAGCCTGAGTGAGGATGGTGGGACCGTAATGACTGGGCAAAACAAATAAGGCAGACTGAAAACTCGCAAGAACAAGGCGAATCATTAACTCTTTGTAACCTGAATACCTACTTTGACGACCCATTGGAAAGAAAAACGAAACTGTACACAATCTCTGGTCAACGCTCAAAGAGAAAACTAACGCGAAATGAAACACGAAACTCCTCGTGCCTATTACTAGGTGTGTGTTGCGCAATTATCCCTTTCAACACGTGCTTGTCCAAAGGGGGTAAAGTAAAAGGCCATATCCACCTTTCATTTCGTATTTTCACTTGTCCTGTAGAGGTGTACAATCGACCGTCAGGGGTACACGATCCGCTAATTTCGTCTTTGTGAGGGTTTGAGCTAACTTAAATATAGTATTAAGTCGGCTGATCCAAGCTCAAGGCTAACTTAACCTTTTAGTTAATTACGTACCTCTAATTACATGTTGCACTGGGATCTCCACTGCTGCTGCTGGTGTAAAACTCCACTCGTAACCTCCACCGCGTCTTTAGTTTTTAAAAAAATGCATTAGGTCTTTCCTATTTGTCCATGAGCTGTAACCCTTTACTGCTTTATAAAGGTCTGTAACTAGATAAGGAAAGAATTTGAGGACGACAAACTTCTTCAAAAGATCCTTTCTCCTTTTTTTTGAAAGTTCGTCAGCGTGGATGTACGAATTTCGAATAAACCGTACGAGTTCAACAGCCGATCTGGTATTGTATCTTCGTTTGGGCCATCTATTTATAACATCATCATAAATATGTTTGATCGCAGGAGCCCAATCAAGGGAGGTTGCGCGAAACTGACCAGAGAAAAACGTTTCCAGATCCCTTTCCACTCCACTTAATTGACGTCGGAGAAGAAGTCTTGGCTCTTTAAAAAATAAATTAGATTATTAAATAAATTACAATAAATTCTGGGTTGGTTCGATACAGAGTGTTTTGAGGTTTCAGATCCCGATGGAGAACATTGCTCTTATGTAAAAACTTCATACCAAGAGCAATCTGTGAGCAGATTGTGGAGGCCTGACTGCATCCTTCAGTGGAACTGAGATATTTGTCCAACGAACCCTCCATCAGCTCTACAACTATGTACTCAAAGTTGGAATCTCTTGTGCAAGCGATGTAGTTAACAACATACGGGCAACTTGACAATTTTAAGAGGCACTCGACTTCTCTCTCAAGCATATCTCCCTTCTTTGCTAATCTCGCTTTTTCCAGACGTTTTAATGCTACCTCTCGGCCATCCATTTTATTGATGGCAGGAAACACACAGGAAAATGTACCTTCTCCTATTGACTTCGTATAATGGTGGTAATTTTCAACATTTTGAGAATTCTTACCAAGCACAACCTCAGACAGTACAGCCTTATGGACGATGGATTCAGAAATCCATTTCATTCTTTTGGGAATCTCTAACCTTTGATATTTAGAGAGCATATCCTTGCAAGTGTTCCCATAAATATCAGAGAGAGTCATGTCAGCATTGTATCTTTCAAGAAGTCGAATTAAATTGATTTTTTGTTGGGAAAGCGAGGAGTCCGTCTCACTTATTTTGTTGCATAGCAAATGCAGAGGTGTTTGTCTGCACTCGTTTTGCGCATTGACCTCACATCCATGGCCCAGCAAATAGTCACAGATTTCCAGGACACTTTCATTATTAATAATGCATAACATATGAAGTAGGTAGTCTCCACTCTGATTTCTATAACGCCTGGCAGACTCAGCCATGTCTCGATTTTGATTGTCTTCGAAAATTGCCTTCGGAAGAGTGAATACACTTCCAAAAGATTCGTTTTCTAAAAGGACTTCAAATGGGCACTTCCCATTACAGTTTGCGATCCAGGGATTCATTCCAAGGGCTAGAATTCTGCTCCATAAATCTGGTTCAACCAAGTCTTCTTGCACAAAAGTTTCCTTCACTAATATGTGGAAAGGCGTATCTCCTTTGTCGTTTCTTGAATTGACGGCTCCACCATGGGAGACGATTTCGGACCCAATTTTAATCATTTTATCACTGATTGGTGCGTGCATCAGGCTTGCCAATATATGTAAAGCTGTGTTCCCTTCAGAATCTCTGGAATTGATTTCCATTCCATACTCTTTCAAGATGGCAGTGCCATTGCAAACTATCTCAAGCCCCTCGGATGATCCTAAACGGCCAGTTTGTAAAAGGGATAGGAGAACATGCAAAAGGGACCTGTCCTTTTCGTCTTGGACATTAGGTCTTGCTTTAGCCTCCAAAAGAAGACGCCAGGTTTTCACAACTTGAATCCCAGAATAATCGCCATATGCCGGATAAAGAGCATCAAGCCGACGGTGGGCGTCAAAACTACATGGAGAACGTAGGTAGGACAAACTGTACAAAAGGGGAGTCTCGCTTAGGTCGTCTCTTTCATTAGGGTTTGCTTTGGTTCGAAGCAAGAAAGTGATAAACATGCACCATCTCTCAGGCGCTCTCTACCGCTTTTTCTACAGCGTGAAAAAGACATGTGTGACCTAGCTGATCTTTTTCGTCAATTTGGACTCCTTCCTGAATAAAAAACTCTGCTAGTTGCACATTTGGCATGGAAAGCATGAGATATGGAAATCCTTTTATTTTCCCGTTTACAGAACATCCAGTTTCTTTGAACAAAACCTTTACTGCTTCACAAACTTCTTTATCGTTCCAGCAGGGAATGGCTGGATAAGAATCTGGTCCCGTGTATTCTTCCAGGAGCCTCATAAACCTTTTTAACATTTCTTTTTTAAAGGTAATGTCAAGTTCCTTCAAATATGTCTGTAAAAGTCTTGTCAGACTGCAGTCCTGAATAGCGTGTAATTTCCTAGTTATTCTCAATGTGTCTTTGTTCGAAGTTACGATTTCAAAAGGGTGTTTAAAATTTGTCATACCATGTTGTGGAAAAAAACAGAGGTGGAGGAACAGCGATGGAGGCATGTCCTCTAGTGGGTAGAACTCTTTGAACAGGTCTAGAAGATCGAAGCGGTGGAGAGTAATGGCAAGCTCTAACGAAGTTTTAAAATGTACGCTTTTGAAGTAGTTATTATCACCAATAGTTTTGTGATGTGCAAACAACGATTTTACCAGCTCTTGGCTTGCGAGCAGAACTGCACTGTGAAGGAGAGTCCAGCCATTTGAATGCAATGAAAATGATAAATGATCATGACTGAGCATGCCACTAATTTTTTCAACGGCACTATCGGAATTTAAAATATACCAAGGACTTAAGTAGTAGTGATCAATTACTCTGCAATGACGCGGGCTCTTGATAAAATTGGACCTGCGCAGACACTCGCATCCCGTGAAATCTACCGCCTCAAGAAGAGGACAAAACCAAAGTAGAAGATCTAGAACTCCAAATGGCCAAGTTTCGTCCCCTATGGTACAATATGCGAGAACAATGGAACGAGCATTCCTTGCCATTAAGCACGTGTCAACGAAGTCGCGACACGAAGAGATGTGACAGCGCGAGAGGTCAAGATCTATTTCTTCACCTGGCTGATGAGGGGAGAAACGACAAATGGAACACACCTTTGAATCTTTTAGCTCAAAAGACTTGGAGTCGTTCACAATGAAATCTTCCAAACCATGTGATCCCAGCTCTGTTTCTTTTATAATCTCATGTAATGTACTAAACTCGCAACCTGTCCTGTCCAAAACCTCTTTTTCCAAACGTTGGACATCCATAGACTTTTCACCGGATGCTTTGAAGATGTCTAGCAACAATTCATCAAGAATAACGAGGAATTCAAAATCGGTGTCCTGGAAATGATTGAAACAAACGATAAGAGACTTGAATAAAAACGCATTGATGAAAACGATATCAATTATGGCGCTCTTGTTTTGTATTATAGTGTTATTCGTATATGCCTCAAAACAAGCTATGGACGAATATCTCAAGAACAATGAAAGATCTACTCGGCCCTTTTTTTTTGTTAAATAAATCTTGTTTACCCTCCTTTTCTACCATTCCGAGTATCCGAGAAATTTTTTGGGAGCAGTATTATCGCCAGCTTAATATGAGGGTCTCAATGGGGTGATAGCTTTTACGGCTAACGGTTAAAGTTTTGGTCAATTTACGGCTAACGGTTGACACCTTTCCATTGTTTCCACAAGACAAACTTTTTTACGGTTAACTTTTTTTATGACTAACGGTTAAAATTTGTCAATTTTTACGCCTAACGACTAAATTTTTTGGCCGTTTTACGGCTATCTGTTAACCTGTTAGAAGTGCTAGAACACTCGTTGTTTGTTTGGTTGATTCTTCTTTAATCTCCTTTCTTCTCAAGTTGTTACATCGGGGACTAACTCCTATCTTATGAGAAAAGTGAGGGTCACCGTTTATAAGGTGACACTACGGATGATACTACTAGGCTGTCAGTCTTCTTGTATCGGCATCGTTCCACCTCGGCCAGGGACGCACGTTTGATTACGTATGACAGTTCCTGCTTACTAGGTATGCGCCTTCGTGTTATTTTCGCAGGTGCAAAATCATCTTCTACCTTAAATTTCTTATTCTTACTGTTGAGATCGACCAGAACAGAAACGAGATTGGTAATATAAAAATCATAACTAACCTATTGGAAGAATATTATTCGCACCTGAAGGGGTATCTTAAGAGAAAATTGCCTTAGAAGACTGTTACATAACAGCATAATAATTACAAAAGTTGGAGAAGAAGGGGCGTTCACAAGTACCGCCCCCAAGTTGCTGCGTGCTAGTCAATAACTTTCTAATTGCAAAACATGAAGGTATCACACGTTTACATCTTTAAGAACGAGAGGTGTCGAACGTGACCTTTTACCAGAGAGATTCACTCTTCCTGGACTAACAAATTAAATTAATTAATAACATAGCTTTCCCAAGACACTATCACGAATTCTAATTACCGTAACACTGAGCAACTGTTTCCATGTCAAATTCACTATCATAACGAGGAAAACGTGACCAAACTCTACCTTTAAGATAAGGCATCCAAAAGGAATAAGAAGTAATCAACCTGCCTTTTTATAATCTTCAGCAGGAATGGTTTAAGGTAATATATTATTTCCATTCCTTTCCTCGACACCAATATAAGGAAACCCTTACGATATTTCAGATTAAATATAGTCCCATTTTTATCGTCTAACAAACCTCATTGAGAACCTCTAATGTTCTCTTACGTAGTTTTTCTACAAAGACACTGACGATTTCGAATTTCGTCAAGTGTAATGCGACACGTAAGAAACTTCTATCCCGTGCATTATCACGCTATTTATCATTAGGGATTAAGCTATGATTAAGCAATTATTGGATGAGGTTGATCATGATATCATGGCCTTAGCGATTCGGCTGAAAACCCTTACCTCGACCTTGCATATTCTGAATATCCAATATCTGTTTGATATCGTGCGAAATCCAGATGCAATAATTGTTTTATGATACATTTTTTAAAAACAATCTGCTAAAAAAGACAATTTTCCCTGAGTTTGCAAAGTTTAAGAAAAAAAGGAAAAAAAAAGGTTGAGAACTCTACACGGACGAGGGGCTTGGTAACTAGACACACTTTGAACTCGACATAATAGATGCAAGATCTACTGCGAATCGACCCACCGGAAGTCGATTCGCGGTTACGGTAATCTGAATAAACCGTTCCTCTTGAGGTGGAAATGTCGTACCGGAAGTCGATTTACAGGATACTTAGAATATATTCCGCAAGCGGCTGAAAGCGAGGGTTAGAAATGTTTTCGAATTCGACTCGATTCGACTCGAATCGCACGGATGGAGATGCCTTCTTTCCTTCGAAGATGTGGCCTCCAGAAATGAGACTGCTGTTTTTTAAAAAAATCTGTCGGGGACCAGCAGACATTCAAGCTATTGTTTTTTTGCACAGGAAACGGTTACTCTCCTGACCTGATTTGTCCGTAGATTCTCTTATCCCAATCATGGGAACCCACTAAAGCCGAAAAGCGGGTACGCCGATTACATTTTAACAATTGGTTCAGAGTGCTCTCTAAACTTCCCAAGTGCTTCATATCTCGATGAACGCACAGCTGACGTATGAACCAATTGTTTTATAACATTTTCAACCCGATGAAAAATTTTTTCTCGAGGGATATGTTTGCTGACGTCAAGAGCGTGCACAATAGGAATATGAAGCACGCTCGCGCAATTGAATTTGATTAGACAAATTTACTAACTATGTTATAATTAACAATTGGTTCATATGTCAGCGTGCGTTCATCGAGATATGAAGCACGCGGGAAGTTTGGAGAGCACAAAAGATGCGTAAGAGAGAGAGAAACGCGCGAAGGAAGCGCGAGATTTAAAAGGCGAAAAATTCAAAACAATTATGGCGGCGCGAGGCTTTTTTTGGTCTACGAAACTTTTTTCTTATTTTGTAAGGAGTTTGCCCACCAGCGTGTATTTGATGTATTCAACGGCCACTGTGTATGCAGGAGACAGAAACGAAAATAAAGAAGACGATTCTCGGCGACATAAAGGTTGCCTCGAAACGAAAAATACAATCGATACGAAATCTCGCGACAGCAAAAAAAGAGAAACTCAAAAAAATAGCACCATTGGTTCTAAGAACCCCAAAACTCGTTTTTATGGAGGCAGTGAAAGTAATGATTTCGAGTAGCATGTGGGGTGGCATAAACCAATATTGGATACAACTACATTGGAAAAACATTAGAGATTCTTAATATTGAGCTAGGTTCTCTATATGAAAGACATGCTAAAGCAATGGACAAGAAGGTTTTTTTATGACAAACAACGAAAAGAAAAAAGGAATTCAAGAGAAGGCGTAACCAGTTATCTAAACAAAAAACCTCGCAAACACTCAGGAAAGAAGTCAATGAAGGGGTCACCTATGAGTCTTCAGCAGGTCTAAATTTGGATCCAACATATCATCAAACAGTGTCACAAAATGTATTTGAAATGCCTGCAGAAATATCACGAACTGAGCTAAAAGGATATGAAGAAATAACACCACCCTACACTATAAGGCCAAAGATTGTGCACTTACAATATGATTCAAAACAGAAATATCAATTCATTATCTTTGACACAGAAACGACTTGCACAAGGAAGCTAGCTGAGATGTGCCAACTGTCAGCTGTAAGTGAAAATGGGAAACATGAATTCTCCACTTACATTCTCCCAAAAAGCAACACAAGTTACAGTGCCTACCTTGTCAATGGTATGACCATCAAGACCATAAAAGGAGTAGGGACATTATACCAAGGAAACATTCCTGTCGAAAGTATAACCATAGAGCAAGCACTTCGTGACTTCCTGACTTTTATAACTAAAGTCAAGTCTTCTGAGCGACATGAAAATCAAATAACTGTTTTAATTGGTCATAATTCGGCAACGTTCCATGTCCCTATTCTCCTAAGAAATAGTGATAAAAAACTTCAAGGATGGCATTACTGACATGAATGTCTACTTTGCGGATAGTCTACATCTGATGAAAAAACTAATTAAAAACAAACACAAAGCACTTGAGCTCGATTCTGGTGGATACTGTAAACCAAACCAAAGCAGCATTTATAACCATTTGTTCAAGGAACAATTTGACGCCTATGATGCTTTAGAAGATGTCAGGGCGCTGAGAAAAATTCTTTTTGAATCGTCATTAAGCCTCTCCAGGAAAAACATCGTTAAGAATTCCAGTGTCATCAGTGCTCCCCACGCAGTGGCAAACATGCTCTACCTAGATCAACGCCACGAACTTCTTCTAACATTCAGTGACAACTTGTTCAACGAAACCGACACCGGACCAATCAAAAGATCAATGGCACAAAACATCGCTGACAGTGGTCTCTCTTACGATGACCTTCACAAACTGTACATAAGGTTTGGTAAAATAGGACTAGTCGCCATATTGTCTGATCCACCAACAACTTCATCGGCGAAGACACCACGAGTCACATGGACGAAGAGGATATTGGCCGCCATAGTTTAACACTTCGAAGAAACCGGCAACGAAGAATAACGAGAGATGCCCGAAAAAATCTCAGGCATAACGTTTCACCCATTAGAAGACTCACAATCTATAAACAAACATTCCGATCGAAGCGCCAACCAACACGTGTTTTCCATGGAATTTAGTCCATTTCAAACTTTCGCCTGTTGTTTTTCAATAAAAATATGGCTAATATAGTCAGAAGTTGGAAGTAAATCTATCAAGGTGAGCCCGGAAGGCTGTCTTTAACGGCTGCTGAATGACTTTCTTAGCAGCAAACGTTTGTGAATGTTTGTGATCGGATGCAGTAGGAGCTCGCGCGAGCACACGCAATTGTCAGCGGTAGCCGTAACAGATCATGAGCAACTGTCGATCTTATAGAATCCGGATTTTTAGATGCGCGAGAACGTGCGTGGGAATTGCTAAACTCACGAAAGCTTTTGCATGAAAATAAGTCCGGTGACCCCCTCTTTTTAATGTTCCAATAAAATAATAACTTTGAAAGGAATCGTCAGTGATTATATAATTCAATCTTGTAATAGTTTTCAACTGGCCTTGGTCAGTCTCTTTGTTATATTCTTTCAAAGTTACAAACCATCAAAAAGATGAAAACTGGTACCAGCCACCTTAATTTAACTCATTGACGTCACTTACATCCAAGCCACTCGCTGTTCGGTTAATCCTCTCGTCGTTGCTATCTGCCTTCTCCGGGCTTATATTTTTCATTTCACTTTTTGAAGTAGAAGTGTTCTGGTCGACATCACTATCCCCTGAAAAAGGAACTAACCGTAATAAAGAAATCATTCTGTTACTATGGAACTAACATTGTTTACTTGGAAATTAACGAAAGGATTAAGAGATCGAAATTGATAAATCATCCGACAGTATTTGGATGGATAACTCACTGTGTGATGCTTCTTCATCGTCTTTTGTAGCACTATGAGGCAAAGGCTTCTCTTCTGGTAAAGTTACTTTGAGACCTTCTTCAGTGGCTACCTACAAACCATAACAATCCTCAGATAAGCCATATGTCAAAGATGTCGTTGGAAATTCTGTAAGCTTATGGTGCCTGGCTCCGGATCCAGATGAAAAATTTTAGTTTAAGCCCTGGATGAAGTCGTTATGGTGTGGTCCTTGAACAAGAAATGATATCAAGGACGATGTAAATGGCTACCAGCGAGCCACGAAGGCTGGCGAAATATTGGAGGTAATATGCATTAGAATAGCATTCTTTGGATTCTGAGAGTAAAAGGATTAAAAACAGTAAAAATTCGCATAACAAAAACATAAGTCTCTGCTTGCCAGACAATGATGGACTCTGAACTAGTATATAGACTGATTAAGTCATGCTAATTCTTAGTGATGTCAGCTTATGAAGGTCACTTACATCCAAGCTACTCACTGTTCGGTTAATCGTTTCGTCGTTACCATCTGCCTTTTCCGGCCTTTTATTCTTCTTCTTGTTTTTCTTCTTCTTTACATTTTTTGCAGCAGAGCCCTTCTGATACAACAAGAAGCGCTTAGCATCAGTCGGCGTCACACTTCGCTGATTACTTTTCACAATATATCAATCTTTTCACAATATATCAGTCTCATGACCATCAAACACGTGACGTTTGTAAAGATGCTTTATCCGACAGCCCACACGGCTACCTTAAGGTGGCTCAAAATAGTTTTAATATTCTAAAAAAATTGATTCTTTGATGGATCTTAGCCTTCAGACTTCTCAACAAATTGTAATCATTTCTCTAACTATATTAGAATTCCATAGTACCATTACAACCTGGTGTTGCCATGGTAACCTGATATGTCATAAGAACATCAAAACATTAGCAATTGGCTGAAGATTCTTTTCATTTTGAGTACGACAATTGCGTGTCGTACCTTGGACATCGCATGAACTTATACGTTTTATAATGATTTACGCTTAAAGCCACAAAATTAGCTTTAGTTCTGTAATTGTTAAGTATACCTCTCCGTCTGGTTCCCTAGGAAAGCCTTCTGAGGTAGAAGGCATGGAATTCATCTCTGCATGTTTCGACTGAATGTGTTTGTAAATTGTCTTACGCTGAAGTGAAATAAAGAGAAAGGAAAATTTGTTAGCGAGTTTCCACAAAGTTGGATGTCCCAGTCTAGTTTGATGTCGCAGTTATCATTTCTGTCCCTTCAATGCATAATATTCCCTAAATACGCTAATAATAACATAGTACTACCATAGTGCAAGCGGAGAACCCACCCAACTAATAATGACGAACCCGAGGTCTGGGGAGATTTGACATCTGTAGGAATAACTGAATGTTTCCAGAAGCAACAAGGTGGAAAAAAAAAACGCATTTGTTTCAACAGCTGGGATTCCGAAACTAATTACCACCAAAAACCTAGTAACTGATCCATCATAAAGTTGACTTGCAGAAATTTTGAACATGCACCTCTCAGGAAAAGGGATGTAGCTAAATTTATTATGCCTTAATTTCAACAGATACTATAAAATACTACATAAGATTTGGTTTAGCATATTTATGAAATTCCTCAGAACAGAGAATATCGAGCTTAGAGGTTATTTTACGTTTCATTCAAAATGCAACATCAGCCATAGAAACATTCCAATTTAGCTGTTTGAATTCTTCAATACGTACTTTTTCTGCAGAATATTTACAGTCTTCCCGTGGACAGTGAAAGTGGAGCATATATTTCTTACTCCAACCGCACGAATCAGGAGATGGGCAATTTCGTCGAGGCAGTTCCTTTCCGGTGCTCATCCTCACAAGTGTCAAATATTACTGTAGAGGGAAGACTATGCCTCCTAGTGAACTAATGGAAGGAACCTTGCATCAGTTAAAGTCTATGGATCTAGATTGTTCAAGTTCGGTGTTTTCAGTCCGTTTTAATTTCCTCTATCTTAAACCGTCGTCTTTCATCTCTGCTCTGTTATTGCATTCATTTTTAACCCTGGTGTTCCTCTTCCCTAACAGGCTATGATTTTGAAAGTTGCGAAGGGCGTATTTCTAGCGGTTCTCCAGCACCTAGTTTGATCAACAGTGAGGTTTGTCACGAATTGAAACAGCAATTTTGCACATGTATAAAAAAGTCTTCTAACTAAGGGGGGCATTGGTGTCTATTAGAAACCGCAAAACCGTAGAAATAAAATCATTGAAGAGCGCAAAAAAAAATTCGATCAAAACCAAAAACCGCATGCAAAATCGTCAAAAATTTTCACATCCCAGTCATCAAACCCTAATCGAACAACAATAAATTAAGTTTAGTCTAGTCAAGCCGCGATCTCTAAACATAAGATCGAATAAAGCTTTCGTTATGCAAAATTTCCACTTCCGGGTCTATCACTTTATATCGTCACTTTATATCACACAGAAGGACATTGATGTTTTAAATGTTCCTCTTGATCCAGTCGTTAGAATGTTACTTTATTCTTGCATTTTGTCCCTCCCAGTCGTGAACTGATAATTTCGATTTTGCGAAGTTATCGATAAAAACGAAATTGACAATATACGTTCGTGATATACATGTTAATTTTCCAGAAAAGTATTCAGAATTTCAGAAGCTTAACCCGTGCACTCTGACGATCTTTCAGTGATAATTGAAAGGCTGAAATGTAACAGTTGTAGTATAAGTGCAAAACTGACTCTCTGTTCTATTCATTCACGATCTCAAAGAGAGATGAACTTTCGAATGGCAAGATCGTATTACTTTCGCTTTTCTTTAAACTTGGATTATCAGTGTTTCGCAACACGTATTCTGACCATTTAATCTTGACCAAATTCAAAATAATCAGACGGATCTTTTCGGCCAATGCGTTTCACTTATCTTTTTTTTTCTAAGCCATATCAAGATATCAAAACTTGCGTACATTAACAACTACCGTATTCTGGTCGTTCATTCTTACCTGGTAAGATGTCGCTTACGGTGAAAAACTTGAAGATATAGTTGACGCCTATGTCGAGACTTCAAAAAAGTAATTCATTTCAAAGCTGATGAATTGAATCACCATTTATTTCTCAAGAGAAGTGGTGAATTCGCGTGTCTTTGTTAAGAGGTGCAAACTGAAAATTCTTAGAATTAATTGACTCAGCGATTCTCTGAATTGGTCGATTCGAAAACGGGCATGCGCCTTGCACCACATCCAGACAAAATGACGTGACTTTCAAAAATAATCGTGACTTCATTCGGGGGGAAAGGGGAAATGAGGTTACGGTAGATGTATTATATCTGAACTGAACTAAAACCTCTTTTTCTCTATTTTGGCTTCTATCAAATCATTGACAAAAAAATTCTGGCGGCGATTTGTATGAGGTTTAGCCAGCTTTGTGGCATTTCCACTGATCTCAGTTCAACAAAACCGTGGAACGAGATCACGCGACATGGAGCCATAGGCCCTTTGTCTCTTTTCAATCGCACGAATCATGCCGAGAGAATAAGCATCACATATTTAATTAAAAAAAAGGAAAAATTTCTCGGAGGGATCAAGATAACACTAAACGTTTCGAATGGTGGAAAGAGTTCACTAGTATGCTTCTCCGACAGTCAATTTTCTTTCATAATTTTTGTGGGTCCCATGGAGTGCCTCCTTATATTCGTTCCAAAACCAGCCCCTCCTCAAGCTCTGTGAAAAATTTCTCAAAACAACTTATTTTCTATTTGAAAAAAATGAAAAGTAGACGCGATTTTGTGGTCATTGCTGCTGTCGAGAGGTAATCGGTGTGGAGAAGATAAAGTAAGGGTGCTGGCGAAGTTCCCGACTGTACCCGGACTGAATGAATTAACCAGTTTTAGAGGTCTTTCAAGCCCAACATCTGACGTTACATAAAAGGAAAGATCATTCTTGGAGAGTGAAAGTTTGTGAGGCGTATGAAAGGCGTCTTCTTGACGCGTTCCCAAGACAAATCGGGCGAAAATTTGTCAGGAAAATTCGCTACGTTTGACACGATTAGAACTGTTAAGACGTCTCCTCTTGCGACTGGAATCAGTGCAATTATCACAGCGATAATCATGATTGATCGCAGTGACTCGTTCTGAGACAGCTCACACTTTTAAACTTTGGGTTTAGTGACAGGCACCTGTTGCATTTAGTGTCCACTTCATCGCGTGATGCGAAGTCTACGGTGCCCAGAGCAACGTAGACTCCTTGCTAATGTGCGCTTGAGTCCATCCTTGGACATTCCATTATTCGTTGCGGCCTTACATATGCAAACGTTGTTGGGAAAATTGCTGAGCGCAAAATTCACTCCTTGAATTCATCACTCTTTCTTTCACTCCTGTTGACTTTTTGGTTTAAACAGATCCTGCGAAGACAATGCGGTCGGATTTATATACTTTCGAGTGTGACAGGCTGTCTTACATTTCTGTATTTGTGGGCCTTGTTTTTAAACCTTTTTGATCCGGAATTTGAATACTTGATCGCCGAAAAAAAAAACACAGTATCGATGAACTGTACTCTGGAATGACTAAAACTTCTCTTTTTTTCAAAGCGGAAAGGGAAAGAAAAACGTTGCGATTTGAAAATTGCCGGGCTTCTCGAAGGCCGATTTCTGCTCACAAGAAGGTGACGCACTGGATGAGAAGAGATAAAAATAAATACTTTTGAAGAACATGTTAAAAAGATAAGGAAACACAAAAGAAAAAGTTTGGTTCCAAGTTTGTTCGCATGTGGGTGCTTTTCTACGAGGTAACTTTGATTTTAGTTGCACAATCACTACCATTATCACAGCATTCAATGACCGATTTACCTTGAGCTGTGCCTCGGTCTGGTAGCTTTTTTCCGATTAAGTACTGTAGCAGTTTTCACAAATTGGGTAACATGTCATGGTCGCACCTCTGGTTTCATGAATCACATCGCCCTCGATTACTTACAGCTACATCACCTTTAGCTCTGAAAAATGAACCCTCTATGGGTTTGCCCTTTATTAAAGGGACATTTTTTACTAAAAGCGGCGCCTAACCCCCCTAAACTCCCAGAAGTGATTAACGTGTAACTTCTATCTACAATATCCATACATTATCCTGCAAGCAGGTAATAAGAATACCTAAACTCATCAGGTAGAAGCTTTTATCTAAATCTAACACCAAAATCTTGTAACCATATTACAAGGTAACGTGTAACCGCTAAAGAGGAGAATTAACGATCAGATCTTGGGAGTGAAAGGTTAAAAAGTCCTCTCATAGAGACATGAACCTTGTAAGAGGATTACCGAGCCTCGTAAGAGAATATTTGAGGCCCAGTGTAAAAACAAAGAGCACTGTAGACTCGTGTACCAACTGGGTGTTGCAATCGAATCGTGAGCTTTGGGGCAACTAATCCGCACCCCATTTCTTAGAAGAAAAACCAACAAAGGAAAAAAACGCTCAAATTTCAATACTTTTACTTAAACAATTCTCTGTCACCTCACCTCAAAAGCAACACGTCATTGCGCACGTGAAAAATTAATCACATATTTTGAATACTTTCTTAGTTTCGTTGTCGTTAGGAACCAAGGGCTACCAGATGCAAAGAAAGTTGTCTTTTGTAACAATAACCTGTACATCGATACCATTTCGATTTTCCAATACTTCAAACGTTGAAAATAACTTATGAAAAGACTTCATGCTCCTGTTCATATGCTGTCATTAATTCAGATGCTGCGTCAAACTCTGATCCCGCCAAAGTTTCCTGGCAAAAGTGTCACGCTCGTATCACGCTCGTAAGATACGGCTTCTTGGCATCTCACACATTTCGCACACTTCCAAGGCTTCGTGATTTGCAAATGTGCAAACTGAGCATGTCCAGGTGGGTTCTTTTGAAACACGAAAGAGAGCGAAAAATCAGTTTTGAAAAATTAACATGCCCCAAAGTAAAGTCAAAATGTCCTAAATGTTTAACCAATTTCATTCCCCATGACACCCTACATTTCTATTGACTACAATACACAAAGAAGAAGAAGCAAATCGCAAGGATGAACACTCATACACTATTGAGGAGTCTCTTGGGGAAAAAACTCAATAAAGAGGCAGCAAAGAGGCAGTAAAAAAAGTATGTGTGTTAGCAAACTAACAAGCCCTCTGTATCCCAGTTAGACGTCAACACCATACAAAGCGTCAGAGGTTCAAATTCTCTTTTGGGGGGAGGGGTGAGAATCAGTTACTTTTTGCTTTGCTCCTCTCTCTTGAAAAATATCAACCGATCTTTTAACCCACTCTCTGCGAAGAATGGCACCCAATGAATTTGACCATAAATTTTCGAACCATCTATAAGAAGACGGGTATTGAGAAGAAAAGAAATTGTCAACTACAGAGTAGAGGATACTAATCCTAAAATCATCCGAAATGTATTGTATATTGTGTATCTTTTGTACAACTTCCAGCCTTTTGCATTAATTTAAACAAAACGTTTATCTGCCTCTACAACACAGCAGAGCCTGCAGGACCAGTTCTTCTGGAATCAGAAACCACAAAATTATATAAAGTCGTATTAGACATTAATGGCAGCTTACTGCCCTTTAACTTAGTTATTTCCTGGTCGTTCGTGCATTACATTCTGATAGTTTGGAAGAAACATCCATTCTTTGGTTAAGCTTCCGTCCGGAGGAAGAGGTGGAGAACTCAGGGCCTGTTTACATGGAGGTGGGGGACCCCAGGTTGGTAAGTTAGCCCGCCTAACCGTGGTCAAAATAAAACGCGTTTACATACAATCTTACAACCCCCAAGGTGCTGGTGAGGTTTCTTGAGGTTATTGTTGCGCTTGCAATGAAGGAGTTTGAGCAGAGGCGTCCCAAGCTCACATCTTGAGAAAGACGAAAGATTAATTGTCGGACACATATGTATTTATTCTTGAGAGCGCCACGCGTTGTGTTACGCGGTGTTAGGTTACGCGAGGAACCGTTGACTTAATACGTTGTACGGAATAGTTTGGGAAACGAAATATGGTAGATTTACGACGCTAAATATTCCGAAATGTGAACATTTTACACTCCTTGTGTGTCCGTTGCGGTTCCTGGTGATTTCTGCCATGACACGGCTAGGAAATGTACAAAGTTTTAAAACATACATGCTTCACTTTTGAGCTTTTGCCTTGAACGAGACCCCAAGGCGGATTACCCCACCTTGAGACGTTTACATGGCAAATTGTCACCCCGGCTGACAGGGTTACCCTACCTGGCAGACCGGGCAACCCACCTCGGCGGGTCACCCCACCTATCATGTAAATGTGATCGAGAGAAGATAAGAAATTACACGGACAGGCGGGTTACCTCACCTACCTGGGGTCCCCCACCTCCATGTAAACAGGCCCTCAGACTGGAAGGACTCTCTTCCTCTACATGAAATAAAACATAATCGAATTAAAGCTTGACAAAGTATGGTCAGTCTAAATAATTGTACATACAATGCAACGTTACTTTTGCTCAGGCTTCTCCGCCTTGCATGTGTTTAACTTCAACGCAAAAATTAACAGGCTTTATCCGTCGTTGATATCTGTTAAAGCAGACAATGAACTATTTAAGGAATTTACGTTTAGTTGTTCAACAAACAGGAAACCGCAACAGTGCACGCTTTGTCAAAAGTTATTTGAGTAGCTTAGCTTTCACTGGTTCTCTTGCTGACAGTCGTATTGAAACGATCAGAGGTTTTTGCGCTCACCTGGTGCCCGGATTTACGTATGCGGTATTCAAGGACATTTAAGAAAACTCGCCATAGAAGTAAGTGAACCAAAAATTATTATTGAACTGTTGAGTTAGGATTAGATTTCTCAGTTACCTAATAGGGTTTAAAGCGTTTGTATTTAGGCTTGTTTTAAGAACCCCGTGGGTTCGCGTACATCCATTCTTGGCTCTCACGGGCATTCATATGGCTTTTCTAGTTCCATCTATTAATTATGAGATCGCATTTAGTTAATAGAATCTTTGCACATATTAATTTGATTTCAGATCGAATAAAAATTGCCATTATACGATTGCGAGTTATTCTTAGGTTTGGATTCTTCGCTTGCTATCGGAACAATATCTTTTCGTAAGAGATTACCAAAAACTCCTAAAAAACAAACGTGTTTAATGACACAACGAAAAAGGACCAAAGCGATAAAGTACTAGATGCTAATCCTTCAAGAAAACTATTAATACCTCTTAGAGCTCTCAAGAAAGGGATTCTTGGAGAGTAAATCAGTTTACTATTTTGTCTCACGATAGCCTTGGTCTTTATGCTGCACGACATCGTCATATCCCGGATGCATCTGAAAACCTCGCCTAAGTACAGGTGGCCAACATTGCTTTCTAGTCCTTGGCTTTCCTAAAATGCACCGTTTGGGTTTCCAAGCAAATGAAAAGGCACAGGCACCTATCATGTCGTATTTTTACGTGTAATGGAAAGATGTACAAAAGACCGTCAAAGGTACACAAATCTTTAGCTTTTTGGGCAGAAGTTCTGAAGGTGAAACGATGCTCTGAACTAAGGATAGGCGTCACGATCTTACAATCTCTTGCATTCTCTTCCTGTTATCATATTTTTCATTCCACTCGCGGGAATCATACCTTGTGGCTATGATCCAAAATATCTTATACATTTGGTTGGCTAAGAGTACAGTGAAATCAGTTATGGTGAAATGATCAACCCTCTCACACGATAATACTTCACAGTTCGTCTGTCATACAGTATCTGTTAGGCAAAATGAGGTGTTGAACTTAATCGAAGAACATTTTGTCGGCTACGTTGTCTGTAAATTTCTCTCGTTATCGCTATCCCCTCCTCGTAAACGTTTCATAATTTGTAGAAAAGGAAATCGATGCTTGCCTTTCTTCTGTGATATGGAGCACTCCTCTTACTCTAGCGTTTTCTTAGTCCATTGAAACGTGTTGTTTGTTGACAAAATCTGTACTTCCATTGAATCTTTATTTCCAGAAAAAGTGCATCAGGTCTTTCCTTTTTGTCCACGTATCATAATCTTTTACAGCTTTATAAATTTCGGTTACTAGAAATGGAAAGTGCTCGAGAATTATAAAATTCTCCAAAAGATCTCTTCGGCTTCTCTTTGAGAGTTTATAGACGTGAATATGCGAATTTCGAATAAATCGTGTAAGCTCAACAGCTGATTCAGTGTCGTATTTTCGGTCGGGATATCTGGTTATAACATCATTATAAACATGTTTGATCTTATCATGCCAGGGGGTCACACCAGACTGATGTGACCAAGATGATTCTAATTTCAGTTCCACTCCACTGAAGCTGTGTCTGCATGATCTCGGCACTTGAAATTCATTTTGGTTTCCTATTGATTTGAGAAACTCCAGTTTCCTATGATTATCCCAGAAATAAGGAATATTATGCAAAGAAGATGCTGCTGGTCGTGTTTCTCGATCTATAGAAAGCATTTCCGTTACGAGATAGACAGCCTCCGACGAAAGACGGGAGAAGAGAAACATTTTGTTCCTTTTGATGTTTTCCTCTATTTCGTGATAATTTGACTTGATTGACCCCCCAGAGCCGTTAAAAGGATGCTTCTTTCCCGACATGACATAATGGAAAAGAAGACCACAGCTGTAAATATCGGTGGCTTTACTGTGCTCTTCATGGATCTGTGCCAATAGCTCAGGGGCCATCCAACAACGCGTTCCCGCCTTTGAGTGCATTACAGACTTACTGCCATCACTAGCTTGCTGCAGGAATTTACTGAGTCCAAAATCGCTGATTTTTACGGTAAGATGTGGTTTGGTTCGATACAAAGTGTTTTGAGGTTTCAGATCTCGATGGAGGACATTGCTCTGATGCAAAAACTGCATACCAAGGGCAATCTGTGAGCAGATTGTGGAGGCCTGACTGCATTCTTCAGTGCAACTGAGATATTTGTCTAAAGTACCCTCCATCAGCTCTAAAACTATGTACTCAAAGTTGGAATCTCTTGTGCAAGCGATGTAATTAACAACATACGGGCAACTTGACAATTTTAAGAGGCACTTGACTTCTCTCTCAAGCACATTTCCCTTATTCGCTAATCTCGCTTTCTCCAGGCGTTTTAATGCTACCTCTCGGCCATCCATTTTGTTGATGGCAGGAAACACACAGGAAAATGTACCTTCTCCTATTGACTCCGTATGATAGTGGTAATTTTCAACTTGTTGAGAATTCTTACCATGCACAACCTCAGACAGTTTGGCTTTATGAACGATGGATTCAGGATTCCATTTAATTTCTTTGCGAATCTTAAAGTTATGGAATTTAGATAACATGTCCTTGCAAGCATTCCCATAAATATCAGAGAGAGTCTTGTCAGCACTGTACCTTTCAAGAAGTCGAATGAAATTGATTCTTTGTTGGGAAAGCGAGGAGTCCGTCTCACTTATTTTGTTGCATAGCAAATGCAGAGGTGTTTGTCCGCACTCGTTTTGCGCATTAACCTCACATCCATGGCCAAGCAAATAGTCACAGATTTCTATGACACTTTCATTATTAATAACGCATAACATATGAAGTAGGTAGTCTCCACTCTGATTTCTATAACGCTTGACAGACTCAGCCATGTCTCGATTTTGATCGTCTTCGAAAATTGCCGTCAGGAGAGTGAATACACTTCCAAAAGATTCGTTTTCTAAAAGGACTTCAAAGGAGCACTTCCCATCACAGTTTGCAATCCAAGGATTCATTCCAAGGGCTAGAATTCTGCTCCACAATTCTGGTTCAAACAAGTCTTCTTGCACAAAAGGGTTCGTCATTAGTATGTGGAAAGGCGTATCTCCTTTGTCGTTTCTTGAATTGACGGCTCCACCATGGGAGACGATTTCGGACCCAATTTTAATTGTTTCATCGCTGATTGGTGCGTGAATCAGGCTTGCCCACAAATGTAAAACTGTGTTCCCTTCAGTATCCCTGGAATTTATTTCCAGTCCATACTCTTGCAAGATGGCAATGCCATCGCAAACTATCTCAAGCCCCTCGGATGATTCTAAACGGCCAGTTTGTAAAAGGGATAGGAGAACATGCAAAAGAGACCTGTCCTTTTCGTCTTTGACGTTAGGTCTTGCTTTAGCCTTCAAAAGAAGACTCCAGATTTTTACAACTCGAGTCCCGGAATCATTGCTATATGCTGGATGAGGAGCATCAGGCCAACTGCTGGAGTTAAAACAACACAGGGAACATCGGAAGGACAAACTGTACAAAAGGGGAGTCTCACTTACGTTGTCTCTTTCATTAGGGTTTGCTTTGTTTTGAAGCAAGAAAGTGATAAACTTGCACCATCTCTCAAGTGAGTCACTCATTATCGCTTTTTCTACAGCGTGAAAAAGACACGTATGTCCATGCTGATCTTTTACGTCCACTTGGACTCCTTCCTGAATAAAAAATTTTGCAAGTTGCAGATTTGGCATGGAAAGCATGAGGTATGGAAATCCTTCTACTTTCCCGTTAACAGAACATCCACTTTCTTTCAACAAAATCTTTACTGCTTCACAAACTTCTTCATCATTGCAGCAGGGAATGACTGGATGAGAATCTGGTCCCGTAAATTCTTCCAGGTGCCTCATAAGGGTTTCTAAAATTTCTTTTTTAAATTCAATGTCTAATTCCCTCAAACATGTCTGCAAAAGTCTTGTTAGACTGCAGTCCTGACTGACGTGTAAATTCCTAGTCATTCTCAATGCATCTTTGTCCGAAGTTAAGATTTCCAAGGGGTGGTCAAAACCTCTGATACCGTGTTGTGGCAAAAAACAGAGGTTGAGGAACAGCGATGGAGTCATGTTATTGAATAGGTGGATTTTCTCTTTGAAGAGCTCCAGAATATCGCAGCGGTGGAGAGCAATGGCAAGCTCTAGCGACGTTTGAAAATGTACGCTTTCGAGGTAGATATTGTCACCAATAAATTCGTAATGTGCAAAGCACAATTTTACCAACTCTAGGCTTCCGAGCAGAACTGCACTGTGAAGGAGAGTCCAGCCATTTGAAGGCAATGAAACTGATAAATGATCATGACTGAGCATGCTACGAATTTTCTCAACAGCATTATCGGAATTTAAAATATACGAAGGATTTAAGTAGTCAATTACTCTGCAATGACGCGGGCTCTCGATAAAATTGGACCTGCGCAGACACTCACATCCCGTGAGATCTACCTCCTTAAGAAGAGGACAAAACCAAAGTAGAAGATCTAGAACTCCAAAAGGCCAAGTTTCGTTCCCTATGGTACAATATGAGAGGACAATGGAACGAGCATTCCTTGCCTTTAAGCACACGTCAACGAAGTCGCGACACGAAGAGATGTTATAGTGCGAGAGGTCAAGATCTATTCCTTCACCTGGCTTATGAGGGGAGAAAGTAAAGTTGGGACGCACCATTGCACGCCGTGGGGCACGCCACACTAGCTCAAAAAACTTGGAGTCGTTCAAAATAAAATCCTCCACACCGTGTGATCCCAGCTCTGGTTCTTTTACAATATCACGTAAGGTATTAAAATCGCAACCTGTCCTGTTCAAAACCTCTTTTTCCAAAAGTTGGACATCCATAAACTCTTCACCGGATTCTTTGAAGATGTCTAGCAACAATTCATCAAGAATAACGAGGAATTCACCACTGGTGTCCTGGTAAAGATTGAAACAAACGATAAGAGACTTTAATAAAAACGCATTGATGAAAACGATATCAATTATGGCGCTCTTGTTTTGTAACATTGTGTTATTCGTATATGCCTCAAACAGACTATGGACGAATATCTCAAGAACAATGAAAGACCTACTCGGCTCCTTTTTTTGTTAAATAAATCTTGTTTAACCTCCTTTACTACCATTCCGAGTATCCGAGAAGTTTCTTGGGAGCAGTATTATCGCCAGCTTACTATTCTCTTGCGTAGTTTTTCTACAAAGACACTGACAATTTCGAATTTCGTTAAGTGTAATGCGACACTTAAGAAACTTCCATCCCGTGCATTATCATTCTATGCATCATCAGGGATTAAGCTATGATTAAGCAATTATTGGATGAGGTTGATCATGATATCATGGACTATGAATGCCGAGGTCTGAGTTATCTGCCGAAGCCGAAGGTTGAGGATGATAGCATTCAGTTCACTATCTCTTTTACGATTGGTCGAAAGCGTACACCGAATTTTCAATTTTTCGCGTCTGGGACGTCTTCTAGCTGCAGATTATACAATAATCACGTCAAGGACACTCGAGGTGACGGTCATTTCATGAATGACCTAATCATGTCAAGTTAGCGAGTTTTGTGTTGGTTGCTGATTTGCATATTTTTACAGGTTTAGAAATAAATTATCAGTTCCACTTGTTGTCGTGATCATTTTTTCGCTCAAGGTATAACAAAACAATTATAAGATTCGGTTTTTGTGATATCAAGAATAATCAAGGCCTCGATGGGAGTTATCTGCCTCAGCCTTAGCGGTTCGGAAGTCGATTTGCAAGATACAAGATACAAGATTTTTTCGAATTCCACTCGATTTGACTCGAATTACACGAATGGAGATACCTTCTTTCCTTTAAAGATGTGGCCTTCAGAAATGAGGCTGCCGTTTTTTAAAGAAACCTATATCGGAGACCAGCAGACATTCAAGCTGTTTCTTTTCTGCACAGGAAACGTTTGCTCCCCTGATCTGATTTGTCCGTGGATCCCAATCATGGGAACCTCCTAAGGCCGAAAAGCGGGCACGCCAAGTCCACTTTGTGATGAAAAACATCGATATTAAGGTGATTCAGTTTCGAACTGCATAATCAGGGTAATGAGAGCGCGCGCATTCTAAGAATACGGTAGTGTTTTTTAATCCAGGGATCAGGTTAAAAGGTACTATGGTCTTAAGCTCTTGAACGAGCACGGAGACCTATATTTTTTATTGCATAATTTTGGTGAACAAATCATCCCCTTTAAATCGGGGAAATAAAAACATATTTATTTGAAAGGAAAAGTAGATAGAGCTAAAAGCGTGCATGAAGCCTGTTACTCGAGGATGCAAATTATGACCTTGAAAGGAACGACTCGAGGAACGTTTTGAGTCGATGTCGTTACCATCTATCAAGTTTTGTTCTAGTGTTACTTAAAAACCCATGCTTCCAGCAAAATGTACCGTGAAGCGATGAAATGATGTGCGTGATTAATAATAGTAATAGGACCGAGTGGAGTCCAATTCGGTCTGTAATCATACGAGTGACTTTAAAACAAAATCGGACAATCGCCAAACGTGAGTCCGATTTGTCAATCACGAGTATGATTCTAGACATAATTAGACGACACGATTCCTGTTACCTGTTAATCAAAACTATGAAAAAATTGAGAAAGAAACTAGACATCGGTTATACGTTTTCATAAAAAAAAAAACCAGTTAACTCAGCGAATGCGAGACAACAGCGTGCACATATGACGCGTTCTGGTCCTCTTATACACACACATGACGTGTGAACTGTCCCTTTACCTGTCCTATTACACTGTCCAATTACAAGCATGACGCGTACACTGCCCTATAAGTGCTCAAATCGGGCTAGTTAGAACCAATCAAGTTCGGGAATTTTGTGATAGTTTTGATTAGTGCCAGTACTGGCATAGATAGGGTAAGTTTGGCCCATTATATCTCCTAAACAAGCACGGTGACCTATCTTTTTTATTATATTTTTCGAGATAGATATTGGTAGGGAACATTTAAGGGAAGATTTAAAAGAAAATGTTTCTTCATTTTTTTCTGGGTTCTACTACGAAGTCGGCCACGGAAGAATGCGAATCGACACCGATTTAATGAAAAACGCGTCGAGGCGACTCGTGCGAATCGTGTCGATTCATCAGAATGTATATTATCCCATTTAACGCTTAAGTGTGTGTTAAGTCGATTCGTCAACTAACAAGGATGAATCGAGTCAGACTGGGTGTATTGGACAAGTGTGGCAATGAAAACTTCAGCTTTGCTAAGTAAAGATAAAAGAATACAAATGCATATAAAGCGCGTGGACAGAAGTAGATCGTGTCTAGCGTAAGACAATATTTTTTTGCTACCCTGTGTAGCAGTCGTTTTCTCCCCAAAGGAAAAAGGCAAACTAAAGGTTTGTGAGACGCAGACAAAGAGAATCCGTACGGGAACCAACCAGCCTGTAGCTGTTCTGCTTAAACGCGACGAGAAGACTGAGGGCACGCGAGTTGCTCTCTTTTACTGGCTGCCTCGTGTGTGACTTTTATTTCGTTTCGAAGAAACAAGTGTCAAAGTGACTTACAGACCTAATAACGTCCTTTCTATTGTAGAAAAATTGTGCAGGTGGATTTATCCGATGAAAATCAAATCCTAAATGGGTAGTGATAGAACCAAAGTGTTTGTTGAGTAAGATGAAGAAATAGATGAATATGTAACGAACGGTCTCAAAATCGAACGCTATTCCAGGTTATAACCCGCACATAATGTGTGATATTCTTCTAACAATAGCATAAACAATAACTTTCTAAGCTATTGTTTCGTAGCTCCGCCTTGACAAGTTAATGAGCTCAAGCAATATTCCCTGAGGAGGAATGAGCGCATAATCTTTGACCAATCAAAGCTCTCCGGAATACCTTTCGCCGCTGATATTATGAATCTATAATTTTTTCGCTACTGCAAGTAAATGTCTTGAGAACAATAGGCATTCTGCGCGATGATTGGGTTACCATGTCAACCTCACATAGTATTATACGTTGATTGAATGCACTCGACCACTCAGATTCTTCAAGTCTTATGTATAAGAAAACACTATAGTACTGGAATCTTTAACTCGAAATGTACTTACCATTCCTTGATCTAAGCTTAGCATGGGATGCTCATTAAATGCCATTTCATCTGCAATCAAAATGTTTTACTTTTAAAAATGCGATGCAAACTTGGTGAACATTGGGGCAATATTTTAATGAACAAAATAATGTTAAATTAAAAGTAAGAATTATAAAGCTAGCATCATCAGGAACGGAGGTGGTCATTCATCGGGATTAAGCACTAGAATGATGAATTATTCATCATTTATCACACGATAAAGTTCCTGCCTTTGTGGATAAAGTTAGTTTTGATGTTTTATGACGGTGGAAAAATCCGATTAGCTCAAATATGCAGTCCTCTGGCGTTTCAAAACATACGACGCCCATTTTGAAAGGAACTATAAATTTTGTGGGGAGTTTAGGGAACATTCGGTTATATTCCCTTGTTTTAATTGACGAAAAGCTATGCAAAGCACTCGTACGTGATTCATGATCAGATGATAAGGCAAAGTGTGAACTGCCTGGATCGAACCAATCGATCTCGTAGTCTGAATAAGAGGCCTCGTCCTCAGCGAAAATACCTAAAAGAGGAAAAAAAAAAAGAAAATTAAAAATATTCGGGAGAAAATATTATTACAAAGGAACTGGTATTAATTTATTCACGTGAAAGAAAATATGAAATGCAAATTTCGACATTGTAAACGAAGCTTAGTTTCAGTGAATTATTTTATATACCCGAGGCTCTTTCATTTCAGTATTATTTTCGAAACAAATTTGGATTACTCTTTTGTTGACCATCCTATAGAAGATGAGATAGAAGATGAAATCGACTTGTCAGTACCACATCTTCCGAAGTATGGAAAAACGCGATGGTGCATGAAACCGTGGCTCAATTCGCAACGAGATTAAGGCAAGTGGTTAGAGATTGTGATCAAGGTGACCAAGCAGAAAACCAGATAGGAGATCAGGTTGCAATGCACAAGATCTGAGGAGAAAATAACTTGAAAAAGGAGAAAACCTCACTTTGGAGCTCTTACATTTGACAGCTCTAACCATGAGAGTGCTCAATCGCCGTTGAGCGTACGGCAGGTGAAAGATATGGTGTGTACCTAGTTCGTAGTAAGCAGCGAGGTAAAGATACAGTCTGCCGTTTCAAAACACATCCTCAGTCAACAGCACATGACGCCCATTTTGAAAGGAAGTGTTATGTGGAGTTTAAGGAATATCCAGTGATATTCCCTTTGTGATATTTCCCAATTTTCAAACCTGAAGTCCAATACGATTTAAGTTTCCCCTTTAGACTTAATTCAAGATGAGAGAGCGTTTTACTGTTGTTACAGAGATAAACAAGGTCGATTAAATTATCTTTTCCAGCATTATGTATATTACGTACTTTGTTCTGGGTTCCAGTCTTCCACTCGATCACACAAAGTCCAAGCGACTTGATCCTTGTTATTGGTTAAGCCATCTTCATCACTACCTCCTGAAAAGGAGTAAACCAATAACGAAAAGCTATGCTTAAAAGCCTCGTTAAAATATTAAACTCAAACATTACTTTCTTGGAAATACACAAGGATTTAGGAACCGAAATGGACACATCATCCGACAGTGTTCAGATGGAAAACTCACTGTGTGGTTCTTCTTCATCGTCTTTGGTAACATTTGATAGCGAGGTTAAGGCTATATAGTTTAAGCAGCATGGTGTCTCTGCCTTTGTGGATAAAGTTAATTTGAAAGATCGGAAGACCAAAGAAAGACAGAATCAAGGATTGTGACGGCGGAAAAACCCGATTAGCTCAAAGATGCAGTCCTCTGGCGTTTCAAAACACACGACGCCCATTTCGAAAGGAATTATAAATTTTATGGGGAGTTTAGAGAACATTCGGTTATATTCCCTTGTTTTAATAGACTGTAAGTTCTGTATTTTTAAGCACTCTTACCTGATTCATTATCAAAAAACCAGTTAACGTGTGAACTGCTTGAATCAAACCAATCAGTCTCGTGGCCTGTAGAAGAGGCCTCGTCTTCAGCGAAAATGCCTAAAAGAAGAAAAAACAAACAAACAAACAAATTTTAAAATATTCGGGAGAAAATGTTATTAGAAAGGAACTAGCATTCATTTATTCACGTAAAACGAAATATGATATGCAAATTTGGACTTAGTTTCGGTTATCTACCAGAACCCCTTTCTTTTCAAAATTATTTTCGAAACAAATTTGGATCACTCCTTTGTTGACTAGAAGAAGAAATAGAAGAAAGGAGGGCAGAAAGAGACTTTTCGAGCCTTCCAATATATCGGACTTTTTTTCTGTATGTTGATATCAACTCCACAGTGGTATCAGTTTTCACTGAAACTTTCATCCTCTGACATGTTGTAAAGGATATGAGCATGACATGAATTTAGAGATTACAACAGAAACATGCTGTAACAAACACTTGAAACAATTAAGAAGGAGATAAACAAAGTCGATTGAATTATCATTACTATCGTGTTTGTGAAGTACACTAAGGTATGGCTTATATCAACGATTTAGGTGCGACATGCTTTAGAAAGTACGACGGATATGATTCGAGTGTGTGCTCTCTGCGTGTAACAATCCCATTCCATCGGTTTGAATTCGGCGTTGGAATACGACATTTGGCGAAGACGATTTTGCTAAAATCTCTGTTAACTGAGTTATGGCGACAATTAAGTCGATGACCTATCTACTGCAGTTAATGAACCAATTAATCTTCAAGGTGAGTCTTTGAACGTTAGAAGACAATAGTAGCAATAGATGAAGAGTTCTTCCTTGTATGCAGACAGCAAGGGCCTGATTATCGTCGAATGAAAAGATGACAACAAAGTCCTAAGGGGAGCTTTACCTCTTCCATCTGCCGGTGAAGAAGTTCAAGAAACATTCGAAACGTTGACCGCCACATATACAGGTGAAATCAAAGATTACGACAAAGAAGTGAAAGCCCTAAATGGTAGCTTCATTCCGAAGATAAATTCGACTTGTCAGCACCACATCTTCCGGTGAAGTATGGAACAACGCGATGGTGAAACCGAGGCTCAATTCGCAGCGAGATTAGGCAACTGGTTACAGATTGTGATCATGCATGGTGAGCAAGCAGAAAACCGGATAGGATATCAGGTTCCAGCGTTGTACAGCTCATGACGCCCGTTTTGAAAGGAAGTAAGTGTTATGCGGAGTTTAAGGAATATCCGGTGATATTCCCTAGGTGATATTTACCGATTCTCATGCCCGAAGTTCAAAACGATTGAAGTCTCCCCTATGGATTTAATTCAAGTCAAGACGAGAGAGCATTTCACTGTTGTAACAGAGATAATCAAGGTCGATTGAATTATCGATACCGACATTATGTATAATGCGTACTTTGTTCTGGGTTCCAATCTTCGACTCGATCACTTAAAGTCCAAGCAACTTGGTCCTTGTTATCGGAAAACTCATCTGCATCACTACCTCCTGAAAAGGAGCAAACTATTAACGAAAAGCTCTGCTTAAAAGCCTTGTTACATTGTTAAACTAAAACATTATTTTCTCATTGTGCGATTAATATTATTTTCTTGGAAATACACAAGGATTTAGGAATCGGAATGGACACTTCATGCGAAAGTGTTCAGATGGATAACTCACTGTGTGGTGCTTCATCGTCTTTTGTAACATTTGATAGCGAAGGCTTTCTTTCTGGCAAAGGTATTTTTAGACCTTCTTCACTAGCAACCTACAAAACAAAGTAGTTATCAGATAAGCCATATATCAAAATTCCGTTGAAGACTCCTTAGTTTGATAGCGCCTGGCTCGGGTTCCAAATAAAAATATTAGTTCGAGCTCTGGATGAAGTTGCTAAGGAGTGGTTTTTGAAAGGAAGTTACATCATTACATCGAGGAACGATATAAATGGGTACCAGCGAACTACAAAGGCCGAGGAGATACTAGATGTAAACAACCACTAGAACAACATGGAAATCTTTGTTCGCCAGACATAAATGGACCGTGAACTATATATAATAGACTGACTTTCTCTGATACTTAGTGCTGTTAATTTAACTCATTAACGTCACTTACATCCAAGCCACTCACTGTTCGGTTAATCCTCTCGTCGTTGCTATCTGCCTTCTCCGGGCTTATATTTTTCTTTTCACTTTTTGAAGTAGAAGTGTTCTGGTCGACATCACTATCCCCTGAAAAAGGAACTAACCGAAATAAAGAAATCATTCTGTCACTATTAAACTAACATAGTTTGCGTGGAAATAAACGAAAGGATTCAGAGATCGAAATTGATACATCATCCGGCAGTATTTGGATGGATAACTTACTGTGTGGTGCTTCTTCATCGTCTTTTGTAGCACTATGAGGCAAAGGCTTCTCTTCTGGTAAAGTTACTTTCAGACCTTCTTCAGTGGCTACCTACAAACCATAAGAAACCTCAGATAAGCCATATGTCAAAGATGTCGTTGGAGATTCTGTAAGCTTATGGCGCCTGGCTCCGAATCCTGGATGAAGTCGTTATTGTAAAGGTCACTAACATCTAAGCCACTCACTGCTTGGTTAATCCTCTCGTCATTGCCATCTGCCTTCTCCGTCCTTTTATTCTTCTTCTTCTTTTTCTTTTTCTTTTTCTTTACAGTAGTTGCAGCAGAAGCCTTCTGATCGTCAATAGCGTTCAACGATTTCCCTTCCTTACAACAAGAAGCGCTTAGTATCAGTTGACGTCAGACTTCGCCGATTACTTTTCATCTTGGTCAATATATCAATCTCGTGACCGTCATGACAAACACGTGACTTTATCCGACAACTAAACGGCTACCTTAAGGTGGCTCAAAATCGTTTTGATGTTTTGGAAAAATAATTTAATTGATGGATCTTAGCCTCTGGACTTTTTTGTTTTATCCCTTAAAAATTAACATGAAAAGTTCCCAATTGTTTCTCAACAAACTGTGATCATTTCTCTAACTATATTAGAATTCCATTGTACCATTACAACCTGGTGTTGTCATGGTAACCTGATATGTTATAAGAACATCAAAACATTAGCAATTGGTGGAAAGTTCTTTTTATGCTATTTTCAAAGTAATTATCTTGGTTTACTTTCCCCAGATTTCGACAATTGCGTGTCGTACTTTGGACATCGCATGAACTTGTACGTTTTATGGTAAATCAAGCTTAAAGCCAAAATGTTAGCTTTAGTTATGTAATTGTTAAGTATACCTCTCCGTCTGGTTGTCTAAGGGAGCACTCTAAGGTAGAAGGCATGGAATTGATCTCTGTATGTTTCGATTGGATGTGTGCGGAAATTGTCTTCCACTGAAGTGAAATGGAGAGAAAGGAAAAATTGTCAGTAAGTGTCCATAATGTTGGATGTCCCAGTCTAGTGTGATGTCGCAGCTATTATTTCTGTCCCCTCAATGTATAATATTCCCCAAATATCTTAGTAATAACATAGTACTACCATAGTGCAAACGGAGAACCCACCTAACTAATAACGACGATCCCAAGGTCTGGGGAGATTAGAAATTTGTACAATTAACTAAATGTTACCATAAGCAACAAGGTAGAAAGAAAGGAAAACCGCATTCGTTTCAACAACTGGGATTCCGAAACTATAATTGTCACCAAAAACCTAGTAATTGATCCGTTATAAAGGTGACTAGCAGAAATTTTGAACATCTATCTCTCAGGAAATGGAGATGTAACCGAATGTATCGGCTCAATCTCAACAGATACAATAAAATACTACATAAGATTTGTTTTAGCATGTTTATGAAATTCCTCAGAACAGAGGATATCAAGCTTAGAGGTTATTTTACGTTTCACTCAAAATGCAACATCAGCCCTAGAAACATTCCAGTTTAGCTTTTTGACTTCTTCAATACGTACTTTTTCTGCAGAATATTTACAATCTTCCTGTGGACAGTGAAAGTGGGGCATATCTTTCTTACTCCAACCGCACGAATCTGGAGATGGGCAATTTCGTCGAGGCTGTTCCTTTCCGGTGCTCATTTTCACAAGGGTCAAATACTACTGTAGAGGGAAGAATATGCTGTTTCGTCTAATAAATAGGCGTTGCTTCTTGTTGACAGATTTATTCGATGACAAGAATCGTGATTGACATTAATTCAATAGATTGATTTAAAAGCGTTAGATTATTATTTTTCAAGTCAGTTTTTCAGCAGAATCGAGGTGAGAAAGAAGTTATTTTGTTATCGTTTTTCTGTCTCTAAATCCGCTTACCTGGATAATCTGCTAACCCGTAAAGTGAGACTGTTGTAACGGCCCGCCACAGAAGTAAGTTAATATTGAAGATTTTTAATTTAGTTACAAGATAAAGACTTGATTTGCGTTTGTTCTAATTGCGAATTATAAATGTATTTCTTTTAGATCGAATAATTATTAAAGCTTGGCTTGATATTATACGGTTTGTGGTGGTCATTTGATCTAACCAGTTCCGAGTAAGGAAACATATGCCTCATAGTAATTATAAATTATGGAAGGAACCAACGTTAAATTCTATGGATCTAAATTGGTCAAGTTCAGTGTTTTCATTCCTTTTTTATCTCTTTGCTCTATTCTTACATTCATTTTTAACCTTGTTGTTCCTCTTTCCTAAGAAGCTATGATTTTTAAAGTTGCGAAGGGCGAATTTCTAGCGGTTCTCCAGCACCCACTGGCAGTTTGATCAACAGTGAGGTTTGTCACAAATTGAAATAGAAATTTTGCACATGTATAAAAAAGTTTTTTCAACTAAGTGGGGCATTGGGGTCTATTAGAAACCGCAAAATCGAAGGGAAAAAACCATCCAAAACCGCAAAAGAATTCGATCAAAACCGAGAACGGCATGCAAAACCGCCAAAAACGATAAATTTTCATATCCTAATTATCAAAACCCTAATCGAACCTATACAGTCAGTGACAAGTGGAGCATGCCGAGGTTTCGCGGCTATTCGAGATCAGTGGAGGTGCATCATTGCCTCTCAGATCGAGGAGAAACCGGAGCCCAAAAGGAAAAATCGAAAACCACATCGGATACTAAATCCGAAAACTCATTGGTGGTTTTTTACGAAAATCGAAAACAAAATGCTAAAAAACGGAAATCCGCATATGAACACCAAAACCGAAAAACCGGAGTTTTTTGGCGCAAAAAATCGAAAAAATCGATCTGGAAAAGAGCCAAAACTGCAAAACCGAAAATCCCAGTACCCCCCTCTTAATTGGCTAGAACAACAGTAAAGTAAAGTTAGTCTAGTCAAGCGTCGAACTCTAAACATAAAATCGAATAAAGCTTTTGTTATGCAAAATTTCTACTTCCGAGCCTATCACTTTATATTGCACACAAGGACATTCATATTTTAAATGTTCCTATTGATCCAGTCGCTAGAATGTCGCTTTATTCTTGCATTTTGTCCTTCCCAGCCGTGAACTAATAATTTTGATCAAAACTGACGAGATTATCAATACATGTTTGTGATACACATGTTAATTTCCCAGAAAAGTATTCATCATTTCGCAAGCTTAACTTGTGCACTCTGACGATTTTTCAGTGATAACTGAAACTCTGAAATGCAACAATTGTAGTATAAGTGCAAGACTGACTCTCTGTTCTATTTATTCATGATCTCACTGGGCAATGAACTTTCGAATAGCAAGATCGTATTACTTTCGCTTTCTATAAACTTGAATAATCAGTGCTTCGCAACACGCATTCCGACAATTAACCTTGACCAAAGTCAAAATAATCAGACGGATCTTTTCGGTCAATGCTTTTTACATAATTTTTTTCTGAACCATATCAAAATATCAAGACTTGCGTAAATCAACAACTACACTACAAAGTTTTGTTCATTCATTCTTACCTGGTAAGATGTCGTTTACGGTGAAAAACGTGAAGATAAATGAGGCCTATGTCTAGACTTCAAAGAAGCAACTCATTTCAAAGCTGCTGAATTGAATTACAAATTATTTCTCCAGACGAATAATGAACTTGCGTGTCTTTGCTAAGAAATGTAAACTGACAATTCTCAGAATTCATTGACTCAGTGATTCTCCGAATTGGCGCGCATGCGCCTTGCACCGTAACCTGATAAGATAGCGTGACTTTTATTAACAATCGTGACTTCTTTCGGGGGAGAGGGGAGTGGAGGTTACGATCGATGTATTTTATTTGGATTGTTAACTAAAACCTCTTTCTCTCTCTTAGTTACTTTTATCAAACCATTGAAAAATTCTGACGGGGATTCGTATGAGGTTGAGTCAGCATTGTGCGTTTTCCACTGATATCAGTTCAACAAAACCGCGGAACGAGATCACGCGACATAGAGCCAAAGGCCCTTCGTTGTTCTTCAACCGCACGGATCATTCTTAGAGAATAAGCATGACAAATTGAATTAAATAAAAGTAGGAATTTCTCGGAGGGATCAAAATAACACTAAAATGTTTCGCACAGTGGAAAGAGTCCACTAGCAAGCTCCTTCGACAATCACATTTCTTTCATAATTTTTGTGAGTCCCGTGGAGAGCCTTCTTATGGGCAATTCGTTTCAAACCCAGCCCCTCTTCAAGCGCTGTAAAAAATTTCTCAAAACAACTTATTTTCCTATCTGAAAAAAATGAAAAGCTGGCGCGACTTTGTGGCCACTGCTGCTGTCGAGAGGTAGTCGATGTGGAGAAGATAAAATAAGAGTAGTGGTGAAGGTTCCGGCTGTACCCGGACCGAATGAATGAATCAGTTTTAGAGGTTTGTCATACCCAACATCAGACGTTGGATAAAAGGGAAGATCATACTTGGCAGGAGGGTGAAAGTTTGTGAGGCATATGAAAGGCGTCTTCTTGACGCGTTTCCAAGATAAATCGGGCGAAAATTTACCAGGAAAATTCGCCTCGTTTGACACGATTAGAATTGTTAAGAGGATCGATGTCTCTTCTTACGACTGGAATTAATGCAATTATCGCAGCGATAACATAGCTCGCAGTGAATCGCTCTGAGACAGCACACACTTCCAAACTTTGGGTTTAGTGGCACACACCTGTCGCATTTAGTATCCCTACCTTTCTACTCAATCGCATTATGCGAAGTTGTTTTTGAGTGTACGGTGCCCAACGCAACATAGGCCCCTTGTTATTGTGCGTTTGATTCAGTCCGTGGACATTCCCATCATACGTAACGGCCTTACATATGCAAACGTTGTTGGGAAAATGACTCAAAATTCACTCCTTGCATCCATAACTCCTTCTCCCACTCCTGCTAACTTTTTGGTAAGTCTGCCTACGTACAAGGCTTTCGCATGATCAGTTCCTGCAAAAGGCTCAACTGGTGACAAAGAATCGCTCAAAATTTTATCAGTCCGCAGACAAATAAGGTGTATTTAACCGACAGATAAAATACGAGACCAGAAAACTTAGTGATGAATGAAAATCGATTGAAATCAAGTCTGCGTGTACAAGGTCCTATCCACGGTTTAATCAAATCCTGCGCTTACGAGGCGCTCGGATTAATTTACTTTCGAGGGCGACAAGCTGTCCAACATTTCTGTATTTGTAGACCATGTTTCTAAACCTTTTTGATCCGGAATTTGAATACTTGACCGCCGAAGAAAACACAATATCGTCGAACTGTACACTGGAATGATCAAACCTCTCCTTTCTTCAAAAGCGGTAAAGGAAAGACAGACGTTGCGCTTCGAAAATTGGCTTCTCCAGTACTGATTTTTACTCACAAGAAGGTAACGTTTTGGATAAGAGAAGAACACATTAAAAAGATAGGGAAAAATAAAAGTAAAAGTGTTTTCCACGTTTTTCGCATGTGAATGCTTTTTTAAGTGGTAGCTTTGATTTTAGTTGCACAATCGCTACCTTTATCACAGCACTCAATGACCGATTTACTAAGAGCTATAACTCGTTCTGGTAGCTCTTTCCCGAGTTTCGCAATCATTACCTCTATTACAGCATTCCATGACCGATTTACCTTGTACTGTGCCTCGATCTGGTAGCTTTTTTCCGATTAAGTACTGTAGCAGTTTTCACGAATTGGTAACATGTCATAGCCGCACCTCTGGTTTCATGAATCACATCGCCCTCGATAACTTCCAGCTACATCACCTTTAGCTCTGAAAAATGAACCCTCTGTGGGTTGTCCCTTTATTAAAGGGACATTTTTAACTAAAAGCGGCGCTCAACTCTTCGACTCCCAGAAGTGATGAACGTGTAACTTGTCTCTATCCATAGTTTATCCAGCAAGCACGTAATAAGAATACTTGAACTCATCAGGTAGAAGCTTTTATCTAGTTCTAACACTAAAATCTTGTAACTATTTCACAAGGAAACGTGTAGCAACTAGAGAGGAGAATTAACAATCAGATCTTGGGAGTTAAAGGGTTAAAAAGTCCACTCATGGAGACATGAACTTTGTTGGAGGATAACTGAGCCTGGTGAGAGAATATTTGAGACCTAGTGTGAAAACAAAGAGCACTGTAGACTCGTGTACTAATGGGTGGTGCAATCGAATCGTGGGCTTCGGGAAATCTAATCTGCACCCCATTTCTTGGAAGAAAAACCAACAGAAAAAAAATCGCTCAAAGTTTCAATAGTTTTACTTAAACAATTCTCTGTCACCTCAGTGGTGAAAAAGCAACACATCATTTCGCACGTGAAAAATAAATCACATATTTTGGATACTTTCTTAGTTTCATTGTAGTTACAAACCAAGGGCTACCAGATGTAAAGAAAGTTGTCTTTTGTAACAATAACCTGTACGTCGACGCCATTTCGATTTTCAAATACTTCAAACGTTGACAATAACTTATGAAAAGACTTCATACTCCTGTTCATATGTTGTCATTAATTTATCAAGATGCTGCGTCAAACTCTGATCCCGCCAAAGTTTTCTTGCCAAAACGTCACGCCCGTGTCACGCTCGAGCCTCTAAGACACGGTTTCTTGGCATCTCACACATTTCGCACACTTCCAAGGCTTCGTGATTTGCAAATGTGCAAAATAAGCATGTCCAGGTGGGTTCTTCTGAAACACAAAAGAGAGCAAAAGAAAGGGCATCACCAATAAAATCAAGATCACGAGGTACAGTTTTGAAATATTAACATGCTCCAAAGTAAAATCAAAATGTCCTAAATTTTCAACCAATTTCATTCCCCATGACACCTTACACCTCTATTGACTATAATACACAAAGAAGAAGAAGCAAAACGCAAGGATGAACTCTCTTACTCTATTGAGGAGTCTCTTGGGGAAAAAACTCAATAAAGAGGCAACAAAGAGGCAGTAAAAAAAGTATGTGTGTTAGCAAACCAACAGGCTCTCTGTATCCCAGTTAGACATCAACACCATACAAAAGCCTCAGAGGTTCAAACTCTCTTTGTGGAGGAGATCAATTAATTTTTTTGGCTTTGCTCCTCTCTCTTAAAATATATCAACAGATCGTTTAACCAATTTACTGCAAAGACTGACAACCAACGAATTTGACCTTAAATTCTCATTTTTGACCTTAAATTTTCAAACCATCTTTAAGAAGACAGAAGACAGGTATTGACAGGTAAAAAAAGAAAAAAAAGAAAATGTCAATTGAAGAGTAGAAGATAGTAGACTTAAAATCATCCCAGATGTTCATGTATGGTATATTGTGTATCTTCTGTAAAACTTCCAGCCTTTTGTGTTACTTTAAACAAAACGTTTATCTGCCTCTACAACACAGTAGCCTGTAGCACCAGTTCTTCTGGAATCAAAAGCCACAAAATAATATACAGTTGTATTAGACGTTAATGGCAGCTTACTGGCCTTTAACTTATGTATTACCTGGTCGTTCGTGCATTACATTCTGATAGTTTGGAAGAAACACCCATTCGTTGGTTAAGCTTCCGTCCAGAGGAGGAGGTGGAGGGCTCAGACTGGTGGGACTCTCTTCCTCTGAATGAAATCGAACAAAATCGAATTAAAACTTAACGAAGTATGGTCTGTCTAAGGAATTGTAGGATCAATATAAGTATCTGGGCAACTGCCCACTGACCCCTCCCCTAACCCAACATTAACCTTAACTTGTTGTCAATTGGCTGTTGTACATACAATGCAATGTTACTTTCCCTTTATGATGATTCAGTGTAACACTGGAAATGACCCCCTCTTTCTCTTACTCACATCTCCCCACCCCCCTCTCCCTTCTCTCCACTCCCATGCAAAGAAGAAATTAACCCTTTAGCTCCCAGATCACATTTGTAATTCTCCTTACTGTCAACCATACAATTCTTATAATGTTAGTTCAGAGAATTTAGTATTGGATCCACTAATTATCCCCAAGTTGATATTTTTCTTTATTCTCATCACTAATCTGGTTGATATTGTATCAAAATTGTAAAGAGAAATACTGTCTTGGTCACTCATAGGAGTTAAAGGGTTAAGAGGACTTGAGGGTTGAATAAGAGGAGCTTGTTATCACAATACACCTGTTACAACCCCCCCTACTCCTGCGCAGATTTAAAAATCAGTGTACTTTTTTGATAACCAGTGTATTATACAACCTTTAGTGAATAGCAAAAAAAGGCCCTCACAGTGTATGTAAATTTCATAGTAAACCCAATCTAGTAAAAAAACTCAGGAAATTTTACGGTGTGTTTAAAACGTAAAACTTATAATCACCTCCCTAATTTTCACTTCCCTTGTCAATAGAGCTCCTTTTGTAGCAAAACAGCACAGTAGCTCTGAAGCTACATCCCAGGTTTTACTTATTTATTTGTTTTACTTGTTTATTTTTTATTTTGTTTTGGTGAAAAAGAATTGGCAAAAAGCTTGATCTTGATATGCTTCTTTCAATCCAGTATGAAAAAAAGCACTGAGTACTTTAACTCCTTTTTGAGTGATAGGCGCATGAAGCTATAGCAGGGGTGTGTCTAAGAGGCTGTCATGTTGCTATGGTAGCCTTACATTTATTAACAGTTGCTGAGAAAAATATCAGTGTTGATGAAAAGGTAAAAAACCCAAAATTGTTTAAATCAGTCTATTCATGAAATGGTAATTCTAGATAACAAAACCATTTTTAGTCAACTTAATACAACAATTTGCTATCCTGCTATTGCTAACTGTTTTTAAAACAGTTGAATACAACAGATTATATTAACCTTGTAATTTGTTAGTTATATGATTATAATAAATATACCTTAACTTGTACAATTCAAAGGTTGTTCTACTTGTAATTTTAAATCAGCCTAATGCTGGGGACTCCCTTAATTTTAAAAAATTTCTTCAATTATCACAAATGAAAAAAGAGGTAAGTTTCTTGAGAAACATTGGTGCTGCATTGGTGGGAGAATGTAACAGGGTAATTTAGTATTATCATATGAGTTGATAAGGTAAATTGGCCACTGTAAAGAGTTTAAAAGCTGATACTTCAAGCATTATCCTTACATTGTTACAGCTTGAATTGTACTTCAATCGGCCAAGTTAACACAATTAAAAGTTATTAATAATTAAATGTAATACCATGAGTGGGTATTCTTCCAAACATTGAACAGAATCGAGTCAGTGAAGGGCCATAACCTATGAATAAAAGATCACTTGTTGATAAGAGGCAATCCAAGGTGATCTTACATTAGACTCTCCTGGCAGTGCCATTAATGTATTAGAATTACAAGTCACAGTCACTCTAAGCAGAATATGATAAAGATGCATTTTTGTTACTACAAAATATTTAATTCTAATGTATTTTGTTTCCCTTTACCCTTAACTTCCTAACATCTCAAGGCATATTCTACAAACTTCCTCAGTACATTTCTTAAGGTGCTGACTACAAGAAGTTGTATAACAAGCAAGAGCTTATCTAGTTAATGATCATTGCATTTTTCTCATGACCCTATTTGATTCAGGTGTGATATTGTAAGGAGAAATTAGATGCTGGTCACTCTTAGGGGTCAAAGGGTTAGGAAAATCCTACAGCCACACTGCGATGTATTTCCTGAAGCTTCATTTAAAGGCATCAATCATCATCTTACTCTGCGCTATGATCATGGTCATATTACACAGTGTAGTAACATCTAACTTTCTTTAATATTTTCTACTTTCTAAATTTAATGTAATTTTTATGCCTCAGTGTCTGGGAACAGGCATGGGTCAGTGGTTTCAATAAAGTCAGGAACAAACAGGTAGTTTAGGATAGGTTAAGATAGCTTTATAGGCCTGCTCTTTCTGTAAAGGTCTTGGCTCCTGAATTTTCAAAGTTTAGGCTCTTACAGTTGCATTGTCATGTATTTTTGGTCTAGGTTGCTTTGTTGTTTTATGTGCAAAGAGAGTTACGTGTGTGTTTGCAGTGCAAAGATATTCATGGACAGGCCTTAAGTTGCTAGCCTGTGCTTTACAGGTGGGTAGATGTACTCCCAACCCATCTACTTTGATTGAAACCCCTGTACATGCACATGATTTCAACCACCGTAATAATTAAATTCTAGTTGAGATCTTTGGGAGTGAAAACTGAAAGGTTTTAAGATGAAGCTTTCCACTGCAGATGAGTTGAGAAGGACACTTGCCAAAGATAATTGTAAATGGTTTGAGGTTCTCAGTTGAATAATTTTTTAACCCTTTACACCCTAACATCAGTAGACATATTCTCCATACTGTTCTCAATACATTTCCTACTGTGCTGACAAGGAGAATTTATTTTAACAGTCTAGAGCTTCTATCATTGCTGATCATTTCCTTTATTCTCATGACCTTAATGTGTGATTTGGGGATGATATTGTGAGGAGAAATTAGATGTTAGTCACTCTGAGGGGTTGAAGGGTTCATTGACATGTTTCCTCTACTAACATGATACATAAACAAAATAATCATCAACCATAAAATATCTGTTACCAAGATAAAATAATTTCTATTGTGAATGAGGCATTATACATGGTGACAGTGTGAATTGGAATTTTAGCCTCTAAGTGACATGATACTTACCATTTGTTCCACTGTGAGGTCGGCTTGAGGGAAAACTTTCAACTCTTCTCACTGCAAAAAAGAGATAAAAAGCTTAATTTTACACTGAAGGAAGAAATCTAGTAAAATCCCTTAAAAACAACTTGGAGGTTGATTAATTTTGTATCTTTCAGTGAAAATTAATATTTTACCATTTACAACAGATAACCCCATACAAAGGAAGATACATATAAAAAGGTTTCAAATCACAAAACAACATGTGTACTTGAATGGTGGTTCATGTATTGTACAGGTACTAACAATCTTTCTACATAAATATATTAATGATTTTGGTGTACTTTGCTTCTCACCAAAATATTCAATAATCATCAACAATTATCACACTAAAAAAAGGAACAAGTTGGTGCAAATTTTGTTACTAAGTGTCAGACTTGACATACCTGGTGGAGGTTGATAAGGTGGCGGCGGTTGTGTTACTACTGGATTATTACTTGTATTTCCTATTAAAACTGCAAAACATTCAAAGCACTTAATAAATAAATCCATTTTGAAATCAATGGTGATTGTTGTAAAAGCACAAATGCTCACCTGGGTAACATAGCTATAATTTGTACTAGTTTTAGCAATAAATTATACCTTTTTCATTGCTAGGGATGATAGAAAACTCGCAAAAAACAAATAATCCAAAGTAAGATTTAAGATTTTATGAGTGCTGTTTCTCAAATTGACTATCTTTTCTGTTTCTTTTTTTTTTCTGATGTCAATCCTGTGCTTTGGTGATCTATTTGTGGGAGTTTAAGGTATGTGTAATCAAGTACTGATCAAACTTAGTGTCTTGTATGTCATCCTTATGACTTCAAATTGAAATGGCACAACAGGCTCCTTAGATTTTAAATTCATGCACATATGATTTGTGTGCAACCAGCTCTGTGCTCAATATTTTCCCTTTCAGCCTAACAAAATTCAGTAAATAAGTATTTAACCATATGACCACAAGTGCTAAAATTTCAAAAAATTTTGTTTCAACCTTAATTGGGATGGGACAACCATTAGAAACATTCTGCAATAAAAAGTTATCCATATCTTTTTTTTTCAAGTCTCAACATGAAACTGGCAGTTCATCAAAAAATGTAAGTTTTTATCTTATTGGTGTTTTCTTTTAAGTTTTTGCAACAAAACCATGTGAATGCAAGATGGCATTTTGCAGACAGGCTTGCATAAACCCATCCACCCCTACACACATCAGCTATGATTCAGTATGATTTTCTATGAGATTGCATGAGTGTGGTGCCAGATAGGTCATATGTGTATGATAATAAACAGTCTGAAAAAACTTGTTCTGGGAAAATATCCACTCTTTGAGAGACTTTGTTGCAATTATTAATTGATGTCACAGTCAAATATTTCCTTACCATCTCGACCATTGCTAAGTCCATCAATTTCACGAGTCATTTGTTCGATTTCTTCTCTCAGCACCCGATTTTCATCACGCAAGTGTTTTACATCTGTAGGCTAAATTGATGCAAAGTGTTCATTTAATATCAAAATTTACAGGTATGTTTAACCTTAGTATGTAATTATGTCATTAAGTGCACATGAAATTAAACATAACTTCTCACAGAATGAAATAATCTCAAATACCATGATACAAAGGACAAACAATGAAGCTCCAATATAGACCAACATTGCAACTTAAGAAACTACAGTATGAATAAACTGAATTTAAAAAATTGTACACTTGAACTACTTACAGTGGGATTGGCAGCAACACGAAATTTATTGTTGACCATTTCCATTTCTTTTTCTTGCAAGCTATCTTTCAATCTTATCAATTTGCGATGCTCATTGTACATTTCCTTGAATAAGAGAGACCATATTGGGTGAGATACAAAAGTCAACTATTCACAACCTTTATTATCCAAATGTACTGAGTAGAGCACAAATAAAACAGGAATTGAGTGCAAATATCATGCAATATTTGAATGAATGGTTCAATTGTACTGAAAAAAAACAAAACAAAACAAAAACCTGTTTAATTTGTGTCTGTGCATGTCCCATTTAAGCAAAGTAAGCTCATTTATGATTTTTTGAATAAGTGAGTGTAACAGTATGGTCATTTTGCATTCAAAATGGTAAGTACTATAAATCGATAAAGTACAAAGTAATTATAATATTTTTTAACACATCCATTTCAAAATCACTGGTGATTCATTGCAATCTGATTGGCTCTCATTGGTGCAATTTATTCAAGAATCACACCATTTCATGTACTAAATCACATATTTTTCTGAGCCAATGAAACAGCTTTACTAAAACACAAGCACCAATCAGATTTTGAGGCTTGTTGAAAATGTAAGTCAAGTTTTGCAACTTTATAAAAACCAGCACATTACTGGCTAACTAAGATATTTTAACATACTAAAATACCCCTTGCATTTGAGTGACTGAAGTTTGCAATTTTAAAATAGATTTAATCAAGTGGTACTTGAACTTCATGTCATAAAACTTTGGTATAAAGTCATACAGCAATTATGATTTCAAATCACTCATATGATTGCATACTTAATTACATACATGGAACAATTATAGGCTTCTGATTGGCTGAAAACAAGTGCATTTTTCATGTAACATGAATGCAAATTGCAAATAGCATGCCCACTGTCAAAATTTTGTCTGTCTTGACTTTCTGAGATGCTTTTTTGTATAGGTAATCAAATGATTTCCAGTGCAATTTGGAATAAATAAGCACAAGTAAATTTTTTAAGACTAACAAAATTGCACAAGCCCATAGGGTGAGGGCAATTTGTGGTCTTTGAAAAAATTAGCAAGTGCTTGTTTATTCCAAATTGCACATGAAAAATCATGTGATTATGTGTTAATAATTTACATGAAAAAATACAAGATGGCTTATCATAATTAAGCATAAACAAGCATGCGCATCAAGTACAAAAATAATTTATTCAAACCGTGCGTTCAGCCAAAACAACCACATATGATCAAAACAATATGCAATGATATCTTCACATCTTCAAGGCACAAAAAAGTTCAAAGTCTGGCTAAACAGTTCAAGGAATTGTTCAGTCTGTGTCCGAATCACTTTCAATAAAATGGAATTGTTGTTTCCAAAGTTTAACCACGTTTGTTTTTAATTTCAGCACTGGATAATTCGAGCAAAGTGTTAAGCTGGGTCGGCTCGTAGTTTTCAATTTCCAAGGCAATTCCCTTCTCTAAACACCACTTTTTTCAAACCAAGAACCAAAAAAAAGTGCTTTTTACAGTGTTTTCATTGTTTGAGCTGTTTTTCAGCTGCAGTGGTGAAAGAAAACCTACTTAAAACACCGGCCATTGTTTACCTCTCAAATTTTCAAATTTTGTTGTGACATCCAAGGCTCACATTTGATTGGCTATCTGTGAGTTTCTTTGATTATTGACCAATCAGAATGTCTGATTTGTTACTTTCTTTGCACTGAATTAAACCTCTTCTGCACTAAATTACCTGAAAACTGTATTCATCTTAACCAATCAGAACTGAGTAATTTTTCCATGCATATTATTAAATAAGTAATTACATGATTTTGAGTGCAATTTGGTGCCAATAAGCACTTGTAAATTTTCAAAGACTACAAATTGCACTTGCCCCAAGGTCTATGCAGTTTGGTTGTCTTTGAAAAAAATCACTAGTGCTAATTATCACCAAATTCCACTCAAAATCATGTTATTACCTATAAAATTGCACTTCACACAGTTCAATTATCATTTTTAATCAACCAATAATGACAAGGAACCAAAACACATACCTTATTCAATGTTTCTAACCTTCGCTGTTGATGACAAAGTAATGCTGCAGAAATGAGGATGCAATAATTATTTTATAATCAATGGATAAACACAACTTTTAACAACATTGTACATGTTATAAATGTAATTTCCAATGGCAAAGAAATTATTATGGAAAATATGAAATAAGTGTTTAAAGTTGAGGCACAGCCAATTAGATTGTAATATTCTGGAATATACTCTAGTTATCTCCCATGTATGTTCTTTGATAACCTTTCCGGCAAAACTAATAATGCCTTTTGCTCTCTATTACTGCCATACACTGATTGAGAAATTGAAGGTACAGTCATATTGAAATGAAGTGTGGTAGATTTTGGACTCCATTGTTGACCACTCCCTAAAACATGGTGATATGGATAAAATGTGCCAATTGATATCCCTTCACATGGAAGCACCATGCCTATGCCAAACCCCTCAACTTTAATCAAATCTGCATTGGTCATTAAACCATTGTGATTAAATATAGCAAGCTTGGGGAAAAGTCTCCCACTAGGATTGGATCCACAGACCATTTAATTTTTCAATACAATGCACTGCCACTGAGATACAGAGTAGATTGCATTAATATAGGCCATACAGTGTAACTAGTAAATACATCTCATGAGCATTGCTACATCCTGTAAAGTACAGTTGCTTTAGTCAAAAGCAGCATGACACATGTACATAGAGTAGATGTAGAAAGCTGGCAAAACTCTGATTTTGGCCATTGCTTAAAGGAGGTTGTGAGTCATGTATGATCAGTATGGATCAAAGCATGATTCTGAACAAGCACAATTGATTTTACTCAGAGAAAATTGATTAGTATGGTTGGACAAAATTTTTTGGCTCGTGACAATACCCCTCATGAGGCAACTATGGAAATGAGTGTTATTAGTATTTTGATCACCTGGTATGGTAATCATACTAACACCAATGCAACCTTAAACCAAACAAAGCCTTAACATCAGGCAAGTAAATGTACTTTGATCATTTAACTAACATAAGTTAACTTAACTCTTTCACTCCCAGAAGTGATTAACATGCAACTTCTTGCTATGATATCTACACATTATCCAGCACACACTGGCTTGAAAATATCCAAACTAATCAGATAGAAGTTGTTATCGTGATCTAGAACTAAATTATTGTAATTAATTATCAAGAGAATGTGTGGTAGCTAAAGGGGAAAATTAACAATTAGAACTTGGGAATTGAAAGATTAAAGATAACTTTTCCTTTCCTCTAAATACAAGGGAAATGGTTTATGCCAAGAGTAATGCCTGATCATGAAGCCTGCTATGTAGGTGAGAGGAACCCTGAAAAGGACTGCTATCAGTGGTATTGACTGACTTATCAACAACTTGATCAAAAGTTTCTATCAGAAGTTGGTGATAAGACAACCCAAACAACTATTTCCTCTCCGCTGCAAGTTGAAACTCTGCACTTACTTTGATCATAACTTGCAACCGTAGATGGTAATTGTCTCTCTCCAGTGCAAGACGAAACATAAGCTGCAGCAGAACTGGGCTGTGCTACTGTCATAGGTCTTGTCATGGGCTGTAAAGCCGGAGGTTCTGTTCTGTTTGGGAGGTGTGGTGGGTTGGTTGATTGGGGAATTGCAATTGATATAGGTTCATCAATAGGTGTACTTTGTGAAGACGGCTGAACAGGCATTGGGCTGTCTATTACCTCAACATTACCACCATACAATAATCTATCACTTTCTGCTGCTAGAATACTCAAGCAGCGCTCCGGGTTGCCATGCTGAAAAATAAGAAGGTGAAAATTAGAATAAATACTTAAAATTTCTGAAGCATTATGGTTTTGGCCAGAATTTTTTAATGTCTCTTTTAGCTAATTATGACAAAAGTTAAAGAATCAAAGCTCTCAGCATACTTAACATTTGAAAATATGCAAATTGCAAATTTTTACACACAATCATATAAAATGCTTTATAAATAAGCATCAGAACTGATAATCACAAACTTGGTACCATCCTTATCACACATAAATGTTCTGACCCAAAAGAAAACCAAATTTTTAATGCTTATAGGTTATATTTGTGTATTTCTAATCCAACAAGCATTTTGAAGACATCATAAAACATTTCATGCCTGAAACTTTTCTATAATAAAACAGTAACATTAATTTTGTGTGGTGAAGTATTCCTTATGTAAAAAAAAAAAAGAAATAATTTCTCCCTGCTTATAAAAGAAGCACATCACTCTCAAAAAGAAAATTCCTAATACTTACTTGTATACAGTTAGAATTGATGTAATTATTTAGCCAGACATTATACTTAGATTATTTTAGCCAGAAGGAGAATACCACTGTTTACTGTAATTTACACAACTTAAACTGAGGAAGTATTCATTAAAGGGGAAACTATTAAAGGCAAGCACAGAAAAATTCATCATAATTGATTCCCATAAGAGGTATCGTCATACAGGCATCATGGGTTTTGCTATGTACAAATTACTAGTGGGGGAGAAGATCTAGAGTTAGATTATTTTTATAACACAAAATTGAGGATCTAAATAAAATTCTAAAAAAGGAAGTGTTTGTGAATACACAATGATATTTCCAACAAGCACATGATTTATGACTATCATCCGAGTTGTGGAAGTTGCAAAGGCGATGACGATTCTCAAAAATTTATAGAAGTGACCTATACGAGGGTAGTAATGAGCGTTTAAACACATGATCCCTACAACCTATCCGCCTTCTTCCGCTGGCAGATTTACTGCAGAAAACCAGGAAAGGATTTTGATGGAACAAGGCAAGGTTAATGTAAGGATTTTTCGTATGGTAAGTCCTTTTCCTTTCGATATCATTTCTTAGATAATCAGGAACTTGGTCAATTTAGAGAAGCACTGCAACCAACTACTGATTTTGGCGAGTTACAATTAATTCCCTTAAGTTTTATTGTGCGATTTTAAGGACTGAAATACCGAACGCTACATGCAGGTAAGATCCGTATTTCATGGAATGCTGTTCTTTCTAATTACACCATTCTATTGACCCAAAGAAATTTCTGATACAAGCGAATGAACCAATTTCAACTTTGTTTACAAGCCGTACGCAGTAAATTCGATCAATATTATACAATTCGACACGGCAAATTTAGAATAATCGTAATAACTGAGCTTAGAGGAAGCCTTACTCGACAAAAGAAAGAACAAACTCGAAAATATACTGCTCAAGCACATTTACATTGATGGGCGAACACGCGATGTTTACAAGACAACACCTCCACGTCTAACCGACGGAAGGAACGGAAGAAGAACGTCTTCAGAATAAAAGTTCAAAGACAAAAGCATTTGAATGACACACTCATTTTGTCTCCGTACAATTCCTGATAAAAGTAACCCAAAAATTGTCCAAATACCGCATAGAAATCTCCCTACCTCAGCCTGCAGTGTGTTGGAAATAACTTGTTCCGGAATCTCGGGAAAGCGACTTCTAAGGGCCTCGAATATTTGCCCGTTGTGCCCGTTTCTCTCCGTTGCCATAAAAAATTTCGCGTCCACCATGTACAAGGCTTTTTGTGTTCCCTTCTACAACGTCTCTTATATGATTTCCGAAGGAAAAGCAAAGGATAGGTTAGGGAGGAAGTATCCCCAGTGAAACTTTCACAGACCTTTTACGGCCAACGTCAGATTCAACACGTACTGCGCATAACATTGTGGCACGTGACACATCTTCCGATAATCAGGTGCCAATCGATAATATATCGATATTGAAAGAACAATAGAATATTTCCATAGTGGAAAAAACAAAGGAAACCAAAACAAAAAACAGAATAGAGGCAAATATAGTTAGTTTCCGTAAAATTACAGTGATTCAAAAAACCATGAAAGAACGATTTTACATACTTTACTAAATGTTTAGTCGATGTTAGAAAGAGTTCTGTGATATTTTCTCTTTCCGCTGCCACCGATACTTTCATCTGATTTTTTACTTTTTTTTCTACCGCCTGATCAAATAATTGCTTCAGTGACGTGATTCAACCGTAGGATCGATAAAAAGAAAAATTAATGTTAAGGAACGAAGCTAGAACCCACACAGACACGCACGACTTATTATAAATAACAACAACTCAAATAAGGAAAGACGAAACAACCCCAGTTTGATTCCGTCCAAACAATTAAACAAATCCACCGGATCGGGTTCGCTAACTTGCAGATTTATTTGGGAGAAGGGAGGAATAAAGGAAATTTTGCACACAGAAACTTCGAGAACCAATTCACCTCAGGTGATAACATCAAGATCTGAACATCCCTTGGGATGACTACTCAAATCAGTTAGCCGGCGCTCTGTCGCTTCTCGGAGAGCGAAAAATCTGGAAAATTTTTCGGAAAGGGTCTTTAAATTTACATACATGTCACTCTTATAGCGTGAGATTTGTTCTGAAAGAATTTTTTAACGAAAGGAGTTGAAAGAATTTTTCGTTGTACGCACTGATATGTGTTTTTAATTTTCATTACCGCCGCTGGAAAACCTTGGCTACAGTTATACATGTACGCATGTTTGAGACCTCGCCAGAGACTGACTTGGCGTCGGCCGGGCGGCCATCGTGAAGCGAATCCCATGTCCTGCTCGCCGTTAATTTTGATTCTATGGAACTAAAATAACTCTTACAACCGTTTCACACACTTCGTAGCTGCAAAACTAGAGATTTTTTTTCAGACAGTTTTTACAGCAGAAAAGTCGCTTTATCTTAGTGGAAGTTTCAAATGAAAGAGAAATTGATGTAAAGATGTTTTTTAGATGAAAGTGACTGTGAATAAAAAAAAACTGTGAATCGCTCCAGTTTCATTGTAAATAATCAGGTTAGCTCTCGCTTTATATTTAACAATTTTCTCACTCTCAAGTGACTCAATAATGACCTCTTTCTGAGCTTCCTGTTTCTAACCTAATCACGTTAAGTCACCTGATCTTCAAAAACGGAAAAAATGAACCCAAACAAAAAGACAAAATTGCAAAAACAACAACTCTGAAAATCGAAGAATAAAAGACGGTGATTAAAGAAGGGTTTTCCTTGCTTGTATCAGATGAATGCAAAAATAATTCAATATCCGATACTAATCTTATTTTCAATAGCTAAGACTGGAAGTAGCTCAGTGCAATTTTCGGTTTTTACGGTTCCCTGACGTAGGTGACCTTTAAACCATGATTTTCTCCCTCGTCATATCGCCATAAGGCCAACAGAAATATTAGGTACCGGATGTAACGTGTTAAAGTCATACTTTGTGATATATATCATACCTTAAAAAAAGAAACGTCTCTCACTAACCTCGTTTCTCGGTCCGTACTGTAATTTTAAGGAATCGGAGTTTTTCCGCATAGATTTAAGGCTCAATAGCAAAGCGTGTGGGTAGTAAATCCGAGCGGCCTGAAAACCGAGGTTCCATAAATGACAGCGCGGACCGAGAAAACGGGATTTATAGTAGGATATTTATTACATCTCCACGTTCAAATAGAAGGTTGAATTACAAATTAAAACAAACTTTTTAATTTATCAGGCCAGAAGTGAGCTACGGCCCACTAGATTGACCGAATGAAAGATTTAATAAAGCTGATTAGAGCCGGTTTAAAAATGCCCGGACTCGCCTAAAAGCATGGAATTCGGCCGATGTTTTTCGTTGAATCCGCCGTCTCTGGGTTCTTCGACTTGTTTCTAACACTTGTAACTCTCTCGAATCGCTTCCCAAAAAGGAGAAACAATTTAAGATTTCTGTTTGATTTAGATTTACATATGACTACCATACCAAAATTGCCGTTCAAGCTGCAAGTTCTGATTCTTGAATATTCATCTACCACGTTATTGCAATTGCGGCCAATCTGTTGTTCAACATTTTAAATAACGCTTTTCTTCTCTCAGCGACCCAGTATGTAATGACTAGCGTCCGTACTTCTTGTTCATAAACACAATGCTCTCACGTGAGTAGCTCCGCCCTTATTCCGCCCAGAGCCACGTCGCACAACTGCGTCATCGCTGAGTCAGAAACTGGTCAGTTTTACATACGAATGATGAGTTTACCCTCAAATAAGTCCAGAGGAAACAGCTCACCATCATGCGCAATTTTTAGCTGCCTTCGAGGAGTAAGTTGGTGCCTCGTTTTCTCTTAAAACTCTAAGTCGGCGGGATTCCGACAAGAATTCACGTTACCTACATACCTACATTCATACATCACTTTCCAAATTTACGTCTCGGAAAATAGGTCTCGCAACAATCAATATTTCTAATTCTTTTCTTCTATTGTTCTGAAGTTAAAATAGCCAATAAATGTTACCACAATATTCGTTCAATTGTATAATTGTACTGAGTTAATGATGCAAGGCCCTATTATGTCAAAATATTGCAACACTCGTTCCAACTGTATAGTTGTTGATTACGGTTTTAATGATCGAGGGCCATATCATCATTAAAAGACACGATAGCCCCCCCAAATGTATATGTAGCACTTAATCACTCAACATTTAGCCCGGCCCAGACTGTGTGCCAAAATGGTGAAGGGCCTTCAAGTTCATCCTGGTTTGTGCTGTGATTGTAAAACTCGCAGTGATGTCTTCCAACCTTTATTTTGAGATACACGAGGGAGAAAATTCAACGTGATTACCAAGATTGCCTTGAAAAACGTGAACGTAGTTAATTATTTCCTAGATGAACTGTTTTGAAAAAACACTTGAAATTCTATTTAAGTTGAAGATAAATTTAAAGAGCTACGTCATGGTTTGCGCACGAGGAAAAATTTCGCCGAAATTTTTCAGTTCGTTAACTGCAATCTGTGCCAATATTCGCCACCTAAACAATGCACAATAGGTCATTTTTTTTAAATTTATTTTTCCCATTTTGGTGTTTTCACTTCTTATCAAGCTTTTATATCACGGTCGCCTTTAAGTCGAAAGTAATTTTGTTAGTCGCAATCTACGATGCAAACCCTCATCACCTTTACCTAATGTAACGAAATCATAGCAACAAAACGGTATTTAATGCAAAACTTCAAAATTAAGGGGAATGTAGACGAGACCCTTCTGATTCTCGATGTTCCACGGAGAGATGAGATGTAGCAATACACAATAATTTTGATTAACAGTTTTAATACTCCCAAGATCACGCCAGCAATCGGCAGATTAAACTACCTCAACCATTAAACCTGTTTTTTTGGCTACAGGTGTCCATTCCACTTTTCACAGCGTTTCCCTTTCCATCGGAAAGTCTTCATCTTGAAAGTCTGCAAGGCAGTGTCACAGGGTGGGGGGGAGGAGGGTACTTTCGCGCAAAAGTGACAAAGTGGCTGTTACGACCCCAAGAGTACTATAAAATTACTATAATCTACCCATATCTTATTCTAGTTTGGTGGACCAGATTAAATTCCCAACCTAAGGAAACTCCGTGATACTTGTGACACGCTTATTACTCTAGCTCCGTCGAAAGGGATCGTAAGGTTTAAAAAATTGAAAAAGTCGCCCGTACATTTGTCACGGTGAAATGATATTAACTACTGATTATGATAATATAAATATATTTTTTAAAGTCTAAATTTTTTAAGTTTAAGACTACAGTTCTATCTGTATAGCTATTCGTTCAGTTTTCTTTACCCCGATTTATACGTCGTCAGTCTGTTCCCTTGTCCATGTGCAAAAGTAAGACACTGTGAATGTATCGAGTCTATGGTTATGTAAAAATGGGTCGGCCAGGAACCGATACCACTCTGAGAGAAATTATCATCTTTGCTAATAATTTCTTATCGCCATTTTACTTCCAATGTGAATGCATAGTCTAAATCAAGAGAATATCGACAGTTAATATCCTCTGGGTCTAAATGTATGTGCATAAATTAGTCAGTCAGAACCCGGTGCAACATTAAGAAAACTTGTTGTCCATCAGTGTTTTTTGCTGTCATCACTTGGCTTCCAGTTGGGATCGAAGTGTTTTTGTAATGGCTGCCACACTTTGTAATAATCATGATCCACCTTCTGACAAGTTTCATTTCCCCATTTAGTGAGCGCCATGCTCATGCTACTTTCAAACATGAACGCCTGGCAAGAGAAATAAAAAGGTGAGTTGGGTGACGAAATCTGATTGGAGTTCGCAACCATCTATTCAACCAATCGAATGCAAAACCTTAATCAAGACAAGCCCTATTGCACGCATTTTCCTTGCGCTTCATGGACGTTAGTTGTCCTGATAAGAGTTTTGATTGGTTCACTGGGTTGTGTTGTGATTGGTTCACTGGCTTGTGTTGTGTTAGTTGGCAGTCGTACTTGCTTTACTACTTTTAGCCTTGAGTGTAATTTGTACGACAAAAAAAAAAAGAAACAAACAAAACAAAACATAAAAAAAAACCAAACAAACAAACAACAAAAAAGAAACTGAGAACTTAGCTACTTTCAGCTACAGTTCAGTACATCACAACCACCCCCTTACCCAAGAAGGGAAACGGGGAAGGTGGTAGCTTTACCATCACTAGCGCCCTTGCTAGCAATCAAGTCATAAGTCATTCTTGACTTAAAGAGTCATTCTTAACTTAAAGAGTCAATCCCTCTCCTGACTATGACACTTACTCGTATTTTCAAATGCTTTGACACTTATTACTTAACTTTAAGAAGGTTTTTAGGTAATAGTTGCATTCGTGAGAGAACTTATCAGTGCATTGATTAATGTCTATTAGTGCAATGAAAGGTTGTTATCATATCTGGTGTACACACCATGGTACCATCTGCGACTCGTTGAGGTTTCAAGTCTGCTTCAGTCGCCTTCTCAAAACAATCTCTATCAGGTCCATGGGGGGTCATCATACTATGCAGACTTGCACCCCCTGGAGCAAATCCTTCTTCCTGAAATGGAAGAGCATAAGATCGTCTGCATGGTTATTGTATTTGTCAACCTGCGAACAACCTTACCCTGTGTATCTTTTGTGAAACATACGAACTCATTTCATTCTCCTTGCATTCTGTAATTCAGTCTTTCCTAACTTGGGTAAGATACACGAAGAGTAATTTTCATTTTAACGTCTTGAGTAATTTGGCACAACATTGGTTTTGCTCAACTTCGCTCTTTGATTGCCCTTGGAAAGTGAAAAATTAAGGGAGTAAGTCTCTAAACAAACCGTGGTGCTGCGTCAGGTAACTTGGTTTTTTCAACCGAGTTGATAATGTAAAATAGCCACTGTAAAGACATTCTAAAGCTAATCAGGATGACGTCAAACGCAAGCCAATTGCGATTTGATTCCTTGCCGCTCACATGAGTCTACTGTAATTCTCTTCCGCTCTTTGATGAGAGATGACTTTTGATTTCAGTTTGGCTACTCAATGGAAAAACTGCTCTAAATATGAATGGCAACGATTCTTTCGAAGTTATAATAATAAAACGAATATTTATAGAGGATAGCCCTACAGTGCAAGAGTACTGTTATCAAAGGGGTCCTGTTTAAGAACAAAAAATATAAGGATTAAAAATAAAAAATAAGATAAAAATGACTTCGTTACTTATGCTAATATAACTAGCGCGAACCTACCTAAACTATACTATACAAAATATCAATCTACAGACCTCCTAAATAATAACCAACTGCTAATCTTCCTAGTTTTTTTAAAGGTAAAGGTTCTGATTTGGAAGCCTTTGACTTAGCCAGTTTTTCAGTGAGAGGGTGAAGGAGGTGCTTGTAATTGTCCCTCTCTTAAAACCCTTTCATTTCAACACCCCAAAAAGAGAACTGAAACAACCAGCACCTTCAGAGTTAGAACCATTTTTGTTCCAAATACGGTTCTCTAAATTTTACAAGGAACCAAAGAAAGCTTGCTGCTGTCAAACAAAGATTGAAATCCCTGACGTACCTTAGCTTCATATTTACCAAATATCAGGCCCATAAACTCACTCATGCAGTTGCCTGGGTAAGGAATAAAATACAACAGTTAACATTGATAATAACGTAAATGCGTTAAAGAGTTTCTGCTTTCTGAACATTTTCTCTGATAGCAATAAACGCCATCGATGATTCAAATCTTTTTGTGCCCTATCTCCCCTCCCCTGAAAGCCCAATTACTTAATAAGTTTATTGTTAAATCCTGCCATGTAAAAGCATTTTTGTGAATTAACACTCGCGCTTTCTATTGAAACTTGTTAAAGTTTTCAAATTCTCGTTTTTAAAGCTTTCTTCCTAAACTTTCCATTAAACCAATGAAGTTTGCATAGCTCGTGCAAGGGGCGGGCACGAGCGAGAAATCACCTTCCTGCTCTTTGGCGTTCGAGTTATGCACGTTCTCGTCAAGCATCTACCACCAAGGATGACGTTAACCCTTTACACCCTAACACAGGTATGCATATTCTCCATACTGCTCTCTATACATTTGCTAAGGTGCTGACAAGGAGAATTAGTTTACCAATCAAGGGCTTCTTTTAGTTGGTGATCATTTCATTTATTCTCATGACCTTAATGTTTGATTCAGGGGTGATATTGTTGGGAGAAATTAGACGCTAATCACTCTAAGTGATTAGCGTCTAATTTCACTCTAATAACTCTCACTCTAATAGCTCTCAGGAGTTAGAGGGTTAAACAAATATTAAAATATGACACCTTTGAGAGACCCCAGCACAGTAAAATCGCACTTACGGTGATAGTAAGGAGGTCTGAATGTGTTTTCAGCAACACTCCATCTTGGTGGAAATATCACGAAGTCTGCGATTGCAGTTCCTGGTCTTAAACTGGGACAAGTGAGAACAGTGAATACAGAAGGATCCTGGAAACAAAAGTACATTGGATAATAAATTCCAGCATATAAAACAAATTTAAGAGTACTACACATGGCGTAAGTGCTGAAATGGTGAGTGACATTTCATGCAGAATTGAGATTATACTTACAATGTGGTCGAAGGAGACTGTGTTGACAACGTTAAAACAGTTGAGGTCATATTTGTATGGAGCATAATTGCCATGCCAAGCAACAACATCAAATGCTGAGTGATCCTGAAACAATTTCACAAACAATTAATATCTAGAAAATAAGATTTCCCAAATCATCTCACTGATGGTATGTTATTCTTACTCCAGAAATTCCTCTAGTAGCACATAACTTGTCAAAGGGTACTAGAACTCTGTCTTGCCTTAGTTTTTATCATTCTCTTAACAAATTAAGGTAAGACACTAAAGAGGTATAGCTGAGGAGCTTTGGAAAGATAGAGACCTAGTTCAATTGTCAGCACATCTTTTAAGGTAATTTGGTTTCCTCAACTGAGTCGATAACTAAATGTAAATTGGCCACCGTAAAGAGTTTTTAAAGCTGATGTTTCAAGCATTAGCCCTTAGTCACAGGGAACAGTGGTGATAAATGACCCTTAGAAAATGAGTTGTTTTTTTATGTTTTCTTGCTTTTGCGTGTTCTCTCTGGTCCATTGCAGGATAATAAAATGATATGGATGATAAATTTTGCAGTATTTCTTTGGTTCAAGTTTCATCAAGTGACAATGTCCCCTGCAGTGACAACTGAGTAAATACAACCTACTTCATTTTAAAACTAAGCTTAAATTTGTTTTATTCTCCTTTTTATCCCATAAATAGAGTTATATTTCCCTCCTCGCAAGCACAATTTAAATGAAACTACAGTACTACAGGAAACTTAACGATTGGCTGTTTTAGATACAGAGAGCTCATACCTGAACAGCTTTAAATAGCTTTCCTTGGTATTTGCTGATCACAGAGAAACCAGACTCCACATCTCTGTCTTCATACCATGCTACTGGTGTCAAGAAGTCCCGAGGGTTTGCCAGTCCATTTGCACCTGACAAGCAGACAATAATTTAGTCAGAATAACTTCACTACTTATGATTGTTTTTATCTTTGCAAAGGTGGAATAAATATCAGTTATTATTCCATCAGTAAAACATGCTGTCAACCATTTCACTCTCAAAATCTCATAAGTAATTCTCCTTACTATCTGCTGCACAATCCTTATGATGTTAGTTGGGAGAATTTTGTATTGGATCATCTAATAATCTCCTAATTGATATTGTCACTTGTCTGCTTGATAATGTATTGTAAGGAGAAATCCTGTCTTGGTCACTCTTGGTAGTTAAAAGGTTAAGTCCATTAACTCTATGGCATCATCACACTACCAGAAATTAAATGAAAGAAATAAACTAAGTTTTTGGCATCTGTGTAGGTGAAAGTGGTGAACATTTACCTTGCTGCCTTGCAGCTTGGTAAATATCCACCACTATTCACCTCCACATTGGTAAATAACTGTTAATAAAGCTGCATAATTACATTTACCTATTGGTCCCAAATTTGGCAACACAAAGTGGGCATCGAACACCTCAAGAATATATCCCCTTGATGGTTCAGTGATCTCCACCGAATATCTTATTCCTTGCTGTAAAATAAATGACAGATCATAATTATTCCAATACATGTTATTCAGTAATTCATTGTGGTTCAAACTGAAGATTCAATAACAGTCCTAAAAACATAAAAGACACAGTTCCTATTGATTGAGTTTAAGTACTGAACCTTGAAAAAAACATAGCACATCTCTTACTGCAGCAGTCTGAAAGCTATTAGATTCCCATTTACAAAGACAGTACACTTTATTGTAGGCTCAGTGCTTGTCAATTTCAAATAGTGCTGTATCAAAATAATGTAACTTGGGTGACAATTTCTTCTGTTAACAAGCAATTTTCACATCACTGATTTATAATCAATATATTATTTTGTTATAATTCATTTGTATAAACTGACAACAATCACAGCTCCCAGGACTGAAGGGGCTGAATCCCACAGAGAGAAAAAAAAAAGGAGAATGGAAGAGGGCGAAAGTGCAGTTACCTGGATGATACAAATTTCATTTGGTTTCACTTCCATTTTGCCAAATTCTGTAGTGATCATTAAGGTTCCCTGTTGGGGAACTGCAATAAATAGAGATGTGAACTGAACAGTAACCATTCAGAGCAATCAGACAGTCAGTATTGAGATAAATGATACTGTAAACTGAGGGGTACCAAAAGATAAAAGTGATCTCATTCACTCTCGTTCTACAGGGCTATCTTTGCAATAATTATAGCAATACAAAGCTTTTAACAAAATGCAACTAAAATGGGATTAGATGAAATGCATGAGATGGATTTGCTGATGGAATGGAACAGGCCGCTGTCATATGGAATGAGAAGAGGGGGACTGGACAGGATGGGTCTGGATGAGATGGACTGGGATAAGATAATGCAGTATGGCATGATATGATATGTGTTGTAGATGGAAGTAGGGGTAGATGGGATGATGGGATCTTATGGGTTTAGATAAGATACATAAAAATCATTGGGCGTCAGAAGGATATGACTTTCAGAAAAGCACCACCTGCATCAGCAAGAGCTATCCAAATAGCGAAAGAAATATTCACCTATGAGGAAATCCCCATCAGAGTTATAGAAACACCTGAAATAAATTAATGAAAAATTATTTATGATAGACTTCTTCAACCCTTTACACTCTAACATCAGTATGCATATTCTCCATACTGTTCTCTATACATTTCCTAAGGTGTTGACAAGGAGTTTCTTTAGAGCTCCTTTGGTGGATGATCATTTCCTTTATTCTTGTGAGATCCTAAATTTGGGATTCAGGGATGATATTGTAAGGAGAAATTAGATGCTTGACACCCTTAGGGATCACAGGATTAGACTGAATTGGCAGCCCAAGTCACTGTGTTTGGGGTTCATGAAGCAAGTTGAGATAAACATCCTCATAAAATATTCTTCTATAAAACTTTGCCTCTTTCTCCTTAGTTGGGCAAGTATTAAGCCTTTAAATGTTGTATGAATCTCCACAAATGAATGTAAACTGCTTACTCCAAAGAAAAGCCATGTAGTCTGGGGTTAGTCAAGTAATTTAGCAGAAAGTGCCTTTTTTCTCTGGCAGCCAAAATTTTGTTTGTGGCATACATTTTACCATTTTGGGTAACCAAATGGCGCCTTTGAAAGACATAGAGTCCAGAGTTTAAAAAAAGTTTAAAAAAATCAATAATTACTGACAATCAAATAAAAACATATCAAAAAGCATTCTGTGTTTCTTACTTGTCTTTCATAGAGATATCACAACTGTAGACATGGATTGCAACACCATGCCTTGTGCGAGGATCCCCAGCCCCACAGACTGTGTGCAAACCCTAAGAATTAAAAGAAATCACACAATTTCCGGTTAGAGAAAGACACTAAAATTCTTAAATTTATACTTGGTGTGTAAAAGTACTCCCTGAATGTTAGAGAAAAGTGGAAATTAATTAATGTATACAAGGCAGTGTATTTCCAGAACAATGCATACTAAAATTCAATCCAATATAGTTTCTCCCAAGTCTCCTCCCAATAGTTAAAGGTGATTCCTTAGTAGTATGGAGCACATTCCATGCTGTGAATAAGAATCACATAATCAGACAAATAAGCATGTGTGTAATTCAAGAACAATCATGGTATTGTTTCTCCATCAATAAACAAAGTAAACAGGTACTTATAGGTCTTTTGCTCTTGAAGGAGCTAACAACTTTGGTGTAGTCAAATTGTCTCCATTTGAATTGGAGACATATAAAAAAAATTATCAGAGGGCAAAAAGATACAACTAAAAGCATGCATGAAGCCCTTTCCATGTCATTTAACTTATACATTACATTATTCCATACACTCAAGACTTTTATCGATCAACTATTTTTTCAAGTTTTACTTAAAAACCCCTTTGCTTGCAGCTACCACAAAATGTACTGTAAAATGATGAAATGATGCATGACATTGGTATCAGAACAGGCAGCAATCTTGGTGACCTACCTTTTTTCTTGTAGCTTTTAAAACAGACATTAGCAGGGAACTTTCATGGAAAGTTCAACGAAAAATTATTCAACAACTTTTTTGCTGAGGAATCACCTTAAGACCACTATCAATATATTACTGGTCACTAGTAGATGTTGCAAAAACAATTCAAAGATACATGATTGTAAAAGGAAATACTAACAGACTTCTGAACAATAACTTGGGCACCACATTAATCTGAATCATATTTAATTTCATCAATCACCAATAAAAAACATTGAAAAGCTACAGGGAAATGTCCAGTTTCCATCATTGCAAACAAAATATTTGCTTCTAATATTTTATGAAAATACACTGCCTTATATATGTTTTTTTTTTTCTTCTAATAATATACATGGAAAAATTACTCAGTTCTGATTGGTTAAGATAAATGCAGTTTTCAGGTAATTCAGTGCAGAAGAGAGTTAATTCAGTGCAGAAGAGGGTTAATTCAGTGCAAAGAAAGAAAAAAATCAGACATTCTGATTGGTCAATAATCAAAGAAACTCACAGAAAGCCAATCAAATATGAGCCTTGGATGTCGCAACAAAATTTGAAAATTTGAACATTTGTGAGGGAAACAATGGCCGGCGTTTTAAGTAGGTTTCCTTTTCACCACCACAGCTGAAAAACAGCTTAAACAACGAAAACACTGTAAAAAGCACTGCTTTTTGGTTGTCGGTTTGGAAAAAGTGGTGTTTAGAGAAGGGAATTGCCGAGGAAATCGAAAATTACAAGCTGACCCAGCTTAACACTTTGCTCGAGCGATTCAATGCCGAAATTAAAAACAAACATGGTTAAACCTCAGAAACGACGATTCCATTTCATCAAAAGGGATTCAGACACATACTGAACAATTCCTTGAACTGTTTAGCCGGACTTTGAACTTTTTTGCACCTTAAAGATGTGAAGATATCATTGCATATTATTGTTTTGATCGTACGCAGTTGTTTTGACCGAACGCATGGTTTGAATAAATTATTTTTTGCACTTGATGCGCGCATTTTGCTTATGTTTAATTAAACTTCCATGTATATTATTAACACGTAATCACATGATTTTTCTTGTGCAATTTGGAATAAATAAGCACTTGTTAATTTTTTCAAAGACCACAAATGCAATTTTGCTAGTCTTTGAAAAAATTTACTCGTGCTTATTTATTCCAAATTACACAAGAAAAATCATGTGATTACCTATACAAATAGTACTTTCACTTTCGAGAATTCAAAAGTGTTCTTAGATTTTAACTCAAAACTAGTTTTTGTTTTCCTTCTTGCTTTTTTGCCATGTACATTAATTTATAATGGCCACTTTATCACTTTGCTCTTTTTCCAGCGTATTCTTATATACAGTCTGCCCTCAATTCATTGTGCATTAATTGATGAATAAATGATAATAAATGCCATAATTCACATACTTGGGTGAAGTCAATGTTGCTTCCTTCAGGAGGGATATCAAATGGTTTCCATCGCAACTGAGGCAAAGAGAAAGACCAGAGTATAAAAAGTTTTGTCAGTTGTAGTTTTGCAGATTGTTTCAAGTTGTTCATTATACTCTTAAATGGTAAATAGGCTGCACTCCAGGAGGAGAGGCCTAGGTTCATGACCTGGTTAGGTCAATGTGTTATGTTTTCACACAAAACACTGAACTCAAACAGTGGCTCACACCACCCAGGGGTATGAATGGGTACCAACAATTTTTCAGGGAAGACTGATGAAATGCTTGGTGGATTAACCTTGATATGGACAGGTGTCCCATCCACAGGGCAGGGAAATGTTGAGTGGGTTAACCTAGTAAGGAATTAGTGTCCCATCCACAGAGGAAGTAGACTTCACGGTAAGGAAAATGGGATAATCTATGAGTAAAGCAGGTGATTACTGATATTAGTTCATTGTCCAAATAAAACTGGCAGTTTTGCTACTTGATGCTCGATCAGGCTGAGCAATTTGACCAATTAAAAATAATCTTCAAAAAATGTTTCTTTTTAGCTAATTTTCTTGAAACCAATATGTGTTTAGCCAGTAACAATTTTCCAAACTCAGCATGCCCATAAATAAAATTAATTCTGAATACCAACCTGATTTGGATTGGGGTCACACTCATCCCAGAAATGTGTCAGGTCTCCTTGAGTTGTCTTTTCAAAAGGCATATGGACAGCTGATGGTCTGATGCGGTATAACCAGCTGAAATGATTAAAAAGAATCTGAAATCAATGTCAAACGTAGAAACTGCCAATGCTTGTGAATATTTTCAAGATTGTTTAAAAGTTGGTATTAAGAATGACTCATGCTGGAGATAATGACATGTAAATGTACCAAAACACAAAGTTTGCTTGCTATTGCAGATGCTGCTACAGTAGCTGTGTAAAAAAGTGTTCTTGATCTTAAGTCTTACTGCCTTCTGTTTCTTTGAGAATACTGGCAGACTGGAGTGACACAGAAATCTTTCCAAATTCTTACACTAATTCAATAGAATATAATTTAGCTTAGTCATATTTAGCTCACTAGAGACTGATTCAAACCTAATACTGAATGATCCCCATAATATCAGCATTACATTAATTTTAACCAAATATCATTGTATATATATATACCATCAAGAGAAGAATGAATTATTTCATTGTCTGAATAGGGAATTATTTGATGCATGATGTACCTTCTGCAGTTATATTCTCTTGTGGCAGTGAAAGCCGTACCAGAGAGTTGCTCAGCATATAAACCATATGGGCATTTTTGAGGAGCATTCTAAAAATAGACAGCAAATCAAAGTCATGGTTTTACTATTTCATGGGAATAGGTTTCCTTATTCAAAATAGCATTTATTTAATTAATTGACACTTAATTTGATTAACATTTTATTTAATAATTAACCACATGATAGGCATATTGATAGCCTAATCGTTATGTAAGTTGATCTTCAGTTAAAAGGAATGACACTCATAAAAGTGTTCTGAAACTAGTGTTTTTCTGCTTGATCTGCTGACCCGTTTAGCTGACCTGTGTTATATAAATATTGGAATAGTTTTAATTAGATAGAGCCACAGAAGTAAGTAATTTGTTTTGTGACCAGTTGGATTTTAAGAATTGTAATTTCATTTTTCTCGCATGCAATTTCAAGATTAGATTTCTAATGAAACATGTATTATTTTTTTCATAGATCGAATAAATTAAAGATCATACGATTCCGTACCCAGCCATTACTTCCAAGAACAATTTTTCCCTGGACCAGCTTTAATAATCAACACATTCCTGTGTCTAAGCGTGATAATTTTTCACTCTTCTAAACAATACGAGGCCAGACTTCCTTTTAAACCCATGATTATTATATACATGCAGTTCTTTGTCGAAAAAAAAATTAAGACAACCTTCACGACTGAAGCTTTGATGAAGAAGAAAAGAAGAGTTTTATTCTTATATAACAGCTATTGTTTTTGGCCATGAGATAAACGGACGTACTGAACTCTGTTAGAACTATTCAGGTGTTTCCAAAATTGATACGAGAACCTCTACCTGTCCTTCACTGAAGGGCTTTGTTACCTCTCTAAGAACTTATCACCCAAAATTGATTATATTTTACTTCGCAAAATAACCAGAAATTGACTGTAAAATAAATTCAACTGATGACGATTGCACATTAGCGCATGGTCATCGACGGAGAACTGAGGTCAGTTAGGTACTTGCCTGTCTTTTTGGAAGCGCATCCGGAAGAGCTTCGGAGGCAAACTCATTACCAAAACCTGACATGTACTTAGCAGAATAACAAACATCATTAGTACTTTTTTCGACTAATAATTATGAATATCGTTTAAGAGTTGGTTAACTACCTTTAGTTCCGCCATTTTGTTTTCGGAGTCAAATGCGTGGAACTGTGGGTATACCTAACAGCCACGTGTTTATGTGTTTCGTGATTGGCCAATTTTGTTCACTCCTACAGACACTCCCCCTTCTTCAATGTCACGATAAAAGATGTAGCATTACGAAGTAGACACCCTTGTTTGATTCTGTCCGAGGTATAATACTGCATGGTAGAACAACATATTTCATTTTGTAAAATGTATTCATGTAGGCCATATTGTTGTGTCAATTTGTGGAACTGTTATGTAAGACATATCACTGTGTTAACTAGTACAGTGGGTACATCCATCTACGCTGTCTACAGAGGCACAACTATCTACACTAGTTGCTGTAAGTACAACTATCTACACTGTCTACAGTAGGTACAACTATCTACGCTGTCCCCAGTAGGTACAACTATCTGAACTGGTTGCTGTAAGTACAACTATCTACACTGTCTACAGTAGGTACAACTATCCACACTGTCTACAGTAAGTACAACTATCCACAGTGTCTACAGTAAGTACAGCTGTCTACACTGTCTACAGTAGGTACAACTATCTACACTGTCTACAGTAGGTACAACTATCTACACTGTCTATAGTAGGTACAACTATCCACACTGTCTACAGTAAGTACAGCTGTCTACACTGTCTACAGTAGGTACAACTATCTACACTGTCTGAAGTAGGTACAACTATCTACACTGTCTACAGTAGGTACAACTATCTACGCTGTCCCCAGTAGGTACAACTATCTGAACTGGTTGCTGTAAGTACAACTATCTACACTGTCTACAGTAGGTACAACTATCCACACTGTCTACAGTAAGTACAACTATCCACAGTGTCTACAGTAAGTACAGCTGTCTACACTGTCTACAGTAGGTACAACTATCTACACTGTCTACAGTAGGTACAACTATCTACACTGTCTATAGTAGGTACAACTATCCACACTGTCTACAGTAAGTACAGCTGTCTACACTGTCTACAGTAGGTACAACTATCTACACTGTCTGAAGTAGGTACAACTATCTACACTGTCTACAGTAGGTACGACTATCTACACTGTCTAAAATAGGTACAACTATCTACACTGTCTACAGTAAGTACGACTATCTACACTGTCTAAAATAGGTACAACTATCTACACTGTCTACAGTAGGTACAACTATCCACACTGTCTACAGTAAGTACAGCTGTCTACACTGTCTACAATAGGTACAACTATCTACACTGTCTGAAGTAGGTACAACTATCTACGCGGTCTACAGTAGGTACAACTATCTACGCTGTCTAAAATAGGTACAACTATCTACACTGTCTACAGTAAGTACGACTATCTACACTGTCTAAAATAGGTACAACTATCTACACTGTCTATAGTTAGTACGACTATCTACACTGTCTAAAATAGGTACAACTATCTACACTGTCTATAGATAGTACGACTATCTACACTGTCTAAAATAGGTACAACTATCTACACTGTCTACAGTAAGTACAGCTGTCTACACTGTCTACAGTAGGTACAACTATCTACACTTTCTGAAGTAGGTACAACTATCTACACTGTCTTCAGTAGGTACGACTATCTACACTGTCTAAAATAGGTACAACTATCTACACTGTCTACAGTAAGTACGACTATCTACACTGTCTAAAATAGGTACAACTATCTACACTGTCTACAGTAGGTACAACTATCCACACTGTCTACAGTAAGTACAGCTGTCTACACTGTCTACAGTAGATACAACTATCTACACTGTCTGAAGTAGGTACAACTATCTACACTGTCTTCAGTAGGTACGACTATCTACACTGTCTAAAATAGGTACAACTATCTACACTGTCTACAGTAAGTACGACTATCTACACTGTCTAAAATAGGTACAACTATCTACACTGTCTACAGTAAGTACGACTATCTACACTGTCTAAAATAGGTACAACTATCTACACTGTCTACAGTAAGTACGACTATCTACACTGTCTAAAATAGGTACAACTATCTACACTGTCTACAGTAAGTACGACTATCTACACTGTCTAAAATAGGTACAACTATCTACACTGTCTACAGTAAGTACAACTACCTATACTGTCTACAATAACTATCCACATCGTCCAGCAAAGATCACACAACAATACCCCTATTTTCTCTCAATATTTATTGGAGTACCTTTTTCGGTAAAAAAATAACTTTTTATGTTATTCTACAAATAATTTTTAACCTTTTCTTTGTTTTGTGGTCGTTTAGAATGATAAAGCGATAAAGCAGTGCAAAGTCAAACCAAGGCATATTAAATCGCACGAGGTTGTTTTGTTTTGCAAACAGTTAAAAATTCTAGTTCTTTACCGACATTTTGGACAAAATGTTTGGTCCTAGATATAAAAGTGGAGACTGATAAATAATCGTAGTTCAGGCGAATATAAGTCTTAATATTAAATAAATTAATGGGTCAGAAGTAGAGGACCTGAGTTTTCAGTTATATTGATAAGATACTCTCTGATACGAATCGAGCCGTTTATTTTTATAAATCAAGGTACTCTTTGGCCATCAGTTCAGTAAGTTGCAGATTAATTCAGTTTAAGTCTCGAACGCCTTTTCAACCTTGCATGAGCTGAAAAAGCTTTCTGATGGTAAAGCAAGTTTTTGGTATTATAAAAGGACTACAATCCTCTTTATTGAGGGATTCATAGGAGCCAAAAAGACCAGATAAGATTTCCAATCTAAAAGAGATAATATGTACGCCAAAATGATGCAATAGAAAATATGGGACAGTGTTCTCAATCAAGAGCTAAAGACCATCGTACCTTTAACCTGGTCCATGGATTAAAATATAAAAAGCGCGCTTATTCGCCCATATGATTACGAGATTTTTATGCGCGGTAAAAGATGTGAGATGCAATACTGAGGAGTCACGTTAACGAGCTTCAGCAAACGAAGCAGTCCGCCATTACAACATATGCTAATATTTCTCGTGTAGATCGCTTTCGTCCGTTCTTTGTTAAACTTATTTCTTTTATTCTTGAACGGAAACGCTCGATTGCACTCTCAGTAAGACAACGTTCCTCACCCTCCCCCCCAACCTGGTATTTTAAAACTCAATAGATCAACAATTTATACTAATATACTACGCAGTTTCGAGATGGTCGAGCGGCAATCGTAGGCGCGCAACGAGTGCAAGAGAGGTCATCGAGGTCGCGGGTTCGAATCACGCTATAGGAGTTATTCTTAATCTGGCTTGGGGGCCGAATAACTTCTCCCCGAGTATGATTTGGAGCTGGCGGACAAGGAGTAACTCTCAAACTGGCTTGGGGGCCGAGGAACTCCTCCCCACGAATTGCATTTTTGTTTTTACTGTCTTTTTCTACTTTTTCTTTTTTAAAAGCAGTTTTATTTTTCGGGCCACTTTGTTAATTGTTAGTTATATTCTGAATCCTGTGGTGGTTTCTGTTGCTCCGGAAGTCGCCGGCAAAGACTCTTTTTCCTCGAAATAGAAACGGTTTTGTTTTGCTTTAACCGTTTTATGTATTTTTTCCTCTTTTCTTCCTTTGACGTTTCTTATGCATGATCCGTTTCAAGCTAGCCAATGCAAGTTAGAATGAGGTAAACGTTTTCTCAGTATGAAAGATGAAACGCATAATCGAATTCTCTAGGAAGTCTCGTGACAAAGAGTTCCTCACAAATTGGCGGGAAAGGTCATTCCGAATTCACAGTGCAGTAAAGGAAATCCAAAAATTAATCGGAAAAAATAAAGGAAATTGGTCAAAGCAGGCTAGGGAAATAGAAAAACTTAGCTTCGATTTCTTCGGCCCGGGCTCTCTCGCGACTATTCGGTTGTTTGATGAATACTTACGTGTTAATTGGTCAGAGAGAAAGGAAGACCCTTTTTTACAGATTCGCATTAGCTTAAACTTCTTGATGTTAAACTCCATACAATTTTTAGATTTTTTAAAAATCATTTAAAATTATTCTTTAAGATATATATACACCAGCATCAGGAATCATGACCTCAGCAAAGGCTCGAATAAAAAGAGTTAACATCAGGTATAAATGTCTCCCTTTGCTGGTTCTGAGTAAGACGAGATACATGGACATATATCTATTACTGAAGATTGCATTTGCTACATCACATTGCATAATATCTTATTGTGTATTTCAAAATACTCTTCTCTAAGTCAGTTCACCATTTGCGTGCACATCTCTCTGCTTTTGTTCAGTGCAGTGCACTGATACTGTGCTGCTAGTTTGAAGTGAAAATTTTCAAAAAAATAAAAGATTTCTATCAATTATTGCCCAGATGATGATAATTCAGGTTAAATTAGTTATGATCGTTGATCTCCTTTTTAATTGACACTTTTACCATACATTTGAAATTCATTAGTTACCTAAATAATTAGCTCCTCTTATGCCAAAAAACCTTAGTTTAAAACCCTTGAAGGTTCAAGCTTGGTGAAGGAACATTTCAATGTTACTGGTTTTCATTGTAAATTACTACAAGATAAACATCATTAACACATCTTAATCTCATCAAAATTTGTGCCATCCCAGCTAGCTAATGCAAGTATCTCAGGAACGCAGAACTTGAAGAGAGTTATGGTTACTGAAACATTGACACAGTGTATGTTAGTAATGATCCTTGAAAAATTTCAGTCAAGTTTGCAGAACAGAATCTGACATCTTGGCAGAATGACATAGTTTTTCATACAGACATTCTGTTAGCTCTTCACTTGGTCTAGGATTCTGAGACAAGACCAAAAATCTTACAGGAGGCTAACACTATAAGAAATGGGTGTTGTCTTTGCAAGCTTCATGTAAGGCTGAATGGAGAAAACTTTTGCTCAAATACATCGAGGTAAACACCTACAGCACTTTAAATAAGCATTATCTATACTCGATGGCCTATTAAGCCTGGATGAAGTCTGATGTATTTTTAAAGTGGCAGTATACATCCTAGGGAGAGAGAGGGAAGACACAGTTTGGGATTTTCACCATCTCTTGTAATACTGTTGGTTTGATTCAAACATGGTTTTAGCTTGTATAACAATTTATAAATTTGTGTATAAACTAGCAACACCAAAATTAACTATCTCCCCCTTAAAGTTTTTCCAGAGTCTGAGTAAGCAATGCTTCACAAAAAAGTTAAATGATGACTAATCAAATTTGAATATGAATAAAGCCTTAGTTGATGCAATATTTTATCTCATGAGTTTGGTGAAAACTAACAATTGAAGGTAAATCAGCACAAGTAAAGAAGGCCAGGAAAGTTTTTTTTAATTAAAATTTCCTGCGAGGGAATGTTCCTTCATTAATCTATCCTGGTAGGTTTTCGACACAATATTCCAAGCATCCATGTAACGATCCATACATGAAGATATACATTTCTGAAAGGTAAAAACAGAGATCCATTTAACTTTCACTTACTTCCTGGTTGCAATATAAAGTAATAATGGGATTTTGCTTTCTTGCTTCCCTTCATTACTGTTTTATCTAAAGTTTTGGAACCACTACTAATAGTTAAGACATACAGTTTAGGAAGCATTTAAGATTCAGTGTATGGTAAATTTGTAAATGGCACCAGCACAAATAGTGCCAAATGTGGAGTAAGTATTGCAGCCTTTTTATGCTACTCACTCTGTAATATTAACCATGATGATAATAATTATAATAATAATAATAATAAAAAAAATAAAATAATGATGATGATGATAATCATATTCATATTATTTTTTGAATAATATCATTAATACTTTATCAAAATCCAAATCCTATGTACTCTTGCCAAAAAAAGGTCTTTTGGCATAATTACATGTTTAAAAAATTACAATCAGCAGTTTTCTCACAAATCTTGAACTTAAAAAATTGAATAAGGCAATATACGGGAAAAATGATTGACTCATTTCCACATGAAAAAGATCAGACCTTATTAATAATAATAAGCCTTGTAGAGAGGGAATGTCTGTAATATGGTAAATATAATATAATGATAATAATAGTAATAACAAGAAGAAGAAGTAAAAGAAGAAAATATGGTATTAGTTATGATACTATGAGTAAAAATAATAGGATAAACATTAAGTCCTAAATGATGATTATGGCTATAAATAATACACTGTGTTATTAAGTTTAGTGGGTACTGATGTCAAGCCCCTTAACCACTTTAAAGCCATAATCACAGACTTTTCTAAACTACAACTATTGCTTTAAATATGACTGTTTATATCTATTGTCCTCATGTCATAAATGATGATAGTTCATAAGAGCTAATGTTGTTTGCTAAATATATCTTATTAGATGTTTTGGTGTGTACAGTAGTATTGCTGAGTATTTTGAAGAGTTGGGCAAATCAAAATACAAACAACAAGTAAAAATACTCAGCAATACCATACACAAAACAACTAAAGAGTTATTCATCATCCAACTGCTTTATTTCATATGCATTTCTTACAAGGTTGGAAAAGTAAAGTAGATAGAAAAGTGTAGCACATGCAGCCAACCAGTGAAACAGGTTTCTTTACAGCACAAAATAACCAACTGTCTAAGATCGTGGGATACTTATACACATCCTCACCTTTTTGTACTCTACTTAACCCTTTTACTCCCAGATCAAATTTGTAATTCTCCTTACTGCCAACCATACAATTCATATAATGTTAGTTCAGAGAATTTATTATTGGATCGACTAATTATCCCCAAATTGATATTTTTCTTTACTCTCATCACTTACAGGGCGTGAAGTTACATTTTTTTCTGATGGCCACTTGGCTCCTAAATTCTTCAAAGTGGTAGCCAATTAAAAAAAAATTGGTTGCCATTTTCAAAGACAAACAAAACCTTTTGTTATGCTGTCAGTGTTCTTGATAGACCCTTCAAAATTACGTTAGGGAAAAGATCTTTAACGTGCTACAAAGTGGACACTAGGATGGATGATATACAACATTCAAGCTCACCTAAATCCAAGATGGCGTCTAGTTATTGATCAAGATGCATGTGCTGAGTTTTGGAAACAACTTAACGAGGAAATTTGCTGTGGATTTGTCTCTTCAATTCTTTTTAATCCACTATATCTCTTGGTAAGGTTATTTGGCGACTAATTTTCAGGATTTAGCTGCCAAAGTGAAAAATTTAGTCACATTGGCGCCTGTATTAGGCGCAATTTCACGCCCTGACTTATCTGGTTGATATTGTATTGATATTGTAAGGAGAAATTCTGTCTAAGGGTTAATGCAGTTGGATCATGAAGGATCATTATTTCAGTTATGTAATGCTCAACATTTAGTTTCCCTTACTTGTTCAGAGTTATCAAGCTTTGTTCCTGGTTTGTAAATGCACTTTTTGAAGCATTTTTCTGACATTTTCTAATAAAAGACAAACACAAAAATCAGATATAAATAGCCCTCCAAAGTAAATTTGGTAGCCATTAGATGCAAAATTATAATATGTTTAGTGTCTTGATATCCCAAGACTTGCCCAGTTGCCTTGAAAAACAGAAGCATACATAGTGTAGACTGTCCTAAGACTCTCCAAAATATAGATCAGATCTCCTGATCCCCCCTAAAAAAAATTTAATAATAATAATAATAATAATAATAATAATAATAATAATAAAGCAAATCAAATCAAGTAAATTTCATTTCTATTAAAATGATTGGAATTTTTTGCCAGAGTGGATGCAATATTGGAATAATTTTCTCTTAGAAACTGATTAAAAAAAAACAGTTTAGTAAGAAAGAGTAAACCAACTACAGGGTTGGTGGATGCCATCTAATGCACAAAGACACTGTAGGTACCATGTTATTGTGGGTCTGTTCTGTAACATATATCACTGAAGTCAAAATGTGGTAAGAGCAACTTGTGGCACATAAAGTACACCTGGATGTGTCAGTCATGTTCTTACCCCATTTTGATGTTATGTATTATATATCAATGGACAACCACATAGCAACATGGAATCTAAAATAAGGAAGTTAAAGTTGTGTATGGTTAATTCATCTGGACATCTTTCCTCCAACAGATTGTACGTCAGGACCAATCAAAATGTGTGTACAATTCCGTTTATTTCGTGATGTCCCACATCTCCAGATTTCAGATCTTAATTAGAGATTGACATCTCCCGGATAAGCCCTGATATTAAGAGTGCTATTATTTCAGAGCAACTAAAGAATACAGGGAAACTTATTTCTCCTTAGCTATATTCTTCAATATTCAGTTTTTTCTTTTACTGAAAAGTTTTACACCCACAACTTGCATGTGCTTTGGAATACTTAGCAGTCAAAAGACCTAGGTTATGTCATCTTTCGATGGCAATCTGAGAATGCACCTTTGAAACACAAAAATGCTCACGACAATCCAAGAATAATAAAACATACCTTCAGGGAAAATGACATCGTGACTATAACCTTACAATGTAACATGAGTGTAAAGTACGGAGCTGTTCCGCAAAGCACGTGTAGCGTAAATTTAAAGCGTACCCACTAGACGGCTCTATTTCTTACCGAAAGTAATTCTTGTAATGTTGCGACTAACAGCTGACTTTTAACTTGATCCATCAGTTCAGCTCGTTGTGCGCCATTCATTCCACTCGAAGAACTCGAAGATGAAGACGAAGAAAAGCCAAAATCTGACATCTTTTTTTCTATAATTAAGAGACAACTCCAAATTCCACTAAGAGCACGCTAACTTGAGCCGCAATATGAGTTACGACTTGGTCCGCGGCGCTGTGGGCAGATAGTTGACCTTGTCACATATTCTGAACTGTCGTGTACCTTATTCTTACATCCGCCGGTAGGCGAGCGGTTTTGTCACCTAACGAACTCCCAAATGGCGGGTTATAGCTTTGTTGAATATTTTGGGGGCGATTCCGGTCATCGTTGTGGCTATTGTGGAAGCAGTGATACCAACTACACGCATGGTAAGTAATCAGCCAGTACATCGCAAATTTGGTAAAAGATACTTTCCGTTTTCTTAAATTTCCGCGATCCCATCACATTCGATAGTCCTAAATATACGAAGACTTTTTTCTGGGGAAAACATCTAAAGAAGTGTAAGATTTCTCTTACATTTTGCTTCAAGGTATGTGGGCCCACCAGATGACTTGTTTGGATTACCAAGATCTCATCGACAGGGGATGGAGAAGGTTTGTGGAATTAGTTTTATGTACATTGCTGATTCTGTGCATCCTTAATTAACTCACCTCTCATCACGTTCTTCTTCAAATTTTTCTTTGTTCAAAAGTTTCGAAACAGTGCTGTAATATTTTTCTTCTTCTTTCTCAGATTATCTTAAGGTATTGAGCACTTTAGCACAAAGAAAAATGAAAAGTGCCCTGGTTTGAAAAATTTAAAGCCAAAGAAATATTCAATCCAAAACAAATTAATATCACAGCCTCAATGGTAGTACTGATTTCAACGTAATAAAGTTTGTTTTTACTTTAATAATAACATATTAGTTTTCAAACGTGACTCCACACAGTTTCTCTTTCCTCCTGCTATCATACTCGGAAGATAAAAGTTAAGCTAAGGATGAAATTAAATTTTTACCATTAATAATGATTACACCTGCAATTGATTTTTAAAAATATTTCTGTATATTTTGTTTGTCTCTTACAGGAGTGGTCAATATGTGTACAAGCCAATGATGAAAAAAATGTGTTGTCCTTCTTATACCATAAAGTATGTTTTACCTCCCATTTTATTTTCACCTGATTACTTGCAATTATTAACATTAAACATGCTGTGATTGCAACATGTGTACATTAGCCTCGATCAGTGATACAAAGCTAAATGATAACAAAATTTTATCAACAGGATGTGTGAATTTTTGAGTAATATATTAGACATATTAGAAATTGTATGACAACCTTATCATCTAGGGTAAACTGCTATTAATAATGGAAATTGGATAATTTAAACCTTACAAAGCTTTTGGAAGGCTTGGTTTACCCTCTTGGGCCTCACACATTTGAGTTGGCCACTCTTACCAACTAAAATTAGGAGTCATATTTCATCTTATATTTCTAGATATTATTTTTTTAAGCATCTGAGTAGGCCTGAATCTTAAATCCCTGGTTCCACATAGCTCATTTCACACTCTTAATCATATCAGGTTTCTATAATACTGATCATGGTTCAGGATTTTTTTTCCACACCATTTATACCAAAGCAGAAAAATGCAAACCAGCTGGAAAAAATGAAAAAAGTTATCTACTACTCAAGAAAAAACTGTGCTCTTGATTTTGAGTATGGTCCTCAGTCATCATTCTTGAGCTGCACGTAAGAACTTGTGCTCAGTTTTTTTTCCCACACAGACCCCCCTGCCAGGTAAATAATAATTTACCTTCAATCATTTGAGAAAGATAGGAGAGGGTCCAGGGGAGTACTAACCACCCACAATTGTTAGTGTTTCACTGATATTTAATGAGCTTGCATGATAACACCACACCACCCAGAATTTTAAATTTCTGTTCTTTTCATTTTGTGCAGATGTGATGCGCTGTCTTTCAAACCAAGCAAATCTCAGAAAAAAGTTCTTAAGAGGATGACCAAGTTTCTAACAGTTCCCAAATCTGGTATGTATTATGATTCAAGTTGTATACACCTGAATGTAAAAACACATAAAAAAGCTTTATCATTAAACAGTGAGACCCGGTGGCATTATGGGTATACTTGTTCTGCATATGGTCAATGATGGAAACTGCATGTAAATACATAATCCAGAGAGAACAGTATTATACAAAGGAAGATTTACCTTTTTATCACTAAATTTTCAAACATTGCCCACAAAGCCATTGGGTCTTGTCTTCTTCATCACCTCCAAAGAATGCTCAGCCAACTCCTCATCTTGCTACTAGGATCAACTGCCTGGGGTCTTAAAGGCTGACTACCCATGAATAATGTGGGTAACTTAGTTATTTTTCAATTTTAGAGTCAAGTTCCAAGACTGATGGTGAAGATGCAGCTGGATATCTTTCTGAAGAATTGGATCATGCTCATGAAACAGCTTTTGTAGAACCTCCTCTAGGAGTGAAGCCATCTGAATCAGTCAAGGTTGGGGATATTAACTGCGATGAATTGGGAAAGGAAGATTTAAAGGCTACTAAGGAAACAAAAGCCACAAATGGGCAAGTGCATTTAAGGGCATCAGCATCTTCAGGTCAAATGGTAGATGAATCAACAAGGAAAACCAAGCCATGTAAAGACAAGAAACCAGGTGAATCTCTTTTCAGATAATTTCTTCTATGTGTTGTATTAAAGCATCTAGCCATGCTTCACTTACATATAGCCTCTTCTTGAAATTTACAGCACCTGGTTTAGGAGCTGATCCAAACAAGCCTCCTTGCCGCAAGGCTAGAATCCTTCGTCAAGAGAGGAAAATGAAGAAACTTGCATCAGTCAGTGGGGAACAGGTTGGTGCATGTTTAGAATGTCTCACTTTGCCTGATTTAGGCTTAAGTTGATAACCAACTCTTGTTTGAAAAGTGAGCTCATGCAACTGTCCCAAAGAGAGGGAGAATATGAAGACCACACCCCAAAGAGGGGTGCCAATCAAGGCTGTGCCTGCTAGTCTCTCAGTTCAGAATTAATAACTACAGGTGAAATGTCTGTTCATATGTTTAAACAGCAGTCCTTTTGCTATTATTAGGAATTTGTTGTAAATGGAATTTGAAGTGCACTGGTGAGAGGGGGGGATGGGAGATAGGAGAGAGGAGGAAAATTTTGGAAGGCTGGAAAAAAGTCTCAGAGCAATTTAAAGACGCAAATGTTCATGACCCACTGAAGATCAGTAATTCTCCAAATGCAGATGCTGATGTCCAGATTTGTTTTTCCTCTCAATTACCAGAAAACTGAATCTCAGTCAAGTTCCCAAAATGCCAGAGTCCCTATTACTAAGTCGTTGGAAGACTTCATGATTGACAGATTGCCCAACCAATCACCCGTTCATGATCTCCAGGTATATGTTTTGTACTTCTTGTTAATAAAGATAGTATGTACACACTGATTTTTTATGGTTGATGAAAATGATGTCTCACCTTCATGTTGTAGACTATTTACCTGCACAAATTACAGACCAGACAGACGGGTGTACTAAATTAGTTCATGTTAATTGTTGCCAGATCTCTGTCATTGAATTTCACTTTGAATGACCTTGTTATGATGATGACAAGTCTCCTGCATTATGCAATAGTCAGACTTCTTTTCGAGGAATACTGTCTAGGCCAATGCCAGCCATCCTATTTTATGAGACAGTAAAGAAAAGCAGCTATTATTTTAATTAATAAGCTAGCGATCAGAAGTATGACTTCTGTCAAGAGCCATATGGATTATCTTTCCAAATATTCTTTTGTCCCTGATTGAAAATCATCTTCTGTTCAAAAGTACTTGTATTATTTTATGTTACAAATGAAAATGTTTCTGCCAGATGGTTTATGTGGTTAAATGCATGTGGTGGTTGTACTTAGAGTGCACAGCCAGAAAATCAGCTTGTAAAGAATTGCTCAACATTTAAACTTGTCAACATGACTTTCCTTTACTCGTAGATCAAGCTGATTCCATCAAATCGAAACAATCAGCAATTCATTGAAACCTTGCCACAGACCAGAGAGTTGTTTTTCAAATACCAGCGATTTATTCATGGTGACCCCCCTGAAAAATGCACAGATAAAAGGGTATTGAGTTCAAAATGTTCTAGAGAGTAGGATGGGTGGTCACTTCTTGTCTATCATACACATTTCAAGAAAATCTCACTTCCCAATTTACCTGGTCATTATAAAACATTTCTCACATGAAAGTGTGAATTCAATTGAAATTGCATTGCAAATTACAGCTTCATGGAGGGTGAAGATGCAATTTTGACAAAGGGTGATCTATGAGACAATAAAGTCTCACATTAAAATTTTTAAAATTTTAAGGATTGCAAATCTTTTTGTATATTTCAGATAAATGAGAAATCAGATTTGTTCAAGTCAGTATTTGAGAAGTGACCATTTTTGTGAAAAATTATTATTCTCAGGTCAAATTGGTGAGAGTGAATTTGCAGTGTGATGAATTTAAAGCAACATACCAACAGACTTGTGCTCTCTTTGCAAAATATCAAATAGCCATCCATAAGGACCACCCCAGAGAATGTGGTGAATCACAGGTTAGGTGTAGCTCTAATTTTTGCATTTTCTCGCAAAGAGAATTGACTTTGAATATCTAACAAAAGTAAACCAAGATTTCTGCAGTTTTGCTTACCTATGCTCTATAGTTGGTATACAAAACTTTCTCAACCAATTAGATGGAAAATCAAATCATGACTTTCCAAATGCTCCGACTTTGAGTCCTGATTGGCTGTCCTGATATTTTTGTTTGTTTTCATTGGTTGTTGCATTCAGTTATGTTTTAGTTTTGGTTTTGCAACATACAAATAAAAAGTACTGTTAGTGTTATGAACTGAGTTGAAAACGTAAATTGGCCACCATAGACAGTTTAAAGGCTGTCATTTTGAGCATTAGTCCTTCGTCAGAGTGTTGTTAGCCCTTTGCTCCAACTGATGAAGGGCTAACACTTGAAATGTTAGCCTTTAAACCCTTTACGGTGGGCACCAATCTATGTTTTCAATTCAGATGATAACACTAAGTTACTCCGTTATGCTCTCCCAGCGACGCAGCACCACAGTTTCTTTAGAAATTTACCCTCCTTTATTCATCTGTATCACAGAGTTGACCATATTATCAAATTGTGTGGAAAGCTCCGAGTCCTTGAACTAAGTATTTTACAGAAAATAGCTTAATTCCTTGACACTGAAGGGACAGTTGAAATAAATTCAATTAAAACCAACTGGATTCTGAAGTGACCACCCATCCAACTCCATGAGTTTGTGTTTAATACATTGAATATTTTAAAAGTAATATATAAAATTAAACAATGCACTCGTCATGTGTATTATTAATTTGCTTTTCAAATTTATAGCGAATGAGTTACTTCAGACAGGCTGCTTTTCCTATTACTCATTCAAGGTTAATAACTTCTGTAAATTTGTGCAACATATCAATTCATAGTTGTGCCCTATGCCAAAAAATATTTTGTTTGATGTATCTGTGTGGAATGTGTTGATTCCATAGTTCAAACGTGGGTCATGGTAGAGCTAATGCTGCTATCAAAGAAGTTTTCTCAAATTTTAAAATATTTTACATTCCTCTGAGAGGTGCAAAAGGTAGGGAGTTCTTTTTTTTTGGAGCAGTTTTACACCAACAAACACAATTTTTACCAAAAATAAATTAATAATAATTATCATAGCATTCAAGGAGCATGGAAAGTTTGCTTACAAACCACAGAAACGATGCAGATGTAATAAAGATTATTATTTATAATAATTACATGTATTTAATGCATCACCTAAATGGTAACATTTACCTGAACCTCGGGTAAGGATTATTCTAAGTACTTTGTATCGTCTTTAAGAAGTGTGTTTTGAATTGTTTGATTTTAGTTCAAAAGATTCTTGGTTGACTCTCCTCTCGAGGTATGTTTGTATTATATGCACAGTGTTCCTTTTAAAGACTCATGATAAACAGTAAATATTTGAACCCCGGAATTCATGTAACAGTTGATCTCGCAGTTTGATCGTCTGGGTGAGAATAGCGCTGCGAAGGCTAGTTGTGGTTAGTAGTGACTCAGGCTTTGAAAACCATAGAAGCGTCTCTCATAAGGACTTCCTTTATTTTCATCAAATTGTCAGTCACCACAGTCACCACTATCGACAATAGTATACTTCAAGACCCAGGCTTTCAATATAAGCTATTTTCCAGTAGTCTACCATCACCTGTAAGTCCTCTTAGCACCGTCTATTTAGCGTGTGAGAAGTCTCTCTCTCTCTTGTGTTTGGGGCTTGTGGAAAGAGTTAATCGAAATCCCTTCAAGATTACTTTCACCTGGACGGTAGACTACATGATGAACTTCTCGACGGAGATGAGTCATTTTTTGTGTCATAAAAATATAATATTTTAATACAATAAAACCTTGAGTTAGTCGTTTGAGTATTTTTTTTCCCATCACCAAGCTCGGAAAGTTAAATCTTTGAATGTTTGAATTGTTTGTTCTCTAAATACCTTTCAGCGCACAACTGGACCAGAAGCCCCACCAATGGGCTTTGGATCGTTTCATCAACAATACTTTCTCGGCGGTAAGTTGTTTCACTAGGAGCTCACCCACGGACTTTGGAAATAGTATTTATTTCACAAATAGATTCCATGTCGTCGTGCGTCTGTTCACCAGTAGAGATGTTAATCGTGATGTTTCCGGCAAACGAATAACGACTACATGACGTTTTCCGTTTGCCTTCGTCACCTCTTGCACTTGAGCTTTGCGTACCCAGCGAAATACCTTAAAACAAAGAACAGTACGGAGTTAACTGCGCTTGAGTATTATTTCCGATAATTTTCAATTAAAGTCAATGCGAAACAGTTGTTTTACCACAAAGAAGGAGTGAAGAAGCTTTCCCTCAAAGTTCACGATTGCTAAAATACTTTACACTAGCATAAAATAATATACTTTTTCTCGCGCTTTTCATTAATATGAAACCTCCTCCCTTCACGTTGAAAACGGCAGAGGGCAAACGGCAAACGGCAAACGTTAAAAATGGCGGGAAAAATTGGTCACATGGTCATCTTTGCCATTTCCTTTATATCGCAAACGTCTTTAGATCACAGATGACGTCAAAATGTGATAAGAAACAAAAGTAGAGTTCAATACTGTGATATTGCGATACTGCAATACTGCGATTCTGTGATACTGCAATACTGCGATACTACAATACTACAATACTGCAATACTGCGAAACTGCAATACTGCTCAAGTAGTGTTCAATACTGCTTTCATATTCACTTCTTTATCCGCAGTTCTAATATGTGACTTTCATATATTCATAGTCGTTTATTTACCACTTTACGGGTTTATTTGGTACCAACTTATTGACCAGCTCTCAGTCGGCTTCTCAGCTCAAATGATAGAGCACTGCACCGGTATCGCGGGGGTCATGGGTTCAAATCCTGTACAGGCTTGAATTTTTTTCAGGCCTTAGTTTCACTACTGCTCAAGTGGTGTTCAATACTGCGAAGATCGCTTTCATATTCACGTTTTTATATATTCACAGTCGTTTAAGAACCAAAAAGTAACACGAGGCGTAGCTTAGTGTGTTATTGATGTTCTCAGTACTCTATGACGTCCTCTGATTTATTATTGAAAAGACGCTCGGAAACATGGAATCTATATGCATTTGAGTTATATGATAGAAAATGCAAAATCTTGTTAGTGGTGATGTCATCTATGCGTCCGTCCTCCAATAGATCATAGGTAAGAACCGGTCTAAATGCGTGTTTAATTCAGCTTACAATATAAAATAACAATTGAGAAGGTAAGTTTAATGTTCCGCTTACCGTATGTTCACTTTTTTGCGTTGTGGCGTTTCATTAATGTTTCACTGTCTTTCTACGTTTTTATTCTGCTCACACATCGCACCTTGTGCATTTTGACGCTTATACTTCTGGAATGCATTTTTATGTGCAAACCTTTAGTGTTGTTTTGCCCGTATGGTTACAGTCATTAGCCTCCAACCATCTTTGAGAGAGAAACTAATTTTCGTTCTTTTTTGTTGTTGTTTCATTTATATGTTTGTCTTTTTGTGGCAGATAAACTCATAGCAGTTGGAGTGCTAGACATTCTTCCGCGCTGCGTTTCGTCTGTGTATTTCTTTTATGATCCCGATTATTCATTTTTATCTCTTGGGGTCTATTCCGCTCTGAGGTAAACTTAAGTCTTATTTTTTTAAATGCCCTCTCTGAGTTCTCTTTTTTTGATCATGCTCCTATTCGTTACCAAGAGAATGTGAACTGTTTCTAATCTCTTGTCTGTACTCGAGCCGGAGTCTTGGAGAATGGTGGAATTACCAAGCAATACCTGCCCAAAACCAATTTTCAGTTCAAGTTTTTAAATTCTCCTCAAGTCAGATGAAAATGAACGTGTTGTTAGTTCTGCAGGTGTGAAAATCATATGAACGGTTTGAAACAATTCTAACTTGAAAAGAAGGTTGACCAAGTATGTCGGCGAGGTAACCGGTAAGTCGGCGAGTCGACCAAATTCGACTGTCCGCGAGTTGACCAAAAGTGTCCGCGAGGTGACTAGTGGTGTTGGTGAGTTGGTTGGCGGCGAAGTGACCGGGTGCCCCTCTAGCAGACCATTTCATACACTTATCTCTCTGAATGTACAGCCAAACGCCTATAGCCTTTTGCTTTCATCTCTCTCGTAGGGAAGTTCATTTTGCTCGCTGCCTTCAAAAAAGCGTCCCGACCATTCAGAGTTACTACATGGGTTTCTACATACACTCGTGTCCAAAAATGAGATACAAGGTGTGTACATTGACCGGCATCAGCAATAACTTGGCTTTTGGTCATATTGGCTGAGTTAAGTTTCACGACAGTCAATCGGAAAGTGATTTACATCGCTGTGCTGCTTTCTCTCTCCAGGGTAACTACTCACCATCCTACCTGGCCTGTCCAGAGACGTTCAATTGGATTCCCATGAAGCAGTGTCTCCCTAAGCTCGACCTCAGTAATTATTCTCGGCTCGACGACTCAGACGAAGGTGAGACATGGTAAATCTGTGGGTGGTGGGGGGTGGGAGTATTATATTAGACATCAGATTTGATGGTGTGGGGTGAAGCACTGGCCAGAGACACTTTTAGTGTTGTTTTCCTTGCGAAGAATTTCATGAGTTCCCCATCTAAAGAGAGCAAGCGACACATTTTCTCGTTGTAACAAACCTCCTTATGATCTCGTCTTCTTTAATTTTGGTTGCAATTGCAGTAGTATATTACTTGACCTAAACCCCATTCACATCAAAGCTCAAACATGTTTTAAAACTGTTCGGTTAAACACTGTTTAAAGTTTTGCTCTATACAAGCTGCTTAAACCCATGTTTGTCGACTTCAAATGTAGCACACTGCCGGGAAGTTCAAGTCGGCGATTACTTGAATCCTATGGAAAATTCAGATTTTCATTCAGTTAAACCCGGTGTAACCAAACATGCTTTTTGCTTCGTGAGCAAAGCTATACGAGACTTCTCATCACTCGTAGGTTGTCTTGACCTTTATTCGTTGTAAAGTCGCTTTTGTCAAACAAATCTTTTTTTCACAACTTTTTTAGAATCTCCCAAAGCAACCGCGGATGACGTGCTTGTTTTTTACAAGCGGAAAGCCCTACCTTACCAGGTAATCTCTAACTTTACATATGCTCTTTCTCTCCCCCTGTTCCTCCTTCCCACCCCCTCTCCCCTTTCCCGGCCTTTCCTCTAACCCTTTTCTGTCTTACTTTAAGCGAGTAGACCCCACTTGATGTTGTTACTTCTTGGAAAATCGAGGCCAAATTTGTCAATTTTTTTCATTTTCCATTGACGATTAACTGTGGCACGAATGGAATGTCTCGTAGTAGAGATTCATGTAGTGTCCTTTGCAGCCGTTCTTTTGATGTCACGTAATGCTCCACCACGATAATCATCCAGGGTCAGCGTTGCGTGACACTGGAACAGTTGCGAACATAAGAAGAAAACTAGAATGTTTGATGTAATACATAGCAATAACACTTACTGTCGCTGATGCGTCTCTCCTGACAGATGTATGAAGCTTATACAGAGGCAAATGATCGCGGGGAGGTTCAGGAGTACGCAGAACTCGTCGGACCTGAGGTTTTGCCAAGGATGCTGCTCTACAGATCCGGTTAAAATATGCTAAGGTTCCAGGCCAAGAGAGGATAAAGTCAAGGCGTGGCGGTCACACGTCGCTTCTGGCGCTATATTTAAGAAACGATTGTTCGGGGTAAAAAAGTTATGAAACGGTGCATCAAGGCGGGAGCCTCTAAAATCGTTTAGAAAGCCTTGATGTTAGCTCAAGAAAAGAGTATTCGAACGGATTTCAGCAAATTAAAAGGGGGCGCTACTCCGACAACAATAACAATAGGTCAGTGGGTGTTATGCATATTCCTTGCTCTTATTTGCGAGAAGGTCTTTCTTTGAGCCTTGTGCTCCAAGCTTCGTAGGATCAGGAATTGATTAATAGAAAGGCAAATATCTTCTGTGTGAAATAAAATGATATGCTTGGTTTAAATGGTGAGAAGTATACGGTTGGTTTTCGCGAAATGGGACCGAATTGACTTTGAAACTTCTGTTTAGTGTATCATTAGTGTGACTTCTGTTTAACTGTCCGAAATGGTTTTTACCCTGTTGTTGAAAGAAACATGTTCTCGTGGTATGGTTAGAAAATCCAGCACGATTTCCCTGAGTTTTATTTCGAATTTCGCGAAGTTATACCTTCGGAGTCAGAGGTGACCCTGCAAGTGTGCCGCGGGGTGGTTTGCAAATTAATCGACGCGGCTGTCTGGAGCAAGTCCCAGATTTATTTTATTTTAATCCACATTAAACAATGGGTTAGAGAGCTACGAGGAGCAGACTAATCTTTAGCCTTGAACTTACGGTTAGTCTCAATAATAGTTTGGTTCAATTATTTTTCTCTCTGTATCTAAGCTTCCTTTTAAGGAGTATTTTGTTCAAGAGCTGATATTTGTTGTTTTTACTGACCGGCTGAGAGACGCAAAAAGTCCATTTAAAACACTCTCTTGATCGTCTTTTTATTAAGCCACCACTTGAGATTTTCATGAGTTAGATTATTAAGAATAATCAACGTCAATTAAATAGAAATCGAAGGGACCTTTACCCGCAGGAACTCGTGACCATATTCAATCATTAATCGTGGGTTTAAATGCTTGACTAGAGCTTACTAGCAAAGCAGCTTATCTACTCTTCCAGAAATCATTAGTTGGGTCACTTCTCCAGATCAACTTCTGGGATGTTCTTTCACCGCTCTCTCCCTTTGGATGTGGTTAACATTCAATGTGTTTATGCAATCTTGCAGACAAACATTCAGAGGAACAAAGAAGGTAGTGAAGGTACGAACAAATGTGTCTGGGAGTTTAGGCTATCTAAGAAAGAAGTTGTATTCTTGGATACTTTAGCCGTGGATTACTTTGATCCTGCTTGTTAAAATTCAGGACCAGCAAGGTCAATTCACAAATGAAGTGAGGTTTCCTGTCTGCTCCACATGTCTTCAACGAAACTTCTTTGCCAATCTTTCTTTGCCTATCATCGATCTCTTATGCTATCTGTAATCAGGACAATCTTATAAGCACAGGGATTTAAAACACTCTACCAGAAAATATTTTGACGAGCGAGTGCTCGGTATTTTCTTCACTAAATTTATGGCCGCCATTATGACTGGTAACAGGTGAATTCGATCCCTTGCATGGCTGCTCCAATTCCACCGCTTGAAGTATGGTTGTGTGACCCCTAACTTTTGATCTAACGCGACTTTTCGGACTTGAATACTGAGGTACTATCATAAACCCAGTACAACTTGAGACGAAGTGTTTTGGTTAATGGAAGGAATTCGATTCTGATTGTATTCTGGAATACAACAGAAGCAATCACTGCAAATCAGTGTTTAAACATGTTAAAAAAAAAACTTTGCTTTCAGTGTAAAAAAAAACATTGCTCTCACAGTATTAGACGGAGAAGTGATAACTGTCCGATTTCTGGGCACGGTATATCAGCAAGAAGTTGATGAATGAGTAAATGGATTTATGGATTGGTAGACGGACGGACTGTCATGCGTTTGCTTGTTCTTTTGCATTACCATAAAGTGAGTTCGACCAAAGCATTGCACCAGTAAAAGTGGTGAATTTTCAAAGTTTGCCTGTAGGGCTTTATTTTAAGAAGTGATGTTGAATTTTAGTTGTTCTTTTGTATTACGATAAAATGAGTTCCACTAAAGCATTGCACAAGTAAAAGTGGTAAATTTTCAATGTTTGCCTGCAGGGCTTTATTTTGTGAAGTTATGTTGAATCTTGGTTGTTCTTTTGTATTACGATAAAATGAGTTCCACCAAAGCATTGCACAAGCAAAAGTGGTAAATTTTCAAGGTTTTTCTGCAGGGCTTTATTTTGTAAATCGATGTTAAATTTAAAAATAACCGCAGAAATTTGATCAACGTTCAATTCGCTACCATCCCATCTTAATTTCGGAGACATTTGCGCGAGATCTGGGGTTGAGGAAGAAGTCGACTTTAAAAATGGCGACTAGGCCGACGTTGTTTATGAAAAGAAACAGTGTTTCATGCCGCATTGTCTGGCTCTACTTAAAACAGGTGAGTATCAAAAATAAATCTTTTCCAGATGAATGACTCGTTGAGAAAGACTAACGTATATTTTGCTCACTTTGCCGATCGCACGGTCAGTCCAAATTTCCAAACACAGTTTCCCTCAAAACTTCCACCGAAAGCACTTTTTCTACGGCTCTTCCTCCTCTCTGAAGACTTGAATTAATATTTTTTTTTACTGTGAAACAGTTGGAAGCTTAAATATTTTTGGAACCTCAACCCTTAAACGCTTATTATTTGACGATAAATTCTCCGATCTATTTAGTACCAGCTGAATTTCCTTACAAAAATGTACTCATGTACCCAAGTTCAGAAATTTGGACTAACATCACGTAAAACTACACATAAAATCATAGTTCTTTCAAATCTTATGAATTTTTTGCTTTATGATATTAAAAACTAAATGGAATATGAATTTCTACGAATTGATAACCATGAATTAAGCCAAAGATTTTGAGATAAAAGGCAGGAAGAAGTTGGAATTAACTTGTAGCAATTTTTTAATATTCTACCAAGAACTTGTGGATTGTGTGCATTGTTATTTGTCGGTTATTTTTCTTTTAATTTAGAATGAAATTCCATTTATGATGATTGATTTGGATGAGTGTAAGCCTTCAGATTTTGAAAGCAGAAGCCCTCTTGGTACAGTGCCAGTATTGCAAGATGGTGGCCATAATATTTATGGGAGGTAAACTTTTATCATAAGGCTCATCTGTGCCAGGTGGCTACAAGGTTTTTCAATCAATGAGCCATTTTCTGTGGGGAAAAATTTGATCCATGAATACCTGAAATATGGGATAACCAAAATGTACCTTAACTTGGAAAAATGTATCTCCTGTTATGTCACAATTTTTTGACACTGTTCATCAACTCAATGATAATAAAACCAAGCACACAAATAACTTAAGTTTACTAGAGCTTCATGGGTGTGTCAGATGAAGCCAACATTTTTGCTATTAGAATGCATAGTAGTCTTAGTTAAAGAGAAATTTATGGCCCCATTGTCAGTGGCAGATCCAGGGGGATTAATTTGAGAAACTTAACAGACTAATACTTCCTGCTTTTTTGGTTTTCTTTTCTTTTCTTTATAGCCAGGCTATAGTCTATTACTTGGCAGAGAAATACACAAACTATGCAGGTTTTGGAAAAAACAATGAAAGACCACTGATAGAGTCTGTCATTAACTGGGCAGCCACTACACTACTGAGGTATTATACTGACTGAGGTTTACTTTTCAAGATCTTCAGTTATCTAACTTTTACAGGCTTGCAACTAGCATTGTAGAGACAAACACTCTTTGTTCATTTTAGTGACACATGCATTTATTGGCAGGGTGTAAGATCAGAACCCTCTCCAAAATGGTTCAACCTGAATTAGCAATTTATTACACACAAAAAAATGTGTCTGATATACCTATAGCAGAAAGGGTTGTAGCCAAGGAAATAGTATGCTGGTTAAAAATAGAGTTGAACCAGTCCAAAAGGAGACCTGGTGACAGAATATTAATCCCAATCTTCAGCAAGCCCTTCACAGTGAGGCTACCAAACATGATTTCAAATGCAGGTTATTGAAAAAGAGTAGTGTAAACAAGTACCCTTTGCTAAGTTTCAAATGTAAAAATTCAGCCAATGATCATCTGTTTGACAGCCAATGCCAATAGCAACAACCCCAAGTTGTACATCATCATGATCATCCAGTAATCTTGAATAATTTCATACGGTAACTTATGGTTTAATCAGAGAAAGGGGTGTTTGAAATTTAAAGATAGATTTTTATGGCTGGACTTAATGCTGTGTGCAGAGTCACCAAGGTCAATATTCTTTTGATATAAACAATTTCAAACTTTCATGAATCTAGTAAAAGGTATTGCAGTTACTTTAACTTGTGGATATTGTTACTGCATTTCTTTCTGGGAGGATAATTGTTCCCTATGATAATGTTGTAACTTCTGTAGCCATTTTGGAGATGTTTGAAGATCTCAAACTCTGTCCCAGTATATTGATTTACAGGTTGTGGTTCAGTTGTTTGCAGCTGTTCAAATTTAGCTATCACTGCTACATACATGTATTTGTAGAACCAATGTATGTTTAAAACTCTTAAATTCAATTAATATTTGAAACAATATTGATACAATCTGACAATTTTAAGTTTTTTTTTATGTATGGTATTCCATCAACTCATAACTGATTTTTTTTTTCTGCAATTAAAACATTTTTTTTTTAGGGACATTGGAAATAATTATGTCTACCCAAGCTTAAACTGGCCAGGAGTTGCCTTGGCCAAAGAAAGCAACTCCTCCCTGGTAGACTTTGGCAAGAATGAAGTGATCTTTCACCTGGATGTTTTAGAAAAGCACTATTTGTGTCACCATGAGTTTCTGTGCGGCAACTCATCCACTATTGCAGATTGCTGGGTTGCTGTAGTCCTCTCTTTGTTAGAGCTGGTGTGTTTTGACCTAACACCCTGGCCAAGGTTGAGGTCATGGGTGTGCAGTATGAAGTCCAATGGTGATTATGTGGATGTCAGTTATAATCACGAAGAAATGGTGCGGAAGAGTTTCTATAATTTGAATAGCAGTGCTTCAGATCTGAAGACTGTGAGTGTTGAGAATCTCACCTAATTGCTTGAACATATTTCTCTACAAACAGCATACAGTATGGTTTGTTTAGTAGGAACTTGTTCATTGACCATTTCATTAAATTATGTAAATGTAAACTACAAGCTGTCTCATGTTCTCTTGAAAAAAATAGAAATAGCAGGAAAGGGTGTGTTTCGACATGGCCCCTTCTTGTTGCACCTCATTATTCATTCCCTTCCTCCTCACACCCCTTGGACTGTAAGGAGTACTGGCTATCTGTATTATAATGTTAATGTTCCTGCTCTTCTTAATTTGCTATGGGAAACACAATGGCCTGGAGGTTAAATCAGTGGAATCTGTTTTTAAAGGTATGCTTTTGATCCCAGCTTTCTGTAGTGATCTTTAGCAACACACTAAAATCTGGCCCACATGAACCCTCTCTCTGCTTAAGAGTATGAATGGTTACTGGCACTGCTGGGGGCAGCCATGCAATGAACTGGCAGCCTGATTAGGAGGGCAGGTCCCAATATGCCGCAAAATTTTTGCGCTACAGAAATGGGAGTTAACTCTGGAATGGTGTGACCGAAAAGGCATTAGCTGAGTCGATCTTAAGCCTCTCTCTATGCTGTGATGGCACAGTAATTACCTTATACAGATGGGAAAAAAATTATAAAGGAGACAGTGCATAGTTACATTGAATACCCCGTAGATGTGATCGAACAAATTTCTTGATTCTGGTATTTATTTAAAAAACATGGAAACGCACAAGGGTTACACTTGAATTCTGGGAAGTAACTGAACATCCCCAGTAGTATGTTGCAATGGGTTTTCCTGGAATTTTGTCACATCAAATAGAAATTATTAGTTTTCCATACTTGAAAGTTTTTCCTTCACAGCATAGACTTTCTCTGGACTGATTGATAGTAATAATGATAATGGTTTGTTAAAATACACACGGTGGCATAAAAACTATGAATTACAGTGTGCCTACATGATACAAGAAATAAAGTTACATTTGTTTCGAAGGGACTGGGATTACAGGCTATTTATAAATTATTTACAATTTGGATATGGATAAAATAATATAATAAAAATAACCAGACTCCTATTGATTAGTTGATTTTCGCCATTGCTGGGAAAAAACTAGAACCAAAGCGTTTTGTTCTATACTGAAAACGGCTAGAACTGCTACTGTTCCTAATATGGTGAGAGTGGCATTCGGATCGCACGGGAGGGAGGAGACAGTGCAGCTGGCAGGCCGGGTTATTTTTGATATTGTGCCACACTTTGAGACACAGGTGGGCGCGTCTATCCTCTAAACTGGTAATGTTGGCTTGCGCAAGAGCCTGTTGATAGTGGAGGTCAGGATATACGATTCGCAAAGCCCTCTTCTAGATAGCTTCTAGCTGGTCAATGAGGAAGCGAGGAAGGCAGGTAGCCCAGACAACGGAAAAGTATACTAGGACAGAGCGAACCAAGGCGCTATAGATGGTGACATGGTCCACCGGAGGGACCCAGCGCGCTTCAAGACCCTAAGAATGTGCAGTCGCTTGGACGCTTTGGGGACGATGTCGTTAGTATTATCGTTCCACTTCAGGGTGTCACACAGGGTCAGACCGAGAACTTTGTAAGATGAAACTGCCTCTAGAGGTAAATTATTGATAGAGAGCATTGGGGAAACGGGTTTGTTTTTGAGTGGACGGATGGTCATGATCTTACATTTTTTAGGGTTGAGGTTCATGTTGTTCTGCTGGGCCCATTGCGAAATGCAGTCGATGTCGTTCTGCAGAGATGACACCTCCCCCAAACTGGAGACCTCGGATATTGTTACGTCATCGTCATCGACGTACTTCCAGTGGCTCGAGCGGAGGGGGAATGAGTAGCCAGGTCGTTGATCATTATCAGAAAAAGGATTGGACCAATTTGGTGCCCTGGGGGACACCGGCATGTACGGGCATCCACTCTGAGATGGAGTCCAAGAGCTTAACAGCCTAGCGGCGGCCACTGAGGAAGCTACAAATCCAACTAATCAACCAGCCTCTAACACCTAGATGGATTAGCTTGGTCACCAAGATGGTATGGTCAATGTGATCAAATGCTTTGCTAAAGTCCAGAAAAGAATAGTTAAGCTGTAGTTTAAGCAGGCGTCACGTAACGGAGGAACTTGCCAGGGAAGTTGTTTTTATCTACAAAAAGAAGTTCTCAGGATTTTCATCACTGAAAACAGTAACAATTCGACCATTTCTTAATGTACTTACAGATTTAATGTACGAGTACAAGAATATCGTAATAATGATAGTTTAGTTATTTGTGTAAATATTAATATATGGTAATATCTAGTTTTACGTAAGTACTTATAGTAGAGATTTTGTGAGAAAATGCTCGACGCAAAAAGTTCTCAAAGATACAACACTAAATACCCGCACATTTTTTTTAAATCAATTCTCAGTAATCATCGATTAGGTGATTCGCGAAAATCATCTGTTTTTAGTACGAACTCAATAGAGGTACATGGCCTTGAATGAACACCAGGGATTGAAAATACTCTGACATAGTTCGGCCTCTATCACTCAAACTCTGAGGTGAAAGTCAGGCGGCACCCAAAGGTACTTAATTTTGCTTTTTCGCCTAGTCTTCTGTTTCAAAGGATTTTGTTAGATAAGTTGGTAGTTTTGCATTTCTGCATTTGAAACTTTCAGGACTCAAGAATGGTTGAGAAAGTTATTTCTTTCCCATGGTAACAAAGAAAACATTGATAAACACTGAATGTGGCGCCAAATTATTGTAGTTAAGTGACGCCTGCTTAAACTACAACGAAGGAGATGAAAACTTAAGCAATGACAGGCGCTTATGTATTTGCAGTGACAATCCCAACCTTTGCTTTTGTGTTATGTCGAAAGTAATAAAAACTAATATTAGAATTTTGAATTACAAAGTTCAACAGTTAATTCATCATGACCTGAAATTACACTTTGTAATTAAGATGTTTTTGTTTAATTTTTTGGGGCATTCCAGGCAATGTAAATTAATGTACTGGCAACAAACATAGGTAGCTCATAGTGATATTGAATTATGAACTGGACTGGATTAGATACAGAAGCTCAAAAGATCAACTAAACGAGTCAAGTGCAGGTAAGCACTCAACCTCTAATTATCGGCCCAGTGGCACTGCAAAGGAGTGAGTTTTAGTTTAAGTTGTCTTATCTTGGATTACTTATTTTTCTCCTAAGAACAAACATTAAATGGCTTAGTAATTGGATAAAGCCTAGACACCCTTTCACTCAAATGAGAAGAAAAAAAAAGCGTTTTTGAAAAACACACAAAATTTAGGTGATAGTATCTCAATATTATTGTTTTATTAGCATCTGCAAAACGCAGAAGCTCGGAGAGTTCGTTTAGGTACTCATTGAGATACTTTTAATGGTATTGAAAGTTTGATTTCACGACATAAACTCGGACAGTTCGAGCTGGACAAGGGGCGAGACCTGCGTCCATGCTATTGTACCAGAGAACGGTTTCGAGGAAGTGTTAAAGTGTTACAGCATTTTGCATAAGGAATCAAACAAAAACAACAACAACAAATCTATATTTATATGATAGATAAATGATATGATAGATAAATGACATGATAGATATGATAGATAAATTCGTTGACCGTGAAATAAGAGCTCACGGAGGGCATTCACTCTCACTGCTCTTTCTCCACTTGTGTTCATTTCGCAATTTGTCTGTTAGTAAATAAAAATAGAGAAATCTATCTTTCCGATCCTGCTTTGCATGGATACTCTTTTACTGATTCTTTAATCACAAGCGCTAAATGATTTAAGAACATAACATTACTCTGTGAGGACATCCTCTTGTCACTTCCGAGTCTTGCTCGTTGTCTGTTTAACCGAAAGGGCGCATGCTGTCGATGCGGAGGTGTCAGCTCATTCAGTCTGGTCCTTACGATTACTGTGTATTGGCACAGTTTTGCTTCTTCAGGCAGGCGTAAACACCTCATTCAACTCCCCTACGTATGACTTCCAGGTTTTTTTTTTCTCAGAGACGTTTTACACAATGAGTCAGATGAGAACGTAATTTCATTATGAATTGGCCACTGTAGTGTTAAAATATGTACCAGCACCCAAAACTTAGAAAAGAATATTTATTTATGCATCGGCAATATTTAACCAGCCTGGTTCAGTTAAGCTGCAAGCAAGTTTGAATGGGGTCGTGTAAAGAAATAAATAATAGTATTTAAGATTGAATGACGAAGCCACAATACGATGTTTTCTGGCGAAAAGTTAGGGATTACCCCTTCGTACAAAGACATTGCCTAATGGATTGTTGTACGCCCAAATTAGAAAATTTTATTAGCACTATTTCACGATGGACCGCCGATAACAATAGTTCAGTCATGGTGTTAGATGAAAATCTCATTTGCTAATCGAGGTTTTTACAATTAGTATTTTAGAACATCCTCGTTAACGACTCTGAAATTTGAATGACAACGAAAAAGGATGTTTTGCTACAGCGAACTGCGTCCCTAGTGATATTGGACGCCAAAACACAAAAGTAATGAGGAAATAAAGAGAAAGGCCCTTCCTGGTTGTTAAGTATAAGCACAGACAGGGCTGGCTGTAAGTAAGTGAAGATCACAAGGTCCTCACTGCAAAAGTTTTTTCGACAGCCACGCAACGCAGGTCGCACATCACAGCAAGGTATTTTTCTTAGCCTTTGGTTTTGTACTCAATAGTAACTGATTTATCACCCAAAAGAGGTGATAGCAAAAATAGCATACTTTTACAAGCAACAAGGTCATCTTTACTATCTCCCAACAATTATCCTGACGCTAGTAACTTGATTGCAGAGATTGAGAAGAACCCGCGGGAAAAACAGTGATTTCCTTCGAAATAAAAAAAAAACTTAAAAACGGGAAAAGACCTGCTCTGAGCGCCAGGAAGGATTCTCTGCGATGGCTACGTAGAAATCTAACCCCCTCACATGTTACGCAACTCAGATATTGTTTGCCACTCTTTCTCCTTTACGTGGCCAAGATTTTAATTAGCAATAGCAGACCCAAGTCAAGTTATTTGCGGTAAAATGCATTACATCGTCAAAGAGGGTTGTTTGGTTCCCCCACCTACGCAAACTGAATCATTTTGATTTTCATGAGGAGGTTCCTTGCCCATTGTCCGTGTAGGAATTTCAACCGTTAAAAATAATAATGCGAGCAATACAGGCAGCTGAACTTTTAAGTATTTGATAAGACATTCAAAAACAACTACAAAACAGGAAAGAATAGACAAAAGCGTAGATAACACAAAACCAATAGAGTCCAATTTCTGGGAAGCGTTCTCCCAGCGTTCTAAAACTTAAATAAATGGCGCATGACTTGAGATTCACTCAAAAATCTCATCAAAAGGGAAATTTTGAAATTGTTTTTGTTGATTGTTTATATTTGCTTTTTCCATCTTTCTACGTTTCAAAGTCTCAAAATACCATTTAATGAAGATGTAACCAAGCATTTTGTGACAACGGATTGGAATGACTCAAGATCGCGTATAACTGTGATGCCAAGCGCACTCCAAACTTAAGAGAAGGAAATAGTCTCTACTTCATAACTGGATCTGTTTAGGTCCTTTATGCTTTGCCGTTATCAACTTATTTTGGGTGTCTGAGTAATATTGCCTTAAAAGTAGATAGACTTTCATAGAAAAGAATATTAACCCTCCGAAAATACACTTTTAGTTTAACTTTTAAAAGAAAACATGTGAATCATGATGATCTGATGCCCCTGGGCTATTCTTTGCCTCCTCCCGCGACTTGACCCTTAAGAGTGACTAGCATCTAATTTCTCCTGATAATATCACCCCTGAATCAAACATTAAGGTCACGAGAATAAAGGAAATGATCACCAACTAATGAAGCTCTTGATTGTTAAACAAATTCTCCTCGTCAGCACCTCATAAAATGTATAGAGAACAGTATGGAGAATATGCCTACTGAACTTAAGGCGTCATTGGCATAGTTGCAACAGCAACTGCGCGAGCGGCAGAAACTGGTTCAAATTCCAACACGTTTCTATCAAAGGCTAAGGTTTGTAGCAGAAAAAGAAAGGTCGAGAACTGAATTTTTACCAACCAGTCTGCACAAATCGACTTTCACAAACTGATGGAAACATTTTTATATAAATGTGATACCAATACTTTCTCTTAATACTCTACTCGATTTTAACAAATTCGAGTGTTTTAGGAAATGTATTGCGCCACTGAAGATACAAAATAGCCACAATGTTCTGAAATATTCATTTACCACAAACTAACACCACGTATTTTTTCTTCCTCTGCAGAGGGCGACGAATTCGAGCATGAAAGTCACGTGGTTCTGCGTGGTATTTTGTGGAGCATTATTGATAGATCAATCCCACGGTATGAGTAAGAGAAAAAGGACCGAAATTAACTTTTAAAGTAAGATCTTTGAAAAGCGCTTGAGGAGAAGGCTCAAAACAACTGAACAAATATCAGAAAAACAGAAAACAAGGAAACAGGATAAGTAATAGAAGCGTAACTATTAGGTTTAAATTTGTGTAACTGCGGTCATTTTGAACAATTTTTTTGGCTTACAAACACTTTTGCGGCATGATGACGGAACATGGGAAAGTAAAGAGGTATAGAGAGATTTGTGAAACTGCGATTTTGTAAACAGCTCTTCTGAAGTGCCGAGGTTTTTCATTATTGTTCATTTATTTTTAAAGGCCAACCTCTAAAACTCCCATGTCAGATGTTGGACATTATCTTTGCGTTGGATCAGACCCAAAGTATTGGACATGAATATTCAGAGAAGATGAAGAACTTCACTAAAGAACTTATGGACAGGTAAGTATGCTTGTTCTTAAGAAAACGCTGGGCTGCCAAAAGTGCGATCTAAATCCTGTTATTAGCTCCGAAAAATCGCCATAATTCATTTCTTTGCATAGATAGAATAGATTTGTAAAGAAGGCTTAGATTCAGGCTTCAACGAGATTCGAAGCACCCGTTCAGTGATAGAGTTGCAGCGCTTTATTCTACTGGGCTAGCGACAAAGCCGATTAGAGTTGGTCATTAGAGATATATTTTCGTTTTGGCGTTCAGAGATCAAGGATCGGATCACTTTGGTTTTGCCTTACCTCTCTTTGTGATTGGTCTAGAAAACTCGTGCTATCCTTTCGGTCAATTAGGCGCAAAACTAAAACCAAGTTACAACCTTACCTCTCTCTGTGATTGGTCTAGAAAACTCGTACCATCCTTTCGACCGCACAACTAAAACCAATTGTAACTTGGTCACTCGCGTTTTCCCGCGCTTAAAGCTTTTTATCTGTTTCCTAGCATGCATTCTCATTGGCTAACAATAATGCTAACCTTTGTTTTAAATACCTGTTGTGATTACAAATGTTTTGGTATTTCAACATCCGATTGCCTGAAACTGTTCGGAATACATCCTTTAAGGAAAAACATATCAAAGGGAAATAAAATGAAAATCAAGGCTAAATATTTGAACTGCAGAATCAAGATTTGAACTCATAAGAGAAATTTTTCATTGAGTGTCGAAAGTAACTCGGAAATGCCGTGGGCTTTGTGATTGGTCCAGAAAACTCGTGTTCCTATCTCAACCAATTTGATTCAAAACCTCAGACCAAAGCGATTCGGTCAGCGGTCACTCACATTTTCTTGCACTTTAGGCAGTCTGTTTGTTTTTAATTTGAGTCCTCGCGGATCCCTTTTGACGCTTATCTTAACCCTGATTGGCCGATTTGATTACTTTGGTTCTGGTGTTAGAACACTTAATCGAAATGCGTTCTATTCACTTGGAACATAACTCAGCAAAGCAGTTGAGATATTTGAAATTTATCTACAGTCTGCTTAGTTTCCAAACCTCTCGTACGTTTAATGTTCTCATAATTTTGCAAAATCAGTGAAGAGTCCTCTTTTCTTCCGATTGTTTAAAAATGTTCATAAAACAATAATCGAGTTTGGCTTCGGCAAATAACTCAGACCTCGTGATATCATTCTCAACCTCGTTTAATGAATGTTTATTATCTGTCTGGCTTCTAAATTCTTTACTTGAATCATAATTCTTTAATCAGTCTTATATAGTTAGTTACAAATTATTTGCAGGTTCTTCGTTTCACCTGACAACACTCGCCTTGGCTTGGTAAAATTTGGAAAAAGAGCGGAATACGTAAACAATTTGAAGCTCTCTCGAAGAAAATCTGGAAGACAGCACCAAGTTTTGAAGCTGATTGACAGCATGCATGATTTGGATAACATAACTAATCTTCACGAGGGACTGAAAATGGCATTTAAACAACATGAAAAATACGATGCATTTCAAACTAGGAGACGCCAACGACAGGATGCTAAAAACATCGTCTTCGTTTTAACGGATGGTAAAACACACGACTTATCAGCAATGAAATCTTTACTGAGGGTAATGTATTGCTTCATTTCATATTGTATCTCTCGTTCACTTTGCACTTATAACTGAGCGCTCAACGTAAAGGTTAGGCATGCGCATGTGGATCAATTTTGGTCTTGTGAGCTGCGCGCTAATTTCCCGCGCGAAATTTGAAAGGAAAACATAAGAAATAATCGCTGTCATGCACTGAATATGAGAAAAAATTAAAACGTTCATGGAAATCTGTTTAAGGAGCAAAAGTGGGGAAATTTCGTGACTCATCGAATCTAAAGTCTATTTACTTACCGTGGATTTACCATTCTTTTTTCGTGAGCTTGATGAAAAAAGTTAAACGCTTTTAAAACACCTTGTATTACTGACTAGTATGGTTGTTCATAACTCCTGCGAGACAAATTGCTTTCGACCTCCTAGTCTCTTAAAAATTCGCATATGCGTAGAAGTTTGACCACTGTGTTACATTTGGACAGGTTGAAACCGTCCTACTGATATTCGTCTTCTTATAGCCTCCTTATGTGACTGCCGTGATCGCTGTACTCCTGGGCCCGATGGTATCCGAGAAATCCACAGAAGTGCTTGCCCACCTTGCAACCAAAATTATTCATTGGACAAAGGTGGATGGTACAGAAAGGGATAAACAGAAAGTAATGAACGAAATTATGGAGAATTTTGATTTCGAACCATGCGGTAAGAACCGATGGCTTACTTATAAAAGCAGTTATTAGAAAAATTAAGTAAACTGACCATATTTTCTTTGTTGTTGATCTCCACTTTAAATTACTGATGATTAGAAAGTCTTAACTTAATTTTTTCTACTGAGTTCAAGGCTTTCGTCATCTTCATTTTAAAGTACTGTAGTTTTATTTACACTTACTTTGTTACGGATTGTGGCGGTCGTATTTCTGGACAAAAAAAATCAGACATATACAAATCGAACTATTCTAAAATGATTAGGTGGAGAAGGTTTTTAAAGAAACTGAGGTACTCTGTCTGTGGGGGCATTACAAGAGTTTTTTACGAGCTGACGTTTCGTTAAAAATACTTATACTCCTCTTCCACGCATTATTGTTCTCAGAATCCAAAATTCCAGATATTCCGAAAGCAAAAAAATTTGGCTGCTTCGCTAAGACTACGGACAGGGGCCTAGAAGCCTTGAATTCTTTGGAATCCGACAAGTGCTTTCTCATCGACGATGATGGCAGCCTAACGAGGGAAGACGCGTTTGAAAAGTGCGCTTGGTTAGCGTTTAAACGTGGGTACAGAGTATTTGGTCTCGATGGCAATAACACGTGTTCCTCAGGGCATTTGCTATGGAGATTTTATAAAGGTGGTTTCGAAGCTGACTGTAAAGACAAAGCTGGTGGATATGGCTCCAACATTGTGTATTACTTTAAGGGTAATATTTTCCTCATACCATAAATTATTTTTTGAAATATCTTCTAAGAAATTCTGATGCATCTTAAAGGGGAAAATTCATCAGGGCGAGCAAAAAACCACCTAACCACATTTGAATCAGGGAAAATTGAAATTTTGGATGAAGTCAGAATAAATTAGCGAAAATCATAACTTCTTAACTCGTCCATTTTTCCCGTGTTCATTGTTTTGATGTGACCCTAATACAAATGCCTCCTTGTGATTTAGGGAAAATGTGTCAAAGGATGGCAAGGATGCATGTCAAGGGGGGCTAAATACTATAAGTGTATACTAAAACAGTGGATTGCCTTGAAGGCGAGCTCTGATTGACTGCTCAAACTCCGCATATCCTTTGCCGTTCCCCTTCGAGCAACTCGCGCAGAATTTGCGTTCAAAATTATCGTAATTTTTGCAGGAATAAATGAATCATCTCAAAATAATCTTTTTGTGCCCTATTATCTCACTGTTTTAGTATATCTTTTAAACAACTATTCATCTCGGAGTCATGGGCTAAATTAACAATAGCTTCTGTGGGGCGCGAAAATATGGACGGATTGTCCACGGACACTATCTGTTCCGAGATGAGAAGAGTTTTCCGAGGGCGAAGCTTGATAAAAACTTTGAGCTTAGGGAAACAGGTTATGTCTAAGCACAAATATCCATACATATTTTTGCGCAAAGTAGAGGCTATTGTGTTTATTATCCTTCAAATATTTTGCAACTCACGTGAAAAAAATGTTTACTAACAGTTTACTGTGTGCAGCATAGATTGTTTTCTTTTGAGTGATCACTAGTAAGACTTCATGAAAAGATTTCCCTTTTTCTGTAACAAGAATTAAATCCACTCTCATCGTGAATTTAATTTGGAACGAAGACTTATCGTAATTGACGTAAGGTTTAAATTTGGGGAATATTGCATGGGTGATACACTCGGATATCACCCAGTTTTAGCTGGGAGATATTCGGTCACGTGCTGCGTTTACACTAATCCCTCGCGAGCAAAAATATTCGGATCAATCATAATCTCGCATATCACCCAGTTTTAGCAGGGGGATATTGGGTCACGCTCTGCGTTAAGACCAATCGCGTGCGAGCAAAAGATAATGTCCGAGACAGATATCCGTACATATTTACGCGCCAAAAAGAGGCTATTGTTTATTTATCAAATAGCAAGAATACCAGAGACTCCAGGTCAGAAAAGCTGCTGATACGACCCGACCATGCCCTTTAAGTCTAGAAATCTTACCACCTAGCTACTTATCAGTTCTCTTAAGTCAAAGGCCCCCGTATCGAGCCCCTATCAATAAAGGATGGCAACAACACTAACCATACTACGTCAGAAATGTAATGAGACCCCTCCATAGACATTCCATATTTTTCATTTCAGAGACTCCACTTCCTGTAATTTATGGGAGAATCGGTTGTTTAAGGAAACGGGCCAACAGTTTGACCGCTATTGATGGCAAAATGGTACAGCGCATGCCTGGGAAGAAATTTACTGAAAAATGCGCTTGGGCCGCGAGATTAAAGCGCGATCATGTGATCACTGTGACATTTGGAAAAAAACCTAAGTGCGCCTCGTCGAATTTCACCGGACCGGGAAAGCGGGTATTCAAGCCTGTGGACCAAAGAGAGTGTACAGACCCTAGTGCACATAAAGGGCTGATCTTTGTTGCAGGTATGAAATACGATAGTGATTAGACAGGCACTGCCAGGAATGGGGTAATTTAGTATTATCAACTGAGATAATAAGGTAAATTGGCCACTGTAAAAAAGTGACAGTGCTGACGTTTCGAGCGTTAGCCCTTCGTCAGAGTGAATGTTTCGCTATGACAAAGATAATTTTGGTTCTGTCACAATTAAATTTACCTGATCTTCCTCCATTAAGGCTCCGTAGTATTCTAATGTTAGCTCCTCATTGGCAGTCAATTTTCTAAAGTCCTCCTTTTATGCCCTGTTGGCGACAAATGATCCCCTTCACTTCCCCTAAAAACCATGTGATTTTCCCGAAAATTCTCAGGTCCCTCCCCCCAGTAAATAATGACTGAGCCTAAATTTATGGACGAGCTCAAGAACAGTATTTAACTCCAGCACCAGTGATCTTATACATTTTTGCATCTGAAGTAACTCTTCTCGCACATGTCAGACGTGTAACTTTGAGCGCGTCCAGATAACAACTCAAGGCGTACATACTGACTAGAACGTAGAAAACAGGCGGATGTTTTATCTGAGGAAAGCGAAGAGGTGAATTTTAAATTTTAAGATCGGTGAGAGGATTCAAATACATGTTTCACTTACAATGTTTTCTGCACACGGAAGAACAAAGCCCTTCTCAGTAAGCATCTCTCCCAAGGAACAGCCTGTGAGGTTTCCTTCCCTTACAGCTCCCCTCAACCAGGAAAGGTGAAATAGAGACAGAAAAAGAGGTTTCAGGCTTTTCAAGGAATCATACAGACCCGTCATAACTGTGAGAATTTATTTATACTAGTGCAGATAAATCCAAAACATATTGCATAGGGCAGATCTGTTCGGGAGTGTACTTAATTCAATCAAGTCTAATTACGCGTGTTAAATCGTTGATTTATTTAAACGTATCATCAAAACCACAAGGACGCATTTTCTAGAATTGGCAAAACAGTTACATACTTTTGAGCTGTTCTAGTAAAGGATTTCCCGGCACCATCTTTTTAGCTGGTCCGTGCGTTCCCAGAATGATGGACGTAGGCATTATGGTAGACCTGATGGAGAAGAACATACGATTTCTGGTCTCGCTCGTTCATAGTTTGGCCTTGGCTGACAAAGATAACCACTTTGGTGTCATTGCGGCGAGCGGCGACATACTGGTGAGATTCAACGACATAGCTGGTTCGGAGGATAAGGCAGCTCTACTAAGGAACGTGCAAAATGCCTCTAAAAACGCAACATATTCTGCAGACTACAGACTTTCTTTGAAGAGGGTGGAAGAGTTATTCACAACGGCAAACGGAGACCGAGAAACTGAACCAAATATTCTTCTCCTCGCAATGGACAAGATCAAGGATCTTGATGTTAATCTTGCTGATGAAATGATCAACAATCTTGCGGTAACACTTTGAGCTTTAATTACATTTGGAGTGCATATCGACTGAGTGTCGTGAAACCGAACAGCCAATCATATTATAGGGAAATATCCAATAAAAACTCACAGTGAGAAATAAAAACCACAAGAGGCGCGGGAAACGCGAGTGACCCAGCCGCAATTGGTTATTTGTTTTGAATCTGATTGGTTAAAAACAGTGGCACAATCAGAAACCAAGCTCAGAGTACATTCGGCACCCAATTCCCTTTTCGAGGTAAAGCTGTCGCATTTCTCCAAATGAAAAACGGGCGTTTTCTCGCGCCCGGTTTGCCCGCCCGTAAACATCGACTGCTCATTGGTTCTTTGTGATATTTCCCCTTTTTCTAATTTGATTTTGGGTACGTAACTTTACAACAGTCAGTCGAAATTATGTCAACCACGCCATTACGTTCACTAGACGTCGAGACCGCCATAATGGTTATATTAAAGCAGTAGAATGGTGGTCCTGTTTGAATCCAAGTCTTTCCTGAGGGATTTGAACTCTCTTATCGTGTAAACAGTTTCTTTTGTTCCAATAGCTTTACATGGCTGTTCATAACTCCATTCAAAACGTCATGTTAGTTAATAGGAACGTAAACTGATACTAAAGCTTATGACAAATTTCTTTTAGATACCGCAGATGGTTTTAAGACGTATTATTATTTTTTCTCTATAGACTCAATTTCAAGGAATCATCTTTGTTGGATTCGATGATTTCGAAAATAAAAAAATGCCAGAAATCATCGAAGGTCAAGTGAACAGTCATAAACATATCACCGCTGCTTTTGTGATCAACACCAGATACCCACAGGAAGTAGGAAGACGTTATTATGGGAAAAAACTGGATGATATTATAACAGCTATCTGTCGTAAGTTTGACATAAGGAATGATTGCGATGTTCTCGATAATTTATGTTTTTGATTAAGTTCTCTTCTAAAATTAGAGACTTCACCAGCCAGGTTAAAAAAAGAGGTAAGTGATCTGCTTCAGCCGATGATTCAGCTAAGAATGGCGCCCTGTCAATGAACCGATGACAAAAACGAGCGTAGGTCTGGAAATCAAGGAAGGAAATAGACACCCGGTCTCCCCTCCATTCTCTTTCCCTCTCCTGATCTCAGATGAAATAAATTGCGGTAGAACTGTTTTACTGACAAATTTTGTGTTGTAGCGACTTTGATTAATTTTAGGAACCTTGTGACTGTCCACGCTGAAATGAACCGTTTGTTTTATCTTCAGGTGCAGGTAAAGGAGAAATTTGAGGAACCCTAATGACCAAAACCGGAGAGATTTTGACACGGAACCAAAAACTTCAAAATGACCAATTAAGGATGATATATAAAAGATGGGTCGGTGATGGGGAAATGGCCGGAAAAGCACCCAGGGAATTGTAGTGATCAGTTGATCAATGATAAGGTCATGATGGATTTTAGTGGGTAACGATGAAAATTAAGAGATATTTATAGATAAGGTTAATGGTGATATAGAAATTACTTAGTATGGGATAAGATGAGGGAGTGCACTGATGTATTCGGCTTAATGCAAATTCTGAAATAAACGCATGGGAAAAAAGGTTTTAGTCTTTTTTCTCCTCAATTATATAAGCAATTGTTCATCTCAATTTCACGATGAAATGAATTAAATGATATCAGTTTTGATGTGCAGACGATAAACGAAGATAAAAAACTACTTTTGATTTTTCCGTGTTGTCTTGCTATTTTCAATTTGAGAGAACAGCAAGTTTTTGCAGTAACATTCGAGTGCGAATCTGTCTTATTAAAATTGGCCCGACCATTCCCGTTTAGAGTGGAACTTGTACTTTTCATTTTCGAATCAAGCCAAGCTGGATGTTTTTAGTGTTCCAAGGAAATGTAGAGTAATAACCTTCAGGAATATGCATAATAGATGTCAGTTCTTGAGCCTGCATTGCCACATGTTTTGCTCCTTCCTGTCTTTTTGCCAGAAGAGCCTTTTTGCATAATGCTCTTCAACAGTAATTGAGCACACTGTCATTAGTGTCATGGACCTTTACAGGAGGGAGGAGGGAGGGAAAGAGGCATGGGTGTAGGGGGCACCCCCCGTGACCTTCCTCGTGTGAGATTTTTTTTCTGCGTCTCGTATGCGAAACCAGGCGAAAGCGAAAAATATACATGGCATAAATGTACCCTTCGGGTGGATACGGAGCCCAGTTAGTGCCATCTCGTATTTCTCATCAACTTTTTTTCACCACCTCAATTTTTCCCGGCGCGACTTCAGCTTTTCTGCACGACTTCAGCTTTCCGGCTCGACTTCAACTATCCTGCACGACTTATTAACATTCCTGCTCGACTTAAGCTTTCCGGCACAACTCTTCTTTAAAACTTTCCGGCAAAAATCCGCGCGTACGATATGTTAGACCATCAAATAAGGAGTATTTATTTCTATAATTATCAAAGCCGGTTTAATGAGTATTCAACTTAATTTCATTCCAAAATAAGTAATTCCCAAGCCTGTCATTAATAAATAATCGTCTATGATTATTCATTTTTCTGCTTACAGTCGTTCCCTTCCAAGCCATTCAGGGTACTTGATTCCCAGATCTCCATGGTTACCTGTAAATGGGGTTAAGAGTTGACGGAAATAACCTTGATCTAATTCTCTAATAAAATAAAAGATTCTTCTGAACGGAATAAAACGAAACCACAGAAGAGATATAAAGGATAGAAAAATTAAATTAACTGGAAAGTCCTTCAACTCAGTAATACAAGACATTGCATGTTACATTGTATCTCTTTTGCACTCTGTCCCACTCCGTCTCTCTCGGAAATCTTTATCATTCAGTTTCACCAGACAACACTTTGCCACTGTACATTTTTAAAAACAAGAAATCATGACAGGGTCTCAATGAGGTGACGGCTTTTACGGCTAAGGGTTAAAAATTGGGCCCTTTTACGACTAACGGTTAACTTCCTTCCTATGTGATTAAAAGACAAATTTTTCCAAGTGATTTATTTTTTACGTCTTTTCTTTTTGACCACAAAGTGGTCAACTTTTACGCATAACGGCTAAATGTTTTGGCCGTTTAAGCTAACGTTTGACCCACTAGTGACCCTCTTATAAGTACGATATGTAATCTCTTGTCGTTTAACACTATGAACACCATTTTGGAACTAATATTTGACAGAGATTCTCCCCATCTTCGTTCTCATTGGTTCACACTGCACCAACCTGGCACGGGTTACCCACCAAAACAGGGGACCCTAGAGAGGAACATCAATCATCGAGAAGTGTATAATTTTGGTTAAAATTGCAACTACAGTAAAACAGTATACGTACTTACGGACACATTTCCTTTAAAATATAATTCAATGTTTTTGTATAATAATCTTTAGCTCCTGCCTTCCGATCCAAGGTGTTGATTGTAAAAGCAGCATCGATGTTTGCAAAATTTTCCAGTGCTACATTTGTCACATCGTCGCCGATCCCAACGATGATAATTCGGTCCTTTTCTCGCTGAGACTTCTAAAAAGTCAAAAATACGTAACAACATATACACTACACCCTTCAGTGCCGCTCTTATCTACATGTAGAACCTGCATACGGATTTATGCAACGCGAACCCAACCTTCCCCCACCCCCCACCCCATGATATTTTGTCAACTTTCTCAGAAAGTTATCTTAACTCCATGGAGGAGGGGTACAAAAAGACCAAAATGACTCGACCAGGGTTAGAGCCTAAACCTCTTGACCCGGAGTTGGACTCGACAACCTTCATGCCAAGTACGTTTAACAATATTTAACAGTGGGCTGAACAGGGTCGGGGCTATGGTCCCAGTCTGAGTCACCTAAACACCATCTAAGGTTCGTATTTGTTGATTTCAGTGGCCATTCAGCTCTACACTCCAGATCTTATTGTCATTAGCCGCATCGTAATTTAACAGTATCAAATTTACCTTCAATTCATTGATCTTGTTAGCAGCGCTTGTTGCACCAATGAATTCATTTGTTGCATCGGTCACAACCAGAAGAACGTGTTGAGCACCCTCCCTTCCCCCATTTTCAATTCTGAACAGTTCTTGCGCCAAACTAACGGACTTTTCGTAATCGTCAGCAGAACTCGCAAGGTTACCGTGTCTAACAGCGTCTTGTATGTACCTCAACAGAGTTGTTTCATCTTTAGATCCAGCAGGGTCGCTTAGTTTGACGTGGATCTTTTTTGCTCCTTGGCTAACAATGACACCGATGTGGTTTTCCCGGGGGTCGACTTCCAAACTATCCACGATTGTCAACAAGAATGGAATGTTCTCTGCGCTCAGATCGACCACAATGCCTACGTCGACATCTTTGCTTCGAAGCACGCATGGAGCAGCGGCTTAAAAAGGTGGAACAATAAAAACATCAGTGAAACAACGATGTTTTACAATAGAGCATTTGTGGTCAATAGCACTGCAGTGTTTTTATTTTCTCTTTTCAGGTGCAGCCTTTGATGGTTTAATCACACATGATATGCCTGTTACTGGTTCTGTATAAATCCGTAATGCAACCGAGACGAATTTTAAGAGTTTTTATTTCACGTCCCTTCTTCAATGGCCGTTTACTTGTTAAAATCCTATTTGCAGATACATTGCTCAGTCTTTGGCGTCTTAATCTATTTGTCACATCTGAAGCTAGGTTTCATGTGGCAGGCGAATTTTTAGTCCCAAAATATCGATACTACCTTTACTCTAGAGGAAGATACCCGAACGAATTTTCAATCCTCAAAGACGAAAATTACCCCAGCCTGCTTTGCAAATAAACACCGTTCTGTTCCTCTTCTTAAAGTTCAAACGCCTCTAGTTAATGCGCAGCATTATACCTCCGACGAAGAATAACTCTCGCTCTCCTGCAGTGCCCACACAAACCATCTGATTCACCGGATCGAAGATAGATTTATCCGAACCCTTGAGACCTTTGGATGAGGTACATTTTGGATTTACTCCCGATGTTACAGCGATCACGTTATCGCGATTTATTCTCGCAGCCCAGGCACACTTTTCAGGAAATGCCTTCCCGGGCATGCGAAGTACCATTTCGTTGTCAATTGTGGCTAAGTCTGAAATGTTTTTCTGAAGACAACTGATGGTTCCATAGGTAACACGAGGTGCGATTTCTGAAATGAATAGGAGAATGGTCGGCTCTTATTTGTGTCACACGAAAGAGGTTTTCGATAACTGAATTGAAGGTCCACAATATAGAGGGGTCGGGTTTAGTGGAAAGAATCTGAAGGCTCCCGCTTCAGTTAGGCCCTGACGATCCGCCATATGCATGATTCCAATAATTAAACTGTTTGATAAAAACAGATTTTTTTCAAACACGATCTTCATATGGCAATCACATATTCACATCTGAAACGGTCTTAGGAGCTAAGTTTGCCAGGGGCCGGTCATACTTTATCGTCTCGGGGTGGAGGAGGAGTGGATCGGACAATTTTGGTTGTATCGCTATAAGATTTACCTGATTCCCCTAGAAGGCTCTGTAATACTCTTGCGATTCCCCCCTTATTGGCAGTTAATTTGCAGTTTGATACAGTGGCCCCCAAACATCCTTTCGGCGACGACTGATCACCTTCTGTTCCTCCTGAAAAACATGTGCCCCCTGCGCCCCCCGTTCCCCCCCCCCATTCCTTCGCTTTCCCCCTCCCAATGGTCCCTTAATTACCTGGAAAGTAGTATACCACGTTGGAGTCATATCCACCAGCTTTTTTTGTGCAGTCAGCTTTGTAACCACCCTTGTAAAACGAAGTCGTCACAAAACCTGAGTAACAACTTTTATTGCCATCGAGACCAAATAATTTGTAGCCACGTTTATACGATAACCACGCACATTTCTCAAACGCTTCCGTCCTATTTCGGCTGCCATTGTCGTCGATAAGAAAGCACCCATCGGATTCCATAGAATCCAAGGCTTCTTTACCCCTGTTCATAGTCTTGGCGAAGCAGCCAAACAATTCTACCTTGGGATGATCTGGAATCGGGTTTGGGTATTCTGTGAACAACAATGAAAGGAAACTAGGATATTGGTCATTATTTATCGTCTGGTGGGGCGGAGGGGGGAGGGGAAAGGGTGTCGGAGTATAAAATTTACCTGATTCGATTCCTCTCATTGACAGTCAATTTTCTGTAGCCCCAGCCCCCCTCGACACTCTATTAGCAACGACTGATTCCCCTTCCGTCTCCCCTGAAAACCATGCGATCCTCCGACCCCTGCTGATAAATAATGAATGTTATCTAAACTCGTTTCACATCTCAGAGTCTGAATTTTTCAACAGTAAACCACAAGGGCAGATCATACGAGATGGAAAACTAGACGCATTAACGGCATAATAGAATTTAAAAAAATTATAAGCCGAGTTCTTTACCGCATGGCTTGAAATCAAAATTTGCCATTATTTCTTGTAAAACTTCGCTTTCCTGTCTTTCACTTCCATCCTCTTTAGTCCAATAAATGACGTCATCAGCTATCTGATGGAGTACATCAGGGAATATTTTCAGTCCCAGGGCCACAGCGATCACTATCACACTCGAGGGCTAAACGGAAGAAAAAATGGTGAAATTTAGTTCAAAAGCAAGAAAAAAAAGGACAAAACTGTTCGGACATTTGCCTTGTCTTTTTCAATAATTCTCTCCTCTCCTCTTCTCCGATCTCGCAATCAAATTATTTCGGATTTTATTTATTTTCGTGCGTTCATTGCAGCCACAACAAAAATAATTCAGCTAAAAGAGGAAGGTGAAATGAAGTAAAATTCTTCACAAATGAGCGAAAATTGTTAATGCTGCTTCTAATGAAGACATGGGATAAAGGAAATTTCTGTGTGATGGGTGAATGCCCAAAGATACACTGTAATTATTAAATTTTCAAAGTAAACTTTGTAAAATCAATAAAATAATGTTCCGACGTTGCTAACCTGATTCTCAGACGGTCTCCGTCGGGGAAGGGGATAGAGTGTGTGGCCGCAATCAACCTGGACCGTCTGAGTATCAGACTGTGACGTTTCCTTCTCAGAGAGAGAAAATGGTCTCTGTAGTTCCACTTCTCAAATTCTGGGCATCTTACTCACTGCGCATGCTTAAATCAACGCGAAGTTGAACTCGGCGGTACGCGGGTTCATATCCTTATAGGGTGATTCAAACTCAACCAGCGACTTTCCACTCCGTGCTTGTAACATATAAACTAAGTTACGCCCAACTAGTATTTAGTAGGCACGGGTTGGAATACCCTCAAAGCCTGAATTCTTTTTTAAATTTTTTCTTTTTTTTTTTAGATTGCCTTTCTGCAATTGTTTAAAATTGAATTCCACTGGCTAGGATCATTGCTTTACTTGATTTTCACTCGCAGGTCAAGAGAAATTTATCTTAATAAAAATTATGAGAGCAAAGATTGCAATAAAATGATGTTTTACCTTCTGCAGAGATGACATTGCTGACTGGTTGTGTGTTTTACCGTCCGTAAAGACAACAACAATGTTTTTAGCACCGGTTCGATCATTTTTGGTAATCTGTAGTGTATCGTACTCCTCATGTGCATCGAAAGCCTTTTTCAGTCCTTTCTCTAGATTAGTTATGTTGTCAAGTTCATCAGACATGTGGCCAATCAGCTGTTGAACCAGTTGCTGTCTTCCGGATCTTTTCTGAGAAAACTTTAAATCTGACACGTATTCAGCATCTCTTCCAAATTCTATCAAGTCAAGTCGGGTCTTATAGGGTGAAACAAAGAACCTAAAAAATCAGTCAAATCCTTTTGTTAAAAGAAGAAATGCAATCCCATCAAACTTAAAGTGACTTCGATCATCCAAAGGCTTTTGAGTGCGACAACGAACAAGTTACAAGTCCTTAATATTTTGGATAAATAATTTCTTGAGAGCATTTTAAAATAGGGGCGAATTGGGATTCTCGTGGTTCTGGAGAAACTAAATTAAATAGTTAAAACTTCCTAACAACGACTATGCAATACAAATACCTTTCGTTCTTTTTGACACTGCTTAAATTAGTTACTTTGAATTACACTGGCCCGTCCAAAACTTACATCTTTTCAAAATAATCATCAGTACAAAAGGCGTACAGAAGGGCACCCATTCAATATCTGTATTAGGTCAATTCAGTCTTTTGGTCCAGTGAGGATAATTATTTCATTTTCATGACTCATCCACTTCGCTAATAGCTGCAACTTGAACGTAGGTGGAAAAAGACATTTTCGTGGGATATGTACTGCTCTTATTTGGGTGTATTTTGGTGATGCTGAGCTGAGTAATGATGATTCAAACGGTGGACTGCAAAGCAGTTCTTAACTTCCTCGACGTCAATAATCCTGCTCCAGGGGAAGATTTCACCGAGCCTCCATTTTTAAAGGATTTTTTTCGGGCGGCTAGAGAAAGGAAGCGGCAAGTGTCAAGGAGTGCTCTGCAGTAAGTTCCTAACCGCAGTTAAAGAAATTTCATCCTAAAAGTTTCTTTTTCGTTTGGAACGAATCGACTTCCTATCTAATCGTTCGTGAAATATGCAAAAGAGGTTATATATGCATGCCACCTTCATTACTCTCCTTGAAATCACAGCACAATGACAACGACCCTAACAACAATAACAACTGACAACGACGACGACGCTAAGAGACAAAAATAAGCTGTTAAGAAGATCAAAAATTTCTTTTGTAGAGCAAAAGCATACGACTCGACATAAACGTTCACAGGAATCTTTTAGAGACGCTATAGCAACCGATGAGCGCAGCATCAAAACAAGGAACACTTTTCTTTTCGGAAAGTGCATAGCGATTTGAAATGGTTTTTTTATCATTATGATTTTAGGCGAGCGTAAAGTTACAAGGCAAGTCCGTAGCTCCATATATAAAAAACGTACAAACACAAATGCACCAAGGGAAAAAAACGCATACTAAAGTCTTTTAAGCAGACCGCCTAACCCAAAATGTCACCGCTTACCTACCCCTCCCTACTCCAAACCATGGCTTACTGTTCCCATAGTGACCCCGCTGACCGTGTATATTGTTGGCTCTTGAAAAGAGGAACAACGCAAAATCCGCCAGATCTTCAATTGTGGTAGTTATTAAACCGTTTTCTGATTGTTTTAAGACCCAAGATGTCTCTTTTTGCTTGTACTAATTGTAACAGCCGCCATCCATTTGAACAACTTTCTAAAGGAGATCAACTTTGTAAGGTATGTTGTAATATTCATTATTGTTTCGCACGATGATTTTAGAACTGTCACCTCCGTTAGGTATTTAGTTAACGTATGGTAAATTCAATTAGTTTGTTGCTTCGCTTAAAGATTTAATTTCGACCTACATCTGTCTGTTAGTCACAGTGGAAAAAGGTCGATTCCTGCTGTCGTTTGTTGTGTAAACGATTGAAATTAGTTAAGCTGAGCTTTTTTCGAGGCAGATTAGAGTTCCGGGCATCAAGCGAGTAATGGTAAAGCTCTGTTAGATTGGTGATGTCAACATGATAGCCGGCTCTTAGCCAGTAGGGGGAACGCGGAGTTATCAAGCCGATTCTTTAGGGACTATTTTTTCCAATTTCTCCAAACTTCGTCCTTGTAAAAATAAGTGTATGCCTGCAGGATGCTTTTTATTCAAAATCCTTTTGAATAAAAGTAAAATGAAGACCTGACTTTTTTTCACGATTGGTTTTCTACACAACGATTGTTAGGCAAGTGAGTTGTCATCACGTGATTCAGGGTTATTAGAGAAGAAACCCCTAAGTCAGCTGGTATTTTGACTGGTAATGTTCGCTGCTGAGACAGTATTGTCTCAGTAATAAATATTTGGCCAAGAAGTGAAGCTTCGAGGGCAAATGTGAAGATATAAATGATATGGACATTATTGGGCGACATACCAGCAAGCCAGAATGGGATTTATTTACAAGTATTTTATAACCCTCTCGTTGAGTCGACAGCAAATTTTGTTGACTTTTTAATACTTCCTGCAGTGACATTTGAGATCAGCTTTTCTATGTCATCATCACTGGACTTGCAAAATGGGTTTCTTTTTTCTTTCATGTAACATAATGTACAGCTTGACCTATATTAAACAGCACCCTAAAAAGCCATCACCCTGTATTAAGCATTTGGTTGTCAAAGTCCCAAAAATTTATCCATTAAGCACTGTAATTTTAACCTCTATCAAGTGGTTACTTTTATTGAGCGGTCATGCTTGATTGAGTCCCAACAGCGCACTCTTATTGTCTTACACCTAAATTGAAAGGTCACTTACAGCTGAGCTCCTCAAATGAAACTAAGAATAATTTCTCTTATCAAATTTTTTATCAAGTTTATCTTCGGAAACAATGTATGTGCTTTGAGTTTAAATGTGCTTACTGCACTGCAGATTATGTTTCTCTTTAAGGACTGTTTGGACAAACTGCTTTTCTTATCTTGTCAAGCTCTTACTATGTGGTTGGCTGTGGATGAAAAAGTGAAATTCTTGTGCTGGCTTTTATCAGCTGGCTTTGATTCTTTTTGAGGGAAATAATTTTAGGACAAATATTGATGTAGATGGTGGTGATGACTGTCCAGTAATTTTGCACCACATGTTGTTAAGCATCCACAAGAATCAGGCTAAAATTAGTGGGTGAGTCATAATTGATAATAGATCAGCAGAAGTTTATCAATCTGCGTTGCAAATTTTGCTCAACTTTAATTTCAATTAAAGTTTGCTCTTTCAAGATTAGTTTATCTTCTTTTAGCCAAGCAAAGTATCTCCTATATCTTAAGCCACTATTGTAACCATTTCCATCTCTCTTCTTTCATTATTTCATAGGATTGCAGAAAGACATTTCCATTGGTAACTTGTACTTATTGCCGTTTAGAGTTTCATCTCCTCAGGTCAGTTCATGTAAATCAATCAAACAGTTGGTCAGTCACTCTGAGTCAGTCAGTCACAGAGTCAGACAGCGAGTCTTTGAATTAGACGATCAACCATCAATCTGGTCAGTGTGTCAGCTAATTAGTCAATCAGTCATTTAGCCAGTAAATTAGTAGGTCAGTGAGTGAGTTGGTCAATAATTCAGTCAGCGAATCAAACATTGAGTCAGTCAATCAATCAGTGAGTCATTGAGTTAGTCAGTCATTGTGTTAGTCAGTGAGTAAGTCAATTGATAGTCAGTCTGTGAGTCAGTCAGTAGGTCAGTCAGCAAGTCAGTTAAAAGGCCAGTCAGTTAGTCCACAAGTTTGTCAGTCAGTGAGTTAGTCAGTTTGTCAGTATGCCAGTCAGTCTGTTGGTCAATCTCTTCTTCAGTTTGTTGTGCACTGAATAAAATAATAGGCAGTTAAATAAGCTTCAAACTGATTACAAGTTATCCTTAAAACAATCTCAATTAACTTTGGAAATCATCAAAAAAGGTAAATTTTACATGTACCTAATAACCCTTGAACCCCTAAGAGTGACTAGTATCTAATTTCTCCTTACAATATCACCCCCAAATCACACATTAAGGTAATGAGAATAAAGGAAATGGTCACCAACTAGAGAAGCTCAGGATTATGAAACAAATTCTCCTGATCAGCATCTTAGGGAATATATGGGGAGCAGTATGGAGAATATGCATACTGATGTTAGGGTAGAAAGGGTTAAGTCTATTGCCATTAGAAGCACTAGATACACAATTAGAATTTAGACATTTGTTTTAAGGTGTTTTTGGTACTGGGGTAACTGCTGAAGTTCCTGAAATAGTTATTAAGTACATTTTTTATCAATTTAATATTCAGAATTGTACTGTTAGTGATAATTGGGTTTCAGGTAGTTGATTTAATTTTGATTTTTAATTTTTCAGGAGCACTGAAAAAGATCCAATTTGCAAGAAATGCAGCTACAACCTTAAAACATATGGCCAGGTAAGGTATAGATCAGTGCTAATTGTACGAATACATTGTTACTGCTGTACTTGGTAAGAATTTTAATGCACTCTTTCTAGCAAAGTTTTAGCAAAGTTAAAATTATGATTTTCTTTAATTATTTTTTTATCTTTTTTTTAGCCATCTTGTTGTGAATACTGCAATATAAGAGCAGCATTTGATGGAACAAAGTGCTCTAGGTAATAAAGTACAAGAAATCATTTTACCTTTCTCTTTTATTTGACATGAAATATGTATAATTATACAACTGCTTTACCATACACTTTGATGAGAAAATTGATCTTTTTTATGCCATCTTAAGTGTAATTCACATTGTCCCAATGTCTTGCTCAGGTGGAAATGGCTTGCCTTGCACTGTTCCAGGGCAATTTAAGTACACTTTATTTGTATGTACAATTGTATTAAGTGTCACATGTCATCAAAGTACAACTTAACTTTTGCACATTAAGTGATGTCATCTGACAATTCTGCAACAGTCATCACAATTGGAAAACTACATGTATTATGTATGAAGCATGTTTCAATGAAACAAATAAACAATAAATTTCACCATAGGACTTGCTCATCTACCTGCCATTTACCTTCTACAGTACTTGTATGTGCTGGAGGTTTGTACTTCTATAACTTCATCTTTGTGTCAAGTCTTGGGCACTACTCTTACAGACTTCTTCTTAGATTTGCATACAGCCCACAGCTTAAATTATAAATGGCTTTTGCACAGAGGAAAAATTTGTTGTGAAGGGAGTATGGTTTTTCTTGACAAGCTTAGTTCTTCTCAAAAATCAAGAAAGTAATGCTCTCTTAGGTGTTTGAGTTCAGAAAAGAAGTATGGTGCTCCTGTAGCTTGTGAACAGTGCAAGCTGAACTGTGCTTTCCAGAAGACTACAGAGTCAAGGGAAAAGGTCAGAAAAGGTTTCTTTTGACAAGATAGAAGTGGTGTCATATGAGAATAACAATGTTGCAATGCTTGCAGGCTTGTTAAGGGGTGGAAATCCAATTTGCTACAGATATAAATTTCTCACAGAAGGTACTCAAATACATTAAGTAATAGTCTAACTTCTTGTAGAACTGTGCACAGAATTCTATTGAAAGTTTGATGTGGTGTGCATCATACAAGACAGTAGTGTGGTGTCTTTGAGTTTAAAATGCCAATTGCTAGTGCTGAATATCTTTTGAGGGAAAAAAAACAAGAAAAGTCAACTGAAAATACGTAAATGATGAATAACAATCCTTCTTGGGGGGTCTGTTGGGCTCAAGGTAATATCTGATCTAAGTTATCGTATAGTGTACTGTGAAGATGACAAATATTGATGGAGAACATGATCAGATACAATTTTTTATCTAAAGATTCTCGCCTTCTCAATAATGCAAGAAGCCCCAAGGCATAGCCAATAAGGCTCAATGAATCAGACTTGATGAATTCAACTGACCTTAAAGTTAGACTTCATTTTTATTTTTTAGGTTGATGGGAAAATGCTTTGTCTTTTATGTACATTATCATATAAAAGAATATTACACAAAACCAAAAAGGGAGAGAAAAGGCCCAGTGGAAAAGATCATAGAAGAGACAGGTACATATTAATTATATTTACTCTGTAATGCCTGAGAGTGACAAGCATGTAAATTATCTGTACAGTATCACCCCTGAATGGTCACAAGAATAAAAGAAATGATCACAGACTAAAGGAGCTCTACATTTTTAAACAAATTCTCCTTGTCAGCATCCTAGGGAATGTATTGAGAATAGTGAGGAGAATATACACTTAGTGACCCAGTTTGGGTTTAAATCCAGACCTTTCAAACAGTACTGCAATAAAATAATTGATAAGCCACTCCATGATCCCCACTAGGACTCTGTTTATCCCAAATAGTACATACGACTGTGAATTATTACTAATTTGTTTTTTAAACTAGGAAAGACAGACATACGAAGATTGCCAAAACTGAGAACAGTGACAGTCCTAAAGATGGCAAGCCAGGATCAGCTGCTGCCGCTGCTCTGGAGAGGATTGGCAGTGCACGAAATAGTCCTTTGACAATTGCCTTGTACAGTAGTATGTACAAGTAAGTTCATACTGTTGTCTTTGCCATGAAGTGGAATACATGTAGTATGTGGTGTCTACAAATGATCAGAACTGTAGCAAGGTCCTTCCAGACTGTTGATGCTGATGCTAAAATTTACATGACATTGTATTAATTTTTGTATGATATTAAAAATGTTTGCAGTGATGCCTCAAGTGAACCTATTGCACTGGAGTCACACATAACTGAACTTACAGAACTAAAAGAACAGGTATTGTGTAAAGTTAGTTATTCACTAAGATTAATGTTTAATAATTATGTAATAAAAACAAATGTATGAGTAAGGATAATTGTGTACCAGAATTTGCAATAAATTAAAGCAGGATGCTCAGATATACTCAGACATCAAAATTACATTTTTACCAATACCTTCAAATTTACATTGCATTCCCAACCTTTCTCCCATGAACAGAGAACCCAATATTTTGGTCACAAGTAAATTAGAGTTTTACTAATATAGTTTGTTTTTATTGCATTATTTTCCCTATGGTTAGAACACTATTTTAATTTCCTATTCTGTAAGGGATTTAGCTAACTTTAGGGGCAAAAGAAAGATTCTATTTGTATCAAGTGTCCACTAGAATAATGTGAGGGGGTTGGCATAGAAATATGAATTGTTACTAACAATCCAGCCAGGTGCTTTTACTTGCTTCTCTGTGCAATGAATTTCATTTGCTTTTCTCCTTGGTCAAATCAAGATGTTTATATCCTGTTTTTTTTGTCAACGAGGTGGTGAATCTCAAAAAGCAGTTGCAACAGAAGGAACAGGCATTGATTGAGAAGGAAAAAAAGGTGATCAATGTATATGTGTCTGTGCTCCCATCCTAAAGGCATATTTTGTCATTGGACACATAATCAGTTAATATGTAACTGTTTACATCTACAAGAGTTAACTAGAGGCCTTTCAGGGTGAGAATGGACTTTACAATGTATTTGTCTTTGAATTCTTCCTTACCAGTTTGGAGAGCAGGAGAGGACAGGGGGTTAAGGATTTAGGACTCCTCCGTAAAAAACCTCAGTCTATAAAAAACTATGTGGGAGGCTAATTACAGATGGCTTTTCTTTGTGATTTAGTTAACTGAACTGAAGGCTGATCATTGGGAAAAAGAAAAGGAATTGAGGCAGAAAATGGTTCAAATGCAGAAACAGCAAGCAGAGAGGATGGAAGGCCTGCAGGTTGGTACTTTTGAAATGTCTTTCGTTTACAGTATGATTCTAAATATTTTATCTTCAACAAAGTTTGGGTCACTCGTTTATACTTTTTTGACTCACTTTCATGGTTGAAATTTGAAAATAATTGAATACAACATGAATTTACTAGATTTAATTATAGACAAGTGCACTTTAACATGATGATGAATGTGCTCTACACAACAGAATGACGTATTTGTTTATTTATTAGAATTTTCATTTCTCAGTGAGTACTAAAAATGTAGTTCTAATGTTTAAACTGATTAATTCACTTACAGACAGAAAACAGAAATCTCAAAAAGCAGATTGCAACACTGTCAAAAGGAAAAGACAAGCAAATTACAACCTCAGGATGAATGCTGTCCATGTCCAGCTTTTTAGATTAATTGCCCTAAATTTTAACAGAATATTTACTGCTGCAAGAATGAGTAAGACTTGCCCAGGAATGCAACCATAAGATTTTAATTTTCTATAATTTATTTTTAAAATCACATATTATTATAGATTGTACCAATTATGTGGAATAAGATCACATGTAGACTTAGTTTAGATAACCTGAGAATGGTAATTCCTTGCCACATAAATGATAGCTAGTAAGCGTCTCCAACCCACAAGAAAATAGGAGACCAACTTGTAAGCTGTAAGTGAGGAGAGACAAATCAAAACAGGTTATTGGTATCTTTTCAATTTTTTAACCTGGTTGACATACTTCAGAACCTTTTTTTGTGAAAAAAACAAACAAGAGTGGTACATGTGTAATACATCTGAAGAAACAGGCTTAAATGTGTCCCTTGAGAGTTCAAGTGTGAGGAGTTGCCCTCTTGTGTGTGGGTATGCTGTTGGACATTTCAGGCAATAGAAGACTAATTTCTCTCACCAAATGATTCAATGATGTGGCTCCTCACCACATATAATTAGTATGCTGTCTTCGTTATTGTTGACATTTCCCGAAGGGTGTTTCAATATCATTGTGTACCTATATCCCTCTTCATGTAATATTAAGTGAACCTGAAGAAAATACCTCATAATAAGGGTTTTCCTTCCCAAAACAGATGTATATTACTTAGACTGAATTTACCTTTTTAAGGATGAATCCAATGGTTTGTTTTTGAGTGATAAATACTGTTCTGTTGTGGCTCTTTCTCAATTTTTCAAGAAAAATGTGTCTTTAAAAGTTCAAAACTTGTGGTGATTTTAACTGACTGTTTTACATGAAAAAACATTTAATTTCTTCCTCAGATACTTAAGTACTCAAAATTTTATTATATTTGAAAGAACAATTTTTATTTCAAAGCTTCATGTGTGATGATTGAGGTGAAATTTTAGCAAACCAAACAGACTTTTCTGTAAAATTCTAATTAAATCATATTTATTTTCAAATTCATTAGATTAGGATGTGCTATATTTCAACAGTGTGTTGAAAATTATTTTAAGAAAACTTCTCAACAGTGGCTATGATTTGTAATAGAATTGTTATTCAAATCAATCATGCAAATAGAATTTTTTGTATTTAGAGGCTATTGTAATTTTCTTACATTTTTTGGGAGAAATTGCTCTTTTTTTTGATCCAAAAATTAGAACTGAATAAGACTTCTTGAGGTATTTTTATTATTCTTATCATTGTCAACTGAATCTTGTATTAAATCTGCAAACTTAGCAAATCCACACACAAACTTGTTTAGTGTAAAACTTCTTGCAGTCTTTTTTCATCTCCTTGGTTAACAGACTTAAAATGTCAATTCAGTTGTAGTTTAATATTAAATATTAAATATGTTCACAAAATTTTTTTTTTTGATCATGAAGATCTGCGATATAACAAGAAACATAACTTGAACTTTGGTGGAACACTTTCATTTACCTGAATAGAGTGAAAATTTAATAGAAGCTTTTTGTAGGAAATAAATGGGAAATAGTGTATTAAAAAGCCCATGTCAGGGCTTCACATTCAACCTTTTACAAAGTTTCCATCAATTATATACTAGAAATAAAATTTTTGCGACCACAAGAAAAATTGCAGGAAACCCCACCAGTCTTAGGTATCAGAAGTTTAGTTGAGGTCTGTCTTTTAATATTCAAGGGACATCTCAAGGTGTAATATTCGGCCAACTAAGTGTAAAGAAGAAAAGGTTAAGTATGAAAAAAGAGAGAATATGAGTGAGTTACATTTTATGAAAATGTCTACCCCAATTTGGAATTTTAGACAACTAAAACTATGTTTTAATAATGTCACTTCAAACATAGATGCCAAATTGGCAACTTAAACAGCAAACTTGGTTTTTTTCAAAGTGGCCATGGTAGCCAAAACCATAAGGATTGCAGCTTGGGGTACTGCATAACAATAATCTCTCTCTTTGTCGCACTGATGAGTAACATCTAAAGCTGGCAGTTGTTTAGTTGCTTTCCAGCCTCATTTGATAGACTGTATAGACAAGTGCATCTTATGATAATGAACTTCATTATCGCAGCTTGATGAATGGGAAAATAATCCAAAGTTGGAAGATGAATCTCTCAATACATAGTGTATTGAGGGAAATCAAAGTTTGGACTTGCTTTCTATTGCTTAACAAGGTAACTAGGAGTGAAAAGAAATAATGAACGTCATGTTCCAAAGTCCCACAACATGATTGGTGGCAGCATGAAACAATAGTTCTAAATCTGCCAATCCACAGTTACACAGTGATTAACAGTGTGGTCCCCACTGATGGTAAAGTAACATCATGATGCAGTGGGCAGTGAAGTTATTAAGAAGTCTGTTAATGGCTCACATCAGTCTGTTCCACACCTCGCGAGATCCTTCTTTCTACGAGACCATTTAGCTTGCTAAGACAATAAAACCTCTGTCAATTACATAAGTGTTGAAAGTCAGCAATTCCAGTGAGATTTGTCAATCCCCTGACAAAACTGCATACGCAATTAACACCAATCAAATCATCAGCTAGGGTTTAGTGGTATGCTGATATTCCTCTTGATATCCACTCACTGTGCATGGGATTGTGCCAAAAGTTTTCTGCTTCTCACTTCCTTGTCCTGTAATGCTTTGATTTGAGCATCCTTTCGAGTTATCTCCTCTCGTGCGGTGAGATACAGGCTTGAGATGTTTTTCTTAAGCACAAAGTTTTCATCTTTCAGTTTTTTGTTCTGAAAATAAGGGCAAGGTTAGGTTAGGTTAGTTCTTGTAGGCCATCCTGCCCATTGCTAACAGAGCATTCATATTCCTGTTTCTGGAGCTTGAAGTGATAGGAGATAATACTCCATTCCTGAATGGGTATACCCCCCCTGACATTTTCCTTACAGTCTGCTGGTATCTGCCAAGTAAAGTTTCCAAAAAGTATACAACACAATTGATGATTGCAGAACCAGCCACGAGTTAGCCCCTTGTTAATATTGCCTGACTGCCAACAGTTGGCACACAAATCTTAATAACTGTAGTTTCCAGGATCATCTCTCCCTATCAATGGTGAGCATACAGGGGTGCACATGTACCAAGGGATGACAACTGTTCAATTAACCCTTTGCACCCTAACATCAGTATGGTTATTCTCCATACAGTTCTCTATAACTTTCCTGTGATACTGACAAGGAGAATTTGTTCAACAAGCATGAGCTTCTCTAGTTGGTGATCATTTCCTTAATTGTGACCTTAATGTTTGATTTGGGCAAGATATTGTGTAGGAGCCAAAGGGTTAAAATCTTTAAGTGCTAACCTCAGCTTCAAACTTCTTAATTGTTTGCTGACTTTCTTCAAATAATTTCTTCAACTGAAAATAAAGCAGATTCATTATCAAAACAAATTATTTTCTTAAAGTTTAACTTAGGTATAAACCTTTAAAACAATGAATAGGGCAAATGATCAACATGTCACGGATCCATAATTTGATTAGCATTAACCCTCTATACCCTAACATCAGTATGCATATTCTCCATACTGTTCTCTATATGTTCCTAAGGTGCTGTCAAGGAGAATCTGTTTAAAAATCAAGAGCTTCCTTAGTTGGTGATCATGTCCTTTATTCTCATGACCCTAATGTGTGATTCAGGGCTGATACTGTAAGGAGAAATTAGATGCTGGTCACTCGCAGAAGTCAAAGGGTTAATCAGTGACAGACAGACAACTGCTCCAAATTATCATAAATTAATAAACTTTCTCAACAGAATATCAATTAAAAAATACCTCGGGATATGTCATTTCTTGGTTGAGGTCCACAGAAAGATCCCCATACAAATCAAAATCCAGAGAATCTAAACAAGACAAAAGAAGAAAATAATTTAACATAAATTTTAATGTTTACTGCAATACGTGACAACATTCACGGCTTTAATCTGTGGATGATTTTTCTTGAAAACAAAGTTCTTTTACCTTCGTTTTGACTACGAAAAGGTGAATTTGCCTTGTCTTGACCACATTCTGCATCTCTTTTATCCATACAATCTTCACTCTCCGCCATATGCGCCGGGAGCGACTTTATAAACCTGATCATAGACGATCTTTCAGGAGATATCCTTCGTGTAAGATACCTTTAAATCTCCCATGAACAAAACCTCCCAGCGAGTATTTTTCAGAAATTAGCAAACATTTCTGATAGCAATCTAAAAATAGCCATGAAAATTTTTTTTTTCAGGAAACGACGATAAGTAGGCTATAACGCCGGCTAAACTAAGAATTTAAATGTAGATGGTCACATGAATTATTTACCACCGCTTTCGAACCCGCTTAGAGCACAAGTAGCACAATCACACGTGATTAATTAAAACAACCCAAACTTCTGACAACTCACACAGATATGGGGCTAAGGTAAAGAATTCTGCTGATTTTTCAAATGGCTTTGTTGACTTATCGTTAAGAGTTTCGTCGCGTTGGAACGGATCCTTGCACTTGTACTTGGGTAGCCTGTGGGAGAGTTAAGCCGGTAACGACAGGCGCGTGCCGACCAAAGGGCAAGGAATTCCTTTGCGTGTCACCTCTGTGCCTGACAGATTTCGCCTTAGAACTCAATAGCTCAAAATGTTTCCATCGATAGATGTGCAAGATAACTGCTGCAGGAATGCAACTTGAAGGACACTCTGCATCTTCTGAAATCAACACCGAGTCCGTTAAGCGCGTCTCAAATGACAATTCTGAATGTTATCACTTCCTCCTCTTCTGATAAACAAAGCTTGTTTATGAATCTCGTAGACATATAATGCACGGTGCCTATGAAAGAACGTGGAGTGGTGATACCCAAGGTGTAATGTCAGGAATGGCAAGGGGGTTGAATCTGGATAAGATTGCATTTAATTTTCGCTACTCAAGCGACAACGTTGCACGTTCGAACCCTTGGCCAAGAACACTTCTGAGCGGAGATTTCATTTTGATTGCTGAGTTCGCCGAGAATGAGGGACCAAAGCCAGTAGTAAGTTTGACAGACTATATAAACGCCTTCAATAGCCTCGATTACTTCCGGGTTATTCAACGAACTGCTCAGTGTCATAAATTTTAAATGTAACAAGAACATGCAGATTTATTTATTGTAGCGTGACTTGATCGGAATTTAAATCTCTAATTCTGTATGTAGTTATGTTTGAATAAGCGAGTAATTTGAACTAATTATTAATGAAACGAGTTTGTATCAGATTTTCGGTGAGCAAAGTCACCTCTACATTTGATTGGAGGCCGATACCAAAAGGAGAAATTAGAAGCCAGTTACTAATCACGAGTAAAAATAATTCAGTTGTTTAGTACCAAGATACAATCGATGTACATGTCTGTATGTTGGACAGCTCACCTTGGCCTGGATTTTTATTGGAAACAGGGTTGCTTGATTAAACCCTGAAGTTTGTAGACAGAAATCTATAGTATGATTATCATATTCCTAATTAATTATTAATATTATTCATAACTGTTATTATTATTATTTTTATTATGAACAATCAACAATTACACCATGTAAATCTAAAGCTATCTTTTTAATTCTCACACTTTCATGCTTTACCTCTTTTTTTTTATTTTCACTATTCATCTTAATCAGCATTGTTCTACTTACTATAGAATTCAACTTTCAACGCTTTGTACAGTAATTAACTGAAGATGACAGAAGTTTCTGTCAAAACATGTTTTACAGACTCAAAAGTTTTGTCGCTTTCTTTAAATTCTTGACTTGCCTGCTAATATCAAGAACCTATTATTAAATTATTACAACAAGAACTTGTTTGTCTTTTGTTTTCTTATTTCTTTCTGTGTATCTCTTTAGATGACAATTCCCAAGAATGCTGGAGAAAATTTTGACGTGAATGCCTTTGCTGTTCATGTAATGTCAGTAGATTATACTCAATCCAGGTATGGTGAGATGACACTTTTCATCAATTAAAAGTAAAAGTGTTCAACTTTGTGAGTTTCAGATGATTGACCATGTGGCTTTAATTATTCACCAATTTTTTCTCATTATTTTAGTTGTGTAAATTCATTTTGTTCAATTTCTTTTTTGTGAAGATTTATGTGGTCGAATCTTACACTTCTTCCTTAGATGACACTTGCTGGATTCATTAAATTATATATATATATATGATACTGAATTTGAAATATTGAAATATTACTTTTACTTATAAATCTCTGTTTCAGGGGCAGCAACTTTTCCATTGTTGAAGACACTCAGCTGTTTTTAACAAAGAGAAAAGATGGAATTTATGCCTATGTAAGCTTTACAGCAAAGTTTTATTCCCTTGATTTCTTCTTGAGTCTCATTATTTTGTTGTGGGGTAAACATTTTACCAGGTTGTGTTATATTTCATAGGTGCACCATTTTACTCTTTATGATATTCATGCTCGTGGTTTTGTAAGGCCTTACTGCATGTGCTACATTTCACATTGCAAAAGGTATTTATTATCATTGTTGTCAATGAGTTGAAAGTAGAAGGCAGTGGAAGAAATTGTATTTTAGCAGGTTAGCACCAATCGAAACTGGGAAATGGTTACAGCACAAATTTCTTTGACTGTGTTTCAATCATTGTACAATTTTTCATCAGTAATTATGGCAAAATCATTGAGGTATATGTAGCTGGCAGTTTAAGATGAATGAAAAGCTGGGGGTTTTGGCAGGCTATCTGTCCTAATTGACGGCTCTGATTATTAAGTAACAAGTAGTTTATAAAATTATTGATGAAGTTCCTAGATTTAGAACTTTCAAATGTATGTACCATTTCAAAGTGATATCAGCCAATAATCCAGCTCAAATCTGAAGTCTGCATCACCTGCTTGAGTCTGTGAACCTATGTACTTAATTCCAGAGTTACAATCATTATGACTGTATATCATTATTGAAATGGGTGTATGGAGAAGAACCTCAAATAACTTCTGACTGGTAGACTGCAAAAAGTCTCTTCAAATCTCCAGTTTTTTCAGAGCATTTGATGTTACATTCCAGAGGTTATATAAGAAGGGTTTCTTTTCTATCTATACTTTCATTTTTTCAGCTTTCACAGTGAACATTTATGCTCATGTTTACTTATTTAATCACTGGTTTGTTTCTCCTTTTTTTGCAGAAAAATGTTTTCTTTTCTTGACAGTTTCATGGATGAATTTACCAAGGTGAAGTCTCAGTCCATTTTGAGTTGAACTAATGGCAAACATATTTCTTTTTGGATATAATGAATCTCTTCTACCAGATTTCTTGATTTAATGATTGAAGAATTTAATTAATATTTACAATTTTTTTAAGGTGTCCAAGTTATTTAGGCATGGTAACAGAATAACGTTCCTAAGAGACCTAGAAGAACGATTGTGTGATGTTTTAGAGTTAAAGGAAAAAAGTATCTGTAAGTTTCAATTGTGTAGTAATGATCCAATTTAGTGTAGCTGTACTGTGGAGGTTTAATTTTTTTTCCTTTGATTTGACCACTGAATTATCAGAAATACCATCAAAGAAATTTGTAGAGCAAGTATTTCCCAATTTTTGAGTGGAATTGCAAACCTAATTATTGCCTGAATCAATTCCAGGTTCAAGATTTTCCCAAAAGGTTCCAGGGAACTTCCTGGAGCACCAGGGGTATTTTAACTGACCAGTACCCAGTCTTCTGTGTAATCTGACAAAATAATGTAGGCTGCATGATAACAAGGCTCCCTATCTGGTATCTTTATTTGCCTTTTAGGTTCAAGCTCATTGATAGCTTTACCTATGTACAGTGTAAGAGGAAGAGTGTTCACTTAGACTGGGGTCTTGATTAGTACCTTCTCACTTAATTTGGATCACTTAAGCTGGATTGACAGGCTAACACATTTCCACAAAAACTAAAGAAATTAAAAATTTGTAGTAAATCATTGCAGCAAGCTTTGAGACACCTTTAAGAACAACACTATCATTTACCTGGGCAGTGTGTATTAAGCAAGTGAAGTTAATTTCAAATCTTCTCTTGTTTTAGTGGAAAATTCCTTCTCCAGTTGTCTTCTTGGTCAGAAATGGAAGGTAATGTGTCAGAGAATTAAAATCTTATTGAATTAGTTATTTTTGGTTAGTGGTCACACATATAACATTGTGAGCCATTCTGCTCCAATTCAATTCATTATCTTTTTTGAAGATAAGATTTCTTGAAACTTTTGGACCACAGGTTACCCAAATGACTGGAAAATCAGAGAAGAAGTTGAATGCTGAATATGAGTTTATATTGACTGAGACCAAAAAGTTGATAGAAGTCCTAAGACCACATATAGTGGTAAGTGGATTTCAAGCCTAAGATGGACTCTATTTTTTTTATTCTTATAAGTGTTAGTGCTTAATTTTTCATTTTGTATACATACTTTCAAACCTTTATTACATGGTCACCCATGGGGAATGGCGGGGTGACTGCTTGACACAGGTTTACCAGTTGATATACGTTCCACACAATAGGGGTAATATAAAAAAGATTTTAAAATGCCACATTATGCCACAATTGGCTGTTTATTTAACAAAACTGTGCTCAAAAATACTACTAACTCTGATTGCAAGAGAGTTGAACATCGATTTCATTTTACTTGAAAGATTAATGTTAGTTTTATTTGAGTGGTCCTACTTTAAGAGACTGTTCAATGCAGGTGGAAGACAATACAAACAGGTCAAATTTGGCTCTAGCTCAGAGGTAGATACAACTACTCAAAACTGAGGTGACTGCTTAATAGGGGTGAAAATTACAGAGATTACAGGGAAACAAATCAAGACTTTGACAACCAACCACTTAATACAGGGTGACTGCTGAATTGATATGGTGCTGCTTAATACAGGTTTGACTGTATTTAACATAATTGGATAAGTAAGAGTGCATTTTTTTTAAGGCAGGTAATTTAGTGTTAACAAGTGAGTTGAGGATATAAATTTGTCATTGTAAAGGGTAAAAAAGCTGACGTTTCAAGTGTTAGCCCTTCATCAGAGCGATAGGGCTAACGCTTGAAACGTCAGCTCTTTTACCCTTTGCAGTAGCTAATTTCTGTTCTCAACTCAGTTGTTAACACTAAATTACCTGCTATACTCTCCCACCAACGCAGCACCACAGTTTCTTTAGAAACTTACCCCTTATTCATTTTTTTTATGGTTGCTTAAATTGTCTTTAAAAATACAGAATGACCCCAGGGTTGAACATCAATTTAAAAGGCTTGAAGACTTGGTCCAAGGAAGGACTCGTAGTTTCACTGTTGCTGATGGTTGTCTTGAAGTAAGACATGAATTTAGTGATCACAAATTGCCAACCCACAAGCCTACATTACGAAAAGGTACTTTTAGAGAAGATTTGTTTATTTAAAAGAGTGCTATATACTAGTCCTGTTTGTTGAGTAAATGCAAAAAGCACCATTCACATGTGTGGTACATGAATATACTAAGGCTACAGACAGGTTCCCTGACTGACATGATATTATTTTTGGCAATTAGGCATTACAAGTTAGAGTAAATTAATTGTAATCATGGGTCAAGTGTACCTTGATAACATCCTGGTTACAAAAATAAAATGATATTAGTTATAGTAATTTAATTATTTTGGTTATCAGCATCATCAGAGCTGCCTTGTTTATTGATCAAGTGTGTGTGACCTTTGTTTCTTACAAGCTGATTGCATTTACTTGACACATTTTACAGCTGTCTCACTCCCAGATATCAAATATCTACTGAAAGGATACAAAGAACTGAATGTGAGTGCAGTTTATATTATGATATTGATGGTAAAAAAGAGTAATGGCAAATACCTTCACCACCTCTTTAGGCAGAAATAAAAATACTAAATATGTTTATTTTTAATTTTAAAATGTGCTCTTATGGAATTAGACAGGTTGGTTTTAATGGGGGGGAGAAGGGAGGTTTAATATGGATTGCAAAAAATGAGGTCCTTTAATTAATCATGCAGGATCAAGGTTTTGTCAAATAAATGAAAATAATAAATCCAAAGTTAAGCAGACTCATTATTTTCACCAGTCATAAAAGGACCCTGTTACCTGGTTAGGGTCCACAGGTGAATGTATTTGTACACGATGGCTCCATGATGTATATGTATTCATTATTCATTAAGAGTCATCCAAATTTTTTCTGTTTCATATGGTGATCACAGATTTCATGATTTTATTTTACAGCTAAAGCCTAGGTCCTGTTTGCCCACTTATCTTAATAGTATGAAACAGTTACGGTAAGCTAGTGAGGGAAATTTAGTATTACATTTGTGTAGTTTTCAATTAACTGTCAAAAATTCAAAACCAATGTAATCACTTCAGCTGATTATAACAAAGGATAACACCATCATTGGTCAATGAGAACTCAAAGTAAATACAGGAAAGCTACCAAAAGCATGGGAAAATGCTCTTTTTCTTGTCATTTGCTTTCATTGCCATCAAATTGATACATTGTCTTCTTTTCGTGCATAATTGAAATCATGGTGATTTTTCTCCTGAGACTGAATGGGGAGCATGATTATAGAACTTTTAATCATTGTTTTGACCAAAGCAAAACGTGATCGGTTTATGCAAACCATCGATACACCTCGATACTTTTGGTTGAGAAACCTTGTCCCGGTGTTCTTGCACAGTGGGGGGGTAACTTCAGGTGGGGTGAAGTCACTCAGACTGGGGGGCAAAGTGTTTTGGGGCAACATGACGATGGGGCTACCATTTTTTCTTGATAAAAGTATATTTGTTTACATAAACATTTTAAGAGAAAAACACGCTGGAATAGAATTGCTAATTTCTCGTAAGTTAAAGCCTTTCACAATTCCCTTGTAATGCCATTTACACTGGCAACTTTCGTTAGTGACAATTTCCTTATATGGTATGTCAGTTCTCCATTTTGGGTTTTTTTATCACTGCCGATTGAAACCTCTCAAGGTGAATTTTCTAGTACTTTTTAGGCGCGTGAGTGTTCGCAAGTTGTTGGGGGTACTACGTGAATTTTTATGTGTTATGACTTTCAGACATTTACATGACCTGTGTGAGTGGGGAGCAAAAGAAGGACTCAGCAGACTTCGACGTGTTTTTAAGGTAACTGAAGATCAACCAAAGAAACGATCCTCGCAGGAAGACTGTAATTTAAGCAAGTACAGGAGAGAAACCAGAGAGAACTTTAGGCTTCGACAGCATTCGAATCCAGGCCTCCCAGATACTAATTAGGCGCTGCTACCAAATGGGTTACCAAGCTAGAAGTTGGGAGAGAGGCAAATTTTAGGGGGTTCTTCTTTCCTTTAAATCCGGGAATCTGAATTCTCTGATCATCATCATCATCATCATCATCATCATCATCATCATCATCATCATCATCATCATCATCATCATCATCATCATCATCATCATCATCATATCTTTATTTGATAAGTAAGTTAAAAAATGGCAACTTTACGGCTGATGTGGACCTACTATATTATAAAATAAGAGATAAATAAACGTACAATAAAATAAATAAACCTGGAGTTAAGTCTTAAGTAAGAAACAGAATGAATATAAATATAAATGTGTCATAATATATCAGAAATAATAGAAATTTGAATTCTTTTTTTCTTCGTGGTTGTGCACTCCAGATCATCTTTCTGGACATTCTTGTGAGCCACTCGCTATACAGTTCCAGGGCTTTTCATGCACCAAAACTTCTGTCAACTATATTCCTTTCTAATGTTTGATTCACTTCTCATATTTTTGCGTTCATACATTCCTAGCATTACAACAGAGAAACTGCCGCACTGTTAATTGAAAAGACGGAAACAAGCCATCTTGGTGAGCATTTAATTGGTATTTAAACAAAATTAATAACCCTTCGAAAGGATTCTTTGTACATTTTAGTAGCGCATTTTCAACTGAAAAAACCGAGGTACTACTAACTGCATTTGTTTTGCCTGCTTTCGCTCTGTTAAAGCGCGTTTTGATTGAGTGTCGTAACATCAGAACTTAAGTAATCGCTAAGACCAATCAGAGGAAAGGAAAATATTACATAGAGCCAATGAAAATACAAAGTGAGGAGGATGGTTCAAGATTTGTAGACCAATCAAATGGCGAAGTAAAGCAAATCCAAAACCATCTCGGATTATTAACGACGCTCAATTTAATATTACTTTATTAGTGTAAGAAACTATCACCACCCTCTCAACCAATCAGATTCAAAACTTAAACCATTTGCGACCTCTTCACTCTTCAAGTCTGTCTATGCGCGTTTACTTTGAGTTTTAACTGGTTCCTTGTGATATGTACCTTCGCTTTGAACGCCGCTGACCGCCAATCAAAATGCAATGGGTTTAGTTTAAAAACTCAGTCGTCTAACCTCAGCAACTTAATATTATGAGAACACTTAACTTGTCACGTCATCTTGCATTCATACCTTGAAAAGTTTTAAAATCACAACCACTACGAGCAAATCTTGCTCCATTTATAGTGTCAAATGATGAACACTGGTATTATCTGCTTTGGGTCTCCTGTCATTATAGATCGCTTTCCCGCTCTTCTGACCATTGGCCGCAGTGTAGTGTCTAACGTTCTTCGAAACATCGACATGTAAGTTTGTAACGTACAGTAATTTAGTCCCTCCATCGTAATTTGACCTTTCAATAGTTAAACAAGGGAACGCGAAGCGAGCGCGAGAGCGCACGAGCAACTGTTGAGTGTGAAAAGGAAAACAATAATACTTCTTTCTTCGCCTTCTTCTATCGTGCGTTGACGTTTGTTAACCCTTTACACCTTAATATCAGTATGCATATTCTCCATACTGTTCATCATACATTTCTTAAGGTGCTGACGAGGAGAATTTGTTTAAAAATCAAGAGCTTCTTTAGTTGGTGATCATTTCCTTTATTCTTGTGACCTTAATGTGTGATTCAGGGGGGGATATGTAAGGAGAAAGTAGATGTTAGTCACTCTTAGGTGTGAAGGGGTTAAATACCCCACGGCTCAATTTCAATATATACATTAGTTTCCTTATAATTAGTTTGTTAGAAAAAACCTTAGCTGACTTTTAGCTACTGTTAAACCAGAGATAGAAGTAAAACTCGATAATAACCTTTCGTTCAGTCTAATATCCATTTTATCTCGCCTTTGTGTATAAACTGTAGGAAGTGTGTGGACAGCTGCACGACCAGTCGCTCCCCCGTAGATACTCCAAGTCAAGAGTGTCTTACAAGAAAGTCGTCGGTAGGAATTGTTTTTCTTTGTGTATAATATAATTTAACAGCTACAAAGCAACATTTTCCTCTTGCCTCAAGATGTGTGTTAAGCCTTTATCTCATACTAACGATGAACAACTAACTTCGCTTCGCAATTTATTAAATTTTCCAGAAAAAGGTGACGAGAAAAAGTAGTTTCATCAGCTAAGTGATGATGTTTCATAATGAGATAACAACAATTTCTCTCCACTAATTTGCAACTTGAAAATGGATAGCATTGAGAGAGGAGAATTACTTCTTTGATCATGGGAGTTACTATCAATGTTTATAACTACGATTAATATAGCCGCTTTGGACTACTCGTGCGCAGATAACTTAGCTTAATCGTTTTAAACGAACTTAAATTTGTGTTCCGATTTTTTGATCACTCAAATGCTCTAATCACTCCTTAAAGATACAGAACGACGTATTTTGCTTTTTACTAGGGGAAGCACTTTTGAATTTGGTTCCTTTTTACTAAACCCATTCTAAGTTTCCACAATAGAAGGTTCCTACCCAGTCTCTTGTGACCAGCGGTCATCTTTTTCTCCCACGGACTCGGGGAGACGTAACGGAGACGTGAACACACGAAAATTGAAATAAACTATGAAAGAAATTCAGAGTGGCACTCAGAATCAAATATCTCTTTCAAACCCTCCCTTTTACAATTGTTAAATGCTGTTTGCCTCTTGCGTTCTTTTCCATATCGAGGATTGACTTTACCTCTCCACTTCATTTTTATTTCAGTGTGGTAGCTTAGAAAGTATGCACAGCCTGGATTCTTTTCAGTCCTGTGTCGAGGACGAGTTCGAAGGATCCTCGAAGTCAAGTGATGGAATCCTTTCACCATTTACACCATCGTGAGTCTAAATGATTTCCCTCTTGTTTCAGGTCATATCTTTTTGTCCCATTATTTTGGCACACAGCGGAGGCGAGCGAAGACGGTTGGGACGGCATGAAACCGTTAGCGCCCTGCATCACGATTTGCAAAGTCGTGATCGCTAAATTTGTATCTGTATTTTTATTTGCGATATTTAGACAGGCTGGCCCAGTTCAGCTCAGGACAGGTTTAAATAGGGGCCTTTGTAAACAGTAACAAGGTCAGACAACAACACCGGGAGCAACGTTCCCTACTCCTTGAAAGAAGTGTGTGGATTCTTTAACATCCCTGCTAACCAGTACAGAGAAGAGACAGGAGAAAAGGCCTGCGGCTTACTTAAAATTTCAAATTTTGGTGGTTTTTTTCCTAATGATCTTACTGTAAGCTGGTTTAATGCCTGTGCGACGTGTTGCGCCAGAAGAAAACCTTATGTTCCGAAGACAAATATTTTCGCATAAATCTTCGAATTTGCTACTTGCCTTTACAATCTACGCACACGAAAAGTAACAGCTCATTAATTTCAAGCACTTATGAAATCTATTTCAAATTTGTGTCATGCTCTTTTCAGCTCTTCATTCCATGCTGATTTGCAAGGAGGAGAAAGAAATGAAATTTTCAGTAACAGTACCTCTGAATCTCTTCTTGCGGATGACAGTGACGTGATGTCCACTCATTCGGATACAACTCTCACGAGAGCGACCGCTGAGACTGTGTCTCTGGCGGATTACGCTTTAATGGGCGAAGAGTTTCCGTCAAATCTGAGCGTGTCTCCTCTCAGTAAACCAGCAAGTGCTACCACTGAAACAAACGTTGGGATGCATTTCAGTCAACTCAGAGGAAAGAGTTTAAGTTTAGAGAGTTTGGCGACGTCGCCGGATTCAAAGGGTGGCCACCAGAGAAAAAGGAAAAAACTGGATTTACCGGTTTTGCAGATTCAAAATTCACCATCGCCGCCGAAAACTGAGAGGGTTCCGATTGTCATCACCCCGAATGTTCCCTTCAGAAATGCAAATGTGAAAAGTAACTTGTTTGGAAAGAATTCGGTTAGGAGAGTTAAAAGCTTGGATACCCCACGAACGTCCTTGTGCAGTGGAGAAGAAAAAGTGCTTCAAAAAAGATCGCGTTATAACACAAGGTTAGAATTCCATTATTATCTTCCTTCATCGATTAATTGTTTGCATTATATCTGAGCAACAGCCTTGGCAATCAAACTTGTCGTTTCGAACGCTCAATGTCATCATTGTCGAACGTAAGAAAGACCAAAGTGAGAGACGAAATATTCAAACTCAACTGAATGGACCACAGTATATGCGTGCGGGACTCTTTTTTTTCTATATATGTATCTGCGTTCTCAGCCTTTATTTACCTTTATGAATAATTCACTCTTCCATCCATGTATATACCCAGATCCACAAGGTTAATTTCTTTTACATTCGAAAATGTTGACATGAAATCGTCTGACTCACCTATAACTTTTTTACTGGTTAGTTTGCTATTGAAGAGCTTTAATCCTTATTGTAACGAAAATTGTGGTAGAAAATTTTGTGGTATTATTGTTGTTAAACTCTTCACCAGCAATTTTTCTTCTTAACCCTTAACTCCCGTGGGTGACCAAGACAAAATTTCTCTTCACAATATCAAGCAGACGAGTGATGAGAATAAAGAAAAATATTAATTAGGGGATTATGAGTGAATTTAATACCAAATTCTCTAAACTAACATTACAAGAACTCTATGGCAGACAGTAAGGAGAATTACTAATGAGATCTTGAGAATTAAAGGGTTAACATTTACCCTTCTCAGTTCTTCTTCTCCATGCCAATTTTTGAATAAGACTTTTTCACAAAATGGCTTGTCAGGCGTTTAAAGCGACCTCAGTAGACTTCAAACGTATTTCGATTGGCTTTTTGTATTTGCCAAAACCAAAACTGGAACACAAACAATCTCATTAGCAGCCAGTGAGAACTCAAACTAACAGCAAGCAGACAGTCTTAAGCGCGGGAAAACGCGGGTGACCAAGTCGCGATTGGTTTTAGTTTTGCATCTGATCGGTTGAGAGGACGACGTCAGTTTTCTCGTTCAATCGCAGAGCTGGGTAAAGGAAAACTAAAGCAATCGTAAACTGCTTTCGAATTTCAATTGAAAATTGATCCAATTGTGACTTAAGTGTGATCTGATTTGTAATTTGTAAAGATTGTTAAATAATATAAATTGATGTGTTTTCTTCCAGACCCGAAATGATTCGACTCAGGTGTTTCGCAGAAGAAGTTTCCCAGCCGCTAGCATCATACACAGGTAATGTTACACGATTTTATTTGTACGTGTGACGACACTGAGCAGTTCGTAATCAGTAAATTTTTCTTGGTCGTCAAAAAAGTTTTATTTGAGTCACTGAAAAGCATGGGATCGCTGCACATTCTAACAGGGCATGCTAATTTCCACATTGAGCTCAGACCAGGCGGTAGGATTTGACTGACTTGCTTCCTACAATCCTTTTGAAGAATGTGCCATTAACTCACGTCTTTCACCCTTCTCTATCCCAGCATTGACGGCCGTTGATCAGGTGGCAAACCCATCTACTATGCTCTTTATCTTCAGCCCTCCTCTATCTTTCCTCTGGCTGCCCCTTGTTTCTCTTCCGCTGTGATAGCTATGTTCGAGTAATGCGCAAGTTTGGTTGGTTGAATTCGCAGTACCTGCCCTTTCCATCGGAAATTTTACTCAGTTTTGTGTAACACACAGCCTGCATACACCTTGCTGGTGTCAAACGCCATATTTTGAGAGGGAGAAAGAAATACGTTTTTGGAACCGACTGTAGGGCGTCTAAGTGGCACAAGATATCTCCAGCCATTCTCAGGCTCAATGCCGCACGCTCACACAATGGTCACCGCTGTATAATAAATTCAATGAATTTTTGAACCAGACACAATTCATAATGTATTGGTGCTAGGTTTGAAACCCATCACTGCAAAATATGTGGCACAAACTTTGACTGGTAATCTGTCATGTTACAATCTTTTTTTTTCAGGTTCTAACTTATTATCCTTGCGAAACAACTTGAGTTTTTGTATTCACTTGCTGTACGCTCTTCTCTGTGGACGACCAGTGGTGGTCTTTGCCGAACCAAAGAATGAAAGGTTTGTTTATTCCACACTAACTTTGATTGAAGGGGGTAAGTTTCTAAAGAAACTGTGGTGCTGCGTCGGTAGGAGAGTATAACAGGGTAATTTAGTGTTATCAACTGAGGTGATAATGTAAATTGGCCGCTGTAAAGAGTTCAAAAGCTGACGTGTCGAGCGTTAGCCCTTTGTAGGGGCAATTGATTGACACTGTCTAAAGCGCTTGACTCTTTGCCGTCCGCCTTCAATTTATCTCATGGATTCAAGGGTGATAGTATGCGAAAAACCTTGTGAATTTCTGCCAGTTATTCACTAAGTATTCTAGTAGAAATAAGATAAGATTAGTTTTCAACAGAGTTTCGAAAAACCAGAACCAAAGTGATTGCCACGGGATTTCATAACAAAGGTTAACATCATCAGTAGTCAATGAGAGCTCAAAGTAAAGACAGTAAAACTGACTGAAGCGCGGGGAAGTATGGGTGGCAAAGTCGCGATTGATTTTAATTTTGTATCTGATTGGTTAAGAGGGAGGTGCGAGTTTTCTCAACTAGTCGCAGAGCGTAGTAAAGCAAAAACAGAGAAAACTGGATTATTTGCGTCGCTTATCTTGAAATTGCTTTTGGGAAATTTAAGCAATTGGTCACTGAACTATCACCCTTAAGATCTGGCCAACAACTCTTCCTTTTACGTGTCGCTCATTTCCTTGTATAGGTTAATACGGAGAATCTTGACTGAGAACCAAAGACAACACCTCCAGCTGATGAATGTTTATATTCTCATCGACTGTTTGTAGACTAATATGTTTTTTTTGAGGAGAAAGTAAATGTTGATTACCGCGGGGAGTTGAACGGGTAAATGGCACTAATGACCTTTTCTTGTGGCTTTCGCGACATATCAACCATTCACCTTACCTGATGTATGCAAACATTCCTAACGTGATCAGATGTCAAAACAACTGCATAAGAAGCACACAATGCAAAACGTGTTTCTGTGTAGACTTGAACGAACAGGCTTAGTATCTGCAGCAATGGCCAAAAGATTCCTTGGTTTTAGTTTGAACTGCACGACAGAGTTGCGTCATACTCTGTAATCCTGTATTTAGCGTATTATGAAAGTCTATTTTATTTAGTGACAGGTGCTTAATGTACTTCTCTGTGTTTTCTTTCTTAGGGAAGCGCGAATTGTCATCTCTGCTTTGTGGATGTTTGTACCAGAAAATATGAGGTCGGTCTTCATCTTTGATGACCTAGCGATAACCCTCTAGAGTCATTGGGGAGCTTAAGCACAAAAGTTTTGAGACGCAGACGGCAGCTGCAAATAAAAAGTTTTGATTACTGGTGCCATTAAACCTTTTCGATCAGTACAATTCTATTTAAAATGCTAAAACGTTGACCTTACGTTCGATACGTTGGCGTCAAAGCGCGCAAGAATTAGTTTTATTCTTCAACCGGTTGCCTCCCGCTTCTCAAAAACGTTTCTGCTTAAGTTCTAGGATAAGAAAGCATGAAAATCACCAAAACCGATTTGAAATGTGGGAGTCAATTTTTTTTTATTTCTAGTCATGGAAAGGTCGTGGATCCCTGGCGAACCAAACCTTTACAGATTGCTGACCTTGCATGGCAAGTAACAAGTGTTTCATTTGGTGCTATTACATGTTTGTTGAACAGCAGTAGGGGAATATGTAGGCTATTTTATGAAATCATGATAGATAAACAGACTCTGACGAGATCAGATATTTTGTGTTCTTTTCTGAGCGATATGTATATTACCCCGTCCCCAGATAATAACACAAATTGGGTTAATTCATTTAGTTTTGATTTCTTATTTTTCTAAAATTTTTTTCTTTTTTCTGGGTCACGAACAGGTTAAAACTTGTTGGCCTCGCAAAGAGTAAGCATTTCAACATGATTCCCAAATCTGTGAAGGTAAAGATTGCTAATAAGATAACATTTGTTTCGAGTTATCGTTTACTCTATCGTCAACCTCGCGCGTTTTAATTGTTACAGCACGCATTACATGTGCAAAAAGGATAAAAGCCTAAGAGGATTTATCCCTGCCTTTTTAAAACACTTCTCCCCCCCCCCTTGAAGAAGAATTCAATTCGCGATCATTCAACTCTAAATGCGTTTTCCTTTTGATCTCGTTTACACCTCCTTAAATGTCGCTTTCGACTTACAAGAGGGTTAGGCGCTGACCTCAAATTTTCAGCTCTTTGTGTTCCTAGGAAGGTTGCGCAAATCAACTGTAGATAAGTCAAGTTTGTGATTCCTCAATTGCAATATTTACTTTCCAGAGGTTTGTTTCTGTTCTCGACCTTGAAACAGATCGTATTGTTACACCGCAGTATAAGGTAAGTATGACTGATTCCAAGAAAATAATCCGTTGGCTGAAATAAAATTCGAAAATTATACTGATATAATGTCGGAGCTGACCTGGATCTAACGACCAGTGACGTTACTCCAAGTGCGAGATGTAAAAATTGTCGCGTTCCTTGATGAACGCAATTCAAATCTTAGAGAGTTTTTCTTCTACGATCATCACCTTCCTGAATGCGGTCCTTGTGGTTAAAATTCCTCAGCCATTTTCGGTTTGTTCATCGTCATTAGTGAATCACTAAGAGACTGGTTACATCTTTATTATTAACATTAAATAGAGCCATCTGCCTTATATTTCCAGGGATGTTATATTCGTCCAATGTGCAATATTAACAACATGTGGCCAGTAAGTGATACTCAGATTTGCCTTCATATTAGGGTAGTAGTGTATATAACGGGGGGTCTATCTTAACAGAACTATTTTCAATTCAGTTGAGTTCTCATGGGATTGGTCTACTTCACCTTGCTCAGTGATTGGTCGCGCTAACCTCTCAACCCGTAAGATACAAAATTTAAAACCAATCGCGTCTTGGTTACTTGTATTTTTCCCGCGCTTCAGGTAGTTTGCCCGTTTTATTTACTTTGAGTCATCATTGGCTACTTGAGATGTTTCCTTCAGTTTTGATTGGCTGTTGTGATTACATTGTTCTGAGTTTCACGACACTCGATCAAAATGCGCCCTTATGGGTGATCTAATCCGTTCTCTACAGCTCGTAATGACATCCACCTTTGTTGTGAGTGGTGCTTGTGTTTGCTTTGTGCACAAAATGCAGAGTGATCCCTCTAGAGTGTCCCTCCCTACCCCCCTCACTCTCCTTGCTCTATATAAAGTGGAGCACATACAATTAACTTTCCTTCTTTGTTTACTTTTCAGTCAAATGCAGCGTTAGTGGCATTTGTCCATAGGTAACTATATTTGTTTATAACTGAAGATTTCTTGTTGGTGTCACCTTTACTTTTGTTTGATCATCGCTGAAGCGATAAATCATTTTATTTGAGTAACGCGCAGTTTTATTAGAACTATAATTAATCAGAGATTAAGAGATGCGTTCGAAACACTAGTCAAAAATCTTCGAGCTAACTATTGAACGACAAAACTACCCACGATTCCAAGTTCTCTCCTAAAACTTAATTTGGAAATGTTGTCATTTGGTGTTCGCCCTTGCTGGGGGCGGCCGAATTGGTGTCCCAAGACTGGTCCTTGTCCCAAAAAATCTCGCTCAAGTCTGTACTAGGAATGCGTTCTCTTTCTTCGAGCGCAATTACAGTCAGACGTGCAGTAAACAAAAATCGTTTCACTACTAAAGAAATTTGCTTTTTAAAGTAATTTTCCTTTTTGAGAGTAGTCCCTCTAAGGACTGCTGTCAGTAACAGTTTTAGTGAATTCATCATTAGAATCACGACAGGAATCGTTGTTTATCAGTCGAAGTTCAGAAGTCTGGTTAGTGGAAACTGAGTTGTCAGTGTCACTATCACAAAAGTAATTGGTTATAAAAGTCTGAAATTGTGATTGGCCAGTTTTCACAACGACTGACTCGTCAGTCACTGCCTTTGATAAAATCCTTTTTCGGGGCTACGTACACTCGAACGATCACATTGCACAATCGAATGTTACTTCTGGGTTATAATCATTTGAGTTAGCATCACACTATTGTAGTTGGTGCAGCTAAAACTGACTCGTGCACTGGTTTCGAACGTTGCTCTTTCAGCGTCTTCTTGGAGTTAGCGAACAAGGCTTACGTATATTACTTTGCTTATTGCCTCGAAGGACTCCAGTGGTGTTGCTGCAAGAGGTATGTATTTACATGTGAAACGTTTACACCTAAGTCATGTCGTTAATTTATATTGCCAACTGTGCCTACTCTTCAGTGTACCTTGCTTCTTCTTTGCCGCTTTATCCTCACACTCCTACTCTATTTTACTCATTGAACAGCAATCAGCAGTCACAGTCTGGACAGGCGATCGCTGATGTGGTGAGGAGTAGTTGTTACGAAATGACGATTAAATTTATTCATGAGAAAGATAGACAGCCTTGCATATGTCTACGTTATAAGTCTCTTCTCTCCCATGTTTTTTTTTTTTTTTTTTTTTTTGCTAAAAAGACGTTGGGTTTTATTTATGTTCCGTAGTTGAATGCAAGATTCTTAAGGTTTATGCGAATTCTGTCGTCATTTCTTATTCAGGAATTTTTAGTCAGTCTTAAGCTATAAAGTGCGCATGTCGTGCATTGTATTGGGAAGCCTGTTTTTACACATCGGTTAAGTATGACTTTATTTCATTTTATCTTATCTTTTCTTAGGATGGTCCTGGGGTGCTGAGCAGACTTAGAGTACATTTTTCAGACGCCAAAATAGTTCAGGTGAACTAACAAAAGATTAGATTTTGGGGTGCATTTGTACCATGTTCAAGGAGGGAGGGGGTTGGAGAGTTCGTTTCACAGAACAAACGAACGAGCAAATGAACAGAAAAACAGACAAACGCATTAACCCTTTAACCCCCGGAAATGGTTAACATGTAACGTCTTCCTACAGCATCCATACATTATCCAGCAGAAAAGTAAGGAAAATATTCAAACTTATCAGGTAGAAGTTGCTATCTTGATCTAACAACAAATTCTTATTACTAATTCACAAGGAAATGTGTAGTGGCTAGAGGGGGGAAATAAACAATCAGATCTGGGGAGTTAAAGGGTTAAAACGAACAAATAGACATAAATAACTACGATGAAATTTGCAATACGTGCGATGAACGGTTTCATATCTAGTTTCTGTCATTGCTTATTCAAAGGAGAACAACAACCAGTCAGACATCACAATTTTACTGTTATTATATGTTTCTAGTCAGCATTTTAGACTTAAGCGTTATATCAGTACATTATTAAAGCAGTTTTGAACCTTCTGTTATATCCATTCGAATTTTATTCTAATCGGCGCCCGTTGCTGTTTTTCAGTATTTCACTGAACTCATCAAGCAACAACAGATTGATTACTTCAATAATCTTTCAGCGGATCAAGGTAAATCTTAACACTAAATTAGCCGTCGGGCAGAATAATGACACTTACCATATGGGTGTAGACTTATTCATGGAAAGGGGTTATCCACCTTTCACAATGGGGGGAGGGGGGGGGGGGGAAGGAAGAAAAAGGCAAGATAAAGGCCGATCCGGTTAAGAGGTGAACTCACATCACTTCTGTACCCTTTCTGTTTTCCATCGCACTGAGCAAATACAAGTACTTTCTATCAGGCTTGGATGTTACGATGATTCATCGCAGTCTCCCTCCCTCCCCCGTCCTACCCTTCCCTAGTATTTTTTCAGATTTCTTAGACAGAGGCATTGTGAGTGTATAAGAACAGCTGGGGGGAAGGATTCTGGGGTGTCCGTGCCCCCCCCCCCCCCCCCTTTTTTTTTCTAAGTAAAACACGGCATGGAGGTTGATATGACAATCTGGTGAGTACCCTTTGTTTGACACAGTGTGACCCCCTTACGCCCCTGGAGCAAGGTGAGGGTGTCTTGTTTCAGAACATACAAATAGACTTGGTTGAGGTTTGTATCCGTAGTCCACTCCGCCAATCATAAAGCCATTGAGAGTAGAGAGTGTCTGGTTTTGATGGATTAGAGTAGGTTACATGTTTGTGAGCTTTCACAAAGGAGAGAGTCATGCAATTTTAGGCACACAAACGCAAAGGATAGAGCCCAGGCCGTTGAATGTAAATTTAGCCAATTTCAATTGGTTAACATGAAATTAGATTTAATTGGCCTAAGCGCGGTATTTTCTTTAAAAAATGATTTATTTAATTAATTTCTTGTAGATTTTGTCGGAGAGATAACACTTACTCCAGAATCAGGTAAGTTTTTAATGCTCTACTTCTCATTAAACTCTTGCTCAACAGGTGCATTCCTGTTAAAACCTGAATTTTCTGCTTTTCAGTCTTATATCATGCCATCCCCTTTATTTTACCTCAAAGGTTAAACTCACATGATTTGAGTATTTCTTATCATTAGCAGGTCATAATAAACTATTTACTCCATTCATAGCTGAATAAAAAATAGCTGTTGATAACAACACGCACAATGGTTGTGATTATCTTTTTTTTCACAGATTCTGCTTCGGAGAGGAGATCATTACTGATTTGCACTGATCCGTCTAAGTGTATTATATTACGTAATTCGAAGCCCCAGGAGTCCACATGAATTTCAAACTCAGTTTCAGTTCAAAAATCGTACTAGGTCCATGAGTTGTTTTTTTCCCATAGGTTGTTATTTTTCTCCCATTTCTTTTATGATCTTAGACGCTTGGTTTTGCCCCATGAAGGCGTTGAACCTTAAGCTACTTGCTGCATGATTTTTTAAGCACAATTTGTGGTTTTATAAAGCGAAAATTTTCTGCGGTTTTCGAACTGACTTACTGTTTTGCACGAAACATGCAGAAAACAGTAAAATGCGTTGTGATTAATAGCTCCAAACGAAAAGCTGTCTTATAAAATAATGACCTACTGGGTCTAATTATCAATTAGCTCTACAGGAGTGCTTTTTTCGTATGAAAACTATTTCGATCAACCGGCAAAACTTGGTTTGGTGCCTTTCTATTATCTCGTGCTTTTTTTGTACATTCATGAATGCTTTGATAAATTATTGTAGATATTAGGTAGAATTTTTAATTTTTTAAAATATCTTTTTATACTTAAATTATGAAAATCCTATATTCTTAGTTCAGAAAGCTAAAAGATAAATGATTACCGAAGAGAATATGTAGTAATATCTTTGAAAAGTAAATTTGTGTAAAATGACGTGCCCTTCGATTATAAACCCTTCCTCTAGTCGTTTACGGTCAGTTTACTATCATTAGCCGGGCACTATCATTACCTGAGCCGAGGAACAAAGGACGCATGTACCACGCGATGGGATGGAAATGGATGAGGAATGTCGTTCAACTGCTGCGCTGTCAACAAAATAGAAATATATTAAATTAAAAGATTGGAACGTCGTAAAAATTATCTCAGTAAGAAAAGATCGAACTTGAAGAATGAGTACAATCAAATAAAAGATATTCCAAAGCTGTTTTATCAGAGTAAGTCATTTTTTAGGGCTTTTAAACTCGAGGGATATGGTTTCCAGCTAGAAAATGTTCACGTACCGGCAGAGTTGCTCGGAGTTTTTAATGGAGAATGACTAGGTGCTGCAATGGTTGTCAGCTGGACAACTGACGTAATGCACCGATCAATTCGAAGCTTCAACATCTCTCTAAGGGCATTTGATTGTCGTCCGTGCTCTGGGGGGTGAGTAATTTGAATCTTACCTAGGTGTGGTGGGGAATTTGGATCAGAAGTGTCAAGTCTTTCCATCGGAATACGCTCTTGTTTTATCTTTTCATATGAGAGTTCACATTCGCGAGCGGATGGCTCAGAAGAAAAGACCAACAAGGTCTAAGATTTGAAGCTTGGCGAGACAAATAAATTGACGATCAAGAAGTAGAAATGGTCGCTGGTAATGCCTTTTACCAAAAAATGACCATGAAATCTAGGGGACGGAAATTTTGACGTACCAATCTTCAGAAGTTTAAATGCTCCAGGTTGGAGGATGTTGAAGCTTCAAATTGATCGACACATAAGATTGGTTGTCTCTAGATCCTTTGAAGATCGTCGAAGAGAGGGGTGGTCTTAAAATAACCTTTTTTCAACCCGGGATTAAGGCCGATTTGGGAAGGTTTAGTCCCTTGATTTTATTCTCTCTTGGCACGATGAATAAAGTGACTTCTCGGTATTATGAGCTACAAAAAAAGAGGATCATTACAAGAGACGTTTGAAATGATACTGTACGGTCTAACCTCTCCACGATAGAAAGAGGAGTAGAGGAAAAAGGCCGTTGAATATGGCGTGACGGTGACGGCCGCGAATAGTTACTGCTTTCTTTCCAAAGGGCAAAGACATTTATCACGCTTACTGCAGGATGTAAATTCATAACAGTCGAGTAACATTTACACACGACCTGAGACGTAATCACATGGCGTTATGGTCCATTTTTTAAATCATTTATCATGATGTAAACTCATAACAGGCGCCTAACATTTACACGCAAACTGGAACGTAATCTCATGGTGTTGTCCAATTTTTTTTCAGCTTCACGGACTATCATCTTTTCTTAAATATGGAGCTGCGCTGGCGCACGCCTTGTTTGCAACAAACCCATCAGTATTTAAAGACCTGCACGGGGAGTTTCAGTTATCAAAGTTCTTTTTTTTTCACTCCCAAAGCCTTTGCACTAAATCCTTTTTGAATGTTCTTTTAAGCCTTAGGTTTGTACCCCCCCAAAAAAAAAAAAAAAAAAAAAATAAAATTTCAGCTTGAGAACGTTTATTGCTCATAGCTCAATATGATCACCATGGATAGTGAAGTCTGATTGCAAGATTGCAAGGTCAAACACTCGTCCAAACAGCTGGAGAAAAACAGTCAATACTTGGAATCCTCTTATAAGATCCTGTAGAAATTTCAAATGAAAAGTAAAGAAACTTGGCTCCTGGCATTGAATTTATTGTTTGGGCTACACACCTTTTCATGCAAGAAATTTATTTGAAGACAAAATGACATTACACTAAAAAAATTAAAGTGTGGATCAAATACTATGTACAAATATTTAACACAACAAAACGAGCCTTTCTGATTATACAATATGTAAATTTTCGCATTGTCTTATAAATTACATGTATATCTCAACAATACCCTGAATACCTCAAATACTTTGTTTACTGTATAAGACCAATAAAAAAATATGATCAGAACATATGAACAAACCAAAAAAATCATGACCCAACTTGCCAAACCAAAGCTGCTTACTCTAGATTTGTTTTCTCTTCCAAACTCAAGATAATTCTCAGTTTGGCAAAACAATTCCATTACTTGTGGTAGTGACAGGAAGCAGATTTGGTGATGTTCACCAATTTTAAATCAGTATATTAAAGGGGGATTATGAAACTATATTACAATGGAAGGCACTTACTCAAAAAAACTGTCAGAAGTATGAAATTTAGAATATTTTTTTATGGGGGATAGATCTTCAACAACCTTGGACCCCATAGTAGTTTACGAAAATTGTACCAAGCTAGAGAGTGACTTTCCAACTGCAGTTTCTGGAGTTTCTAACAAACTTTCCCAGGCCATGATTATTGCTCGTGGCATGGTCAGTACATGAAGAGAGATATTTGCTCATATCACATAAAATATCCTTGTTGCAGATGAAGGAAAAAGGTCTTTTTCAAGATCCATACAACTATACAGAGTCTCATGTCATAACCACCATTATTAAGTAAAAAATAAAGCATGCATTTTTGGACCTCTAACATGTCCTAACAATGAATCATCTTCTTTGTTGTCATTGCAATATAAACAATTAAAGTTACTTTGCAAGTCATTTCACATCTTCATATTAAATAGTTTTTTTTTGTTGTTGTATGCATAGTGAAGACAAATGACTAAAATTCATCATCAACGTCCTGTTTCCAGTTGACACTGTCCCTTTTATTGTCTGTGTTGACATGTGATCCATTACTTGGGGTAAACGGACCAAGCCCCATTGACCTGAGATGGGCATCATGCATTTTCTTTGCACGCCGTGTCCTTGCAGACATTTCCCTGTTTGCGATTTGAGGCGCTGCAATTAACGGAACACTTCTGTATTAATTGAGTAACTGATAAGTCCTACAAAAGGCGAATTTTTCAGTTGTGTATTCATACACTTGCCAAGCCTTTGAACAAGAGTAAGACAGAGGTTCACTTTGCCATGCAACTTCAAAGTTAACTGCTTTACACTTGTAAATCACTGTTGTTATCATGTAAACTTTTCTTTCTTTTTTTTTTTAATGGTCACAAGATCAAGCTCGACCTCACTCCTGTTCAAAGACCTGGCAGCTATGCCCAAAATTGTGAATGGATTTCTACCCTCCTACGAGACATCACGCCTGGGTTTGAACTTCATATGACCAATTTTTCCAGAAGAAAAAGATAACAGTTCATAAACCTACATACACATGATTTGTTGCAAGTCATTAACCATAACATACCTCCAGCCATCCGCAGTTTACTGTTCAAGAGATTTTTCTTCTGTACCATATCAAATTCATCAGGTTTGGGAGTGTGTCTTGTGTCTAGGATGTCATCAGGTTGGTCAACGGTCGAGGTGCCATGATTACCTTGACTGACCTTGGGGTGATCTGAGTATGAGAAGTTTCCTCGACTTGCAATACTCCATGATTTATGATCTGAATAAGTAGAAGAGGTAATCAGGTCACTACATGTAGAGTATAACACAATGTGTAGATATCCTTCGTAACAGGAGCTTGAAAAATTCTTATAACTTTTCAGATACAGATACAGCTGCCTTGATTGCAATCTTCTTGTTACTCTGAAGCAACATTTGGTTTACAAAAGTCTAATTTGACAATCGGTGGTCTATGGACATGTTTCCTTGTTTGGTTCTCTGATAATGGAACAAATTAAAAATTTTACAAAATTTAAGGGTACCATAATTTACAGTTGAATGCTCACACTTGTATAGATCTGTCACTTCTACTCTTTCATTTTAAATCTTCCAGTAAAATGACAGTTACTTGTAAAAGTTTCAATTTGTCAAAGGTTTATGTTCACAATTTATTTACCTTTGATAATACTAGTGTTTGGGTACAAAATTACCAAATTCCACAAAGTAACATGAAATTTTGGGTGAATGACAAACCACAAGTAAATATACTGTAATTTCTACAACTATCAAAAATAACTTCAAGACTTTAGCAGTGCAAATTTACCTATGTGTTGCAACTATCTAGTTACAAATTTAATGTTTCAACTTTCTTAATGAAGAATTTTCTCCTTTATTGATGAGAATTTATAAAAATTTGTTACTTTAATAAAATTGTGATTGCCTGATAGAGAGCCCTGACACATGTAGAGAGATATACCATCTACCAATAAAGCAGTTTTGAAAAACAAATTTTCACTTTATATCATTGCCATATTCCTCATTTATAACTTGGTTGATTGACAGAAGAATTTCAACACTGAATTTTATAACTCAACATCAGAGAATTAAAATCAATGAATTGGGCTCAAGGTATTTCAATTCATACCAGCAATGATCGCAAAATTCCATAATACATGAAAAAAGTGTATTTACTGAAAAATTAAGATGTGATCTACACCATACAAAATCACCACGTTATCAGAATCCAAAGCTGGAAATTGAAAAAAATTCAAACAAGTCAAATAATGCCAAAAGCTAAGCCCTAATCATATTGTATTTGTATGCTTTCTTAAATTAAAATACATCTTTACATTCCTCAGTTTCCAACGTAAACAGAGTAGTTACAAGACCAAATAGCATCAATAAACATGAAGTAAATTTGCCCAAATTTACCTATGAACGGGACTGGTGAATTTATGTTTACCACAGACACCTGACGTTAACATAAAATCGACTTTGGCACAGTCGGTGTTGAAGTGGTTTCTTACGCCGAGAAAACTGAATACTTTTAGTAGACATCTAGCGGCTAGCAACTGGGTGAAGAACGTAATCTAAAATCATCATCAAATTAAAATGTAAACTTTATTGCTCCTACCGTTACTATGGCTATGAAAGTCTTCGTTAGTGTCATGGCCCTTGTTCAACATTGAACTATTCGCTTCGCCCGTTCCTTGAAAATAAAATTACACGAAAAGTTGGTAAGAAACAAGAAATGGTGTCTTGCATAAATCTACCGATATGTCCCGGAGTAACCTTCGGCTTAAGTACAATTAGGGCTCTGCCAACTAACAAAAACACCGTAACATCTTTTCTCAAGAGACACGAAAAATTCCGTTCCGCGATTACTTAGGAGGTCATTACGAACAATAATCTTTCAAAAGGAATGCACGATTAAACTTACCACTCAAACCTCCGTGCCTGGAATAATACGACGTTGAAGATTTGTTTGTGTTTAATATGGTTCCTTTCTTTCCCGCCTGGCTGACTTGAACATTTTTGCGAATACTCCACACATCATCTAGCTCGCAACCTACGAAAACGTTAACAAAGAAATACATTGCTAAAGCATTAAGCGATGAAAGATCTAGGTAATAGAACAGTAGTATAAACAGACACGAAAATTATCAACAATCACTTTACTGCGAATATATTCTTACCTGGCGAGCTACGGGTATCTTTGGTTTTTAGAAACTTATTCTTAGGTTGCAAAGCCCGCTCTATGCTATCTTCATGATCATTGTCGGTGCTGCTGCCCCAAGGATCAACTTTCTTGTTTTTTCCAGAGTACAGAAATTTATTTGGTCGACCACCTGGTAGAAAACAGCGCAAATTACCATAAATTTCGAGAGAAATCTGGCCTCTATCCAGTGAGGCCTTACTGAAAAAATTATTCAGCTCTTACCGTCAAAGTTTTGGTCGCCTGACTGACCAAATCCCCGTCCTGTCGAGGACATAATTTCTCCTCATCGTGTTTTCGCTGATTGTAGTGAAGAAGGCATGAAGGTGAAGAGCGTTCGCAAATTAAAACTCATGTTTCGTTTCCAGGCCCTTCGCTATGTAAACATAGATAACCTGACCCATTCTAATTGCATGTTGCAGGACCCTCACTAAGGCAGTTGTTCCTAATTCTTTTTCTACATCAACTCCTTTATTAAAATTGTAAGCTATTGAGATTCATATGGATTTGAACAAAGAAAGAATTGCTATTATTGTTTTTATCGGTCCAGCCAGCCAGATGGTCTCCGTTATTACAAATACTTCCCGTCTAGGGTAGGTTTAGGAACTAGCATTTACCTTGACAACTCCAGGACGCCGACTGAAAATGTGCGCGCTTTTCATAAACAATCTTGAAAGCCGTTAGAATTTTGTTGTTTCCTCTAAGGCTCAACAACACCGTATCATTATTCAGTGATGTCAGGAACAACTCCGAGAACTACACGACCATCTTCAGAAAATTTAAAGAAAACACGTAAAACGCAAGCTTTCTCAACGGAGAACGAACTTGTAGGCGCCCGAGGAGGCACGAAACCGCGAATTGCACCCTCCGTGATAGATCATGGATTTCACACAGATAAATACAAAACTTACTATAGTGCTTGGACGCCGGTTTTAAATAGTGCATCAAACAGTAAGGTAAAGTAGCTTGGCCAAGTGTTAAAGAGTAATTGAAATTTTACGGTTGTTTAGTTAATGGTGTGTTTAAACAACCAATTTGAGTTCCACTGTTATGGAAATTACACAGTGTGAGTTTGAAAGCATACTTGTGATGATTACAAGTTTAACATTGTTTCCTTCACTCGGTTTGTTTTAGATTTTCGTAGAGCGCTTGGATTTGATCGGACACTGGGTAAGGAAGGAATAGAATTAAAATTTTATGACGAAATGTTTAGACGAAACAAAAATGTTACATTGTTAAAGTGTTTCGTTTATTTCAATCAGTAACCACTTGGAACTTCGAGCCATGTCTTATTTATGAAACTTACTGTCTGTAATTATTTGCGGTTGAAGAGTCTCAGTTTGAAGCAGTTTTTCAGGAGTAATGTGGGTTTACTGAAAAATTAAACCCAAAGCTAAAAATGTTTAGATTTTACTCAAATTTGCAGTCTTTTCGCTACATCATTGGCCCGGGGTGGTGTCGGGGGGGGGGGGGGAGGGGTGGGGATGAGGGATGAGGTTTACTTTGGGAAACTTATAGAAAGGCGGCTTTCTTTTAAACCAATATGATGTGATTCAACTTATTTTGTGTCATGTGACACAAAGGGATGACTACTTACATATGTACATGATTACAGAAAAAGAAGTAACTGAAAATTTTGTGTTTTGGTTAGACATCAAGAGTCATTTAAATGCCTTTTACTCTGTGAAATAACTGTTATAAAATTAACAGATTGGTACTCAATGGTTTTGATAAATCTTCCTGAACTTTAGGGTTGTCATTCTTGGTGTTCATGCAATAGTCCCTACCTTTGATGTGTAAGAAGCCTGAACAACTACTGCATAGGAGACTGGTGATTTCTACCCCATCGAGTTATGCTTATCAAGGGAGGGATGAGACTTATCTTATCACTTAGGTGGTGGCTTAATGTAAAGAGGGTGCATTAATAAGGGCAGGGTGCTGTAAGACCCCACCTCTTGGCTAAGTGCCCTCCCCCCCTGTTCCCTCTTCCTTCTGCTTAGTGAGTTGGTGGATGTGCTGATGGCCTAGGTTCTAGGCCTACAAGCATTAGGGTTGTCCTAATCAATGACCATTCACCTCTCTTTTCTCAAGTCCACTTTAGTTCATATTCTTAGGGAATAACTTTATTAGCCCCAGGCCTCCATTCTGTGCCCAGCTAAATGTTGACTGACATTTGGTTGTCATATGATCACTTGGTTTGTCAAGTAAATTGTTCTAGTTGTTTCTTTATCCTCTCACCTCCCTCCCTGGAGACCTTTTCTTGATTCCTCAGGGACTCCTCGTTTCATCAGTAAAATGTCCAATCAGATTCTGTCTTATATGTTGTGCAAGAGGAGAGTGGCTGGGAATAATTATTAGAATTTAATATGGTGTTCTATCAAATTAATTTATCTTAAATTCTCATTACCTAAAGTATGTGATTGGGACTTTTATTACGATTCTTCATGAAAAAAATATTGCATAGTCACCATATAACATTTGCCATGCATGAGAGTTGAAAAGTTCAGTGCCACGGAGATTTTACCACAGATTCTCATATTTTTCTTTATGATGTGTCAGTGTCTGATTTCAAAACAATCATGATGAGATCCACTTAATGCCAATTTTTTTTTTTTTCACAGTTTTCTATGTGGACAGATGCACAACGGAAGAAATTTCTTACATTTATTCTAAAGAGATGCACCAAGTCACAGTTAAGATTTGTGAATGAAGGATGGTTCAAAAAACAACTTCCAATTCTCCATTTAGACTTCACAACTGTTTTGCCACAGTTCATATCCACATATATTTTTTCATTTTTGGACCCAAGAAGTCTTTGTCGTGCTGCACAAGTGTCATGGCACTGGAAATTTGTATGTGAACAAGATGTCATCTGGATGCCAAAATGTTTGCGGTATGGTTGGTATTTGCCTTACACACCAAGCAGTAGAGAATTTGGATGCTGGAAACACCATTACATCATGTGCACTAGCTCCCTTGATATGGAAGCTCCATCTAGGATGGTAAGTTTTTTTCTTATCTGATATGTTACAAATAACTGATATGTGAGGCAATGTGCATGTATATACACTGTAGGCCACTGAAGGTGTGTTCATTTCATTTTCATAGGCAGAGAATTATGGTCAATTTGCTGACAACAGCCCTAGAGTTACTCAAGGAAAGATCAAACAAAAAGCAAATGAAAAGAGGAAGATCAGAGAAGCAAAGTATTACAGAGAAGGTATATAGGGACATAAACTGTAATCTGACCTTGTAAGCTAAAATAACAAATTTTAACAAATAAGACAAGAACTCTCTCTGTCTCTCTATAAGACTACATTAGGTATCTTTCTTTGCTTTAAAGAAGACTTTTTTTGTCCACAGTAGCTTGTTTTTCACCTTTTATTATTGCTGTCTCTATTTTATAGAAGTTGATGAGCCATTTTTACCTAATCCTTAAATTTACTTTTATCACACAAAACCTCCTTCATCGTAGTACAACTACTGTTATTTACCTTTAAATGAGCCAGAAATGTTAATTAACTATGTTTTCGCCTAAATTACAGAAAAGTATATTATGTAAGAGCAGTGCATTATCTTATATGGACTTGATTGAAACCATGTTGCCAACTGAAAAATAAGCTTTGTAATAAAATTCTGCCCCAGACTGCTGATAATCTACATCTTTCTGTGTCCTCTCTTTTCTTTCATTAGAGACTCGCCGTCCACCTTGGTTGGACACTGATCCCCAACCCAGGGACTTGGAGAATTCAAGGAAGGCTATGCTTTATGAGCATAATCCAAATCAACCATATTCTCCCAACCAGCTGAGAACTGAGAGACTGGGACTGAGTACCAGACCTTTGCACAGGAGGTCAGCGACTGCTCCAGCACACATGGCAATAGAGAAGGTTATGAAGGTAATTACTTAGTGTTAAATACTGTAAAATGAGTGGGCACATTAGTTAACCCTTTTACTCCCATGAGTGACCAAGACAGAATTTCTCCTTACAATATCAATACAATATCATTCAGACAAGCGATGAGAATAAAACAAAATATAAATTAGGGGATAATAAGTTGATCCAATATCAAATTCTCCAAACGAACATCACAAGAACTGTATGGCAGACAGTAACAAGAATTACTAATGAGATTTTGGGATTTAAGGGGTTAAACCTCATGCAATCTTAAAATAAGCATCAAATAAAATTAGATATAATTCATTCACTCAATGACAATGGAATGCAATTTTGTCATAATGTTATCATTTTACCCCCAACCCAACCCAAGATAACAGAAACCAGCACCCTAACTTTGTTTTTTGTCCACTTTAGTTTGCATTGAAATGGAAGAGTGCAAAATTTTGTCGGCTTGTTTGGGAAAATATTCAGACAGAATCTATAACAAAGGTTGCTTTGTATAGAAGGAAGACCCAGGGAAGGGGGTGGGGGGGGTAGTGGAAATAAAATGTAAAGGGTTAGACCTCGATCCAGTCCGTACTATCCACCTTACTGAAATAGGAGTTACTTCATCCCTTAATTAGTAATGTGTCACTTTTCTTTTATTTGGGACTTAGTGGAGTTTTGCAATTTTATTTTTGTCTTAGATCAGCGAAACTGTCGACGTCAACGGCAATGTTATTGAAGAAGGAAAAGAACCAGTTCCCTCTTCAAAGTTGACACTCACAGAAGCTCTTGCCGCTGAGTCTGGAGGTACACCTCACTTGTGCTATCACTTTACTGAGCCAGTTTATACACATGTTAATTATTTTTGTCTCGACATCATCTCTCAGGGATGGAACACCTGAGAGTGACTGGTTGAGTACGTTGTTTTAGATTTTAGATTCAAGCATTAATGCTTATTGGTATTAGTGCTCTAGACAAGATTAACAACTCAGAAATGCACCTCAACATTCCAGCTACAAAATCGTTATTCGTGGTGTTTGTCAACTCACTCTTGCTTTTAATGAATCTGTAGTGGATCAGACGTGGCCTCAACCAGTTCCTTCTTCACCAGTGCGACGGTAGGTTGTTATGTCATAATATTAAGTCCATCTTATTTCTGCCACTCTGTCTTTCATAGATCAAACCCATCACTCACTTACCAACTCTCTCATGCTTCTGGTTTATCTTACGACGCAATGTAATTGGCCCAGAAAAATCACCCCACTCTCTGATCGCTTGCTTTTTCTCGCATTTTTAAAGGCTGATTACGCACGACAACTGTAATTTACAGCAATTTTGAATTGAGTTTGGAAAGTAATCTGGGATTGCTTTGGTTATACTTAACTCTGTGATTGGATACTTAGCTCTGTGGTTGGTCCAAAAAACTCGCGCCATCCTCTTAACCAATCAAATGCAAAACTATAAACAATCGCGACTTGGTAATTCGTTTTTTTTCCGCGCTTCCAGCAGTAAGTTTTCACTTTGAGTTCTCATTGGCTAATATAATGCTAACCTTTGTTCTGATTGGTTGCTGGGATTAATTTGGTTTTGGTTTTTCGACGTTGACGGGTTGACGTTGTGACTTTAACCTATGACATTTGAAGATTTCGTATTCAGCAAGAACCTTGAACTTTAATGTAAGTCAACGTACGTTTTTACTTCTCTTTGGAACAAGCAGTTTGTGCATAAATCCGACAGAAACTTGGACACAATTTTTATTTTCTTTATTTTCGCAGACAAGATCTTACGTGTGGAATTCATCCTAGTTTGCATGACTCCATGCTAATAAAAAGAAGTTCTCAGGTATCTGATATTTTTGTGTTCCGTGTGTTTTATCCGCTATGTTTTGCTGAACCTAACTAGCGTAGTTTTACAATTTACTTTGAAACCTTTTAAAATGTACGGACATATTCAGTCTATGAAACAATTATGATAACTTAAGGTGTCCTCGCACGTTTTCGTCCTTCCTTAGTAATGTTTCTTTCTTTTTTTTCCATGAGAAATGCCACAATGCTTACAGCCTTATCTAAAAAATGATTTACAATTCTAGGACCTTTCAAGCTCCGTTAATCCTGCCGTTATATTTATTTCATCGGAAATCCCAGCATCTGAGGTAGGTTAACCTTCTCGTGAAGCCGCAAAAAAAGATTGCATTTCCCTCTTCCCGCTTATCGTTAGAATCCTTCAGTTACTTATGGAGGTGAAAGCCTTTAAGGTTTAGATACTCTTTGACAAGAATATGGAGGGCGGGAAAAGTTCAGTGAGTCACTGATTAATGTAGTAGTATGTACGTTAGAGAGGTTTTGATTGCTTTAAGGTTTGCATCTGTTTGGTCGGGAGGCTTCAAGACCAATCACTGTGCTTGTGTGCACTGAAGAAAAGAAATGTGATGCAATCCTGGATGCAACACTGTGAGTTCGGGAAAGCGCTTTTCACTTCAATGTGGTCCCTTAAGGCAACTCTTGTTTCTTTTCTCTTATACTTTCTTACTTGCGTTTAGCCTCGATATTGCATTTTTTCGTGTAATACCTCATTGGGCTTTGGCTTTTCTCTCTTTTGGTTAGTTATTGTTAGAAGCTGTTAAGTTTGGAGTCATTGCAATCCCGTACGAGTATGAAGGCACAACCTTAGACGCCTTGATGGAAAAGTTAAGGCTCGCTCTGCAGGGAAGACAAGCCAAGTGAGAATTTTCTGATGGTTGTTATCTATCAGCACATGTTAATCCATCAAATGTTTTTGCTGGAGCGTGATTGGTCGTATCTTGTGACGTTACTAAATACGCTCCAGTTAAAACTTGGGAATACCCAGTATTATTAAATTTTCAACTTCGAATATTGCATATCTATTGTTCCGATTGGTTCACTCAACTTCGGTTATTAGCACATATTCCGAGATTTGTTATGGTTAACGCGTCGCTACGTGACTTGTGGACTATTTATCATCTCGTGTCCAGCTTTCGCTCGTTAAAATGATTGTTTATCATTCCCTTATTTTCAAATCTACCTCAGTTACCTTGAAAGCCTTCGCTTCAAACTTAATTTATGATGGGAAGGTTCTCTACTGTTGTTACACAAGAAGAGATGTTTATGACGCGAAGCTGTTCGAGAGAATTTTGTGCTGCGTACTACGTTTTCAAAGAATAAAAAAGAACATTCGCCTTTATTTGGCGTGGCATTTGTGATTGTTTTTCGTCAGACGTCTAAGTTTATGGTTTTAGTTTTCCTCGAAGCTCGAGGAAAGCCGTTCTCCTCTCGGAAGCTACTTGTGAAGTTCTAGAAGTAAGACATTGTGACTGAGATTGGTATGTTTGAACGTCAACCAGGGAAACAGTCGGTTACATGAGGCCGAAGCTTGCTTGAAAACTTGTTTTTATGTTCTCGACTTCGTTACGAAGCAAGAACTTAGTCGATATCCAGTGTTCTTGACTTCTAGTTTAATTTAACTCAACGGTCTGGTATTTCTAAAGTTTTGCTCTCTTTGTATCGTCTTTCACAGTTGCATTGGTTTGTTTGCTTGGGGTGACTGTGGCACAATACGTCTTGTGAAAGGTCAGTGACCATGTCTAGCTAACTTAGAGTTTTCTTTTTCGTTCCTTTTTTTTAAGGATCTGAATCTAACTTTTCAAGTCAAGGAATTTTCAATTTTAACTTCTGCTTTCATATCTTTATGATTGCATTTTTGATTAATCACAGAAATCTTTCTGTGACTCGTTGCGAATTCACATTAAAAGCGGCTTTTGTGCTGATGTTGGGCGGCGTGTGCTGTTGAAACTAAGACAGTGTTTTGTGCACAGGTAAGATATTATCAGAAGAGACTGTAAATGAACCAAACATGCGACACTTCTGGGAAACAGTTACGACAAGTGTTATGGCGCGAGAATCTGGAGGTCACATGGACATATTTATACCGTTGGTTGAAACAGGTGAGGAGTCTCTTATTTGTTCACAAAGAAAAAAAAGTTATGGGTTAATTCGTTAACTGGTTTACCATCGTGCTTTACTGAGGCTGCAGAAATCATAGAATCCTTTACACGCTGGCTAAAGTAGGCATTTGAAACGTCGCTAGGGAGCACGCAAATAATTTACCTCGCACATTGCACTTCCAGGAGTTCAAAAGAAGCTGGTGTCCAGTCTACCGCCGCCCATAAGACCTCAGCTAATACTGTCGTCCGTTGATCCTGCCAGCAAGCTCTCTTTCATGTTTGAGTTTCACCTTACAGCCCCTTTTTGGGTACAACTGCCCGTTACTCCATCAGCAGTTGCTTATGGAAAGAGTTATTGAAACCCCCCTTTTCCAGACTAAGTACCATGTACTAGTTTTTTTGACAGAAATGTTTTTCATCTCCATTCAGAGAAAGGAATGGACCTGTTGGTACAGTTGGGTCTCTTAACCGACATGCAGTTTTCTTGTCCTACTGGAATGACAGGATCCTTTGCAAGAGGTGTGGTTGGTAACCAAAAACTTTACATGTTTATTTTTATTGAATATCTTTCGAGTATGAGCGCCTGTTTTGAGGGAGATACTTAAGCTTAGTTATAATTGTGTTGAAGTTCTGATTGAATGGTCCTGAGCTTCAGTAAGGGCCAAGGATGTGGTGTTCCTGCAGGGGCAAGACAATTCCTCCAAAATGCCTCTCTCGGTTCAAGGTTTAAACGGAACTTGTCAGGGAAACGTGACGAAATTTTCAAAAGAAAACCTGGGAGGGACGAGTATTCCACCCAGGGATTGAGAGAGAAATTAGAAAAGTCTTTACTTGAGCCACTTGGCGAATCCATCCCCCTTCTCCCCGTTGAATGGGATGCTACTCCATCGCCACGTTTCATCAGGCTCCTCGGACAATTCACCAGTATCTATTTATACTCCTGGTTGGAGAGAAGCGCTGTGAGAGTAAAACGTATAGCCCCAAGAACACAATTTAACCATTAGGCCGCCATGTCTCCAACGCTGTAAGAGAAGGGGGGAGGGAGAGGGAGGAGGTAGGCAGCAATACTAGGGCCACAATAATCACGTGAGCCGTCATTCTTATTGATCTCTTCTTGAGACTTTATCTTTAACTCGTGGTATATTTTCTATATATTTTCTATGATATAAAATCTTGTCTTAAACGATTCCACAGTGGAAAGCGAATGGCTGTTTGTCCCCAACTCTGGTTCTCCGCCATCTTTGTATTTTAATGCGACAAAATTTGGTTCTTGGTCAAACACGGTGGATTACATCGAGGTTTGTTATTTTGACACTCAACAATTTATTTCATGTTTCAGTTGAAAGAGAGGGAATTTTTATTAAGTTACGATATAAGCGTCTTTTTTTGTCTCATATGTAGGAATGCGTTGATGTTGTAAAGAAAAATCTCGACTGTTTCTTTACTGAAGAACAGAGAGATCTGGCTAAGCGTCTTGTTGGTAAGTTAACGCCAAAGAATGCCTTGAGAAACTGATTTAACGTGACAACGGGCATCGATTGGGAATCAGCTGTACTTCCCAAAAACGTTGGATGAAAATATAGAATAATAAAGAAGAGGAAAATGACATGGAAGGATAACGTACCCTGATGGATGTGCAGTCGTAAGATTTTAAAAAGTTGAACTTCAAAATTAAAGTTGTATTTGCAAATGCTTTGCCATTTCCCGGTCACTGATTTGCCCTTATTTTAGAGCTAAAATTTAAGTTAGCGGACAAAACAACTGCTCGAGGAAAAACTTGGTGTTGTTAATATGTCTTTTCTAGAAGCTGAGTTGTGTGACGTTTTTGTTTCAGGACAAGTCACTTTCGAAGCCCTAGGGATGTACGAGTTGCACAACGTTTCTGAGATTGCGACTGTTCTTGTTGATGCAGTCGCCTCTCTTGGAAGGAACAACGCATCCAAGAATTGGGTATGCGTAGAAGATTGTGTAGTTACCGCTTGTTGCGATGATTTCAAAAAACTCCCCTGAAAATAGTTACTTACGCCCGTGCATAACGCATAAGTTATCTCATAACTCCTTGACCCCCTGAGAGTGACTAGTATCTAATTTCTCCTTACAACATCACTCCCAAATCATGCATTAAGGTCACGAGAATAAAGGAAATGATCAACATTGAACTGAAGAAGCTCTTGATTATTAAACAAATTCTCCTTTTCAGCACCTTAGGAAATGTACAGAGAACAGTATGGAGAAGATGCATACTAATTGTAAGGCTGTAAAGTGTTTGCAAACGTTTCGACTACCTATAGATGCGCAAATAACTTATTTTTCGACTCTTAATTGCGTGATACCGAATGGTTAAACCTATCTATAACGCGCTCTTGTTAAATATTACATCTAAAGTCACTTTTTTGTTTTTGCAACGTTTTTCGTTTCTTTTTACTTGTGTTTCATTAGAGTGACCCAGTGCAGGGCCTCATCGATTATCTACAGAAGCACGGACATAAAGATAAGAAATTAAAAAAAGTTCGTAAAACAACGGTAAGTCAACCATTTATCCCCCGCATTACTTTGGGAAGGGTGTGGATTTTGCTCACCGTAATTACTCGATTGAATACCGCCCTCGATTAAACGCTGAAGATGGAAGTAAGATTGCCATTTAACACCACCCTCTAATAAAGGAAGGAAACTTAATCAGGAGAAAGCAGCGCGCATTTGAGGATATAGAATATCACGATTATTCACATCTGCAATATTTACAATATACCAAACTCAGCATAATTGTCTTGAACTCCTTCCTAAAAGATCTGTTCATGATCGTGTACAACACAGGGTTGATTAAACTACTAATGTTGCAGGCGTATGGTACTAGCAATGAGATATCCCGCGGTATTCTTCCCAGACTGGCGCGGGTCGTAATGATTAGTACAAGTACTGGAATCCATAGCATTACGAAGGCCAGCACTATGGCGTACATAATTTTCGTGATGTTCACTTCTCTCATTCGCATCACCATTATTGTCTCTCCATTTTGTAAACCTTGTCCGACCTGTGTGCCATCACCATCTTCATTTTTCGGCGCCTGCCGTGGTTGAATGCGTTTTATCGTTCGAGAAACTCTGCAGTAGCTGAAAAAAACTGTTAGGAGGGAGAGTGTGATGAAGACGCCAAGGGATGCCATAGTGTAGACCTTGTGTTTGGACGAAGGAACACACACAGCGTAATTAGCATTAAAGGCGAACCCATCCTCGAATGCAATTGGTAGCGGCGTCAATGCAAAGAAGACCCAGACGATGATCATTGCCATAAGGGACTTTCTTGGGGTGAAGATTTTTTTGAACAGCTCGAGCCTTGTGACCCGAACATATCTGTTGATGGCCGTGAAAGACATGGTGCCGACAGTGACGTGTGTCATGAAAAGAACAGAAAAGCCGCAAACGGAGCAGCCCACCCGCCCAAACTGCCAATGACCACTGACCAGAGTCACTCCCACAAACACACCGTTGGTAAGGAAGTTGAGAATGTCGCTGATCGCTAAGGCGTTGACATATATGGGCGTATACCTCCGTAAGATCGGATTTCGTACCAAGGCAGCGAACACCAGAATGTTTCCCAAGAAACCAGCCAGAGCCAAAATTGTCCAAGAAATAGACTCCAGATAAACTCTAAGGAAGCTGCGCGCAGAAAGCTCAACTGATGACATTGTTTACTTTTCTGTTCTCTTCTTTATTCCTGAATCTGCAAATGAAATTGTAATGTATTAGTTAGTTGCTGATTTGAGCAGTTTTGTCAACTGAAAAAAAAAATTACCTTGTCAATTTTCTTTAGATTTTTAGCCTTGATTTATGACTCTCGATTTCTTAATGGTTTTTTTTCCTCGCGGCGTTTTTGGCGAAATCGGTCGGTTTCATGACTTCGTCTCACACATCTCCGGTGAAAAAAGGGCAACCGGAAAATAATTCCACTTGAAGGCAATGTCAGGGTCTTTTCTGAGCACTAAAAGAAGCGATATTAGCGAGTTTGAAACGCAGAATTATCAGCGTAAATGAATCTCCAGTTCATCTGTTTTAGGGAAAGAAGAAACAAATTTGTGCCGCAGAATAACTTGTTTAAAGCTGTTTCAATATAGAGGACACAAAAGGTGTTATTTTTTTAGACTTAGTACAGTTTTGGTTTATGGTAATTTGTGATGCAAAACCATTTGTAATTAAAATAGAATGGAACCTTTTGTTAAAAAAATATTACATAACAAATTCGCTTGTTGTTTGGTCATGGAAGCGTTTAAAAACATTTTCGATAAATAGTTTTGCGGGAACCTATTTTCGGTGAAGATCAGACGTTAATTGTGGTAAATGGACACTTAATGTTTCTCTATTTGTTATGTAAAAACGTTCGGGGGTGTTCCTAAAGAAGTGAATCGCAACGAGCCACTCTATAGTACGCATGCAATTTGCAGTTCCTCGGTCCCTTCACGATATTGTGAAAGCTAAGCTGATATTTTTTAACTGAATTGAGTAATAAAAAGTGGAGTCCAATATTAAGGCGCTTAAATTGTTAATGAAATGATATTTCCCTCCAGCAATAAAAGGAGGTCGAATTGGTGAGGATTATGATAGAAGTTTGAGCTTAATGACAGGTCTGTGATGAGGTTTCACCTGCTAGAAAATTTAACTTACTTTTGTTTGTTTAGGTGCAACAAGATGATTTTGCTTCAGTAGTGGAAACTGTTGATGCTGATTCCGAGGACGAATTAAATACAAGCCATTTGGTAGGTTATGAAAGCAGTATCATGATTATGATCATGTAAAATCGTAGACGGGTGTTTGAAAGTGATGGCGGAGAAACTCACTGGAGTTTCACCTCACTCAAATCTGCCATCAAAAATTCCATAGCTTCGTCTTCTGGCTGTGATTCGTTTTTAGAAACTTCACGTTCGGTTTTAGTGAGTTTCACTTTTACAGCTTGCCTGAAGCGTGGAAGGGCTTCCGTTGAGGAGGAAATTAATCTACAGAATATGCAAGGCGGAATTTTAACAAAAGAAAAATTAATCCCACCCAGATTTCCATGTGATGTGTGATAAACATTTTCTTCTCATCATTGAGCTGCACTCAATTTGGGTCCGTCAAAATATATTCTTCCGATTACACGCAGTGTTTTATTTCCCCTTGCTTTCAAAGTGCATAACGCCTTCAAGTTCATCTCATATTTTCGAGAATCTCTTGTGTTAGTTTATTCAGTTCTGAATGTCTCAACAGGCAACAACTCTAATCGGTGCTCATATCGGGGAATGACTGGTCATTGGGATTTAAATCCCCTATAAAATGGCGCTTGTGATAGAAGCTCAAACTTCTGTCATAATCCTAACAAATTCGACTTCCTTCACGGATTTTACTGCTGGGTGAAAGAATCATTTTCACTAACGATTTAAGCGCCCTAATATTGGACTCCACTTTTTCTCAATTCAAAAAAATCTAATTTAAAGTTCCCTTTCCGAAGGCACTCCAATCTGAGGCCAGGACCGGCACGTCGGTTGGTGAAAAGAGGGCACAAGTAGCTCATGAAATACTCTCAACAGAGGTGGAATACATGAGATGTCTGTCTATTATTCAAGATGTTTTTAGGAAGCCTTTGCAAGCATCCCTTGCCTCAAACAGGTTTGTATTATGGAAGATATCACATTGACTGACTCACTCTAGCGATAACGAAGCTTTATAAAGTGAACCCTTTTTTCTCGTGGAGCTAACGTTTAAGATGTTAGTTGTGATTAGAATTAGGACGAGTAAAGTGTTGAAGAGACAGCAGAAATTTCAGTTTGACTGCACTTTAGCCGATTTAACTAAAGAAAAAAGAAAGATAAAGCATTAATTGCAAAAAGAAAACAGTTAAAAGGGGCATTTTTATCCTAAATAATGTCTCTTTCGGGTTATGCATGGTAATTTGTTACCCAACGCGAAACTGATGTATGAAAGGAAGGAAACTTTCCGCCTCTCTGCATCGCTCTCTTTCTCTTTCTGTTTTGTTTAGCTTTCCTTTGTGTTTTTGTTTCGCTTTCTGCATTAATAGCAGGCTCCAATTCCGTGGAACGAAGTTCTGATAAGAGAGGCTCACCGTATTTCAACGTAGAAATTCACAACAGCTGGGGTGAATTAAACTGTTCTTGCTTTTTTCGCGGCGCATCCAAATAGAGAATTTATTGGTTTGGAACGAGAAAGGGAAAACAAAACAGAAAAAGTAAGAGCTATCGGGGCAAGAACAAAAACTTCAACCTACTGTGTCAGTTGTATAGGTTTTGAAAAATTATCTCCGTGTTGGATAGTTGTTGTCTTTTTCCACGTAACAAGTTTTTTAATTTTTAGGGCCATAATCAGCTCCGCGAATATTCAGAGTTTGTTTGCTGACAGTGAGACGCTACTGGCCCTTAGCAGGTATAAAAGATAAGAAGGGATACAGATGGATAAAGATCGAGGAGATCGACTAATTGCAAATAACGAATGCGAGAAGCACACTTTGACTTGCTTGATTGATGTTCTGCATACTAATTTCCAGGAGTAACACAACACTGTGGATTTTTCTTATATTAGCTATCTCAAAAAAAAAAACACACTGTTGGACCTTATCCCTTGTTTAACAACCTAAATCGACAAGAAGAATTAGCTACCCTGGCATTTTACTAGATATTCCTGACAGTTCGCGGGTGCCTCTCCTTACATTTAGCCGCGCGAGGAGAAGCTCTGTAAGAGTTAAGTGTCTTTAGGAAACAATACAATGTCCCAATCAGAGCTCGTACCCAGATCTTAGACATCTGGTATTTTGCGTGCAAACAATTGATCCCAGATAATAACAGTTTTTCGTTTGAATCTGTTTCAGTCTTCTGGTAAATGACTTGTCAAGCCGATTAGACGAATGGAATTCGCATCAAGTAAGTTCACGGGGACCAAGCATGTCTCCCGTCTCTGAAACAAATTACACTTGCGATATTTCTCGCTCAAAAGTAACTGAATCTAGTTCAAACAAAGTAATCAAATAATGTATTTGCACTCAAGAGCTACAGCTTTCAACTTCAGTTACGCTTTGCTCAGATAATAGGAGATTCTTGAATTGATTTTGTTAGAAACAAGAGGGATATCCCTTCAACTTCTCTTCGCAGATAAGAATCTTAGGACCAGTTCCTTGTTGATATTAAAAAGAGCTATTTTCGATCAACGTTACATTGCAGCCATCTCATCCCCCAATAAAGAGTAACATGAGAGTAACAAAACTTGTCAGCCAAAGGGTTTCATTGTAATATAACATGAGATTCTCTCAACTGCTCAACAAGCAAACGTTTAGCTGCTAAAAAGGAGAATTACAGATCGGATTTTTGAGTTAAGGGGTCAAAGAAGTCAGCATAAGTTAATATAACATAAAAGTATTGAGTAAGCTGCCATTTATTACTACTGAAATGTTACTATGCTTAATATTTTTCAGATTCTGGGAGACATTTTCCTCAAGTTCATAAATCAGCTGCGGGCCTACACGAACTTCCTGAACAATTATCCTGTCACTCTACAAACACTTGAGAGGGTAAGAAACCGCAAGTGACCTTAAACTTTTTGCGGTCTTTGTCCTCCTTGAGGAAAAGATATTAACCTGTTTCTCGCACAAAACTTATTTCAAGAAATGGAGCTAGTTCAGGATAAGTTTTCAGGATCAAAAGAAAGTACCTCAAGATCGCTTTGGTCGTGCTTTACTCTGTGATTAGTCTATAAAAACAATACTAAATTACCGTGTTTCTAAACTAATGGGACGACTTGGACACAACCAAGTTTTGGCCACCGTAAATAATTTTGAAGTTTCGAGCGTTAGCCCCTCTTCATGGCTGGTTTTTACTTTGAGTTTTCCCGCGCTTTAGGCAGTATGGCTGGTTTTACTTTGAGTTCCCTTTGGCTCTTAAAAGTACCTTCATTCTTCTGATTGGCTCTTGTGATTACTCTGGTTTTGAAAATACGATACTCAATCGACAAGTGCTATAATATTGCATTTTAAACCGTCCGATTACATCCATCCATTAGTATGCAAGGGATCATTGGTTCGCACAAAATCTCATATTTTCTTTCGGTGTTGAAGGTGGAAAAGCGAAAGGTTTCCTGATTGAGTTATGACTGCATCGTCTGTTTCGTTTATTTGTAACAGTGTAGAGAACAGAATCCTCAGTTTCGTTCATTTCTCGGCCGTCATGAAAAGCAGCCAAGCACAAAAATGATGAGGTAGGTTGTAGAAACAAACTGATCAACGGACAGACGAACAGAGTGAACCTTTGAGACTTTGATAGATTGCTCATGTTTGCTGAAAGGTCCACACGTTAAATCTTTCACCCCCAGTTCCATCATAGTTCGCATTTATTGAAGAGTGAACTAACTCTTATTGTCACATTTCATTTTCAGTTTACCAGAATTCCTTTTTCTTCCGGGAAGAAGAGTGAAAAGGTTGGTAAACTGAAGAGTTGCCAAACTTTTTTTCCTTTTGAAAAGTAACCTTCTAGCCCAGAAATAGGAAAAAAATTGAAACATGCTTTTAAGGCCAAACATTACCAAATTTTTAAAGTTGTCATCGATTTCGAAACGTGAACAGAGCTTATTTCTTTTTCTTTGTCTTTAGTTACGTAGAACTGTTGGAGGCTTTCTTGAAGTACACGCCCCCAGATCACGTGGATAGGAAAACCCTCCCTCAGGCCATCGAGAAGTTCAAAGATCTCGACTGTTTATTCAGAGAGGTGAATGCAGCAGAGGAGAGCTTTGTTTAGTTTAGGCAAACTGTTACTTTAGTCTCTCGTCAAAACGAACCCTATCGCGACCGTCATTTGGTGTATGAAATGACCAAAGCGTATGCTGAAATCTCGAAGCGATGAAAATGTAACTAATTGATGTAGTAAACATTGAACACGATCGTGGGTTATAGATAGAGCGCATTTAGGAAGAGGTTCGTAAAACAAGACCAAAGTGGAATGTTAAGTTTCAGTCTTTTTGTCCAGTTGGCGTATACTTAATGAAATGCTCTTCTTAACAGTACAAGAACCGTCTAGAAAGAGAGAAATTTCTCCAAGAATTACAGAAGAGAATAGTTAACTGTCCGGTGAGTCGTTTGTTTTCGTCTAAACATTTGGATTCTAAAACCTTAAAAGCGTGCACCTTAGAAAATTCTAGAAGGGTTCGTACAGGCAATACGGGGACATAGAGGCCCATGGTTATTGCGCTGGTCTCCGGGTCTAGAGGTCTGGGTTCGAAACTGACTGAGTCAATGTGTTGTGTTCTTGGGCGAAATAATTTATTCTCACAATGCGTTGCTCACCCACTAAATGGGTACCGGCGAATTATCAGGAAGCCTGATGAAATGCTGGGGCGTAATCTTGCGATCGACTAACATCCCTTCCAGGAAGGACTAATAATACTCCTAGTCGCTTCATGCCAAGGTAACTGGGATAAGGTCCGGCTTGGAGGGCCACTGGGCTCGAGTACAGACTTAACTTTCCTCCATATATCTAATAATTACTTTCTTATACAGGTGCTCGCTGAGAAGGGTCGCCATTTCGTTCGTGAAGAGAATGTTATTCTGCTCTCCACTCCAAGCACTGGAAAAGAAGTAAAACCAGAATTTAGGTAAACAGAATTAAACCAAATGTGATTAGAAAATAAATAGTTCGTAGTCATGCGTGCTTATATAAAATTACGAAATACCTCCTTTATTCCATTTCTTCCATATTTAATAGCTGGCGAATACCTAAGAACACAATTGGAAAATAAATCAATCAGTTAAGAGATAAATGAGAAGAGACTGGACCTCGAATACAGAATCAAAATGTGGGAATACAAAAAGAATACAAAGGGGGGAGAGGAAGAGAAAAATTGTTTCTTGAAATTTGAAAACGAAAGAGATTTTCTACACCTTAGACCAATACGGTCACTTCAGAACATGATTGTATCCGATAAATCATTCTGTTAATTTTTTTGTTGCCTTAATTTATGCCAGGATTTACCAACAAGTTGGAGACCTTGGTTTCTTCTTGTTTAATGATGCTCTGGTGATCACGACCCTAACCTACAAGTTTGTACCTTTCCAAAGATTAGTTCAACGAAACTATAAGTAAGCGAAAGCAATATAATTACAAATTTCTATTCTTAAGTGATTAGAGGTCGTTTTCGTATCTAATTTTGCTATTTTAAGCTATGTCACGCCACTCTTGCTCCAGTTGTTGCGTTTCCAGTTGAATAGAACTGTCCCTTAAGTGTATTTGTGTATTTGTGTATTTCAATCACTTCTTGCTTCTCAAGGTTCCAAGCATGCCTCACCTTGAAGAAACTGAAAGTGGAAAATCTAGCTGATTCAAAATGTAAGTTTGTTAATTGTTAGTCAATATATCCCGCAAAAAATTTATAAATCTGTTAAAAATTCAAATTCAAATTTATGTCGAGCCACCTGATCATTAATCAGCCACTACCAGTCGTATTGAGGGCAACGAAAGTGAAGGGTATGTAAAAAATAAGTGTCTGTGAAGCAGGAAATGGAGTATGACCTCAGCGAATAAAAAACAGTTTTGAATGTCTCCAAATCCTCGGAAGGTGCTAATGCGAACTCCCTGCCACTTCCTCTTTACTGGAAAATCCTCCCATAACAACGTTTTCATTTTCATTTTAGATATAAAAAATGCATTTACCATTGTGTCACCAAAGAGATTATGGTTCTGCCAGTCACACTCATGGGATCAGAAATTTCAGTGGATTTCCGTTCTAGAGAGTGCCATTACCTCAGCATTAGAGAAATGCTAACGCTCCAGCGCCGAAAAAATCTCCTTTCCAGCCGTTGTTTGGTATTGTCACGATGTAAAATTCAGTTTCTCCGTCGAAGAGCACGTCGTGTTACAGAACTAAACAAGGGCTGCTAAGAAAACAATAACCCCATTATACCAAATACCGTATTCTTGCCATAACCTTTTGGTGAGAGTTTAACGGATTATTCCACTAGCTAAGGAAATTCTTCACAACGGTTTAAAGTGTGATGTTCGTTCGCCCCTTGACACGAATTTGTTTTGTTTTATTTTAATTTTGTTCTGAATGCAAATTAAGCAAATACTCTTGTAAATAAGTCAATTTGAATTTCACCTTTGTAAATAGAGTAAAATTGTTATATGAATAACCAGAGCTATTTTGAGGAATTTAGATATATGACCTGCGTGGATTTTTTCAATAAAAAAGGAGAGTGTAACAACATTTGAATCCTTGTAATTTGATCGAGTTTGAAAACCTCTTTTTGGTCTTCAATATCACTAAAAACAAAATATTAGGACACCACCATTTGAATCCTTACAGCCAAGTTCGCTACCGCAAACGTTCTAACTACCACCGTGATACGGCCTCCAACCGACGTTGGAAAGGTCTATGATTGGTTTTAAAACTGGCAACAATCGACCACTTGCAACACTGAAAAACAAATCGCGACTTTGTGGCGAGGGTTTTCCGCCTGCAAAGCCTACCGAAACTTCACATTTGTTACGTAAGTATCCTACATTTGTATGATTTCTCATTGTGATTACTTCCGTTTAGTTTCCAACTAGACCCTGTGAGCAGGGTAACTGGGATACCTGGATGGTACTGGATCTTTGGGATCAGGTGTAGTGATACTACGGGTGTCGGATTAGTATACTGAAATAGTGAGCTCAAATCTGGCCAAGGGCAGACACCTATTTCAAAACATAGGCATGCTATGCATGCAAGAGTTATTTTTTGTAGGGTGGGTGGATTACTTTAAACATTGTAAGTGGTCTTCATTCTTATAAAAGGAAAGAAGAGTATTAACACAGAAAATAACGAAAATGTCGAATTACCTCACACACAGGTATTTTGTGGTAGATTATGTGTGTTGTGCGAGTAATGTAACCAAAAATAAACTGTATTGGTGCCACGGATACCTGTTAGAACACAATGCAGACAGCAGACTGCAGACCGGATACAAAATATAGACTGCAGACTGCAGAGTGGGTACAAAATGCAGACTGAGAATCTGAAGAGTTTTTACGTCTGGTATATAATAACATGTCATCTTGCAGCTTACCGAGCGTCACGCAATCGCTTTTCCGCGATCATCCTTCACGATTATTTGCATTACTGTGGAAAATTCCTGGCCTGTTTCTTGATGGAAATCGACCGTAATATGATTTCAAGTCTTCAATATAGTCTTCTTACTTTGCGCGCGAGTTGGTTGGTGTGATGTCTGTACAGATTTTATCAACGTAATTAAAGTACATGACGTGAATAACAGTGATGTTAAAGCAAGCTTAAAACGGCAGAAATCGCCAGAAACTACAACGGATACACAGGGTATGAGTAAGTTTTATTAATTTTACGAGAAAAATGTTCAAATATTTATCGAAAAATGTTACGAAATATTTATCGCTGTAAATCGAAAATATTTCGTTCGCTATACTATTCCTTATAACGTGTTCAAATTTTCAACGTCTCCTCTCGTAATTTAACACCGAGTCACACAACGCGTGACGCGTTCATGAATTAATCTTGGCTTTTTCTCGAGGCGTGAGCTTGGGCCGCCCGTGACAAGACAATTGCGTAAACAATACTTAACATAATAACATTATACACAAAAAACACAGGATTTTGGATCATGTCTTTATTAAAAAAGAATATCCATACAACTACAATGAAAACAAACATAAGATTCACTTTTCTGATTGTGAAATTAATACCATTCGCACTGTTATCGTAGCTACGTTCCCTGGTATCAAGTGGATCCAACACGGCTTCTTTCTTCACAAGCAGTTTGCATCCATTAGAGTTTTGTTCTTCAGTATCACGGTAGTAGTGTTGTTCAATAGATTGCATAGAGTATATGCAGTTTGGTTTCAGATTTCAGATTTTGCTTTTTACAATTAGTGTAAGTTTTTCAACTAAGACATTGGCATACTTGGCATACAAGGCATACAAGGCATTCAAGGCTTTCATGGCTTTCAAGTGTTCGCGACTCAATCCGTTCCAAAATTACTGCTCAATAACATCTTTTAGTGTGGATTGGCTGCGAACAATACGACTTGTGTATGCGTCTGTAAGTATTTTGAGCGTTGGCGCCATACACGTTAAAACACAAAACGACTGACGAAAGAGTTTTATAAGCACAAATCTCGTGGTTCGTCATGTGACCCGGCCCTGTCTGTGCATGACAACGTCAATCATCATCAAGATAGCACGCGTGATCAGCATGTGAACACCTCATTGGATCACAGTTAGTTGTCATGGTGTTGAAGGCCCAATGACCACTGGGTACTATTGCGCAATTTTTCCATTTTGTGGCGGAGGAAAAAAAAAAAAGACGACAAAAAAACAAAGGCATTTTATGACTGGGCTACTACAGGTATCCCAGTAAAAAGCTGACTGAAGAGTGAAGATAGCAGCCGTAAGGTATGAATCATGTGCTCGGTGTTTAGAGTTTCTCACGAGTTTTCATTGATTCATTTCTTCACGTGTGGGATGCGGCAAAGTGTAAGAACACAACTTACACACAGTCTACGCCTAGCCAGGAACAGACCGCTGTTTAAGTCTTGCGTCGGCAGCAAAGATCGTATCACCATAGTGACGATAACCTTATGCAGCTGCCTATCATAGGGGGTTAAAGAGGTGGGGGGGGGTTACTGTGGTAAAATGAGTACTGACGCCGGAAAAACGAGAACGGTGTTAGAATATCACTAAAAAAATACAAAATTGTGATCCACAAATTAGCAGGTTCTATACTCAAAAGAAGTTTTATTCTTCTTGACTGCATATATTATTTCAGGTAAAATAACCTCAAGAGAGTTCCAGGTGGCCAATATATACAAATACCTGCTTTGTTTGATACATCGCTTTTTACCGTCAAAGAAAGAAGCTGGGCGACTGAAGTCTCTTTTCAAAGTTAAAGATAATGGACAGGTGAATGAATTTATAGGAATCGCCATAACACGGCGATTTTAAAATGTGTTATTGAATGTACATTTTGCGTTACGTTTTTTGTGTTAAATTCAGAAAATTCCCTACCGAGAATATTTAACCACGAAAAAGTCACTACTAAATTTATCAGCAAAAATGTGCTCCATCAGTCGCAAATTTGGTAGCTCACCGGTGAATTTTCTAAGAAAGTATTCCTCTCCCCCCGCCTCCTCCCGGCCGGTGCAATTCAAATCGAAATGTTAGCGGCAGCGTGTAATTAACAAGACTACGTGATCTTAGTGTTTTCAAAGGCTAAACTTTTGATTATTCAATAATCAAAAGTTTAGCCTTTGAAAACACTAAGATCACGTAGTCTTGTTTTTTTTTGAAGTTCACTCTTCAGTTTCCTTGAGACCTAAATATCACCTTTCTGGCGCTAAGAATATCATTTTCTTCCTTTCGGCGATGAAACTGTAAGCGAACTCGAGATGGAACAAATTGTTGACTTATTTCCTAGGGGATGAAATAATTTTTAGGGAAATATTCCTTACGAATTAATCATTTTACGTTGCGCAACCATTATCAGCTGTTTTTTGTCCTGAAACGTGTTTTTCAATATTCATTACTCCTGATATTGTAGCTCGGTTTTTAACCACGTAAATTTTAAGTGATTTTGAGTTATAGAATATTTTACTTGAGCAGGTTTAGTGGAAGTAACTTAACCTCTGTGCCAAGATACGGTTAATGTATACGTCACGAGCATTTTCCATTTTTTTTTTTTTAATACAGTCGAAATAGAAAATAATATTGGTAAATTTGGATAAAACTGCATCAAATGAGTCAATATCTGGGGTCAAATGTTTTCTTGAGGCAAAAAGCGTGGTCAAGCCGGTACTATATTTGCTCCTTTTTATTAGTTATAACGAGGCCTAACGTTTCCTAGCGTAAACAAACAACCAAACACAACGAATACGTTCTGCTAGCTTCTCCATTTACAGTATTGCTCTTTTTGAGCAAATTTTTGAATCCGCGCGTGAATTTTATAAAAAGAAACATCAGAACACCGAGTCAAATTGGTAACAAAGTTTTGAGAGGCTCTTAAACACGGCTCCGAAATGTTGGCTCTCATCGATACAGACAGGTGTTTCAAACTGGCTAAACAACTTCCATATGCAAATTTACCAGCTCTTGTCACCGAGTAATCCAGTCCGCCACAGCAAGCTTTATAATCGGCGCAGCATTTATTTTTGATGAAAACAGCAGTCATCCAGGCGATCATACGATGTTGTGCGCGATCTTCTCAGATTCGTCTCTGATCCTTGACCAAGACTCAGCCTTTTAAGTTCATATGAAGCGCTGTAAGCGATAGGAAAGCATGAATTCATCATCGCTTTCGTTGGACGAACTGCGTGTTTCCTTTCCCAGACAAGGATCGAATGTGCAAAAGCGAAACGTTGATGGGGAAGATAGCTATAATGGCGTTGACAACGCGAAAATGAACCGTCTAGCAGTCGACAGAGAACTAAGAAAAAGGGACACTTTACTTTCGGGAGATTATTTCTTCACGGACGGAAACAGAGAAGATGGAGATGTGCGTAGACTACCAATTATTAACCCAGCATCCAGGAAGCAGAAAGGCAATTCGCAGCAAGCACGAAAGAAGGTTGAAAGAGGAGATTTTAGTAGCCCGGGTATGGAAGACTTATCGACTTGGGGTAGACCAGCCACGGTAAATACAAGAAGAAGAGAAGTCAAACTTGAAGGAAGCACAAACGTAAGGAATAAATCTAGATCTCCAAGGCCACGTAACTGTGAGGAAAAGGCAAAAAATTATGATATGGAAGATATTGGCTCTTTAGAAAATTCCCTTGGGCGTTTTGGCGATACACGCTTTCGCCAGTCCCTCGACCATTGCACCGAATTACACGGGCAAAACAGAAAGCTGAAATTATTTCATCCACCATCTAGTCCAAAACCGGACCTTGATTTCGAGGGGAAAGTCACCGAATTTAAAGAAATGGAGTTCTCGATAATCAAAGGCCAGAATACAAATTTAGCAGGAAGACGTAAGCACCGTGCTTTGCTAGAATCTCCACGAGCCCATGAAACGGAAATATTTCACGCCGAGTCACTTGATGCAAGAAAGACGCCGAATACTTCGATGACAAATTTAGGAAAGCCTGCTATAATGGGCCTAAAAGCAAACACTGAGGAAGGCCAAAGCCACTATGATGAAAGCACTAAACGATCTGATCTGCGATCCCCGAGACCCCGAAATTGCCAAGATTTTGGCCGAAGGTTCGAAAGTGATTCCATCGCCGAATCATGTGTTGTTGATAAGAAAGGTTCAAAAGGTCCTCCAAATTCCCACAAATTACCTCCCAAGCTTAATTTAAATGGGACAGCAAATTCTTTACAGTTGGAACAAAAGGGATTTTTGGCATCGTCACCAAAAGATATTTCTCCTAGGCTATCTCCAAAGGAATCTGAAAGTAACGACCAGCCTTTATTTGGCCTTTCGTCAAAAAGCCGTCAAGTGCAAGAACTCCCTTTAGATCTTCCAGAAAAAGTCACCAGGTTCATAGAGATGGAGTTCTCTATCATGAAAGGAGAGACTGCGAGACTGAGTCACAAACAGAAGTACATCGTTTCCACCGATGCGGAGTGTCCTCGGGAAAAAGCTATGATTTTTCCCAATCGTTTGAACTCGCGAAAATCGGAACAAACTCTCTCGCTTTTACAAAGACGTGGTCGAATGAAAAAGAGCTCGTCCTTAAACCTGAAATAGTTTCACCTGTTTGATAGATAGATTCCTTTTTGCACTGTGTTCACAATGACGTCAAACGTGGGTGTAGTTGGCGTTCTTTATTCCTGCATACGGGAGACTTTTTGACTAAAGACAGACATAACCGAGAGCATTTTTGATATGAACGCAGAAATGAACTTTTTAACGAAAGAGGGAATAGCATGATTTTCAAGAGAACCGAGGGGGAAATCAGTCCTAATTGACAGGCACTAAGGGAGGGGGGACATGAAAAAAGGCGGAAAATACTCGAAGCAGTGGGATCAATTTATTACCTTTTTAATGATCTTGTATTTTTTTTAGCTTTGTTTGTTGTTCAGACACGATCAGACACTGACCCTTGAGCAATATCCTCCAATAATGTTGGCCGGGATTTCCTCCTCTGTTAACTCTTGAATAACCTCCTCGTCCGATTCCTCAGCAGAGTGCTCGTCCGAGCTTGACTCTTCAGTTCTTTTTCCGTTTAAACTGGCTTCTATTACAGGCACAAAGGGGGGGGGGGGAGGGGGGCATGAAAAAGGGAGAAAATGCTTGAAGCAGTGGGATCAATTTATTACTTTTTTAATGATCTTTTGTTTTTTTTTTTCGCTTTGTTTATTGTTCAGACACGATCTAATGTAATGAAAAGAACAATTGTTGTGCTTGTATGTATTAAACGTGAAGCTTGAAAATGCGGTTGCGGTTTAAGTTCTATAATGTAAATGTCCATAAAGTTCCATGTTTCCAATTCTTTAGAGTCATTGAGAGACATCAGTCCCCGCATTGGGAGCATTCGATAAACATGGCGGTACGTTGTCCTTACAAACAATAACAACAGAATTAAGAAATATATCAATATACATACATTTTGACAGGTGTTTAGTTTAGAGTGACTGCTTCGTCCCCCAATTCTCCGTTTAACTCAGCATTAATGTTGCGATGCTTACAAAACTATTGATATCTTTGATTGCATCAAACACCTCTCCAGTTAACTCTCTTGAGGTGAGAAGCAAGTATACCCTCTGTTAATTGCATTCGCTTCTCCTTTAATCTTTTCACATTTCCTTTTTTCCCTTTTTTTCTACGCGATTGCCGACCTTTTCCAATGCGAGATGGAAACTTCCTTTTCAGTTTTATAGGAGCTGTTCAGTTGTCAGCTTATTTGAGACTTTTTGAAATTCTTCGCGGAGCATCTTTAGCTCATCACTTGCAAAGGGTTCTGGAGTATGGTCTTCTCTATACTCTATAAAGGACTTTCCGCTTTCTGTCGATAAGAGATTATAGACTGTTTGTAATCTTTTGTCTGTTGCAGATTTCAAGGTGTCATTTACGGTGGCCAAGCAGGACTCACACTTGACGTACAACATCATTATTACTCTTGAATTTTATGATGTTTTGATATACTCCCCACTTCTTTTTCTCAGAAGATTGTTTTCCCTTAGTCTGAAAAATCTTTACATTTTGTGTTTTGACTGGCAGCACATTTGCTGTTGTTCAAGGTGATACCGTTTGAATCCGCCCTGTTTATTAAAATCCGCAGATTAACAAATCTGCTTAACAACGTTTACGTAAAACTTAAACCCTACCGGTGTGTGGGTTAGCAAGCAGAAATTGTTTCCATAATTCCTTTTCTGACGATGCCGAGTCGTTCCTCAGGACTAGTTACTGTCCAGAGCGTCCAATCGATATAATTACCTGTTTTCTCCTCTAGGGAGTATTAGACGACTTAATACCAGTCAATTACATAATTGTGGTTGTCTGTACTCGGCGGGAACCACTGATCTGATCAAAACAATAACCAATCAGAATGCAGTCGGAAAAACACAGACACTGATTCTTGCTGTTTTCCACCGAACAGTACGTTTTCATCAATGGATGATTTTAATACCAGACAGAGTAGTTCTAAGGGTAAATTAGTGTTATCAACTGAGTTGATAACGTAAATTGGCCACCGTAAAGAGATACAAAGCCGACTTTTCGAGCGTTAGCCCTTCGTCAATCGCTCTGACGAAGGGCTAACGTTCGAAACGTCAGCTTTGTATCTCTTTACGGTGGCCAATTTACGCTATCAAGTCAGTTGATGATACTAAATTACCCTATACTCTCCCACCGACGCAGCGACGCAGTTTCTTTAGAAACTTACCCTCTTTATTCAGAGTGCTTCTTAGTTGTTTTCTGTTCCTTAGCTTCCTTCTTTGATGAAACGCACAGTCAAAATCCTACCAATTTTTATCAGACTCTGCAGCTTATGTTCTTTTGTTATTCCATGTTAGAGGTGATTTCCTCTAAAATAACACGAGTATGAAATTTTTTTTGTGAACGGTGACACTCGACCGTGAAAGTAATGTCTAACCTAAACTATTACAACAATGGAACGTCGACTGGTACCTACGTGTCACCCTGAAAAAGACCAAATTTATTGTCCCACGCTGCCACCCCTTCATGCATAAATTATGTGTTTGGAATTAATATTTCAGCTACATGCACGTTTAACCCACTTTTAAGTCGTCTGAGGCTAAGGATTCAACTGAGGGCAGGTAACAACAAAATCGAAAACGGTAAAGTACAAACTTAATTGTGTTGTCCCCAAGTTGTAATTTTCTTCCCAGAGTAATGGAGCTCAAATTTAATGGGATTTTAACAACGGTTTCTAAAAGTTAGGTTAACGGTAAATACTATTTTCTCAATTGGACAGTCAAATATGTCAACAGACAAGGTGCACACTGACAACATTAGTTAAAAAGGAATTGTCAGTTAACTAAGAATTAGTAACATTTAAATGTTGTCAAAATTTCCCACATGTGGGGGTCAGGTCATTAATGTAACATTTGCTTTCTCTCTGTTTCTTAACTTTTCGTGATGTTCGAAGCCTTCTAGTGCAACTAATTTTATGTTAAGACACAGAGTAAAATCGCAGCAGTCTCGTCATATTCCTCATTTTCAGAACTTGTTCTTTCACTCGACAGGTAATAGGGGCACTAACAATTTCCTGTACCAGAATTTTTCCGAAACTTACCATCGCTTACCCTTGAGTTGTTAAAGAAAAAAAAGAAAAGAACAGAAAGGAAAACAAAAGATAAAAGGGTAATTTGATCATATTGTACCTATGCATCACCTGCTCTCAGTTTTAAATTTTAAGTTTCATCAAAAATTTCATATATCTGTCTTCTCTCGTGGGTTTGGTTTCTAAAGAAAATGTGGTGCTGCGTCGATGGTGGAGTAAAAAAGATAATTTGGTTTTATCAACTAAGTTGATAAAGTGAATTAACCACCGTAAAAATTTTCTAAGCTGGCGTTTCGAGCGTTAGCCCTTTCGCTCTGACGAGTGACAGCACTTCCTGACCTACGTACGGTTTAAATCGTGTCTCCCCATGTTCGCTTTAAATAAAAATTTTGAAAATAATATTCTGTGATCCTGATCTTTGCATCTAAAGAATTTCTACCTTCTTCTTCAGATGTTACTGCAGATTGTAATTTTTGGCTGGTTATTCTTCATAGCAAGTGAGTCACCGAACGTATCATAACATCAACCCCATCAGCGACACCCTCGTGCATGCTAGTCTAGCTTTGACGGAAAGGTTTCCAGCAGATTTGTTTTCAGTTTTAGCCCGGAGGCCGTTCAAGTAATAGAACAAACGGTAGAATGTGGAGGTTTATTTATCGTTTTTACTTGTTTCTTTGTTTGACGCAAGGGAGTCATCTGACACACTCGTCAGCGGTACCAACTTAAGGTATATCTAGCTCATGCGCAGAGCCATATAATACACGCAAAGCCAGTCATGACCAGCTGTTGCGTCCTTGTCAGGACTCATGTTTATAGCAAAAACGTCAGTATTTGCCCATTACTACAGCGACGGTTGCGAAGCTCTCCAATTGCACCAGTTCCAAACAATGCAGGTGGTTTCTGTGTGTTGGGTAGCTGTCACTGCCGTCATATAGTGCAGGGTGAGTAACTAATGGGGGCGGGGGAGAGGGAGGGTAATCCTCGCATTTTCATGATCCAACCTTTATGAAATTGTTTATTCAAGTCAACAACGAGAGAATATCACCTGTCAACTGCATACAATCTGACTTTGTTATTCAGGTGGCGAAAAAGCGCGAATCCGAAGAATTCATAACTCGGCGCTCAACAACATAATTTCTTATTTGATGTAACATTGTAGGAATATTGACATGAAATTCAGATTGGTTCCCTGGGTGTGACCCGTTGAAACCTTACCTCACCCCTTTGAAGAATCCCTGCCACGCCCCTGCCCTAGCTATGCCTCTCCAGTGACTGGAATCAGTTTACAGCACTAACTTAGCTTTGTTCTACGGCTGACAACTAAAAGAGAACATAACAACATTTTTGATCCATAGGAGCAGAATTTAAATGCCACGAGAAAATAGACATGGTTATTCTGCTTGATAGCTCTGGAAGTGTGTCAGAAGAAGTATTTGGAAAGACCAAGAAATTCGCAAGAGATCTTGTTAAACTGTTTGATATTTCAAAAGAAAAGACAAACGTGGCCATCTTAACGTACAGCCAATACGTTCGAGTATTGAGGAGATTCGACGATGAAGTTTCAATAGAATCCGTCTTGAGAGCTATAGATAGAGCCAGATATGAAGCGTCGTTCTCTAGACTGGATTCTGCACTTGAAAATGTCCGGTATAAAATCTTCAAGAAGGAGCAGGGAGCAAGGTCCTCTTCAAAAGGTATGAGAAGGACGCCTCGGTGTTTATAAACCTTGTGCTGTGTCAACCAATTTGCAAACTATAATCGGGTGGTGTATGATAGAGGTAAAGATAAGACGCTGGTGAGGGCGCTTGCTTTGCACCGACATAGTACACGCATGATCAATTTGATCCAGTCTGAGGTTTAAAAACGATCTTCCACACCATTCACCAGTTTAGATTTCAAAATCTGGATCAATGTCAGTATCTTAACAACTGTACACCACCCCTAACCCAACAACAAGCAACTCATAACAAGATAGGTTTAATGTGAGGGGAGGGGAGGGGTAGGTGTGCAATTGCTCACGTACTGACATTGATACCAAAATCTTTTATCGAATTGTGGGGATCACTCAGGACATTACCACATCTTAAAATGGAAAAATGTCGGTCCTCGTGGTGTCATGTTAATAAACTTTAAACCTCACAGGAGTTACGTAACCCAGAACTATCAAGGAATCTATTAATATTCGTTTCCGTTCAAAACCGCGTGTGTTGGAATTTTCTTGTCAGTTACAGTTTATTCGTTGTGTATTAAAGGTCTTTTCTTAAAGTGGAGTCGTTTCGCGTTTGAAGAACACAACAGTGGGGCCTGAAATAAAACAATCTGATTGGTTGATTGTAGATTATCACTGACTATTATAACTCTTTAAACTCCTCAATCCTTTGTTGGCTTTACAGGTGTTAAGAAAGTTCTCGTGGATGTGACAGACGGTTTTAGTTCCCTGGGAGTCGAATTCACAAAGAAGTTAGCCGGCTCTCTCAAGAGAACTGGCCTCGAGTTATTCTCGGTAGGAACCTCTGATCTCCAGTACAAAAGTGAAATTGAAGTACTAGTTAGTAAGCCGAGCAAATCTCATGAACTCTTCAGAGACCTTAGGAAGAGTTATTTTAAGAAAGATGAAATAGAGCAGTTTGCGAGAGACATTTGTAAAAAGGAATGAAAAGAAGTACTTTTGAACAAACATATAACTTGACAAGAAATAAATGATTGATCAGTGTTCAAATGTGTCAGTGCCTCGCCAGGATGGTTTCAGGACTTTTGTGTTCTAGTTCTGATCGGGTACCCTTGCGTACAACATTTGATTATCTCAGTGTCCCCCCAGAACTGACGATTTTTTCTTGTGAAAAAGTTTCTTGAAGTCATAATAGTTGGCCTTTGGCCACGAAATAAATTCTTTACTGACCAACTTCTTTCAGTTTACTAAAGATGGCTGAGTCAAGTTGACGCTTTCCTTTAGAGCACTTTCGGTATGCCTAAGACTTCCAAGTTATTACATTTAAAAAAAAACTCAAAAAATGAGAAGTATGTAGACATACCCATAAAACAAAGTGAAACCGAAGTGCGATTAAGCTTATAAATCCACTCTACCCAATGAATTATATCATTACGTGATGGGCTCCTGATTATATGCATTTCAGCAAAATTCATTGCTGCTATTGTGCTTTCACCAGGGGCTAGACTCGTTCAGGCCGTGTTGACACCTGGGAATGCATGCGGAAGTTGTTTAGATTTACTGATGAAATGGATTTCAATTTTTTCAGAACGACAGAAACATAACATTTATTTCTGTCAAATATTCTTTCAGCGTTTACATTATGTTTCCATGGTAACAAATGCTATATGCGCGGATACTAAGCGCCAGAAATACATATACCCATAATGCCTTTCGGTGATGTCTTGAGAGAACTCCCCCGTCTATCACTACACCGGGTAGAATTCCTTCAACCGAAAATAGAAATTGTACCCATAATTCTCCAAATGTAGACTACATTTTCGCTAGTATTTTAAAATCTTCTGGCTTTCCTTTTATTTTGGAATCACCATGAGTAAGTAGCACTTTTCTCGAGGCCTTACATCTCGCTCAATCTTTTTGTTGTTGTTGGGGACTAAATATGATCTCATTTGTCTGAAGGTCGGAAAGCACGCGTTACTTTTAGCTACAAGCCCGAACAGGAAGATGAACTAACCTTGGAAGTTGGAGACATCATTACTAATATAACTGATGTGGACGTTGGTTGGTGTGAGGGAGAATTGAACGGAAAGAGGGGAATGTTTCCAGATAATTTCGTCGAGGAGTTCAGCACGCCTGGCGAGGAAGTAGCAAATGCTGCACCACTTCCGAGCTCCAATTCTAAAACAGGTCAGGTGAAACATGAACTAAGAGTAAGAGAACGTTTCCTTGTAGATTATCGAATCTTTTTATTGGAAAAAAAAAAAACGTAATTCGGGTTTGGCGGGATTTATTTCATGACAAGCTGTTTCGCATAGTTCTCAAATATCGATTTCATTTAATTCGTATTTGCATATGACTGCAAGTTATATTTGAAGTTGAATAATCTTTCTTACTAAATTTTCGTGAGTTCAGTAGCCCTGAGTTTTTCAGTTTTAGTTAGAGCTATGTTATACTGAATTAACAAATGGCTTTTAATTTTGCTTATAAATGTCCCCATAACAAAAATCTCGCGTTCTTCCTGTTTGTGAAGAGCTCTACGGAATACTACAGTTTCGATTTATTATTCTCTCTTGAAGCTTGTTTACCTCATTTGTGAAAATTGAATAGCGTTTTCAATTTGGACCTATCTGTTTGCTCTTCAATGTATACTTTGAACTTTCCACTTCGGCTGACATGCATGAATATTACAAGGATATTTTTGTGTGGTATTCGAAACTCTTCCTTAACTGATGTCTACTTTCAATTTGTGAGGTTTTCTGATCGCTTTCGAAAGGAAGTTTCTGTGTTAATTAGACATTTTCCTCTAACGGTTAACCCTTCCAAAGTGAAACTATCAATTTAACAAAGAGATGAACTGATCAGTGGCAACTTTGGAATTTGAAGTAAGAGAACAGTGACATGAAAGGAAGATAATGTGTCTGTAATGAACCTGCCATAATTCAGTATGTTCTGTTATCAGTTACCAGTTTTCTCTGGAAAAGATTACATGGTTCCAATAAGATTGGCTTTTATTTGTCCAAGATACAATTTGCTGTGAAATAAATTCCATTTGAACTGCTGATTGAAAGCTATGATCTTAGCAGGTGGGCTGCAGTTTCAGTATCTGCAGTAAAGATGGGATTTGAAATCAAGCTTCTCAGATACCAGCAGTCAAGATTGAGGAGCCAGGCTTGTTTCTTCCAACATCATACCACCTGTAGAGACCTGGGGCAAATGATTGGATGTGAGGAAATGGAGGTTCTGATTCCAAGAAAAAGTTCACTTGATTGCCAGTCAAGAAAACTTTCTCTTTTAGACTGTTTTCTTTTCCTTTGGTCTGATTATTTGCCCCTAGGTTTTTTCTTTGTGAATTTTACTTTACTAAAGTATGTTTTGTTAAAAATTTTCTTGAAATTGCTTATTGTAGGAAAGAAGGCCAAAGTAGCATTTGATTATGAGGCACAAGATGCTGATGAATTGACATTAAATATGGGAGATGTTGTGGATTTTATGGAGGAAGTAGAAGAAGGCTGGTGGAAAGGCAAATTGCATGGAAAAGTTGGTGTCTTTCCTTCTAATTTTGTTGAAATGATTGAGGAAGAGGACACCAATCCAAACCAAGACAAGCCAGCACAGATAAAAAGTAATTCACAATTATTTGACATATTACATGTGTATGTATACTCTGGACAGCCAGTTGTTGTATTGTATCAAAATATTACTTAATTTTTGCACCTGAAACTAAATTAGTTTTATACAGGTGTGTATACTAATTTTTGCATTTATCTGCTCAAAAATGCCTGAATTCAACGACAGTCCACTCCCTGGGTTAAATGTGTTAAAAAATCCCTAATGTTTTTTTCCCGAGGCTCTCAATAAATAGAAAAACATCTCTCTTTATGTCATGACCAAGTTTGAAATTTTACCATTTTTCTTATTCCATTCACTCAAGTGAAGCATGCAATTTTTACCAATCCTGACAGTATGTGGAATGAGTATCATACATGAATCTGTTAATTGCTTAGTTTATCATAGGATTTCTGTGGCTCTGCCTTAGAGCCTCAAAGCAAGAAACCTGAGGGTCTGAGATTTGATTCCTAGTGAGGGCTCAGAATTTTTTCTTTGTTTCATGCTTATGACAAAATGAAAAAACTTCTTCCTCTAGGTCCTCCAGTAATTTCATACAAGTACAGTACACTTGTTGATTGATCTACTGATTTTAAAACTAGAGTGTGTACAAAACCATGCCATCCTCAATAACAGCAATGCCATAACTTGTGAAGAGAACTTGAGTTGGTGGCTTGATAGTGTCCACACAATACATTTCCTTTAAAACTATTGGGTAATTTTTATTGATTTTCATTCATTTCAGCTGAAAAAGAGCCAACTGTCAGTCACGGTCGGTTAGGAGTTGCAGTACTCGAGGATCATGATGCTGGTATCAATAAAAGACATTCTGGTGTAGAAAAGGCTAAGCAGTTGCCTGGAGGGGGTATGGGATTTGGTAACCTCGTTAACCCCGACATGCTTGCTAAGAAACTCAAGAAAGTCCATCATGACGAAAAGAAGGAGAAAAAAGACAAACTTGAAGATAAAAATGTTCCTGCTGAACCAAGCAAGACTGCTGCCACTGCAAAGGCACCTTTGGTATGACTTTATAAATTTTCTCTCTAAGTCTCTAGGCCTTTATCTTCCGAATGCCAGGAAGACACAAATTTATAGACCTTGGTCATGTATTATGTTTCTTATGAGAGTCAAAAATTATATTGATGATATTTGGCCAATGGATGATGAAAGGCACAATTAATGTTTACTTGCAGATTTACTAAGGTTAAAGTGATATTTACCTCTCATGGTTAGGAAAATTTAGCAAAACTGGTGGGAAAAAAACCAGATATTTTTGAGGACATAAAGATCACTTCATGACATTGTTTTGTCCTCAAGTTCAAAATCATTTGCACCGACCAGAATCATAAATTTGCATGACTGTATACCTTGAATGTGTTGCAAGGAGAAATTCTATAAACAGGATTCGGTGTGATGTCAGCACAGAATTTACAGTTTTTGTCCATTTAGAATCAAGACTTCAAAATTTGTTTAAGTGTTGATACTTGACTGGACTTATTGTAACTTACAGGGGTTTTAGTTTTAGGTAAGCAATAAACAACACTATTCAGCATAAAATCCAGTGATATAATCTTTTACAGGGTACCAAATCAAGGCCTGCACCCCCTGTTCCATCCACTCCTCCAATTGTTCAACCAGGTATATTTTTTGCATTGTTCACCCTTTATACCCTTATATCAGTATGCATATTCTCCATACTGTTCTCTATACATTTCATATGGTACCTACATGGAGAATTTGTCTTGAACAGTTGAGAGCTTCTTTGGTAGGTGGTCTTTCCTTTGTTCTCATGACCTTTATTAATTAATGTTTCATCAGATATGATACTGTAAGCATAAATTAAATGCTGGTCACTCGTAGGGGCTAAAGCTCAAGAGCTATGTTAACCATTTACGGTATGATATGGCAAGAAAGAACTAGTTTTAATACTGCTGCTTCATCTACCATCTAGTAGATCTGGTTCACGCAAGTGTGTTTGTGCTAATCTTACGTATTTTATTTTTAGCCAAGAAACCGACTGAACGTGCAAAAGTCGTGTTTGATTATGAGCCTGAAAATCCTGATGAACTTAAATTAACAGAAGGAGATATTGTCATTGTTACGAACCAAAACATTCCTGACACAGAGGGCTGGTGGGAAGGAGAGCTAAATGGAATAGCTGGTGTCTTCCCTTCTAACTTTGTTGATCTGCTACCAGTAGGTGCAGAAGAAGTTTTATCAAAGGTATTGGGGTTTTTTTTTCTTAGCACCTTATTTTATTGTGCTCTAAGATTAAATTGTGCTTCAATCCTTCACCAAAATCTAGGCAAAGTTCAGACAAAAGATTTGAAAATGAACACATGTAGCCAACAGTACCCTGCAACCCTTTGCAATGTTGGTTAGCACCCTGGAAACAGAGAGAAAATTGTAGCTGGTTTAAAAGTCACTAATACAGTGTAGGAGTGGGGTGCATCCATCTTGGAATTCTTCTATGAGAAATAGGATTTTCACAACAGATAAGCACATTTTTCCAGATTTGGGCATAGTGGTGTGGGTGTTCCAATGGTGTTTAACCAGGATCATACAGCTGTACACTTTAAGAAGGTTTCAGTCCACCAATTACTCTAGTTTCTTGTGCCTATGGTTGCATGAAATTGCACAAAGTTTATTGAAATTTAAATTTAGTTATGTTTTGTCTTTTGGTGACTTGGTGCACTCAATATTTCTCTAATTTCAAATATCCTTCTCTCCTCAAAAGTGTGAAACTCGTGATAATAAGAATACAATACTGTTTAATATTGTTGAGCACTCCTATCATTAGCTGATAATATTAGTTGAACTTTACTTAGTTTTTACTTCCTCCAGAGTGACTGAGCTGCCATTAGTAAAAGTTGCTGGCTGGAATTTTACAAAAGGGATCTCAATATTTGTATGTCAGAGAGAAAAAAAGGGTTTATCTGGAGGTTCTACTGTGTTGTACATATGAACACTGACACTGCTATTGCCTTATTACCAGGCTCCTGCTCCTGCTCCTGCTCCTGCTCCTGCTCCACCTCAGACTCACAAGAAAAGTGTTCCAGTTTTGCCTATGAAAGATGAACTGAAAAAATCTCCAAGTAAGTATTGTGGCCTCTGTTGCACTCCTTTTTGTAATAAATTGGGATACTTTGACAAAGGCAGCAACTCAACATCATTTTGGCCCTCCTGCTCTTTCAATGTTTTTTTTCTCTCGGCACATTTGCACCCCTTGTGTTGTAAATCCATGCGGAAAGGATTAGAGGAATTTAATTTGTTCACACACCTGTAGTATAAATTATGTAACAATACTGTCTTTGTACTTGTATCAAAGTTGCCTGCAGATACAGGTAGTGATTTAAGCCTTTGGGACCACTATTTTTGGATCTCTGCATCTGCAGATATTTTCTAAAGCCAACTTTATACACTTGAAACCTGTTTGAGGAGGTAGCTTAGCCAGGTGGTTTGAGGAGATCAATCCATAGGCTGCACTCCTTAAATAGCCAATGTTCTGCCTTGGGCAGGATAACATTTTTAACCATTTTGCGGTTATTTATACATACATTTTAAATATTGTTCATTTATGTTGGCCCCAAATTGCCCCATGGAAGCTTGGGAATAACTGATTCAAATATGTGTTGCACAACCCTTTAGCTGTTAATAATATATTTGTTAGTTCATTCACTTCTCTGTTTTTGATAGTGTACCTGTATCTCTCTGCTCAAATCCACTCAGATGTGGTAGACTATCAGTTTAGTGCACTATGACCCCAATTGCTGCTCTGTGCAACTTTTGTGTGATGAATTACAAATCAAATCCTGACAAATTTCCTTCCTTTGGTTTAACTTTTTGTTAACCCTTTCACTCCCAAGATATCATTATTTGTTCTCCTTACTGTCTGCCATGTCATTCTCACTGTGTTTGTTCAGAGAATTTGGTAGTGGATCAACTGAATCATGCCCTCATGATATTTTTCTCTATTCTCAACACTTGTCTGCTTGATATTAAATTGATATAATTATAAGGAGAAATTCTGTCTTGATTACTCATGGGAGTTTAAGGGTTAACTTTTGGATTGTGCAGTTATGACTTGTGCCATGTTTATTTCATTTTGTTAAGAACTACCAAGGAAACATTCCCCTCCTGTCTCTCCTAAAGAAGAATCAAATGTTGATGCTATCCCAGAAGTCAAGAAACCTGTCAAGGATACAAGTGGGGAGCCCCCAGCTCCAGCGCCAGCCAAACCAAAGCCACCGGTGGCAGGTCAGAAGCCTGTTTTACCACCCAAGAAACCTTTACCAATCCATAAGAAACCTGCCACTAAAGGTATAGCAAAGAAGCCTGAGAAGAAAGCTGAGATTGAAAATAGTAGTGTTGCTAAGAGTACTGAGGAAACAAAGGATCTTGTTGATGGCCTTTCGGCAGAGAAGCTACTATCACAGGAAGAAGGGATCAGTAAACCTCCTGAGATCAAGATGGAAAATGTAGAAGGTGACCTCCTTGTTTTGATGATTTAAGTTAATTTAGCCTACATAAAGTGTTCCTAAGTGAAGGGACTACCCTAAGTAAGTACATGTACACATATATGGCAGTGTATTTTATGCATGTACACAAAAAGCAGTCCAACCATTGAGTAGTTAACTATGAAGTTTTTTTTTTGTAAGATTTAAAGTGGGTGTTTTTTTGCTGAAAAGGTGGTGGTGTTAAGTATTAGGTTTGATTGTTGTAGCTTATCTTCTTGTATACATCTTAAGGTGATGACAGAAGCTGATGGCAAACACTGCAAAATACTGTAATGTGTGAAGTTGCTTTTTGCATACTATGAGATGCAACCCTTTTAAAGACAAATTTCTACCAAATAGCAGTTCGATCAAAACAACAGTACTATAAGATATGAGTTGCAAGCATTGCTGCATATAAATGTAAACCTGTATGCATTTATTCATTACTGTTCTTTGCAATTTCAAGACCTTGCAGTTGTATGTTAAACATTTCTACTTTTATGCAGCCAAATCACTGGTATATCCAGCGACTGCTCAGAGGCATCAGTCTTTTAACAGGTGTTGAATTAGCAAAAAGTTGAATTGGTGGCTTTAAAGAGTGGTAACATAATGATGGCCAATTAAACCTTGTTGGGTACAACGTCATGAGGAAATTTTGGTTGTTCAAAATGACTCTTTGTTTCATTGCAGAAGGAGTGTCCTTAGATGACATCCCAGCCACAGAGACATTAAATCACCTGACTGCCAACCGAGCAAAGAATCTGCACAAGAGGCGACCATCCAAGGTTTAGCAAGTCCTTCTTGGTTGAAATAATATTATTGTGATTATCAGTTTTTTGCTGGAAGTACTTGTACTGTAGCAAAGCCAAGTGGTTAAATTTGTGACCTGCAAATTGTTAATTCGAGCTCTGAACCAGCTACAGTATAGCCAACTAAATTACTTTTTGCCTATATGGATCTTGTTGATATTCTTAATCGTGAAAGCCTTTGCACAATGATTAACATTACTGTTAGTAAACATTGGAATGTTTTTCAATAATTAATGCCAGGGGCTGAGCAAACTGTTGTGATCTTTCACTTGCGAACTCACTGAGAATGGCTCTCTCCTCAGCACTTATTTATTAAGACATTTGCCAAGAACTTAGTCAAATAAGTTTTCTATAGCGATGTTTATCTTGCTGACTTTCCTCCTGCTTTTTAGTTGGGAGCAGTTACTTATCACTCTCCTAGGCTCTTTGGATTTTGTTAATTATGTGTATACTACCAGCAGTTTTGATATAGATCTGATGAAGACGTTTAAACTACAGTGTACTTTTGTTGTAGGAAGGACGAACGGACTCAGCTCGCTTAAGTGGAGGCTTACTAGAAGAGCAAATAGCGGTAGGTTGTTATGTTTATTCCTGTTGGGGGGAGGGGGCGGGGGGTTAGATTTGTGAAACCAAATTAAGCAATCACGGAAGCCAGACGGAAGAAAGGTTAACATTGCAAGAAGCCAGTAAAAATTTGAACGATTTTGTTTCCTAGGAAACTAACAAACAGCCTCCAGAGCGTCCTAAAGAACCGCCCAGAGAACCTTCCTGGAAAAAAGAAGTTAGGGAAGCTCGGGAAAAGAAACAGGTTGCAGAAGAAAAGGTAAGGGTAATCGGTAAAAAATTTTGTTAGACTTCTGTTTCAGTTATCGTAGTTGTTGCTTTTGTTGTGCGAGGCTCAAAATGGCGAAAGTTTAGCAGTAACCAAAAAATCAAACAAAAAGGAAGGCACTCGCAAAAAGCTTTTGATAAAGTAAACAGCTGTCTATTTTTTATTTTAAGCCACCTCCTTTGCGGTCGTCCAAAACGGAGGCACTAGAGAAACGAAAATCTCTAAAAGAAGAAGTGCCCGTACCACCAGTCCAAAAAGTTGAGCCTTTTACAACAGCGTCAGGTGAGGTGGAGAAGCTGCGAAAGGAGATTGTGGAGCTACGAGAGATGATGGCTAATATGGATAAGAAACATGACGATGCTATCAAGAGAATGGAGGAAAAGTTTACCCTGGAAATAGAAGGACTCATAAATGACTTTGATGAAGAAAGGAAACACAATGCAGCGCTCAAGGTGGAATTAGACAGAATTAAAAGGCGTAATGCTCGCCATGATACTGGAACCTCAGCTTGACTGAAGAGAACACAGGATCTTTTCATTTTTTTTTTCCGCTGCAAAGGTAAATTGATATTAGTGTAGATGCGAGGAAAAAGATAGAGGAAAAAGGTGGTAGGACATATAACTCATAAATTTATTGAACAGAAATAACCAATGCAAGTCACTAACAGAACAGTAAATCGCCACATATTCCACAGGAGAAGCTGTGATGATACTACCGACACTTGGTGGTACATACATACATACATGTGATAACCACGGTTTCGAGTCAGGAGTTAGTTCAGGCACACACGACTGCAATTCGATTTAACAATGATAATTATTTTTAACAGCCATGCATACTTACCTTTCAGTCAATAACACTTTGGCAAGGTACAAAAATCATGAAATACGACAATAAACAGGAAAGGAAATTGGAAAGAATTGCAAAAGAAAAACATGAATGATAAAAGCTTGATTTTGCGTTATGCGTTTTCCCCATGTCATCGGTCACCTGAAGTCACCACTCTGTGTCTTTATAACAACTGAAAACTAAAAAGACCCTAGTAAGAGAGGAGAAGTATCAGAGCCGTGGAAAAAAATGATTTGATCACACATCATTATTATTTTTTTACAATTGATATGGAGTGCAAATCGTTAAGCTTCATTTGTTTTCAATATGTACAGATTTGCTGAGTCAGGTGCTTTTGTTATTGCCTGTCTTCAAACTTTGTAACCTGTACAGCTTTTTTTGAAAAGAGATCAGAGGTTCAACAGTAACATTTTCTTTTCTTTTTTTTTTTTTTAATCAAATCAATGTACAAGCATTGTTAACATATATCCTATTAATTTTTCTTGGGATAACTATTTTTGTCCGATGGTGTTTTACGACAGTGTCTTCTATAACTAATAGAGGAAAAAGGTGGAAGGACATAAAACTCATAAATTTATTGATCAGAAATAAGACGTTCTTGTCATAAACTGGAATGATCATGTGTGAATAGGTTAATTTGTAGCTTTTAACACCTATGTATCTCCTAATGATTTCTTCTTCACCTAAATCATGGCTGCATCTGTGAAGGGTATTTAAAGGACTATTGGATCTGGAAAGCAGTAACACGTTTGCTTCAACGAAGTCTTGGGGTATTAATAAAGGGAAGGGGATAAAAAAATGTTCGCAAAAAAATAATTAGGTTCGTTTTTCTTTATTCAGGGTTATATCAGAGTAAAGAATGGTCTAAAAAACAGGAAAACATTATGAACAGTTAGAGTAGATTGTCGTTCTCCAAGTGCGATTTGTTTGGTTACTCTCAATAGGTAACAGCACATCATAAAATTAAAAAATCTGTGAAAAGGATTTCCTTTTTTTTTTTTTGAATAATAGCAAATTGCAAACTCCTGTCATATAAAAGTATACAGGCAACATCATAACAAGGGTGGGAAGGGTCCAAGTGCAAGGAAAACAAAATTTTTCCACCCATTGGATCATGATGATAGCTTTCGAATTTGAAGTTTGAACATATTTTCTAGGTTAGTGTTAAACTCATTTGGGGCTATTAAAGGTTTCAAAGTTTAAATCTATTTGGGGTTATCAGAGGTTTCAAAGTTAACCTCTCAAGTGAGCTTGGCTCTTTCCCTCCATTGTGAGCTTGACCACTGTTTAAAAATTCACGGCTTAGCTGTTGGTGTGTGGACTGCTTCGTAACATTTAGTTGGTAGAATTTCATTTACAGGTGCAAAGTCAAAGTGAAAAAAAAAACAAACAAACAAAACGTGAGAATTATGAGGGGATTAGCTTCTGGTTCTTTGGTTTGTTCACGGGTTCGTTGACAGTGAACAATTACCTCTTTTTACGTATCTTTTTTGTTGTTATTTTAGTTTTTTCCATAGGGTTATTTCAATACAGGTAAAAAAAAAGTGAGACTAGACCCCCAAAAGTAGTTCGTGACACAGATAGCTATTCCTGACGCGGAGTCTAAGGTCTTCGAAAAGGCATAGAATGATTTTGTTTAAAGTAGAAATTTTCTAATAGTTGTAACCCTGCAAATCAGTTGTCAATTCTACAGGAGGGAAAGTGTCGAAAGGTCATATGCATAACTTTTCTAGATGAAATTTAGAATTGCGTTTAGAATTCAAGACATAATGGTGACCTCACACACGCTTATTTGACTTCAAGTCCACTTTCACAACCACAGAATCGTTGCAGAATTTCGTCAAATAATTGATAGTTTTGATAGAATAGTAGGAACTTTTATAATTAGTTAGAATAAAATGAGAGTGTTAAACATGTCCCTGGTCTTGGTTTAAAATTGCGACATTCAGTTTTTTTTTTCGGTCTTTTTGTTTTTAGTTTGGCACTTTAGTAGCGCCATGCAACAGAGTGAAGGCCGTCGAAAGCTAGTGGGTATTCTCTGGTTTTTTATTGGGGCCACTATCACTTTCCCACTGACGAAGGACTAACGCTCGAAGTATCAGCTTTAGGAACTCTTTACGGTGGCCAATTTACGATATCAAGTCAGTTGATAAAACCAAATAAACTTGTCACTAAACCTAGAGCTAAACCTAGAGCTAAATCTTCGCTGCACCCATGTGCTCTCTGTGTTTTCTGTTACGGCGTTACGAACGTGCATGCCACGAAGCAAACGCATAGGGTAATGTGAAGTTTACGGGAGCGTTTACGCTAAGAATTTCGCCGAAGACACCCAGCTGTAGACGTAATGTAAAAGACGTTGGCATGGACTCGTGGGCCTTGGTTAGCAAGACCTTACCGCCTTTGGTGTGGTGTTCGTTTATTTACAAAATCAATTAATCGACTTTTCTCATCATTCGTGCGAAATGAATTTTTTTTAAATGATGGGTCTTTTCTCTCAATAAAGGAGATAGGTTTTATCATTCAAAATCGTGCAGTCACGATCTTTCATGGATCAATCTGCAAACAGGATTTCGCTTTACGAAACGTTCCTTTGGTCTCATTTCTTCCTGTCCTGAGAACGAGGTTGGATCTTGCGTGACCTCTGTTTCTGTGAGAAGACTCAGGATCCCTGTGGCCATTTAAATATGTCACGCAAAAATCTGCAGCCACAAGTTCGGCATATTGGCGCCACATGCAAAGCTACAGCATGCTGAAAATCTGAAATCTGGACATGTTTTATTAGATTTGACCAAGTTCTCTTATCGTGCTGAAGCGCTCTATGCTGATGTATATCCTAAATTGTACAAAAGCAATGTTGGAGAAAACTAAACGTAAAACGACACCAACAGTAACACTGAAGGGACGAATCAAGTGATAGGTGGTTGAAGAATTCACATGATATACATCCCATCTTTAAAGGCAGACGTAGCAAAGTATACGAGTGATCGAGGTGCCCTCCAATTGTAAATCAAAATGAAAAGGATTGGAAGGTCAAACGGACCGATCAGGGGTCCCCTGAGCGTAAGCGTTCTCGTTCTTTTAGGGCGCGAATACATGGCCTGCTGCCAGTGGATCAAAAGCCGTTGATGTTGTTGTTGTTTTCATTATTCCTTGTTCTTCCGTTCTGTTTGATTTCCCACCGGAGTTACCAGGTTTGAAGAACCCTGGGGCATCTTTCTCGGGAGACCATTGAATGCAAATAATGTAACCATTAGTTTGAAATTCAACCTCTTTCCCATGGTCTTTTCTCACTCGCTCTTATAAAAAAAAGAGATGGGATCCTGGGAACAAGGTTGTCTGAGAACTTGGACAAAATGTCGCACGAAAGTAAAGCAAACGAAGGGCAATTGACCCTGATACGTCCAGTAGTCGACAAGGATGAGGCAGTTCGTCTAGCTTGTACACTGTATGGCCTAAAATTATCAGATATCTGTCATGTCAAGGAATTTAAAGGTTATGATGATCGAAATTTTTACTTGAAAGGAACGCTTCCACATCACGTAGATTTTGCACATGACCGGCTTAGACAGAATGGAGATGAATTCGTTTTGAAGATTCTAAACCACGTGGATTCCCAAGACATTGTTTATGTGCAAGGGCAGAACGAAGCTTTGTTATTCTTAAAAGAAATGGGATTTAACTGCCCGGCTCCGATTAAAGCTTTAAATGGTGAATATGCTGTAACTTGCGCAATTAAGTGCGGGAATGCAGAGACAAGCGATGGCAACAAACAGCTTGAGCGAATTCATGTCGTTCGACTTCTTAGCTTCGTTCCAGGGAAGCTTCTCGTGGATGTTCCTTACAAGGCTGAACTTCTCTTCTCTCTGGGTTGCTATACCGCCAAGATGGATAAAGTACTACAGGTATTTGATTCACCTTAAACTCGTTAAAAGACCACGTGGCGTTTATTAAATTTACTCAAGAGTATTATTAGTAGTAAGGGGGTGATTAATTTTTGGGAAGATATGCATAATTTTGTCCATGGTACCCAAGCCTATGACAGAAGTACTATTGTAGACATTTGCAGCTTTATTAGAATGAAACATTTAATACCTTCATTATGAAATTATGAAGATCCTTGCAATCTGATTGGCTCTCATTGGTGTGACTCATCAACAAATCACACCATTTTTTGCTCTCAAACACATTTTTTCTTAGTCAATGAGAAAGCTTCACTAAAAATAGACAATCAGATTTCAAGCCAGAGTAACCAATCGCATTGCAGGAAATGAAAGATAAGACTTGCAATTTACAAACCAGCATAGCACTTAATTAATAAAATATTTGTAGGGAATAAATAATCATGTCTTTTAACAATTTAATTTGCAATTTCAAAGAAGATTAGTGTCTTTACTAACACACCCCTTGAGGAGTGTATTGACTTAGCAGCCAATTACATTTCCAAGGGCAATTCCATCAGTAAGTTAGGCAAATCTGAACTTGGAAGCCTCTTCACTACAGCTACCACCCAGACTCATTTCATATTTTATTCTTTCTATGATCAAATAGATGGCATAGCCATGGGGTCTCCCCTTGCTCCTGCCTTAGCTAATCTTTTTATGGGACATCATGAAAAACTTTGGCTGAAAAATTTTGATGGCTCTACAATTTTATTTTATTGCTGGTATGTTGATGATACTTTTTGCTTATTTCACTCAGAGCACAATACCACTAAATTTTTTTACTATATCAATTCTAGGCACCTCAACATCAGGTTCACTATGGAAAAGCAGGTTAATCACAAATTACCCTTTTAGATGTCCTGATTGACAACAATGACCCCAATTCCTCTCTAACCAGTGTTTACCACAAGAAAACTTTCACTAGGTTATTAACAAATTATTTCAGCTTCTTCTACTCTTACAAAGTGGGTCTCATTAAGACTCTCGTTGATAGGGCCTACAAGATTAATAACACCTGGTTAGGGTGTCATGAGGACATTAACAAGCTTACTGATATTCTAAAAAAGAATCTTTTCCCTGCCCATTTAATTGAAAAGATTATAAACCATTACATCTCTGAGACCCAAAGCAATCATTATCCTGGGCTTCCCTTCCCTTCACTTTAAGCTACCCTACATAGGCCACTTTCCTGCTATCACTCCAAAAAAGATTTGCCATTTTATAAAGTGCTACCGCAATGACTTGGATATTAAGCTGGTTTTCTCTTCCTTCAAGATTGGCAACTTGTTTGGTGTGAAAGACCCTGTCCCTGATGGGCTCCATTCACATGTGGTTTATAGGTTTGTATGTGCCGGCTGTAATGCCTGATACGTCAGTGAAATGTGCTGACATTTTTCCACACATGTCAGAGAGCACTCAGTCAGCGACAGCACCTCTCACATTTTCACACCTCTACTGGTTTTCAACTCAAGATAAAAGAGGTTATTCATATTCAAAGGGAACAACCATCCTTGAATCAATAATTACACCTTGTAAATCTAAAACTATCCTTTTAATTCTTACACTTTCATGCTTTACCTCTTTTCTTGTTGTCACCATTTATCATAATTAGCATTGTTCTACTTGCTATATAATTCAACTCCCAATGCTTTGTACATTAATTCACTGCAGATGACTGAAGTTTCTGACAAAATATGTGTTACAGACTTGAAAAGTTTTGTCACTTTATGTAGATTAAAGAAAGTGGTAATTGAACTTCATGCAATTTTGATCTGAAATCATATTTGTAATTTTAAATCATACTTGTGCTGCACGCTTGTTGAATTTTGAAATCACACATAATTTCAGACCAAATTGCGCTCCACTCAGTGTAAGTACCACTATTAACTACATACGATCATTGCATTAACTGCAATGCTGTAATAGTTCAACACAGTTTCAAACAGTGGCATAAATAACAACAGGAATTATGAATTTGCTTGATAAAAAAATTAGTTTACTTTGATGGGCGCATAGTTTTTTCCTCACTGTGTTATATTTTCATACAATGAGAACAATTTCTGGCCTGGGCCACATGAACCAAACAAGTGAAAAACTTTCTACCACTCCCCCCCCCCCTCCCTGTTGCTAAGGAGTCACAATATGAACAATATAGAAATTAAGTTATCGTTATGCTAACAGCATTTACCTTTCTGGTAACAGGAGGAAAACTTTATTTCATCTATGTCATCTTCCTTTGAATACCACCTTCATCTCTGATTTTTACTCACAACATTACAACTCTCCATATATTAGGACATGTTTTTAATCTGGACTTGCCTTTTTTTCTAGGAATTTAACCATCCTGGTGTCAGTTCTTTAGCCAAGAAGGAGTGGGATTTGTCCCAGATACACACTATTAAAAGTTACATTCCTAGCGTAACTCAAGATGACAGAGAACAAAAATTGTTAACTCTCATTTATAACAATTTTACAAATGATGTTCTTCCACAGCTCAAGAATTTCTCAAAACAAGTAATCCATGGTGATCTTAATTTTGAGAACATACTCGTTGAGCCAAATCAGTGTGGGGAGGAGTATGAAGTAGTCAGCGTCATAGATTTTGGAGACATGAGTGTCTCTTATAGGTTGTTTGATGTTGCTATCAGTATGATGTACGTAATTCTGCTTGGAGTACGCCAAGGGCACTCACACAATGAGGCTATACAGATGGCTGGTCATGTTCTCTGTGGCTATCAAAGTATTTGGAGCTTGAATCAGTCAGAGCTTGGGCTTTTGTACTGGTCAGTGGCTGCCAGATTCTTCCAAGCCTTTATAAATGGAGTGTACAAACAGTCCTTGGAACCTGAGAATCCCCATTTGTCAGATGATTGTGAGTTAATAATGGGTATTCTTCAATCTTATACAACCTTGACAGGAGAAGAGGTTTTGAATTTGTGGTTATCACTTGCCTAAACATGCAAATTCAAGCCCTGACTTGAAAATGCCAGAAAGAAACAAACATACACAGCTAGGTGTTATTTGTACAGCGCCTCATATATCTACTGTGGGTAATCAATTGGTAAAAGATCCTTCTATCATCACGATCTCTCAGATAATCTAAGTGAAATGTAAGGTTTATATTTGTATAGTTTTCTGCAGTATGGGATAAGTTTGGTGTTGTTGGGTAAAGTTCGCAGTAGTTTGGTGAACTATCTTTTGCACTCATTCTGAAACAACAAAATGCTCTGTAGCTGGCTGAACACTGCATTTAAGTATGAGCGGGTCATTAACAGTGTTATTAAGCAAGTCAATGCTTGACAATCTCAAACTTCATGAAGGAAGCCATGTCAAATCATGCATTTTTCACATAGCATGGACTGGGAGAGTTGCTGTGAACATAAGTCTTCAATGTTCTCTTCTCTCTGAAATCTTATCCTGCAACTTACTGAGTCAGTATGTAGAAGAGTATTTGCAGAGCAAACATAAACATCCTTGCATCGTTACAATGTTTTTACCTCCTGGTAGCAGCACTTAAAAGTTATCAAGGCACCCTTTTAGATTAATATAGTCACTATATTTTTTTTTATCATCATTTTCATCATTAGTATTATTATCAAACCATCATTTAGCCTTCCACTAGAAGACAGCTTAGGTATCACTTCATTGGTTTTTAGGGGTGTCACTTCATCTTTAAAGTAGTTGGGTTTTGCTAAGACCATTTTTGCATAGGCTGGTTGTGGGAAAGGAAAGCTGCAGGCCTTTACAGGAATACCCAAACACGCTTAGTGACATTAGAAGCTAGAATAAGTTGCTTGACCAACAGGACGAGGGGTTTACATTTTTAAGGCTTATGGAAGCACGTGCATGGCAAGCACAAGGTGCTTAGGTCCTCGGAATACCTTCCGACGGAAGGTGTTCCGAGGGGAAGAAATGAGAAAAGTCTTGCAGAATGGAACAAATATTGAACATTCGCTTCAAGGTATTCTTTTGTCTGAAGGCCTACCGAGGTGCGCTACGCGTGATGGTTTAACAGGAATTAAATCACACAACTGCACGTGCCTGACTGTACAAAGATTGTCGCTCACCACGATTATCAAGAGGAAACGGTAAAGACTTCCTGTTCTTGCTTTTATCTCACAAATAAAAATTTAATATTATACTTGAAAGATCCACGACGATGAGTTGTTTCTAAATTTTTTTTGCAGTTCATTTCAGACATAAAACACTATCTCCTTCTGAGGTCACGATTTGTAATTTTAACACAATTTTACTCACGTCTATTTTCTTAAGGCAGGAAGTACTTTTATAGCAGAGGATCTTTTGTTACGTAAGATTTTATTCTCGTATAGCAACAATGACTTGTTTCAAGAATTTTCTTTCCTTGTTTGATTTTTCCAAAAAAAAAAACGAGAAAACGTTCTTTTTCGATATGGAAAACAATATTAGTCATTTGTGCCCTGAGGCAAATCTCAGAACTTTTTTCATTAACCTTACCGGATAGGAGCGATTATTTCTGTCCTTTGAATCACAGTTAAAATTTAGGAAAGCACGCATCCGGGAAAAACAAGAGAATTACAACGGCACAATGGCGCAAAAATGTGTGTTTTGGAATTTCAGTCATGCATGTAAATAAGGATATTTAGAGGATAAAAGAGAGGAACGCGGACACTCTAAATGATCAAGGTCAAGTCCTTTGTCTTGAGTATCAGGAGCTTTATTTAGCTTTCGCTGACGTGTTGTTTATGCGATCAATTGTATTATTATTAAAATTTGGAAACGGCGGGACACACAAATAGCGGTCACGTAGTTCTAGAAGATTTTATTCAGCTGTTAGCTCTTCAAAATTTACGATATTTACAAGACTATATTTTAAATAAAATTCTCAGACCTTGTCTATATTTACACTTAAATATCACTCTGATAAAAATTACTTAATCTCTGATGAAAATATATCTATCTTTTGGGTACACACAACACGCTTCTCAGTAATAATTTCACAATAGTTCGAATATCTGAATGAATTTGTTCTCTCTGTTCGTGTTGGTAAGTTCTGTAGTTTCCAGGCATCTGATCTTTAGTACTAATGCCCATCTAAGACCAGCCCACGGAGGTCCCCTAACCTCACAATCGAGTCAGGTCTCGTAAACAGCTAAGGCCTAGTTGTTTGCTGTATCTGGAGAATAATTTTTGCACACACGTTTAGTTCATCGAGGTACCGTTCATTAAACGAATTAACTATGAGTCTGTATAAGGAATGCACACTGGAGTCTCAGTAGATGAGGCAATTCTTTCCTCAGCAGATCATGGCAGCCGCCCCCCTTGTTCTTAATACCCAAAGTTTGTGAAGCAAGGGTCAGAATGATAAGGTAGTTTAAACACGCTCCCAGGATGGCTTGCTAAGGTTGTGCTCTCTAATCCACAATGTCGCTGGCTTGTTCCATACACATACAGCGCAGCTTGCTCGTATCTTTTCCTAAACATGTTCTCTTGTTGAATTTCCTTAGCGCAAAGATCCAGAACTTCGGGCGTTAGAACTTTGGAGTTTGTCCTCTTGATGGCACGAGGTCTGATTTCTTTACTCTCCATAACGGTCGAGTGTTCGTTATTTTCCGCTATCTTTGTCTTTATGAGGAGGATATCTCTGCGGCGGAGGTCAATGTTACCGCTGCTTCAACGTCTCCGTATCACTATATTTTTTCTAAGATCTGACGGCTTTTATCTGCGCTTAGATATTTTGACGTCGACAGCGTGTCTAGAGATAGATTAGTGCAGCTTTTTGTTTATGCAGAAGAAACCCCTGCTAGGCTGCCTAAATTTGGTATTCACGTGTGACCTCTGATGCCACCTGGCGTATGGAATAATATTTTCACCAATAAATTGCCTCTTCAGAGTTGCTGAAATGGGATAAGTCGAATGTTCGCTGTGGGCTAAGTTGGAAAGTATTCACGAGATAACGCCACTACCTGCCAAGATTCCGATCTCTGCCCTTACTCAACCTCGGCAATTTAATGATCATGCATTCTAGGAAAAGAACATGAAAGCGTTAATCTTGAGTGACAGGTCTGAGTCCCGGAAACCCATCAACAGTTATATCGCGCGTGGGCACCAATTAAGCAGTTTTCATTTTCTTCCGCTCTGATACGCTCGTTTCAAAATTGCGGTTTTGTTCTAAAATTGATGATCGTGTTTTCCCTGTTTGACAGAGCGACTGGATTAATTCTTTTTGTGTCTCTTTGTTGCGTGTTTTGGTACTTTTATCGAGTTGATCTTAAAAGTCGTTTAACAAGACATCTATTGCAGATTAGCTGGCTTTTATTCAAAATAACGATTTAACGATGTAAAGTTTAATATGACGTCGTCATAAGAAAAACAAGAACGTGCTAAGTATACTGTACCTCGAGAACTGATGATGTTAGCACTCTGTTTTCTTTTTATTTTTCACTTTCCTTTATTCCCGAAAAATAAAAATAACAAAACATAAGCGTCATTTTTATTTTCTTCATATTGATGCGTGGATATTTATTTTTAAAGTGGTATAATACTAAATCCATATCGAGTAATACAACGATATTTACACTTTTGCAACACGAGTTAAAAAAAAAAACCGAAGACATCATTTCATTTTTCCCACCGTTTTCTTCTACGTTTAAAATTTCTTTAGTATACCTCCTCGTTCCTCACCACAAAAAAGAGGATATTATTTTTTCGGTTTCAAATACCAGTCTGAAACGTGTAGTTATATATTGTTGTGACAAATTGCTTTGAACGAAAATAGCAAAAAAAAATTTTATCTGATTTTTGTTGTTAAATATAGGCCGTTTTATAAACTGAGCTCACGGTAAATCATTTTACGCTATTTTAAGTCTTCAACTTTTCACGTCAGGAATTTTAAATTGTCGTTTCAGGAATACAGCACTAAAACGGACTTTCACTTGATTGCATTTAAGGAGTTTCAGGTCATAACAAGATTTTACACAGAACTATTCATAGCCTACTCTTGAATGACGCATCAAAAAACTATAACAGAGAACCGAACTTTTCCGCCGATCTGTCTCTAGACCTGATGGGACGAGAAGTTGTTCCAACTGGACCTTTCATGATAACTCTGTTGCCTTTCTTATATAAACTTCAAAATTAAAATGAACGTTTCTAGAAATAGAAAGAGAAAATCCAGTTTCGCGGATTACCAAAAATACCCAACCACCGGCTTCTTTTTAGGTGTAGGACTAATTTAATCCTCAGTAAACCCCTTACATCTGGTTAGCAAATTCAACCTTAAATATTTCCTCACAAAAAAGCCAATAAAATACATGGTTATATAAAAATAATACATTCTAACTGATGGACTGATATTCTCGTCGTCTTTTCGGTAGATCATGTATTGATAATGCAGAGGAGGAACTTAGTAAAGGAATTAAAGGATTTAATGATGGTTCTCTAAACATGACGATCATTGCAAATAACACCTTTATCCTTAAATTGGTCGTTTCTATTTCTGGTGCTGGGAGAGAATGCTAAGAGTCTTACAATCATCCTTTTTTTCGGCAGGAAGAGCTTCTGCTATGGTTACAGAAAAATTTGTCGATGACGCCTGATCTAAAGCACGCGTCTTATGTATGGGTAGTTTTGCTTGACCACAGAAACGTATATATATGATCAAAATAATGTAATGGAGCTAAAAACTTTGTATTTTTATGGAAACAAATGAGTAAAACGCCACGAATTATGCCTTAAAGAAATGTCAACAATTTTAAGACTCTTCCAAACCTCAGAATTACAAGTTGATCCGGAGCGGATTTATTTTAGTCACGCGGAAACTAGGCAACCCGTTTTGGTTCGATCTGAACGGATTCCCAAAATGGCAATCTGTTTTCTTTATTTCGGTATTCAGTAGCTTTCTTTAGAGGTAACACCAAAGCGGAAAACATTGGACTGATCCGCCTGCTTCATTCACGCTTTTTATCAACGAGCTGTAAAGGCACCAGTCTTCACTTTGCCTACAGAACAAAGGGACAAACGATTGGAATTACAGCGAAATTTGAAAAGAGGAAGCTTAGAGTTTTCTAACTTTTTAGTTTGGTACATGGCGGAACACTGAATAATCGTATTAAATTCTCACAAAGCCATTCACCCTTTGGTTAAAGGGTGCACATCAGTGGCCATTTAGGCTTTAGTGGTTACCTTAATCACTTTTCTCACTTCCGTAAACAAGAACAAGTCGCTTGCTCTTATGAATGCTGAAATAGTTTTTACAACCAAAAATGGAAACTTCTCTTGAAATTCTCCCAACGCCATCACAAGAATATTTTGTTTTCGTTTTAGACAAAACACCAGTCTAAAACGTTTCTTAGTCATTGTTTCAATGGATGCACTTCAACGATTTTTTGTCGTAAACAACTTGAAATATGTCATTCCTTCCCGTGCGCCCTTTTCCGAGATTATCAAGATAATTATTTTAATTCTTAAATGTCTAAAAAAAACATAATGCACTTATAGACTAAAGATGGTTAACCATGCATCAAGTCAGGAACAACATTTGATAATGTCAGCAATGACTTCCCCATTTCCAAACTTTATTTTCTTGATTGTTTCATCAACACGAATGGGTGAAAGGACCCCCTCGAGTGACTTGCATCAAAATTCGTGTAAATCACTTATTAAGGTCACGAGAATAAAGGAAATGATCACCAATTAATGAAGTTCCTGATTTTTAAACGAATTCCCCTTGTCAGCACCCTTGGAAATGTATAGAGTACAGTATGGAGAATATGGCAACTGATATAAAGGTGTACGGGGTTGAGACCGTACACTGAGCCAAACTTTCGACTATTTTAATGTAAAAGTGAAGTATGATTACTTCTTTTTTCTCTCTTCTTTTTGCCAAAGAATTTTGGTTCCTGTAGTATTTTCTTAGAGAGTAACCGGAAAAGGACAGTAAAATTTTCTGGCGGGGTGGGGTTGGTGAAAGGAGGAGGATTGTTCAAAAGCTGAAATACGACAAAAATAAATTTCTACACTATTGCAGGACTCTGAAATATCTCTACAGCTATATCTACGTGTTATTTTTTTTCTTCGGAAAATAAATTCTTGCCTGGGTTCATGATAGAAATAGCTTCCGCCCGCCACAATAATAATATCAATCAGTATTAACGAAGACAAAATCTCGCTATGTTTAAATTTCATTGACACATATGAGAAAGACAATCGAGCTTGATCAGTATCTGAATCATCCAAAACTAAGTCAACCAATGGAAAGCTGACTTCTTTGTTTCCTGTTCCTCTCACGTTATCTTCTTGATCCGTCGCAATCATTACTCAGGGCTGACATGATCTTCCGCTTTTCATATCGCGACAGTTGCGGAAGGAAACCTTTATCTGTCATTTCCGGCATCACCGCTGAATCACTGATAGCGTGCTCAATCATGTGCCGACCACTCATCACTTCCTTTTTCCCGCCTTAAACATTAATGCAGCCTATCTGGGATGAGGTTATTTCTTAAAGAGACTTGGCGAGGAGTTGAAAAAAAAAAGAAGAGAAAAGAAAATTATGTAAAACGTTAACTCTAAGAACGACGAGGTTGTCAGATCATTTTGAGCCCTTTGGTTGGCTACAGGCGAACCACCTTGGGGGTGTGTTGATCGGTAAGAAACACCATTGAAATATAAGGAATTTCGTGGTGATCAATAACTAAAGAATTTCTTTAAAATCTTTAAATGATCGAAATTCCAACGATTGAGAGTTACTCAGTAGAAAAGCCCAAGCAGGCAGACGATCACTACACTTTGGTGCGTCAACAATTATTTTGACTTAGTTGAGACTTTTAGATCGCATTAGGTCGAAAATCAGTATTATTGAGTGCTCTATTTATGAACGCCATACATTTCTTTATATATATCTATAGTAAGTCCTAAATGTCACCACACTCACAGGGTGGTCTGCTTGTGGCTTATATTGATTAAAAATGACTTGGTTTTAAGTCCACGCTCTAAGATGCGGCGTAATTTTTGAGCGAGATACAAAGAAAATATCGGTTATCTGATATTTTAAATAGTGGAACTTTCACTATATACTGCTTGCCTTTACCATAATGGCTCGTGTTCATTCGCTCGGTAGCGCAATTGTTAGGCTTGCACAACTGCTTACGAAGCGATGGTGTACTCAATGGCATCATTACAAAATAAATCGCCTTTGATTGATCCTCTACCAGAAATTTGAAGCAACGAATTTCTTTCTTTCTTTTTCCTTGTCTAATTTGAAGGAGGTGGGAAGGGGAGGGAAGGAAACCCGGGTGGAGTAGCTTTGCTGCCCGGTATTTAAATATCACGCAGAGTTTGTCTGCATATCCCACGCATTTAAGACAGATTTTTTTATCTGTGTCTTTAAGTTTAAATTGCTAAAGTAAGGGTTTTCCAGTTGATGTCAAAGCGCACCTAAATTAGTTACATTGTTCTTCCGGTGGCTGTTCGCTGTTTGTTCATAAAAGCGTCTATTAGGTTCCTTGCTGTCTTCGCTTCTGTGCTATCCTCGAACTCAAATTTCTCTGTAGGCAAGTTTTAGCTGCATATTTTCCCATGAGCCAGTCATGATCAAAGAAGTTCGCTCGAATCAAAACAAATTAATGTACAACATATACTTTGACCAATATGGCTGGTAGGGTAGCTTGTATCGACGAATTAAAAAATCTATTTTAAGTGATTTCGAAGGTCATATCGCAGCAGGTAAAGAAATGATAGCAAATATAGAATATTGTTTTAGAGTCTGAATATACATGGATAACTGGGTGGATCACATAAAAAAAAAAACAGTGTCTAAATTTAGTTCAATAGTGTTTCAAGAGATACAAACATTGATAAAGAATCTTTGCAATGTGAAATGAATTCAACATCAGTCAAGAATCCAAAATAAACTATATCGTTTGAGCTGGGGATAGGATATCGTCCCAGTTTATTGCGAGCTGCAAATCAAACACTTATAGATATTAAGCCATTAGGCGGAAAGCACGAATTTTCAGCGACCATTGATCTAAAAGATGACTCACTCAAAAATTTCACAATCAACTTCACAACGTGAAAATCACGGGAAGGGCATGTTTGATGACCGCTACTTCGTGGAAATTGCAAGCTGAGTTCGGTGGGCGTGTTTCACCATGCACATTAAAATCACGTGGCGAGCGGATGTCTGAATGAATTTCTGGGTATCTATATAGGTGAAATATAGAAGAGGTATCAAAGATGGAGCTATGTTATCAATGCTATTGCCATACTGTGGTCATTAAACCGAATTTAATTTTATCGTTATCGATCTATAATCGCCAGACTTTACTGTGCTTGTCATGGATTCAGTACCACTCCAAATGTAGTTCATATCCGCTTTGTTTGCCTCTTCAATTTCACCATTTCTGTCTATTGCACGCAATGTGCCCATCTTTCATTAGATCTCAGACTAGCGACCTCGTAAATCTACATTACTAAACTGATATATGTCTTGAACGTTTAGTAGAAGGAAAACAAAATTAAATCAATTTATTGTTTATAAAACAATGAATACCAATCGTTGGTGGGCAGCCGACCGGCAGTTTGTTTCCACAAAGAAGACTTTTGAAGTCAAACAGAAAAATCAAACCATGCAGTGATTATCAAAACAATTTCTACAGTGAGTCCAGGTCAAGAAAAGGGACGATTGTTTTGTAGCAGTTCCCAGACAAGATATCGTGGCACTGAAAATTTCCCTAATAGCATCCTATATTTAGTTCTATGAATTAAAATACTCACTGCTATATTTGCTCAAGTTTCGAAAACGATCTTTGATGACGCACAGCCGAACAGCCGAACAGCCAAGAAAATCATGAATAGTAGAAGTAACAGATCTATACATAATATTTACGGTCAATTGCTTTGTTCACTAGGTTACAGTCGTGTTCAGTTAAGACTAAAATTTCAAGGGTAATATTTATATCTCTTTCCTGTTTATATTTATAAATTTCTTTGAACCCTGACTGATATAAACAGAGAGGACACTGATACTGGTGTCAGTCACATTTGGAAAAAATGGATTTACCTCCATCGATGGTTTCTTCACCCTTTATACAACCTAACATCGGTGTGCATATTCTCTACACTGTTCCCTAAACATTTCCTATGATGTTGAAAAGTAGAGTTTGTTTAACAGTCTCCTTTAGTTTGCAAACATATCTATAATTGTCATGACCTTAATGTTTAATTACACCATTTCCTTATTAATGAACAATATGCAGGAACTCAATATGAGAATGCGTTCGTGAATAGACGAACATATTCGGGAGGTAACTTAGGGAAAGCAACAGAGCATTTTGTGATAAGGATTTTGAAACGGAATCGACACAAGCTCACATTTTAGTTCAATTTGCGAATGTATTTTGGGATTTTAGTGCCACAACCAAAGAAAAATAAGAAATATGTAAACAGCCAACGAGAACACAAATCTATGCTGTCTCCACGAAGAAAAGATAAGGAACAAAAAAAAAAACTCCTGCGCAGGAAACGACAACGACCGGCTGGTTGAGCGCAAACCGGCCAATCACAACTTGAGAAAATACTAAAGGAAGCCGATGAGGACTCTAAGTAAATACAAACAAACTGCCCGAGGCGAGGGGAAACGTGAAAAAACAAGTCGTGATTGTTTTAGATTTGCATCTGATTGGCTAAGGATAAAGCGATTTTACCGGACTTGAAGCAAACCTAAACCATTACAATCCTGGCTTGCTTTCGACCTTCATTTCAGAGTTGCTCAAACAATAGGTGCTTAATGTAACACTGAAAGATTCTAGAAAAGAAAACCTCCAACAAGCAAGCTGACAAAGTAAGTTTGGCAGTCTTTACTATTAATACCTTTCACACCTATAAATGTCACACCCATAACTGCCATTGCATTACACAGTATACATCACGCTATTGTTTTCACGCTTTCCTTATTCCCAGTTGTGATGAAATTCTATTGTTACGTATACTGTGTCTTCAACAGCAAGTAAGAGCTCATTGTTGACTGAATGATTTGTGCACAAAAGGAGCAAATACAAACAAAAATCACACAAAACAACGATTTCTGTAGCGTATAAAAAGGATGAATTGAGCGAAAAAAAAAGTTAGCTTGCGCGCCGCGCGGAATTCTTTTTGCGAACCTTACTCCCAGAGTTTTGCAGGGCACGCTAGCCACAACTTTTTTCATTGATTATTTTTTGGATTTGCACGATGGACTTCGTAGATTAAAACTCATTTGTCATGTCCGCTTCCTCCACACTTCGTAGAAAGTCCAGCTGGCAAAAGGTCAAGGATAAACGGAAAAGGGAAGAGGTCTCTCAATTAGCAGACAGATCAAACTTAACTAAACCATACATTTCATGAGATTTATGGACAATTCTCTTCCCCCCCCCCCCCTTGTTAGAAAAGGGAGTCCTTGAGAGGTCGAAAAACAATTAGAAACACACAAACGATACACCACAACACGACAACTACAAAACAAGTGAGGAACGACGTAAGCTAATATTTCAACATGCGCGGAATTTTTAAATGGACGGCTCATCATCAAGTCCTACCTTAAAAGTTAGGTCACTGAAAAGCCAACCGGAGAATTTTCAAAAGGTACTCGAAGAGACTAGAAACGAATTTACTAGCCGCGCTTCTGTGTAACCACCTCCTAAAGGATTGGAAGTGAGACTCCCAAAGCATCTTGATGACCCTGTGTTTATCTAAACTGGTCACACCAAATCAGTGCCCAGACTTTTTCTTATACTTGTTAATTTTCTGGATTTATTGTGGTGGTATTGTGATGCCATTTAGCGGCCTCATCTTTTAAAAAGCAGTCAGATTCTCTTAAATCTGATCAAAATCTAATAAAAAAACCCCCGAGGTGAGAGTAGATACGAAGCAACGGATGTTGAAATTGAGAAAAATAAATTTGTTGGGATTAGGACCATAGCAAAGGATACCTTTCTTCAAATGAAGGAACGAACGCAAATTCTCTCCTAAACTCAACTGGATAACAGAGATTCATCAACTGCTGTTCATACTGCTCTATTTGCTTCTTGCATGTTGCACCATTTGTACCCTAAAATAAACAAAAGATAGCTCAAATTATGATCAAACGATCACACAATCAAGATTACAATGTTTAAGTATCTTTACCTGGGCGAAGAATTTTCCCTCGGGTTTGAGCACTTGCAGTGTCAGATTCAAAATTTCGCGCACAAAATCCCAGTGAGAATCTACAAAATAAATAACAAAATAAATAACAAAAAAAGCAAATGAAAAATAATAACAGAAAAACAATCCTCCACTTTTTAGGTCATAGTCTTTTCCACTTCAGTTCATAACTAATATGTTATAAATAAAACAGTTGGTACGAGGAAAATAATCATCAGCTTACATAATATGACGTGAACTCATCGCACAAACGGTAAATTTCCACTCTTACAAGCAGCAGCTCATATAAGATTTGAAATCACTTACTCTAAAAGGCATTGCAGCCTGTTCGCGACTTACGTAAGACGAAAACTCACACTGCGCAAACGCACTTTTTTCCCGCGCTTTTGGTTGTGCTTAGCGGGCTTCCTGGAAAAACCGGATCAAGGATCAAGGATGAGTTCAAAATGAATCAAATAAATTAAATAAATTAATACGCATGATTGAATGCTTTCCTATGTGACTCAGTCAAGATCTCTCGTACGCTTAAGCGAAAATAAGAGAAAATAAGCGAAGTTGGCACAAATATGATAAATATAAATATACTGTATTCTAAAAAAGCCATACCACTTAGTGGAAGTGCTAATTTTCGCCTACCGACTATTAGGACAGCTATTGAAGACTGACAGCTACAGAGCGGGTTCACTTGTGCATATACTATATTCACATGAAATTTCCAAATTTCTGAAAAAGTCATAAAGAGAACGGAACGCGTATTGTTATATGAATCCCCCAGTGTGTCAAGCAGCGACACCCTCGTTACGACGCGTCATTTCTCCATGTTAATCACGAAATCAAGCGCAAGTAAACAAAAGTTCATTTTGGCTATTGATCCTTGATCCTTGATCCGGTGATCCGTTCATCCTTGATCCTGTTTTTCCAGGAAACTCCGGGCCTATTGACCGATGAAATGTTGGCAGTTTATCTATCAAACGAGACTGTATCAAAACTAAAATGCGAACCATTTATAAATACGAGCACCTCGCGGGTTAAATATCGTATAAATGGTCCAGTCGCGTCTTATGCAAGCAGCGGCTTGTGTAAGCCGTCGATTATTTTCCCCGTATTAAAAGCCCTATTGTCTTCAAATCATAATTAAGGATTCCTCGTCGACAAAATCTACAGAAAACACTAGACATATCTAAGAAATAAGGTGTGAGAAAGACAACTCTAAAGTTGGTGCAGACCTTAATGAATCCAAACAAAACAGTTACTCGCTTTAGCTTACAGTTACCATCTTTACCCATATATGATAACACAAACATGATACCGGCCAGAAACTTTAAACTTGATCAGAGAACTAGAAGTAGACTTTCCAGTAATTTAGGTAACCCTTTAACTCCCAGGAGTGACAAAGACAGAATTTCTCCTTACAATATCAATACAGTATCAACCAGATGAGTGATGAGAATAAAGAAAATATCAATTTGGGGATAATTGGGTTGATCCAATACTAAATTCTCTGAACTAACATTATAAGAATTGTATGGTCGACAGTAAGGAGAATTACAAATTTGATCTGAGAGTTAAAGAGTTAATATAGTGTATAAGTAAAGCTTACGATGCAAGGAGACAGATACGGGTATATCTGTAAGGTCATTAATAATATAATCAAAAGTCTTTCCACTTTTCACATATTCCTTCATTGCCTTGACACAGTCATCAATTCTAATCTGTAACAGAACACAACAACCAGTAAAACAGATTTAGGGGACTTAAACCACAACTTAAACACAATAAAAAAGCTGGAATGCCACTCCCAGGGAACATAGTGGTGGGTAAGTGAGCACCATGTGGTCACCAACTTCACTAGGTGAATAAGCAAGGGTAAACCCTTTCTAAACTGGTGGCTGAAAATTATGATTGTTAAAAATCAAATTAGATACACTTGGAAACTTTTATCAGTCCCCAGATGAGCAACCTTGATTTGGTTTAAAGTTAAACTTAAGGGCTACCTTTTATTTTAGTCAGGAAAATGCAAATATGAGTTTTGAAAAAATATATATATAAACAGTTGTGTAAGTAGTATGTTATATGTTCGTTATTGTTTGTATATAACAAAAGGTCCCCCCTTCAACCCTCAAAAAAAGACAAAGGAAAAAAAGGCTTGATACTTTGGGGCAGCATTACATAAAATAAAAATTTGAAATAAATAAATAAATGACATCCAAAAAAGGGCTGCAAACAAGACTAACCAAACATTACTCACAGCTACCTCAAAATTATGTCCTTTGTATGAATCCATTGAGCTGCCACAAATTCCACGTAAATGATTAATTGATGCATCAACAACAACTTTGTCTATGTTTTAATTGTTAAGTAACAACAAATGCTTGAAACATATTGGACTGGATCCACATGTTATATTAGCTTGGTAAACTGGCATCCACTATTAAGTCTAGAATTTTTGTTTCTCTCAAAACTGAATTACTACGTACAAAGGATATTTCAACCATAGTGACAAACTTTGGAGACTCCTTAAGAAGCTCATTTAAAACTCCACCATCTCCTCCTCCTAGAATGAGGACATCTTTGTCTTTGTAGCTCTCTCTACCATTCCCTAACAATGCTTTTGTGTAATCAATGTCACTTTCAGCCAACACTGAGGGGTATAAGAAATGAAGGAAAGTAATAATTTAGTTTGCAAATACAATGCAGTTAATTTATGTAAAATCTCTCTGTGGCTGATAATGGTTGTACAATTAAGTGGGAGTTAAAAAACAGACTGAAAAGTTTTGGGCACAAATGGAAATATTTGGTTATATAGGGTATGCGATTTCATTTCAAGTAGAGAAACACAACAGTTCCACCTTGTTTTATCTTGTTAATGTTCAATTTACTCATTTTAATGAGTATCATATGCAACAAAACCCTGGTTCAACACCTTTATTGACCCAAGAGACAACTGCAACTTTTTTATTTCCAAAGGCCACTACTCTCAAAATTATATAAATTAGTGCTTATTTTTGTGTACAAGACTTGAGATAAAAATTAATTTAAGCAATAAATTAGTAACTTACTCTCTTCCAGATCTAAAAACAACATATTTCCATAGCGTGAGGAATGAGCAATCCATACATCTTGGTAATCAGACTTTTGCTTAAACACTTCCCTAGGACACAAATCACAAACAATGGTTGTTTTTCTAACTTATCCTTAAGTTTTCTATTTGAATGCAAAGATGCAATAATACTTTAGTGAGCAGAAAAATCTCCCACTGATATGCCTTTCAACTAAAAATTGACAGGAAATCTGATACACTAATTAATGACACTCTCATTCAAAATACATATTCATCAATCAAGAATCTGCTATTCCCATACTTGTCAAAGTCATATTCCTTCATTCTTCCATCTGATGTATCATGGTAACGCAAAATTTCTCTTCCTCTATGAATGGTAGGGATGAAATGTGCCTTTGAACAAGACAATGCCTCATCTACTTTATCGCGGAGATCAATGTAGTCCTAGAAAATGAAAATACATGATTTGAAACCAAACATATCCAAGCTTGTGAAGGGACAGCAAAGTGTTTGGTGTGGTTATTTGTAACAAATTATTGCAGTTTTTATATCCTTTTTCTTAAAGGTACTCATTTAGAAATTTTAAATTATCATTTTAAAATCATAATTACAATAATAATTATTGATTACGACAAAACACAAGTATTTTTTTTGGTATTGCTCATAGTTATGGTCATTCTTTGTTTATTTTTACATTCCCATAAAACTTTGACATGTTAACCCTTTAACTCCCAAAAGTGATTATCATGTAACTTCCCCCTATAGTATCTAAACATTATCCAGCAAACAGATCATGAGAATAATCAAACTTATCAGGTAGAAGTATGTTGTTATCTCAATCTGACACCAAATTTTTGTAACTTATTTACAAGAAAATGTGTAGCAGCTAGAGGAGAGAATTAACAAACAGATCTTGGGAGTTAAGGGGTTAATCCAGTATATTTAGAATCCATTCTATATGTAATAAAAACTGATGCAAAGCACTCACACTTCTTTTAAGGATTTGCTCACTGGAAATATTATTGATGTATTGCACAACATCTAGGGTGACAAGACCATCAGGAAAGAGCTGTACTGTACACTGACTGTGAAAACAGCAAAACTTCACCTTGATTAGTAATCATTTCTAGTTCCCACCAAATACTGGAGTTTCATGGTACCCATCAGAAAGTCATACAGTTGATATTCTCCATATGATCAACAATGACATCATTATAGCTAGACAGAGAACAAGTTCTCTGTGACCATAAAAGACTAAAAACATTGAGGCCATCTTGACTGAAAAAGTGATTCACTAAAGGATTTATTTATTCTCAATATTGACCAACCATGAGGTCATTATAGCTAGACAGAGAACAAGTTCTCAGTGACCATAAAAGACTAAAAATATTGAGGCCATCTTGACTAAAAAAGTTATTCACTGAAGGATTTATTTATTCTCAATATTGACCAACCATGAGGTCATTATAGCTAGACAGAGAACAAGTTCTCATTGACCATAAAAGACTAAAAATATTGAGGCCATCTTTACTAAAAAAGTTATTCACTGAAGGATTTATTTGATGATTAAAACGCCAGCTGCGAGTGATTTCATCCGCAAGTGCAAAGTGGACAAGCCTATTATTCCCACTCAGAAGGTCAATCAAAATCATAGGTTCTGCTTCATCTCGCACTCTAACAGAGCCTGCTAAATAATAATGCTAATCATTAATGTTCTCTTTTCACCAACAATTTCTTTGAATCATTGCCATCTTTAAATTGAGTAATTCTTTTCTATTTGTAAAGCAGTGGAGACTGTATAATGAAAAATTGAACAATAGTTTCAAAATGAACAATAGTTTTAAAATTAACAATGCACTTACATTCCCTTTTGACCAGCAAATAGCATGGTGGTAGGGCTGCTAAACTCTGGCTTTTCAATTTTAAAAGATTCTCCAATAATTCTTCTCATTTTCTCACTTATTGAAACCATCCAGTTTCCAGATGGATCTGGTGTCACATGAAAGTCAAGTAATGTATGATTCACTGACATCTCAGCACTGGGATAAACTGCAAGAAGACAACCGGACCAAATTCCTAAGATCAGTTATAGTTACCATGAAAATCCCATTCTGTTACCTGGCTACCAGTTGGAACAGCCTAACATTAGCATACACAAGCCTTTTCAATAATCCTATTATATCATTATATTGAAATAATTCTTATGAATTACTTCACTGCACAGCATACCATATAATTAGATATACAATACAGGGGAGGAGCACACTACAAGCCAAAATAAAATAAATTTGTCTGGTGCACATTATAAGGAATAGTATGGGGGAAAAAATATATTCGATTTACAACGATAAATATTTCGAAAAATGAATATGTTATGAATAACAGCGATGGTAAAGCAAGCTTAAAACGGCAGAAATCGCTAGAAACTACGACGGACACAGGATGTGAGCAAGTTTAATTGATTTCACGCGTAAAATGTTCATATCTCGAAATATTTATTGTTGTAAATCGACCACATTTCGTTCCCCATACTATTCCTTATAACGTATTCAAATTTTCAACAGTTCCCTCGTTACTTAACACCGAGTCACACAACGCGGTCTTGAACTGACCTAAAGTTTTTTTCGAGTCAAATCACTTGTTATTATAATCAATCGTTGGCTTTTTCTCGAGACGTGAGCTTGGGCCACCTGTGGTCTTTCTCTGAACTACATTTACCTCAGATCAATAATCTTCTGATACAATTTACGGCAAGTATGACGGCTGAATAAATCAGTTAAGGTGAGCATAAGTAGGTGTACTTTTTTTAAATGAAGCTGACCGCGACTAATTGCTAATGCCCGTTACTCAAGATGTCCTCTGAGCTAATAAAATCACTTGCTAACATTCCAACAGAGTAATTTTCAGTCCGTACTGAAATAATCGTAAGTTTAAATAAAAAACCTCGTATCATGCGATAATTTATCGATAAACACCTCAGGCGCTCTGGAGCAGCTGGCTAAATTATCTAAAAGTTAACCCACGCGCTTTCCGTGCATTTTACGCCTGATTCTGTGGACGATGGGAATTTTGTAAACATCATCAATGCAAGCTTGCAACACAAATGACTTACTTTTCTAACGCTTGAGTTCGAGTCTTATTCTTCGAGGAAAAAATGATGGTGTTTATTCGACCAGCAAATTGTCCATTATAGCTTCGCTTCCAGGGTCCTCTCCACTCCTGGGAACGAGGTTACGATCGTTTGGAATTACCGGAATGGTCCATACTGGTTTTCACTCTGGAACACAGCCTACGGAGATAGTTTTCTTATACCGACAAAAATCGATATTCTACCACATTTTCGGGCCTACGTTCTAACTTAACTTCTTAGACACGTACTGTAGGATGAAACACTTCCTTTACTGAAAATTCATTCGGATGATCGAAAGGCCAATGTGTTAATAAAGGTATGTTTTATGTATGAAAAACAACGTTCTGAGAAAAACTTTAAATCGATTGCATATGTTGGAGGCTGTTGCTTAAAAGGTACGAAAAACTACCCATTCCGCTTTTGTTGTTGTTTTTTCCTCGTGTTGTGTATCAGGGTTCGTTATATACTACTATAGAGTAAAGCGTGCACAGACCAAGTGCTCTACACGACTGCTTTATTAGAATGCCATGAATTTAATTACACACAATGATATATGAGCATAATCACGTGACTGCGGTCAAAGGTGTGCTAACCAATAGAATAAAGATTATATAATAGCTAAGGTATTTATCCAAATAGGAACAAACACTACACCTCGCGACTAACCTATAATGGATAGTTTGGTTTCATTATCTGAGTTGATAATGAGGTAATTTAGTATTATCAACTGAGTTGGTAACGTAAATTGGCCATCGTAAAGAGTTTAAAAGCTGGTGTTTCGAGCGTTAGCCCTTCGTAAATTGCTCTAACGAAGGGCTAACGCTCGACACGTCAGCTTTTAAACTCTTTACGGTGGCCAATTTACGTTATCAACTCAGTTGATAATGCTAAATTACCCTGTTATACTCTCCCACCGACGCAGTACCACAGTTTCCATAGAAACTTACCACTTTTATTTATAAATTGATGATGAGTTGGTACAGAGGCCAATTTATTTCAAGTCAGTTGATAAATCCAAATTATCTTGTAAAACCCTTCACCTTATAACAACTTCTGATAAATCATTATTAATATCACTAAATATCAATACGTAAGGTATCTGTTAGTCTTTAATTATGCCTTTTACATAAAATGGCTGCAGTTCAACCTGTCGTTCTTTTTTTAAAATTGTTCAAACGTGGCCATAGTGTCGCTTTAAACAACTCTCCATATATAATAAAAGCAAAGGACCCATCTACCTTTATTTTCCCGACGGTCCATCGTACACAGATACAATAATTAATGTTGAAAATGAGAGAAGGTTCTTATGTCCTTCGCATATCAAATCTACGTATATAATGATATTGAGGTTGTAAAAAGTTTACGATCTCACAAAACTTTGTTTTTCCTTTCGTCGCAAACATTTTGCTTTCAGTTAGAGTGAAATTTGAATTTAGCCCTCAATCTACAAATTATAGCCTGCACCCTCCGCTGTCTAACAATGTTGAATTTGAAAGTGTTTCACTAGTCTCAGGTCGAAATATGTCTGAATCGTATTGTAATTGTTTAAAGTTGTCCTTCAATAGCATGTTGATATCGATTAAATGATTAAATTGACGATTGTCTTTATTCTTTTTATTCCGAGCTATCGCCGATCTACGGCATCGTCTCAGACTTTTCAGACCTTTTCAGTTGATGCGCGTTACCAGATCGATAAGGTGGTAACCCATAATATTAGCCGAAAGGGGTGGCTCTTTCTTTTTAAACGAACTTAAGCGTCTTTCACCAAAGTTCTTTTCTTTTCTTTTTTTTTTTTTTTTGGGGGGGGGGAGACCATGGGATTTGCGATGATTTGTATTACTGTCGTTACTTTTTAAAACGAAAGGGAGGGGTGTCACACACACCCTATGACCTCTCTCTCCCCTTGCTATTAGGGTGCGCTCTAACAAAGAAATTCTCCGCAAACGCTGTCAATAGAAGCAATCAGTTCAAGAGAATTTTCCCACTCTGCTCTTGAATTTGTGTCGGAGAGGTCTAAAGAAAAGAGTATAAGTGAAAACTTGGCCGGTGTTATTAATTTTTCTCTTGGTTGTCTTTCGCTCTTTAGACGTTGCTTCATGATCACGTTTTACTTTCATACTTGAATTTACTTTTTGTTATGAAATAATTTTCGGCAATCAACTATTTTTACATTTCCCAGAAAGAATACTCTTAACTTTCCCCCTTCCACTATGCTGATTTCAATTTAATTTCTGTCTTTTCTACATGATATTAGTTTTTATGGCAGTAGACATAGTCGAACATCTCTTGAAGTTAGCATTCATGTATTGTCTTAGTACATTGAAAATTAGTTATCTTGTAATTGCAGCTTGTATTGCAGACGAAAACCACAACATCAGAGTAACCTGCATCGATAAAAAGCTGATTCGGGATTTAGAAAAGGGGATTGGCTTGCAGTGTCGACCACATTTTTCACGGTCGGAGCACTGACGAGTTTTTCTTTTGCGCTGCCAGCTGTTTGATTTCTTGATGAAATTCTGCAACCTTTAGGCTTCGGCTTGTAACTCTTTACCTTCAACCTGCAACCAATAACCTGAAAACTCCAACCTGTCCCTTGCAACCCGCCTTTTAAGATCTCCGATTTAGACCATCCGCATGCACTGAAGTATTGGTCGACCACTTCGCGATAGAGAGAATCTAAAGCTGCACCAATCAAAGACAATACATCGTAGTTTTGAACGTAGGAGAAGCCTTAAGACTTTTATACTAAATTAAATTTTTTCACCAGTCTTCAAATCTTTGTTCTTCGCAGTTCTCTTTCATAGTTTGAATTCTCACCGCAATGGACCAAAAGAAAAAAAAATTAGCTGTAGTTCTCCTTGATATGAGAAAAGCATTCGACAGTATCAACCATGACATTCTGGTTAAAAAATTACAAGATATTGGCTTGTCACCCTCGGCCATCCAGTGGTTCAAGAGCTACTTTTCAAACAGGTACCAAGCTGTACGTATAAATACTGCTCTTTCCGAACCCCTGCTAATGAGGTGCAGTGTTCCTCAAGGAAGCATCCTTGGACCGTTGCTCTTTACGGCTTACATAATGACTTGCTATCAATCCCACAACACTGTTCCACGGATTGCTACGTTGATGACACTAAACTGCTTATGTCATTCCAAGTGCAGGACTTTAAACCGACTATGGCCGCGATGAACGATGATCTTTTTAAACTATGTAACTGGTGTTTTGATAATAGGCTACTCCTGAACCCGGATAAGACTAAATTGATAGTATATGGAAACCGGCAAATGATATCGAAACTTCAAGATTTTCGTCTTACCCTCCTGGGTAAAGAACTTTTACCCGTCGACTCTGTTAAGGACCTGGGTGTAATGTTTAATGGTAAACTCTCATTCAACGACCACATAATTAAAACAGTATCATCTTGTATATCTGCCTTAGGGCAAATTAACCGAGTTAAACATATATTTAGAAAAGACATACTTGTTACAATAATTAATTCTCTCGTGATTAGTAAGTTGTATTACTGCTCGTCCGTATGGTCGAATACTTCTGCCAGCAATATACGCAAATTACAAGGAGTACAGAATTTCGCTGCTCGCATAGTTTCTGGGACAAGGAAGTTTGATCACGTATCTCCAGCCCTGAAAAACCTGAGATAGATACCGGTTAAGTCCCACCTGTACTTAAGAGAAGCCATCTTGGCCTTTAAATCTATGACAGGTCAAGTACCACACTACCTCAGTTCAAATTTTATCTCCAGAGGGAATATCAGCGGTCGGACGACCAGATCATCTTCCCAGCTTAACATACCGCTTTTTAAAACCAAGTCGGGAAGGAGATCTTTTTATTACAGAACTGTAACATTATGGAATGCCTTAAACTCCATTTTAAATTAAGTGAATCTCTTATCATTTTCAAACGTAAAATGAAAGCCTTCTTTTTAAATCAATTTTTAATGTCATAAATTTTACATGCAAATAGTTTCTTAATAGTTAATTGATAATTTTTAAGTATTTTTAAATCAATTTGTAATGTCATAAATTTTATATGCAAATAGTTTCTAAATAATTGTTTATTGACAATTTTTGAGTATTTTTTTTATTATCCGTATTATTAATATTTGTCCCTGAAAAGCCCCCGTGGGGAGTTGACAATAAAATTTGTATTGTATTGTATTGTATAGTTACCAGTCCCGACAAGTCAGGTTTTTTACTTCAACTCACAACAGAAGCTAAAATAGTTCCAGAAACTCTGTTACTGGGTTATGCACTAACTACGTTCTATCTTAGTCGCCAGCACAGGATAACCAAGTCATCCATCACACCTGGACAATGATTCCAACTTTCTGTTTTAAATCCTATTTTCCCACTGGCTATTTTGGTGTTCATGCATAGTAAATCAGTAAAGAAAACTGAAATTTCACCAACTCGTACTTGGTAATAAATTGTACATGGAACTGCAATTGAATTACTATGTGGATCCCCTTAAGGAATAAAAAAGTAGTACAGTTTGATTTCTATGAGCTGTTTGGAATAAAAAAGAGGGGTAATGCCCCGAAACCAGATTAATTTGTTTCCCAACAATCTTCTCGAGTAATCTCTTCGTAAGTTCTGGAAGATTCAGTTACAATAGATATTAATTTGACGTCAAAACGACTGGTGCCTCCGTACAGATGATCCACGTACTTTAAGAACAAGTTTGTTGTTCCAAAAAGCCCACCACCCCTGGCTACTTTTGCCACTGTGGCCTTTTTTCCCTCTGATATAGAAACTAACTGCTGGATCATGCTCCTACAAACAGCGCAGCTTTCCAGTCGAAAATTTAGGTCTATTGTTGCTTTATTGTTGATTGAAAAATGTTCAGGACAACGAGTAATTTCTGATTCATAATCAGGTGAATTTAAGCACAACAACATACAAAACTCCACCAATCCGATGAATTGAGGATGAATCTCGCTAATTAATTTCTCTAACCTTTGAACTTTTTCCACAAAAACATTCTGCAGGCTATCACTACCTAAATTCTGGAAATACTCATTTTCCGAGATCTCTTTGAGTGCCATGTTCTTTATTAGCCCACAGCATTCGCTGCGAACACAATCCAGCCTCTTGTCCTCCCTTGCCATGGTAGTAACACTCGCCAGGAAAAGCATTCGGATAGCATTATGTTTAGACTTCTGCAGAGTTTTCAGGTAATTTACGCAAAGATCAAAAACCGACTTCGTTTGGTATTCGTCGGCTAACTTGAGGAGATGCTCTGCCTTGGTCACTGTGGAATAAAAAAGTTGATGTTTCAGTGAACAGGTCACACCTTTTGTAAAATAGCTCCTTAAGTTTCTTATTTACAGTACCACGCTAAAACTAAATATAAATTAAACAAAACTCAATTTATAATCCTAACTGATCATTATATATTCATTGCAGTGCAAATATTTCACGCTGCACAGTGTACAACTGTGAGCTTCCTCACAGTGGGATCAATTATGAAAAAACATTCCCTGTAATGACTCTGGTCACCCAGATTTCATCTTTTTCATCTGTGAGGAATGTTACTCACTTGATGGTTACCCTATTTTGTAAATTTTGGGGACACTTCTGGCTAATGCGATACATGTATGTCCCCCCTTTACAAATCTTTTTTTCTATATCCTATTCTTATCACTATCTTACTCATTTTCTTTCTTTGTGTATTCGTCGGTTGACGGATTGTTATTAGTCAATATTGATCTCCGTTGTTCCCATCGCCTTTAGAGCTTTTTCATAAAAATTTAAGAGTAGTTGTTAAATTCTTAATCATAATTTGTGGGGAAAAAAGACCTAAATTATATTTAAATGAGCTTATTTTTCCCTTACATGTGACTCCATCACTCTCTTTCAAGTACAGTTGCTTCAGGAAATCCAATATTTCATTAACCTTTTTCCCTATTAAGGGGATCTCTTTGGCTGTTGCTTCCTTGAAATTTGTTCCCAGCATGGCCTTAAAAACCGGTGAATGGATGCTCAGTATCTGTCGATGGACGTGGAATTTTTCATCTTCCACCACAAGCACCAAATCACTATTCTCCCAAGGCTCTGAAAAAGGATGTGTCTTCTCTACCGTGCTCTCTTTTGCCTCTTGGTTACAACCTGGCGAAACAAAACCTGTTCTTCAAAATTCCGGCAATAAGACGTCCTATATTGACTTTGGCGTGACTCCTTAAGGAAATTCCTGGCTCCACATTGAATTCCATTTGCGCACTTTAAAAATTCCAGTAAATTTGGATCGTTAGTTAGCTAGAACTAACTTATTTGGAGAAGTCCGAGAGTGGACTTAATAATTGTACAATTAACTTCTAGAGACCCCCTCGTCAATTAAGAGGGTGTCTCTGTAAGAGCGGTCCGGTCGATTTTGCTTGAGACACGGATTTCGCTCATTTCTTGTGTGTTATAAGACATTCATGAACCTATACTAAAACCACAATCCGTTTGATCGGATCTCTTTATTTTTCAGAGTTTTACGGAAATTAAATTTCACTCGACCGAAGGCTTGTCGTGATACTTTTCAAGACTTTAATTTGAGACAAGTTTGGAGGACAATTTACAAAAAACTACGGAACTCAGCAAAAAACAATTAGCCCAGCCATGTATATTAACTCTATCTTATCTATCGAGGCGACTTTTGTGAACATCATGTTTCAATCAAGGAAACAGGAAGACTTGAATGACACCGTATCGGTCCGCTTAAGTCACACACGCGAAAACCGATCAAATTCAAGGTAAATTTTTGAAAAAGTGAGGCGTTCTTAACTGATCCAACTAACATAGCTAGGAAGTAGGTGCCATAGAAAAGGTACCTACAGAAAAAAAACTTTGCGGCCCGGCCTTTACGAAAACTTTATAACTCCGTGAACTTACCTAATTTTCGGCAATCTCCAAGTTTGGCCGCCATTTTGAGGGACTCGTCAACATTAAGCGTAGCAGATATAAATCAAGCAGGTAGATCTAAGACCGTCACAAATACGTACGAAAGCAATTCAAATAAACTTTACTTTCAATTCAAGCGGCAAAATTTTAAATTGTTCGTTAAACTTACCATTCTTACATCCCCATGCGACCAATTCTTCCAACCATTCAAAAACTACAACTAGTGCTCGAATTCCTCTCGTCGATTCCACCGTAAGAAATGACCTGTGCCACCCCAGCTTCGACTCGGATGTGAAGTACGAATCAAATAACATAACTGCTTCATCTTCGAGGCAATGTCACAAGAACGGTGATCAGGAAGCGATCGCTATGTTTACCTCATAAACGCGACCGCTGACCAGTCGCTGAGTGAAAACAGTATAGCGCGGGGTGGGGTGGCGTATCTTCTAATCTGAACGAAACGCCAACCACCCCACCCCGCGCTATACTGTTTTCACTCAGTGACTGGTCAGCGGTCACGTTTATGAGGTAAACATAGCGATCGCTTCCTGATCACCGTTCTTGTCGATCCGAAAATCAAACTACCAGCGTGACATTGCCTCGAAGATGAAGCAGTTATGTTATTTGATTCGTACTTCACATTCGAGTCGAAGCTGGGGTGGCACAGGTCATTTCTTACGGTGGAATCGACGAGAGGAATTCGAGCACTAGTTGTAGTTTTTGAATGGTTGGAAGAATTGGTCGCATGGGGATGTAAGAATGGTAAGTTTAACGAACAATTTAAAATTTTGCCGCTTGAATTGAAAGTAAAGTTTATTTGAATTGCTTTCGTACGTATTTGTGACGGTCTTAGATCTACCTGCTTGATTTATATCTGCTACGCTTAATGTTGACGAGTCCCTCAAAATGGCGGCCAAACTTGGAGATTGCCGAAAATTAGGTAAGTTCACGGAGTTATAAAGTTTTCGTAAAGGTCGGGCCGCAAAGTTTTTTTCTGTAGGTACCTTTTCTATGGCACCTACTTCCTAGCTATGTTAGTTGGATCAGTTAAGAACGCCTCACTTTTTCAAAAATTTACCTTGAATTTGATCGGTTTTCGCGTGTGTGACTTAAGCGAACCGATACGGTGTCATTCAAGTCTTTCTGTTTCCTTGATTGAAACATGATGTTCACAAAAGTCGCCTCGATAGATAAGATAGAGTTAATATACATGGCTGGGCTATTTGTTTTTTGCTGAGTTCCGTAGTTTTTTGTAAATTGTCCTCCAAACTTGTCTCAAATTAAAGTCTTGAAAAGTGTCACGACAAGCCTTCGGTCGAGTGAAATTTAATTTCCGTAAAACTCTGAAAAATAAAGAGATCCGATCAAACGGATTGTGGTTTTAGTATAGGTTCATGAATGTCTTATAACACACAAGAAATGAGCGAAATCCGTGTCTTAAGCAAAATCGACCGGACCGCTCTCACAGAGACACTCTCTTAATTATCTAAAAACCCTGACGAGAATGGTCCAGTAAGTAAATTCATCATGTTTGACAAATGCATGTACTCTACTTTGAGATGACATCCAATGTGCGTTGTGAAAAGCCAGTCATTAGTTCTCCTCCCCCTCCCCGCTTCTAGTTACGACATATAACAAAGAGAAAACTTACTACTTAGACTCAGGCTTAGGCTAACTACTCGCAACTCAGTCTAACAATTATCCACTTTACTTCTGCTTTATCCAGCCTGGTAAGAAAATATAGATGGAATTTTGTAGATGGTAAGTAGGGTCATTTCAGTCTATAGCAACCCAACTGAATACACTTAATCATCCATCTAGCCCCACAAAAGTCAAATGGTCGGCTCCTGAATCGATTTCTTTCGATATCAACAACTTCTCTCACAGATGAATGACTACGAAGGTAATCAATTCAAGCAAGTTTCGTATATACATTTTCTAATAAAATTTGTTTTGAATCGGTGTATACCGCAAAAGATCGCTCTAAATTTTGAAATTCGTGACTATGACAGACTGTTAACTCTCATGTTTTAACAGTCTGATCACATGTTCTAGGGAGACAATAATTTTGAGAGATCAGAGAACATACCTAATGGTAACAGAAAGTATTCGAAAGCACAGAAGCGGCATGCCCACTGGGCTTTCTATCGATCTGCCAAACATTTATAACAGCAAATGTACATTTACGTACAATCGCGAGAGGGCAATTTAACTGCCATTTCACACTTGTCACGAACCTTTCGAGTTCTCGAAGACTGTGGAAATCAGCTCAGACGGCGTAATTACACTCCATAATATTCGAATTTGTTTAATTAAACCATAGAGTTAGAACTGATTGTACTGTGTGGTCGTTCGAATGAGGGAAGTACTGAAAAGAACTTCATTTGGTGATAACCTAACTTGTGTTTCCAACAAGCACCTAAGCGGAAGTCATCGTCATATCAACAACATAACTCTGCAAAAAGTTTGCGTTCTTATAGCTGAACTCTATGATAGAAATGGTCGAGAATCGATCCATCGCGTTCGATTCCAGTTTGATCTACCAGTTGGTCGAAAATGATTGATTTAAAGTGACCACGAACGCAATTCAACCATGGTTTGAGCGTATTACGCCATAAAAGAACAATTATCGAGAGAAAGGTGCTATTTTCGTCTAATCAAGACATCTGCGAGCAACAGTATCTCAGAATGTTTTAACGAAGCCTGAACAGGGTCCTGAATGATTATCTAGGCTAGTTACGTGCTGTTACGTAGGCTGAAATTGAGAAGAACTTAATACCTGAACTTCCACTTATTTCCGTCGCTGAGGCGGTGTTCGAGGCCATAAAACTTAAGGTCGTAATATCACGAAGAAAGTACACCAAATTAAACTGGTTAAAAAGGTGTCGTGATAAAGGCAAGATTACGCTTAGGTTTCAGTGGAATTCTGGGAACTGAACGCTACATTACTTCCGGTTAGGGTTGGGAGTCTGGTATATATAGAGTTGTGATGTCTTTTTTAGGATGATAGGTTTGTGTTTTAGCTCGATATATTTACATGTTACCAAGTCAAGCATTCACCAAAAATATCCCACCCAACCCCTCAATTGCAAAAGACTTATGGTTTGCCCCCGTTAAGGATCTTTTTCGATGTAAATAGCATCCTTCTCGGCTGACTGATCCCATTGCAGCAATCTGAAACAATTTGAATATTTGTCCCGAATTACTACACTCTGATAGTATTTCGGTCTGATTGTAAGACTTATCACAAAATACGCTGATATTTGGAATGTCAAAAATTGAAATTCCATGCGAGGCAGTTCCAGTTCAAAAAGAGCGCTTTCAATGAATTATTAAGTGGCTGGAATGCCCAATGACAAGGGTAAGGTAAAATTCAACCTGCATGGATTCTTTTCTATATGCTTCCTTCTGAATTCAAGCTACAAGGGATCATACACTCAAACAACCTTCGATTTGCTTGAGAAAAGAATCAATGTCTTTAATAGAAAAGTCCTCGTTTCAGTTTCTTTGGAATGGGCATTGCACACGCTTTGATCCCACGCCAATTGCGATGGGTGAATTTGTCTGAGTTCCAGTTCACGGAACGAACGAGCTCGTCTTCTTATCAAGGTCGAACGAGTCCGCAGAATCTAGAATTGGCGTTTCTTTAAACTGAGATTTGAACCATATTGATACCTGAGTGCTCACTGAAAATCTTACATGCCATCTCAGAAAACTGACTTTCTGACGGCTGACCAGGTGCATCACGTTTACGTGGAAACTGCAAAATTTCGGATCGATTGCGTAAGACGTGCTTCATTCTCTTTGGATAGGGCGTAGTGAAACGTTTCGTGACAATAACAAGAGTGTACCAATTAATTCTCTACTCTTTAAAGGCGGTATCAAGTTTTCCTTCTTGAAAGCTTACACCTAAATGAATAACCTGTTACATAATCCACAAGATGCGTAATTGGCAACTTTTTCGGGAACCGTAACATCATCAAAAAGTGTTTTTTTCTGTTTTATTTTTCAAAGATCACTGGTGACAAACCACCAGGACGCATTGCATATCTATTCAAGGATGATTAATGAGTTTATCAGAGAAAAATACAAATTAATACATAATTATTCGATTTCTCCGCATAAGAAATCGACTGACATACTTTAAAGAGGATAACTTTCGTAATAAAAATTGTGGTGATCTACCATTCACCGATTGCACAGTAAACTGACTAAACAAATTTGTTCTGAACACGCACAGAATCCCTAAGGCTAAGTTGATGACATGATTTTTCTTAGTTAAAGCCAATAGAAGCAATCTGTTCAATTAAATCTAGAGAGGATGAGGAACTTTATTCTCTCTTGCTTTGATTAAGAGTGACTTTCAATTCTATGTCGAAGATAGTCTAGGATTGTTTTGGTCTTCTCGGCTTTACTTCGCTATTTGGTTGGTGTGGAAAATTAGATCCACCTAATAAAGTAAAAGAAAAATGAATTTTGATTGCCTGCCATGATAACTTTGGGTTTGGTTTTGGGACACTCTATCGAAATGTGCCCTAATTACGCTTACAACTAAGTTAATGACTTGGATCTCCACCTTCTCCTTTAGTTTGCTTGTTCTGTCAGAAGTCATAGACACAATTTAATCAACTAAATCAAACAAATTCTTCATGACGCTGTTAAAATTACTGTCAAAGTGATCGGTGTAGGAACTCCTGCATTCTGAGGGCTTACACGCTTCGTACATCTCCCCCTGTGAGGTAGTCGATGCTAAGCTTTCCATCACCTTTTTACAAACAGGGCAGGTTCGTAGGCATTCTTTGATGCTAAAAAGAGGTTCTCCATTCGGAATATGAACAGGACACCACGCTACGTCGTTCCTCCCCTGGCTCCATAACCGCAAGGTAAAGGCCACCATTCCTGATACTTGGGGGCTAAGTTCTTTCACAACACCCTCTAGTCTTCTCATTCTTGGGAGGATAATGGCGCGAAGATTCTCGCTGTTAAGATCTGGGAATTCTCGATATCTCTCCAGCCTTTGTAGACTCAGTTGCGCCAGCAAAATCCGGCAGTCGTCTTCCACATTGCTCAGCCTGTATTTCTGGGCAAGAAGCAGAATTTTCATGGCATTATCCTCCGTTTTGGGCTCACATCTGAGAAAGTTGGCACACAGGTCAAGGACTGTCTTGATTTGGTACTCTTCGGCAAGCTTGAGCAAGTGTTCCACATTTTCCACTAAAACAAGTAGCAGAATAAACTTTACATTCAATCATATCAAAGTGGTGGATTAATCTTACTCACAGCCGCTCAACAATGTAACCAGAAAAGAAAAAATAATATTGTGGAAAAAATTATTTTTGCTATCTCCTACACGGGACACAAACTTCCTTAAATGGACCAGAACGATGTTCTGCAAATTCGTAAAGTTTTATCGTTGATGCGGTTTATTTAGACTATCTTTATACGTAGCTAATGATCACAGTAGGTAGTACAAGGTACCCAAATAGTATTTGGAGGCACGGTCTCAAAACCCTCGAAGTTGTGATGATCATTACTTCACTCGATCTCTGCTAACTATATGTCGCCATACTCTACTCGTACTTACGGGCGGTCATCAGCATGAAGAAAAATTATTCATATTAGTGATCTACAGAAGCCACATCTATTTACCAAGGAAGCCTATTAAGTCGGCCCATAAAGTACCACTTACGACGCCCGTTGGCACATCTTCGTAAGAGCATTCATTTTTTCAGTTAACACGAAGAAAACATGACAATACAGCTATCTAAAATTTGTTACACTGTAGCCTTTCAAAACTTACTTGAAATTTCTTCTCTTTCTTGTGGATACAACTGTTTGAGAAGATTCAATATGTCATCGGCGTCCTTTCCCGGTAGAGTAATCTCAGCAGTTGGTGCTTCTTCGAGGCCAGGTTCAAGCATGTTTTTAAATACTGGTGAGTTCAAAATGAGAATAAGACGGTGCACGTAAAACTTTACTCCTTCGACCATAAGAACCACGTTGCTTTCCTCCCACGGCTGAGTAAATGGATTGTTTGCGACTTTTCCTAGTGCTTCTTCTTTGGCTGGGCTCTTTGGGTTGACATTTCCCCAATAGCAGACCTTTTCCACATCAACAGGGATCTTTCCTTCTTCTTCTTCCCACGTGCTGGCTTTTCCATCCATTCCACCTTCATCGCTCTCTTCTCCTTTTTTCCACAGGCAGGTTTCTGATCCTTCCCGTTTTCGTCCAAAACTCACTCCTTTTCCATCCAACATGCTGGTGTCTGCTTCTTCTGTACTGCGTTCATGAGTCTTTTCTTCTCTTCCCCACATCGGGGGGTCTACTTTCAAATCATCTTCGCTACTCTTTCCTCTTTCTGTTTTCTCCTCCATCCATGCTTTTCCTCGCTGACTTCCTTCATAACACTCCCCTTTTCTATCCAACGTGCTTGTGTTCTTTGCATAGTTTCCTTCAAAACTCTTTTCATCCCAGTTTTTCCACATGTCGGATTTTACTTCCCCTTCGCTCCCATAACTCTTGTCTCCTCTTTCCCAGGCTTCTTTTCCTCCCAGTTTTTGTTCTGAACACTTTACTTTTTCATCCCACGTGCTTGTGTTCGTTACATAGTTTCCTTCAAAACTCTTTTCATCCCAGTTTTTCCACATGTCGGATTTTACTTCCCCTTCGCTCCCATAACTCTTGTCTCCTCTTTCCCAGGCTTCTTTTCCTCCCAGTTTTTGTTCTGAACACTTTACTTTTTCATCCCACGTGCTGATGTTCACTTCCTTGTTATAACTTCTATAACTCTTCTCTTCTCCTTTCCACTTCTGGAATGTTACATCAATATCTTCTTTATAAGTCGTTCCTCCCTCCTCCCTTCCTGTCTTTTTCTTACTTTTCGTCCGCATATCTCTCTTCTTCATTTCGAATATCTCGGAGTCCCTACACGCACAAACACATAAATTGTATTATGGAGCAAGTTTTCTTCGTAATATTGACCTTCCACAATTGTTTTTTTCAACGTTTTGCAACTTAGCATGCAGTGTAAAAAAGTGCACTCCATAAGAGTGGGAAAAGACAACGTTGGAACAAACAAATGTTAATCTCCATAGATATTCTGCCCAAAAATGTGTTCAAATACTTTTTTTACGAGAAATAATCGGAAACGTAGACGAGGGGGTTGAATAAGGGTTTGCAAATCCGCAGATCCTCTGTGATTTAATGGCCAAATCTGTAGATCCGTTTTAAAAAAAATGTTACCATAATTTCCGGTCGTTTATCCGCGGGTAATCTGTTGATTTTGCATTAAACGCGCGCCACTGCGGGTAATAGGGAGGTGCGGGTTATGTGACAATTTTAAAATCTAGTGGTAGCTGAATTGAAAAAATTATCACCAACATGCGTTTCCACCTCTCAAGTGAATTTTGGTGTATTAAGAGTGCCGCAAAGCGGCACGAAAACATGATGCTGACTCGAGTTTATTTCAAGCATAATTAGTTGCGCGACAAACAAATTGCTATCTGCACGCGTGAAAACAAAACCTTGATGGTGACAAAAATAATCCAAGGACATCCGGCGCATCAGTAACAAATTTCCATTTAACACTAGCTTGAGCTAAAGAGAATTTTCCCGTTTAAAGGGACTTGTTAGGCCCAATAGAACCGGAGATATGGTTTTTTTTTTCAGAAATCGCCGACAGTACTTTATAATTTAAGTTTTAATACTCACCCAGCTTTTTTTCAACAAATCAACATGGCGCTGAACGATCGCTCGCACAAATGTGGCCCCAAATTCGCATTCTGTCAAGTATCAAACGTTGAGATTTGGGCATGGGCCGCTAGTGTTTTTACTGTATAATCTTATCAATAAAGTACATGCTAATATTGACAAAGAATTGTGCACGCGTCTGAATTTCTTTGACCTTTAAACTCGACAAAGACGCTTTCAAGTTTTCGAAAGTTGGATCAGACAACTTTTAAAAGACTGAAATGTATCACCTTAATGTCACGTTTTCGTCACCAAAAAGTTGAATAACATAATGTGCGGGTTATCCACCAGTGCGGGTAATCTGTTGACTTTTTTTTTCGCCGTATGCAATAATCGGCCGGTGCGGGTAATCGGCCGTGCGGGTAAACGACCGGAAATTACGGTAAATCCGAATCCGTTTGCTACTTGACACGTGGATTTGTGAAAAACTTACTTTGAGCTTTTGTGTGTTAACCATTAAAACAATTTTTAAAAAATCGTCCTAACGCTTTTTATAGGACCTTAAACTAAGGAAAAGGAACAATTTTTTAAAATTTAAAATTTAAAGAAATTTTTTGATCATTTTTTTTTTGTAAACTTTTGATAAGCACTCTGCGAACAGTTGTTGTAAAACTTGTCTTATTATCCGACGCGTTTCGTCTAACTGTCGTAGACTTCTTCAGGGAGTTTTATAAGTAAACACTAAACGCCTGTATTTATAAGCCATAATAAGCGCCTATAACGTGGGCCAAAGACCACAGAGGTTTGGCCGGATTTACGAACAGGAACAAGCGTTGTGAGAAATTTTTAAGGCAAGGTGAGGAAAAGGTTTTGGGGCCACGGCTTGTGAATACAGGCGTTTAGTGTTTACTTGTAAAATATAGTCCAAACTGATAAGAGCTCTAAGACAACACGTCCCGCTGTCATGGTGCGTTACTATTTCTCTACTGCGCATGACATTCAATGAGCCTTGACCGTGACGGAAAATACTACAGTAACGCACAGACCACAAAACAAACAAAAGAAAATATTTCTGACGATCGCTGAGATCCACGATCCGAACTTCACAAGTAAAATCTAAAATCTAAAATCCGGGCCCAAAGTTCGATGAAAACCGCAAACCGCTACCATTGCAGGATCTGCAAATCCGTTAATATTTCGCTCTGAATCCAAAATCCGGGAAAAATACTAACAGAATCCGTTTGGGTATCCACTTCCCTCGTAGACCGTTCTAGACAGCCCACAGTATCTCCGTTCTTACAACAGATCTTCCACTGTGTTTGAACTAAGTGAAACAGTTGGGGGTGAAGTCGATATCAATTAGATGAATCTGTGATATGTGTTTCCTGCTAAGCACTTCTGAACAATTTAGAAGGTCTGTTCCATCCGAACCGATGTTTACGAAACAACAATGGATAATACAAGATGACTATAAGCATTTCATATTTGCCGGATCAGCCATTGAAGATATGATCCCAAACTTTCCCTTTACATACTCATTTGAACCAAGCTAAACTTTGATTTTCAAGAATTATTACCAAGTCGGGAATTAACCTAATAGACCATTAGAACTATGGTTATCTACCTTACTCTAATTTACAATGATTTGTCATTCAAACTGATTGATTCGAACGGTAGTATGATGGCGCATCTTCGATGCGACAGCTATAACAGCAAATCTAGTAGTGAAAATTTCTTTCATCAATTACCTGGCTTGGTACTACTAAAACACTTACCTGAAAATTATGTGGGTTGTGAAATGAAGCTAACCAAATACCTTCTAAAAATGTCACTTTCCGATATTTGAAGCTGGTGTGAGAGATGTTCTAAGGACCTTAAACATTTCAAGTCTGCGGCTTGACAGGAGTTAAGTGGAAGGCTGACAGAGTGCGATGGGGGGCAGTATTTTTTTTTTCCAAGCTGAGACTGGACTATCACTATTTTGCAGAGACTGTGATTTAGTGGCGCCAAATTTTAATCAATTAATACGAAATTGAATATCAAATTAAAAGCATTAGAAAGTTTGGCTATGCCAAAACAACAGGATCAAAAACAGACGTTTAAGTTGTTTTGCTGAACCCACGAAACATGCCACGTCTTATTCTGATTACTGTTGACTTAGTAAATTTCTATCAAAACATGTGACTCTTGCGCAAAGAACAATCTACCGTAAGGAAAGTCACCAGATAGTCTTGTGATTATTGCTCAATCCGGCAATTTCGGATGCTTTGACCCTGTCCACGTTTAGTTTGACCCTTCGGTGGCTCCTTTCTTTTCTCAATGTCTTGGTATCTTAGTTTAATATGAACATTGACAATACCAAATTAAGATAGGACACATAAACGTTTTTATTTGGGGACAAGTAAATTTATTTACGGCAATGTTTTTTCTGCACATACACTTGTGTTTTGCTTACAACCATTGTGTTCCTACAGGTACTCTTATGCAAATAAAACTCCGACACTATAAAACTAATAATTATATCGTTATTACGAAGGGAAGGATAAGCTCAGCTAAATTCGATTCCCTCAACTGAATTAAGAGAATCATACGAATAGTTTTGCTTCTAAATTTTGGATCATTTCAGTGATTTCTTGGCGTGCAGAATACATATTTGCTACTTAAGGGATAATCCCTGCTTTCTGCTTTCCTGAAGTCAACCAACTTAGCGAAATCATTCTACATCGCTCGTCTATACGTTCATGGCTTTAACAATCCACTTCCAAAAAATAAGCCGAAACCTCCAGCGCCATATCCTTTATGAGACATCTCAATATCATTGTGTGCGCGTTGAAGATCTTGAATGATGGAATGCAAATCGATGAAGTCGCCACCAAATCCTCCTGCCTGCTTTGATCGATTTGAGGCTGATAATAGGGAACTTAATTCGCGTAACATTTTTTCACAAACTGTGCATTTTTCGAACAGCGTAAAGAGCGACAGTGTAGCCCTGTTCTCGCTACAGTGCATGGGGCAACGAGTTACTTTCTTACAATGCTTTGACGATTCTAAGCACAAAGTCACACAAAAGTCCACTAAATCCTTAAACCGAGGATGTACTTTTTTGACAAGCTCCTCTAATTTTTCTATTCTTTTAACTAACACGTTTTCTCTCACATCCTGTTCTAAGTTTTTAAAATCCTCCTTCTCCATAATTTTTTGGAGTGCCATGTCTTTGATGTAGTCGTAGCATACTTTACGAACGACATCTAACTTTTCGTCCTTCCTTGCCATGTCGGTAGTGTTTGCCAAGTAAAGTATGCTCATTGCTTTTTCTTTAGATCCCGCAACTTCACTTTTGAGAAGATTCACACAAACGTTGAACACTGACTTTGTCTGGTACTCGTCTGCTAACTTCAAGAGATGTTCGACTTTGTCCACTGTCATGAAAATAATATCATGTAGAAAATACAGAAATTAAATTAGAATCGGCACAGCGGGAGGGGGAAAATTAAGAGTAGTCCATCTGGAAAAATTTCAAAAAGAGTAGCCTAAGCTTAGCCCCCCATGCACCTTAAAAAAACTGAAGGGAGGAAAAGTCTACTGATTGGCTAGAGTGGGTGGTTTTCTTTCATATTAACGATCAAGCTGGTGAATAGAGAGCTTTCTTGGTCAACAGTTTACGAACAACAGCGATTTACGACGAGGTTTTAAGTTTGCACGACTTTCGGCATAGAGAAATTTTAAGAAGAACAGCAGAAAGCCATAAATTTGTTTTTTCGAAGGTAACGTTGTCTCCGTTTCGTTACCAACTGGCTATGGAAAAACCTTAAATATATCAAGCCGCGCCAGTGATCGATCGCCGCTGTTCTCTGGAAGAAGCCGTTCGCCATATTTATTGTGGCGCCCGTTAAGGCTCTCATGAAAGACCAGGTGCATTATCTCAGTGGACTTGGGCCAAGAGGATTTTCTACCTTCAACGCTCGGCCTCTTTGCGAACGGTGCTGCGAAGCTAATAAAGTTAGTTGTTTCTTGCTGCGATCCCTTCGACATAATGATCAACTCTCCAATTGCCACTGCCGACTTCACAGAAGCATCGCGCTCACGAAACTAGATTTCAACGTCCATGCGGTCTCTGCTTAAATTTGAAGACAGTGCCAAGGTCGTCTAAAAAAGCTGGATCATTTGCCGCAGAATCTCAAGGTTTTACAGATTTCTTTATAAGATAGTTAAATGATTAGATTGAAGATTCGATTGAGGCCCTGAGCTACAGGATTTCCCTTTTTATTCCGAGCTTTCGCCGATCTAATGCATCGTCTTAGACTTTTCAGACCTTTTCAATTGATGTGCGTTACCAGATGGATGGAGAGGTAACATAGAATATTAGCCGAAAGGGGTGGCTGTTTTCTTTAAACTTTCCTAAGCGTCATACAACAAATTTCTCTTTTCATTTTGGGGGCAGACCTAGAGCTTTTTTATTTTTAATTATTGTTGTTACTTTTTAAAACCACAGGGTGGGGGAGTCACATACATCCTATGACCTCTCAGTTCTATCCTACCTGCAGCTATACCCTCCCCCTCCCAAGGAGAAACGGAAGCCGAACGGAAAGAAAATGAATAAAATCAAAATTTAAAAAAGTTAACATAAATCTTAATTTGATAACACTTAAAATGTTAATTAATCCCAACTGAAGATTATCAAAATATCATAATCTCTGGTCATTATGTATTCATTCGACTGCACATTTTTCACGCTGCATAGTTTGCAGCTGTAAGCCTCATTCCAATGGGATAAATTATAAAAAAACTTCCTTGTAATGACTCTGATCACTATTTTATCTTTTTATCTGCAAGGACTGTTAGTTACTCACCTGATGGTTACCCTATTCTGTACTTTTTTGGGACTCTTAAAGCTAATGCGACACTGCATGTCCTCCTTTTATAAATCTTTTTTTTTTTTAATGTCTGAGTCCTATTAATATGTTAGCTGGTTTCCTCCTTTGTATATTAGTCCTGTTGACAGATTGTTGTTAGTCAATATTGTTCTTCGTTGTTCCCAAAAGCTCATAAAAGATCCCATCGCCCTCAGAGCTTTTTCTTTAAATTTAAGACTATTAAATACTTGATCATAATTTGTGGTAAAAAGACCTTAGTTATGAGTAAATTTACTTATTTTTCCCTTACATGTGACTCTATCACTCTCTTTCAAGTACAGTTGCTTCAGGAAATCCGAAACTTCATTAGCCTTTTTTCCTGGTAAGGGGATCTCTTTGGCTGTTGCTTCCTTAAACTTTGTTCCCAGCATGACCTTAAAAACCGGAGAATGGATGCTCAGTATCTGTCGATGGACGTGGAATTTTTCATCTTCCACCACAAGCACCAAATCACTATCCTCCCAGGGCTCCGAAAACGGGTGTGTCTTCTCTACCGTGCTCTCTTTTGACTCTTGGTGAAAACCTGGCGAAAAAAAACCTGTTGTTCAAAATTCCGGCAATAAGACGTCTTTTATTGACTTTGGTGTGACTCCTTACGGAAGTTCTTGCCTCCATATTGAATCCATTTGCGCACTTTAAAAATTACAGTTGATTATGAGGTCATGGGTTCAAATCCCGTACGGGCCTGAAATTTTTTTCAGGTCCAATTTACAACTACTCGTTTCAGTAGTGTTCTTAGCTGCGAGGATCCCTTAATTTTCATCTCTCCACCACAGTGCAAATATATGAATTTTCATATATCTAAAATCATCATTCACTTGGATGTTTATTTGTACCCAATTCATTGACCAGCTCCCAGTTGGCTTGTTAGCTCAATTGGTAGAGCGCTGCACCGGTATCGCAGAGGTCATAGGTTCAAATCCCGTACGGGCCTGAAATTTTTTTCAGGTCCAATTTACAACTACTCGTTTCAGTAGTGTTCTTAGCTGCGAGGATCCCTTAGATTGGACTAGTTAACCCTTTGTCAATTAATTATCTAAAAACCAATACGAGAAAGGTCCAGTAAGTAAATTCATCATGTTTGAGAGATGCATGCACTCTACTTTGTAACGACATCCAAAGTGGTTTTTTTTTATAAATCAGTCATTAGTAAGGACAGCAGCACGCTACCTTTATCATTTTATTTGACCTGATCGGTTTTCAAACAATGACGGAAGAAATGTGTATAATTAAACGATGGGCATGGAATTGATCTCGCACAACAAGAATCGCATCACTCTCTTTCCTTTGTCATCAGTTGAATCGGTTCCTGCTGACGGAATATAAACCTTGAACCAACCATCAGTTGCAGGTTTATTATTAGAGACCATTTCGTTTGTGGGTGAAGTGCATTAAATCGCCTTAATTCCAGGAAATTTGTATTTGAACACCAGAAAAGGATATCAATATCTTTCTTAGAAAAGTACTTTTTCCAGTCTCACACGGCCAGAAATTTTCTATTTCCTCGCTCCCACGCAGATTGCATAGGGAACATTTAACGACTTTAACTTCATTGAAGTGACCATGGTTTAAACAGAAAATTTTGGGGGCAAATAAATGAATTATAAAAAAATTATCTGACGAGCGAGTTCAATAGATCTCACAAACGGACTACAAACAGGAACCGCTGACGACAATACTTTGGTACAAAACAAATTTAAATAGTGGGCTTTTCTCCAATGGTTTTTGCGGCCAAGGTATCGTCATGGCGTTTTCGCCACCTGGGTACTGTAAGTTGATTGCTTAAAAAAAAGTCTTACAACTTACAAGGGAGAGGGGTACACGCCCCCCCTCCCCCCCCCCTTCTAGCTACGCCTTGTAACAGAGAGAAAACTTATTACCTTATCGTGCGGCTCCCGGAATATTCCGGGCGCACGTGTTCGTCCATGTGGACGGGTCCCGGAATATTCCGGGTTTCCGAACATGATTGTTTTATTGACGTAGAAGTTCGGAATATGTCGGGCTTAGGTAGGTTTACGGTCATGGGCCTACCAAAGGGACATAAATTAAGCATCCGACAGAGTTCCGAAGATCCGAGTAGAATAAAAGAATTAATTAGCATGAAATATATTTTGTTGCGCGGTAAAACTGATAAACAAAGATGGCGGCCAATATTATATTTGTTGATGAAGGAACTATCGATGAAGTTGTTGGTGGAGAGGATAGCGATTTTGATGAAAACACGGATAATTCTGAAAGCAGCGAAGAAGAAGATGGCAGAAGCGAAGAAGACAGTGATGGCGAGGAGGAGAGCGAAGAAGAAACCGAAGAAGACAACTGGGTCGTTGGCGATCGTATCCCGCGAAGGCTTGACTTCACAGCTGATCGAGGGTTGAATGTGGAGCTTCCTGACAATCCATCATTCTCTGACTACTTTCATCTCCTCTTCCCTGAAAACCTATTCGATGAGATTGCATCCCAAACAAATAAATATGCAAGGGAAACAACCGCATCTTTACAGCGAAGAGATCGTTTACCTCAGCACTCGAGGTTTAGAAATTGGCCTGAGGATGGTGTGACATCTGGTGAGATGAAAGCTTTTCTTGCCATGATAACTGCAATGGGCCTGGTGAATCAAGAGAATATCCAGGATTACTGGTCCACCGACGAGGTTTTATCTAGTCCCTTTTTCCCTCAAATTATGTCAAGAGACAAATTTATGAACATTTTAACATTTTTTCACTTGTGCAATAATGATAGTTATATTCCTCGAGGACAGGAAGGGTATAACCCAGTAAACAAGCTTGGCACTATATACAGTGTTGTCACTGGGAATTTTTCAGATGTCTGGAAGCCAGGCAAAAATATTTGCATAGATGAGGGAATGATTCTATTCAGAGGAAAAGTGCACTTCGAAGTGTACAATCTAGACAAGCCAGATAAGTATGGTGTAAAGTCATACCAGTTGTGTGACTCAAGTAATGGCTATTGTTGTAGGTTTGAAATTTACACTGGTGTAAACCAAGAACCACCCAGTGCTAAAGGCAAAACATATGACTTAGTCATGAGGCTCATGCAACCTTATTTGAATGTGGGTAGGTGTTTGTATGTTGACAACTACTACACATCACCTACTTTATTTGCTGAGCTCTATAGGCAGAACACTGGGGCCTGTGGAACAGCCCGCTACAGGAAAGGTATTCCCCAGGAATTTAAAAGGGCACAAGTGAAAAAAAAAGGTGACAAGTTTGTTATGAACAATGGAACTTTGCTGGCTGTTAAATTTAAGGACCACAGAGTTTTCCAGATGCTGTCATCTGTTCACTCCATTGCAGATGTAGAAGTTGGCCGAAATCACCCTGGAACCGGGCACCCAATCACTAAACCCGAGATTGTACATGACTACAACAAGTTCATGGGGGCAGTTGACAGGTGTGATCAGATGGTGGCCTATTCCTGCTTCAGGCGACGCACCATGAAATGGTGGAAGAAAGTGTTCTTCCATCTGTTTCCTTAAGTATCCTGAATGCTTACATCCTCTACAAACAAAGAACCCAGTCACCTGTGCTGCAAAGGACCTTTTGAAGGGAGCTTGTGAAGGAGCTTGTTAGGAATTCTGGCATCTCCCATTCTCTCACTCCAAGAGGCCGCCCAAGGAGGTCAGCTGAAGGCTTAACCTGCCTTCAAGTTGGAGGTCACTTCCCAGAGAAAATACTGGGTACTGGGAAGAAGTCCAACATCACCCGGGCATGTGTGGTTTGCTTTCCTGCCCAAAAGAAGATTCTGGAAAGGACAGGAGATAAAAGGAAGAGGCCAGGGAAGGAGTCTAGCTTTCAGTGCAGTGTCTGTAAAGTAGCACTCTGTATGCAAGACTGCTTCCGGTTGTACCACACTGTTGAGGACTATGTTGCTGCTTACATTCGAAGACATGATGCCAATAATGACAATGTGGATGCTGAAACCAATTGATTAACTGATCATAGTCATTATTCATCTTTTTTTTGGTTTTGTTTGGTTTTGAAGTCAATTCAAACACAGAAATAGATAAATTTAGACCAATTAGACCCATACAACTGAGCTGACTGTTTTGAACTAATTCAAAACCAAACAATGTAAATAAATTCCTAATTTGATTATGTGTTGACCAGACAAATATGCAATTTTGCTACTATTTTGAGAAAAAAAAAATGCTCTCACAGTCACAGGAATTGTTTTATCAAGTTGGTGGACTAGGGCTTAACTCTGGTTGCCATTTTAGGCTTGTACAGATAATTTTTGGAAGAAATTAATATGATGTGTTATTTGTTAATGTATAACTTTTGTCAAAAACATGATTTCATAGCTAAATTTTAAAAGCAACGTAGGTTCAAAGTTTATTATAATAGAATAATCAGAAAGGAAATTTATTAAGCTTTAATTTGATATATAGGTTGTTGGGATTTGATGAAAAGTAAAGCTTTCAATGCTGTTGAAAGGATCAACTGTCGTGCATGAGTGCGTTTCTAAAAATAAAGTCAGTTTAAGGGATTGTAACCTGAACTCAAAGTCAGCATGCTAAGTGTTAAAAGGCTGACTACTCGCGACTCAGTCTAACAATTATTCACTTTTTCTTCTGCTTTTCCCATCGTGATAAAACAAATCTACATCATCTGAGGCAATTCATAAGTGGAAGGACGAGTCATTTCAGTCTATGACAACCCAACTAAAAACACTCAACTAGCCCCACAAAAGTCAAATGGTCGACCCCTGAATCAATCTCTCTAGATATCAACAACTTGTCTCTCGCATGAATGATTATGAAAGTAATCAATAGAAGCAAGTTTCGTATGCATATTTTCTGGTGATAATTTGTTTTGAATTTGGTCTGATACCGCAAAAGATCGCCTAAGATTTTGAAATTCGTGACACTTAAGAGATTTTAAACTCTCTTGATTTAACTGCCTGATCACATATTATAGGGAGACAATAATTTTGAGAGATCAGAGAACATGTCTGTTGGTAACAGAAAGTATTCGAAAGCACAGAAACAGAATATCCGTTGGGCTTTCTATCGATCTGCCAAACAAATGTAACAGCAAATGTACATTTACGCACAACTGCGAGAAGGCAATTTACCTGCAATTTCACATTTGTCACGAGCCTTTCGAGTCCTAGAAGACTATGGAAATCAGTCAAGACAGCGCAATTTTATACTTACACTCCATAGTACTCGAATTTGTTTAAATCATAGAGTTATAACTGATTGTTCAGAGACAAGTACGAAGAGGAACTTCATTCGGTGATAACCTGAAGTGTGTTTCCAACAAGCACCTAAGCGGAAGTCATCATCATATCAACCACATCACTCTGCAAAAAGTTTGTGTTCTTATAGCTGAACGTTATGATTGAAATGGTCGGGAATAGATCCATCGCGTTCGATTCCACCTTGAATTTTATGAGTTGGTCAAAAATGGTCCATTTAAAGCGATTGTGTATGTAATTCAAGCATGGTTTAAGCGTAATAAGTGATAAAAGAACAATTATCCAGAAAAAATGTCCTTTTTCCGTCTAATTAAGACATCTGCGTACAGCAGTATCCCAGAATGTTTTCACAAGGCCTGTACAGGGTCCTGAATAATTATGAAGCTTTGGCTAATCATAACATGCTGCAATGTAGGCTGAAATTGGAAAAAAATAGTACCTGAACTTCCGCTTATTCTTGTCCCTGAGGCCATAAAACTTGAGGTCGTAATATCACGAAGAAAGCACACCAAATTAAACTGACTTAGAAAAATGTCGTGATAAGGGCAGCTTAAGATTACGCTTAGGTTTCAGTAGAATTCTGGGGACTGAGCGCTACATTTACTTCCTGCTAGGGTTGGGAGTCTGGTATAGAGTTGTGATGTCATTTTTAGAATTTAGCTCGATATATTTACATGTTACCAAGTCTAGCACTCACCAAAAATATCCCACCTAACCCCTTAATTGCAAAAGACCAATGGTTCACTCCTGTTAGGGATCTTTTTCAATGTAAATAGCATCCTTCTCGGCTGAATGATCCCACTGTGGTTATCTGAAACAATTTGACTATTTTTCCCGCATAATTACACCGATGGAATTTCACCATGACAAGGGAAAGGCAAAATTCAACCTTCATGGATTCTTTTCCATGCTTCCTTCTGATTTCAAGCTACAAGGGATCATACACCCAAACCAACTACGATTTTTATGAGTAAAAACTTACCCTCTGTCGTCTTGGTCGAAATGATTTTGCCATGAGGACTATTAGCTAACGTGTGAGGGACACCGGAAGGCCATTTCGCTCGTAATCTAGCTATACTGTTTTAAATTCTTTCCCCCTAAAAAACTTCTGTGCCGTGCGCCAGAAACAAGGTCTTTAATCGCCTCGAGGCTCTCCACGGAAAACCGTCACTTTCGATTGCATTTAACACCATTAGTAAGACCAAAAAATATATTTGTGCGTTGACTTTTAACCAGGCGACTTGATTTACATATAGACAGAGGTGGTTTAAATGAGTAACTGCAATACGGATAACTTTAATTATTTTTGAATTTGCGAACCTTTGGCTCAATGCGCTAAACAAGGGTCAAGTCTACCCTTGGGTACACCGATGGAGATTGATTGTACTAGTGCATATTTACACTACCCTCTCCCCCAGTGCAGCAAAATTGTTACTCCGATAATTTTCTCGATCAGTTACGAGCTTTTCCGCCTCCCTTCGGCCAAAGTTCCTTAGGACTACCAATTACTAAGGACTTTTGTTTGATGCTTAATGGAAAAGTTGACCCGGAACAATGAACCATTTCTTGATACGTTTCAACTCTCAAGTCGACGCTTGAGAAAAGTATCGATGTCTTTCCTAAAAAAGCACTCTCTACTCTTTATGGGCGGTATCAAGTTTTCCTTCTTGGAGCTTACACCTCAATGAATACCCCGTTATATAATCCACAAGATGAGTTATTGGCCATTTTTTGGGAACCGTAACATCATCAAAAATTATTTGTCTGTTTTGTTTTTCAAGATCACTGGTGACAAACCACCAGGACGTATTGCATACCTATTCAGTGATGATTAATCAGTTTATTAGAGCAAAGTACAAAACGATACATACTTATTCAATCTTTCTATAAAACAAAATTGTCCTGTAAGTGTTAAAAAAAATTAACAAAAGCGGTTTGGTATTCGATTTGAGAGTGAGTATTTTAGAACTCCCAAATAACTCAGCAAATACATTTGCTATGACAACAATGGAAAGATGCTAACCGTTAGCCGTAAATTGAGAATTCCCTTTCTTTGCTCTCGAAAACTTTCTGTTACTAACAGGTCTATTCTCTGATCTCTCTATTAACTCCCATTGATAAAATCAGAAAGGCTGAACTTACCAATTAATCTGCCTAAAAGTATTTAAAGATAGCAAAGGCCTGAATTAAAAAGGAAACAATCCGAACAAGCTTAATCATACATAATCGACCATTTGTGAAAAAAGGGCTAACCTACAAGTCTGAATCTTCAAGTAACTATAGAGTTGCTTACATGCACCTATTTTACATTCCTTAGAAAACCCTTTTCCAAGCCCCCTTCTCATTTTTGAGCTGGCCAACATTTTTCAGATCTCTGGGAAAAGAAACTAAAAGTACTGCTCATTTTGATTCTGATCATAAAACTGTAGAGCCTAGAGCATATTTACTGGAAAAATCTCTTGGAAAGGGAATAATTCTAAAAAATAATTCTTTCAAATAAAAATTATAGCATATTTATCTCCGGAAACTGCTCAATGTTAATAGTATTTTTTTTTAGCGATTTTAGTGCATTAAGAGTCGATTATGGCAAAAAAAATTACTTGATAATACCCCATTCGGTGGAACCTATATTAACCGGTCAGCCTGCATTAAAGGGGCTCCACGCCATTCCCCATGGGTGACCGCTTAATACAGGTTTGACTATGCGTCTAAATTTAGTGACAGGTTCCCATCGCTCAGTGATTAGCGAGTCTTAGGTAGCTTGATGCCTCCATCCGAAGAGACAATACCTAGATTAGTCCAAATTTTGGGGATGCCCCTTCAGTAAAATCCCCAGCTAAACTTGCTTTTTCTGATGCAATCACTCTGTAAGCTTTATAAAGATCTTGAACGACGGAGACCAATTTTGAGTCAAAATGATGACTGCCTCCATATAAGTGCTCCAGCTTGGCATCCTTGTAGGTAGCTTTAGGACCCGTTGGCAAGAAAGGCATCAGAGGCAGTACTTTTTTACTCTTTAGCTGTTGTGAATGGGAAACTAGCTGCTCAATCATTCTTCTGCAAGTTGTGCATTTTTTGATTCGCGTATAGAGCTCCTCAAGTGCCATATGGTCACTATTAAAGTGCTCGGGGCAACTACGGAAAAATGCATTCTGCTTTTTTGGCCCTAAGCACAACACTAAGCAAAACTCCACTAACTTCTACGTTATCTCGCTCCAAATTCTTGAAGTCATCTTTCTTCACGATGTCTTGCAGTGACATGTCTTTAATCAGGTTGTAGCATCCACTGCGGACAATATCTAACCTTCTATCTCCTCTTGCCATGGCTGCCATATTTGTTAGGAAAAGTGTTCTGACTGCATTTTCCTTAGATCCTGGCAGGACTTTGAGGTAATTCAAGCAAACGTCAAAAACAGACTTCGTTTGGTACTCGTCGGCTAACCTCAGGAGATGCTCCATTTTGTCCACTGTCAAAAAAAAACAAAACATTCCGTTTAGAACTAAAATACAATAAGCTTGTGTAGTCGTCACAGTAAGCGGAAGGATTGAAGTCGAGAAACAATGCAGGAAAATTGAAGCTGGAACTTATCACAGTTTTTATCACGTTTATTGCATAAAAGCGACGATCGATTTAATATAATATACTTCGGATATCTGAGAGTGCACACACAGTCTGCAGTTCTCCTCACATTATTACCCACATGTAATTTCATCTCTATCTTTCATGTACAATTGCTTCAGGAAGTTCAACACCTCATCTGCCTTCTTCTCTGGTAATGGGATCTCTTTGGCTTCTGCTTCCTTAAATTGGGTACTCAACATGGCTTTAAAAACTGGCGAGTGGATGCTCAGTATCTGTCGATGGACGTGGAATATTTCATTTTCCACCACAAGCACCAAATCACTATCCTCCCAAGACTCCGAAAAGGGATTTGTATCCTTTTTGTCATGTAATACTGAAACAAAACCTGAAATTCAACGATGTAATCCATTAACTTCCCTTTTCCTCAATTGATCTTTTACTGAGTTTGGATCTACGGCCATTGAGACCCAGGTAAAGTGATGGCCTGCAGTACATTACGTAGATCAAACAGTTTCTGACGCAATTTTCCTAAACGCCAAATTATAGGTCATGTTTGAACAGAATACGAGTAAAAGTCTCAAGGAGTTACTTTACGAATACAAAACAAGCATGAACTTAAAGGAGATCACAAAAAAAAATCATTTGTTAAGATGGAAAAGGACAAGAGAGGTAATGACAAGTAAAAAAGGAATAAATGGTTGAAAATAGGAACTTTGAAACGGAATGCCTTTACGACAGTAAATGTGAATTAGCTTCATATCAAGTAAGTATAAGAAAGCGTCTTCATGTTAGCAATAATCAATCAGAAATGTACGTTCACTAAGATAATATAAACTAAGAGGACTTAACTCCGTGACTCATGATAATTATTTAAAGTCTATTTTAAATTTCGCAACATGCTGGGAAGTTATTCTTATTTATGCCTCCCATGAAAACGCGGTTAACGATCTCAATATCTTCTATATTGTCTTATTATCGAAAAAATTATAAACGTTTGCTTCACCATTCGAATACTTACCTTTATTGATTTATAGGCACACAGATTAATGAATAAACAAAAAATCGTGCCAAACCGGTAGTTTTGGTTAGCCTAACTTCTGCTATTATCTTGATATTTTTTCATTTCTCGCAAACGGCAGGAGGTCATAAAAACAAAGTCATCTACCAAACTCTCCATTATTAATAAAGGTAAAAAGCTCACCGAATTTAGCATGAAGCTAGTAAGTGTCACTAAGCAAAAATTTTTTCCGAGTTATCTTCGTCGTGGAGGGTCGTCTTTCTCTATCTTTCTCAAAAAACTCTAATGAATCCAATTTGAAAGTTTGGGATATCTGCTTCTTAGTTTTGCTCTTTTTACTCGTTTTCGTACCTTTTCTTTTATGTGTTTCAAATTTTTTTTCAGGAGACATTTTGACAATCAACACAAACTTTTAAATTTTGGGCAGTGAAATACGGCCCGCAAAATGAACCAATCATAGTGGACGTACTAACTGAGAGATATAATAAATATATGTTATTCGCCAACTGGGAGGTCCGTATTGGGAAAACTGTGCCCGGGGTCTTGAGTACCGCCCGAGGCACTAGGCTGGTGAATGACATTTTTATTTTTTCCCTTAAACTTAACTAAATTCTTTGCAAAGGAACCCGAACGATTTAGTCTTCCAAAAACTGAACGATTTTTGAGCGAGTGGATGGTAGTTAAAATAGAAGTAATGCAAATTGAAGAAAGTGGCTTCACCGAAACTTTTTCATTTGCGTTATGATAAAGGTGATTTAAAAGGTGTCCAAACAAAGTTTGAAACATTTATTTTTACAACTATCTGTCACAATCTGACAACTGTCAATTAGAGAGCGCGTAAGAAAATAAAAGCGCATGTACCCTTTTGAAAAAAGAACGGAACTAGTTTAGCAAGGACTGTCACGACAATGTTTTCTTCAAAAATAGTCAATGACGTTGCGGAAAGTATTATTCGTCCTTATCGACTATTAATAAATGTACGAAGATTTACCCTTGTTCAGTTAGTAAATGGCAAGGAAAGTAATTGTAAGTTAATTCAAATTTTTTTTTATTTTGAAGTTGTGACAGTTTGCTCGTTTGTTTGCTCGTTTGTTTGCTCGTTTGTTTGCTCGTTTGTTTGCAATGGCGTGTGTAAATCTGGTCTTTCCTGCACAAAAAGTAAATTCGAATGAGACACTTCAACTAGTACTAGTAACGAGGGGATTTAATGCGGCTTATTCTCATTGAATTCCCTCAGTACGCTAGTTTCTGTTGTGCAATTTACGGTACAAATGTCCAAATTGAACGGACTTGGAGAGACTCACCGAGAGCGTATATTTGTTGTAGAACTGAAAACTTCGCTCGCCCTTTCACTACGAAAACATTATTTGAGAGAACTCAGATATTAAATGAATGAAAGTTCCATCGATTAATTCAGTGGTAACCAACTCACTCACGCTTTAACTTTCTTGGTACTTAATTATAGACGGTTTTTAGGCCGATTGTCACAAACGTTGTTTATACAAATTCAACTCGAAATCAATGTTTTTCTGTCAACCAAAGTGATTTGAGAGAGAGAAAAGAGAGGAATAATAGGTTATTTGTTGGCTTGAGGTAATGACTACGTCTTTGCTTGAAAATACTGCCCAGCCGCAAAAACGAGATATGTTTATAAAAAATGACAACGAAGGTAGGGATGTACTCGGCGACTCACGAAAGCGTTACCGTTACCCGTGGGTAGAGATAGAAAAATACGGACCGCGCTGACCAACCGTTCCATTTGAATGTAATAATCGGTTGCCTTTCAGCCATACTCGTTCTAAACTAAATCGGCCAGGTAATCGGAGCTCACATCATTCGTCTATTTCCCCGTTAAAACTTACGCGTGTGTTTGATTTCTATACCGAAAGAAACTGGCTTTTATTCAGGTAATTTAGTGTTAACAACTGGGTTGAAAACGTAAATTAGCCACCGTAAAGGGTAAAAAAGCTGACGTTTCGAGCGTTAGCCCTTCGTCAGAGCGATTAGAGGAATTGTGGGTTGTGTGTGGATTTATATGAAGAAAGTGGAGCTACGCCATTGGTGGGAATATGGTGACGAGAAAACAGGAATAAATTAGTTGAATGAAAAGCGCTCGTTGATTCCGTGGGGATTAAGGGTGCCGATTTGGAATATAAATTTTTTTTCTAGTGTTTTACGGCTTTCCGAACTGCCTAGATGTAAGGAAAGGCCGCAAACTGCCATATGCTGTTTAGAATGATAAGGAAGATTAAAGTGTCTAGCGACTGGTTTGGATGCGTCCTTGTCATTTCTTTCCACATCGCGAAGGTGTTCTCGGAATCGGTCACCCAGTCGTCTTCCTGTTTCGCCGATGTATAACTTATTGCAATAAGTGCAAGTTATGTAGTAAATAACATTGGCGGAGGTACACGTAAAGTGATCAATGATCTTAATGGATCTTTTGGGTCCCGATATTTTCTCTACGTTATGAATGAAAGGACAAGTTTTGCATCGTGAGCGAGCGCATTTAAAAGTTCCAGATTGGTCATTGGTTTGAAATGAACTCCTGACTAAAAAGTTGCCTATGTTTTTGTCACGTTTGAATGAAATAAGTGGGGGTTGCGAAAAGATAGTGCCAGTCTCTGAATCGTTTTGGAGTAATTTAAAATTTTTAAGAATGATAGATTTCACTGCGTGGTTGTGAGGGTGAAATGTAAGAGTAAATGGAATGCGGTCAGTGTTCTCCTTCTCGGCCGTTTGTAGTGCTGCCTGTCGATCGATTTGTTGGGCACGGTGGTAGCCCGCTTGAACGACAGAAACAGGATAGCCGCGTTTATCGAAAAACTGCCTCTGATTTTTCGGAAAAATCAGAGTCGTCACTACATAAACGACGAAGTCTGAGAAACTGTGAAAAAGGTATGGAGTTCTTGACGTGTGATGGATGTGAGGATGAATACAACAAGTAACTATGTGAATCTGTAGGTTTGTAGTAAACACTAGTACATAAGCCGTTGCCTTCGATTGAAATTTTGATGTCTAGAAAAGCCAAAGAAGTGTCGGAAATTTCCCAGGTATATTTAAGAGCCGGATGAAAGGAATTGACGGCGGTTATAAATTGAGTGAGCTCCTCTTTGGTAGAGGAGGTAGCGCCGATGCAATCGTCAATGTAGCGGCCGTAGAGTTGAGGTTTTGGGCCGTGGTATTGGCTAAAAAATTGATGTTCGATAAAACCTACAAAAAGATTGGCGTAGCTGGGTCCCATTTTAGTACCCATGGCCACGCCATTAGTTTGTTTGTAGTAGTTACCACCGAATGAAAAGCAATTGAGTGTGAGTACTAGTTCGGCCAGACGGAGTAGTGTTTCAGAGCTAGGTTCCTTAACAGTGCGTTGATCGAAAAAATGTTTGAGGGCCCGGAGACCTTCGTCACTGGGAATGACAGTGTAAAGAGATGTTTATCCATGGTGAAAATAAGTTTGTTTTGGTCGAGGAAACTAAAGTCACGAAAAATTTCAAGTGCGTGTTGGCTGTCCTTAATGTAAGACGGTAGAGTTTTGACGATAGGTGCCATAATTTTTCCTAAATAGCTGGATATAAGTTCAGTGGGACAACTGCAGGCAGAAACGATGGGTCGACCTGGGTTGTTAGGTTTGCGGATTTTAGGTAAAAAGTAAATACACGAAGTTCTAGGAGTAGTAATGATGAGATTTTTAGCAGTGGCCGGCAATTCTTGTTTAGCTAGAAGATCGTTAATCGTATTTTTGACAATGTTTTGGTTAATTAAAGTGAGATCTTTTTCGACTTTAGCATAAAAGGAGGTGTCAGAAAGTTGCCGCAAAGCTTCTTTTTGATAGAGGTCGGCCCGCCAAACAACAACTGCACCGCCTTTGTCGGCCTCCTTAATGACAATGTCTTTGCGTTTTTTTAGACTTTTTAGCGCCGACCACTCTTCCGAAGAAAGATTGGAAAATTTGGTGTTACGATTGAATTTAAGTTTGTTGATATCGTGGCGACATTTTTTGAGGAAAAAATCTAAAGATGAGAACTGGCCATTTGGGGGAGTCCATTTAGACTTTCGAATCTGGAGTGTTTCGAAAGTATCTTTGTTCGAGGTGTTAGAATCATCCTCTTTGTCATGAAAAAAGGCTTTCAACTGAACGCGGCGAAGGAATTTTCAACGTCTTGCTTAACTGAAAATTCGTCGGTTTTTGTGATATGGGAACAAAATTTAAGCCCTTGCTGAGAACTGATTTTTCTGAATCGGAAAGTAGTAAATTTTCTGGAATGGTAACTACAGTTTTGAGGTTTTCAGGCGATGAGTCGTTAGTAACTTGAGGGCCGATAAGTTGGTCGAGTTTTTGGGCCTTAATTTGGTGCAAATGTTTAAAAAGTTTAGAATTGGCATCCTGAATTTTGGCACGAATGGATTGTACTAAAACAGCTGGACAGATTTTGGAAAGTTCAGAGCGGCAATGTAGAATTTGTTCGGTGAGTTTGTTACGTTTTTGGCACATAGCTCTGATTGTGATTCTCATAATATTACGTGAAAAAGAATTTTGGGCGCACTGAATTTGGTGACGATATTGATTCGAATGAGAAAAAGAAGATGTGTGAAAATTGGAGCGAAAACCCTTAGGAATAACTTTGGAATGAAGGTAACGGCCGATGAAATGGATGTGACTACAAAACCTAGTTTTGGCGAAAATGAGAACGGCTAAACGGAATGCTAGATCTTTACTAATAGGGGGGGAAAGGAAAAAGATAACTTACGATTTCCTGGCGTAGCTCCTTGGTAAGTTTCTTCAAGCTTGGCATGGGACCCTTTACGGTAGCTAATTTACGTTTTCAACCCAGTTGTTAACACTAAATTACCTGCTATACTCTCCCACTGACGCAGCACCACAGTTTCTTTAGAAACTTACCCCTTTACTCATTTGGCTTTTATTCGGTCAGATTCAGTTGAAGTGTTTTGAAAAGTCTGAGTCGTTTCAGTCTGTGTCGGCGAGAAATTTTCCATTTCCTCGCTTCTGGGCTGATTGCGCTGAGTTTATTATTCCCTATCGAAGTGAGCATCGTTTATCCGAAATTTTGGCGCTTGAGAATGAATTGGAAAAAAAATATCTCATCAGCGAGTCACTGGCATCTTCTGTCATGTACCTCTACCTCAAAAATTTTAAAGCACTTCGCGTTATTTTGAATCATTTCATAGAGGCACATATCTCTGATAAAGCTTTTTCCCCAAGGTTTTTATCAAAAGTTAATAAAATGAAAAGAAAAGTAACATATAGCTATGAAGAAAGAAATCAAAGTAGGATCCGAGAATCCTATAGATCTGGGAAAAGCTACCTCAGCTGACATAAAGGTTATTTTGACGTTTCGTCTCTGTTCCAAGACTTGATGTTTTTAGGATTTCAGTTAGTGTTATCAATCATTCGATTTCAAATGCAGCTGAAATTGCTGACCTCAGCGCGCACCACATTTGTTTAAAATTACGCGATCTCTTCGCGTAATGGAACAGTTCCGGACCCACGCCTTTTCGTTTTCACATTTGATCAATGGCTACTCCTTCGCTAAAGCTCGAATAACAAATAAAAATTTGATGCGATTCCTGTTAACGTGTACTGTAATATTCGGCAGAGAATACGATGCAACTCATAAATGAGATGAAAGTTAGTGATCCCAACGAAGCCGGCGTGTTACATGTACTTAAATTATACAAATATACATCACCTATTGTTTAATACTGATACCATCTTTATTATGTGAAACTTGCTAGTTTCTTCGTGACTTAAAGAACTTGCCATCTTGAGCGGATTTTTACGCGTGTGAAGCCGTTGCTCAGTTCCTCCAGCAAGTAAAAATGAAGTTAAGCAAAGCTGCTTTCAGTTCGTGGAAAAAGCTTTTGTTTCAAATGATGAAGTCAAATCTCGGTAATTCTCAGAAACTACAGAAATTGCGGATGCGTAACTGTTTCCGAGAATTTATGTTTTGCTGTGCTAAATCCTGCCGTGGTAAAGTGGTACCTTATGGGCCCGGCACAAGCTTTTTCGCGGAAAGTTTAAGTAATTTACTTAAACTTTCCGCGAAAAAGCTTGCCCGGGCCCATAAGGTACCACTTTACCACGGCAGGATTTAGAGGCCGTAATTAAAAAATGGAAACAAAACCGAATGGCCGCACAAGTGTTAAATCACCTAATCAAAGTGCTCCAAACATTTCAGCATATTCAGGATATCCTTGGTTCATCTTGCGCGCGCTGAAAGAATGGCGAGCGTTTTTGATAATAACAGCAATAGCGCCGGTGTCCTGGCGGATTTGGACCCCCCTAGATTTGGATCCCCCGGTCTAAATCCGCAAGCGGATATGGACCCCCCTCCGCGGATTTGGACCCCCAACAGAACTGAGTGAAAACATCACCCTTAACGTTCTCGTAGAAATAGATAATACTTTACGTTTCAGTGCGTACTAAAGTATGTTTTTTATTCAAAATATGCCTATCGCCCATGCATACGAACTGGCAGCTAGAAATGAGCCGTCGGATGTTTCTTTTGACCAAGGGAAAATGTGCAAGCATTTAGTTCAATGTTCGGAGAAAGGTCGTTTTTGAACCTTTTCCGCGATAGTCGAAAACCGCTAGATTCAGTAAGAGACTTATGTCAAACTTATGACACTAATTTAATTTGTTATTGTTCAATGCCCAAGTGTTGGGACGACATGGTACAGTGCGAGTTTGTTATTTCAGATCCCTCAACAGTTAATAATCATTAAAATTCGAAAATAAGATTGAGATCGATGAAATAGTCTCCACTTTTGTTAAGAAGTAGACATTAATGTTGATTTGCATCTGAAAATAAGCTGAGAGTGCCAATAGTTCAGAATAGAAACATTTTTTCTTATTATAGGCTTTACGAACGACTTGTAGTAGTAGTTGTTACTTCGTTCTTGTTCAGAAACTGTTTGATGTTATTTAATTAAAAAATCAGACTGAGTTATTTTTGTCTGCACTATTGTTATGACGTTTCGTATCGATGTTGATTCGCATCAGAAGAAGCAGATTTATTTTATTTTCGTTATAATTTCAAGTTTGTTTTCTTTATCTTGCGGAATGTTGTGTTGTAATTGAAAAAACATCGACAGAAATGGCTGTTTTTCTTTTGCAAATAGAATTTGTTTGTGATTGAAAAGAACATCGACAGAATGCTTGCAAAAGGAAATTTTGGTAGCCGGGGGTTCCAAACGATGCTTAAAAGTGGGGTTTATATCCGGGGGCAAATTTGGACCGGGGGGGTCCAAATCCGCCGTGACACCGAATTCCTCTAAGCTTACATATGTATGGTGTCGTAAATGATCTCGCGACAAACAATCACACGGGTCAGTTCGATGGTCACTGTGTGTTACGAAAAATTGTCTAAGTAAAGTCCCAGAACATTCTAATAGAACATTCGGGTCATCTAGGTAAAAGTTCGATGAACGTTCTATTTCTTACGTAATTATTCAAATTTAGAAACCCTGTTAATCTACTAAATTTAGTTCTTTAGAGAAGTTTCTAGATCCTTATACTTTATGTATATAAGAGCGACAGTTCCATCGAACAGAGAGAAGCTTAGTGCTATAAAAAAGTCAGCTACGCGGAAATAAAACAGTTTGTTGTTGTTACCGACGATCCTGAATTTTGTCTAGGAACAACCCTGCTCTACATCGACACTCGTAACACTGTGTATTCTTTAAATCACTAAAAACCCACGGTCTTATACAATCAAAAAACCTAATTTCCGTGCTACTGTCAAGAACTTATCGACTAGCACCTTGTAACGCTTCCGTCACGGCAATGGGGATTAGCAAAAAGTTCAAACGGTTGACTATGTCAAACTAAATGCACGGGAAGACATATGGGGCGCCATACTGGACATTATTGCAAACCTTTGATATATATGCAGTATGGCGCCCCATAAAGACAGGTTAAACGTAAGTTCAAGTTTCCGTGTCTCGCGTCACAGGCGTCTCTATTTGTGACTACGTTACAGTATTATCTCGTTTCGGGTCCTAAACCAGGCATCTATAGCTAAGTGTTCGCTCGGTTTGTTAACACTTTAGAATCGGCCGAGCGAAAGATTATGTCCAGCTGGTTTTGCTGAGATGAAAACGCCAAGAGACTGAGCAGCGAAGTGCTTAGAATGACAACAACTTTATTCTTGTTACTTGCAAGCGACCAACAAGCCGGATGGAAACGTTCAATGTATATCCACCGCATGGGCCGCATGGGCGGCCTAAAGATTCGAGAAATTTCAAACGTTTTGGTAAAAAGCTTAAAAATCGTGCCAAGTCCTGAATCGTAACAGAGATAACAATCGCAGAAATCTTGACTCACATTGTAAGGCTCTTCAAAGACGACTAACACCCGAAAAATCAGCAAAAAGAGCAAACTATTGGGAGAATCTCAACTGGACTATGTGTGTATTTACATTGAAAAGATTCGAGTCCCTTCCGACTTCTTGAAGATCTCCGTTCTTATTCTAAAAATTTTGGATAAGGACGGACAAGCAGAAGTCACTCGGAAAACTTCTTGTGTTGATGAGGTTCGTCAAAGTACTTTTGTATCTTTGTAACTCCTTTTCTTTCTTCAGAAAATTTATTTTAATAAACTATTTTAAATTACAGAACTTTATGCAATGAGGTTCAAGAAATACATTCATGTTCTAAAATATTTTATTTTCCAAAATCATTCATCTCAAACCGATTTAACCTACAAGTCCATGCATTTCACAGTCTACAAATTAACCTTTTAGAACTACAAATGTTCGAAACTGATCTTTAAAGATCGATCTTTAACAATGCACGCCAAGAGTCATGTAAAATACAGGCTCCAAGGATCAAGAAGCTGCACATTAACAATAACCGCTTTTATTCAGTTATCGATAATCGGCGTTCGATGAGTAAATAATGTGTAAAATATGTAAAATTCAAACTCTTAGGATCCATTAGTTTCTTCAAAAATCGACATGTAAGATATGAGACCTACGTAAGCTATAACAGACCTATGACAAATTCAGTTCATTTTAAAGCATGCACTAAAACCCTTAATGATGTATGGTGGAAATGCTAAGTCCGATGAGATATTATTTCAGCTCTATATATTTCTATTTTTTCATTGCTTCTGCCGGGATTCTCAACAACCACTTTAAGACTTTCTCAATTTTTCATTTTAATTGAGTCATTATCTGAGAGAACTTGTTAATAATATCTGACACATCGTCGTCAAAGCGATGCCTACTAGCATAATAAGTAGCGTAAGTACCAGAAAATTCCAAATACCTGCCCCTCCGTCTTTGTGGGGCAGTATATCTTGCAATTTTGTCTAGCACAAATCGGCATTCATCACATTCCTTGAAACGATCAACAAGATTAGTAGTTGGTTTTCCATTACTATAATGAGTGGGGCACAAATCTGGCATGTCTTTTTTTTCTTCATCCCACAACCACATACAACATTCCGCCAAGCCAATGAATTGTGGATAGACCTCTTTTAGTAATCCTTCTAACAATTCAATTCTTTGCGTTAAGAAATACTGCAGTTTATCCTTGTCAATATTTTGAAACTGAACGGTATCAGAAAGAGTTTTGAGGCTCAAACCCTTAAGCAGATCATCGCAGTCTTGGCGTACTTTCTCTAAATTGTACAACTCGGCGAGCGCTAGAATCTTCATGACATTTTCCTTTGTTTTTGGCTCCTCATCAAGGAACTTAACACAGGGTTTGAAAATCTGTTCTGTTACTTGGTACTCATCACTTAAGAGCAGAAGATGTTCCACATTCTCCACTAGGATCAAAAAGCATGGTTAAAGATATAACACTCAATTAAAAGGTATGTATGGTGGACTACTGTCTATGAACTGCCGGAACAGAGACCACAACCGCACTGAAAACAATTGTTATTACATACCGTTAGGTACCTATCCTAAGCATTATACAGGAGGTTACATTCAACGAGCTGCACACTACACAATAACTGGCGATTGATGAGTAAATAATGGGTAAAATATATGCAATTCAAGCTATTCGACCACAGAGTAAGAGAAAGACTGAGTGCGTCTGGAAATTCTCAAACCATTTAGAAATAACTGATAAAGCTAACACCTTGGCTTTGCTTAGTCACAGCTTTAGAGCATTATTCTCAGGATGTAGATTGTATTGCGTTCAGGGAATTTCGATGATAAAGAGTTCGGAGCTAACCCATGTAGGCATTTTAATGCCATGGTGGCTTTTTGTTTGGTCCGCTGGCGGTCGAGATTTTTCTACCCCAAAATTTCTAACAATTGATCAGCATCAACGTCATAGCTTGAGAATCATCATAACGCGAGCTGCTTTATTCTGCAATTTTTGAAGCTTGTCTTTTAAATTACCGCACAGGTTCCTCAAACAGTGCCACAATAGTCTAAGCGAGGTTATATTAAAGCTTGGTCTATAAGATGCAAGGTTGTTTGGTGAATCAGGTGCCTAAGAAGTCTAAGGAGAGTCCGTTAGCACCTTACTTGTGATTTGCAGTTCTGTTTTGGAGTGGTGGGGTCCATACATTTTTATCAGGAAGTCCAACACCTCATTGGGTTTCTTTCCAGGTAGCGGAATCTCATCAGCAGCTGCCTCCTTAAACTGAGATTTGAACATGGCCTTGAACACTGGTGAGCTCATGCTTAATATCAGACGATGGACATGAAACTGCTCATTTTCCACAACAAGGATCACATCACTGTCCTCCCATGGCTCAGCGAAACAATGCTTGACTTTCTCTTTTTCTTGTGCCTCTTGAACTGTCACGTCAGATAAGACTGAGTTAAATGCTGATTATACATAAAGCACTTGACTCGGAATAGCAAATGCAGTTTGTTTGTGGGAGAATTTAAATTTTGCGGTCTACTTTTTACGCGCCAACAAGCCTCTCGATAGGTCACCCATTACACACCGCAGGTACAGAAGATGTGAAATTGGATACAGGGGTCATTTTCCTTCCACAGCTTGTTGTACGAAATCGAACCTGCTAAATTTCATGCAACATAAAACTGTGGAATCGAAACATTATCTCCATGACAGATCTAGAAATTTTTGCCAAGAAAGGGAATGTCGTGTTAGAGGAACTATCCACGCAACATATCTTCTAGAACCGATCTCGTAATGCCCTATCACTTCTTACGGAAGTTCCTGTCTCCATATTGAATTCCGTTTTATGCACTTTATAAAATCAATTCAGTCGATAGGAAACGACTTAACAGCGGAACCCGGATGCAAAGATTTCATTTAGGCCGACTTAGAGTTTACAAAAGTGACACAAACATATCATATGACTGATATGTCACATATCACTTGGTTAGGAGAGGTAACAGCTGATTTAAATCATTGACGCAAAAGGAAAAGGCAGCTTTATCGCAGGCTTTCCACCAGAAAAGCACCTACCGAGCAAGGCTCTAAGGTCTAGCGGGTAAAAAGATATTGACAAATGATCGAGTCGGTCCAGCTCGCAAAAGCGTCATAAGACTTGTACAAATCTATGTGACGTGTGCTTTTAAAAATTAAAGGTCAGGAGGAGTGACACAAACAGACAGCACGACATTCGGAAAGATTTCCGTATAGCCCCAAACTATTCTAAAATATAGCATTAGCCCCGAAGGTAAAAATTGTTTTCTTTCATTAAATAGCTTTATACATAATGAAGGATGCGGCCTTACGGAAATCTTACCCTACATTCCACCTCAATGTCACATTACCGATTAATGATAGTGTTTTATGCAGGCTCGGGCAGAAATGAAATTCTATCTTGTTCTCGACTATACGTTGCCTAGCACGTGACCAAAATCTACCCAGGCGGAAATCCAAAATGACGGTAGCAGTCTGGGCTCTCGTTCTCGTTCCTATAAGAGATTTTTAACTCTTATGTTTTAACTCTTTGATCACATATTATACGAAGATAATAATTTTGAGAGATCAAATTACATATCTGTTGGTAACAGAAAGTATTCGAGAGCACAGAAGCGGAATACTCATTAGACTTTCTATCGATCTGCAAAATATTTGTAACAACAAATGTACATTTACGTACAATTGCGAGAAGGCAATTTACCTGCCATTTCACACTTGTCACGAACCTCTCGAGTTAACGAAGACCATGGAAATCAGCTGAGACGGCGTAATTTCATACTTACACCCCATAATATTCGAATTTGTTTAAACCATAGAGTTATAACTGATTGTATTGTGTGGTCGTCCGAATGAGGGAACTATTGAAAAGAACTTCATTCGGTGATAACCTGACTTGTGTTTCCAACAAGCACCTGCGCGGAAGTCATCATCATATCAACCACCTAACTCTGAAAAAGGTTTGCTTTCCTATAACCGAATACTATAACTGAAATGGTCGAGATTCGATCGATCGCGTTCGATTCCAGTTGGATTTACCAGTTGGATTTACCAGTTGGTCGAAAATAATTGATTTTAAGTGATTGTGAACGTAATTCAACCTTGGTTTGAGCGTATTATACGATAAAAAAACAATTATCCAGAGAAATAAGCTATTTTCGTCTAATTAAGACATCTGCATGCAACAGTATCTCAGTATGTTTTCAAGAGGCCTGAGCAGGGTCCTGAATGATTATCTAAGCTAGTCACATGCTGTAACGTAGGCTGAAATTGAAAGGAACTTAATACCTGAACTTTCGCTTATTTCTCTCGCTGAGGCGGTGTTCGAGGCCATAAAACTTGAGGTCGTGATGCCACGAAGAAAGCACACCAAGTTAGCTGATTAAAAAAGTGTTGCGATAAGGGCGAGATTACGCTTAGGTTTCAGTGGAATTCTGGGAACTGAGCGCTACATTACTTCCGGTTAGTGTTGGGAGTCTGGTATAGGCAGAGTTGTGATGTCATTCTCAGAATGAAAGGTTTGTGTTTTAGCTCGTTATATTTATATGACACCAAGTCTAGCAATCACCAAATATATCCCACCCAACCCCTTAATTGCAAAAGACTAATGATTCGCCCCCGTTAGAGATCTTTTTCGATGTAAATAGCATCCTTCTAGGCTGTCTGATCCCACTGTACGGCACCGCAGTACAGTAGCCCACAACTTTCACGGCAAAACAAAAAGTCACGGCACTACAAAATTAACTCACGGCAAAACAAAATTAACTCACGGCAAAGCAAAATTAACTCACGGCAAAACGAAGAAAACGAGTTGGTCAGCGGTTGGTCAGCGGTTCTTATTTGCATTTGAAATTGAAAGTCGTGTAACAGTAAATAAACGAAATGGTGACCTTTGTGGCCAAGAATATCGGTGGGGTGAAAAGAAGCCAACGATAATCTTAAAGAGTTTATATTTATTCGTTTTAGTTTCAACAAGCGGCGCCAGCGACTGACAGAAGTGCGAGGATTCACAATGAAATAAGAGAACAACCTTCATTTTTCGTAAAATTGTAATTTACAGTCCTTGAACTTGAAAACAATCCGAAGATTCATTAAAATTATCACTTACTCTGAAGCGCTCAGATTTTACAGGTGTTCAAAAGCTTTTTCTGTTATGGCGTGAGATTGGGGACAAAATCGATCACTACATTTCGTATCGTGTGTTTTTTCTGTGTGAAGCAACAGGTGCCGGCGACTGACGAAATTACAGGTTAACACGAAAATCAAAATAACACCTAAACAAATAATTTTGGCTCCCGATTTTTAGCGAATTTTTAAAGAACAATTTTCTTTGAAGTTTCAAGACAATTTGAAGATTTAAAATAAATATTACGTACTAAAATGCGAAAGTTATACACCACAAAATTGATAAATAGGCCTGAAATGAAATTCTATCTTGTTCTCGACTATACGATGCCTAGCACGTGGCCAAAATCTACCCAGGCGGAAATCCAAAATGACGGTGGCAGTCTGGGCTTAGTTAGCAAGCCCTTCAGTGTGACGATTGCGGCTTTTGGCAGCATCGTATCTGCGGGACTGGTATCGACCAAGCCAGCTACCGTTTAGCAATAATCAGAGTAAGAATAGATCGGTTGTGCGTTGCATGTTCTCTTGCGGCATCTAACCCAAGTAACCAGGTCCCCGCTGCTGAGAGCACAAGAACCGACTCACCTAGCACATGGACCAGTTCGTACAGATTAGTTTTCTTTAGTTTTTGCTCGCGTTTAGGCAAGTTATAATAATATTATTATTATTATTATTCTAGTTTAAAAGGAATAGTTTATTTTATCACAATGAAAAAAAAAACCAGATATGTAATAAGTATTTTTTTTTTCATAACGAACTTACCTTAAGTTGGCATTTGAATTCGTTTTCAAGGGGCGGGTGTCACTTGGACAACCCCCACATCCTCGCGTGTGATTAGGTCTAGTTGCTAGCAATAAGTATGTTTGTATTAATGCGTGTCTGAATTGACCGCAACGTCACAATCTTGCTTGGCGACCATGTGATGATTCTTGAGCACGTGCTGTATTCAAGATGGCGGCGTTTTCCAATGTTCCAAACATAGTGATGTGAACCTTCGTTCGAAACAGAATGCTTCCACAGGTAAAACAACAACAGTTAGAACCATACTGTAACTGCTATTGCTATTTTTTTATTTTTTTTTATTTTCGTGTTCTATTTTAGGATTACTTTCTCCGTGATATCAAACGAGAGCGAAACGAACAACCTGAGTTTCATGAGTCAACATTTTACGAGTTTATTCCTTGCAATTTACTTAAGATGTTGCTTTTCTTTAAGTTTAAACACTCGATAAAATTTCGGGCGACATGACTTGGAATTTCGGGCAACGTGACTCTGGTTTCGGGCGACTTGACTGTAAACCGTTGAAATTGAGAGAACTTATTTCTGGTAACACCTGCTGACCACAAAATAAGGCTTTGGTGGAAGGGTGAGAGGTGTGGTTTACTAGAATCCATTGGGATCATCTTGGTGGTCTTTTTTATCTTCTTGTCATAGAAAATTTTAGGTTTTTTGGTTTTAGCTACTTGCCCGTGAGATTAAAATCTAGATTCAAATTACTGGAAATCATCAAATTTGATAAAAATTGAGCTGTTAAATTTTTCAAAGGATTAGAAAAAGTCATTATACTCTGAACATAATACCTTGGAGTTATAAGGTCAAACTTACCCTACTTTTTCCAAGCTGAGTGAGATTAAAAAGAGTTTGCCAAGCAACATCTCGCAATTTTGCTTGCAATTTAAAATAGAGCAAGACCCAATCAGGCACACGCATACTCTTTCAAGAGCTGTTGATAAGCGGTTGGTAAGCGGTTGGTAAGTTCCATGTGCATCCTTAGCTCCATGTACATCCATAACTAAATTGACCACTTCTGATATGGCTTTTGAGACCTTTGCTTTCTGTTCATCACTGCCATACAAAAAACTGTTGCCTAATATACAGGCCAGGGTCTCGTGTTACTTTTCCAACACACCATCTAACTCAGCCTCGCGCCACGTGATTCCGATCCAAGATTTATTGTTTTTTCTAAATTTTCATTAGGGCTTAGGTGAAACATGAATTATTAGGTGAACCTTTAATGTTTATGAAAACCAACCACAATGGACGGAAGGTTCCTTGCCCAGCTGTATGTGGGGCGCACAAGTAAACAACATATGACGTTAGGCAATTTATATGCAAATGAACCCTAAAGCGTTACCGTTCACGGATACAACAACCGCTCAGTGAAACTTTGAAATTTATTTGAAGTAATACTTCTCATTTATAATGAGACTGAGTTTCATGATACCCAGAAATACAAGAGTATTTAAATACAGCACTATTTTGCCACAAATTTTAAATTACTGTTGAAGAGGCTACACGCATTTGTAATGTTTTGGCGGCAATAAACGCAAATCTTTTTCTCCAATATTTTACTGCTTTAATCTACTTTTTTTTTTACATAATTCAAGAGCACGTTTAATTCTTCGTGACCTGTTGATTGATCTTCATGGCATGTCCCGTTTTAATGAACCAAATGGACAGCTACGGAATGCAAGTGTTAACATAATTCTCTAAATTGATGACAAATGATAGCGCCTCCGTAGAATGCATGCTGCGAATTTTTTGGGGCAGCCTAAGGCCCCTCGTGTTTACAAATTTAATTTTAACCCCGTTTACAATCCATGTCACATCTAAAAACTCTTTCCTCTTCAAATTTACCTTTTATGGCTACATACTTCACAAATTTCTCCTAATTCTGTTGTAAAATAAGCCCCTAACAGTGGAGCATAAGCCTTATTTTAATTATTTCCGAATGATCAGGAGCGACTCCGTGAAAACCATGTATGAATACCATGATACTCAAAATTCAAGTTATCAAGTGTTCCCAGAATAATGAAAATTTCATCTTAAAATAAATGTTCATGCGATGTAGTTCGAAAAAATGTACACCGAATCTTAGTAAGTTATTAACTTATGTTACATTGGCGCCACATTTCTTAATGTTTCATTTATAAAGCCATTAACTGAGAGTATCTCTGAATTATATCTGGCAAACACTTGTCAAAACTATGACGATTGGAGATAGCATTGCCATAGGTGTTTTGGAAATTATAGTATGGTGTATTGTCAGTATAATAGCCTTTAATTCTCGGGAAAGTGGATGAAGCCAAACGACCCAGCATTTTTCTACAATCATTACATACCTTGATACATTTATCAAGATTGTAATCTACTTTTCCTCTGCTGAAATGAGTAGGACACCATTCAAGGGACCGTTTATTCTCATGCCACAACCACAAACAACATTCCAGGAGGCCGATGAATTGTGGATACAATTTCTCCAGATAATCTTCCAGCACTTTAATCCTCTGCGTCAGAAAATGCTGCAGTTTATCCTTCTCAACATTTTCAAACTGGACGGTTTCAGAAAGAGTCCCCAGCGTCATACCCCTGAGCAGTTCGTCGCAATCCTGACACACTTTCTCCAAGTCATAAAACTCTGCAAGCGCTCGAATCTTCATGACATTTTCCTTAGTTTTAGGTTCGTCTTCAAGGAACTCCACACAAGGTTTGAAAATGTGTTCTGTAACTTGATACTCGTCACTTAACTGCATAAGTTGTTCCACGTTTTCCACTAAGATTTAATGTTTTGTAAATATCGAGAAAGTTAATTGACTGATTCCCCGCAGAATCAGTACCGATTAATACTGTGGTACATGCACACCTAAGTGTAAATTATGCAAGTGGTGACATTAAATTTTTTTTTCCACGACTGTATAATCACTCGAAACCTTCCTGGACGGATTCAAAGTCCCTCAAAGGGCTTCGCTAAATCCCAGACGTAGTCAAGAGGTTTGCAAAACATTTAAAATTCTCTCGTCCTGACCCCACTACCCCAGTGTTTGGTTGACGGGATAAGGCTATGGAAGAGAAGGATTCTTAAAAATATCGACAAAGTAGCTTTTAAAGAAGAATTCTCTAAATGGAAATACAAGATTTTATTTTATGTCATAACTTTTAACTTTTGTACTTTTGTACTTGTATTTGAATGTCATTTTTGATAACGGTATTCCAAGGAGCAAATGGAAATGAGAAAAGATGTGTGACTTTCAGGATTTGTTGAATTGTACTCTTCCCTTGTTGAATAAATCATAGCTGTCTACGAAGTTCTCTCGTAGATGGGTCATTTTTCTCAAAACAAAAACAATAATTATCCTAATAATTCTTACTTGTGATTTTCACTTCCTTTTTTGTGTACTGGGGTCCATAAATTTTCATCAAAAAGTCCAAGACTCCCTTTGCGTTTTTCTCAGGCAGTGGAATCTCGTTAGCGGTTGCCTCTTTAAACTGAGATTTGAATATGGCTTTAAACACTGGCGAGTTCATACTCATTATCAGGCGATGGACATGAAACGTTTCATTCTCCAAAACTAGAATCACATCACTGTCTTCCCACGGCTCAGAGAAATGATGTCTTGCTTTCTCTCTCTTCTCGTCACTTGAATCAGCTCCTGCTTACGAAGAAACCATATTAATTAGAGACTTCTCATGACACAAGGGAAACAATGATACACTTTCCCGTCTGCTATGCTCTTCATGAGCAAAAAATATGAATCAGAGTAGGGTCATCTCCGCCGATAATAAACCAGCTAAAAGCGAAGCCTGGCCGGAAGTACAGAATTCTATTAACAGAAAACTCGGAGCCCACAAAAATAGAGCATGAACGTGACTGATCTATTTACAAACCTCTATCACTGAAGGAGCAAACATATGACCTCTAATAAAGAATATGGCAGTTATATCATTCACTGATGGATAGGAACGGCTCCTACCGAAAGCAGCTTTTAGGACTGACTGGAAACAAAGCTATCATTCGAAACATTTGCGTGACATTTATGTTAATTGCAGAATGGCCTCTGCTCAATTTAGCCCTGTCAAAATGCTAATTAGGCCTTCGTGTCTGTGCCAAGTTTTATATCAGAGTATCGATGAAGTTACTCTTCCGGCTGATCTTGAGTCTTGCTAAATATAATACGACACCCATCGACTATGGAATATGGCCCGTTGGTTCACATTCATTCCGCCATCTTCCTTATTTTATTGCCCGTAAGTGTTTAGATTAAAAGCGTACAGGACTCCGTAGCATCCCACTCTGTCGTTCCCCATATTTTCTTCGCTACTATACAAAGTCAAGTAAAATTTCTCATGATATTCGGATTTTTCATTGATATTCAGTGCGCCCATTTACAGGCACTCTGGTCTCAAAACGAGAACAATTCGAGTGCTTTGCTGTATCGGATTTCATAACTGATTAGAGGAGGTGGAGGCTTAAACAGTGTTAGTGTACTTTCCAACATCTCTCGTGTTCAGGATAACTTGAAAAATCTCTTCAACAATATAACTTACCCTTTTCAACGATTATCTCATCGTTTGTTATGCTTTTGATAGCATTTAACTCAGCGATCTCAACGGTTTCTGCTCCTTCGCCAGAATTATTAGAAGCCATCTTATGAAATTGAATGAGCTCGCTTTCTTTAACAGAACGTAGTAAATCGGGAGGCGGTGTACGAAGAACTGAGTTCGGGCGAAATAAGTCAAGGGCACTCTTATCAAACGTTTCCTATCGACTAAAGTACTGGAAACACAAAGGCTGACTCTAAGACACTAACCGTATTGAAATTCGTCCTTGATTATAAGAGGATTGAAAGTGTGCGAGCCGCTGTTAACGTAGTGCTGACGTCACAGTTCCTCCGAGAGATAGAGAAGGCTTGGGCCAAAGGAACAATCCTTTCATGACTTTTATGGTCTTTCAAAGTGGATGCTTTCTTGAAGATGTCTCTTCAGTATTCAATCGTCATGACTTTGAGGTTTGGTTAATTTGACAATGAGGCAGACCAATCTTTGCGTCGTTTTATTACCTTTTTCAAGTCCAGAAAGACCTTAAGCTCACATGATGTTTTCTCATGAAAACACACTACTGGTCTAACATACACAAACAAGTTAGAGTTAGACCACGATTTGAAAGACGATTTCTCTCGCTCAGAAGTCGCCGAGAGCCCACCCTACAATCTTCAAACCCTTCAAACTTGCAGCATCACAATAACACAAATACATTTTTTTACTTCTCTAATGGCAACCTTGAAGCTACCTTAACCTTAAAGATAGCCCTATGAATCTCACCTTAAGAGAGACGAGAATTCGATTCATTTTCTTACGAGTCCACACATACCAACATAGATCACGGGAGATACTTTTCAGGAGGGGGAGAGGGCAGGCATTTAACATTATAAGTTGCAATGGCTAATTGTAAAGTTACTTTGTCTTCGTTTCTTCTTTATTTGGGGAGAAGGTAGCCCTACTCACCAATTATTTATACTTACAAAGATAATCCCGGTTAGGACAAAGGTTAGCTGGGGGCCTTGTTGTTCATTTTTCCTTTGGGCTTGATTTGAGAAGCTTTCTCTAAGCTTATGGGGATCAGCAACAAGCTCAAATGATCGACGGGGTCAAATAAATGTTTAGGAAGACGAATTGGCCTAAACAGAAGTTCAAAATACTCGTGGCTCGAGATAACCATGCGTAGCAAGCGGGAGTTGTATCAGACACAGGTTATCTCGCTTCGGTTCCTTCAACAAGGCATTGGGAGTTGAGTGTTCGCTCGTTGAGAAATCATTACGGCATCTATGCCTCGGTGTAAGCTTTCTCTTTTCACGACGACAAACTAAGCCAAGTAGTCAGGCTAAAATGTACGCAAAGTAGGTAGCTACATAGAAGCGGGCTGATAGACTGATGTTTAATATTCATGACAATAAACACCAACGATTTTAGTGGGGGTATGCGTGTTCTATTACAACGGTTGTATAATAAATTATTTAAAACGATGACCTAACTATGTTCCAAGGTCTCTTTGTTAAACATAGTCGTTTGACGGTTTAGTGCCTCAAACTAAGCTAATTTCGGCTAAAATGCAACTGGTTTCGATACTTTCATCTCCAGTAAGACATCAATTAAGCTCAGTTTACAATTGGTATTATGAGAGTGTACTTTCATTCGTCTTCCATATTTCGTAGAATACCCATCTGGATCAAATAAGTCAAGGAGCCAATATATCATGATTATTAGGGTTTTTATAGAGTTAAGAACATAATTACAAACCTTGAAGCGGATCTGATGTTTCTATGCTGTTCAACCTTTTCAACGCGCCATTGCTCTTCATACTAAGACGCTTTATTATCTTAGTCAAATGTAACGACTTTAAATAACTGGGTTATTTCATTTTGGTAAAATGAACATAACACTAGACACTTCACCTTCAACCTGTCTTTCTCCACACCGAAAGTTCACATGGATGCGAGAGAACCGTCACGGAAATGTGACAAAAAACATGGCGGGTACATGAACCTGTGATGTACTAGCATTCCATTCCAGAGGCTGTAAACATCAGCTTTGAAACTCTTATAATGGTAGCCAATTTACGTTATCAGCTCAGTTGATAATACTGAATTGTTTTGTTATACTCTCCCACCGACCCAGCACCACAGTTTCTTTAGAAATTTACCCCCTTTATTCGGCTTAAAACATCACCCTCGTAACTCCATGGCAACGAAACCGGGTATAAGCAAGGACAGTTATAGGCCACACGGTTCCAATAATTTTTAATCAAAACCCCAAACTGTAAACCCTACTATGAATGCAAAACTACAATGGAAATGTGGTCAAAGACACAAGGGAAAAACGGTGTAGTTAGATGATCAAAGGATACTTTTCGTGGTAAGATGGAACAAAGACGTCTTCTTTTCTGAATTGGACAGGGCAAGACAGCTTGGTTAACTGTTGTTCGTACATTAGTAAAGCATCCGGCTTATTGTAACTGTTACCCTGGAAATAAAAAAATATATATACATATATAGTCTTCAAGTACAATAGGGCTGATTTTCCGTTATGATATTACTTTAGGCAAGATACAACATGACCAATTGCTTCAAAGGTGGTAGAAGAGAGTCTCAAGGTCCAAGGGTTGAATTTTCCATAACGACACTTAAGCATCTTTGTTCTCTGTTAATCTGAGTTCAAACCTTCTACTGTTCTTCTTTCAGCAGTCAGTTGGTTTGACAGTTGGGACAGCCTCGTTCCCAGGGTCTATGTTCTTCCCAGAAACGAGGCTGCAGTAATGAGTCTTGACTACTTTTTTCCTGAAATGGTTTGATGCTACTCTGGTTTACAGAGTTAATGAATGTAACCGAAGAAGTTACAATTCATAGACCCAACGTTGTGTCCTGTTTGTGCTATTTGTCTCCTATTTACAAGGTTCGTAATTAATAGGCTAGAAGGTGCTCATTCCACCGTCAATGAGTTACGTTTACTATTTCTTAACGAAAAAGAAGCACACGGTACATGCAACAAAGAAGTTATGTCTAATGTAAACAAAAGAGTGCAAGGTTTAGTTTTAGTGCTGAGAGCTTTCCCTGAGGATATACACACAATTACCAGTACAGATTTCATGATGTAAAAAAAATAAAATTTACAAACCTGGGTGAAATATTTCCCACTAGGTGACAGCACCTTCATCGACATATCCAGAATCAGTCTTAAGAATTCCCACAAGGAACCTTTCAAAACAGCAGATGAAAACATTAGGATCTCTTACTAAAATTTACACTTCAACTTAACATTTATCAGTATTACACCATAAAAAGAAAACAAGCAAAGTACAAAATATCAAGGCAGCTTGTTGTCAAGTCCCAGTGCCCAAGTATTTTGAAATAAATTTGCTCCTTCCTTCTCATAAAGACAGAGATACACAAGAAGGTTTGAGACCTCTAAGGTAAGAAATTTTAGACATGCCATTTCATAGAAAGTTTGCATAGATGACCGACTCATCTAGCTAGTCCAGAAGTTACCCCATGGCATTGGGTTAGTTTACTGAGCAGTTTTTGGGTGCATAGACCCATTTAACAATTTGCCAGTGGAGAGAGCCTGTGAGAGAGGAACATGTCTTTGCCTATTAGCACCAAGCAACCCCTACCCACACTCATGCTCAGACCTCTTGATCAGCACGGTGAATCTCTCAATCCATTAAACCCTACCATAGGTATTCATATTCTCCACACTGATCTTTCCACATTTACAGTGGCAATGACAAGGAGAATTTGTTTGACGATCAGGAGCTTCTTAAGTAGGTGATCATTTCCATAATTCTCGTGATCTTTACATATGATTTAAGGGTGATACTATGGGGAGAAATAAGAAGCCAATCACTACAGGGTGTTAAAGGGTTAAGAAAAAAAGGTTAAGACACATTCTTTCTCAAAAGAGACTGTGACCAGCTTAGCCATTTACTCAACAAGTGTAACCAAGAAAGAAATAAGATTCCCTTATTCTTAGCATACCTATTGGCTCCTTGGTGACAGGAATTGCTGTCAAATCATTGATGACATAATCAAATGTTCTGCCTTCCTCTATACACTGCTCTAAATATTTCACGCAATCACCAATGTGTACCTATGAAAATGTAATGACCAATTATCATCATTAATGACTACTGTTCAGTATATAATTAATACATATGAATAATAATTAACTTTGAGTTTGTGATTTTAGAAGTTAATTGGACCACTATTAGTGTCATTGAGATGAGACCATTCTGTTTACAAAGCACATCACATGTCCAAAACCAAATTTATACACATTATTCCTCAGGCCCTAGTTGTTTGAAGGTCAGATAACTCCATCCAAAGGATAAACCTCTATCCGGTGGATAACACTATACCTTTTGCCATCACTTATCTGCCGGATAGCAATTTATTGGTTGGGTAGCATTATCTACCCTTTATAAAACTGGGCCCAAATCCATTCAAGGCGGCACAAGAAGGGTGTACTGAAGACAAAAAAAGATAATTTCTGAAGAAAATTAGCACGGGACAATAGGATGAGGCTGAGTCCTCCTCATGTCAAACACTATTTCTTGAAATGGTAGTAAGTACCACAAATGGCCTCATGAATTATATAAATTTCTAAGCTCAACCTGTGGTGCAACAAACCTTGTGATGTTCACCAGAGAGATTGTCTAAAGCATTTCCACATATCCCTCGTAAATACTTTATAGCACAGTTTATCACATCTTCATCAATCTTACATAGTTTAAAAAATGGATAAATTAAGGATCAAGCATATGGTAGTACAACTTTAAGCAAATTGAAAATTTCCTGTTGATGCAGCCAGCTTAGACACATGAACTAACAGCTTAAAACTGTACATATAATTTCTATTGTTGTATATTTTTATGAAGTTCCTAGTTGTTTGCTATACAGACTTAAAAATTTCTGATTGTTGATTTATACTTTTTTATGAAGTTCCTAGTTGTTTGCTAAGCACACTTAAAAATTTCAGATCAATAATGTTAATTCAAGCAAATTGTAGCACATTTTTCAGATGTTCTTGTGGCCAAAGCTGCACCCCTAATTTATTATAAAAATATTGGGAAAAAATGTTAATCAGCTGCATTCATGGTGTAACAGTTTAGAAAGAAAAGAAAGCAACATGCTTGTTTTGGAACTTCCCTACAGGGAAAACATGTTTCCTAATAAGAAAAAAAATTACAAAATACAATTTACAAAGTTGCTTGGATTACTCAAAGGATACATCAACCATTGTGACAAACTCAGGGGAGCATTGCAGGAGTTCATTTAGAATTCCACCATCCCCTCCCCCAAGAATAAGAATGGTTTTGTCCTTAAAGACTTCTCTGCCACTTCCTGTTATTGTCTTAGTATAGATGAAGTCACTTTCAGCAAGATCTGGGCAAAGAAGCTAGTATTATTAATGGTCATCACAATTCTGTGTACAATGTAAGAGCAAGTTGAGTATTTTCTTCTGTCAATAATGTTTCCCTGTTTTATGTTGTTTTCATCTGATGACAATATATGTGTGCCTAGAGAGTTGTCAGATCATCCCTTGAAATAATGATTTTGTATGATTACAAAGAGAGCTGCAACCAAAGCTTTAAAGCAATAGTTTGCAGGTCTAAAATACTTACTTATGTCATCATCTAGAATAAGTATATTCCCAAACTGCTGGGAGTGAAGAATTTTGATGTTTTGGTAGGGAGAATTGGTTTCAAATTCTAATCTAAATCAAAAAGGAAAGGAATACATTAGAAACTAAAAAAAATAATTTCTTATCAATCAGTTTGAGAAGGCTGGTATCCATAAAGGCCCAGTATCAAAATAAAAATAATAATATTTTGAAACTAAGATTACATTTTAAAAATCTAATTTATATCATAAACTAGAACAAATCTCTTAAAATTAGAACACCATAAGAAACTCTTTTACAAGCAGCCTGCTCTGCCTTTTTTTCCCTTCTCCATATATTTTTAATGCTTTTCCCACTTTTCATTGAATCATAATGCAGGGTGTAGCAGTATAATCAATTTGTGGAAGATGTAGTCAAAAGTGATATACTCCACATTACAAATTCCAGCCACCATCCCTAACTGAGCACTGTAATTAGGTTTTCGTACCTGTCAAAGTCATACTGGATTAGAAGATCATCTACAGTTGGATAATAGGTGTTCACTTTAGCTCCTCGATTTATCGGTGGCAAATGCAGTGACTTCTCAGCTGAGAGAACTTTGCAAATCTCCTTTTCTATACTTTTTAAAGTCTGAAGTTCCAAATAAAAGAGAATATTCATGTTAGTCTCCAACTTGGAAGATCATGAACACCTGAGATGTTTAAAGAATGTTTATCATGTTGACTAATATAGAAGGCACTCATAAATTATTTCCAAAGACTAAACTACATGTACATGCAAGTGGCATTGAATTTCCTACACCCCTAGTCAGTAGTGAGCATATTTGGTATACTTCACAAAAGTCAGTTCATCAAACATCACATTTTGTGTCAAAAATTGTCCTTCTTGTCAGAGAAAGAATGTGGCATTAAACATCATCACCTAATGAACCTTTACAAGATTTCTTCCAGAAAAGGGAAAAAAAGGATTACCTTTGTAAGTACAGTTCTACTAGAGATGGGAGTTTATTCAAACCTTATTCCTTGGAGTGATTGACTTCTAAATTCTCCTTACATGGTCACCCTTACATTATAACCCTTGAATCAAACACTAAGATCACAAGAATAAAGGAAATGATCACCAAATTGTAAAGAAGCTCTTGATTGTTAGCCAAATTCTCCTTGTAAGCACCATGGGAAATGTATAGAGAACAGTACAGAGAAATTATAAATATTGGTGTTAGGGTGTAAAGGTGCGAAGCAACCCAGTAACACAGTGACTTAGTGGGTCAAGACTTACTTAGTTGAAAAATATTCATTTATTCTTAGCTGAAGATTGAACAGATCATGTGATAAAATCTTACATCCTTAGACAATATTTCTTCTTTCCCACATTGCATTACATCCAAGGTTATCAAACCGGTGGAGTAACTTCGCAGAATCCAATGTCTATAGAAAATAAAAATATTGGGAAAATATAAGTTTAATGTAATATATGAAAATCAGAAAACCCAAAAAACTAGACTGAAATATTAATGGTATGTTTTGTGTTCCAAAAAACAAGCCCACTAAGTAAATAAATAATATTAATAACATTTTAAACAATGAGTGACATTTATAACAGATGGTTAAGTCAGTTAAGTTCACATGATGGTCCTTCCTAACCTGGTCTAAAAATTAAGTAAAATAAACTGTTAATAAATACAAGTTATAATGAGAAAAGAAAGAGGAAATTTAAGTCAATGTCAAAATGTTCAGCAGTAGCAATTTTCAGTATCATAGTTCTTTGGATGCCTCATAAAAACCTCTTCAGCGAAGTGATATCTCCTAGGAACTGGAAGCACTGGAATGGAACGTTCTGAAATTTTCCTGCTCTTAGAAGTGATAAGATCATAGTTCCTTTTTGAGGCTTTTTAATGTGTCCATTACTACCCTTGACATTGATAGCATATAAAAGGAAAAATATTCCAGTCAATGACCATTAGAGATTTAAAAAATAGGGATAGTTTTCTTGTGCAAAAGATATCTTCAATATAGAAAGCCAACCTAATTTTGCGAATAACATTTAATTTAATGCACGAGTTGTCCTTTAAATTATGTCAGCTCGAGTAACACTCTAGGACATGGTTGATTAGGCACGCTTTGGCTTTGGTCAGAATGATTCGTTTTTGTCACTCACTTTTAGACATAGAGGGACTTTATTTAATAACTTAACTATTGCACTTAGGTATCCTCCTACTATGATTTTTACCTATTCCCCTTCTCCCCACGGCCCCCTTCCACCAATTTTGCAAAGTGTTTGTTCATCGCGCGACCAACCAAGACATTCAGGATCACACACACCAAGCCCATGCGACCGATTCTTTAGTTACAGTGATTAAAACTCCACGAAGAGGAATCTATGCCAAGGGTAAGCTTCATAACCCGGCATTCTGCAGTTTAACCCAACTTCCTGAAAGTTTATATAGTTTACTTTCCTTACCCCCCATTTTCTCCAACGAAGATAAACAAACAGCTCTTGCCATCTTCCAGTTCAGTTGATATAACAGGACCACTGGCATATTTTCTTAAAATTTCGAACAGTCGGCTCCTTAGGACATCGTCTTTTAGGTCAGCATCGGGCGATTGAAAGTCAAAAATACTATGTTTCGCCATACTCAGCAGCGTGCAACAATCCGATCTTTTTCGGCACGAGCACTAAGTCTTGCGATCTGATTCGAGTAGCTAATCGCGGTATTAGCGCGGTTTGTCCTGGAACGAGGCTCGAAACCTCGTTCAAAACGTGTTTTAGTTGTGTCGTGGGTAGCGTGGAAGGTTTGGGCATGAATTACTGCTATTTTGTCGAAAATGCCCGACGTTTTGAGCTGTAAGGAAGAAAATGAGACGCGTAGAAAACGAAAAGATTCTAAAACGACCGGGAAATGTAACATTGCCGCAGAAAACGGTGAACTTTTGAATGGACTTTCAGCAGCACCCGACGAAAAACCGCCGGTGACGGCTACGAGAGACGAATTTGGCTCACAACTGAAAATAATCCAGATAAATGATCAAGTTCGAGAGCTACAGACAATTTTGAGAGACAAGTAGGTTCTTATTTTCTTGTTTAAATCTGCCAACAGGATCGATGCAAATCTATCTTAGACGTCTAAAAATTAGTTAAACTTAAATGAATTCACGAGTGATTGCATGGCCATTACGAGATGCTTTCAAGCTATCATTAAATTCACAGCTGAGTCAAGTTCAAGATCGAGAGTTGAATTAAGGTGCCTTTCCAGATGACCCTTTTATTGAGGAGCTGGCTAGATGTGTGTGTGTGTGTGCCTCTTTTTTACCTGTCTCTCTTTCATTGAATACATAAAATCACGTCATACTTCATTGACCTTGGGCGCATTGGGTTGGTAGGGATAGAGGCTACGTTTTCGATGTGTTATGCTCCACATGGAAAAAGGAGGAAACTCCTTATTTTTCCATTACTACAAAGATTGTCCTCTTGTGCTCCAATTTGCTTATTTCTAAATTTGTATTTTTGGCTCAGCATAACATTAACCTTTGACTAACCAGTGGCCTACCTTCTGACATCCCCCATTTTCAATACGTTTAACTGAAAGGTGATGTTTGCAAATCCTCATTGCTTACTACCTTTTGTCTTTGTAGAGAAACAGAGAGAGGAGACTTTGTCTTTTATGCTGATCGCCTTGTGAGTGAATTAACACACTGCGTCAATGTAAGACTTAGCCTGGTTTTCATCTTTCAGTAGTTAATAGTTAAAACTGATTTTTATTCTTACCCAGATAAGACTGGTGGTAGAGGAAGGTCTGAACCAGCTTCCATATGAAACCTGCACTGTGAAGACACCTACTGGTAAAATCTTTTTTTCCTTGGAAGTGTCAATAATTTAAAGATTTAGACATTTGGACTATTTTTTAATATCTATAGCTTGAAATTCAAATTATAATAGACTGAACTTATAGCAACAAAGGTCCTCTACAATTCCCTTAACTTTATTCTTTTATCTCCACAGGAGCCTTATATGAAGGGTTAGCTTTTCAGAGAGGAAACTGTGGTGTCAGCATTATGCGAAGTGGTTAGTGTGAAATTAGGAAAAAATTATAAACAACAATTTATCATTTATTTGTTCAGCAAATAAATAGACACAAACTGACTGAAATTTTGTATGCTCAGGGTTTTTACAGCTATGTTTTATAAATTAGTTTTTTCTTGTTATGTCCATGTATGACTTGTACAGTGTATTATCGCATTGCTTGCATTGCTTGTGGGCAATAAGAGGGGAATCTTGTGTTCTGATTGGCTACCTAAGAGGGCAAGATAGACCCATCATGCCTGCTCAGGATTGCCCACTTTGATCCCGCACAAGCAAACAATTGCAGTGTTGGGGATGAAGTTGCAAAAAGTGGTAGAAAACAGTAAAAACAAAGAAAATGTTGATGACTCTGGAGGGTTTATTGTGTTCCAAACACACCAATGCAGTTGGCTTTCTTTCCCGCTCTTGAAATAAAAATATCATTCTTGATTCTTGATAAAGTGAAATCTTTTTGCTAAATACTAAATTATTTTTGACCAAGCTTGTTCAGTCAAGATGGCTGCATGTTAGCCTTGTTCCTTTTCTGACTCAACTTCCTCATGGTCTATAAAAATGCAACTAAAGAACTTAGCTAATATCTGGCCAATTTGACCTCACACTGGGTCAATAACACATACATATTGTGATTTAACCAAATTGAGTTGCTTGTACAAAATTGTTTGTTCTCTTTCTGTCTTTCATTCAAGTAAAGGTATTGCAGTTATATCAGGCTATTCATTGTTTACTTTGCATACAACTGAGAAATATGGAAAGACCTCAGCCATGAAATACTTTATCAGTAATTGAACAATTACTTATAATAATGGTATTATTCCTTTCCCAAGAAAAGATAATGCTCTTCATGTTTAAATGAAAAATAGCCCAGGTCATGAAATTTAACCAGATTATTAATTTTCTTCATGTTAGGCAGAGGATTTTTCAATCTCTAGTTCCTTGAATTAGAAAAACATCCTGAATAACATGATTTAGTTTCCATTTACTCATCAAAAAAATTACAACTAAAGAATATCTGAATGAGTGTTGTATTGAGATGTTTTAATTGAATAACTAATATTGTGTCCATGAAGAAGTAAAATTTTTTTTTTTTTTTTTTTGGAATCAAACAAATTTCAATCCAAGGCTTTCCTGAAGTAACCCTGCTTGTTGTCTTGTTATCTTTATATTTTATGAATTTTACTCACCAGCTTTTGATTTTTAAACAAATTCTCCTTCTCAACACCTTAGGAAATGTATAGAGAACAGTACGGAGAATAGGCATAGTCATCTCATGTTAGGGTATGAAAGGTTAAAAAGATGCTATTATTAATAGTACCAGCTGTAAAGCCTATATAGAATGCTTACATTATAGATTTATCCATGGATCTCTTTTTGTCAAACTTTTTTCCATAGGTGAAGCAATGGAGAAAGGATTACGCGATTGTTGCAGATCAATAAGAATAGGAAAGATTTTGATTAAATTCAATGAAGAATCCAAGACACCTATGGTAATGCAGTTGATTAGACCTAGAGCACAGTTTGTCATAGTTAAATTAATTTGGTTTGATGTCACCCAGTTAGTTAATCTTTATTAAAGATTAAATTATTGGTACCTTGTAGTTCTTTAACTAGATAAAGCAAAAAACCATTAAAACAAGTTTTGAAAGTTACCATAATGGTAATGGTAAAGGTAAAGAATCCAATCCTACTGACATGTTGACCAACTGTCAGCCGACACAGTGGCCACTGTTTATCCATCTAATGTACTAGATGTGTCAGTGGTGTATTGGTGGTGTGTCGGTGACTTTGTTTGGGCCTTACTTATGTAAAGCAATGCTAACCCTTCCTTTTCCACACTTATCTGTAACGTCTTCTTTGGAAAACTTTCACTGACAACATGAAAATGAATAATTATTATCTTCCTTTAATGACTGGAAGGAGTCCACCCAGCTGCTTCTGACATTCCTATGCGATGGTTTTTACAGTTAGTACAAATGGCTTTTTAGTTTGGCTCAGTTTCTGGAGACTTTGGCTGTTCTGCGGCTCTCACCACTACATGAGCTGCACATAGCTAAACAGTGCATGTAACATGCTAACTCCCTCAGTATCCAACCCTTAAAAAAAAACACTAGGAGAAGACCTAGGTATTAGTGTTTCGTTCTCAAAATGGCAGTGATTTAGATTTCTTTTCTTATGAGGGTGGTCTTATGCATTCAATCTTACCAACATGTAAGTAGTGTGTCAGCCAATGCAGTGGTAGTGTGTTGGCTGACATGTTGGTAGTGTGTCAGCCAATGCATTGGCAGTTTGTTGGCCAATGCATTGGTAGTGTGTCAGCCAATGCTGGTAGTGTGTCGGCCGACACTTCCGATTCTTTACCTTTATCATGATAATGACTATGAATTTGTTTTCCACTTTTACAAAATTGCTATTTTATGCAATATCAAGTCTCATTGCATTTACTGGTATTAACTTAAAGTTGATCCTTTAACTCCCATGAGTGACTGAGGGGGAATTTCTCCTTTCAATATCAAGCAGACAAGTAATAAGAATGAAGAAAAATATCCATGAGATGGTCATAAGTTGATCCAATGCCAAATTCTCAGAACTAACATCGTATAGCAGACAGCAAGAATTAAATGAGATCTTGAGAGTAAAAGGGATAATTCACATTTATTTTGTATCCTCTTTATACAAGGTTTATTATGCAAAGTTCCCTCCTGGTATTGATCAAAGAAAAGTTCTTCTTATGTATCCTCTCCTAAGTGAGTACACAAGTTTCATTCTTCTTTAATTATTACAAAGAAAATACTACCGTAATTTCCGGTCGTTTACCCGCGGGTAATCTGTTGATTTTGCATTAAACGCGCGCCACTGCGGGTAATAGGGAGGTGCGGGTTATGTGACAATTTTAAAATCTAGTGGTAGTTGAATTGAAAAAAATTATCACCAACATGCGTTTCCACCTCTCAAGTGAATTGTATTGTATTAATAGTGCCGCAAAGCGGCACGAAAACATAATGCCGACTCGAGTTTATTTCACGCACGAATAAATTGCGACGAACAAATTGCTATCGGCACGCGTGAAAACAAAACCTTGATGGTGACAAAAATTATCCAAAGATATCCGGCGCATGGTAACAAATTTCCATTTAACACTAGCTTGAGCTAAAGAAATTTTCCCGTTTTAAGGGATTAGGCCCAAAGAACCGGAGATATCGATTTTTTTCAAATATCGCCGACAGTACCATTTCAAGTTTTTACTTTGCTTTTTTTATCATACAAACACAAAATAAGCAAATTTCATTCTGTGAGTATGAAAGTTGAAAGTAGACTTAATTCAATAATTAATCAACCAGAAAGACGCGGCTTTAAACTCATAAAAAAGTTGGATCAGACAACTTTAAAAAGACTGAAATGTATCACTATAATGTGTTGAATAACAAAGTGCGGGTAATTCGCCGTATGCAATAATAGTGCTTTAAACGACCGGAAATTACGGTACATGGGCTTGTACAGAGAAGGTGTACTGTTACAGCTTTTCTCAGGACTAGAAATCCATATCTACAAAAAAGACTGGCAGTTTGACAAGGAAAGTAGACTTAATGAATATGTTCATTTCAAATAATTATATGCTGTTTTTATATCCTTGAAAAGACTGGCAGTTTTTGAATAATTTCTATTGTTTGAATCATTTTTGTTACACAAGTCACAAACGTTTAGTCAGTTTTTGCCAAATGGGAAGGTTCCACTAATAAGCTGTAATACCTTTTATGACAGTGTAGAATTTGACAGTTGAAATGTAGTTTTCACTCTGTGGTGAAATTGAATATTAATTGGTTTGTGTTCATCTAGAGCAATTTTTTTTTTCAACTGAACTTAGATAAAGGAGAGACATTGTTTCATGACAGAAATTTATGAGAAGGGGTGATGATAGTCCTTTGATCTTTTTCAGCAGATTCAGGAGCTACTGTAATAACAGCCATCAAGGTTCTTCTTGATCATGGTGTTAAACAGGAAAACATTCTTCTTTTAAATGTATTTGCCACCCCAAATGGTGAGTATGTTTGATGAATGATTGGCTTCAGTGAATTTAGATTCCAATCTAAGGTGCTGCTCTTCTATCAGCCTTAGACATCTTTCACAGTGCTCTGAAAAGAAGCAGATCAGATGGCAGATATTTTAACTCAAAAGAGTACGAGAGTTTTAACTAATATAGGAATTAATTCATCTCTCTTTGACCTTTCCTCTACATGAAATCTAGTACCCATAGTTTTTCCTTGGACATGATCTGGACCAACAGACATTAATTAAAATTACCCTTTAAAAGAGTCTTGATATGCCATAGTGTATGATGCAGTTTGATCGACAAAATTCTCTAAATGCATTGAATAATGGGACTTCTCTTATTGTTTTACACCATCCAGATTTTTTATGGGTATGATTTTTTTTCTGTAGGTGTGAAGCAGCTACTGAAAAACTTTCCATCTGTTACCATTCTGACGTCAGAGGTTCACTCAGACTGCCCCTCATATTTTGGACAGAGATATTTTGGAACAGATTAATGTTGCAGGAGACCTAGAAATGCACTTTCCTTGAAGCTCTAGTCTCCTCTTTGCCATTGATTCCACAACAGTTGTTTGTGAATCATAAATTTTTCTTTTATTTTGGTTTTAAGGGCTCATCCTAAATATACATGTATGTGTAGAGGATGAAAGCAAAATGAGTACTGCAGAAAGAAGCAAAACCATGTGCCACCGAGGTTTCTATAGACTGTTGACCCCTTAACTCCCTAAATTGGTTTGGATTAATTTTTATTTAAACATGTATTTACAAGTATGGAAACTCTCAACCCAAAGCGACTAAATCTACCTATTGAACTCAAACATTAAAAATTCTATTTTCATATTACATAAACTACATTATACTCCTGCTCTATTCTGCAGGCTCGATGACAGAAAGAATACTAGGCTTTAGAGTGTCAGAAATAGAAATTGACCCTCTGGTATGTACTCTGTGGGCAGTATTTCCCAAACTTTAAGGAACAAACTTTAAGTACAATTAACCCCTTGACCCCAAAGAGCGACTGGCATCTTATTTTTCCTTACACTGTCACCTTTGAGTCACATGTTAGTGTCACAAAAAATTTAATAAAGAAAATGATCATCAACTAAAGAACCTCTTGATTAAAGAAATTCTCCATGTCAACACCATAGAAAATATGTGGAGAACAGTAAGCATACTGATGTTAGAGTGAACAGGGTTTATTCTATCTGCTTTACATTCTCACTTCAGGAGTTAGTGATATCAAATCATCTATGAATTACAGTAGGTGATCAGAGGTGGCTAATATTCTTACTAATGAAAACTAGTACCACTATATTTTCAAACCCTTTCCCCAAGTAATAGCCCTATGTCTCCTTGTAAATTTTTTTAAATAATTGTCAGAATACTTCTGCAGCTACATTGCATGTGACTAATTGAGACAATTTTCTCATGATAGGCTTGTTTACTTTTTGAATGGTCTTTTCTTAGTCTTGTCATTTTTTTCCATTTAGTTGGGATCAAAATATATTTAAGGACCTATTGCAACTGAAATGATTAAAATATATTGCAGTAATGTTGGTGTCTTAACCACACTTGTGAACACTAGGGTGAAATGACAGCTTGTTCCCAAAAATTTTCTTAATTTTTAATGGTAGCCATTTTAAAGTGAGTATAAAAAACTATAGTAATTTTTATTCATTCCACGTGAAGACAAATTAGAAATGGTTGCTTTTGATCCATAAAATTTGACAATAAAATACAAATCATTTAGTTGCTTGAGTTGACTCATAAAGTACAATCATTTGATTTTAAGCTAAGAATGAACACTTTTTGCCTTAATGCTAGCCTCATTTGTGTCCTTTCAAACACTTCTACATTGTTTGATTTGCAAAATTTTATACCAGTTAATTACTTTTGTTTATTACTTTTTTTGTGTTTTTCATTTGCTTGTCTTGATCTCCTTTGACTAGTTTATTGCTTTCATTATCCAGACTAAAAAACAAAACAACACATGCACACTCATCTAGAGGCACATAAAGTGCCTTTTGATGTAATTGATGTCGCACAAGATTCTGATGCTTTGATTCACACCAGTAACTTTTCTCTCCCAAATTCCCCTTATTCAAAGGAGACGTGACAATTAAGTAAAATCCAATGAGGGTCAACATGAAAGTTGAAAGAAAAGTGTAACACTGAACAGGTTAACAAGCTACTAATATTAAACTTTATATCTTTAATTTATGTTTCTGTGGATTTGTGCAATCATCTGTGAATGATTGCTCATGATGACTCTTCAAAAAATGAGTATCACAATTTTACATATTGCAAAAGGAAATTTATTTAGCTATAAAATAACAATTATGAAACTATATTATGACAAAGTTGATCAATTCTCTGAGTATCAAAACTGATTCAGTAATGAATTTATTGAAACTTTTTGTAATAAGGACAGAGCCCACTGTGTCCATCAGATCATAGTTACTTAGAAGACTGCAACCTGGATCAATTAAAATCAAAATTCAAAGGATGACAGACTGCAGTCTAACAAAACAATTATCCCAACTTTAAGTGTACAATGTAAGACATTGTACTTCTACTAAATTTGCTGATATCGTACACGGGTCACTGGCATTTACACTACAATTACATTCTTATTAAAAGAGTACTGATGGTGTTACAATTAGAAAAACCCTAAATTTTAAGTATAAATGTTAACCCTTAAACTCCCAAGATCTCACTAATAGTACTCCTCACTGTCTGCCAAATGATTCTCATTATGTTAGTTTGGAGAATTTGGTATTTTTCTTTATTCTCATCACCTGTCTGCATGATATTGTATACGTATAGTAAGGAGAAATTATGTCTTGGTCACTCATGGGAGTTAAATGGTTAACAGCCCTTGTGCATGTTTGCATCAGAGTGACCAACAACCCCTCTCCAAGCCTTACTTCAAAGTGCAGACTGGGGAAATGTAACATCTAACAGTAAGTTTTCTCAGACCACTGAGACCAAATGAATAATTACATGAAAATGAAATAATGGAGCAAGGCAAAGAAAAAACTCAGTGCCATCAAGACTTCATGTGAACTTTCAGCAGAGGGCTTAATCAAATACATGGCCCATAAAAGTATCCACTATACAAACTTGAAGGGACTTCACCACAGAATCAAATAGTGCAGGCTTTAGAAGTTTCTAAGTCAAACATAAATATCTACAACTGATATGTAAATCTTCAGAGTGTACTCTTCAGTGTATAAAAGAAGTAAAGTTAGACTGTGGGTGGAGCCTTCAATCATAGTGAAAATTACTGACCCCTTCCCAACACTAAACATGAGTTAACAAGCCAAGACCAATAGCAGGAAACAAAATTAAACTTTTGAACTGAACCTAAAATAAAAAAAATTGAATGCGGTGACTGACACATTAGTATCAGAGTCGAATAGTATGAGCTGAGCTGGCCAATTTAACAAAGGTGAATTTTACCAGAATGTTTCCAAATTGGACCATTAAACTTCAAATGCAGAACTTGAACTTAGCAATTCCCTGACAATCAGCCAGCCTAGTTTTAGCCAGAAACCCAGTTACATAGATAAGGAGGCATCCTGGATTACTAAGCTCACAAGTTTATCATATAGTAATAATCACTTTTAAACCAACCACAACGAACCCTGTCATGCCAACATCACAGGAATCTTAAACTGTAACATTTCCTACATGCAAAGTATGGTACATCTACTCTTTCAGAAAATGAGAGCAATAAAAATGGTAGTTTTCCTTAACAAGGTATTTAAAAGAGATACAAGTCCTTTGTTGTCTGATGAAAAAATATATCTGGACATTAATTATCTGAGCCATGTGAATACTACTTGTCCTCCTTTCCAACCTTTTTTCGACCATACTGTAAAATTTTTATTTCAGTTTCAGGAATTCTCCTAGATTTTCTCCTTCAATGGCAGCTTCAAATTCTTCAAAGCCCTGGATGAAAAAGACAAAGGTTATCATTAGAATTTAGAGGTTGAAGGTACAAATTTAAGGTAAGCTTACTTTAACAAATTGGCTGTTTTCTGGTCTTTTGAGGATTTCGTAAAAAAAGATTTTTGAAATACTACTGAATAATTACCAGATTTTATCCATTCTTAATCAGACTTTTGTTCATTAAGTTTTGCCATTTTATAGAAGACTAGTTTAATGGTAATGATCCCCATGCTGTTTTAAATTGGTGAAGGGATTTCAAAGTTCCTAAAGCACATACGAATCCTGGCAAATCTCCCCTGCCTCCCCCCCTTCTCCCCTTCTTAGTACCATGAAATGGTTCTAACCATGTAAATACTGAACATTATATAGATCTCTCTTGATATATAGGGCAACCTTCAATTGAGTGTAAATTAACCCTTTCTCTTCCAAGTTCTCAGTTACTACGTAATTCTCTTTACCACCTGCGATATTTGTAATTATTCTCATCACTTGTGTGCTTGATATGATATTAATATTGTAAGGAGAACTTCTGTCTCAGTCACTTATGGGAGTAATCAAGGGGTTTTATAGTAATCTGGCTGGGGTTGCATTTGTTTTGCTTCACTTTGCTCACTGATTTGTCTTGAAAACTCTCACCCTGCACTTTGAGTTTATCCTGATTTCCCCTGTGATTATTTACTTAGGATTAGTTTTGTTTCTGTAACAATCATTCAACCCTTTGACCCCTGAGAGTAATCAGAGTCCAATTTCTCCTTAAAATATTACCCCCAAATCATACAGTAAGGTAATGAGAATAGATAAAATGATCACCAACTAAAGAAGCTCTTAATTGTTAAACAAATTCTCTTTGACAGCACCTTAGGAAAGTATAGGGAATTCTATGTAGATAATGCATAATGAAGTTAGAGTGTTAAGGGTTAAAATTCATTCAACTTACCCCACAGTACTCATCACCATTGGCAATCTGAGGAGCTAGAGCTTCTTCATCTCCCACAAGTTCCCTCATTCTATCCAAAGCATCAGAATCTTGTGCAACATCAATTACATCAAAAGGCACTTTATGTGCCTCTAGTTGAGTGCGCATGTGTTGTTGACGTTTTTTAGTCTGGATAACAAAAGCAATAAACTAATCAAAGGAGATCAAGACAAGCAAAGAAAAAATGCAAAGAAATAAATAAATAAAATTAATTAACTGTTATAAAAAATGTTCTTTTGAAAATCTGTTATATACACAATTTTATAAGTCAACATAAACCTTGACCTAACATTTGAGTTTCAGTTCAGGTATGCTATAATTCTAAACCCTTTAACCCCTAGGAGTGACTGTCTCCTATTTTCTCCTTATAATATAACCCTTAAATCAAAAATATATGTCATGAGAATAAAGGAAATGATCGCGAATTTAAAGTCAGTCCTGACTGTCAAACAAATTCTCCTTGTCAGTACCATAAGAAATGTAAAGAGAACTGTGTGGAGAATATGCATTCTGATATTAGGTGTAAAGGGTTAATGGAAAATTCCAAAAGTCAAAGTCACTACTTGAAACTTTCCAAAGGAAAACTAACTTTGTGAAAGACGAGTTTCAATTTTGATGTTGGCAAGACATAAATTCTCCATCATTTATAACTTTGCTGCAACTGTACTTGAAGGCCAAGAGATCCCTCCAGTGTTACCTTATTTAGCAGAATGATCAATATTGTTCTTACATCTTAACAGAAGGTTTACCACCAATCACTTAACCCTTTAACTCCCAGATCAAATTTGTAATTCTCCTCACTGTCAACCACACAATTCTTATAATGTTAGTTCAGAGAACTTAGTGTTGGATCAAATAATTATCCCCAAATTTACATTTTTCTTTATTCTCATCACTTATCTGGTTGATATTGTATTGATATTGTAAGGAGAAATTCTCTCTTGATCACTCATGGGAGTTAAAGGGTTAACACTTTTTAAACAATTTAGGATTTTTAAAACATTATGAAACCAATCATTAATGCTGGAATTAAATAACACTTCATTCATCCACTAATTTTTGAATGTTCTATTTTTAACAAATTTCTTCAAGCGGGTCTTACCGCAAACTTTGCAATAGCATGACAGACCACAAAAAAATCCTGACAGTAAGGGTCTTGTGCCCTTGTCTTTATATATAATCTGTGTGGTTTTTTGTTTTGTTTTATTTATTTTTCTATTTCCTGCAGACAACATAACATTTAAGATGCCAGAAATTGTACAAACTTTAGTTTGTCCTTCTAATGTGAAAAACGTTAAACTTGTTTATGTGGTAGTGTCAAAATTATGTTTTGATCTGAAAATGAAATTCTTTAACTCTTTCTCTAGCAGTATTGGAAAACAATTTCCAATTGCCAAAAGAAATAGCCATTCAATATCACCTTGTCTCAAATTTCAAACCATTGGAATGCTCAATCCATATTTTACTTATACCTTAATCAATGGTATTGAGCTTACTTCTAAGTACTTAAGTGAATTAATTTAATCGGCACATCTGAAATATGTGCTATATGTAGTCATCAGAAGCTCATTTAAATCACGAAATAGTTGAGTGAAATTTACTCAAATACACACACACACACGTTGAGATTAAATGAAATGTTAAAAAGAAAGCTCTGAGTATTTTGACGTTCTGAATGATCCAGCCTGGTTGTATAACTGTACAAACATGCTGTTCAAGTCTTACAACCATACAGGTCGGATGGCTGAGAAAATAAACTATAACATATTTGTCTAGCTACACATAGGTTTCCGTTTCAAAGAAAAATGAATTAGAAGCTACTAAACCCTTATTTTTCGCGAAAAGAATCAAGTGTAATCCTTATTAGAAATTTTACATCCATGATAGTGTCTCTTTTAATGCAGGATCGTTCCTCGAAGCACAAATGAATTATTCATTTTAAGCACTGTAAATTGATCTTGAAAATTCTTGTCTTAAACTTTGGCTATTGATGACACCTGAAAACTTGCATCGTTTGTTTAAATCGTCTCATACTCACCTCCTTGTTTCCTGAGATATCGGAGACGAATAAGGTAACTTTTCCACTCATAATTCAAGCGAAAGTGCTCTTCAGATTGAGTGAAATGAAAGAGAAGCGTAACCCTAGCCTCAACTAACAGACTACACCCCCTGCAGCTCCTGGCAGGCGTACTGCTTGGACGGGGAAAACTGGTTACAACAGTCACCGTTTCATCACCTCATTAAGCACATCGTGTGTGACGTGATCTGATGCACAATCCTCTCAGAAAGAAGACCATATTACTAGACCATATTAAGATTTGAATTGATAAGTAATAAGCGAATAGCCTTCGCTGGCAAAGGACTTGTGGTTGCAGGTAGATTTGTGATCTGTCAAGGCGGAAACTATTGTGTGACAAAGGGTTGATTTGCATCGAGTCAAGACCTTGAATTGCAAAGTGTTTCCTCGAGCCCGAGTGAGCAGTTGAGGTTGTAGCGCCTTATTCGAGGAAGAATTTGACATATTGTACCGACGCTTTTCACCGAAAATGGCAGACAAGATTAAATTTTACTCCTCTTCTGTCTCTAGTAATTTAGAGGTAAGTTTGGCGAGAAATTCTCCTACCTTTTATTCGAAACTTTAGCGTTAACCATGTAGGTGTGGTTTGCCTGTAAAGTGATAAATTGACGACACACTCATCTGCAACGACAGATTCTTTCTTTCGTTCAGGTTACCTGTAGTTAATATTTTATCTCGAAGCAACAGACTAACCGTAAGCTTATACAACGATTGTATTTCCCGGTGGTTAGAAAGTTATAAGTGATATGGAGGGTGCAAATTCAAATTGTCTCCAACTAGAATCTATGAAAGTGAATTTAAATGTATTTTCTCCTGAGTGCACCTTTATAGATTATAGGTACTCAGTAACGTGTCTCGACGTGACGTTAATTGGTCTGTGTGATAAGAATGGCCTCAGGTGAACGAGAATAACTGGAGCGTTAAATAACTGAGGACGCAAGGCGAGGACCTTCGGTCCGCATAGTCAGTATATTTTATGCATCATACATACGATTAATCAACATCCTCCTTTGTATAATGGACAAATACTTCTTTTTCTTTTTTGCTTCATGATAATCCATTTAAAATGTGTAAGGTGCTAGACATGATTTAATAGCTCGTCCATGATTACAATGTTGTATGGGAAATATCTTTTGTGATTAAGATAGTGGTATTAGTTTTCAATTGATGTCTACACTATATAGAAGCATGTTCAGGCACATAAAAAAACAACAACAACAACAACAACAACAACAACAACAACAGCATTCACATGAATTATTCACAATTTAATATGTTTTCGCTAGAAGTTGATTTTTTAAGTAAGGTTTCAGGAAGATTATTCATGTAAATATTAGACCTCTGAGGATAACTAAATGTGATCAAGTTGACCATCCGTATTTTTTTCTCTATTTATATGTACTTGCCAAATGAACATTATTTAGAGATTTGATATCTTGTATTCACATACATAAACTTGCAATCTTTCAGACAGGGATGACTGTAGGATCTCATTGTTGGTCCCAAGATAAAAGTAAAAAGTGTTTAGTTGGAGATGAACTTAATTCGCTTGTCTCACAATGGATTCACCTTGGAAGTTGATTGCAACATTTCAACTTGCAATACTACTAGTCTTCATCAGGCAGTGAAGTCAATTTTTTATGTGTCACCATTTGTAGCACATTGGTTTGCTGCTATTGGTGCATTTCGATCCTCATTATTATTCCGATACAGAATATACAGGCAATTAATGAGGACCTATGAGGGAACACCATCTAACAACTGGAATAATAATGAGGATTGAAATGCACCAATGGCAGCGAGCCAATGTACTAAAAATAATGACACGTAAACTATCAACCTCATCACCCAATGAAAACTAGCAGTAATGCAGTCGAAACATCACAATCAACATCCAAAGTGAATCCATCGTGAGACAAATGAATAAAGTTCATCTCCTATCTTACACCATGATGAACAATTAAAACTTATTTTATTACAGTGTTCATCTGGTTATGAGAAGGGGAGACTGAAATGAGAATCAATTATGACATATTCTAAATAGCATTTATGTCACCTAAGCAACAAAAGTTTCATGCAATTGGAAGCAAGTGATGTGAGAGTTATTGTGTGTGAGTCAGTGTGACCTTGAAATCTGGAATTTACAAATTTTGATCAAAGATATTCTGAATTTTTTTTGCTGAAAATACTTCTTTCCTTGCCATAATCCATTCCTTGGATGTAAATAGAGGATTTTTATCAAAAATGCATTTGTGAATTTTCACTCAGGGGCACCCAGGGATTCTTGTATTTGTTTGGCTGTAGCATATTGCATTGTATGGGCATGTATTTAAGGCCTTTTGTTTCCACTACTATTAACTGATGCACATCTGTATGTACTTTTCTTAATGGATTTATGTCTTAGTTATATGGATTCAATATTGCCATGTACATATTAGGTCCATAACTGAGTACAGATGGTATTAAGGTGGGATAAATGTTGCCACTGAATAACACCTTACAAACTTTGAAGTCTGTACAATGTATGTGGCCAAACAGGCATTTGGTTAAATGTAATTTGTTGATTGCATAGTGTGATCATCCACTGGTAGGTGAAGATAAAGGTACAAGCACCATTGTTGGTGGGGATTGGGATTTTTTAAACAGTCATCCACAGTCACTAACAATGGTCCTTTTTTAAGATTTTCCTCATCTAGGTAACCACACTGCACAATCCACTGCTACTACCCTGGTTAGCTATAACCCAGGATTAAAATTTTAAATTTTCCTTGATTTCTCTTGAAATAGAGCATGTAAAGGGGCCTACATTTTGAGGGGGTTTTACCTCAGGGTAAGACCAAACTGCAAAGCTACAAAATTTAAATAAGGAATTGTTGGCTAACCTCTGGTTAGCTTAATCTTGCTTTGAACAACTTGGCTCTGGGTCCTAAATCCTCTTACATAATGTAGAACTCCTTGTTTTGTAGATAAAAGAGAAGGTAGAAATTATGATGTCATATAAATTTAGTGTTACTAGAATTTCACATACTGTTCTTTTTTTTTTTTCTCTTTTCCAAATATCATTTATTCACATGACTTTCAAATAATATGGATTGTGGCTACAAAACTCTCTCTATATTATATGTTGAATTTACTCTAGATTAAGAAACAACAACAAAAGATTGAAATGATCCTGGACAGCAAGAAAATTGATTATGAGAAAATAGATATCAGCAGCTCTGAGAAATTAAAGAATGAAATGAGAGAGATCATGGGTGATCCAAAAGGTGTGCCTCCACAATTGGCAAAAGGTCATCAATACCTTGGGGTAAGTAAAAAGATGATGTATTGCTGCTCCTTGTTAACCCATCAACTCCCAAGATCTCCTTACTGTATGCTTGAAGTTCTTGTGATGTTGATTTGGAGAATTTGGTATTGGATCAATTTATAATTCCCTAATCAATATTTTTCCTTATTCTCATCGCTTGTCTGTGTGATATTGTATTGATATTGTAAGAATAAATTCTGTCTTGGTCACTTATGGGAGTTAAAGGGTTAAAGACACTTGTACTGATTCTGCAAATGCATTCACATGGGCAGTGTGGCACTTGTGATCTCATACATGTAAGAACACACTTAACATACAGGAATTTAGAGCCTGGAAATTACACTGAAATCTTTGCAATTGAAGCTTGTCATCCAGTCACAGTAGTCATTTTCTTATCCACTAGAACAATTTTCTCTAGAATAATTTCAAATGATTGGCAAAATTATCAAACTTGTGCTTTTGAATGCAAGTGCACAATGACATAGAGTGAAGCGAAAAGTGTGATGTAGCTCTGTCAGCAATAAACTAAAACAGACATTAATAAATTACTAGAGGAGAGATTTAAGACAAGTAATGTCCACAATTTTTATGCCCATCTTTGTAGGGTTTTGATGAGTTTGATGCTGCAGTGGAAAATGAGCAACTCATGGAATTTTTGAAACTAAAGTAAAGCTTATTGAACAGTCAGTTGTGTAGTTCAATGTCACAGATTAAGTTAATGTGAAATTTCTGGCCAAAGAAAAATTCATCCTTTTAAGTAACAAAAATTGGAATAATAAAACCAATGTTTAAATGTGAGGTGAAGTATGACTCTTTCTTAGTAGGTACAAGTTTTCCATTGAACTCTTGTTTAGGTACATGGAGTGTTGTTAGCTGGAAGCATACATGATGAAGAGGGTACAAAATTTTATTTGTTCTATCCTTAACAAACTGGGAAGTCCATTCCTACAAAATGGAACCACTGAAACTTGGCAATCAAATTTACTTATAATTGAAGCCTATTCTTCATGCATGAACATCACATCGTCCAACTTCAGAATCAGAAGTGACAATGCAATGATTTCAGTGCAAAAAGGTACTTTTACAAAATAGCATGTTTTTCCAGCTGGCTCTGTTCATTAACTCAGAAATGCTGCTGCTGTTGAAATCAATTATAGATCTATTAAATATACCCTGAGACAAAAGGTGTCTGGAGCAAAACCAAGCTAAGTTCACCAGCTTATAGCTTAAAAATTGCTTGTTTATTTGAGTTTTTTAATAACGATAAGTGTATAAGTAAGTGTTTAAAGAGAACAGTATTATTGTAATGAGTTTATTGATTAAAAATTACTTCCGAAGCAAGCCAATTACTTTTAACGCAGTCTTTAACACCATTGTTTTGACATCCGTTTAACCTGTGCACAGTGAGAGAAACCCTCCCCTTTAACAGATCTTTTCGTACGATTTTCATCGATTATAAACGAACGCTATCAATCCGGAGTTTTGAAACAAGAATTCGCGCCAGCGCAATAACAAAATGTAATAACACTACCAAGCGCATTCCCAGAGCCAGACTAACCGCGCCTTTATGCGGTATTTCAATACATGAAAAGACCCTGGGGACGAGTTTGGAATGCATGGTTACTTCGACAGTAGAAAACACGGGCTGCCATAGCCTTGTCGGGGATGTAGTCAACTAATAGTTGCTCTTCAAGGTTCAGTGTTTGTGTTTTGGCCTTTGAAGGGTTGATCATATGGTGGATTCAAATTGTGCGTCATCGTTATCGTTTTGATCAAGTTTCTCGCGATCATTCGTGGATATTTCCTGTCTACCTCTTTGATCTTCCTCTTCTTGAATGGTCGCCTTGCAAAACCAGAACGACAAGAAATAGAAAATAAAGGCGGTTCCTGAAAGACAGAACATGAAGACAAACTATAACATGACAGATAACAGCGAGAAACACTTTTTGTGAGAGATGTAAATTAGACTGCAACATCTCAAAAGTATTTCCATTATTAAATGTGCGGAAAAGTTTTGGTCTCTTAGACTACGACACCTAGTCTGCTTCTCTTATATGTCAGGCAGATATAATGGATATAACTTATCTTAAATGTAACTTAAGTGCGGCTTGGTCTGAAGGATCACCGTGAGCGCTCAGAGAGTCTCGCAAATTTAAGCAAATCTAACGTTCTTAAACACGAGAGGTCTATAACTGTCTAGACTTATCCGGTTTGCGTAGCATGAAGCGCTAAGGAGTGCCTCTCCCCAGGGAAGGGATGCTAATCAATCGTAGTTTTCCTCTCAACATTCCTGATGCTTTCCGTCGGTTTTCTCTCACAGTTCCCGTTAACTATTCATACTCCTTTGTGGAGAGGAATACCAAGAATATAACACAAAGACCCGGACGGGGTCCTTACCCAGAGGCTAGTACGCTAACCGTTAAGATAACACGTCTTTAGACAGACATACGAAGCTAACCTGTGAAGCTTAAACCCGCGTATCCAAGCCTGTCAGTCAGCTTGTCAATCTCGTAAAATTGACAGTTGCCTCTATTTCCGCAGCTCTCTCCCCATTGAACACACGTTCCATCGAAAATAGCGCCGAAAAGAATCGGTCCCGGTAAGAATCCGAGACAGCGCTGGATTATAAACTGGAAACCGAGTGCGTATGCTCTCTGGTTGTAAGGGACACACCTAGAATGGAATAGTCCCGTATTTAGGTTGAGTTTGCCGTACATTAGTTAAAACTGTCGAAACGACGAGGAGGTATCTTAATTTGTAAAGTTTCTGTAACAACCCTCGTTTTGACAGTCGTGTAAATATTGTCATCCGTATCCGATCAAGGTTTCTTCAGAATTGGTAGAGTACGTGGGAATTAATAATTTTGAATTATTATTTCTGGATAAATAAGTTGAAAGAAGAATTTTATGGTTATTAAGAACTTAAACCTGAAAGTGTGCTTCCATTCATTAGTTCTCAAGCAGAGGTTCGTTTGTTGTCGACAGTTAATGCTTCTTAATGTCAAATAAATTCCTACTGTTCATTTAAGTTTTTAATACATACCCGACTAACAATTATACACAAAAAGTGTCGAAAGCAGTCTAGGATTGCATTCATGTGGATTTCTTCTACTAAGAACTCAGTTCGAGTTTCATACTTTCATCTGTAAGTTTGATCTGATTGTTTGCTTCTTTTAGTTTATTTTTTTTCACGAAAAAGGTTTTTGTAGTTTCGTGCTCGTCCCTAAATCTAAGAGTCTTTCATAGAACAGTTTTCAACGGAGTATCGAAAGTAATCCGGGATTCCAGTAGTTCTGCTTCACTTCGCTCTATAATTGGTCCAGAAAACTCGTCCCATCCTCCCAACCAATCGGATGCAACACTTAAACGACTTGGCCGCCCCCGTTTTCCCGCGCTTAAGGCGTTTGGGTTGTTTTTACTTCAAGACCTCAATGGCTCTTAAAGATATTTTCCTTTCTCGTAATTGGTCGTTCTGATTACTTTGGTTTTTGGTTTTACGACAATCAACCGTAAAGTGAATGTTCCATGTGTTCTTGGGTGACTCACCTTAGCACAACTGTCTTGTTCGCTACAGCCGTGATAAATACTGAAAACAACACCACGATAAGGAAGACGACAAATGCAATGTAGGTCATACAGCCGGACGTCTTTCCACAGTAGCCCTTTACAGCTGAACCTACGCTTGAATTGCTTTGTGGTTGAATACAACTACAGTTTGTAAAAGTCTAAGGAATGAGAAAAGAAAAATTCAGTCATATGCCATGATATTATATTCACACTTAGACTTAAAACTTTGGTTCCGCAACATATACAACACCTTCACATCCTGGTCAGAATTTCAAAAGGCCCGCATACATCGATTATTTGGTGAAAACACTTTATTAAATCAAGGCTTTGGTTTTGGTTTACCTCGCTCTGTGATTGGTCGAGAGAACTCGCACCGCCATCTCAACGAATCAGATGCAAAAATAACACTAATCTACTCTTGGCTCTCTCACTCGCGTTTTCCTGTGTTTCCGGTAGATTGCTTAAATTTACATCGGGTTCTTATTGGCTGATGATGTCAACTTGAGCTATAATTGGCATTTGCGAAAACTTTCCTGATGATCTAATACCTCCTCTCGCGGTAAAATTAATCGTCTCGCAAGAGTGTTGATAAGAAAAAAAACCTGAATCCTGACTTCAGACTATTTAGATTTTTGATCCCGAGGTCGTGGGAACTTCAGATTTTCTCTTTGTCCCTCGCTCGTGACAACTGAAAAACATATCTTTATTATCCGAAAGAAGAGTAAAAAATTCATCATCTTTCTTGATTCATGTACCTCATTCTTCATATTTTTACATCCAGCAAGACAGGGTGAGAAATACGCAAGGTTGTCTTCTCCACAAACAGGATTGATGGTAGCTAGTGAGCAGCTACAGTTCAGATTGCATGCTACCTGCACTCCATTCAATCCAGTAGCACTAAAATAAGATTCAGAAAATAAGAAAATATACAGACAGAATTTTAAATTTTTCTGACCATTATCGCCTAAAAACTTAAACCTCTATCCTCCAGTATAGCCCAAGCTGTGAGCTACAGACTGCAGCGTGGAAGGTCGTGGGTTCGAGCCCCAGACCTGACCAACAATTACATCTTAAAATGACTTAGGAGAATGTTCTGTCTTTGCTATGACATCTGCAAATGGTTAAACGTTCTAGTCTTCTTGGATAAGGACGATATACTGTTGGCCTCGTCTCCTGCATCTTCTCAATCTCTGCATTGGTTAGCAGGGGAAGATTTAAGAACCCATTCAATTCTCGCGAAAAAGTAGGGTCGTAACTCCTGGTGTTGTAGTCTGGGATTGGTTTCAAAAATTCCAAAACTGAGGGGACCTGAAAAATTTCCTTTCAAAAAAGTTGTGATTAACCCTTTCAATGCAGTCTGGCTGAAGTCCCCCGCAAAGTATTGAAAAGCGCATTAAAGCATACTCAAATGGGAAATGCGGTATTTAATTGCATCATTATCATTACCATCGTTATGTACATAACTTGTTCCTAAAGTAAATTTACGGTCATCTAACATCCCCTCCGAGAGGAATAGTGATAGTTGTTTCTTCGTTCCGTAGGAACCGGAATAAACTGTGGCACAAAAGGGTCATTTGTTTGGTAAGACTCGTACCTTCTTTTTGATATTATCTAACCTGTTTTTATAAGGAGTTGTTATTCCTGCTACATCCGGTACACCACATCCAGGAATGAACCACGCAGAGCTTCCTATGACAGTAAACATTGAGGCGATAACTAAGAATCTTGCAGCCATTTTTAACGACGTCTTCAGGTCAAATCGTCTGACGAGTACTCCACCCAAAAGCACACCACCTAAAAAATAATAATAACAAACATAATAATTGTGTCATGTACGTCTGCGTATGCACGTATGCGTGGTCTAGGAGAAATTGGGACCTCGATTGGTTTTAATCTTGGACTAATTAATTGCGAGGATGGTGGGTGTTTTCCGAGCAGCTAATGAAAACCGACACAAACTCGGATCGGATAATTTTTCGACGCTTAATCAGCTATTTACCGAATAGTCTGTGAAAAGTTTGACGTTATAGAGGATATTACATGGCCGCGCGGGGATATGAATTTTATCTTCGAGTGCTGAAAGTATCGCATTTTCGAGACAGCAAAATAATGCGATTAAAGTGGTCACCTATCGCAAAATACCTGTCACAAAAATGTTATGAAACTCGGATATAATTTGGCAGCTCATCGAGAAAGTCACCGGTAACTTTACCGTCTTCTCACCTCGAAGCCATTTTGTGAATGAAATTTCAAAAGAACCGGCCTCACACGTGAAAGATAAAAATAGTATCTTCACTGCGCGCGATGAAGATATGAATTTTTAGTAAAAGGAATTCGAAAAATCCTGGTATTTCATCAGTATCTATTTAATAAAATGTTTTCTTGCATACTTACCCACCGTGCCTGGCACAAGAATTACCCCAATTATCACTCCTGAAAAGAAAGCGCTGAGCCCAAACTTCAACTGAAGAATTTTTGCAATGAAAGACGCTATTCCGGCGCCAAATAGTGCACCGGATGTTATGGCTAGCGTGTTAAAAATAAAGACAGGTGACTTGATCAGCTGCACTGTGGCTGGCAAGAGGTCCTTCAGTTTTCCTTTGATTCTCTCGTCTTCCTTCGGCACATAGCCCTCTTTAAGAGCCTGTTCGCGAATACGTCTGGCCCCAGGTAACTCTCTAGGGAACCCAAGAATTAGGCCTGAGATAACGACAAGAATAGAGCCCCCAGCCAGGTACCCCAGCCACCACGCTCCTATCCATTGGGGATCCTCTGGGGTGAGATTTAATCCTTCTGGCTGTCGGGTAAGAAAAGACTTGTTAAGTTTGATCATAAATGAACACTATATCAGATATCTGCTCAATAGAACGAAAAGAAAGTTATGTTTTAACCCGTAGCTTTTGAAACACCTGGTATAAAAGAAAAGGGTAATTGTTGTTTATTTATTATTGAGAAAGGACAAGTAAAAAAGGTATCGTTTGCTGACCAGTAATTTCCCAGGAAGTGGAATAGCAGACCCTCCTTAAGTTGCCTTACGCTGATTACAAGAGACGAACCCTTTATCTAGCTTGGTCAGACAGGAAATAACTGATTTTACATGCCTGTGTGATGTCAATGTAAATGTTCAGCAGTGATCCACCCAAGACGAAACCTAACCCAGGCCCCAACAAAGTCATAGAGAAAAAGACCGCGAGATACACTGGTGACGACTTTGGGTGTACGTTCTCATCAAGATAAGCAGGTCCCAGGGTGAACAGCGATGTTGCCCCTGCGCCCATGAGCAATTGAGCCACGAAAAAGATGAAGATGTAGTACCACTGACCACCATAGTCAGCGAAGCAAAATTCTGAGGTGTCATTTCCGCTCAACCGGCAAACGTCGCCGTCGATGAGTCCTCCGGTTGAAGCCAGAGGCTCGTATCGTCCAACAAGGCCTTGTGGAAGGACGAATAATAAGCACCCTATACCTGTGGTATCAAAAATACTTCTCAGTGTATAGATGCTTTACTTGTAAAAGTCATTTTTAACATGAAAGATTTTTCAAGATTGTCATTCGCAATTCGTACATATCTTCTCCGTCCTAAATAATCACTGTAGTCTTGTTAAGTTTGTCTTAAAAAGTAAACCAATAAAATTTTAGGGTTTCTGTCCTTCCGATAACATTTTTCTGTATCGTAGACGCAACTCAAATTCTTACAGTCTATTTCCTTTCATACTTTTCATTCCAACTATTTCCTCTTATTTGCTCTTCTATCTGCAAGCTCTAATTTGATTACTAAGGTAATGCATAAGACTCGCTCAAGAGGGCGTGACAAATTGCACGTACATCAAGTCCAAGCTGAAACTTGGTGCGTTGCTTTTCTAGAGACAGATCGTAAAAAAGGAGATTTTGAGGACTTACAATGTTCGCACGTTTTTATTGCGAGGAGAAGTAACAAGATATCCTATGTGCTCCAATCGTGTCTTTGCCTCCACTAAAAGGACCTTAAACTATATATATGCTTGTCAACTTGAGAATATCAGTGCAGTGCATACTGCATAAAATTCTCTGCTTTACCTGTAATAATGGAGCCGTATCCAAGCCACTTTATCTTATTCCCATATGTTCCGTAAAAGCTAACCAGCGCAGTTAATAAGATTCCTGCGATGTCATTGGATGCTGCAACGAATCCCACCTCAGCGCTTGTGAGCTGAAATCTCTTCTCTAAAGTCAACAGAAACAGATTGGTGAAGCCATTCACTGTCATACCTACAAAGAAAGTAGGGACACGATAATGAGGCAACGCACTGTCCTTTACAATGACACCTTCTACCCAAGAATCTAAGATTGCAATTCGATTATGGCAGTAACAATTTAAACTTACTCTCCAATTTCATTATAATTTCTAGCGGTTCTAGCCCATTAGGCCCACAAGGACCTAATCCTATGGGAGAACTCAACAAAGATAGATGCAACAGTTCGAGCAAGTTATCCGCCCTTACCTTGAATAAAAGAGAAAAACGCAATAGCAACGACAAAACATTTGGCGCTCAAAAGGAACTGTAAACACTGTGGCTTGAAGCTCCCCCAGCCGTAACGAAAGTCTTCCTCTTCTGCATCCTGCTCAACGTCGACGTCAACTTGTAATGGAATCTCCTCAGTGTTATCATCATCATTCACCTTGCCGTTCGTTTCACTCATCTTTAAGAAGATAGGTAAAAGAAAAACGTCACTAAAAGTTCAGGATCCGCTGTAAAGAGTGCTCCCTTAATGCCTTCAGGTTAAGCGGAGAAGTCTGTTTTAAAACCTCAAGTATGCTCTGATATTTGATTGGAAGTTTTAAAGTTCTTGTCGTTGCTTGTTTGATGGAATAAAGGAATTTACTGGTTGGTTACGTAACCAGATCAGGGTAAAATCACAGTGCGTGACTGACGTCATGTAGTGTTAACTGTATGTGCTTTCTTTGTCCATAATTGTAGCTCTCGTACACATACAAAACATTCTTTTGTTCCGGCGACAGGCATAATTTTGTTGCGGCAAAGGACAAAGAGACTTGAAAATGTGTTTCAGTCCGCGTAATAAGCGGGGGGCATATGAAAAAAAGAAATTCGAAATGCTTCAAAGAGTACATCTGACCCTCCTACTAACACGTCCGACGCTCATGAAGTGATCTTTAAATGCCATAGGATTTTACACCAAGCGATCACGTAACCTAAAAATAATATAAATATCTGCGATTTGAGGGCACCTGCTGTTCTGTCACGCAATCAAATCAAGAAAACCTCCAGGGAAAGAGAGAGGCTGTGAAAAGGGAGTGAACGAACATGACATGATTCTAATATTCGTTGACTTGCGTTACACTAAAAATGTCTTAGTCAGCGTCACACTATTTCGTAATCACCTCAAAACTAAACAAAGAACTAAAAACAACAGTAATCAGATTGTTCTTCGAAGCAGCTGGTCGTGCAGCAGAATTAGCTTTATCATACCTCTAAAGTAGTCATGACGGATGACATCTCTGCACGTTGGTGCAAATTACATCATTTTCACGGTGAATTAATGTTAAATGAATTTCGTGCGCTTTGGAATAATAATTAATCGGCCCTTTGTTTACAACTGGCACTATTCAGCTATGCGTGTGAAATCAGCGAGTCTGAGGTAACGTGCCCAGGCAGGTCACAGACAATTTGCTCTAAATCGAGAGCAAGTAAAATTTCAGACAACGAAAAGTTGTCAAACGACTGTTAAGTATGTGTGCAATATTTCAGTATAACCAAAATATCAAGTCGTGTTCGAGAATCATCAATCCAAAATTGCGTTTGACGAAAACAAATATTGAACCAGCATATCTGTCAAAAGCTTGAAGACTTTCGTAAGTCGCTCAGGACTTTGTTTGGTGCTCGAAAGCGAAGCAGCCGTTCATCTTACCTTGGATCGCTCTTCCTTTTTAAATAGCACAGTCACCTCAACAGGACAACCGATAGATATAAACTGACAAGGTCGACAATATTCAATCAACGCTCCGCCAATGAACCGTGACGACCCTCTATTAATTGCTTGCCGCACTCCTCTCTCCCGCGGGTGCATACAGCTCCACTAAGGAGCCGAGATGGAACAGAGATCGGGCAACGTGAAAAATAGGCAGTCTGGGACTGCATGTGGCTACGTATAGCATTGAAGTGAAGAAATACAGGTTGTATGATAACGCTAGAAGGTAGTGTACATAATAAACCACTGATTCGATAGATTACAATCCGAAGTTCTCGTCAAAGATAGCCACTCGTAAAGGCAAGAGTTGAGGGTTCCCTTGTCGAAGGGAGAAAGAAGGGAAGGGGGAGGGGGAGGAGGGGGTTATGGAGGCACACCCACTAATTAGGCCAGCCGTGTACGCACGAGTTTTCGAATCCTCAACGTTTCATTAAGCATCTTACCTCTCCGCCCACTGACAGTTAACTGGGGTGTGATTATTGGCAGTACACGGCCCAAAGTCGAAACGATCTGTTTGTATATGCTTGATTTGACTTCATTAGTTCGATATTCCACAATCTTTATGCGTAATAAGTGGTTATTACCTGTTGATAACGAGTGAAAGTATCAGACTAAAGCGGCACACTTGATACCTTCCTTCCGTCCCCTCCCCCCTCCCGTGGGGAAGAACTTCGTTAGGTCAGGGGTAGAGTAGTACTCATTTCCGATTAAACAATAGAATAATAAATAATGATATGACTACGAAATAAAGAACAAATTGAATAAACAAAATAAGCCATCAACAACAACAACAACAATAACAAGTATTACAATAGCGATAGTAATACTGAAAATATTTTTTATGATACTGATAATAATGATAATCAGAACTAGCTCATTTGGCAGCCATTTACGAATGCTTTGCGGTGGAGCGCGATTTTCAGTTGTTTTGTTCTTTTTTTCCAATAGACTTCAAACAGTACTTCTGATTACTGTTGCCATATACGGTAAAAAGATCGTCTGTTTGTTATCATGTGTCTATTCTCTTAACGACGTTTGAAACATCCAATTACATTCGGCCTCATCGACGGGAATATAATTCCGAGGTTGCGTCTCGCTCACTAAGATAAGTCGACCGAAGTTCCTAGTATTTTTTGCACGCACACTTTCCATGGTCATCTGTCCTTTGGTTGAAAAGTTGTTCTCCATTGCCTTGGAAATTGGTGAACGGCGATTTACATCTTCTGTACTTCAAAAACAAAACGCGAGGGTATTCACGCCGGTGAAAATTAACTCAATCTTGACGTAATTGTCTTGTTTTTTCCAACCCTACCTTAATAGGTCAATTGACGTCATTCAAGTTCGGCCCTGAAAACATGAAAGAGTTACAGTCCAAAGGCAAACAAACACTCAGGAAAAAAATTTAAATCTGGATGTTTGTCAAGTCTTTGAATCATTTAATCGGCCCTGATCTTGTGTTGTTTACAAAAAGGCTCGCTGGTAGTCTCCCCTCGGCCACAAGCTTCCACGAGTCTCTCTTTAAAGTCTCTTGAGTATGTATCCTCGTAGTCGGTATTTTCTTGTCCCTAAAGGAAAAGATAACATCCTAAGCTCCCATTTCTTGCCACCGGTTCCTGAAAAGACCAACTTGGCCGGTAAACGTCCTCACAACAGTCAGAACCAACCTAAGGTTTGTCATTTTTTTCATAAATACTTGATTATCTTGGAGCCGACATGGTCAGTCTGAATCTCAAAATTCTTGAAAATACATTATTGTTTTGGCTAACATTTGATAAACTGTTTCTTTAGCAGTTGTGAGCCCCCTGCAGGGTATATCAAGGCTGCTGGCGAGCAGAACACCAACGTGGGAACAAACAATAGAAGAACCAACAATAAGTGAACAACACCAACAACTACATGAAATATGAACCAACAATAGGTGAACCAACATTAACAGTAGAAGAACCAACAATAGGTGAACCAAGTTCACTACTTCCCTGTTGGTCAAATTGGAGGAGACATTCAGCCAATCATGTTACATTTATGCAAAGAAATCATTATCTTATCAACTGAATCTGCCTGAAGAGAGTGCTAAGGAAACACATTGAAAAAACTGCATAGAAAATGACAGATCCAGTGAGAGGGTTTGGGAATTGGAGGGGGGGTGGGGGGTAGGGGTCGAACGCCTTCCTCCCTCAATCAGGCTTGTTGGTTTGATTGATACTCGTATAACACGAAACTTCAAACAATGACAGGATCACATATTACAGCTCAATGACTATTGATTCAGTATTATTATCGAAACAGAAATGATTTTCCGCGAAAAGACAGTTCTGCTTTGTCTGAATTAAAGTTTAGACGGTCCACTATAAAACATTCTTGGATCCGCCCTTGACATAATGAAAGAAGTCCGACTCACGTCTATAAGAATTTTTCTGAATTCAAATCGACGCTGAAAGGCCCCATTGAGGAAGGGGTCAACTGACTTCACATTTTCCATGGATAGTTTACATCTCTTTCAGGAAGTAATGTTACTGAATCGGTATATGCAAAATTTTTAAATGGTCTTAAATTAAACTTAACATTTGTGCTATTTTATTTTCAGAACTGGCTCGATAATACAAGAGTAAAGTAGCGTAAGGAAGAAAGAACACCGCCGTTCAATGCATCTCGGTTGTCTGGTCACAGTTTTATTTCCATGTGGTCGGCACTTAAGTTACGTGCCAAATACAAATGTTATGTTGATGATAACTTATGAACCTGTAGATATTACCAGCCAAGAAATCTCATAATTTGATCGTTTAGATATAAAAATAAATAAAAAATGAATAAATCATTTCGGTTAGTACCAATCTTTTACCGATCCAGAGGCAGGTTATCCTTTTCCGAAGAAGAAAAAATCAATTCATAGTAAGAAAATGGTGCTTTTCATGAATAGGTTGCATTACAATGACTCAAATACATGTTTTGATTTGTATTAGTTCTCTGATCTCCTCGGCAGGGAAAATGATACGATTTAGGGGCAAAAAAATCGTAATTAAATCGCTCTGTTGATAGCCAATCAGATTGCAAATACCAACACTGATTTCAAAATGGAAATTATAAATCGCTTAAAGACGAGCGTAGCGTAGCGTTGTTCGGAAATATGGGAAAGTTCAACGGAATCATAAACGCGTCTGGCTTGATCTTAAGGACAAGAAATCTCCTGCAATAAGAAAGCTGAAACATGACGCACTTTAAGCTTGATGTTTGACAAAACATCTTGAAAATCCTGTTTTTTCGGCAACCTTCTTTTCGTTTGGAAAAGTTTCTGGTGTTCATATGATCAAAGCATACGAGAGACGGTTCGTGTAATTGTTAGTCTTGTACCCAGAGCTTCTAACGCCAAGCGGTAGTTAAACAGTAGAATCTGGGTATGAGATTGGTCCATGCATGTGTTATTTTGAAGTATAATTTAAGGTGTATATGCAATAAGGGCCACTAAGAAAATTAGGGAACTTTAGATGGTATTTCTACTTTCTACCATAATTTTATGGCGTCATTAATTAGGGAGATGAAAGGCGAGAACTTGGCACTCAGCGGGCTGATTTCCCGTTTTCAGGTGCCATTCTACTTTGTTAACACCAATCAAAGTGGCCATACTACCCCTGCCTAGGTCTCCTAGTTTTTCTTAAATCGTTAAAACTAGTGACGGGGTAGATACGAGAGCCATTACGGACTTTAGGCAGGCAAAAAAACGTCATATTGGAAATAGAGCTCGTACATTGCTGCGCAAACAGATGATGGTCCCATGTTCGAACGAACGAAACATAGATTGATGTCAACTCACTTTAAGACGATTGGTTAATATTTTAAGGCGTGGCTTTAAGACGTTATCACCTCTCTTCCCTTACGTGGGCCATATACCAGCTAGGATGTCAAGGTCAGGGCCGATGTCATGCAAGTCTTTAACGCGTTAATTGGAAGAGCGCTTTAGTGACGTCATTCCCATTTGTTTTTCACTAAAATAGACGTTAATATACATGATTGGCAGAGAGGAGTTGAAGAGTAGAAATAGATTGGTTAAATGAAGCGTCAAAACTTAGTTAACGCAGACTCAGCCAGAATTAACATGGCCTTTTATCACGTCTATCAAAGTGGCGCTGGTTCGACCAGTTCTTCTCGAATCATGGATGAGCCATCAGCTTGCCCTGGATGTCTCTACGCTGAACCCGTGACGATTTCTGTTGCCCAAAATGTCACTGATCACAGTTTCCCAAAAGAGACAAGCACCGTTATTCGAGTGAACCCAACAAAAGGTTGGTCAAAAATAATATTAAGTGATGTAGCCTGCTGTAATCGTGCATTCATAGCATGGAAAATAGCTTTCGAACTTATACCGAAATGGTAAATCTTCGATTAGGAGAGAGAAGACGAGACTATTCACGTTTCCGAAATACATGGATAGTCATACAGAATTTTTTTTTAATTTTACCGACGGCGAAGGAGGTAAGTGGAAAAAAAATGAAAAAGAGCAGTTGAATAAAGCTTTTAAATTTCTTAATTTTCTGAAAAAATCAAATCCTTGATAGATAAAGTTACGAGGAGAACCATACCCGTTTCTTAAAAAAGGAATAGTTTTCCCTAATTTTTCAAAAGAAGGAAATAATAAAAAGACAAAAAAAATACATCATCCACGCGGCCCAAATTATGAATTCCTATCCCTTTTTTACTTCCAAAATTCTAATCCTGAACGCTTACCAACTTGCAACGTTTCAACTAGATTTCTGCAGATGAAGAGAAAGAATCGACTTGGTAACGTTTGGACACCACATCCATAAGATCATTAGTAGCTTTTTTATGTTCCTGTTGTCAGGGCATGTTAAATGAACTTGTCGGCTGCCAGTACAAATAAAATCGCCAAGCAGCCGACGGGTATTTTCCCGTCAATTTTTCTAAACATTTCTAGAATGGCATCATCATAATTTGTTTTTCTTTTCTCGCATTCAGAGCCTCAAAAAAAGAGGGAAGGGCCAGTAAAAGAACCAGTCAAATGTACAAGAGTTCAATTCACTGTTTATCAAAGATGTGTGTTGGAGAAGACATTTTCTCTGTCACAGTATATTTCAGCTCAGAAACGCCTAGCATTATCTCAAGAACTGGGAATTTCATGTGAAAAAATCCAGGTAGATCTTAGCACTAAATCATTCTGCTCTCGTTTTTAGATGGAAAAACAACACCAAAGATCACTTCTTTCATTGAATACATTATAATAGTTAGAAGATTGTCATGAAAGCAAGTAGCTTGAAGATTCTGTCCAAACTGGACAATTCTCATAGAGTCCGATTTGAGCGCAATTTCAAAAATGATGTGTAAAGTAGAATTGCCCTAATGTTTTTCAAGTAATGTGTCACGGTATTGTACCCATGTTGTGCGTGTCATTTCTTGCTCCTCACCGATCCCAATTAAGTGATTTTCTCAAAAACCTTTTGATTTAAAGAGACATCATACATTCAAAACATCTCCACTGTCTTCATATTAATTGAAACCATCATTGCATTTACACAGAGGGAGGGAGGGAGGGAGAGTCGCTATGAGATCTTGAGAGTAATAAGGAGGTGGAGGAGGCGCAGGTGAAAGGAAATGACGTCATTAGGGCCAATCTCAAAATTTAACCAATCAACATGTTAAGGACTTGCACGACATCAGCCCTTGACCTTGGCATCCTAACTGGTGTACAGTACACGTAAAGGAAGAGAAGTGATTACGTTAAATAGCCACCAATCATATCATGACCGGCCATTCCCTGCTTTGTTCGTCTAAATTTAGATTCATAATTATTTGCGCATCATCAGCCCTTAACTTTGGCTTCCAAAACACCAATTATTTTCTTCTAAATTCATTCTCGCATTCCTCCGTCCACAGAGAAAATCAGCATCAAGGACAATATTAATTCGAACATCTTGTATTTCTTTTTAAGACTTGGTTCAAGAACAGACGTGTGAAATGGCGGAAAGAAGAGCGACAGACCGGTGAGGGCTTAACTCCTGCATCCCTTAGGACTGGTCCCTACTTTACCTATTTGGGTCACGTGCCATATCCTAATAGCAAACTTATGGTGCGTGATGCACGGATGTTGCTTGGTTCTCCACAAGCCTCGTACATCAGCAAATCATAGTTTTAATTCGTTTTCAAAAATGGCAGATGAATAATTGATATGCTTTACTTATGCCTTGAGGCAATTATGTATTTGTTCGATTTCTCCACTAATTCTTTAAAATTGACTCCTCACTTTCACTGCTCTCACTGGACTTGCTCCTCCACATATTTCAAACATCTTATTATATTACTGTCTTTCGAAGGTATTACGTCTTGTATTCTTGATTCCCAACACTTTTTAAACTTAAATAGAGGATATAGAAAGCCTCATTACAACCCGGAAAAAAGTATTTATAAAACTAACTGTTGTTATTTTTATCATGTTTTTTTCTCGTTGAAACTATCTTTGTCATATTTATTACCACTTTCATTAGCATCATTATTATTACTATTATTTGTTTGTTTGAAGCATGCTAACTTTATATGTAGAATGACACTAATTTCTAAAAGCACTAAAATCTCATGCTACATGCAAACTAAGCTGGGCTCACAAATTGTAGAATAATCAAATTGGTCACCAAAAAATGACGTCACTTGACGTCACACTCGATCCAGTTCCCAACGGAGCTCGACTGATATATGTCTGGCGAGAGCGGACCCGCGAAGAAGAGGAAGGAGCAACGTTAAAGGAAAACGTACTATTAATGAAATTAAGGCATTAAGGCGTTGTAATTTGCATAGACTTTTCGGGCAAAAATTGCATCACAATTGAGAGGGAAGGGAAGAAAGTTTTGCAACGTTATTATTAACAACCAGATTTGAGCATTTGATGTTTTGCACGGCTAAATTGTTACAGAATTCCAGAAATATATTTTGTGCTCTTAGTCTTCTTCTTTATAAGGAAATGGTCAACAGTTCAAAATGGACCTTTTTGCAAACTTATTTTCTCGGGAATGAGGCTAAGACTTGTGCTAAAGTTAGAGCAAGCCACAAATAAGAATGTTTTATCAGGTTTATTCAGACGTTACAGTAATTTTTTAATACTAACCTGTTCACCGATCACAGATCTTCACCCTGATAGTTAATAATCATTACAAATCACTAACTGTAAGCAGAGTGGAAAACCGATCTCTCCAGGCGAAAACGTTTTTAAATTGTTGTTAGCCACTAGCGGTTATTTTTATACGTCTTTTCAGTAACCAGGAATAAGTACATATTTAGATCCATCACGAATAGCTCAGTGTATGTCATTCTATAACTTCTGATGATATCAAAGAGCTCAAAGTTTTAGCATCAAAATTTGTGATTATTCAGTGTGGACGGTAATTCACTCTCAAAAAGCAAGTTCTTATGAATGTAATACTTCTGTCTGTAGAATTGGTCTAAACTCCTCTAAGCTTTGATTTACGAAGTTGTGGTGTTATATAAGCGCAGCAGATCATTTTTAAATGTACTTTGTCCCATATAAGTAGTAAAGTTATTGTTATTTTATAACCCACTCATTAATTTTCGCATGATTTTCATGGTTACGCAACGTCACGTGGTGCAAAATCACCGGACAGTTAACACGCAATAACCCCCGTCTACGTCGACATTTGTCCTCTGATTATTTCCGTCGAAAAAAAGAGTCCGGAAAGTACAAAATTTGCCGTCAACACGTTATGCGAAAACTAATGGAAAGGTTACAAAAATGGATAAATCCTCTTCTGGCTTGCTGGTATACCGGTTAATAATGTCCTTGGTTGCATTTAAGAGATTTAGTTGAGAGACAATATCGCAGCCGCGGACATTATCCACACCAGCCCCTGAAGGAGTTTATCTACCAAATATACATTTACATTCGATATATTTATTCTTTCATCTGTTTTTATTAGTTTTCTATTTACAGTATCAGTTAATAGTAGTAAAAGAGGGATTTCATGACTATAATATTACTAAAGGCGTATTTCAAAACATGGCTCCCTTTCCTCAGTTTTGAGCAGAAGCAGACGAACACCTTATTCAGACCAAAGCTAAACGCGTTCTAAGGCTGTTTAGTTGAAATTGGTTTCTTTAAAGAAATTGCTGAAATATAAGTGAGTGATTGCTTGAACTCTATGTTGTGAGGTCTGAATGCGGGGGGAGGGGGGGTGGGGGGAAAGAGGGTCCTCGTGTCGGTTGTCGCCTTGAATTTCATTACCTTGTCGGTAGTCAGGTAAGATTTTATGATCTTCATCGTTTGTCGATAAATCTCGGTTAATGATTAACAATGCAAGTTATATATACGAGTTCATTAGTACTGGACGTTGTTCTGGAAATGAGCCCGCGCTCCAAACCAGCCTTGAAGGAAGTTTGATGACAGGAAATTCTATAATTATTTGAATATTCAATTTAAAGTGGTTACCTCCTAAGCTAGAGTGATCTTCTATCTGATCACAAATATCGACAATGTAGGACCATATCGGATTTCGGTTAGTATTCACTTTTCGCTAATCAGTAATCTTTTTGCGTTGTGTCGGTAGTCAGTTATATTTAACCCTTTTTCAGTAAGTCAGTTAACTCCTTTCAGATCCTTCTTTGCAAACTTTAGTTTTTCTTTTTCTGTGGCTGATTTTCTTTCAGTGAAACCTGGTTTAACTGAACATGTTTTGTTGTTGTGAATGGGACTTAAGAGCGTGCCCTCTCTCCAAGCGAAATCTGTTGAACGAATCAGTGGAAAAAACAGTAACCTTGACCAAATCATGGGTCTCAATAGATTCACTTATTGCATTTTTTACCGTTTCTTAAGGAGTCCGACTGAACGACTTAAACTGATCATTTATTCCTACAAAAATCCCTATAGATTCTTTTCAGAGAGAAAACATCTTTCTACATCTCTCGAGGAGCTCATCGTGGAATAGTTTTTACCAACAGAATATCAACTGAGAGAAACTTATCCCCCGTACATACCCCTCTTCCAATGATAATTTTTCTAATTTTAGTGAGCGTTCCTGCGGCGCGACTAATTTGAGAACAACAGCTTATTAGTTAGTGGTTCTGTGGTGAAATCTGATGTGTAATGTTTGGCAGCTTGCGGTTTGTGGTTTGTGGCATTCACCATGATGACGTAATGACGATTAAAAAAACGGGGCAAGCGTAGCATGCAAGAGTTATGTTTTGGCCGGGTAAGTCGAGGTGGGACGCTTTGTGAACCTACTGTTTTCATTTTTGTAACAGAAAAAGAACAGAACTTTCAAAAGAACGAAACTATTGCATTACGTCACCTTAAGAGAAAGACAAAAAAAACCTAATTTATCTGAACTCACACAGGTATTTTGTAGTCTATTTTCTCTATTGTCGAAATACCTCTAATCAAAAATCAAATGCATCGGTGCAAGCTTACTGTTGTCTCCTTCGCAGCCGTTGTCTGATCTCGTCACACAACGCCCTCTATTCCCCGTTGGAGAGAGAACGCGTTGCGTGACCTGACCAAATAACGACTGCGTAAGAAACTACGCTTACTGCCGTTCCTCTTACAGGAAGAAAATCAAAATTATTCGTTGACACTTAGTCGCCCAAAAATGTGATTCCACGTAATTTTACTACGAAAAACAAACTGAAACTCTGTTGTATCTCCATTAGATCCTAAGCAGAGATATCTTGCGATCTCCGAATAGTGAAGTTATATTAAACAAGAGAAAACGAGAATATTCCAAAAAGGGCTCCTTGATTGGTTGTTGCCTCTCTGTGTGTGAAATACGGGATAAGATGCAGGTTACTTACCAGGAATTAACACACGATGGGTTAAGTCCGAGGTAATTAAAAGGGAATTTTGTCTTTAGACGAAGTCAAAACGCGGAAGAATTGCGTGGAAAGTTCACCATCAGTAGCTTTTAGTTCCATGTGAATTTTTTTCAGTGGGGTTGGACAACGCGATCAGAGTACGTGATAAAAGGCAGGTTGTCTTGACACTTGACACGTGATAGAGCCAAGTCTTATGTGGCAGCATGGAATTTGATTGGTTGAATATAATTCAAGCATGTGAAAAATTGCCTAATGTTCATGTAGTGTGGTGATTGGGTATCTTCTGATTGGAATTTTGGACGTTGTTTTCATAGTACGTGATGGAATGTAAGTTGTTTGGCGTGTGCGCTGTGAGCAAAGGGGAGGAAAAACACGTTTTAACTTTAAAATAATACGAAAAGTTCAATGAGAACGTTCCATATCCCAAAAAGTCTCGACTTTCATCGACGTGGCTCTTGCGAAGGTCATTAACCATTCCACTTATCAAATGGGGTCCAAATTTCTGGTTAATGTAATTCTTTGCGCACAGTGCCAGCCCCCTAATTCTATGACATCATTTGCAAGAAAACAACACCCAAACGTTGTGATTGGTGCAGGATATTCAAATGCTATGATATGGTTGGTGCGAAATACATATCCTTATTCAGCAAACTAATCGGTGCGAGATACATATCCTAATGGTGCGAGCAACATACCACTCTACTCGCTAACAAGTTTCAGTTTTTTATCAAAAAAATTACCCAAAAGGCTGAGAAAGCGTAACCTCTGAGCGTTACTCTTGAAGCCTGAGGTTATCTTCCCCTCTTCTACAAGTTGGGGTGCGTGGAAGATATTTCATCTGACAGTTTGATTAGAAGAACTGAATATCTTCCAGTGGCTGATTCAGGTAAATTACCTCCCGGGTTATCTATTAGGCGGTAATAGCACACATTTTCCAGACTACAGAAAGGGAACCGGCTCGATCTTGAGGATTTCTTAATTGTAAAAAACTGTGCCGTTAGTTGCTGACCTCTAGGCTGGTGTAGCTATGTGACTTTTTATCTCGACCCCTTACCAAGTGACAGACTCATTTGAATTTGATAGAAAATTATATAGCAGATGACCGTTTACAAGAGTCCCTATGGTTTGATTGAATTGAAAACTAACCGATGGAGAGCTCGTCTGAGCAACAGTGAAGCGCGATTTCTCATCAATTCACCCAACTGTGCCCGAAAAATTTATAAAGCTTAGTGTTTAAAAGGTGTATCGAACGTAGAAATATTTTGAGAGAGATAAACTTGAAATTAATCTATAACATCCATTTATGATGTGACGTAA